GCCGGTGGAATTCGAGACTGCTCACCTAGAGAAGTTTTCACAGATCTCTCCGTTGCTACTATCTATGGTTTATTTCGTGAAAGCACAGACGATCAAAAGCAACCGGTCGCAATCAGAGGTTGAGCAGTTGAACATGAAAATTCAGCTGTATAACCAGAGTTTCAAAGCGTCATGCAAACAAAGTGGGTTCGGGCCCAATGGGGTCGGCTATATTGCGCTGAAAGAGATTTCTAACATCCTCGAGAAAAATCACAGTCATTTCGATAAGAAGCAATCGGATAGCCTCCAGCTGAAACTCAAGGACGTGAAGCAAGGCTTTGAAACCCGCAAGCGTAAATTAGACCCAGAAAGTCTCCCTCCAAGCTCGAAGGAAGAAAGTGTATTTAGCTCACAAATTTAATACTTGTCAAACTTAAATTTATATATGTAAATCCAAATTAGTACTTACTCCTTGACCAAAGAACCCTCCTCACTTTTTGCACTTTGCTGTTCGCCTTTGCTCTTGAGTGCCGACTCGTCCTTGACTCTGTTGCTCTTTTTTGGAACTCTAAAGAGCCAGTAAAGGAAGACGGTGAAAAAGATGTTAATCGCAATGTAGCAGATGAAGATACCCCAGTCTCTCCATCTGTTGTCGAAGTCTATGCCCATGGCTTTCAAGAATGTGTTGGTTTCTTTCATGGGGCAGAACGCACAGTCGTCTGTTGCAGACTCATCCAAAATATATCCTCCCGCCTGGCTCACGTACTGGCTCATGTAATCACCACAAGTCATACCAGAAGGAGGAGGGAAGTGCACGTACTCTTTCTCTGCACACTTCACATTGACACCACCAACACCAGTGCTGAGGATAGACCCAAGCCAATAAGTGATTGGCGAGACTCTGTACATGAACACCCAGAATCCTGTAGGGACGATCAGAGCACCACAGAAGTTCAACGACATGGTGAACAGCAGAGACACCAAGTTGGCAGCGTTATCAGAGACCTCGATAGCTGCACCAGCAGCTTGTCCCAGGGTACTAGAAAAGCAGAAGAATGCAACCATGTTGAGCCAACTGAGAGCACCTCTCTCAGCAGTAGCATTCACGGCAGCGGCGTTTTTCTGCAGACCGACTGGGTAGTACCAGCAGAAGTAGGCAAGGGTACCACAAATCCAATTGTATGGGATCTCCGCAGTGACCTGGGCGAGCACAAAAGCGACCCAGCTGAACGTTTTAGATGGCCGTTCTCTCACCTCGTACAGAGATCTTTGGGCCACAAATTGAGGAAGCATCTGGTCAACCATGGTCAGCAAAATGATGGAAAGCATGAAAATAGAAAGCATCTGGTTCTGCAGGCCCTGAATAGAAGTTCCGGCATTGAAAAAGGAGAAACCATTGAACAACGACGCAATGACAGTTAGTAAAACCTTGTTCCAAATGTACGACGGAGTTCTCCAGTATTGCTCAAACACTCTCTTAGTGACCAGGAAGTACTGCAGCCATAAGCTGCTGGCGAATTCGTCCTGAGCATTTGGAAGCGTCGACAGAGGCAGCTTGGCCAGCTCACGTTCCATGGTTTTCAGCTCTTCTCTAACGGCGTGTCTCTCGCTGGACTTGAGCCACACTTCGTGGTAGTCTTGCAGAGCGTGAGAACCAGGAGCCGCACCAATAACTTCCAACATCCACTCAGCAGGGTTAGCATCTGGTGGACACTTTGGAGCACCGTATTTTTCAAAGTAGTCGATCAGTGTCTGACAGTTCTCCCCCAGGTCACCAAAATACACCGTCTTACCTCCTTTGGCAAGGAAAAGCAATCTGTCGAACTCCTTGAGCAAAATAGCTGAAGGCTGATGGATCGTGCAAAGGACGGCCTGCCCGTTGTCGGCGAGTTTTCTCATCAGCTGACAGATCGACCAAGCAGTCTGGGAGTCGAGACCAGAGGTAGGCTCATCAAGGAACAGCAGCAGCTGTGGCTTGGCAGCAAGTTCGACACCAATGGTCAATCTCTTCCGCTGCTCCACGTTTAAACCCTCACCAGCAACACCAACAATGGCATCGGCATATTTGTTCATTTCCAAAATGTTGATCACGTTCTCAACATACTCGTCTTTCTCGGCTTTGGAAATGTCCTTGCCTTGTCTCAAATAAGCCGAGAACCTCAGAGCCTCACGAACGGTAGACGTTCTCAAATGTAGATCTTGTTGCTGGACATAACCTGTGTTTCTTTGGAACGATTCATCTCTGAGTCTTCCGTTGACAAACATGGAGCCCGACACGACACCCATGGTGACACGGTTGGCGAGAACATCCAACAACGTCGTCTTACCTGCTCCGGAAGCACCCATCAGCGCAGTCAGAGTGCCGGGCTTCACCCAGCCATCGACATGGTCCAGAATTCTTCTGGTCTCGCTCTTGATCTTGACCTCGTAGCAAACGTCTCTCCAATGGAAAATATCTTTTCCAGCAATGAGCTTGGCCACTCCGCCGGAAGATCCAACGTCATCTTGTATACCAGCCGGTTTTTCGTTCTCTGGCGTGGCCTCAATGTCACGTGCAGATGAAGAAACGTGCTCCTTCTTGAGCTTGTTCAGCGTCGATCTCTGGAAAACAATAATCTCACCCTTTTGCAAGGCTCCCTTGGAATTTTCCACCAGAGTGAGGTACAAAGCGGTGAAGAAGATGGTGAACCCGACGACAATACCAAAGTTTCTCCATCTGTGGTCCCATTTGTAGCGGAAAGACTCGTAGATGTAACGGTCGCCATCAACGTAGTCCTCACCGGCAATAGAACTGACAGCAGAACAGACGCGGTTGGCCCCGTTAGCATTCGGATATGCAGGAATGAACTGCGAACATTTGTACGTCACGCCATGGAACTCGTTGGCAATGAGCGCCTCGAAACAGTAGGCCACCGGATCGAGGTAGTTGATCCATCTGGACCAGCCATGCATCGAGGGAGTTGGCAAAACAAAACCGGTGTAGATGACAAGGGCGAGCAGCAACAGTGCAGAGGGCGTCATACTCTCTGCCAGAGTTCTGTAGAACGAACCGATCGACCGGAAAATACCCGACATGACTAAAGTTGCCATGAAGTTGATCAGGAAGTAGAAGAAGAACGCACCTGGTTCTCTCTTAAAGTTGATCATGAAATAGAACACCAGATTGAATGCCACGGCAGTGATCAGCTTGGTAGGCAACTCAGTGATGACAGACGCAAAAGCGTCTGCGGAAGGATGGTATAAGGCAAACTTCTTGTGCTTTTCGACAATTTCTCTGGATTCGAACAGAGCCATAATCTCCAGCATCGACGAAAAACCGTTGAACAGCACGGCAAAGAACATGGCAGCAGTTCTGGTGTAGAAGGAGCCGGTAGTTTTGCTGAGATTATAGAAAAGGGACGACAGAATCAAACCCATGATGGAGTTTCCAAAGATCGAGAACAACGTAATCGAAGGGTCTCCCTTAGTTCTCCAGACGTTTCTCGTCATTATAGCTCTCACCTGCTTGCCGTAGGAAAGGGTGTAAGGCGACGATGGTCTTGCTGCCTTGGACTGCCTGGCCACGTGTGCGTCCCTGTATTCTTGTTTGAGGTTCTTGGCCTCTGCGTTCTGAATATACGAATCAATCTCCTCGCGCAGCTGTTTGTACTCCGGAGACGCTTTCCAGTAGTCGTTGAACTCCTTAGGCGTCTTTGGCACTTTGTTTTCCCAGCCTTTTTTGGCAACTCTTTCTGCTGGAGAGGTGATCGACGTAAGATAATCGGCAGTCGTCTGTCTAGGAGGACACTCGTATCCCATTCTTTCGAAGTATGCCTTAGCCTCGGTTCCTGGGCCGTAATAAATCTGGTAGCCTTCGTATAGAAGAACGACGTAGTCAAAAAGATCGTATGCGCTTTGTGAACACTGGTAAATAGCAATCAGGGAGGTGGTATCCAGCAGCATCGCAGAAGTCTTCAAGGCACGGATAAATTCCAACGCAGTGGCGGAATCCAGACCTCTTGTGGCATTGTCCCAGCACTGCAAGTTCGCTCCGCACAAAGAAACCTCGGCGATCGAGACTCTCTTTCTTTCTCCACCGGAAACACCTCTAATGAACTCGTTTCCGACCTTGGTATTGTACGTGTGGCTCAATCCGTACGTGGCCATGTACACCTGGGCCATGTGTTTCGCATACTGTTCTCTGGTGACGCCTGGTGTTCTATTATCCGGTGTCCTCATCGTGGCAGCAAATTGCAGTGTTTGGCCGACAGTCAGCTGAGGGAAGTGCACATCTGTCTCGGCAGAGTACACAACCTCTCCTCTATAGTGTTTCTTGATATCCCGGACTGAAAGGCCATCGTAAGATATCACAGACTCCTTGTCGACTTTCAAACCGTATGTGTGTGAGGAGATGGTCTTGAGCAACGTCGAGCATCCGGCACCAGGTCTTCCCAAAACCACCGTCACGGTCCCGGGTTTCATGAGGGCGTCCATAGGCTTGAGGATATCAAAATATCTGGATTCGTCGTTTCTTTTGAAGTAATCATAATAGAAGTCTCTAGCCATTTTCAGCCCGAGATTGAGAACAGTAGGCTGGAAGTCGGCATCGGAAGCAATACCTTGCACACGCAGATCCTTGTATGCAATTCCAAGTGATGTCGGCTTGTAGTGGTCAGGGTCCGACTGCATCAGTTTGCGCGCGTTCTTGACCCAGAACTTGGAGTCGAACGAGTCTGAAAAAGGGTCCAATCTAGGGTCATCTGCCGTGGTTGGCTCGACACCAGGAACCTGTGACATGGAAGTCAGGGTTCTAATGAGATCATCGCCACCGCCGCTCCTGAACTCTGAGAGAGAGGCGCGGCTCTGATGGGTCAATTCTCTGGCCAATTCACGAACCTGGTTCTCTGCAGCATCGGCAAACCCTTCATAGACTTCAGCCTCATGGTTGTCAATGTCTGCGGAAACACTGATTGAATCTGTACTCATCTTCTAGCTGACTCAAATATGAGCAAAAGGAGATACCTTTATATTTGAGGACAGATACGAGGAGCAGTAACAAGAATTGCAGAATCACTGCCTAAATTCTAATAAATGCAAGGAATTCGGGAGGTGAATAGCTCGGAATTCGGAATTTAATTCTACTAAATGAATTCCGATGCCGAATTCCAATAGTTTAGACCTACTTTTTGTTGCGGAACCAGAAAATTTCGGGACAAAAATAGTGCCGGGATGTACATTTTTTTTTCCGAATTACAAATAGTACAATATTATGATACCGTGAAATTGCTGATAAAGTGCTCGGATAGTGTTCAAAAAACAAAAGAAAGCAAATACGTGTGGCTGAAAATTTTCCAGTGCATCGTTAAGCGTCGTTTCCATTTGTACGAAGCTGGCGGTGCAACAATTCGAAAATTCTACGAAATCGCGATTTCTTTTTCGGTTCTCTCAATCACATGCAAACACTCACATGCACCGACTATGATGACATTTTTTTGGAATCTGGCATTTTTCAATAGGACAGACAAAAAAAATAAACAAAAAACGCTCCTTGAGTAACTAGAATTTAATTTGTCCTTCGCTCTGCACATTATATGGATACCAACGAATAAGGCCTCATAATGTCGTTCTCAACTCTTCCTGTGCCCACTTTCGACCGCCCTTTCGGCGTTTACCTGTTCGACCACTTCGATGATTTGGTCTCAAAGCTCACTGGCGGCCGTTTTGTTCCTAGCAAATTTGATTTTGTCGCAGGAGAGACTTTTTTCTCTACGCCGGTGCCTGTCCTTGGTGCCATCGTTCTCTATTACGTTGTCATCTTTGGTGGTCAACATATTTTGAAAACCAACAACTTCAGACCGCTGGTTCTCAACGGATTGTTTCAACTCCATAATTTGCTTCTCACTATTTTGTCCTTGACGCTCGTGACTTTGATGGCCGAGCAACTGATTCCAATGATTCACAAACACGGACTATATTATGCCATCTGCGATCCCGGTGCATGGACTCAGCAGATGGTCGTTCTGTACTACCTCAACTACCTCACCAAGTTTACAGAATTTATTGACACTCTTTTCCTAGTGGTGAAGCAGAAACGCTTGACGTTTTTGCACACCTACCACCACGGTGCTACGGCACTTCTGTGCTACACACAGCTGATCGGCCTGACCTCGATCTCGTGGGTCCCAATCACACTTAACCTCTTTGTCCATGTGGTCATGTACTGGTACTATTTCCTCGCTGCCCGCGGTATTCGCGTCTGGTGGAAAGAATGGGTGACGCGTTTCCAAATCATTCAGTTTATTTTGGATTTGTCCTTCATCTACTTTGCTACCTACCAGAAGCTTGTCCATAATTTTGCCCCATCGCTGCCTCATTGTGGTGACTGTGCGGGCACGCCTCTAGCCACCATCAGTGGCTGTGTCATCATCTCATCCTACCTCGTTCTGTTCATCGCATTCTATATTGAGGTGTACAAAAAGAGCTCGAAGAAAGCCAAAGTCGTCCGCAGAGTTAGAGGTGGTGTTGCTGCCAAGGTCAACGAGTACGTTTATCTTGACAAGCAAACATTGCAGTCCAACTACGACTCCAACACCGGATCGCCTTTGCCTGTTCCAAGACAACGCAATCTCAGATCTACAAAGAAGAAGATTTAACTTCTCCCTTGTATAACTCTAGCATGAAAACATAGTCCCAGAATTACATCTTCATCCCTTCACTATTAAGCACACACTGGGCACGACGGTTAGCCAAATGAAATGCTTTTTTTAGATCCTCCTTTGTGACTCCGGCAGCGCCGTAAACACTAAGGCCGCTCAATGTGCTGCCGTTTGAGCTCACCATTATCCTTGTGTCTATGTTTTCTTCGGCCTCGCCTTCCAGCTCTGCCAGCAGAATCTTGCCGTCCGTGTCAATCTCCATTTTATCCTCATCATGAGGAACGGCTTTGTCCAGCTCTACTAGTCCAAATGTCGAGCTCCAAGATATTCTATCTTCGTTCAATTTCAAGAGCTCGTTTTTCTCGGCATCACACTCGAGATCGTAGTCCTCAACTCGTACCCGACGAACCCCCACCTCAATTCGTTTCTCAGCAATGTAGACAGCAGGAAGACGGGTCTGTCGAAGCGCAGAAATAAGTGCCCCGTAGCACAGGTCATACACTGGGCCAGCGCGCGAGAAGACCTGAATGGTAGCGTATAGCACAAACGAGTAGCCTGTTTGCGGCAGGAACTCCTGTTCTAGCTCCTCCCCTCCCTTGCACTCAAGCTGGATCTTCAGAGCGTTGCGGTCAATCAGGCCAGAATGGTAGATGGCTTCGTATAGCCTCTGCGAGATGGCAATCTCCTCCTCGTTCGGTGGCCCACTCCCGCCACGCGAGATCTCAACTTCTGTGTAAACGGTCGCATTTTTGCTATCTCTATGTGTTTCGCTGTCTATTATATCTTTTTCGAGCTTTGTTCTGTAGTCGTTAACCAGCTCATGATCGTCCTCAACAATCGCACCGCTAATCAGACATATGACAGTAGTCTTGCCTGATTTCACGATCGAGGACCCAAGCACGCTACCAACACCGTTAATGTCGCCGTTAGGCTCGTTAGACTCGTACCTTCCGACTCCAGCACGGCCGATTACGACAGGCTTGAATTCGTCAAACTTCCGTAACGAAGGGCGTAAACCAATTTGCAGATACTTCTGGAGTAGTACTTCGGGTGCAATCTGGGCCAGCACATCGGGTGGAAAAATATTGGGTTTGAAAGAAGCGGTCTCTGACATTTAATTGTAATAAATTATTTGAAAAATTTCTGCATAGCAAAATACAGATCCATGCATTCAGCTATACTCTAAATAAATTCACCGTACGCCCCATCATTGATATCGGCAGGGGCAATGGCGTTTCCACTGAACGTGGACACGTTGTCGTCAACGTCGCTAGCCGGAGAGCCGATAGTAGAATCGACGTGGCCATCACCTAGCATCTTTTTGCGACGCTTGATAAGATTATCCGAGACTAACGACTCAGTCTCATCGCTTCGCTCGCTTTTTAGTTCATGGCAGCCTTGCTCGTTCTCATCAGAAGCAACATCTGTAGTGGTTGTAGCACTGGTCCCACTCTCTGTAGTGTTCAAGGACTCCATCGGTGTCGGAGACTCATCTATGCTGTCTGCTCTCAGAGCGTCCAGCTTCAAAGACTCCTGCAGTCGTTTGTGGTTCTCTGCATTTCTCTGCCTAATCTCTCCCATCATACGGCGGAAGAACTCCCCTCCCAGCGGCTCGCTACTTCTCTTTCGATAGAACAGCAGATAGGCAGAGCCCCGAATGGACTCTGTGGGGTCCACGACAGACACTCGCGAGTCGTCAAAATAGTACCACTTTCCATCAACAAAGTTCTTAGCATACGCTGTGTAGTGTCCACCACCAAGTCCACCAAAATGGTTATCCACGGCAAAAAGGTCATAAATCATCTCCTCTCCATTGGAGTTGACAACATATTTGGACATATCCAGGCCCTCTATGGGGAAATCCACAACAGCGTCGATCTTGTCGCTAAAGCTCTTGGTGTTCTCAAATCGCTTCAAATGGATAGTAAGTATGTCTGGAACAGACCAGATCTCGATTTTTTTGGTTGCCTGCCTATGCTCTTTGCAGTTTGGACAATACCACAAATCGTTCTCTCCTAAAACTTCTGGAGTCGAGAACATCTCCATGCAATTGTCCAAAGATATGTTCTTGCGCCTGCTTTCGGCCATAAGTCGCTTGTTTTCCTCCACCTCAGCATTTTCCAATATCTCTGGGTTTGACCATGTTTCTCTGCCTCCCAGTCCGTCCTCCTCAATGCCTGTGAAAAAGGTATCAAAAAATTCAGGCTCCCACTCACAGACAAGCGCAATCTTTTCGAAAATCAGAGGTCTTGCAACGCTCTCCGGCTCAGGGTCTGAATCCTGCTGCTCCTCTTTTTCGTCGTCCTCGACTTGCATTCCGTTGGTCTCCTCTGTCAATGGAGCCAAGCTATGTTCACTTGGGTCGCTATCCATCATATTTGTTTCATCGGGGCCATCACCAGGAAGTCCCGGATCAGAGTCCTCACTAGTAACTGTCTCGGTAGACTTGGCTCCATATAGGTAAAATCTCCGCTTTTTTCCTTCCACTCTCTCCAGCAGGTCAGGCAGGCCTTTAAAATTATTATGCGTGCGAGGAATCCATAATGAATCGTCTTCCTCGTCCTCCTGAGAATACCTAGAGTATCCGTAAAGACCTCTACCGTATCTGTTCGAAATTTTGAGCTCGTGAGACGAATCGAACACCTTCACGCTAAAAGCATAATTTCCAGGAATCTCAGGATCCGCCAAAGAAACATCATCATCGTTGCCGTCCTCAATCCCAGAAAATTCTGTAGCCTGATGCTGCAAATGCTGCCTTGACGCAAAGAAGTCGAATGTCGAAAGCTGGCTGTAACGTTGTTCCAGTTTTCTTCTTATTTTGCCGAACGAATAACATTCGTCCTTTGTGAGCGTGATGAAGAATGGTATGCCAAAAGGCTTGGTGTTTCTTGAGTCTGAGAGAGTATTAAAAACAGGAACAACCAAGTCTCCTGGCCTATGTTTGATCTGGTGGAACCATATCTCGTCGTTCTGGCCGATTAGATCAGAAATGGGCAGGTAGCGTGTGTCTGAATCCTTGGCCTCGAAATTTTTATACACTTGCGACTGGAACACCTCAATGGCAAGCAGCTCATCGATAGGCACTTTCACTTTATCCGCAACGTACACTTTGAGGTCAGCAAATGTAGCAGACTTAGGAAGCTCCACTTCTAGACTTTTTGGATACCCTTCTTCCAACAACACATTGACTTTGCCAATCCATTTCTTATGAACCGGCAATGGTAGAGTGAGATCATTGTAAGGATCGAATGTGATACTGATCTTGCCGCAAGATGGACACACTAGAGTCGACTTGTATAGCCCCACAAACAAGTCGATAACGACGGAGTTATTTCGCAGCTTGTGGCTGTCCCAGCACTTCTGTGCCAATTTCCGCACTTCATCCAAATCGTTAACTTTCTCGTCCGGGAGCTCTGGTTTTTCAACATACGGTTTCTTCAAAATTCTATTGAGGTCCTCGTGCAGTCCGTCCAAAAGAAAAGCTATCAGTTCCTGTGAGTCCTGTTGGTGATAATCTGCAAACATTGAGTTATAGTATCCGATTGTATATTTGAAGTCTCTTGGTGAAAATGAGCTTGAAGTTCCCGCGAAGCGTTTGTCAAATAAATGCTTTACCAGGCCTGCGTAGGCAGACGCCACTTTCCCATCGTTTCCCAGGGGGTTATCTCTGTTAATTTCCTTTTCGTAATAATCATACAAAAAATAATTGGTGAGCTCCGGGATATGAACCAAACACTGAAGAGCAGAATTCATGTAGCAAGAGTTTCCCAGATTATTGAGTCCCACTAATCCCGATCCAAGGGTAACCGTCGAGGATGTGTCCATTGGATATGTTCCATCCTCCTGTTGTATCTCGATAAGAATGTTGTGCTCACTGATATTAAGGTCCTCCAGTTTTATGGAGCCAGATTTCTTTCCTGCTGGGATTAGCGTCTTGGAAGTGATGTTTGACAGGTCCTGAGGAGTGAGGATCACAGGCAATCTGGTTGCCGGCGTGATTCTCCATATTCTGGTGGTGCCCTTCCCAATCTCGAACTGTTTTTTCACTGCTAGCTTGAGGTCTCTGGCAGTACTCAGAGCAGATATCAAAAATGGCCTTGCGCCGGCCAATCTGTATCTGTTAATGGTTTCGGGATTATTGCAAAGCAGATGCGGAATTATATACAACGGATACGTTTCGAGTTTGAGCTGCCCGTCTTTCTTGTCCATAAATAATTGCCGCTCCACAAAGGGACCATCCACGCCGTACCACTCGACAAGTTTCGCAAAGACTTGCTCTGCAACAAACTCCGGATTAGTGGCCGGATTGATGCAAAGCTCCGTATGATCCAGAATGCTGCTTGTATTAATAGGACCCAGAGCAGCGGCCTCCTGTGGTGCTCCTTTCAGAAAAGCATTGAGCCACTCTTTCGGTATGCCATAGTACTTGGTTCCTTCTCTTAGATCGAAAAAGGACTGCTCAACGAGCTTCACGTACTCTGCTCGCCTCTGGATCAGCTGCGAATCTGCTGCTTCCAAAGGCTGCTCGGATGGTTGCGGAACAGCCCCGCTCTGTTCGAAACCCATCACGCTTTTTCAAGTGATTATAAATCTTTTTGCTTGTCAAGATTTTTCGAGATGGTGGAGAAGAAGTGCGCGGCTCAAAAGATTTATTTTTTTAGAAGCACCCATGCCTCCCAACCTTGTCTTCCATGATTGACCTTTTATCCTCCTGTATCGATGGAGATTTTGAGTTTTCCGGACTAGTGGGGTCTGAAGAGTCAGTTATTATTGAATATGTTGACTCTTTGGAATCAATTCCGCTGTTCAAGCGAGACCATGCTTCCACTCTGAAGGATGTGGTAAATCAGGCCCTGTCAGAGAGAACTAGTCCCGAGTCAGATCTGTGCCTGTCCTTGCTCCACCACTTATCCCAAATTTCTCCGATCAATAAAATAAGGCTGCATTCCGAAGCATTGTGTCAATTGCTGATGGATTACTGCACGAACCAGACACAAGACAGCCGAGACTTGTTGGTGCTGGACTTCTTCGAATCGATCTCTGAGCTCGGCCTCAGCTTCCAGCAGACTACATACCTGTACAAGAAAGCTCTCCAGAACACTGCATCAGCCGTTTCGTTTCAAAGGCTGTTCACAAAGCATCTTGACTCACATCGCTCGTATTTATTTCTACCTACATCGCAATACTCGCTTTCGCTCAACGCTCCCATCATCAATTTCACAATTCAGTTCTGGTTTCAGTACACCCCGACACATGAACAAGCCTCACCTTCCTCTCTGTTTGTACTCAAGGCCAAACAAACGCTTCTCACGTACTCTTTGGAAAACCAGAAATTCTCGGTCAGCACATTGACAGACATTGCAACATTCGAGGCATTTGTGTTTGAGCCGCTGCAAAAATACCACGTCGTTTTTCTCCACAAAGAGGAGAAGCGAAGATCGTACATCGATCTTTATGTCAATGGCGACTTTGTACAGTCAATCAATTTGGCATACAAAAAATCAGATCATGCCACGTCCTTGGATATTCAGGGAATTCACGGGATGTACTTCGAGCTGATGAACTTACTGGTTCTGAGCGAGCGCGTCAGTTATGGTTGGATTCTCTTGTCTTACCACCTGGGCCCGCTGTTTGCTGGTACTTACCAGGGCTATCATTTTGAGCGCTGTCTTTCGGAAAAGTCAAAGCTGGTGATGAACTTGAAACTTCAAGAAAATATGGACGCCAAGGCATTGAAAGATATCATGATTAGCCCCGGCTCCATCCTAGTTGATGTCAATGCCAACTCCTCAGCAGAGATCGGTTCCACCATTCATTGGAAACCAAAGTTGCTGCTGAACTCACTGTATTCGATTGGGGGCATGGTTATTTGTTTGCGTTTGTTAGAGACAGCCAAAACGTCTAGCTCACTCGTCGAATCTCTCGACTTTCTATTTGCCGTACTGTCAAAAGACCCACTTTCGAAACAAGAGTTTGAGATGAACGCCGGTTACAATATCGTGGCTACAATACTGAAAACAAAAAAGGTTCTTTTGAACCTGACGGTCTTAGATTCCATTTTGCGTTTTGTTGGATACAACGAAACGTCTCCGATAGAATCAATTCTGGCCAACGCTCTTGCTTACCGAATCCTCATAGTGGATTTCGAGATATGGAAGCCAACTTCCATTGATCATGTTGGAGACGCTTCCGTAAGAGATACCTTCAAATTTCTCCTGTTTCAATTCTCTGTCTTCGCTCATGATAGTCGCTACCACAGCTACAACATCCAACAGTTGGTCGACATGAGAATAATCAAACGGTTTGTGCAGGCTATGAAATATGGTTTGTTTGAGGAGGCAGTGCTGCCCTTATTACACGACACAATCTCAATACTGGTGAGAAATAACCCTTCTACAGAATCATTCAAGGCTCTATCCTTATATGTGATATACTCCCTGAAAATCGAGGATTCGGGAGGTCTACAGCGAAAATGTGGACTAAATGTTCTGCGGGCCATCCAATCTGTGGTAGAAGATCCCTCATTAATGTCGAACGTCCATGGCTACAAAATCATAATGAAATCCATATCCACAAAGTGGATACTATTGCTCCTTGATAACGACAATTCTGATGTGGTGAAAATCAGTTTGAGGCTCTTGAAGCGTGTTTTGCTATTTAGCACCAGGACTTATAAGTCCTTTGCTGACGAAACTAGTCTCTTGCTGCTTTACAAGTTGTTGAAAAAGTGGGACAGCAATTTTGAGGTGATGAATCTAATCATGGCTCTAGCGTTCAGAAAGCATTCTACATCAGATCAAAGCGAGGTCGTCATGCCCGAATTTCTGGTACTAATGAACATGTTATTATCTGAGTCAGAGTTAGACCCAGATACCATTTCGTTGTATGTGAGGAAAATTCGACACCTGCTTGATTCGAATATCTTTTTCAAAATGGTGGTTTCAAATCATATACAGTGGCTCCAAACATTTCTACATCTTGTTTGTAAAATCAAAGACAAGCATGATATCTCAATCATAGCTCCTTACAGAGAGTTTATTGGAGAATTATTTAAGGAGAAGCTCGAAAGAAATGTCAAGAAAACAGAGTCATTAACAGTGGACGCACTTCACCAGAAGTTCCCTGCGGCATTCATATCCACTATACTTCCCGAGATTCTGATACGCCTCAACGAGCTCAATCCAATTTGTCGCACACAGTTTGTTTCCAAGTTGCTTCCAAGAATGCTGGAACTGGAGAAACTCTACCAAATTGAAGAAGCCGATTATTATTTAGTGTTAGAAAAACTAAGTCCGATGCTGAGCCTTGAAGAAGACTTAAAGCAAAAAAGTGTAAAGAGGCATTTTTGTGACTTCTTTACGGAACTCCTTGCGAAGGCAACGTTCAAGGAAAAGGAAAGCAATGGGACCGCATTCAAAGAAACGAAAACTTGCTGCTCTGTGCTCATGGCCAACCAGAGACTATTCTCAAAATATGCAGGGAATGAGAATTTGTCTGTTATAGTTGCGTCTTTATTTCAGTGCATGGCTCTTTCCGACGACTCTCTATCGAGCTTAAGTCTGAACTGTCTTCGGATTCAGCTCATGAGTGATCTGCGACCAACGATTGCGTGCTTATCATCAAACAGCAGCAAGAGGGCCAGATTAGTGGACTATTTTGAAAAGTTTCTATCGCTGGATGACGGAGAGATCAGGGATATTTGGGAAAACGATTCTAGTCTTCGCAACATAATCAACGCGAAATATGAGAGTTATATTTTGGAGATCCGAAAACAGCAGGGAAAATCAACTATTAGGAAGGCAATGGATGAGCTGGCTCCTATTTGGCTCATAGAGAACAGCAACAAAATAGAAAAGATTTATAACAAGGAGATCATGCTCTTGGGCAAGACAATAGAACAGGCAGAAACTAAGAAGTTTAATAGACACATACAAGACGATTTGGACGATCTTAACTACTTTGTTTCTGTCTTCAACGACATCAAATCGCAGCTTCCAGTGGAAAACTATAAATTCTCAACTGTTTTGGACTCTACCGAGGGCCCTGACCGAATGCGAAAGCGGATGATTAAACAACTCTGCCTGACAGATGATGACATCCCCACAGAGGAGAGTTCTGGACTGGAATACGATGACCTGGCTGAAGAATACGGCCTGCTCTCAGAACAAATGGATCTCGATTTGGCACAGGAGGACAAGAACCGCAAAATCCTCCGGAGCTTGTATGTTGGGGATAAAATAGTTGAGATGCTCAATGTGACACAGATCTTAGGCCTTGAGACACTGGAATCAATTTTCATTCTGGGGCAATCTCATATATACATGATTGGCAATTACTTTCTCACCTCAGATAAGAAAGTTGTGGACTTAAGAGATGCTCCTCCAGACGAGAGAGACTCGTACGTTCAGCTCATCACGGGTAACAATTCGAGAGTTCCATCATCGCAACATCAGACCAAGACGTGGGAGCTCGCAAAGTTTGCTTCCATCAGCAAGCGCACGTTCCTACTGCGAGACGTGGCTTTGGAATTGTTTTTCATTGATGGCTCTAATTTTCTCATCACTTGCTCTTCTAAGGAAACGAGAGATGGACTTTTCAACGTATTGTCTACTAAGGCGTCGGCCAAGTATCCTGACACGATTCTAGAAGACGCTCTCACTTTGGCATCCTCATCCTCGTTAACTATTGGTGCCAAGCTTGTCAGTGCAATTACGTCGGTGGCTTCAGCGACGACTCTCAGCTCGTTAACAAAGAAATGGGAAAAGGGCGAATTATCGAACTTCTATTATCTTATTCTAGTGAACACGCTTGCGGGTCGCACCTTCAACGATCTGACCCAATATCCTATTTTTCCGTTTGTCATTGCGGACTACGAAAGCGAGGAGCTGGACCTGACCAATCCTGCCACTTTTAGAGATCTCGGAAAGCCGATGGGGGCGCAGACAGAGAAAAGAGCAGCACAATTTAGAGAAAGATACGATGCCTCGGCTGAGATGTCGCCCGACTCGCCGCCATTCCATTATGGAACACATTATTCGTCTGCAATGATTGTCACCTCTTATCTTATTCGCGTCAAGCCGTTTGTGCAATCGTATTTGTTACTTCAGGGAGGCAAGTTTGATCATGCTGACAGGACGTTTCACTCCATGGCGAAGACGTGGTACAGCGCCTCCCGGGACCATACCACAGATGTCCGGGAACTAATCCCCGAGTTTTATTACCTGCCTGATTTCCTGCTCAATTCCAACAATTTTGAATTTGGCTATTTACAAGATGGAACCAAAGTTGGCGACGTGCGTCTGCCTCCTTGGGCCAAGGATGATCCTGTAATATTTGTGGAGAAAATGCGACAGGCTCTAGAGAGCGACTATGTTTCTGAGCATCTACACGAGTGGATCGATCTTGTGTTCGGGTTCAAGCAGAGGGGGAAACACGCAGTAGACTCGCTGAACGTGTTTCATCATCTGAGTTACCAGGGCTCTACGGACCTGGATAAAATTCAAGACGAGAGAGAAAGAAATATCATAGTGAGCATTATACACAATTTTGGGCAGACGCCTGTTCAGGTTTTCCACAAACCTCATCCGCGGAAGCAATCTCAAATGAAGGTAAAGTTTGACCCCACAAAACTGTTTGAGTTGCCACTATCAATTATCAATGTTCCTTTTAGCATAGACACTATAGAGTTTGATTTTGACAAAATGGAATGGCGACCTCGAGACCGTTTCAGCAGAGGTAGCCAACATCTCAGATTGCAGCTAGTCGGCCGCAACTCGGTGATGGTGAATAACGTTATATTTGAGAACGTGAGCACCAGCATGATCTCCGCGTTTGGTATTCTGAGCTTCGATGAGTTCGTGATTGGTTTTGAAGATGGGACTCTACAAATATACAGGCTAACGTCGCACAAGTTGGCAAGCATGAAAAATGCCCAGAAAATAAATATGAGACAACCTGCAGAGACGAGCTGGGGACGAGAAGCTGAGGAGGTGATCCAACTTGGAGTTTTACGAGGACATCGTTCCAAAGTGTGCCAGGTCAGAATAAATACTTTATACTCGATTCTCCTAAGCTACAGTGAGGATGGAACAGTCAAGCTGTGGGACCTTCTACAACGAAAGCTTATGCGAGACGTCTCTGAGGATGGCAAGCTTATTGAGATATCTAATCGGCATGCTCTCATTGCAGTGGTGGAGAGAAAGAACACGCTGAGACTTGAGACGATCAACGGATTGTTGCTGCTGGAGCAGCCTCTGGACGAAGAATGTCTATCCATCACCTTTGGTGATGCAAATTTCAACCAATTTACAGACATCGAACACCGCGACTGGACACACCATTCCATTTTGGCTCTTGGTTTCCGGGGTAAAATGAGACTAGTGGAATTGACATTGGAACAAAGTTGGAGCATCAAGATTCTACGCGAACTAAACATGTTTGGAGATTTGGAGATCACTAGCCTCAAACTCAAACTCAAGGTGGAGCTCAACGGTGAAGGCCAAGTCACTGGACGCGGAGAGCTGGCAGCAGCCAGCAAAGATAAATTAATGATATGGTGTTGATGGTTATTATATATTGCAGAATCTATCTTACCGCTTTGAGCCCCATCGATCGTAGCAATAGAGGCCAACAGCAACATGAACCAGACCAGTGATCTCCAGCAAGGAGAGTCTTTTGCCAGTAATAATCATGCTCACGCTGATGATGACTATTCTTTTCATCATGGCTGCGATCGAGTACGTAACAGTGGGCAGCAGTGCAAGAATATGGAATGCCAGCAATGATTGACTGAAATGACTAATCCCGTTCAGCACCAGCATGGTCCAGGGTATGAAACCATAGTTAGGGGCAGAAGTGGATTCAGAAACTTTTCGCACACCGAAAAGTAGCTCGCAGCTTTCGTATGTGATGAATGCAGGTATCGAGTATAGCATCCCATACGTGGCACAATAAATAAGCGTTGTAAGTTTATCAGGCTTATCAAAAGCGATCTCGTAGTCTCCAGTCCGTTCGGGCTTAATATGTTCTGAAGAAGAAGGGTACTTCTCAACATCGGAATTCACCGACGACTCCCTGCTGATCGCAAGCGACCCGGGATCTCGAGCCGCAGAGTATGATGACGGAGTGACCACGTTTTTGGCGTATATCGATTGACCAGCAAAAATGACAGTTGACGCAAACGCAAATGCTATACCTTTGAGATAATCGGACTTCTCTAGAAGCATTACTCGCAGCATGGTTTTTTCTCCATCCTCCTGGCTGCTGAGTTGCGGGTCCGATATGGCGTCCCTTGTGGAGTCTTTATCTCCAGACTGCGACACGACGATGATAACAACGCCTAGAACCAACGGAATGAGAGATAGATAGGTGTAAGATGGGAAGCGGACTTTGTAGTATATGCGGTATCCCATAACCGTCAGCAGAGGACTTAGGGCTCTTATAGACGAGACGGTGGCCACGGGACATAACGATGTTGCGGCAAGGCTCAGCAATTTTCCAACAAATTGGAAAGTGCCCATGGGGAAGAAAACCCTCAGTAATCGTCGATTAAAAACAAAACCTGTCCCGGGCCTTGAACTTCCCGAAATAGTGGATTTCAATTGCGGGAATCTCCCGAGAAGAAAGATAGTGATGTGACCGAGTATGAGACTGCACAGGAACTGAAACTCGCCCACAAATACGGGGAAATCGAAGTCGTTGAGGATGTGCTTGGTCAACTGCGAAGTAAGACTGGAGATGAAGTACCAGGAGCAACAGAGCGATACCACTTTAAAGTCAAAGAGGCCGCTTTTTAGAACTCTGCGTGTTGTTTCAGCCACAGGCATGGATCTCAGCTGGTTGGTCGCTTGCAAGTTTATAAATCCATGTGATCCGGTGCCTAGAATTGCATCCAAATTTAACAAAACAATTTTTTGTCCAGGTGTGGCGCAGGGCGAATTAATTTAGCTGTGATCAACAGCTCTAAGCACGCTTTGCCTTGTTTTCGTCTTTGACGTGTTGTCGTGTTTCAAGCGCACGTTGTGTAAATTCGGGATCGATGAAGCTTATGAGTGTCGGTAGCAGTGCGATCAATGCCATTGCGGCCAGCACAAGACCCAGGATTGGATACTGTTGGAAAAGTCCCCAGAAGGGGATCACTTTTAGGATGCTTGCAGTTTGGTCTTCTTCTGCAAACGACTTGATGACAATTGAGTCGGTAGTAAAGTTTAACTTGTTTTGAAGCGGAACCGGATTGGCAGTAGCGGCGATTCCGGGGTACACTTCAAAGACTTCGAAATCACCATTGACCTCGACACGAAAGAAATTGGTCTTTGAGAGAGCAAAGTCAAGCGACCGTAGTACAAATGAGTAGTTACCGGGCTCTAGATCTATCGTGGAGAACTCTCCGCGTCGATCAAGATGGCACCTTGTACTCCACGTATCATTAGAGAGAGACATCCAGACTCGTGCAGGATCCGTCAAGGACTCCTGGGGCAAGTCCAGCTTGCCTGAGATGACCAGGGCGTTGAGAACAGCGGTGAAATGCGCAAAAAAGAAAATCAAGTATTTGATCGCTTGCATCACGAGCATATAAAAAGGAGAATTTTTCGTTATTTTTTTTTTTCATACTCATTATATCAGAAAAGGTATATATTGTAGGGAGGCTAATGCCCCACCCAGATTGTCTCCCTCTACAACCTTTTCGAGAACGATATGATCTTAAATACATTGTTTCTAGACCGTTCTAGAGACCTCGTTGAGAGATCAGACATATTTAGAACCCAAAATTGTTTTTGGAGTAGTTCATAGGAGGAATATTAGGATGGTCGACATGAGTGAAGGTTGCATACTCCACCTCATATTCATCATCTTTGAGCGTAAAGTTAACCACTGCACCCAAGTTCCCCTGCATATCACAGTAGTTTGGCGCGCTAAACACCGTGACCAACTTGCCGTCGTGTTCTATTTCGTAACCTCCCATACGAACTTCGTGAGACCGAATGATTGCCTTGAGCTTGTTGCGCTCACAGAAATCTGCCGTGACGTCCGGACCAAATTGCATTCCAATTCCTCTTTTGGATGCAGATCTTCCCTTGCTTTCCTGGGGATCCGTCCACAAAAGTTCCATCTCAATTCCTTCCTTCGGAGGTTGTTTGCTCTTGAACCGATCGATCTTTCTTATGTCGTCTAGAACGACGTTGTCAGAAGAAAACAGACCACCATGCATGACAAGATACTCTTGGCCAATTAGAGAGGCATACGGCAGGGAATTAAAGGATTCACTGAAACACGAAAATAGTTTCTCGCTGTACTTGTACTTGCACTCGTCCTCAAAACCGTACACTTTGTTCATATCGTTCGTCTCGTGGTTTCCCCTGTTTATGTAGATGTTTTGAGGATACAGCAATTTCAACGAGTACAATAAAAATGCAACCTCGCAGGACCATGAGCCGCGGTCCACAAAGTCTCCATTAAACAGATAAATGTGGTTCTTTCCGACTTTTCCAAAACGTTTGAATATGTTCAGCACATCGTAAAACTGACCATGGGTATCCCCGCAAACGGTGATCTTCTTCGCTTCTTCCAGCTGTAGCTCCTTAGCAACAGTGGATGGCCGCTTCAGACCAAACTCGACCATCGGAGGCTGCTCCTTGAAGATTTCGTTCGCAGCAGCTACGATGGCGAAGGCGTGTTTCTTGGGGATCTTGCCTCCCTTACGGAACAAGTCCACCATGTTGGAGATATATTCCTGCGTCATCGCAACAGACACTCGTTTGTCTTCCACTTTGATGTCCAGGTCAGGACCTTGGTAGCTGCTTTCAACGGTGAATGAATCAAAGTCGATACTGGCTATTGTAGAGCCTTTTTCCTCCACAGCAATGGCCTTCTCAAACTTAATTTGATTGATGATTCTTACCAGCTGTTTTTCCAATACCTGGGCATTTTTGTCGGAAGGTGCCCTCGAAAGAACGATCTTGACGTCCGAGAGAGATTTTTTATATTCCAAAATCGCACTGTAGGCCACCGCACGTCTATAATATGCCTTGAGGTAATTTTTGTCCAACTTGATCGCCTGGTTTGCGTCTTCGATAGCTAAACCATAATTCTCAAGTTTTATTTGGGCCTGTGCTCTGTTCGAGTACAAAATCGCCGTGGGGAAGATGTCTATCGCTTGGGTATACAACTCGATGGCCTTGTCAAAGTTGTTGCTCTTCAGCTCTTGGTTTCCCAAGTTTTTGAGCTCGGTAGACCGTTCCTCCAGTTTTGGATCCATGTGTAAATGGAAAATCAGGGACACTACAAAAGTTGCAAAATATTGGAAAAATATTCCTCAAATGAATTATTTATTTTCCTGGGGCTATTTAACACGAACACTATAATTATCTCCGCTTCGTGTGATATACCGCACGTATGGGTAACTCTGATAGTGTAGTTTAGGCTCGTTGATCTTCAGGTACCGTATTTGGAGCCCGCTGGTCACAAACCCTTGCATCTCGAACCTGAGGTTGACTGGCCTTTTTTTGAAGTTCTCCAAGCTAGTAGCATCGTGGACGGATGGAAGCAGGAGCTCTGCAATCATCACATATTCTTTGCCGCCGTCAATCCTCTTGAATTTCCACAACACGACAGACTCGCTAGGTATGTATTTGATGGAGCCCTTATTATAGTGGAATTTGGGCGAGTCAACGTCCTCGGGGACTGGAATGCGGATTTCCAATCTGTTGGCACTGATCTTGCTTTTGTAATTTGCCCTCACCTTTATCATAATCTCTATTCTAGTGTTGGAATGGTTCTTCATTTTGTAGTCAATCATAAATAATGGCTTCAAGGTATGCGAATGAACACGGTAGTTCATCAGCTCAAACTCTCCATCAGGTGGAATAAATGAGACCATTCTGTCAGTCTCAAACTTTGACAGTCTCACACATTGATGGAATTTAACGTCCTCCACCTCTATACCCTTGGTGCTGTTGGAATCTCCAGTTTCACCCCGGATCGAGCTCAGACCGCTATTTAGGAAACGGTCATTTAGGCCTAGAACGAGCTCGGGCATTCCGGAAAGATAAGATTTGAGTTTGATGGCCCCATGGATCTCGGAGCTCAGCATTTGTCCCTTTGCATTGATGAGCATGTCAATCGACTCGATAACATCCAAGTACGCCTCGTTCTTTTTGTAGAATATTCCCGGAGAACGCCAGTTGACGGAGTTTGTAAGCGTGGCAGGCGGCTGTTTTGGCTGTTGATGAATCAACGAGCCGCTCTTAGAACCGGTGGCCGTGGCAATAACATTCTCGAGCGTGAAGGACTCTTGCGTAATGTATTCTTTCAGTATCTTGGTATCGGTTATCTGTGGGACTCCAAAGTCCATCATTTCATCCAACAACTCGTATATTATAGAGAAGTTGTCCCTGATCGACTCTTCCTCCAATGATTTTACATAGCTCTCCAACACCTTGACGAGATTGTGCAAATATGACATGATGTTGAAGACGTTTGTGTCATGGCGAGTCATGGCCAGTACAAACAGGTTTTTATGCATCAAATATATGTAGTTGATGCCATTGTCGTATAGCACAGGCCGTGCCGAGCCCTCGTCAAAGCTCTCGCTGTTGGTGGAATTATTGATCAGCAGGTACGGGAAGCGCTCAACTGCAGATACCGGTATGTCCCCTTTGTAATCCCTGGACAACAACGGACGGCCCTTGCTGTCGAGAAAATAAACCACAGATGCCATCGCCGTTGGAATATATATTGCTGGCCTACAAACAAAAGATAGGTTTTTGCGGTGCAGAGGTGTAAGAGGACCTACTTCGCGTGTGGCAGGAAATAATAGCACTATTGCAATTTCACTGCCAATTACGTAATATCTTGGGTCACGATGCTGGCGTGTGATGTAATAGGGTGAGTGATAAGCAATTATTAAACTCATTAAGATATATGGAGTCACTGATTTCCTAAAACCATGACTATTGATACTCTGAGCACACCCGAAAGGTATGTACAAGTCTGCTTTAATTGGCTAACAATCAGTCGGGAAACGAAAAAATACATATCTCAGGGAACAACCCCGAGTTTCCTTGTTCCCAGTTCTAGTTACTACAACATTAATATCACCATGAGCCACTGGCAACTCAAGGACCTTGTGTGTTCAGCATCGAATACAAACTCTGTATATTTTCCTTCCGGAAACAACCTCATGTCTCTTGACTTGTCTCGCAAGGGCAATAGGGGTTCCAAGTGCCTTAAGTCTGTCACCAAGTTTGAGACTTCTCCACGATGTCTGAAGGAAAAAGACGACCTGATCGCTGTCGGAGGAGTTGTCAGTGCAACACCCCAAGGAGTAACTCTTGGAAGCTGTCGTGGCCTTTTCGGTCTTTACACCAAGGTTAATGATAGTGTGATCAACAAGAATGTGGGGACTCTGATCAATAACTGCGTTTCCCTGTACAAAGTATCCAATTCTGCATACAAGACAATTCTTTGCAACAATGATCATAACATGTATTTACTAGACGTGACTAATTACGGTCTAGCCCAGTCGCAAATGAATATCAATGTTGGTGTTCCGCTAAACCACTCAAGCATCTCGCCAGACTCCAAAAGCATGATAGCGGTTGGAGACTCGTCCAAAGTGTTTGTGTTGCATTCAGACGAAAATATGGCAGACATCAAGGGACAGCAGAGCATATCAACAAACTATCTGTGTGGAATATCAACCGACTGGAGCTCCTCTGGAATGCAATTCAGTGTGTGCTTCCAGGATGGGGCAAACCTGGTATACGATATCAGACGCCAAGACCACGCCCTTCACGAAATTCACTCTACAAGACTTGACGCAAGTGGCGACTTCAGGGTCTGTAAATTCAGTGGTGGAACCGAAGATTTATTATTTATTTCTGAACATCAGGGACGTGTGCATGTCGTGGATACCAGAGATTATTCGAAACACCAGGTGATTCTGCTTCCAAGGGTTTTGCATGATTCTGAAGCATCCACATACAATCAGCCGATCGTCAAGTCAGTAGAGGAGGTGCTCGCCCTCGACGCAGCACATCTTGACCAGGCCAACCCGCAGAGTTCGGGACTCCGCTTGGGCCAGCGTCCCCCAATGCGTTCATTTCTTAACGACAGGGCCAACCAGCCACGCAGGTTCCAGTACGACACAACTGACGAGCCCACACCGCGTCATTTCGAGAGTCCTCAACATTTCATTGGAGAAGTTACGTTAGACGAGGACACCGTGCAATATCTCGATAGCAGTGTCGAAATCTGTGGGCTAGACGTCTCGCGGGTCCACGATAGCAGCTCATTGGTCATTGGCAGTGAAGCAGGGCTGATTCACTGGGGCATCGATTCTTGGAAACGGAGATGTTTCCCTTCATTTGAAATGTTTTGATGAGGATAGTGATTTTTTTTTATACTCATAACTCGCTTTCGCTCGCGCAATCACCTGTAGAACTGTGGTCTGTTGATATTGAGGCCGTACTCATCAAGAGCGCTGCTGAGATCGTCGATCGTCAAGGTGACTTTCTGGTTGTGCTGTTGGTTACCTCCACTCAATGCCGTACTAGACTGGCCTTCGCCTGCAGACCCAGAAGCCCCCTGAACGCCGTTTTCCACAGATTCATCCGGTGCATTTGCCATGTTTGATGTCGCCATCATCAGGGCACGGGCCCTGACGTGTGGATTGGACGAGTTGTACACCGCCGTGTTCGATCTGATTCTGGAATACTCGTATGCGTCGGTAGCAATATCACTCACAAACTTCTGTGTCGCCAGCGCCAGAAGCCTTTTGATTTTCACGTTCGTTGTTTGAAAACCATTTTTGGCCAGATAGTAGTCCGTGACACTGTCTGGGATGATCGGTGTGAACTCCTCGTCGTCCATCATTTGCAGCACCTCTTCCAGAGTCTTGTCACTTCTGGTTAGCTCAGGGAATTGGGGCAAAATGGGAGGCATTTTCGCCAAAGCTGGGTCCTCTTCCGGTTCCTGGTGATGTTGCTCTTCGTGGGGGTTGTTTCCCACGTCTTCGTTCATTTCTTCGTCCAATTGGTCGTCATCACCGAGCTCCTCTACGTCTTGAGCACTGAACAGGTTGCCCTGTTGTTCTGTATGTTCGTCACTCATGGTTTATAAATGGGGATTAACAATAAAGAACAAAACACAATAGTCGGTGAAAAACCTTTTTTTTATTTGAAATTGCGACTCATAAAAAAGTATGCTAAAAAGAATGCGTTCTCATTATCAATATTTGGTCATTGGAGGAGGTTCAGGAGGTGTTGCGTCGGCCAGAAGAGCTGCCAAATATGGAGCGTCCACCCTGCTTATTGAAGCCAAGCAAATGGGAGGTACCTGTGTCAACGTTGGGTGTGTTCCAAAGAAAGTCATGTGGTACGCCTCCGACATGGCTGCGAAGATCAGACTTGCCAAGGACTACGGATTTGAGAGCGTTGATCCATCGTTTGCGGACAGCTTCAATTGGGCAAGTTTCAAGGCCAAAAGAGACGCCTACATCAAGAGACTCAACGGAATTTACGAGCGCAACTTGACCAAGGAAGGTGTGGACTACTTGTTTGGTTTTGCGAGATTCACCGATGACGGCAAGGTCGAAGTACTCCACAACGAAGACAAGTCACAGGTGTCGACTTTCACTGCCGATCACATCCTGATTGCTACCGGAGGCACTCCTGTCTTTCCAAACCATATCCCAGGTTATGAACTCGGCATTTCTTCGGATGGATTTTTCGAGCTGGAAGCCCAACCAAAGAGAGTGGCTGTCGTGGGTGCCGGATACATCGGTGTGGAGCTTGCTGGAGTTTTCAATGGTTTGGGCTCAGAAACTCACTTGATCATTAGAGGAGACACTGTCTTGCGTAAATTTGACACAATCATCCAGAATACGATTACTGACCATTACGTCAAGGAGGGAATCAATGTCCACAAGCAGTCGCAGGTGACCAAAATTGAAAGACTAGAAGACGGTTCCAAGAAGGTGACCCTGAATGATGAGTCAAGCATCGTTGTTGACGAGCTGATCTGGACCATTGGCAGAAAGTCGCTTATCGATTTGGATGTGCACAAGATTGGCCTCGAGCTCAATGCCAAGGACCAGGTCATTGTCAACGAGTACCAGGAAACCAACGTTAAGAACGTGTACTCACTGGGAGACGTTGTTGGCAAAGTTGAGCTGACTCCCGTGGCCATCGCTACTGGCCGAAAGCTCTCGAACAGATTGTTTGGACCAGAGGTGTTCAGAACTCAGAAGCAGGACTTTGACAATGTGCCTTCTGTCATTTTCTCCCATCCTGAAGCTGGCTCGATTGGTCTTAGCGAGAAGGATGCCATAGAGAAGTACGGAGAAGACGACATCAAAGTCTACCAGTCCAAGTTCACATCGATGTTCTACGCCATGTCTGAGCACAAATCTCCAACCGCTTACAAACTTGTCTGTGTGAAGAGCCAGAACGAGAAGGTTGTTGGGTTGCATATTGTTGGAGACGCATCGTCCGAGATTCTCCAAGGGTTTGGGGTGGCCATCAAGATGGGAGCAACCAAGGCCAACTTCGACGACTGCGTGGCTATTCACCCAACGTCCGCAGAGGAACTTGTTACCATGGTTTAATTAGATGCTAGAGAGATTTATTCGGAATATTTAATTTCTCGGTTTCAGTCTTTGGGCTCCATTACCTGCTTCACCGGCTCGCTGTCGTTCACATACAGCTTGTGTTCCTGGATGTACCGGATAACGGAGTTGGGCAACAAGTACTGGACGCTCATATTTCTCCTCAAAAACAGTCGCACCTTGGTAGAACTGATATCGTTGTAGATCAGTTGCTTGATCACCAAGATATTTTTGCGATGTTCGTACATGATGTCGTGGCTGAGTAAGAAGGACCTCACATCCGACCCGGTGCGCTCAACAATGAGGCACCCGTAGTTACCAAGGATATGGTGCAGATCCTGATCTGCCCAAACGTTTGGTTCGCCCATGGACTCAATCAGGTCGCCACCGGCCAGCAGCATAATCTTGACGCCTGTTTTCTCTGTGCTGCTTTTATATTTGTACACCCCGCCCCTTTTAATGTTGATCTCCTCATTGAAATGATCCAACACCAAGGCTGTTCGCGTGTATTTGGGCTGCAGGGATTCCCAGGCGTCGACCATCAGCCACGAGGACGTGCGCTCACAGCCAAGTTCGCACATACGCACGCGGTGATGGGACGGTGCAAGTCCTGGTTTCTTGTAATTGTCCGAAACCGGAGAATAATACCCTCCGATAACCTCGAACCTGGTATACTCTCTAACGGCATCCAAAGCCATTTCGAACATTCGCAGATGCAAGTACGTGATCGGCGAAAACGAGCCGCACGCCACTATCACCAAAGGATACTTGTTTGGCTCAGATAATCGTGTTCTCAGACGATGTGTGGGAAACTTGTACTCTTCAAGGCTCTTGGATTGTCGCTGTATACCATGTGGAACTTCCTCGAGATCGGCGATCTGGAACGAGTGCACCCTGGGCAGGTTGGTGCCGGAGAAGGAGCCGGTGCGAGTTTCCTCCAGGGGCGGATAAGCGCTGTGGTCCGGCGTGGCGGAATCCTCCTCCTCCTCGCTGGAACTGAACGGCTGGAGTTCAGTTCTGGACTTGGGGATTTTGTGCTTGATGGAACTCGGAGAGCTGGATCTAGTAACGGTCTCAATTGAGAACTTGGCCTTGGAGTGGCTGTTGCTAACTGAGACCGGTGGTTCACTGGAAACACTTGTGTGATCTATAGGTTGGTCGATTGGTTCCAAGTAGTCGGCAAGGACGTATGGCTGTATAGGCCGTCTGTTCGGAATGAGAGTGGACGAAACTGTGGGCTCCACGGGCGGATGCGTGGAGGGAGGCCTGAAATTCGGGTCCTGTGTTGGGTCCATTGGGAAAAGTAATAAAAGATTGGAAGCTTTTCTTGCACAGAAAAAAGGCTGTGAGATTGATGGTTATTTTGTCGGACTAGCGAGCTTCCCCGACGTGAGAAAAAGTTTTTATCGGAGGGGCTTGTGCAGAAAAAAGATAGAGCTCGGAGTGCGAAAGGGATGCTGCCAACCACTATATAGGATTCCACTGTGGCTTTGATGCTTTGACCACGGCGAAATCGGAAGTTTGGTTTAAGAGTATATTCCTGGTTAGTCGCGCTTATAAAGCGCACCCACCATTCTTTACTGCGGGGTAGCCTAGGGGTGAATGGAAAATTCATTCGACCGTATAGGGAAAGGAGTCTGAAAAAAACGGGGTTTATATTCTGCACCACTTGGTGACCCAATCTTTATGGCGGAAAAGCCGCGCAACGTCCTCCACCGTCACGTCCAGATGAAACATTTTATTTGATTCTCCTCCGGTGTAGAAACTCGAGTTGATTCCATTGATCTGCCTAATTGGCTCCACCAGTAGTCCGTAATAAATGAGGCGCTCCCAGCACGCGAGCATCAGGTCCCGTGAATGGTGTGCCGAATCGAGTTTCACGCGTCCCATTGTTTGAAGCTGCGAATTTAGCGTATTCGTTTGGGAGCTCGAGATTTTCTCAAACTCCTCGTATGCTATGTTGAAATTGACCTGGTCCATGGAGTTTTTGAGCAGCTGACGGCCCGCACAGATAACGAGCTTCAATTCCAGCTCACTGAGGCTCTGCAAAATTTGAAAGCTGCGGTTGTTGGTGTTCACATTAATGATCGGCCCCCCGGAAAATGTAGTCATGTCCATTTTCGCAATGTAAGGCGTTAGCTGGCTCTTGAGAATGTTAAGGTCTTTCACTGTGTAGAAGTTGTGCACAACTAGCTTGCGGAGCTCGCTGGGTCCGCCAAGTAACATTTTCATGTGTGCATTGTATTTCTGCGCCAAATCAAACATCAACGGGTCAAAGTCGTCAGGGTCGACAGAGATCATACAGTAGACGTTGTCACAGAACTCCGCAAGCTGCCTGGGCTTCGTCAGCTGAATGACTCTCTGACTAAATCTACTCTTTACTCTTTTTTCCAACTGCTCTCGGACACCCGTGACGGTGGTCAGCCCAATGACGGCCACAGCGTGAGAGTTAGACGAAGACTGAGCCACATCAAACAGATTGTACAATAATGTCTGTTTAGCGTCATTTGTGTACCTGTCAAGCTCGTCGATCACAAAGATAATAGGCATCTGCATCTCGTCGTTGTCCCCATTCTGATCTTTCCCCTCCATCAGCTGGCTGCCGTCCAGAACGCTCATGACACTGTTCATGGTTTCGTTGGCAGAAAACCGTTCGAACGAGACGTTCCAGTTGCCAGAATGCCTGAGCAAATGCCAATCAAGCTGCCTAGCAATCTCCTTAATCGCGCTCTTGTCGTCGCTTTGATAGAATCCACTGATTCTAATCACATAAAACATATTCGGGAACCTCTCCTGGAGATCCAGTAGCGCATTGTTCACCATGGTCGTCTTCCCACTCCCGCGAGGGCCTATCACCAGACAGGACTTACCCTCGTTGAATTTGATGGTATTCTCCAACATCTTGTATATCTGCACCTGCTCCATTTCCACATTGTGGAGACGAACCTTGGCAAGCCCAGAGCTTGTTCTGTTGGATAAATTCGCTAGCACTCGCCGCCTCAGAAGTTCCAAATTCTGCTCTGGTTCGCTCACCGTCATGTAAAAATCTGGAAAATAAAATCACTGGATTTACTTTACACTATAAAACACCCCTATAATACAAAACTCCTGGCGACCCCCGGGGCATTCGCCATGCGCTTCACCACGACAATCGATTAGCGTAGGCAATCTCGTTAGATGGAATTGCACTTTTTATCCAAAGATTGAGACAGAGGCTCGTATTGAGAGCTCGATGCAGAGGACGATCCATGGTCCTCGACGTCGATGGGGCCATTACCTGCCTCAGCAAAATCGGTTTCCTAGCTCATATCTTCGTCTGGGCTCTCCCGTTCTTTGTAATCTGCGCGCCCACTTTTTCTATCCTCTGTCTCTTTCTGTTCCGACTCAGTTCGCGTGAAGCTGGATCTTACAAATTCCCGTTTTCCTCGTTTCGACTGGATAACATCACCGGACACTTCGCTTGCAAGCAAGCTTGACTCTTCTGAGGCCTGTCTTTTTGTGCGCATCTTTTGTGTCAACACTGCGTGTTTGGAGCTTTCAAGCCTCAACATACGGTCAATGTTGTCCTGATCACCCTCCAAAAGCTTGATCGTGCGCACTCCGTTGGGAAACAGTTTGTTCAACTCCAACCGGTCTGAGTCGCTGTCCTCGTCCATATTTACTAACTTGGTGATTCTCTGCAAGGCAAGGTCGTCCAAACTGGTATCCTCATCAAACTCAGCAAAATGTTTGGAGTGCATTCGTGAAGCCATCATCTTGGCCTTCAGCGCCCGCGAGTCGTGGGAATGCTGAATGGCCTCTTTGATCTTCTGTATTCTTTGTTGTTCCTCGCTGATATCTGGATCTTGTGGGGTAACAGGCGTCTCAGGACAATCTAGCTGTGGTCCAAAAACGTCTTCGGGGCCATCCAAGAGAATCTGGAAGGTTGTGTTGGCCATATTCGGCTTTGGCAGCCGTTCCCAAAGATAAGGGCCGGAAGCCATGAAAGTTTTCTTTTACCCAAATATATTCTTATTAATGCTGCTCGCACTATTTTTTTTTCTTGTATCCCCCTATCTGACATTTTTAACATTTGACCACTTTTAGATGACCACCGAAATTCCTAGCTCTGTGTTGCATCTACTACAAAATGCCAACTTCATCCACTTGGGAACCTGTCTCAATAACGTGCCTCACGTGAGTTTGATGAACTACACGCTAATCAGCCCCGAACAAAAGTACCACGACAAGACAGGCAAGAACCACTATTTGCTCATATCCACGCCTAAGGATACTCAGAAGTACCATAACTTATCCCAAAACCCACAATGCTCCATTTTGGTCCATGATTGGACGACTTCGACCAAGGCAAGCGGAGTTTCTCGACATGGGCAGTTGCTCAGATTGCTGGAGGACCTAAACCAGTCGGAATTATGCGAGCTGAGTTGCAATTTGACAGGATATGTCGAACAAGTTTTTGACGAGGATGAGGACTCGGATGAAACAAAGTATTACAGAGATCTACACATCAAGAGCAACCCAGATGCCAAGCCGTTTTTGGAAAACAAAGGCGCAGCTCTGCTGCTAATCAAAATCGAGTTGTCGAAGGTGGTGGACTCTAACTTCAACATATCCAAATACTAATGGATCTCTATCATCTAATTTCCCTCTGAGCCGAAATCGTTTGTAAACTCGATGAATTTCTCCAGGTCTTTCTGGTTCACAGTAGGCTTGTTGGTTTTGATCGCCTTAATGAAATCCTTTATTCCTAACTCCGGTTCCTTCAGTTGCTCGCCGTCGAGATCTAACCAGCTCATTTCAATTGCCTCACTGTCCCCAGGAGAGCATGGTGTGTATTGCACCAGCTCCCGTCCTTCCTCGTCCGTGGACACCACCTTTTTGAAATGCGTAGCCATCTGAATCTTACGAATCGGCTGCATAAGCGCGTCTTTCACAACAACACTGACGTCATGCCCCGAATAACCATCCGTCATTTGCGCAAGTGTATGGTAATCCTGCGTTGTGAGGGAGCACGGAGTATCTCCGATATTCAGCTTGAACATTTCGACTCTGGCTTCCTGGTCAGGCAAAGGAATGTATATCCTACGCTCAAACCGTCTTCTGATAGCTGCATCCAACTGCCATGGAATGTTTGTAGCTCCAAGTACTAAAACACCGTCAGAGTCATTACCAACACCGTTCATCTGAACCAAAAGTTCTGTTTTGATCCTCCGCGAAGCCTCCGACTCACCTTCGCCCCTTGGGCCACATAGTGCGTCAACTTCGTCGATGAAAATGATTGCCGGCTTCTGCTCCCTGGCCATCGTGAACAACTGCTTCACAAGCCTTTCAGACTCACCCATCCATTTACTCACCAGATCTGATGAAGAGACAGAAAAAAATGTAGAGTTGGCCTCTGTAGCAACTGCCTTGGCCAAATAAGACTTACCGGTACCTGGAGGGCCATATAAGAGAATTCCAGAAACCGGTTTTCTTTTGCCTCTGAATAAATGAGGAAACTTGACCGGCAATATGACAGCTTCCTTTAAAGCCTCTTTCGCAAGTTCCAAACCCGCAATATCGCTCCATTGCACGTTGGGCCTTTCGCTTAGAATCGAACTAGCAAGGGCTCCTCTCAATTTTTTTGTATCACTGTCATTGTCGTCATCTTCTCCTCCGCTGGTCTTCTTCGCTTTCACAGACCCAGATGTCGCACTTGCCTCGCCTGTCTGATCCTGCTGTTGTTTCTTATCTAGATACTCCTTTAATTGTTCTGCGCGAGATAAGTACTCAGTAAATTTGGACCTGATTGTCTCTTTAGACTTAGGATTTTTTTCGTACTTGAGGGCTAGCATCAAGTAGTCCAGGCCGTTGTAGTACAGTCTGTACGCCTCATCATATTTGCTGGTACTATCTGCCTCAATGGCTTTCTTCACAAGGTCCACGCCCTTGTCCAAAAACTCGCTGGCACTCGACATGTTTGCCTATTAAAGCGAAATATTTTGGTTTCGATAATCTCTCATGACACATCTCTGCACCGGATCGTTGCGATAGCTGTCCTGCAGCACAAAAGCCACCAAAAATCGAAAAGTTGTTGACGGCTGGCAAGTCGTGCAAGAGCCCCGCGTGCGTGAGCATTGTTTCACTCTGTGGTGCACGGGTGCTATTACGCTACAAAGCAGGTCGGCGAATAACACTGGGTACAATAAGAGACACAATGGGAATGTTTGTAGAGAAAGACAATAAGGACATACTGCCAAGAAATTTCCAAAGCGCAAATAGTGCGTAAAGAACATCCCGCCAGACTAGCCAACGAACAAAATTGGGCGAAATAACCGAACGGGCCAATCAGAACACGTATACAGAATAGCGAATGATTATTAGGATTTTCGTTCCGGGACGTAAATTACCCTAAAACCGCACGCATCTGCCACTGACGATAAGTTTCATGTCATCTAATCGTTTTTTCGACTTTCGTCTTTTTCGTCCCTATGCACATTTTCGTTCCGTTTTTTTTTCTTGCTTTCTTCCGTATATTTTGATCACCTGCTCTTCCTCTTGCCGTTAGTTTACTAGTTGCAAATTGTTGTTGTGGAGCTAAAAAAAACGCACGTTTGAATCTACAGTAGTCTTCTGTGATTTAAAACCGAGATCCGTTAATTTACGCTACTCAGTTTTCAATTTGTTGAGTACTTTGACTCGCTAACTGGAGAATTGACAAGCTGGACAACTTAGCGACATGTCGTACCAGAGAGCCGTCCCAAGCAGCAGCAACCATACAATGCCGGAACGTGACCGTCTGGATGAGCTTTTGGATGCTGTCAAGAAAGAGTTCGACAATCTCACCAGAGAAACAACAATCTACAAAGACCACCATCACGACTATGAGTTGAAAATTAACCAGCAACACCAGGAGCTGACCAATATCAGAAATACCGTTTACGAGCTGGAACAAGCCCATAGGACCATGAAGGAGGCTTACGAGAAGGAAATACTGAGACTGAAGCAGGACCTCGAAAATAGAGACAGGCTGTTTCAACAACAATCTCTGCAGCAGGCCCAGGCTCAGGCACAAGCGCAAGCCCAGGTTAAGGCTCAGGTCCAGTCTCAGCAGCATCCGCTTCTTGACAGGCCACAAGGAGCTTTCCCTCAAACTCCTCAGCAGCTGCCGCCGCCAAATCTCAGTGGCTCGCCGTCCGATTACCGCGGTGCAGGTTTCAATGGTGCTCTTCCCCAGATCAACGCTCAAGCCTCGGGCGCGAAGCCTGAAATTTCCCAGAGCACCCAGTTACCTCCTCCACCTCCAGTTTCCACCCAAGAGCAGCAAGCAGCTTCTCAAACCCAGACTTCACCAGAGCAGCCTCCTACTGCTGTTCAGACTTCTGTCGTGAAGACTGAAGCAGACGCTGGATACGTTATGAGGTCCCAGCACAACAAGCCGATTCCAACATTCTTGAAAGACTTCGACTCGTACAGCACCCTGCCGTACAAGAAACAGCATAGTGAATACTACATAGTGTACAACCCGAAGGTTCCAAAGAAGGTTGACACGTCACTGGTGCACTCATTTGATCACACCTCTGTGGTTTGCTGTGTCCGGTTCTCCAAAGACGGCAAATTTTTGGCTACGGGTTGCAACAAGCTCACTCAGGTTTTCAGCGTTGAAACGGGCGATCTGGTTGCTAGATTGAGTGACGAGTCGTCTGCCAGCTCCAACGGGTCGTATGACACAGACACAGGAGATTTGTATATTAGATCTGTTTGCTTCTCGCCAGATGGAAAGTTCCTCGCTACCGGTGCCGAAGACAAGATCATCAGAATTTGGGACCTTGCTACCAGAACGATCGTGAAGTACTTGAAGGGACACGAACAGGACATATACTCGTTGGATTTCTTCCCTGATGGCTCCAAGCTGGTTTCTGGCTCAGGAGACAGAACAGTGAGAATTTGGGACGTGTTCACTGGCCAGTGCTCGCTCACTCTGAGTATCGAGGATGGTGTCACCACGGTTGCTGCTTCGCCGGACGGAAAACTGATCGCAGCAGGTTCGTTGGATAGAACTGTGAGGGTATGGGATGCCAACCAAGGATTTTTGGTGGAGAGACTCGACTCAGCCAATGAAAGCGGAAACGGCCACATGGACTCAGTCTACTCGGTTGCATTCACACATGACGGAAAAGAAATTGCTTCCGGTTCTTTGGACAGAACTGTCAAGCTGTGGTCTTTGAAAGACCTTCAGAAACAGCAGGGATCGTCCAAGTCCAACTGCGAAGTCACCTATGTCGGACATAAGGACTTCGTTCTTTCTGTTTGCTGTACCCCGGACGACGAGTTCATCCTGTCGGGCTCTAAAGATAGAGGTGTGATAATGTGGGAGAAGGCCACCGGTGAGCCATATATCATGTTACAAGGACACAGAAACTCTGTTATCAGCGTGAATGTGTCGCCGGTTATGACCCAGAAGAGAGGTGTCAACGGGGGCTACTTTGCTACCGGTTCTGGAGATTGCAAAGCCAGAATCTGGAGATGGGAGAAGGTCTCTTCTTGATCCAAAAATTGCTTTCAGCTCAACTACCTTTTCCACCACTGTTTAACATTTGTACTATTCAGCCTCTATATGTTTTGTATTGACAAATATGAAAATTTGAGGATTTATACGAACGAGGTGCGCGAAGAAAAAAAAAGGGAATATTATTTTGGTATACCCATAGATTGATCATTAATAATGGCCAAGATCTACTACGCCTCGAGAACAGCGCCCGTGAACATTGCTGTAAGTATGGCTTCAGTTTCGACGCTAACTTCAGACCCTTAAATACTGGGGGAAAAGAGACAAGGACCTGAACCTGCCAACAAACTCGTCTATCAGTGTAACCTTGTCGCAAAAAGATCTGAGAACGCTCACCACTGCCTCGTGTTCTCAAGATTTCGAAAAAGACGAACTATGGCTAAATGGACAATCACACTCTCTGGACACCCCTAGAACCCAGCAGTGTCTATCGGATCTCAGAAAATACAGAGAAGAACTCGAGGCTCGGGACGAATCTCTTCCAAAACTTAGCAAAATGCACCTGCACATTGTTAGCGAGAACAACTTTCCGACTGCTGCCGGCCTGGCATCCTCTGCAGCTGGATTTGCAGCACTGATCTCGGCTATTGCAAAACTTTACGAGCTCCCACAGACAGCTTCTGACCTAAGTAAGATTGCCAGAAAAGGCTCTGGTTCGGCTTGCAGATCGCTGTTTGGGGGCTATGTAGCCTGGGAAATGGGGGAGTTGGAGAACGGTGAGGACTCTAAGGCTGTGGAGATTGCTCCGCTGAGCCATTGGCCAGATATGAAGGCGTGTATTCTGGTTGTATCTGACGATAAGAAGGACGTTCCAAGTACAAGCGGTATGCAACTGACTGTCAAGACATCACCGTTGTTCCAACACCGCATTGAAAAGGTTGTTCCGCAGAGATTCGAAGAAATGAAAAAATCCATCATGGAGAAGAATTTCCCATTGTTTGCGGAACTGACCATGAAGGATTCCAATTCGTTCCATGCGACATGTTTGGACTCTTATCCTCCAATTTTTTACTTGAACGATACATCAAAAAGAATCATCAAGCTCATTAATTTGCTGAATGAGTCTGTCGGAGAAATAATCGCAGCCTACACATACGACGCCGGTCCTAATGCCGTCATCTATTATGAGCATAAGAACGAGTCGAGAGTTCTTGGGCTACTCCATGCTGTTTTCAGCTCTGTTGATGGATGGCAAAAAATCGACGTCAAGTCCCTGACTCCTCCATCCATAGAGCTGGATCCCACATGGGGGTCGGGCGTTTCCAGAGTCATTTTGACCGAAGTTGGCGCTGGCCCACAAGATTCAGATGAGGTGCTGATCAATGTGGAAACAGGATTACCGAAATAAGGCGTAATTGTTTCTTAGTTTTGCTAGCATATTTTAGCATAGATTAGATTTGCTCTTTTTCTAGTATAAATTGCATTTACGTATCGCAATTAATTATCTCGAAATTAATTTTCTTATCCAATTGCTATCATGTTGTCCAAGCTAGTGAAGCTCAACAACGGTTCATATCTCCCACTCATGGGATTGGGCACCTGGGAACTCAGAAATGCCACCGAAGTGGTCAAAGAAGCCTTGAACATAGGGTATCGCCTTATCGATACCGCAGTTTTGTACGGTAATGAGAAGGAGTGTGCTCAGGGCGTGCTGGAATGGATGAAGGAGGATCCGGAGCACAATAGAAGAGAGCATGTTTGCTACATCACCAAGCTGTGGACCAATCAGCATGGTTACGAAAATGCCAAAAAGGCAATCAAGGGGTGTTTGGAGCAGATCGATGGCCTGAAGTATATCGACTTGCTTCTGATTCATGCTCCAACACAGGGCAAGAAAATGAGACTTGAAACATATCAGGCCATGCAGGAGGCAGTTGACGAAGGCGTTGTGAAGTCAATTGGTGTGTCCAACTACGGAATTGACCATTTGAAGGAACTTCTATCCTGGCCAGGTCTCAAGTACAAGCCTGTGGCTAACGAGATTGAGGTGTCGCCATGGTGCATGAGACAGGAGCTCTGCAACTTTTGCAGTGAAAATGACATTGCTGTTATTGCATTTGCTCCATTCTCTCATGCCAATCGCATTAATGATCCTGATGCGGTTGCAATTGCCAAGAAGAAAGGCGTCACACCGGCTCAGGTTCTTGTTAGATGGTCGGTTCAAAAAGGCTACGTTCCTATCCCCAAGACTAAGAATCTAGACAGATTGGCCACTAACTTCGATGTCCTTTCTTTTGAACTGTCGGATGAGGAGATGAAAACACTTGACCATCCAGACGTTCACGATCCTTCCGACTGGGAGGTTACCACATGTCCATGACTTTTTGCCCATCTTACGTAAGCTATGATAAAAAAATTTGACTAAAATTGCATTCCATGTCGGACGGCGAGCTGGGCCTGGATGGAGGGTTGTTTGAGGAGCCTGAGAATTTCAGGCCCCCAAAGCCCGAAGCACACTATCAGAAATATACTAGGACCCATAAGCAGGTGCTTGCCGAAATAGACGAGATCAAGCTCCGACTTGTTGGAAAATCACCGCTTTGGGGCCATTTGTTGTGGAATGCGGGGATTTACACAGCAAATTATCTTGAGAAGCATGCACAGGAGCTTATCACAGGCAAAACTGTTGTGGAGTTTGGTTCTGCAGCTGCTCTTCCTTCTTTGTTGTGTTCTATCAACGGTGCTAGAAAAGTGGTAGCTACAGACTATCCAGATCCTGATCTGCTAGAGAATATACAAATCAATGTGGACAGTCTCGTAGACAAGGAGCTGACCAGTAGGATCATCGTGCAAGGGTTTATTTGGGGGAACGATACGGAAGAAATCAAAGCTACACTTGAGAGCACAGCTGACTTAATCATTATGAGTGATCTAGTTTTCAACCATTCAGAACATCACAAGCTGCTCAAATCTGCAAAAGAGCTAATCACCCCACTACGAGATATCTCGCAGCCCAGAAGTGGCGGGAAGTGTCTTGTTGTTTGGTCCCCACACAGACCCAAGCCGCAGATGATGGAAAATGACTTCCAATTTTTCACTGACGCTAAGGAGCTGTTTGACTTCGACGTCGAGTTCGTTGAGATGGTACATTGGGACCACCCTATGTTCCCTGAGGATCCCCCCGAGACAGAGGAGATCCGTAAGCGAGTGTACTGTTACATATTGCATCCAACCTGGTAACTTCACAGCTTATGTAAGTTTCCAAAATAAATTTTCTCCCCTGTCCATTTAGGCGGTGGTTCCCAAAACGGAAAAGTAATTGAAACCTCACGAAAAAATAAACCAGCCATTCACGATACAAGGAGAAGTGGTTGTGGATTTATTGGACTTTTGATTGATCTCAACCAAAATAAACAATCTTTCGAATTTGATCTAGCGCAAAAACATGAGGTCTCCAGAACACCAGAACGAGCCTCTACAACCATCGACACCGCCAAGTGGGACGCGAACAGCAGGCAGCAACAGATACCTCAAGACGCCCGTTAGCACACACCGAACCAAGCATCATCCGCATACACCGTATACTCCCCATCATACCACCAAAAAGCAGTCCGTAGCGGTGTCTCCCGTTGCTCACCACACGCGCGGACAGCAGCAGCTGCAGACACCAGACCAGACGCCCAGGATCGGCCGACGTAAGGATCTGACAGATGCAATAGCCTCAAAAATTGGCGAGTCTAGCGTTCTTTTCCCACTGGCACCATCAACAGTTGGTTCTGGGCGCAAATCGCATATTGGCGGGCCCAGACTAGAGAATGCAGGCCTTGATCTCAGCAAAGTTTACAAGATCGATCTGGAGGAGGAGCTACAATTTTCGTCCGAGGAAGAGGGGGAAAACTCACCTCAGAAACTTGACAAAGTCACCAAGAAGCTCGACTTCAACGCCAATGAATTTGCTGTGCCGTCAACCCCCGCCAAACAGATCATCACAGAGGAACAAGCCTACAAGATGCACATTGCACCACAGCGGTCCGACTCTGGCGACGACGACGAGCGATTCGTCTCGCGAGTCAAAATGGACAACCCGTTCCTGGAGAGCGGAGAACCAAGGGCCCCAAGAGAAACGTCTGATAATTCTCGTTTCGAGGAGGAAATCGAACTAGTCAACAACAAAACAGGGGAGAAAGTAGTTCGCAAAATGACCGATTATGAAAAGTCAATCAAAGCACGCCGCTTGGACTTCAACGGCGCTCTTCTTGAAGACGAGACTCCTCAAACACCGCGCAATAAAGTGACACCCGAACCATTTAAGCAACAAGCGTGGGAAGATGAGAACGAAGACGGTGAAACAATTCGAAAGGAGAAGATAAAAAATCCCTTTCGTGGGCCGTCCCTTTCATCTGCAAGATCACAATCAACACGCAAAACCGGCCAGGGTCGCCTGAGATATGTGGACAAGACCGGTAAGGCAGTGCGGGAGCTTGTGGACGAAGAGTCTCCAATCAGACCGCGCAAATTAAGATTTGACACTGATTAGGAAGGTCGCAGGATGTATATTATGTACAATAGAGGGTAGCAGAACCACAAGAATAAATTAATTACATTTTGAGAGAACTTCGTGGGTCGTATGAGATCACTGTTTCACACTGCAAGCTTTGAGTCCACGTTTTGAGGCTTTGAATAAAACCTTTAGCAACAAGAGAAAATTATGCGCGGGTCTGGGGGAGTAAAAAATTTATGTAGGTGCCCGGATAGGTTTCGATTTCTTGTGCTCATACGGCTGCCAATGTAAATCGTCCAGAACCAGCAAGTGAGTTTTCCGTGGATGTTTTCACCGATGACAGCGGGGTCCCTAAAGTTTGTGTCCTAAGGAGGAAGTCTGGCGGTGCGGCTTTATTTTTAGGAAGCTCTGCCTGCAATGGCGATCGAGGAGAGCACCGATATATTTTTTTGCTCTCACCCAAAAATGCCCTTACCGCTTGGCGCTAGACGTAATGTGTGTGTCAAAGGGGCACTCGCTAATTTTCACCCTAGTGTTCCATGTGGATTGTCTCACGTTTCATGTTGGACAAGGTGGATGTCAAATTATACGGGCAGGTTGATCAGCTGTGTTCCGGTCGCCGCAAGGCGGTGAGCCGCTCCCTCCCTATTTTCTCTTTGAAGTTTCATTTGGCTGTCGTGTGAGAATCACTTGTAATTTAAAGCTCTTGAGTTGTCGTCTACTGGCTCCAAGTCTTCTTATAATGCTTGCTTCTAAGTATGTGAACTCTACCGTGGGTCTTCGGCAGATTGGTATCCTGAGGTGTCAAAGAAGTGGCACCCACCGTGTGATGAATGTGGTTTCCCATCTGTGACGGTTATTCCGCATATGCACTTTACATGCTGTAACTATTGTCTCCCACAAGCACTGATTCGTATTACATAATCTATGCATTGTCAATAAGCTTTTGTCCCCTACAATAAAAGCGTATAAAGGTCTTTGGAAAGCACCACCATTTAATTGTCCACTTGCAAGATCTGCACTATGGCATTAATTGAATGCTGTTATTGTTAAGCTCCATATATTAGATTGCCCGATTCCATTTAAAACCAACTGTCGATAATTCAAAGCTTCCTCTCTTTGAGCAAACCTCATAGATGGACCTCTTTGACCAGTACAGAATCTTTTCAGATGAGCCGGAGTCAGAGTTCCCGTTAGGGGACATTGATTACGGTTTTGACTTTGTCTCGTATGCGGACAAGAACGGTTTCGAGCTGCCAGCGCAGGCCGCGGAGCCAACTGACCAGCACCAGCCAGCTCCCTTTGATTCTCCTGCTCTCACCATTGAGAGTGCAGAATCCACGCAGATATCGTCCTATTCTTTCGATAAGCAATGGGCGTTCAAGCCTCTGGAAGGTTTTGAACAGCTCAGTCAAAATTGGGAAGTCGATAGGACTGTTTCTTTGTCCTCCGCCGACATCGAGCACAATTACCTCAATCTTCCACCGGACGAGGATGTCCAGACTCAAAAGGCCGATTTTGGACCCGCCTCAAATCCGGCTGCCATCAAGGAAAAAATCATTGAGAAGAGAAAAAGACTCAGTCTCGATAGCAAAAAGCCAGGAACTAATGGTTCCGAGGCCAAAAGTCCTTTACACATGGGAAGACCTTCACTATCCCCTGTGAAGAGTTTCAGGTACCGTTCCAAATCTTTGATTGGATCGTCTTCTACATCGGGCTCCCCAACCAATCCATTCTACAAGCCACCGGACATTTTGTGGAAATACTGCGACCCAAGCTCTAGTGGTTGGAGAAAATAGATATTCGGACATTCTCTCATTTGGCAAGGTTTGCCACGCATTTTAGTGTTAATGATTTGCTTTCGTCTTAATTTCTTTTTTGCAGCTTGAATCGTAGTAAATTTCCGCATCTACCATAACTTATCAGCAGCTGTTTTAGGCAAGAGGAATATTGTGCGAATTTTGTTACTATCTCTATCTTAAAGTTTTACTCATGATATGAATTCTCCACCGAAACATACGCATTTACGGTCACCAGTAATCCTTTTAAAGTCTCCTGTACTCCCAGGAGGAGTGATCCGGTCTCCAAGACCCGAGGACTCTCATGTCGATCTGTCCAGCGAGCAGGTTGTTGAGGATGTCGTGGACATCATCAAAACCGAAGAGCGCAGAAACTGGCTTAGAGGGCTCCTCTATCTGTTCTTGACGGTGGCAACCTGGGTGTTTGGACTACAGTTGACAAACAACGTTTTGAAGGGAGATTCTTATCAGCATCCCTTATTTGTGGCCTATATAAATGGAGGTCTTTTTGTCATTTTCGGGATCAAGCCCACGATCAAAAGTCTGATCAAGGCTTTCAGAGCCTCCGAACCTAAGCTCGACGATTCTGCCTTCAATTCCTACGATTCTTGCGATTCCTCAAGCATAATTCTCCTCGCTCCTTCCACGCACCTTTCGCTCAAAGAGTTGATAATTGTTGCCGTCCAAGCTGGTCTTGTATATTATGCGAATGCTGCGTTAAGTGCAATTGCTTTACAGTATACAAGTGCATCCAACCAAACGATTCTGACAACCACAAGCTCCGTCTTCACGCTTCTACTCAGTTATATATGTGGTGTCGACACATTGTCCCTAGGCAAGATATTTTCTGTCCTGGTCAGCATTGCAGGGATATGTTTGATAACGCTCAACAGCTCGCCGTCTTCCGAATCCACATCTTCCAATCCAATGTTGGGGAATTGCATTGCCCTTTGTGGGACGTTTCTCTATTCTTGCTACCTAGTCCTTTTGAGGGTCAAGATAGGAAAAGAGACAAGCCCTGACAATGAAAAGCTCATATTTGGTCTTTTGGGACTCAGCATCCTCATATTCGCCTGTCCGTTACTTCTGATTGCAAACTTCCTTGGATTCGAAAAACTCTCTCTTCCAGATAGCTCTACAATTTTCTGGATTGTCTTCATTGGAGGACTATTCAACTGCCTCTCAGACTATTTTTCAATTCTGGCAACCTTGTTGACTTCTCCGCTGATCACCGCTTTGTCACTATCCACCGCGATTCCCGTCAACATGATTTGCGATTCCGTATTCTACAAAGTGAAAAGCACATCAGCTAGATATTATCTTGGCATAATCCTTATTTTCTCCTCGTTTGTCTTTGCTAATTTGTCAAACGAGGACGAAGTGGTACAGGAGGCTATTGAAGAGGCTATCGAAGAGGCTATTCAAAATGATGAAATGCTTTCTCCAATCTTGTCGCCGTATCTGCAGCAGCAAAGTCGTATGGACGACGTCCCAAAAATGAACATCAATACTTCGCAAAGAACAGGTCCGCCCACACAGGTGGTGGTTGCTGGAGGGCACAACCATAGGTACTTCATCAGAGAAATTCCACCAAGCTAAATTCTATCATTCATTCCAATATACATCTATTAAGTTACCACAGCTTCACGAGGTCATCCCAATCATTTCTCTTGCGGCGGTTCCAGTAGCTGTGCTCCCCTTCAATGAAGCTCCAGTCGTAGTCGCCATCACCAGCTTTTTGGAAAAATGCTGGTACATGCACAGCGTCTGTCCCGTCCGGGTTTTTTCTTCTCTTCCTCTGTTCTTCTTCCAATTTTTGCTTTATCTCCTCTGCCTCGTCAACGGCACCGTTCTCGTATTTGCGCTGGTCTGGGCGCAATCTTGAGTCGGTCGGCGCACAGCCTTCGTCTATTTCTGTGATCTGATTGAGACTGGCTGCAAACTCGGTGAATCCATACTTCTTTTGGCAATCTGGCACCAGGTTCCCAACTTTCCATATGCATTCGTCAGTATCTGTGTATCTAAGACTGTCTGTCCACGTACCAATCACTTCTTTTGGTAGCTTGTTACCTGCTTCATCGTATGCTTTGATAGTCAGCTCCTCAGAACGTCCGGAAAACATTCCAGATGCCTTGAAATTCACAATTGCCTTATAGCCGTTGCTGCAACTGACAGTGACGGAAGCGCAGGGCTCCGAATATTTCTCACCAGCAATGAGGTTTTTCAGGAGCGTTGTTGGCTGACTCCACTTGTAAACCTCGCCGTTGCTTAATCTCAAGGTCAGCTCACCAACTATGGAAACCTCGGCAGACTTGCCTCCGTATTTCTGTTGAGGCGACAAAACATGGTCGACGGTCCAGTTTTTTGAATCCACATGTGCGGCAATCACGAATGGTCTGTGAACGACTTTCTCGGCAATGAACCTGATTCCCAAGTCATTTCTCACAAGCTCAAAAGTTTCACCAAGCAGCGGATTGAATGGCTTTCTAATGCTTCTGATTTTTACCCTCAACGAAGAGAGATAGCTCACAGCAAAGGCTGCAATCAATAGCACCCTCTGTCCATTCTCGACGGGTGCTTTCATTGCATCTGTCAACAGGTGCGTGTACTCAAAGCTTTCCGAGTATTTCTGTAGAAATGAAAGTGGCTCGTTGGCTGAAACCGGCATCGATATGGACGACAAGTCCTTTCCAATGTTTTTCCTCAAAAACCCGATCAAAGACGGAGGGTCGCACGGGCTCTCCTTTATGTCCTTCCTGTATTGTATGTGTTTGCCAGCTTCCAAAGGATACAAGTTCTCTCGAGCAGAAAATTGTCTTCCGGCTGCAATCGCAAGTTCTTTTTGATCGCTGTCATCTTCATCCGATGAGGACGTCGAGTTCGAAAGATCATTATCCATTGAGAGCACGAAAGGCGGCTTGTCAAAAATATTTGACATGCTGGCATCGTCGTATTTATTATCTTGTCCGCTATCTTCCTCGTCACTAGATTGGACCAAATAGACTCCACGGTTCATTTCATCAATGTATTCTTGGGCATCAAAAAACTCTTGGGAAAATACAGAGGTGGTAGCTGTATTGGTCCTTGTAAGAGTTCTTCTAGATGGAGATTGGGGAGGCCTGCTGAATCCCCTATTAGTTTCAGTGTTGACCAGCAACATATATTGCACCTGCAATTCTCTGATTTCGGAAACCAAGCTATCATATAAAGATCCGCCAGACAGCGAGGCTGAGGCTGATCCGTTTATGCTTTCGTGGTCATTCTGATCGTCACTCTGCTCCCTTTTATTCTTCTTGCGGAAAAGAGAGCCTCTTCTATCCATGCTTGCTCTCTTTGGCTGCTTTGCCTGAGCTTGAAGATTTTCCGCCATCTCCTTGATCTGAGAGATCTTTTGCTCAACCAACTTGTACTGGGGATTTATTACTGATAGCGTTCTCCCTACCCTGATTTCATCCTCAAAAGTAGCTCCTTCCTGGTCCTCTTTCCCCTCCCCGGGAGAGGAAGCCGATAGAAATGCATCGTTTTCTTGAATGTCCATTCGCTGTGTGAGTTTGTTTTGCCTTTTGATGAAATTGAAGGCCTGAACCCAGATCTTAAAATCCTCTTGGTTCATTGCTTTCAAGATCCACTGCTCAATGCCGGAATCCAGAAACATCATCAACTGCTTTGGATCGGCTGAGATGACAACGTTTCTGATGAACATGTTACCACGAACGTGGTTTGTGACATCGTTGAAGTAATAGTCCAGCACTCCGTATTTGAAATTAAGAACAAAGTATCTTCTGGCAAAACTTTTCGCTCCTCCCCGTCTGCGTTTCTTCTTGAGCAAAAATCCCTGGAGATACTGGCCACCTTTCACCCTCAGGAGTGACACATTCTTTGATTTGGAGGCAACTTTGTTCTCGGGGACGCTGAATTTCACATGATTCTGTAGTGGCGCAGAGACAACCGACGCCCTTCTATTGATAATTCCGCCGTTGGCGTTTCCAACAGGCGCACTGGCGGCCTCGTGCGGTTTCGAGACCTCCGCCTCGTCCACGCTTTTTTGTTCGGCTATGGGGTTCAGCTGGTAGGAGGACGATGGTTGTGGAATTTCAGCTGCCTGATACACTTGTCCGTTCGTTTCAATGTACTGATTAAACATGATTGTCTTCGCTTTGTGCCTGCTAAAAGTATTGTCGAAAATGAATGCAAAAAGGGACCCGGAGGCTACTTCAAATGTTCCCGTAACGAGCTCGTCTCCTTGACATCTTCCAATCCATTCTTTTTTCACCAGGTGTTTATCTATCTTTTCTTCCAAAAGAGTGCGAGAATCGTGGGAAGACGAAACGCTTTCTGAGCGTTTTCTCTTCTCCGAGCTTGTGGACATCGTCGTATTGTGTCTTGGAAGTGATCCTGTGGACGGTTCATTGGGAGCCGAAGGAGTTGCCGGGCTTTGAGATGCAAGGGACTCGAATGAATCACGTAAATTCAGTTGCAATACCCCAAACATCTTGTGTGGAACTTCATTGACTTCATCAAGACTCAAGTTTTCGGATAATGTTGTTGACGAAGAGTTTGGAGCCGTCGAAGGGGCCTGAAGGTCTGCTTTGCTGTATTCGTAAATACCAAAGTTAACAGATCGTTTCAACGGCTTTAGTTCCCATTTCACGGTAGAATTGTCCGGAGCATTGACCCACTTGATAGTGAACGACTTTGCTCGCACCTCGAAGTTCTCCATGGCGAGGTAGACAGTTGTTCTTTGCTTCTTTGCGGATTTCTGCGTCCAAATAACAACTTAATCAATCGTTTGTTATAGATTATTTTTTTTCGTAGCAGTACAAAATTCCCCACCGCCCGGTGGCTGCGACTACGGCGTACAGGCCTGATAAAATTATCCCGCCCCTCGGCTAGCATTTTTATTTTTCCTGTTTTGGAACACACAATCAGGGTAGAAAAGCTCGGTCAACGCTTCTTTTTAAGCAATTGAGTCCTCTTTTGCGCACTCAAATCGTTGGCAAAGGCCACAAGGAGCATACAATTGCAGACAAAGAACAAACAGCTACTGAGCCAGATGCCTGTAGTGAAAATGCCTGCTTTACCTAGGAATTCCAGCTGGTAAGCGTTCCAAAGCCATAGTCCTTGGGTTGCGATCCACGTCGCTAGTAGGAAAACAGTCTTTGTAGGCTTTATGGTCGAATTGGCCGTGTAAACTGGCAAAAAGCACAAACACCAGATGAAATATTGTGACGTGATCACTTTGTTGAAGGTAATAAATGCAAAGGTTTGGACAAAGAAGCAGCTAACCAGATCAATATTAGCAAGCTTTAGAGGTATTAGAACCATTGAAAGACCCAATTGAGGCAAAAAAGCCAGTTTCTCAACGTGGAGTCCGTAGTTCTGGAAAAGTGGTAGCGAGGAAAATCCCCGGTAGGACGAGAGATATAAGGTCAAATTATAGACCGAAAAGTTATGGCGATGATCTAACCGGCTAAGGTGGTACAAATATGCCTCCTGGAGAAATTCGTCGCCGTAAAAATGGTACATCAGAGCTGTAAGAGCACCAAAGCCGAGGGCAGATGTCAGCAAAAACAGCAATCTCGCTCTGGTCACAGGCTGGTACCATGGTTGCAAAGCGTCGATATTCAAGAGGATTGACGGGATGTATATGAGCGGATAGATTTTCAAGTGGACAGCCAAGCCCGTGAACAGGCCTGCCAAGGCATATTGGTTGCTAAGCGTAAAGTTTGTGATTAGCATGACCACTATGGTCAAAACACTTTCTGAGCTTCCGCGGGTGCTGATAGTGGCCACCATTGGATTCCAAAGCCACAGAATGCTCCATGATTTGTTCCTTTTAGCTTTATCTAGAAGTTTGATGATGAGGTACCCTGTTATGAGGTCACAAAGCACGAAAAAGACTTTTCCGTACTCAAACCAGTATGTGGTTGGAAGGAGAAGCCATGCCAGTAGCGGCGTGTATCTGTAGGTGTCTCGTTCATATGGCGATTGGCCATTGAACACGAATCTGGCAGCGTCGGTGAAAACAAAGTAGTCTATGTCTGTATACGGAAGATCCATATATTTGTCTTGATAGATCCCATAAAGCAGAAAGCTAACTCTCATTGCCAGCGATGTGGCCATGAGAGTCGCTGTTGAAAGCCTCGGCAGATAATTGGCCACAATCAAGGGCATAGAGATAAATGAAGAAAAGAAATGAAAATGATCTACAAATTATTTACGCAACATTACTAGCAGAATTAGTTTGAAAAGGCATATTGCACTGTAATGTCGCAGCCTTTCCCCTGCTGCTCTTATAGTTCGTCGAATTGACATTCTCTTATTATACCTCTACAACACTCGAAACGACCATTGTAATATGATTTTGATGTCCACCACTTACAATCTTCTACCTCTTCTACCACCCTTCTTTCTGGTGGAGTCGGATGGAATAGGAGTCACATCTTCAATTCTGCCAATCTTCAGTCCAGATCTGGCCAGAGCTCTGAGAGCAGATTGTCCACCTGGACCTGGGGTTTTGCTTCTGGTACCACCGGTGGCTCTCATTTTGACGTGGACAGCGGTAATTCCGACTTCTCTGCATTTCACAGCAACGTCTTGAGCAGCCAACATGGCAGCGTATGGGGAGGACTCGTCTCTGTCGGCTTTGACTTTCATACCACCAGTAGCTCTGGCGATGGTTTCTCTTCCTGAAAGATCGGTAACGTGAACAAAGGTATCGTTGGTAGAAGCATAGATGTGTGCAACACCAAACACTTCGCTGGAGCCTCTAGCTTGAGGGCCGAGAGTAACGTTTTCAGCAGCCATGATGATTCTATTGAGAGCTTGATATTTTTTCCACACCTAAAATTTTCATTCGCGAGGTGGTGGCAGTGTGAGAACGCAGTCACGAGCATTGAATACACCTCACACCGAAACACTTCTAATCAAGCGAGCCACCCTCCCCCAATCACTATATTCAGACTGAGGTTTATACTGAGATTCAGGCCCTAGAGATTGAACTTAGCACGTCTGGTGCCCCACACGCCCACTGTGGCAGGGATTTTCTCGAGGCAAGGCTTGCCCTGCCATTGCTACCGCCTTGCAACCATCGAAATCACATTCTACTCTTCAATATTAATTAATGACTTTATTACTCTAATATAGCAGTCTAGTAAACGAAACCAAGAATCTTACCAGAAACGTGCTTTCTCTTGGCTTCCTCATGGTCCATGATACCAGCAGAAGTGGTCAAAATGACGTAACCGAACTGTCTGGCTGGCAACAGGTTGTCAGTCCATCTCTCAATGTCCTTAATCTTGACGTTGAATCTTGGAGAGATGACACCACACTTGTTGAGTCTTCCGTTCAATTGGACGACAATCTTTCCGGATCTGTGGTCATCGATGTATTCGAATTCTCCAATGTAACCATGTCTTTGCATCACAGTAAGGAACTTGATGATCACCTTAGATGAAGGTCTAATCAGGACCTGTCTCTTACCGGTCTTCTCGGCGTTGTTGATAGCGTTAAGGGCGTCAGCCAAAACAGAGGTTCTAGTCATGGTGGTATAGTAATAAATATATTTGTAAATTTTTCAAATCTGAAGATTTGGTGCAAAGATGTGAAATTCTGTGTGCACGGTTTCTTTTGTGACTGCGTTTTTCTCATCTCGGTTCGAGGAGTTCGTACTCTGAGCACCATTGCCGAACTTTTTTGCTTGAAAAAGACTTTTAATAGCTAAAACATATTAAGATGCCTGTATGTATTATTGAACTCATCATGGCGCTCTGCCACCTGCGGATGCTCTGTGGTCATCAACATTACTAACCTTTAGTCTCACAAATCGTTCAAGACCAAGCAGAAGCTTGCTAAGGCTCAAAACCAAAACAGACCATTGCCTCAATGGATCAGACTGAGAACCAACAACAAGATCAGATGGAACGCTAAGAGAAGACACTGGAAGAGAACTAAGCTCAACATCTAAGTGGAGTTGTGTGTATGCATTAATACTGATTAGAATGATTTGAGGTGGTACTCAACTATAGCACGAGTAATAGTAGTTACAGGCCGTACCGTACCAGCCAATACTGGAGTTGGAAGGTCGGGGTCTCTTATACTTTGATTGTGATTAAACGCTCACTTACACGTCAGAGCTAACAAGTGAGGGTCAAGATCCATCTGTATATATGCAGACTCCAGCTAAATTTTTCTTAACCTACTTTTCTTCTCCCAACAAGGGAAAGCGAAAGGATTTGCATTCTTTAGTTGGGATGTGCTTTCTATGATGACGAACAACCGCAATAGTCAAGCTTAGATAGTATATGAGCGTTGCGATGACTTAAAATTTTGGGTCTTCTTTCGACTGAGAAAGCACAAACATAAAAGTAGCATGAGCGGAAACCAGACTGCATTTACATACTTGTAACTTTATACCTCTACGCAGTGAATGTTCGCTCGATATGCTGCTGCATTGTTTATACTATCTACCCGTTCAAACCGTCTCCTCAAAGACCGTTTCGATAGGTTTCTCCATCAAACTAGCATGAGACAACACCGTAACCGCGGAAGTACCAATTAGCCACATCATAGTACTAATAGGCGAGGCCAGGAATCCAAGTGGGATAGCAATGATGGCTAGCCCTGTGTAAAGTTGCGATGTAGTGAGTCTTCCAATAGGTAATTCCAAGTCCCCACCTTTCAACTTAGAGATGAAATAAATACCAAACCCGGTTAATCCTAGAACAAATAGGAGCAATGCATTTGTGACAAGGGCGTACACTGACAGTAGAAGAATAATGGCGATGTAGTTGGCTTGGAAATAAGGCAAATTGAAGCTGAGTCTCTGCTGAATTTCGCCAAAGTTCTGAGGCTTGGAAAATCTCCTGTAATCTAGGAACTCCTGTGGCGGCCTCATCGAGGAGAACTTGTTTTGAACACTAGCTATCTGTTGCTAAAAGGTTAACAGAACCGGAATCAAACACTTACCTTAATGCTCTCAACGCTCAAGTTGTCGGCAAAATTAGTGAGCTAAATCGGTTAGTTTGTTGATATCACAGATGCTCCTACTCACCGGTTGGTATTGAAGCTGAGACAGAAAGTTCGACATGGCGTGTTGGCCTGGTGTTGATATTTAGATGTTTATACACGTAGTTGCCAAATTTTAGCTCGGCCGGGTAGCGCGCATGCTAATCTGTCAGCGCGTAATTATCTGGTCACGTGACTTGGATCTGAACCACTTCTCCTTGCGACGTGTGCCAGACACCATTTAGCTTAAAGCCAGCTTCGGAACCCAGTCCTATCAGGTTGCTCACAATAGGTGTTTTTGAGCCTGCGGGCAGGTAATGTTGTTGCTCCGTGGAGCACTCTAAAACTAGGGATTTCTTGCTTCTGTCATAGTGCACAGCCGTTTCTGGTCTGTGTTGATAAAGCCTCAGCTTTTTGTGGTCTAAGAAACCAACATTCTGGTCTAAAACCAGATACCCTTGTTTTTCGCCCCAACCTAAACCCCCTACTGTAATTCTATGATAGGATTCCATGTAGTCTGGAGTTTGCGTTCCATCATACAATTTCAAGAAGAGAGCATTCTTTGACTTCTGTATATGCTCATTTTCAATGAGATACTGGGATGCAGGAACCAAGTTGATCGTTTTGATCATATTTCCTTCATGTTCTGTGACAATATATTCTTGGGATGGGGTTTTTCCCAAAGGTAGCTCAACCAAGCAGTTTGAATAATTAAAATGGGAGGATTTAATATATGGGAGCTTCACTTTGAGAACAGAAAGATTATTCCAATTGTGAGGGTCATCGTTGTCCACGAAGAAACAAGTGGCCGGTAATGTATTCTGAAACATCGTGTGCGCCAATGGTAACACAATATCGCATCCAGTGAGTTCCAGCTCTACCGTTCCTGAATGCGGGGTTGATTTATCTTTCGAGGGCTCAAACTTCTTGTAAGCTTGGAGGAGCATTTTGTCCTCGAACCAGCACTCAGAGACAGCGTCTCTTGAGTTCAGAATGGAGTCAACACAAAAGTATACCAGCTGTAATGAGGGATCTGACTTGTTCAGTTTGATCAAGCCATCGATCGACGCCTCAAGCTGGGATGCCGTGGATATCAAGAGTAGCGAATTGTGCCGTTTAGGAGGCAAAATAGACACCTCAGGCGGATTTTGAATCGTCAGCGCACTGAAGCTTCTTTTGAAAGCTGATCTTATACAGCTATTAAACATCGAGAAAGTTTTTTTACTTTTGTTATTCCACTAGTATTAATGTCATATACCAACTATTTAAGCTTCTTCTTTGGTCTCAACTGGTTGGAGTGACCACATTTTCTCTTTCTGCAGTTGGTAGCTCTTGGTGGGAGTCTGGCGTAACACTTTCTGCAAATAGATTTCTCACAGTTGTATTTAGAAGCCAAAGCCTTAAGAGATGGCTCAATGATACCACCTCTCAGTCTCAGAACCAAATGCAAAGTGGACTCTTTTTGGATGTTGTAGTCTGAAAGGGTTCTGCCGTCCTCGAGTTGCTTACCGGCGAAGATCAATCTTTGCTGGTCAGGAGGGATTCCTTCTTTGTCTTGGATCTTGGACTTGACGTTATCGATGGTGTCGGAAGACTCGACCTCCAAGGTGATGGTCTTTCCGGTCAAGGTCTTGACGAAAATCTGCATTTTGACCTATATGTTAGACTCTGATGAACGGTGCGTTGAACGGTGGGTTGACCTGTCAAACTCAAGGGTTACTTGATGGAAATATTGTCTGTATTAACCCTCAACGCCACCAATATATTGAGGCACTTACTATACCGTTGGATAATATCTAATTTTCTCAAGGAAAATTTTCAAAGTATTGGGAAGAACTTCTTGCCCTTTCCCTGGTCACGTGTAACATTTGGATTTTTATTGCATTTTATTTTAATTATCGTCTCGCGGAACTTATGTAGATGCCGTAATCAATAGCGTACAATAACGCGTTGGGAAAAACCCTTCCGCGTCGATCGACCATCCCCGTCCCAAGAAACGACACACAAAATGCAGTCTTTAAATAATAGTTTATGTCTAATAGGCCGCTCGGCACGTATTGGAGGTACATAAAGCATACTTTTTCTCAACGGTTTGAATCTTTAAGCACCATGTCGGCGAACTATCCTAATATTAGCCCAAAACTTTGGTCCATTATTGCACCACATGTGCCTCACTCGTCGCCAGAACAAGACCCCTCAACCTTATCATCTTATCTTAAGTTCAAAGTCGAGAAGTCAATCCTGAACTTGAAAGTTAAATTCACAGACAAGATTCTCGATGGTTCTGTAACATACATCATAAAACCTTTAGTCGATACCAAAGAGTTAGTTCTGGACACTGCTCATCTTAAAATAAAAAAAGTGACAATCAACGGTACCATCCAGTCCTTTGAGCTGAAACCAAGCAGTGGGCCTTTAGGCGTTCCTTTGTATGTTAACTACGACTTCAAAGCCCACGAGGGTTTCAAACTGGAAATTTTTTACGAAACCACCAGAAAAGGTACCGCCTTGCAATGGCTCGAGCCACCCCAGACTGACGGCAAAAAGCTTCCATACTTGTTCTCCCAATGCGAGGCTATTCATGCCCGCTCATTCTTCCCATGCTTTGATACTCCCTCCGTGAAAAGTCCGTTCGAATTCAATATCCAATCCTCTCTTCCGGTGTTGATGTCTGGTTTGTTGTCTAAGAAGACACCTTTGGAAAACGGAATTACCCTCTACAACTTCTACCAGCCGGTTCCAATCCCATCTTACCTGTGTTCCATCGCTTCCGGGGACCTCAAAGACGCACCAATAGGGCCACGCTCAAGAGTTTGGACGGAACCCAGCTTTTTGGAGGCCTGTCAAAACGAGTTCAAGGATGATACTGAGAATTTCATAAAGACTGCAGAAAGTCTTGTATTCGAGTATGAGTGGAAGGACTACGATGTTCTGGTGCTTCCTCAGTCGATGCCTTTTGGTGGCATGGAACATCCTAACTGCACTTTCGCCACTCCAACCTTGATTTCTGGTGACAAAGAGAATGTCGATGTCATTGCGCACGAATTGAGCCACAGTTGGGCAGGCAATCTTGTAACCAATTGCTCATTCGAACACTTCTGGCTCAATGAGGGATGGACTGTTTATTTGGAGCGTAGAATCCTAGAGAGATTGCATGGTGAAAAACACAGACACTTTAGCTCCATCATTGGATGGACTGATCTGGAAAACTCGATTGCTGCTATGGGCAGCACAGCTTTGAAATATAGCAAGCTGGTGCTGAATTTAAAGCATGGTGATGATCCAGACGATTCATTCAGTACAGTTCCTTACGAAAAAGGCTTCAACCTTTTGTTCCACATCGAACAAACTCTTGGCAGCAAGGAAGCATTCGACCCATTCATCAAACATTACTTCGAGAAGTTCAAGTACAAGTCATTGGATACATATCAATTCTTAGATGCTCTTTACGAGTTCTATTCTGATAAGAAGGATCTGCTTGATTCCATCGACTGGGAGACATGGTTGTATGCTCCAGGTCTGCCTCCAAAACCAAGTTTTGACACCACACTTGCTGACGAGTGCTTCTCGCTTGCGAGAAGATGGATCAAGGTGATAAGCAATGCTCCTGATTCGTTGGAGTCCAATTTTTCGCCGTCCGACATTGAGAACTTCACATCTAACCAAAACGGCGTATTTTTAGACAAGCTTGTTTCCTATCAGAATCAAGATGGATTCGATTGGAGTTCCAAAAATGGGCAGAAGGCAATTCAAATCATGAAAAAGAAGTACACCAAGTATGAGAATTCCAGCAACGCTGAGGTCGTTTTCAGATGGTTCCGACTATTGCTAACTGCCCAAATTCAATCTGAATACCAAAAGCTTGCCGACTGGCTGGGTACTGTTGGTAGAATGAAATTTGTTAGACCGGGATATGTGCTACTTAACGAGGCCGACAGGGAGCTGGCGATAGCCACCTTCAAAAAATATGAGCAAAGCTACCATCCAATCTGCAAGGCCATGGTGATGAAAGATCTTGGTCTGAACTAAACATTTATTTTTATTGATAAACTAGAACATATCGATATCTTCGTCGTCGACGTTTCCGATAACCGCGAGGTTCTCTCCGTCGTCCACCACCTGCCAAACCGAAAGCGCCTGGTAGCGGTAAATACACTCGTTAAACAAATTCTCGGTAAAGCCTTTACCCAAACACGACTCTCTAAGCAGTGACATCGGCACCAGCTTATTGCCGTTGTTAGCAATGTAATCGTGAACCTTCTCCTTGATAAGATTGAAGATTTTGGCTGTAGGCGTCTCCTCCAACTCGGCAGCTTCATCTTGATACAGCGACTGTTTGGCTGCATTCATAAGTCTCAAGGCCTCGTCGACATCCTGAATAACCACCTCGTTACTGAATCTGACTCTGGCAAGAGCCAAAGAGAGTCTCAGCACTGCCAGCAGTGTTCTTGGAGTGGTATGGCTAAAATATTTTTTGGAGTTCTCAATCATCTTGCTTTCCTTTCTCATTTTGATGTATGCTTGGACGACGTAATCGCTAACCTCTTTAGTGACCACAGGTCTGAACCTTCTGGCCATGGAGATAAATTGTCTCATGGTGGAGGAGTCAATCGGGTTGACGCCAAATTCTGGTGGCTTGTTGTGCATGTGAACATAAGCAACATGCTCTGCCAGTCTTTCGTCGTCTTCTCTGCTAGGACGGTCCAAGATGAGGAATAGCACATCAAATCTTGAAAGCAGCGCGGCAGGTAGGTTGATATTCTCGTTCGGTGATAATTTCGTGTTGTATCTTCCGTAAAGCGGGTTGGCGGCGGCGAGAATCGAGGCTCTGGCATTCAAAGTCGTTGTAATTCCTGCTTTGGAAATGGAAATTGTCTGCTGTTCCATCACTTCATGGATAGCTGTTCTGTCTCCCTCCTCCATTTTATCAAATTCATCGATACAACAGATGCCATTATCGGCCAAAACCAGAGCACCACCTTCAAGAACCATTTCGTCTGTGATAGGATCTCTCATCACTGCAGCAGTCAGACCCACTCCAGAAGAACCCTTACCGGTAGTGTAGACGCCGCGGGGAGCAATGGTGGATATAGATTTCAGCAATTGGGACTTGGCCACACCCGGGTCACCCATCAGTAAAATATTGATATCACCTCTAATTCTCATACCGTCTCCAATTTCTTTCGGCGAAGCACCCACCAGAAGCAACAGCAAAGCTTTTTTGATGTCTGTGTGGCCAAAAATCTCCGGTGCAATGGAGTTGGCTAGCCTCTCATACACGTTGCCCTGAGACGTAATTTCAAGGATTTTCTGCTCCACTTCGGGAGTGAGACCCAAAAATTCGTATTTGCGTTTGTGCTGCTTGACAAACTGAGCTTCCAAATAGGTTTCGGTCAAAAGGCCAGCTCTAAGAGCACGGAAGCCCGTGTACGGAGCAGGCAAGAATATACCAGTCACGTCCACAATGTCACCTGGGTTCATGGAACGCACCAAGTCACCATTGACATGAATGGAAAGAGTTCTTGGAATATGTCCCACTGGCACTTGGTTGGCCAGCTCCTGAATCTTGACATCTTGGAATGCGGAAAATTTTGAAGCTCTTGTACTTGGAAACAGCTTTCCTCGGTGTTGATTACTTGTGCATCTTTCCGACGTGCATTCTGTGAGCGGTGTGAAAGTTCTGGTGTTGACCTCTTGGAAAATTTCAAACCCGCAGGTATCGCAGGTGTACGCGGTCACCTGAACAGTCGGCTTGACATCGCTAACTCTAGTGACAATTCCTCTGACCGTAATTAGCTGTCCTAGATAAGAGCCCTTGACATCGCGCACAGCCAAAGCCTTGCCTCCTTTGGCGGTAACCGTGAGAGGGCGGAAATAGATACAGTATCGTCTTGTCAGTTGAGGAGGGAAGAGATTCGGCGTATCCACGTTTCGCAGCTCCTCCTGGTCCTCGCCCAGTTGAGTTTCAGCGAGCTCTTCACGGTGCTCGTTTTCAATTCGTGCGTTACGCAGCTTTCGCTGGTGAATGATAACATCCAACACGTCGTCTTTATGCGAGATATTCACTGTCGGAAGAGGCATGATTTCGTCCACCACCTGGGAGAACAGCTCGACATAATGGTACGTGTTCTTGACAATCAACTCTGCAAGACCACGGGGCAGCGATTGAGACACATTTTGTGCGATATTTTGTGTGTCCTCGTACAATTTGATATCGTCCAGATCGATATATAGAGTGGTAATTTCTCTATTTGCAATCTTCTGGAGAAGGTTCATATATTTGGGACCTTGACCAATCTCACTGTCGTCGATCTGGACGTCGTCAATCTGATAGTCATATATTCCATCATCTGGATGAACGTTTGAGGTAGATTTGAAATGAAGAAAAAAGTCCTTGATCTGCGACCTAATTTCAGAGTACTTGAAGTTGAGATCTATTGTAGGCAGGATCGAGTTGATTCCTGATGTCGGTCCCGGCGCAACGGTAGCCATGGTGTTAAAAGTATAAAACAGGGAAAACAGGGAGAGGGTGGAAAAAAGCTGAAGGAGATCTGAAACTTTTAAGTTTCCTTTTTCGGAATAATTGTCTTTCGCGTCAGGCTTGCTTGTGGTCCAAAGCGTTACCCTGTCTGCATGACCTAAAATGTATTGCGGGCTAGAATTCTCTGCGGAGTTACCCTCCCCTTCTGGCCGTGAAGCATCACGCTCGGGCAATAACCCGCCGCGTAAGCCAATCACAGGCAGCAGCCGGTGTGACTACCGAAAAATGTACCTCCACCCTGACACTTGTTCGGTGAAAATCCCGACTCAAGAAAATTCGAGATTTCGATGCAGCAGAAGATAGTGATAGAGCATTCCTGCACATTGCAATATAAATAATACGTCTTCTCTCCCTTACAAAACACCAATATATTCGTTCAAATTTAATAATGTCAGAACCAGCTAAACAAGACGAGCTATCCTCTACTGATGTCGATGGCCTTGATTACTCTTCCAAAGACAGTCAGTCTGAAATGATTGCTATGGATAGCGCCAAACCTACACCTCTGGTTGTGGTTCTTGTTTGTCTTGCATCGATCTCAGGTTTTATGTTTGGCTATGATACGGGATACATCTCTTCAGCTCTTGTTTCTATTGGAGCCGATTTGGGTAAGACCCTTACCTACGGCGAAGAAGAGTTTATCACCGCCGCTACCTCTCTGGGTGCTCTTATCACTTCAGTAGTCGCAGGTCCAATGGCAGATGTCTTCGGCAGAAAGCCTGTTTTGATGTTTTCGAACACGCTCTTTATTGTCGGCGCTATTATCCAATGCGCAGCTGAGACCGTTTGGACTATGATTGCAGGTAGATTTGTTATGGGTTTTGGTGTTGGTGTCGGCTCTCTTATCGCTCCTCTATTTATTTCGGAGCTTGCGCCTTCTAGATTCAGAGGACGTCTGGTTATCCTCAACTGTATGGGTATCACTTGTGGTCAGCTTATTGCCTACGCTATTGGTGCAGGGCTGACCCACGTCGACAATGGCTGGAGAATACAAGTTGGACTTTCCATCATTCCTCCTGCTATTCAACTCGCAGCTTTCCTGTTCTTGCCAGATACCCCAAGATACTTGATCTCCAAGAACAAGCTGGAAAAGGCTGCCAAGGTTATTGCCAGAACTCACCATGGCGCCACAGCAACGCTCATTCAGATGAAGATCGCCGAGATTCAAAGCATCAACTCCTCTTTGGAGGGAAAGAACGTGTGGCAGAGAACATGGAACGGTATCAAGAAAATTCATACCGTGCCGTCAAACTTCAGAGCGCTTATCATTGCTTGTGGATTGCAAGGTATTCAACAGTTCACCGGTTTCAACTCCCTCATGTACTTCTCCGCCACTATTTTCAAAGCCATTGGATTCGACAACTCCACTGCTGTGTCCATTATCGTGTCTGGTACTAACTTCCTCATGACCATTGTTGCATTCTTCATCATCGACAGAGTGGGCCGTAGAAAGATGTTGCTGTTCTCTCTTCCGATCATGATGATTTCTATGATCATTTGTGCCATTGGATTCCACTATGTCGACCTCAAGTTCGAACATCATTCTGTCAAGATTGAAGGAGGTGTCAGTAACTGGGGCTACGTTATCATGGTGTTCATGATCGTGTATGTTGCTGGATACGCTGTTGGTATTGGTAATGTCCCATGGCAACAGTCCGAACTTTTCCCTCAAAACGTTAGAGGTACAGGTGCATCTTACGCTACTGCAACCAACTGGAGTGGTTCTTTGGTCATTTCTGCCACGTTCTTGACCATGCTTGAGAACATCACCCCTACCGGAACGTTTGCATTGTTTGCAGCATTAACTGCTGTGTCGATCGTCTTTGTCTACTTCGTTTACCCAGAACTGTCTAATCTGGCTTTAGAAGAGACACAGAACCTACTCAAAGGAGGATTCAACATCAAGGAATCTTTGGCACTTGCCGAGAAGAGAAAGCACCAAAAGCTTTCTCCTGCTGGTTCCATGGACAAGCTTGACTTAGAACACATTGACGAAGTTCAGCGCGTCGAATCCGCATGAAACTCCTTTGTCACCATCGCTTCACTTCTACTCATATACCATGTGTACAATAATTATTAAGAGACATAATAATTTATAATTTATGATAGTAGCCTAGACTATTTCTATTATAGTAACTAAATGCGGGTGAAAAATAATTTAGCAATTTACGATTCCAGTTTCCTTCAAATGGATGTCATCGCACAAGAATTGGACCAGCTTGAACTTGAATCTCGAGGACAACAAGAGTCTGCCAGCAGGGGGCTGTTGGCCCCACAGGGTGAAACTTCCTCTGCTTGGAAGCCAGATAATGACCCCATTGATAGCTCTCCGAATAGTAGCGGCTACGATATGACAGATTCCTTGGACGAAGCTCCTATAGACTTGAGGACGTTGGTGTACGTGTCTATACCTGAACATCTCAACTGCCCCATTTGCCAGCTCCCTTTTATTAATCCGTATACAACTATATGCGGGCACACGTTCTGCAGGACATGTATTCTGGAGTCTTTCAAGTCCCCCCTCGGAAACAAGTGTCCTCTGGATCGCATTGAACTGAACTATAAAGAGGACCGTCAAGAGATTGAAGAGAAAAACTACGACGATATATTCCCTGCCCCTATTATATTGAGCAACATCACGGACGACCTTCAAGTGCGATGTTTGAACGCATCTCGTGGCTGTAAATGGATAGGACCCCGCTGGTCTATAAAGCAGCATTTGGTGAACTTTTGTGATCACACACGATTCCCTTGTGAACACATGCTAGACGAGGGACAAATGTGCGGCCAATTGACTGAACGACGGTTCCTAGGCGAGAAGTGTCCTCACAAGCTTTTTGACTGCGCAAAGTGCGGTGAGAAAATAAACATTGTAACCGAGGAACATCACTTGAAAAACGAGTGCGCAAAGAACCTTCACAAATGCAATGGTTGTAATCTGGAGTTCCCGGAGAAAATATTTGACAGCCACGAAAGCTATTGTGAGAAAATACACGTTAGGTGCCCAGGGAAGCAGTACGGCTGCGAGTGGAGGGGAAGCAGGGAGGTGCTATCCCAGATCCACTCTTCGGAGTGCGTTTTTGTCAAGCTGTCGGGCTATTTCGAGCTGCAAGAAGCCAAGATGAACGATCTGGTCGATGAAAACAAAACGCTCAAATCTCAAATTTCGACGATACTCGACTCTATCACACAGGGCAAGATGACTAACCTAGGTTATTCTTTGCAGCTGGAAGAGATTATGGATCGCGATCGCAGCACCGATCCTAGCAGGTTATTCGATAGCCTGCAGGAGAAGGACTACATCCAACTCATGATGGAATTTGAGGTTCTCAAAACAGATCTGAACCGCTTGAGGCCTTTGGCGTCGGAGTTCGAGCTGAATAAACAACTTGTCACAGCCCTGGCCAACGAGAATATTCAGATCAAAGACGAATTACACAACCAGACAGCTGCTCTCTCTTCCATGAGACAGCAGATACAATTTATGTTGTTGGACCGGAGAAGGCTTCGGTCCAAGCTCATAGACGGAGAGGTGGCACCCCAACCCAAAGAATCGTCTTCTTCGGGCCGGTTCTCAAACAAGCTTTAGTTTCTCTCCATAAGGCTGTGCAATATTTATACGATTTAATTAATGACTTCTTTGGACAAATCCAAGCATGTCGCTTACATCAAGTCTTTGGATGACCAAAAACAGTTTCTTGAGTACTGGCTCAGCGAGCATCTCCGTATGAATGGGATATACTGGGGGGCTTGTGCTCTGTTCCTTATGAGAGCGGAGCATGAATTTGACAAGAAAACTCTGGTGGAGTTTATTCTCAACTGCTATGATTCTACCTATGGAGGTTTCGGGGCATTCCCTAAGCACGATTCGCATATTCTTTCTACCTTGTCTGCATTACAACTTCTCAAAATGTACGATGCCTTGGACGTTATTAACGACAAGAAGCCGCAAATACTTCAGTTTATCAAAGGCCTCCAATTGCCAGATGGATCGTTCCAGGGGGACAGGTTTGGCGAAGTTGACACCCGATTCGTTTACACCGCCATCCAATCGCTCAGCATTCTCGAAAGTCTGAGTCCCGATATCGTGGATCCAGCAGTGGATTTCATACTCAAATGTCAGAATTTCGATGGAGGATTTGGCATGGTGCCAGGCTCAGAGTCGCATTCTGCGCAGATCTTCACATGTTTGGGGACTTTGGCAATTACTGGACATGTAGACAAAATCAAAGACCGAGAAGCCCTTGAATGGTGGCTCAGTGAACGACAAGTGGAAAACGGCGGCCTAAACGGACGTCCTGAGAAATTGCCCGATGTGTGCTACAGCTGGTGGGTGATGTCCTCTCTCAGTATATTGGGTAGACTGGACTACATTAACGGAGACAAACTGAGAGAATTCATTTTACAGTGCCAGGATCTCGAAGAAGGGGGGATCAGCGATCGGCCTGGGAACCAGGTTGATGTATACCACACTCTCTTCGGCATTGCAGGCTTGTCTCTGCTTGGATACGAAGATCTGGTTCCCGTGGACCCTGTCTACTGCATGCCTTATCATGTAACCAGTTCAATTAAGAAATATCCATATGATTAATACAACTCTCTGAGTTTGGCTTTTCTGGATGAGGGAGAATACTCCATGTAGTTGAACTTGTTGTTGTCGAAGAACTTTCCTGGGTTGAGGACATGACAATTTTCGTAGATGAGGTCAAACCGCGGACATGTCGTGTCAGCGAGCATTAGAAGCGTAGGAAGGGGTATCAGGTTTAGCATATTAGCGTAATTGGCAACAAGCGGTCTGATAGATTGGATAAAAGGTGAGAGATATCCTTGGTCCAGTAATGTCTTGACAACCTTTCTGGCCTCAAGCACGTCTGGTGCAATCTTGGATTTTGAAAGCTTATCGATCTCCAGCTCCCCTTCGTCTGCTTCGATGTTTTCCTTGATCTTGGAGATGTGGCTTATATCATTTCGACGAAACCGTCCTGCCAGGTCGTCGCGGACTAGTAGAACCTCGTGTGTCAAATAGGTTAGTTTTGATGGATTGGAGCACCATTCTATATCTTTCACTAGTCTGGTCAACCGGTTCCCGAAAATCTTTGGAAGTTTGAATTTGGGCCACACGGAATTGGAACCTTTGGTGACGACTGATGACCAGGGATCATTGTCGCCTGGAACAAACACAAATTTACAGGTTGCGCACAGTTCAGAAAATGGTTCAAGGATGGATGCCAACGAATCGAAATAAGACTTGTACTCACCTGACGAGGTGACCTGACTGTTGTAGGAGACTTGAGTCGATGTGAAAGGCCGCGAGGTAAAGGATCCATTGAATATTAGGGCAACGGGTGTTGAAGACCCCGTTTCAAGCTCCTCGTTGAGTTTGGCTAGTAGCTTTTTCAAGCCCTCCATCACTTTTGCATCAGATAGGTATAGATCACCCCCTAGAAAGATAAACTTGTGGTCTGCCAGATCCTTCTCCAAATGCAATAGTTTTGAGCGCAATACAGGGTCGATGCGTCCGCTGTTGCTGTATACAGAATTGAAGTCCATCTTGCCAAGAACTTCCAGAGACGTCTCTCTTTTCTCCGCTGGAGGATGAATCATTGTGCTGACATAAAACTTGCCGCTGTTGGAGTAAATACCTTCACAGATGATGAAGTTCCCCTCAGTGAAGTAGCAGTTCTGAGGAAACAGCGTCTGACCAAGTTCAAGTTCTATCGAATCAGTGTCGTCCTGAAGTTGCCACAAACCCAGCGCGCTCCGGGTCAGCAATCCAAAAAGAAAGAATCGTTGTCCGTGCCGACCCAACAAATTCTTGATAGATGTAACCTGCTGGTTTTCAACTTCTTTGGGCCCGTTGCTTGTAAATGAATTGACAGCACTGAAGGTGGTTGGCTGGAAATTCTCATTTCTGAGGAGTCTATCCTTGAGAAGATGGAATCGCTGAATAAACAAGTTAACGGCATCTTGTGTTGACGGCAAAATCAGTTTGTCACCATCGGCGTCGGCAGACAAAACATCGAACTGTTTGCGCACATGATTATAGCTGTATCGTCTGTAGTTCTTGATGTCCACAGCCTTGAAAAAATCCTTCCACTGCACCTGCTCAAGGGCGGCAGGTTCCAGAGGGTCCTGGTGTACCTCAAATGACTGACTTTCTCGTAGCTCGTTAGTCACGAGACCTGCCAAATTGGTTTTGGGCTCGACAGCCGAGCTCTGGCGGCTAGCTTTTTCCTGCTTCTCTTGCTTCAATGAAATCTCCTTGATCACAACGTCAATGTTGTCCCCATCCAGAAACAAACCTTTGTTTTGCTCTTTCCAGAGCCTGGCGACTTCCTCCAGGAACGCGATCGTTTTAGCCCCACGCCATTCCTGGCCAAATCTCTTCCCCACGTACTCGCTCAGCTTCTCCAGCGCACTTGACTGAATATTGAGACCATGTTTCTTCGAAAGCACGCGATATGCCAAAGGCCGAAGGTTGGATGGCTTCAGGGAAATCGGCAAAAATGCAGGAGACTCCATAGCAGGATTCTTTTATTCCGTATCTCAAAAAATACGCGTCTGAAATATTTATTTTATCAAATGGTCACCTTCTCGAGGACACCAACTTCGGAGCGCGTCCGTTTTTCGCGAGACACGAAGCTCTCAGACTATGAGAAGCGAAGACGCTCTAATGCAGCAAGTGAGTTCTTGGAGAACAGCAACGGCTCAAACTTGAAGTCAGACCGCTACAGATCTCCCATCGGATCAAGCATCAAAACGCGCTACGAATCGCCCAGATCTATTTTGCGCCCATCCGCTCACGAAAAAAAATCATACGAACTCCTCGGAGAGTCGCCTATTCGCAGTATACCTGACTTTAAACGCTTTGAGACTGATGATATCCTAAGTTCCATCAAGAAAAAACGCTATCCGCTAACAGACCGGCGCTCGCGTGTGACAAAGCCGAGCTTTAATCGAGGTCATGACGGTCTTTTGGGATCTCTGACCTCAATAGGCTCCAAACTTTTGCAATCGGTGCTGTACAACGAAAATAAAGACGTTGTGTCAGAACAAGAAAGTAAACAGGAGATAAAACCCACTGAAAGGATTAAGATAGACCCTGTTGAGCCTGTTCGGGCTTCTTCCAGCAGTATGGAACGGACATTGAACGAGAAGTTTAGCTCTCTCGAGAGCCTTATTCGCGAGCTAAAGACTGAAAGCAGGGAGACGGTGATGGATAAGCTTACTGATCTTAAAGGTGAAATTTTGAATCTTCGGGCATCTCAGGAACTGATAAATACAAAGTTTGAAGAAAGATATGAAGAGCTTAGAATTGAAAATGAGCTCAACAAGCGCAAGTTTGAGAAGTTATTTACTGACTTAGAAGCCAAACGGGATGAGCTGGACAAGGAAAAGACCGAATACATCAAACTCCTCCAAAAAGAGACTCGCAAGCGATATGCTGACTCTCTCGGCTCAGATGACGACGAATATCCAAAGAAGAGACGCTATGTAAGAGAAAATGCACAGGACACGATTGACAAGATGAGAAAACGGAATAAGCAAATGAATCAGAATATCTCAGAAAGCATCTCTACGACGAAGAAGATTGGTAGCATGATATAAATTATAAGTGTAAAAACACGTTAGTGTGAGAGTTTGGCGCACCGCAGAGCTGATTATCATCTAATCTTCCCAGCAGAACTGGACTAGTTTGTCCATGCGAACTTTCTTAGTCATTTGGCCGCGCATCCATGGGTGTTCCAGCATTTGTCGTGGACTAGGTCGTTTGCGATTTTCCTTGGTCAAGCAGACCTTAATAAAGTCTTTGAAGCTGGCTGACCAGGTGATGTTTTCTTCGGGTTCGTCATTGAGTTCTGGTTCGAACTCCAATATTATCAAAAGAAGCTCAATTGGAGATATTTGCAAATTTGGATCCTTTGTTGCAAAGGGAAACATACCCATTGCTCCCTCGAGCAAAGTCAGCCCAAGTGACCACACGTCACAGGTTATTGTATAAGGCTCATTTCTAATACGTTCTGGCGCCATGTAGAAAGAGGTTCCGGTGAAGGTGGTAGCGAGCGAGTTGACCACTTCTCCGGAAACTCCAAAATCACAAAGTTTAACGTTCCCCTTGGAGTCTAGTAATATGTTTTGAGGCTTGATGTCTCTGTGCATCACTTTCTGCTGGTTCAGGTAGGAGAGCCCTCGAAGCACACTCTCTGCCATCTTTCCTAATGCTTTCTCTCCGATCCTCATATCTTTTTTCTTGAACTGTTTGTATATTGCGTCCAAGGACCGTCCTCCCATATATTCCATGCAGATACAAATCGACGCATCCGCAGAGTTAATGAATGTTCCGTAATACTTAACAATATAATCGCTCTGGAACTTTTTGTTGTAGTTCAGTTCTCGCACTATTTGTTTTTGAAAACTAGGTGATGGATCAACAGTGATGGTCTTCAGGGCAAATACCTGCTGAGTCGTGACAAGCTCACACTTTTTGACAGAACCTCCGTTACCTTCTCCCAGCACCTCAAGTGTGCGAATTTGGTTGAGCTCAGCTAGCCGTCGCCAATCTTCTTCATCTAAATCTTCAAGGGAACCCTTCATTAATTTTGCGTTTGGGTCGGTATCTTTGCTGGTTAAATTGAGATTGCTCAGCTCCGTAATCAATGTATCTGTGCTTTTATTGCTCACGATTGAAGGATTTGAGTCTGTCATTGAGTCGCTCGAGTGACGTACGATGTTGTCGGATGTGACAACCTCGTACTGTCTCACGATAACTGGATCTGTAGCATCAAACTCATTCGTGGACTGGGCATTGTCTCCATCTTGAAGCCGGGACGTTTGATTTCGTCCGGACGGCGTAGAGATTTTGAGCGATGGCAGCTTCTGGCGACGTGAAGCATTTTTGGGATTTGATCCCGGAGGACGCAAGAGAGGCGGCGCTGTCATCTTGACAATATCCACGTATTATTAGAGTCGAATCAGTCTAAGTGCCTGTTTCAAGGTGAAAAAATCGACTAGATTCGTCTCAGGAAACTACCCCGTTTTCTTGTCCCCCTTAGTTGCAAAATTCCGTTTACCTATTGTAGAAACGTCGCATGTTTTCCACGAAAAATTTCGATAGATTATGTAAACGCTATATCCGTCCTCGCAACTTTACTTGCGCCTCTTTGTGCTTTGTTTCACCTTCTTGATAAGTTTATCGTTCTTAATATCGTCTTGTTCTTCTTGCGGCTCGTCTTCCGGCACATCTTTTGTATCATCCTCGATGACATCATCAAGATCAGGTTTGAAAGCTGGAGCTCGGTTTCCTTTAGTAACGGAATCTCCAGTCTTGTAGATCACAGTAGGGTGCGAATAGGAGTTATACTTTCGTGTGAATGCAGATTTGGTAGCAGAGCTCACAGACTTCAGCTTTTGATCCATTCTGCCTTTTGGTCCAACGCCAAATTCCATCAGATTGTCCCAGTCTTCTTTCGTGAGGTAATATTCGTCCATCAGCTCCAAAACCTGATCGATACCGCTGGTTCCATTTTTAATCAGTGGATCCGACAGCATTTTAATCAGGAATGGTATGTAGGTTAGCCTCAGCTCCTGATTGTTTGTCATTGTCTTCGTAGAGGAGTGGTATTGTAAATCCTGTAAGATCCTATCGTACTTCATTTTCTTGGAGTTCTGGCCAAGCCACGAAGTAAACATGGTACGCCCGTTCATTCCACCGGCAACCTTGGAGCCTGGAAGCACACTGGAAAGTATAGCATGAAATGGAGCCAATGACCATTGTTGTTCGCCTCCTCTGATCAGCTGATTAACCAAATCTGACTCCGAAATAAAATTCGAGGCTTCTTCTAGCAGCTCCAAATGCCGAAGATTCCGCTTGTTTGGAGGGCATCCGCTAAGTTTCGATGGCGTGGTGGACCTGTAATTCTCATGTATCATCAGTGGTGTGAAGTCCATGTCGTTGAAGTAAAGATTGATCTTTTCTGACAGATTGTATCTGGCATGAGATCCGTAGCTAGCGCCGCTCAGAAGTTTGCCAACTATGTCGAACGGCTTTAATATCACCTCCTTTTGCCAGGTCTTGGAGATCTGCTCGCTGTTTTCGTAGTTGAGTGTCTTTTGCGTACGTGCAACAGTTGACATTATATTGATAATTTGTCTAATATCGTTGTTCGTGGCAGCCACCAATTGATCGATGATGTTCGGATCAAGCTTCAGTCCCTCTCGGTGGGCAATTGTCATGAGCCGGGATTTCATCTCCTTTCCAGTGGGTCTTCTCCACGTGAGATCGTAGCAGGTTTTATCGAAAGTTCTCATCTTCGGCAGCGATTTGTCGTTGCAAATTAAAATCAGGGGTGTCTCCGTTGTACGACAGAATTGCGAAAGCTGAGCTCCACCTCCATGGTCTCCGCTGGACATACCGTCGACCTCGTCCATGATCATCACTATTCTGCGATTATTTGGGTCATGGGTTTTCAGCTGGTTGAAGTACCCAACCACAGAGGAATTGCTCAGTGACGACCGCAACTGCTCATTCAGCAATTTCTTGGATCTCACGTCAGACGCGTTTTTCTCTATCACATCAAATCCAAGGGATTTTGCCACGACGTGAGCAGCAGTGGTTTTTCCGATTCCCGGAGGTCCGCTTATCATAACCGCACGGTAGCCATGTATGCCAGGACCCTTGAAACCGGTTTTTGCGTTATCAAACCAGTGTTCCAACCAGCTCTGCAATAGTTCCACGTTTCCCTTGTTTCCACAAATTTGCTTGATATCTGTAGGAGCGTACTTAACCGTCCAGAGTTTTTCTGTGTCCGGTTTATCACTAGGCCTCTCCACTTGGCTGGACTGGCTAGCCCGTTCTTCCCTCAATTGAGTTTGCCGTTTCCTATTTTCTTCCTCCTCCTTTTCAGCTTCCTCGATGGCCTTCCTTTCTTCCTCCTCCTTTTTAGCTATGGCGATCCGAGCCGCTTCTCCGCTGCCACCATCTGCAGGCATTTTTTGAAGAAGTTGAATGAACCCTTCCTCATCTATGCATTTGATCTTCTTCTCCTTGATCATCTTAATTTTCTTGGGACCTGCCTCGTGACCAATCACTACCAGGCTTGTCTTCCCACTGATGGACTTCGTCACCTTTGCTCCATATTTGGAAGCTATCCGCACACATTCATCCCTTTCAATGGTTGGAAGAATACCTGTGAATACAATGGTCAATCCATTGAGACAGTTTGGGCGCCCTTCAGGAAGCATCCTGTCTCCTGTTGGTGCGGGAGCCTCCGATGTGCGCGCTTTCAATTGGAAAAAATTCATATTCTCCATCTCAGGATCAACCTCTAGGTATTTTGGATCGGCATCGGGTATCGTCTCCAGAATTTCCTGTGCTGTTTGTCCCGCGCCAGTTTGGCTAGGTTGGCTGGATCGACCAGCCTGCGGCTTGGCGCTCTTGGTTTTAGTTGGACTTTTTTTGGGCAAGACTTTTGCCTCCTTCTTGACAGGCTCCTCATTATCGCTTTCAGTCAACTCTGCTTTCCGCTTTCTATGGGGTGTCACTTTTTCATCCTCTTCAGAATCTACCACAATGACGTTCGAATCAGCGGATTGCTTTGATTTAAAATGCTGAAACGTTTCTTGACTTGCTGGCTTTCTCAGCGAGGAACTAGCGTCGTGAGCAGTTTTCTTGTCCTTGTTCTTCAAAGTCAGTATATAAAAAATAGCTAGGTACCCACCTTTTGAACGGCCGCCTTGCCAAAAAACTGGTCAATGCGAACCATCTTGTGTCTTAAAGAACGCGTACTTTTTGGTAATAATTCCAGTCACATGATCTGAACCTTCTAGAAAAATGGCAGACTAAATAAATAATTCAATATAGGGCAGTTATCTAATGACTTCATGTTTGGAACAACATTGGCCGGACGGCCAGTTAAGCTGGCTGAGCAGATAGACACACTCAAATATGTGACAACATATGAAAATATCTCGGCTAATAGGATATCTCACCTTTCCATATTTCTTGTCCCCAATGTACCTTTCGATCCTAATTATGGTGCATTGATATACTATCAGTTTCAAAAAGGCGGAGTACCTCTAGCAGATTTCCGGCTTCTGGGAGGCCTGGATGCAAACAAGCAAAGTGCCATATTTAAAATCAATCCGGAAGCCTACACCAGCGGAGGGCAGCAACAGTCAGTCACAAAAGAAGGGGATATAGACATGGACATAGAGATTGACCCTTCGGCGCCGCCCGTGGACACTACACTGGTTATCGGTATTTCCATTGAGCCTTTGGCAGTAGTTACTGCTCAACTGGAGCAATTCAAGTTGTCAAAAGCACCTCAATTGACCTTACCTGCTCCTCCTAGTCTATCCATCAACGACATACCATTGACCAAAGAACAAGTTGAGTCTGTCTCGAATAAAATCATCAAGAACGCTTATGATTATCTGAGCTCTTTTGTTGACTCTTCAAATAAGGTTCCCATTAAAAAGTTTGACGACTGGTGGGCCAAGTTCAAATCGAAATTGGCGACCGATCCTAAATTCTTGGATAATTTAAATTGACGATGAATTGATGCGCTATTTACAATATTTCTTTTAGTGAGTTTAGTCGTGCAACCACTTCCTCATTTCCCAAGAGCTCGATCATGTCCGGAAGTTTCGTTCCTGGCTGTCCCGCGCTAATCGCATAACGAATAGTTTGATAAATGTCCTTTTTCTTGATAAAAGGATAGACTGCCAAAATCTTAGGTATTATAGCTTCAAGGTCCGTATAATCTGACTGTTCGGCAAGCAGTTCCACAATCCCAACTTTTTCAGGCTCTAGGACGTTCTCGAGTCCTTCTTTAGTGTAAGTAGGACGTTCAAAATAAAACCGAAAACTCTCGCTGAAGACAGAGTTGAGTGTGGTCAGCGAGCTACCGGTTTTCAGAAGCACCTTTTTCACATAATCTTGAGTAATTCTGCGGTTCTGATTCAGCTTGCCATAAATATCTGCCGAAAACTTATCGAGGTAGTCAGGATCTTCGAGTCTGCGTTGTAAGTAATGTTTGTTGAAGTAATTGAGTTTCTGAAAATCCACCTTGGCATTGCCAACTGTCAAACCTTCAAGGTTGAAATGGTTCTCTAGAAAGTCCATATCGTAGATTTCATGTAACTTTTCTCCTTGTACCCTTTTTGGAGCCCATCCAAAAAGAACTGCGAAATTAATTAGAGCTTCGGGAAGATAACCCTGGTTCTTCAACGACATGATGTCAATATCACCGGTACGTTTGGATAGCTTTCTGTTATCAATAGTCGTTAGTAGAGGTATATGCACAAACTTCGGCTTCTTCCACTCGAAAGCATCATATAGAGCAATATGTTTAGGGGTGGAAGCAAGCCACTCCTCTCCTCTGATAACATGAGTGATTTCCATCAAATGGTCGTCAACAACATTGGCAAAATGATAAGTGGGAAGACCATCACTTTTCAGCAGCACTGGATCTTCATACCTTCTGTCGAATGGATTTACCTGCGGTTGCCAGTTGATGTATCCATGGAGTAAATCGTCGAATTCGGGATATTTGTCTGGTGATTTAAATCTGACAGTGAATTCCTCCCCTCGAGCAGCCTTAGCGTCAGATTCCTCTCTAGTATATACTCGCAAACAATGCCTGTCATATGACACAGTAGTAGGTGGTCTGAGCAGCCTTGCAGAGTCCCGAAGCCCATCTAGCCTAGATTTAGAGCAGAAACATCTGTATGCAAGCCCTTTGTCCAGCAGCTCGTCAATATAACGCGTATATATTTCAGATCTGTCGCTCTGTCTATAAGGGCCATAAGGACCACCCACTGTAGGGCCTTCGTCAACTTTAATTCCTAGCCAGTTCAGTGTGTCGTAAATGTTATCTTCGGCCCCAGGAACTAGCCTCTTTTGGTCAGTGTCTTCCAATCGCAGCAAAAACTGACCACCTGTAGCCCTTGCAAGTAAGTAGTTATACAACGCTGTTCTAAGGGATCCTAAATGCAAGAAACCGGTAGGTGAAGGGGCGAATCTTGTTCTTGCGGGAGTCTTCAAATCTGCTGGCAGATTCTCATTCTGTGCATTTTTCCTTCTGAGTGTGAACTTGGTACGCAGTTGCAGCTTCGGAGTGCTCAAAATGCGCATTGGTGTGTGGAATGTTCGTACCCTCACCATTTTTTGGATTTCAGATCACCGGGTCTGGGTTTACAAAATTTTTCAGATTTTTGTTTTATACAACTCTTCTAGTATTGGCGGGACGATATATACCCAGTCATAATGAACAGCATGTCCAATAGAGATTTCCACAAACTCCAGGAGGTCAGATTAGCAAGAGCAAAACTTAACACATACAAGTCTTTTGATGCAGAAGAGGATTTCGAATTCTGCCCTATTGTAAGCCCTCAGCGCTACACCAAAGATCATCGCTCGACTTTGCACTCGCCTCAGAACCTTAATCAGATAGACTCCGCCTCCCTTTTCAAAATTTTGGCCGCTGCAAATCAACAACCGCCAAAGCTGCCCCAGATCGAGCAAGTGCCTGGTTTCTCTCTCCCGCAAAACACCACATCCTCTCGCCAAGTTCAGGCGGAACACAGCTCGAAGTACCCCAATTTCAATTACATCTCAGATACACCAACAACGGGTTCTGAAGCAGCATCCTCAAACGCTTCGTCGTTCAAATTTCATTCGGTGTCTTCCAAAGCAGCAGAACAGCTTCAATCGATTTACTCGATCGCGGAGGACAAACATCCTGGGAGAATGCGCATCGTTTCTGGTTGAGTCACTTCAAAACAACAAGCAGGATAAACATGATAATCACAAGCACGAATATCGTGAACCAATCGCCATGCTCTCTCAATCTCTGCCTGAATCTGTCTATGTTCGTCCGTCCTCGAATGATTTTTGCATTTGCCCTTGATATCCCTGACTCTAAATCATCAAGTAACACCATGTGATTGCCCACCTCATCTCCAATCTGCAAAGACATCTCGTGTTGTCTATTGACCGATTGCGATAATGAATTGATGATTTCGTCTTGATTTAGTATTTCCTGCTGATTTTCCATAAATATTTGTTTGTTTGACATTCGCATAGAATCTATCGTACTCCCGTTGTCGTCCTTGTATACGTTGTTTGTTTCGAAAAGTACGTCTCTACTAGGCTCGTCGTTCTCAGTCAGAGATGATTTTGCTTGCGCCCGTTTCTGTGATTCGGATGGATCTATTAGGTTCTCCTTGAATCTCACAGACTTAGATTTCTTTATTTTTGGTCTGGGTTTGTTAACGGCTTCGTCAAGCCGTATTGTGTTAATCTCGAAATTGGCGTCCTTAGGAAGATCCTCCTTGATGGAGTTTAAATGTTTATTGTAAATCTCCAAACTTTCACGAAATCGATCGACTTCCGGCCCCACTCCGCTAGAGTCTATCTCTTCAACCAGAAGCAATTCCACGTATCTGATCAAGTTTGCAAGTTTACTAAGCGTCAACACAAGATCATCATTGGAATTGAGAACTGGGGCATCTCCTACCTGTTTCAGTGTGTGGAAATCCTCCACTAAAGTTCCAAGTTCCTCTTCTAGAAGTGAAAGTTTGGTAAATTGTCGCTCCAAAGCAGCCATAAAATGTGAAAGCCCGATAAATTACTAACTTTCTGTGGTTTTTTAGTACGTAATATTTTTAATAGAGACTCAAAAATATTTATCCGTCACCCCCATCTCCAAAAATTCCACCTTATCCTCATAGTCAGGACACCATCTTCCAGCGAGAATGCAGTGTACGCGCATTCCTGTACCATAGTATAGATTTGTGAGGAGTTTAGGAGTGATCAAAAAATATTGTGAGCCACGTGCGGAGCACGATTTGCGAACGATCAACTCGTGGATAAGCCTCTCATTTTTCGAATCCATACCTTGATTGATTTCGTCAACAACACGAAATGGCGTATTCGTGAGGCCCTGTAAAGAGTTCAGGAATACAGCCGTTGTCGCAGACTTTTCTCCTCCAGATTGTTGTGCCGCATTCAATTGCATTAACCCATGGCTATCACGAAAGCTAACAAGGATTTTCAGTTTCCATTCGGAAAAGTTTTCTGACTCACTATCAAGCTGCACGTCACCGGCACTGGCCACTGCTTTCATATTCTCACTAAAGTCATTTGCGATAGTTCGAATCACTGAGTCCAGTTTTGGTCTCCAGACAGAGACAAGATCTTGAATTTGTCGATCAAGAATACCGACATCAACATCTAATTCAGGCAATTTCTGCTCGTATTGCTGAATTTCCTTCTCCACCTCTTCCAGGCGTTTTAAAGAGTCTGCTCCCGCACCGTTTCGGCGTAAACGCATCTGTGATTTGATCCTATTGATCTCAGCGTTGAGACCTTCCTCAGTCAAAGCATCGCTTTCTTGAAGCTCTGTAACCAGTTTTTCTAGCTCTAAACGATCCTCATCAGAAAAGGTCTCGAGCAAGGCTTTGTAGTCTTTCAGAGCTTGAGTATATTCTTCCTTGGCTTTGACATATGCGCTTCTCAGCTCGTTTCTCTTCTCTAACATGTCTTCACGTGTTGTCAATATCGATTCATTCAGTGACTCTATGGTGCTGAATTTGTTGTTTTCCTGGATCGCAAATATCTGAGCATCAAGGAGTTTTTCGTCCAATTCACATATCTTTGATATCGTTGGCTCAATCAGCTCATATATTTCAATCTTCCTCTCTTCCAATTTGCCTATTTTGGTAACCAGCTTTGAAGCAGTTCCATCCATTTCCTTGTGCTTTAATTTATTGATGGCCTTCCTCTCGACCCTCATTCTATCCTTGAATGTTTCAATGTGAGTGACATATTTTTCTCTGTCCTTTTCTGCTCTAGTCTGGCGACTAATTTTTGCCGTTAAATCGTCCCGTTCCTTCACCAATTCTTTAAGCATTCCCTGTTTCTCCCTGATCTTTTGTAGAATATTTCCCAATGTTTGACTGTTCACTGATATCTTGTGCCTGCACTCGTGGATTTCCTGTTGTATTTCCACTCGTTTATCATCTGGTAAACCGCCTGAGAAAATGGAGACTCGACTTGAAGAGAAGCCCCTGATGTTTGCAGTGACTTGCTTAGACCCATAGCTTGATTTATTGAACGAATAATATGCTTCACCAGCGATAAACTCACTCATAGGAAAGTTCTCGTTTCGTATTTTATTGGAGAGCGCATCTTTGATGGATGCATCGATATCGCGATGAGACACGGGGATATTGTGAATTCTGTCATTCTCGCATACCATTTGAATCACCTCCCGTGGACCTTCAACAAAGTCCACCAAGTATCCATCAAAGTTATATTTCTTGATCTCTTCCCTATGGATGCGTGGCTGAAAACTGAAGTTCTCACTCAGGGTACGGATACCAATGTTGCGTCCGATGTCAGGATTCTCGTTATATAAAAAGCGTGCCAGCTTCTGATAGTCCTCATTGTTGCGCACAGTGAAGGCGCATTGATTTTGGAACCGAATACACCGTTCCAAAGCAGGCCCGTACTTCGCATCGGTAACGGTCAAGGAGATGATTGGGGGCTCAAAATATTCCAGCTTCAATTTCTTTCTGTTTTCTCTCAATACCTTGACAGCCTTGATGACGTTGCCGAATCTGTGTGAGTCTAAGACAAGTAGTCTGTCCTTGGACTTTAGACTGCTCTCACTCGTCTTGATACGGTTCTCAAGCTGCTCATTAATTCTCATAAGTGCTCTTTTCTCTGTCTCCAGACCATCTATTGGTTCCTGTTCTTCCAAAAGCTTATCTTGAATGGATGCTCTGCGATCTCTTAGCTCCTGTATTTCTTCCTTACTGAGAATCTCGAGCGAGTCCAATTTCTGCGTCATAGTATCAAGCTCTTCCGATAATTGCTGCCATTTCTTGCGGTGTGTTTCCAGATCCATCGCCAACGAGAGTCTCTGGTCGTTCAGTTTTTGTATATCGGAGTTGACTTCTTTGATAGCTTCCAAACTCTGTTCAAGCTCTTTGGTATATTTCTCTTTTGAAGAAGTGTATTCGTTTATCCGCGTCTCAGTACTGCCCAAATTGCGATGAAACTGTTGTAATTTCTCCTTCATTGGGAGGATTCTTTGGTCAAATTCTTTGATTCTCTGGCTCATTTCTTCTGCCTCCTTCTTCAACTCTTCACGAGCACGTTTTTTGGTACTCAGCTCAACATAAGGGCGTAATGTTTCATGTCTTTGAAGCTCCTTCTCCAATAGCTGATATTCTTGGTATTGCTGTGCGCGTTCCTCCAATGACACACGTTTTTCTCGCAGGGACGTAAGCTGAAACTCTATGTCGGCAAGAGCTTTTATTTTTTCTTGTCGTAAAGAATAAAGCTCAATTAGCTTGTTATGCTGTTCCAGAAGCTCGCCATTTTCGTAAAGTCTTTCAAGCTCCTTAAGTAGCTCTTCGGGTTTGAGTGATGCAAATCTTGCCACTCTATCTTGAGGCAGAAATTGACACAAATTATCGAGTTGGATATTGAAGTCTTTCAACAATTTTTTGATTTGAAGCTCGTTTGAAAGCTTCTTATTAATGTACCAGCTTGTTTTTCCTTTTCTCACAAACTCTCTCTCAACTATGACTGTTTCAAACTTCTCAGCAGCCTTAAGTTCTAGCTCAATACTGGCCTCTTTTTGTCCAGATTTGATGAAATGATCCACATTCATGGAACTCTTACCTAGATACTCAAGCTTTCCTGCAAGTCCAATACATATCGCACAGACAAAAGTGGACTTTCCAGTTCCATTAGGCCCTATAATTAGGTTCATTTTGGGGCCAAAGTGAAACTCTGTGAGCGAGTACGACATGAAGTTGCGGAGCTTCACCCGCACTATAGCACCAGTATCATACTGTTCCAAATCAGGCTTATAGGGTAGCTTCAACTTTTTGGTGAAGGAGTTCAGATCAAGGCCATTCTGCGACGCTAGACGAGTGCCCATAAAAATGTTTTGATCTCACGCGTGCACACTTAAAACTATAAAGGTGTAAGGGTGAAAAACTCAAGGCAAAAAATTATACTGTTTATGTCTAGCACCAACCCGAACCAGTCGCTCGAGGTTGGAGTGAGCACTCCAGCGACTGAACACAAACTGAGCCGATCTAATAATGTTATTCTTATCGAGCAGTCAGAGGTGATAGATAAGGAAGCTGCATACAAACAACGTCTCAATCGACCGTTCAAAGTCATACAACATCTCCCATTGTCACAGCAGGAACCAGATTATGAACAATTAGACAACCCCCTTTCGATCAGAGATTCTGCTACGCTGTATAATTCGCTGATAGTGTCACGTCATCACTGGCTTCATAATGTGTTCAAGACATTTTGGACTAGACGAGAGCAATATATGACTCCTGCAGATGGCCGCAAGAAAAACCGACTTAGTAAGTTGTGCGACATGAAGCTTGTTGCCGGACCGCATACCTTTGAGATAAGGCTATTTATTTTGAAAGAGGAAGAGAAGGAAAAGCGGTATTTTGAAGAGCTGGAACGCAAAAGAGAGGAAAGACAAAAACTTCGAGATGAAAGGCTAGGCAAACCCTGTGATACGGCCAAAATCAATTCTGCAACGCCAGTCAAAAAAGAGCCTGCTGTTATTGCCCCACCACCCAAAGTTGTCAAGCCAGTTCCGCCTCCTACCGCTGCTCAGCCAGCACCGCCAAAACCAGCTGAGGATGGGAAGTCTAACGATCTAATGGCTAATCCAGAAAATGCAATGATGATTCAAAATTTGAACCTCATTGCCCGCTCAGATCCACACCTGAGCTCTTTAATGAAAATTGTCGCATCTGGTAACGCTTCCGGTGATCAGATAGCAGAATTTCAACGCTATATTCAGAGAGCTCGTCAAATGGGAAATCCAGCAACCTATTACCAAAAACTTCAACAACAGAATCAGGATAGACAGAGCGCTTTTTCTAGAAGCCAGGAGGCTGTGAATGGCGAACGCAGACAGCTTACTAGAGAAGAAAGGGAACGTCTAAAGCAAGAAGAAAAGGAGAGGAAAGCCAGGGAAAAAGAAGAAAAGAAGAAGAAGAAGCAGCTTCAGAAAGAGCAGGAGAGATTGGAGAAGGAGAGGGAAAGACAAGAACGCAAAGAACGAAAGGCCCGGTTAGAAAGAGAGCGCCAGGAACGGCAAAAATTGAACCTCGGACCTATAGATTTTGGCGACGAATTTGAAATGGACAAGGAACGAGAAAGAAGAGAAAAGAGAGAGAAAAAGAGACAAGAAGAGAAAGCGAAACTGGAGAAGTTGCTTGCTGGGGACGACCGGTTGACAGCTTTTCAAGAGAGATACACAAAGGACGCTACCCTTATTATTGAGTTTCACGAAAATAATTCCTCCAGATTCTATTTCCCCAAGGACTCAATTATCGAAATTATTGACGAAAGGGACAAAGCTGATCATGAGAACAATGACCATGCGGAGGACGATAACTCAAAAGAAAGTTCGCTTAAACCAGCAGTGTCTGCATCTCCTCCTCCTTCAGCATCATCTTCAGACCTGTCAAAAAAATACAGGAAACTGTTTGTTGAGTTACTAATTTCGTTTGTAATGGTTCACAATCAGTCAGAGATAGATGCCTATGAATTGCGCAAAAAGAGGGAGGAAGAAGAAAAACTTAGAGCACAAAAGGAATTGGAAGAAAGAGAAAAACAATCAGAGGGAAGTGTTGAGGTAAAGGAGGATGACGAAGAAAATGTGGAAATTGAGACCCAAGAAGCTGAAGAAGCGGGCGATAAAAAGAAGTCTACCAAAAAGAAGAGAAAGGCTAAACGGAACTGGGGACCCGCGAAAAGACAAACCAGAACTTCTAAACAGGTGAATGACGAGGATTTGGAACCTCAGGATTATGGAGATGAAGATGTCAAGCCTGTCCCAATATACTCAACTAGCACTTTGAGACTAGTCGAAGTTCCCTACAAATTTGCAGAACTAATCAAAAATAGCGCTAATCCGCTTCCAGAGGTTCAACAGAAGATGAAGGAGATCTTTGCAACGGGCCAGAGGCTTACCAAGTACCATGTCTGGTACCGGCTTGACGGCCTAAAGGACGAACTGCTGGCTGAGACTTTGCGTTTCAACTTGAACCGCCTCGAATACATCAGTGGAGGTGGTAAATTGAAAGGAAAGGCGATGTTGAAGCGGATCGTTGAAAAGTCTGGCTCCGAGGCTGAAGTTAGCAATAAACGGCAACGGCGATCTCAAGTTTGATGTACCTAGCAGGAGATGTAAATAATTAATTTGCAGTGTACGACACTCAAATGTGTCGCGTATCCCTAAAATCCCCCAATGGGCGCCAAAACTTGATACGTGAATTTATTTTAAGATGGTTCTGAATCCCTTGAAAGTATATCATAAGGAAGGAAGGCCTAGGTCTTCAAGTTCAATCACTTCCACTCTCAATAGGCTTCAAAGCCGCATGTCAACTCCAACAAGGTCGAAGTCCCCCAAAAAGATTAAAACTGCTTTTGACAATTTATCTGATATTGGTTCTGCAGAACCTTCGCCTAAGTTAAAGGAAGAGCCAATCAATTATGGCTCTATAAATGATTATGGAAGTCAGCGAGGTTCCTTGCGCAGCGCGATGTCTCACGTGGAAAATATGATACCAGTTTCTATAAGCCCTGTTCCACCTGCAAGCAATCCACCTCCTCATAAGGAGTCGGAAAATTGTCCTTCATTTAGAAACATTTTGGTTGTTGATTCCCTCAGATCTTATTTGACGTCGGGGGCTACAGATGACGAATCGAGACCAATCTTGCCTGTCTGTGAGGCGGATTGTGCTTCGTATGTCAGAAACCCCGAGCCTAGATACCACCAATACATTGGAGCTGTGAAGAGATATATTTCTAGCAACAGGTTTGCTTTTGGCTTGATTGGTTCGGCTCTTCTTATTGCTTTGGCCCTTATACTCGCATTCAAAATCTTGGTATAAATCTCTGTAATGCCAATCCCTATTTTTAAAATATAAGATTATTTGAAAAAAGGGGTCAAGCGCTTAATACAACTAGGTAATATAATATGTCGGCTTCAAAGTACGGATCTACTGATGGACAAGCTTCAACTTCTAGTGCCAACCAATTGAGTGTACCAGAACCCTACCAACCACGCAAGAACTCGAGGTATGAAGAATCCAAGAAAATTGCTAGGAAATATAAAGATTATGAGGAGTTTCTGAGTACTCAAAATTTACTGGAGTCTGGAGAGAGCAGCAGCGTCATTGACGAGGCTATACCAACGGACCTGAGAGAAGTCGTATGTCGTTCAATTTGCGAAGAAGGTCCGGAGCTACCATCTCCAATTTTGAGTTTTGTGAGCGCCCATAAACTTTACTTTGCTATAGGGGCGGTTATACTACTCATTATTATCAGCATAGTCTTGTATTACACGGGGAATGGTGACATTGTTGTAATACTTTGGTATAAGATTCTTTGCAATCTGGGGCTTATCGATTGTCGCTCAGATCTCTAGTCGCGTCGATAGACGTAGATCGAGAGATCAAATTTTTTTTTTTTGCTAAAATACCCACGTTATCGATGTCAAGCAGGAATTTGAGGAGCCACAAGAAGTTAGATGACAATGTATATGAAGCAGTCAAACAGACTTTACCCGAAGACATAAATGCTAATAATGTCGAAGAAGACAGCGATGAAGCACCTGAAGAGGAATCTTTACTTACGGGAAAAGAAAACGTGATAGCTAAACTTGAGGCTGAGCGTGCTGCGCTTCGAGATATCGAAAGACAAAAGAAAGAGAAACGAAAGCAAATTGAGGAACGAAATCGGCAACAAGCGGAACAACGCAGAAAGAGGGCTGAGAAACCCGAGGAAACCCCAAAATTTCTTCCTCAAGACCTGTTACAGAATTACGACGCAGAGGAGGAACTCGAAAAGCCTAAAAAAACTGTCTTCAATGATGAGGAACCAGCTACTACTCGAAAGGAGATCTTGGCAGTTAAGCTCAAGGAGGCTCGTGGAATGAGTAAGAAAGTGATGAGGAAGGGCCCTGTGCGAGTTCAGGTTCTCAATAAGAACAGGGGTCTCTTGAGCGTACCAACAAATAACATCAAGTCGAAAAAGGATAAGTGGCTGAACCGCAAAGTTCTCAAGCGCAAGTAAGTTTTGCATAGGATGAACTGTATACTAATTGTTCTATTTTATAAAGAAGCGCGACATGGTTTATGCCTCGTCTCTAACGAGTGCAATAAATGCAGGTATAATCATTCCCAGTAAGCACAGACCAAGCCCCTTAAATTGCGAAATTCTATCTTTTGAACTCTGGTTATGATCCAGGGTCTCGTGAAGAGCATGGAAACCAACAAACAGAAAAGCTCCTCCACTGAAGATCAGAAGCTCGCCAGCAGCCTCATTAAAGTTGCTATTGATAACGAACGCCACCATCAAGTAAGTCAAAATTGCACCGATAGGCGATGATGATGAGAAAACTCCAACATGGTAGAGGATCTCTTTGTGGGATGTTCCACTAGCAAGCAACAGAGAGGATAGAGCGAAGCAAGTAGGTAGTTTATGGACAAAGATTGCAAAAACCACAAACACAGAGGTAAAGTCCACAGACTCGTCTGAATCTGACATTATGGAGGATGCCAAAGCTATACCGTCTGTTAGAGCATGAATGATAAGTCCTAAAGTCCTTGGGTTTTTGAAAGGTGCTAAAAGCATATTTTTCTCTCGTTTTGAAGCAACAAATGGTCGTTCCAGTTGTGACTGAGCCTGTGCAGACTCTGGAGGCGACAATGGTCGTATGAATTCATCATTTAAATGCGATAGCTGAAAGGATTGTTCGAATTGCGACGGAACGTTCGTGTTGGAGTTGATTATGGAAGTAATGGAATTGATACTGAATAACACGATAAAACCGGTTAGGAGCCATAAACCGATCGGCTCATGAACGGTGTAATGCTCCAGTCCTTCGGGAATGATAAGAACGAATGCAGTTGAGATTAGTAGGCCCACACTGAACACGGAAACCAGATGAAGACCGCTAGCGGAAAAATTAACTGATAATGGAATCAGGCCCGAAATGAATGAGCTAGAGTTAGAAACGGCGAAATGCGTTAGGAGATCACCTACCTCACCCCCATTATTAGTGAGTAAAGAAGAATGGGTACCAATTTAGACATAGAGGAATTGCCATTCAATAACGTGCAAACGATATTATATATTTTTGACGTAAATCCAGTTAGTTGGTCGCGTACATTAATTTTATTTACGTGGGGCAAACTGAAGAAATAATATTCTGGTTCAAGGATGGTGGTTTGATACACACGGGCTGAGGTGTCCAAAAAGCGACAAGAGTTTCTGACTTATTGTAAGATTTCTATTTTTATTATTTGCTATTGTTCTCGAGGGGCTTCAAGAAAATAGCCTATAAGACTCTCTTAATTTTACATTGAGCATTTTTTAATCCGTCTCCAATTACAAATTATTCATTTTTTATTGGCAAAGAGCTTATTTTTCCCAATCAAGAATAGAATTCCAGAGGAAGTTACACCTCGCACCCTGAGAGTGAAAAGAAATACTTTTTCAACAGCCTATAAAACTAAAAGAATTATCAACTAAAACAAAGTATTAAGATCGGGAAGATTTTTCAATCTGTTTTCTTCTCATTTCTTATCGATTTATCATTTGTTTTAGTTAATTTTCTTTGAGTTAGTCTGAGCGCCTTGAGCTTTAATACTATCACCTATCCAATGTTGTCGTCACCACTTCACCAATCACCGCTCAATAAGTTGCATACCATCCACTCACTAGGACCAGCACAGTTGCCACAATCACAGCAAAAGATGTCCCAGACAACGAATTCCGCTTCTTCCACTGTTAATAAAGAAAAGGTTGCTCACGAATCGTCGGCCTCATTTTTTATTAATAATCAGTCGAAATCTGGACCCATCCTTGCAGAGGCCGAGGATGACCTTGATATTCCCAACAATACTGTTCGCATAGGCTCCAGAAAATCCCAGCTGGCTGTCGTACAATCGGAAATTGTTGGTATCGGCATTCAAAAGCTCTACCCTAAACTGCAAACTCCAATTGTCAAATTGAGCACTTTGGGTGATCAAGTGCAAAACAAGCCGCTGTACTCATTTGGCGGTAAGTCGCTGTGGACCAAAGAGTTGGAGGTTCTTCTACTTCAGAGCTTTGGTGAGTTCGAACAAATAGACATGATTGTGCACTCGCTTAAAGACATGCCAACTAGCTTGCCAGACGAATTTGAACTCGGATGCATTCTCCAAAGAGAAGGTAAGTTACATTTAAACCATCATGATGAACTTAAAGATTTCTTGATAGACGTTAGACTTCCTAATTACATTGAGGAAACATCTTATTCTGATGATGGCCATTTGCTTTTTACTAACGATGATAGACCCAAGAGACGCGCTAGTCATGAAAAAAGATTCTCCATACAAGTCCCTTTCTGACTTACCCGACGGTTCTGTGGTTGGAACTTCTTCCGTTAGAAGATCTGCGCAGTTACTAAAGAACTATCCTAACTTGAGGTTCAAGAGCATCAGAGGAAACCTTAATACCAGAATCAACAAGCTTGATGCTCCAGATTCCGATTACGCATGTGTTATTCTGGCCGCTGCCGGCTTGATAAGAATAAATATGGGCCACAGAATCACGCAATTTTTGGGCCCTGAGGAGATGCTATACGCCGTTGGACAAGGAGCTCTCGGAGTTGAAATCCGTAAAAATGATCCAAAAATGAAAAAGATCTGCCAACGGTTGGACTGTAAGTCGACTTCGATCAGATGCCGTGCGGAAAGAGAACTCTTGCGCACTTTAGAAGGAGGATGCTCTGTTCCTGTGGGAGTTTGGTCAGAGTATAATAAAGACACTCACGAATTGTACATGAAATCGGTTGTGCTCAGTGTCGAAGGAACTCTATCTGTTGAGAAGAGTTTAATGAGAAAAGTTGAAAATTTCGAAGAATCTGTTGCATTTGGTCATGAATTGGCATTGCTGTTAATTAATGGAGGCGCTAAAGCCATTCTCGATGGAATCAATTACGACAAAATTAATGAGGTCAAGCAACAGGGGCTTACAGACCTGTGATCATGTATATATCACTAATATAGAATTAGGGGGGTCAGGTCAATCAATTATTAAATTGCTTATGTAGGATTTTGAACTGCACAAGAAACACGAGAGCGAACCCGTATCCAAGCAGCGCACAGCTCATGAAGATGGCATACAGATTAGGATCATGTGCCCAGAAGCTAATAATCTCGCCCACAATGCTCGAAATTGCGTTTGAGCATAGAAAGAGGGCCACCACAAAACTCTTCATTGCTGGAGATGACATCGTATAAGCTAGCTCGTAAGCAGTAACAGTTGCAAAACACTCTCCGGTAGCTTGTAGCCCAAACATCAGGGAGCACCACCAAGCTGATATTGGAGCCACTGTTTCACACTCGGAGGCTCCTTCCCATCCACATTCGCTACGGATGTAAATTAGATATTGAAGACAAGCCCCAACAAGTGTACCTGTAGCCGAGATACAAAATCCAAGGGTTATTTTATGAACTGGGTGGAATGTCAGTCGCCGTTTGCGCAGAAATGGATAGAGTAGATAGTCCTGGATCGGGATGATTATCAGGATTGCTAAAGGATTAAAAGACTGGAACATGTCATTGGGGATGCCGCTGGTTCTCATTGAACCGGCTTGGTTAATCTGGATGGAAGCGATAGACCCGTCATTCAAGTTGAAAATGATAAAATACAGAAAAATGGCACATGACTGAACCGTGGTGTTCAGATCCTCGATCGTCACTGAAGGAGCCAATTTTTGTGTAGCTGCCGAGATTTGGATGCTCCAGAACTGGCCGTGGCGCATTCTGGAGAACCAGCCAGATTGGAATAGCTCTTTGAGCAAAAGAATCACCTCCTCAAAGATTGACACGCCTGTTGGCTCACTCAGATGCAAGCGAGGTTTGAGGTAAATAAGCATAATAGGAAGGACAGAATACACAAGGGCAGTGAACCCATACGTCATCCAGAATCCGAAAGCTCTCTCGATAATGGAGGAAAAGATGGCCACGAAGCAGCCAAAGTTGATGAAGAAATAATAGATTAGACTCATTCGCTCGAGCGTGGCATCTCGGTCCACAATCACCCGCTCTCCTGTGGGAAGTACTTTGATGTAGTTTCCATCAACAGCGTATTGGTCCACCAACAAAGGGAAAAGATTTGGTTTAATGTAGCCCGCACTGAAACCAATACCTATAATGCTGACAACAGTCAAAAGCATAGAGAGCCAGACAATTTTGATCACAAATGGTAAAGAAGCTGCGACAAGCAACATATGAGCAAAGAAGCCAATGGTGACGCCCACCCAGACGCTCTTGAACTTGCCGTATTTTGTGTCTGCGACATATCCGCCATACAACGGAGTGATATATGCCAAAAAGCTAAGCATTTGCGTCAGAAACGAAGCGACACCAAGTCCAAGACCAAGAGCGCCTGCACTCTGGTCTGAGGTTGGATCAAGGACAGAGCCGGTGGTTGAGCCTGGCGGCAGTGGTCTTTGTATAAAATTATTGAGACAGCCGGTAAGTCCATAGTAGGACGCTCTCTCAGCGAGCTCAACCAAACAGATCAGATATGCGACAGGCGGGATAGATCCGGGTATTTTGCGCAATGAACTGTCTTCGAAATCGAGGTCCTCTAAGTCCTGCAGCTCGTTGATAGCTACTTTCTGAGCATGCTTGGTATTTGAGACCAGACTTATGCTCGAAAGCTCCAAAACCCTGCTCTTAGGAAGTGAAGAGTCGTCGGACACTTCAATGAAGGGCTCCAGCGACTCCTGCTTGGAAAACATGGCGGAACGTTGAAGGAGAAAGATGCTTATCTCTCTCGAGATAATGCGCCGATCGACGCAAAAAAAAAATTCTCTGCACACGAGTTTGAATACGATGGACGACTCAGAATTAGCAGCTATTCGGGCCGCGAGATTGGCCGAGTTGCAGCGAAATGCACAAGGGGGCGGATCGCAAGCACAGGAAAATAAGACGTAAGTGTCAGAACGCCAAACAAAGCGGACTAACATTCAGAAATCAAAACGATCCAAGTCAGTCGATACTGTCCCAAATTTTAGAGCCAGAGGCTAAAGAGCGCCTGTCCCGTGTCCGGATGGTCAGGCCCGAACGGGTGACATCAGTGGAGAGCTACCTGTTGAGGTTGTTCAAATCTGGAGCAATCAGAACAAAGATTTCCGAAAGCGAGATTGTGGAGATTCTGGAAAGAGTGTCCAAAGAAGAACGGAAGGGCAACGAGACCAAGATTGTCTTCGACCGCCGCTCAACCCACTACGAGGACGAAGATGAAGGCGAAGAAGACGATTTCTTTGATTAAAGTAGTAGGAAGGGTCGCATAGATGTATGATCGATAAGTAGCGTAAAACCTGCTGATATTACCCAAACGGGCAAAAGACCAGGACGTTGCAGTGGACGGAACACCTAAAAGCCAGTCGATTAAAATTCTTGGGTGAGACCCTTTTTCACGAGCCACTGAAACAGTACATACTGCTCAATAGCAGTAGCAAATCCGCAGGGATGCCAATTTCCTAGATGAGAGCATCCATCTATCTATTTCGTTCCGTTTCGCGAGCGTTGCCTAAGAAATTCTGCAACCTGCATTATCTTCCCTACTGGGTAAATTCGGGATCACATTCGCGATCACGGCCCAGATGCTATTTTCTATATAATGCGGGCAAACGTACACTGTTTCCATCCTTATCACCTGCTAAAATGGTTGCTCATCCTTTTGATCCCATCAGCGACGCCGAAATCCGGCTCACTTCCAAAGCGATCAAGGACTCCCTCAATCCGTCGCAAAAGCCTCATTTTTGCCAGATTGACAGACTCGACCCGCCAAAGAAGGATATGATCAGATACCTGGAGGCCGAAAAAACTGGCAAGCCACTTCCTCAGATCTCAAGAATCACCTACGCATACTTTTATCTGGGAACCGACTTTTACAAGTCTCTTGTCAATTGCACCTATGGACACCTAATAACCACCCAAAAGCAACCAGAAGGAGTTGTTGGTCCTCTGGTTTGGGAGGATGTTGCGGAAATAGAGGAACTGTTGACTGTGCACCCGCTGGTTCAAGCGGAAGTCAAGAAGCTCAGATTGCCACCATCCATCAAGGTGGTCTGTGATCCTTGGATCTATGGAACAGACGACCCTAAAGAGAAAAGACTGTTGATCCAATGCTACATGTATTTGGCCAATGCTTCTCACCCTGAGTCCAACCACTATTCCCTGCCTCTCAAGTTCTCCCCTGTTTTTGAGTGCTTGACCAAGAAGTTTGTGAGAATGGACTATTTGCCTTCCGGAGTTGACGAGAAGTTTGTCCCTGAGACTGAACCTTGGACCAAATTTCCGTTTGTCGAATACCATCCCGATCTCAACGGCGAGACTCCAAGACCGCTCAAACCATTGATTGTTCAGCAGCCCGAGGGCCCATCGTTCAAGATGGAGGGCTCGAAGATTTCCTGGCAAGGATGGGAATTTTACGTGGTGCCCACCGCTAGAGAGGGATTTGCAATCTATAACATCCACTTCAAGGGAAGATCCGTTATCTACAGATTGTCTCTATCGGAGATGACTGTGCCTTACGGCGATCCCAGGCCGCCATACCACCGAAAACAGGCATTTGACTTGGGGGATTCCGGCTTTGGAACCACTGGCAATACTCTCAAACTGGGCTGCGACTGTCTGGGTGTTATCAAATATCTAGACTGCTCCATCACGGACTCGAAAGGACAACCAAAATTAGTCCCAAGCACCGTTTGCTTGCATGAGCAGGATGGCGGTCTGCTTTACAAACACATGAACTATCGGACTGGCGGTGCTGTCACCACCAGAAGAAGAGAGTTTGTCGCTCAGACCATCGCTACAGTTGCAAATTACGAGTACATTCTTAACATCATTTTTGATCAAGCTGGTGAGATCAGAATCCACGTTAGAGCAACAGGTATTTTATCTACTATGCCGATTGACGAAGGACTCACCGTGCCTTGGGGTACCAACGTTGGACCTTTGGTGATGGCTGCTTACCACCAGCACTTGCTTTCGTTCAGAATTGATCCTGCTGTAGATGGCTACCAAAATACCGTCGTCTATGACGATGTTGAAAGAATGCCAGCCGGAACCAGCTTCAATCGTTTCGGTGTTGGCTTTGTGACGAAGAGGTCATACGTTGAGAAGCCAGGTTATGTCGAACAGTCTCCGTTCACCAACAGATCGTACAAGATTATCAACGAGAATAAGCTCAACCCAATCTCAAAGAGGCCGGTTGCATACAAAATTATGATGCCAGCCAGACAAATGCTGCTCGCTGACGAAGACTCATACAACAACAAGAGAGCACATTTTGCTACCCAGCAAGTCTGGGTTACCAAGTATAGGGACAACGAGCTGTTTGCCGCTGGGGAGTTCACCAACCAATCACAGGGAGACACCGGTCTCAAGAATTGGGCCTACAGAAATGAGAACGTCAGAAATGATAATCCTGTGGTCTGGGCAACTCTCGGGTTCACCCATATCCCAAGAGTGGAAGATTTCCCTGTCATGCCCGTGGAGACACACGAGATCGCTATCGTGCCAAATGACTTCTTCGATAAAAACCCTGCCTTGGACGTTCCGCAGTCCACTCAAAGCTTCAACAAATCTGAGTACTATCCGGGAGCATCATCGGAAGAGGTTTGCTGCAAGTCTAGTTTGTAACTGCAATTAGTCACCTGTATGGATTTCTTTCTAGCAGATAAGAGTGAGCGCAAGCAGCTCAAATATGACAACTCTAACCTAGTGCTTCCTCCTTCCTTATCCGGAAGGTCTTAGCAAGTTTTTGAAAAATTATATTTCCGGGGTGCATATATAAACCAGCAGCGGACCCAGAATACAGGTTATTCGCAAAATGGTTCACCCTTTCGACCCTATTTCGGACGCAGAGCTCCAGCTCACTTCCCAGCTTATCAAAGATGCCACTAAGGGCCCAGAAAGGCCACATTTTATCCAGATCGACCGACTGGATCCCCCAAAAAAGGATATGATCAGATATCTTGAAGCTGAGAGAACTGGCAAGCCTCTTCCTCACATCTCGAGAATGACTTATGTTTACTACTATATTGGCCTTGACTTCTACAAAGCCCTCGTGAACGTGAGCTATGGACACATTATCACCAACCAGAAACAGCCAAAGGGGGTCATTGGTCCACTGATTGCCGAGGATATTCAGGAAATCGAGGAGCTCGCAACTACACACCCAATCGTCAAAGCAGAGATTGAAAAGCTCAAACTTCCTCCACACGTCAGAGTCGTCTGCGACCCTTGGATGAACGGAACTGACAGCAAGGAGGACAGAATGTTGATCCAGTGCTACATGTATCTGGCCAGCGCTGCTCATCCAGAATCTAACCACTACTCGTTGCCGCTCAAGTTTTCTCCTGTTTTTGAATGCCTTACCAAAAAATTTGTGAGAATGGACTACTTGCCAGGAGGTGCCGACGAAACCGTTACCGAGACGCAGGCTTGGGATGAATTCCCATTCGTGGAGTACCATCCAGATCTCAACGGCGAGACCATTGTACCACTGAAGCCTCTGATTGTTCAGCAGCCTGAGGGACCAAGTTTCAACGTTGACGGTCACAAGATCTCATGGCAAGGATGGGAGTTCTTTGTGATACCTACTGTAAGAGAAGGATTTGCCATTTACGACATCCACTTCAAAGGCAGATCTGTCGTCTATAGATTGTCGCTGTCTGAAATGACGGTGCCATATGGCGACCCAAGAGCTCCGTTCCACAGAAAACAAGCATTCGACTTGGGAGACTGCGGTTTCGGTGCTACTGGTAATAGTCTGGCTCTGGGATGTGACTGCCTGGGAGTCATCAAGTACATGGATTGCAGAAGAGTTAACACTAATGGTGATTCGGTTTTGATTCCAAACACTGTGTGCTTGCACGAGCAGGATGGAGGTCTACTGTACAAACACACCAACTATAGAACCAACGTTCCTGTGATTGCCAGAAGAAGAGAATTTGTTGTTCAAACCATCGCTACCGTTGCAAACTACGAATACATGCTAAACATCATTTTCGACCAGGCTGGAGAGATTAGGATCCACGTTAGAGCTACCGGCATTCTCTCCACCATGCCTTTGGACAAGGACGTCACTGTTCCTTGGGGCACGAACGTCGGCCCAAGGGTTATGGCCGCTTACCACCAGCATATGCTTTCGTTCAGGATTGATCCTGCTGTTGACGGTTACGAAAACACCGTGGTTTTTGACGACGTTATCCGTATGGAGAAAAACACTAAGCTGAACCCATACAACGTTGGATTTGTGACCGAAAGAACTGTTGTTGAGAAGCCAGGCTATGTCGAACAGTCTCCGTTTACCAACAGATCGTACAAGATCATTAACGAGAATAAGATCAACCCAATCTCCAAAAAGCCTGTGGCGTACAAAATTATGATGCCAGCCAGACAAATGCTGCTCGCCGACGAAGACTCATACAACAATAAGAGAGCTCAATTTGCTACTCAACAAGTCTGGGTTACCAAATATAGAGATAATGAACTCTACGCTGCCGGAGAATTCACCAATCAATCCCAAACAGACACTGGATTGGGTGTTTGGGCAAGACGTGACGAAAATGTCAGAAACGACAATCCAGTGGTCTGGGCGACTCTCGGCTTTACTCACATCCCAAGAGTTGAGGACTTCCCAGTGATGCCTGTTGAGGCCCATGAAATAGCCCTTGTTCCGTTTGGATTTTTTGACAAGAACCCTGCTCTTTCGGTGCCTCAATCCACCCAGAGCTTCAACAAGTCCCAGTACTTCCCAGAGTCTGGCATTGAATCCTCTTGCTGCAAATCTAATTTATAATATATCACATAAATACAGTACTACACTTACATATAAAACGTTGAGATTGTGACTTGATAGATGGTAGCTAAAAGGAAGCTCCTACATCAGATGTGCTCCAAAATATCACTTCGTGTGCAGAGATGTGTAATTATTTACTGCAGACCTTAATGGGAAAAGAATAAACATTAATACTTTTTTTATCTATCATCCCAGCCCCAAACAAACCTTACTGACATCGCAAGTCGCTAGCATGTTTCATTATGCCGCCACATGATACGGGTCTAGATCCAATATGTCTCATATTTCGTGTCACGTTGCGCTTCTTTAAGTGCTTGGGCTCGTTCCATGTTTTCAAAGACCAAGCGTATTTTGAGTCTATTCGCACATTCGACAAAATCCAACACCTCTCATCGTTACAATTGCCAGGGGACTACGTTATGGGAAAATTGGGAATACACAAATTTAGACGGCACCCGGCACGTCCTGGACAGTTGACCGTTGTGTCCCTTAAATTGCCTTTTATGCCCCAAATACGTCTGACCGAACCTCCAAGATCTCCAGAAATTGCTAGTTTTGAGGATGCTGAAATACTTAGTGCCAAACCTGTAAAGGTGAACGGACCTATGAATTTTGGCACTGCGTATACCGAAGCAGATTACGAGCTTGTACTGTCCACTTTCAATGACATCGTTAGACATTTCAAAATTCCAAACCAATACCTAATGGAGCCCGCTACGGATTACATTGACTACTTACGCTGCACAATCAAAGAAGCACACAAAGCGGAAAATAAACTATTCAAATTCAGTAGACTCAAAAGGACGTTGTCCCTCAAATCGCTAGGCAAAGATTATTCCAAAATACAGATGTCAAGAAACATGAATTTTTTGGCGTCTGTGTTCATCATCTCATGTGAAAAGGGTCATCTAATCGAGAAACTGACTCAAGAGCTGGAGAAGTCTGGTATAAAGCCACCAAAGGATAAAATACAACAACATTTCGATGTTTTTAAAGATCGACTCATGTGTCTCAACAATAATCCAGGGATCTTCTTTGAAGTGTCCACGCCGCTAACGAACTTTGCTAGGCACTGTTTAGAAACTCGGAATCTCATCTTTACAAATTCTCCTGCTAGCAGGTCGAGTCTGGTTGAATTCTGGACGACATCTTTGAAGGAGTACTCCATGGTGTTAGATAAAAAAGACTGGACGAAAGCCAAGATTGACTATTTCTCTGCTAACGATTCAGAACTCCGTAGATTCATTGAAAATTCACCGTCGAAGGAAGATCTAGAGTTTACTACAGAAAGTGAAATGGACACCACAGCAGATAGATCATTGAATCAGGTTCCTCATTTCCCTTTGCTGGAATGCACCCAAAGCATCTCTTCGCCAATTCAGCCAACCTTACAGCAAGAAACTGAAATTCAGAAGACCTCTATTGATCAATCAACCGATGAGGCCACTTCTCAGTCATCAGAAAGCGTCCCGTACCTGCTAGGGTCTGACATATCAAGGAGTGTTGAGAAATCTCACCACATTGATACTGATAACACAACAGAAGGGTCGGTCATTGAATACGAGGAGTGCATGTCAAAACAAGACATCTCATATCAATTTGATATAACATCTACCCCATCAAAATCCCACAAACCATTGACTGCGGAGCGCGTTGAAGAGTTGGCTTTTACCGAGAAGATTAACAGATTTGAGAAAATGGCTGGTAGATTGCCCGGAGAGAACATTCTGATCGAAAGAAATGAAAACAGATACGAATCTTCGATGGACGAAACAACGATATTATCTGAAACTGTGCGGTTGCAGAAAATGAGACTTTCTGAGCCGGACATCGAAAAAGACGAAATTTTGCGTAACACACTTCAGCAGCTCAATCTGAAAAGGAAATGTTCGGATTCAGAATTGCATGAATCAAGAAATCTGAGCGTCAAACAACGATTTGGACTTTTCCTTGACAGTCGATATAGAGAGTTATCGAACACATCTGAATTTAGATACCAAATCATAACACCACAGAAACTTTACGAACACCTTTCTGGATGCGAAGGACGAGATTGGGATGCATTGCCGCTGAAGGAGAAAGGTTCATACTATTTTGCGTTCAAACGACATTATGCTGAGCTAGTGAACCACGGGGAAAAATATGATAGGAGACTTGTCGATTTGGTGGCAGAAGTATGTTCTGAGTTTGAGTAATGTTATATTTAATGTACAATAATGCGATTAATGCTGTTTCAGACCAGAAAACCTACGAAACAAGCGTCTAAGATCCTTTCGTAGTTCACCCATCTGTGGTATTTGTTGAACAGAAATGTCCCGTCTTTTCCTGCACACTTCATTAAAACCTCAACACCTCCAGGGTGATAATCAAGATAGGGTGATAGATTGTAGATCTTGTGGTTTAGACATATCCAAAAATCATGCTCTTTATTATGTTTTTTTAGCTCCTCTTTTGTCACTCGCAATGGAAAATCCCTAGGATCAATGGATCCTTTCATGTTCGAAGTCTTTTTCTTTGTCTCCCAGTCTAATGGCGAATGTCCTGGCTTCAAGCTAATTTTTCGGCGCGCGTTGGCAGTCATTATACTGTCCATTGGCGAAACCGCTGGTGTCATATTAGGAGTCACTGGACCATTAGGGCTCAGGTAGCTTCTCTGAGGAGCAGCAGGTCTAGCTATGCTTTCACCTCGCTGCTTCTTCAGCTGTTCGAGTTTTTCCTTGGCACTCATGTCAGCCTTGGCAGGCAATGGCGTCATGATTGGAAAAGATAGAAAAATAAATATTCGGGACCCAACACAGCCTTATATTATGGATTTGATTAGGCTGGGGAGCGATTCGAGCTGGATTTCAGCAATTTCCATTTCGTTCACCAACCTGTCCACCATTGTGTAATTCAAACACTCTTTTGAAGGCTCATTGAAGTCATCTATTTCAACGTTGCGACAGTTAACGAATTTGATGGACGTCGATTCCTCAATGATGATTTTATTGAGCGTGCTCTCGATCTCAATGTCCACGTAAACACCCTTAGACTTATGTAGTCTCACCTGGTGAGCTCTTCCAATTATAATACAGTTCGTCAGCTCTTCTGCATATATAAACGACTCAGAACGTATCACGAATGCCGAATTGTTACAGTTTTTCAAGGTAATAGCTCCGGCAGCCATATTTGTGGGAATTACTATCACCGAGTTCTTGATCTCAGAAAGCAACACACCCTGATGTGCCTTGTCTATAACGCACTTGACTCCATTTTTTTCACTAATAGTCGGGGTGCCAAAACTTGAAGGCTTTGATGGCTCGACGTCGAACGATTTGTTGTCTTGGCCTGGTTTATAGCTGAACTTAAACTTCCTATTATTGAAGGTGCGTTTCTTGTCATCGAGAGACATTACCCAGGAGTCGATTGTGCTAGTTATTTTTTTCAAATCGTACTGGGGTATACCTCCAGTCTCATATATCTCGGTCACCCATTGTTTGAACTTATTGATATCGTCCCTAATCAATTTCCAATTGGTATTAACATCTGCATTGGCTATTTGCTTTTCTATGACTACTGGTTAGTTTCGCGAAATGGATCACCTACATTTGCTTTGCTCGTGAAATTTGTCCAGAACTTCTTTGGCACTCATAATCGATTATAATGAATATTTAAATCGGACTATTTATTCTGCTGGATCTTTTTGATCCCTTTTTTTCTCCGGCTCTAATATCATTTGTCAGTCGATCGTATTCGTCCATGCTTTGGCAAATATACTCAATGGATCTAGAGCCGTCTTTCGCAAACATTAATCTCAAAAAGATTTCTCTCATAGTGAAGGCAAGGTTTTCCATTCGCAAATCTGTCTCCTCTTGCAATAATTCATTGCGTCTCTTCTTAGTGCTTTGACGCACTATGGACCGGGAAACGTCGACATTGGTACCTGATCCGACTTGAAACCGTAGCAAGCTCTCACATCTATCAACGCACAATTTGTACTCTTTTTGTATGTCAGATAAAGTCTGATGGTATAGAGAGCGTAATTTAAGGAATCCATAGAAATCCCCGGTCAAGAGCAGGTTGTGTTGTTCGGAAGGTAAATAAGAACAAACCCCAGCAAACAATCTATAGACCCAGGAAACAACTCGCTCAAAATCGTCTGCTGCAAGTGCTATTGGTGACACAGATGCAGTACCCATTGATTCCATCATTGAGCATAAATCATCATGTTTGCATCGTATCTTGCTGAGATATGCAGGTGAGGGTATGACTAGTTCAATGGCACATTGCACTATCTGAGACCAGATATAAATCATCATATCATTGATTGCTAAGCAATCCAAAACAGGCTTCAGCTGGGACACCTTTATATCAATGTGGTCACAAATTTCGACTACGCTCTTATCTAATATCCGGTCAGGGTTATCTTCTGCTTCGAGAAAATCACCAACCTTATAAGTTTCCAGGTTCGTTGCTTTCATTTCTAATAGGGCAGCCTTGGTGAACAGACTTTTGATTCTCTCAGTAAGATCTAAACTTAGGAAGGGTATTATTCTCTGGGTTGATGCAATTAATCTAACTCGGGTCATCCCACTGAAATGCAGAGGGTCAGGCGACATCTGCTCATACCAGTAGGAACACTTTAAACTGATAAGGTTGCTTTTTGTTAATGTGAGAGTCTTCTCAGTTCCAACATTCGTGGAATCTAAATCTAAGTCATATGCAAATTCGGCCACCACATTATTGTTGACAACCAGCTCAAATATTAGTCCTTGCGAACCTTCATTATCAATGATCACAAAAAACTCTTCTTGCCATTGAGGTAGCCAATCACCCCGAATGGCTCTGGTTCTTTGATTAAGACAGCCAGAGATCTGTACGTAAGAGGTAGGTGCAAATGTACCATTCAAAATCTCTGCACTTATGACCTTCAGAACAACAAGTCTGCTGCCTTTTTTTGTCTCTGACGATTCCATTACGGAAGAAATGGTTTCAATCATATCCTCGCTGAATATGCCGTCCAGTTGTCGGAGCATGGCGTATAAATTGTTTATCTTCAAGTAGCACACTGGGTTCACAGAAGACGCATTTGTTTCCTGGAGTTGAAATATGATATCTTGAGTACAATGCTCAGTATATTCATTCAAAACGTTAGAGATAGTTCCATACACCAGTGTAAAAAGACTGGCGTTTTGTAATTTATTTGTCCATTTCAATTGCTCCACTTTGGATAGATAACGAAGGAATATGTTAAAAACAGAATAGATGTTTTTGTCGTAATAGGAATCCTTGACTGAATAGGTTTCTGCCTGTAGCACTTGGGAAGTTTCTTCGATCATAGACAAGCACCAATCCTGACACTGTGAGTAATAGTCAGGATAGAAGTAAGGCTCCACAATTTTGGAGTAGTCTTGTAAAGGAAATAGGGCTAAATCTCGAATTAGGATCATACATGACAGGATGTTCTTCATGATTTCGGTGCCAGTGGGTGTTGTGTGCTTTCTGATCCATTTCCCGGAGGCATCTATTATGGTTTCGGGGACAAGTGAGCTCACCATTCTCTTCACATCGGTAAGAGACCTTTTTGCAAGATCGTACTTGATGGTCCAAAAGTCCCACAAAGTATCATACTGCAATGGTATCTTATCTGACAAATACTGTAAATCTTGCACCACATAATTTAGTAGGATTGAGACTTTCTCCAATGTGATCGGGCCTTTTTCAATATTGGATACCATTTTTTTATAGCGCTGCTTGGATAAAATCGGAAACTGCTGCGTAATTATCAGTTTGGTCCTCTCTGGAATCCCAAAGAAGCTTGTGCGCCGAACCTCCTCAAGGCGGGCAAGGATTTCACTCAGAGTGGTAGGATTAAATAGCTCAGACATAAGGGGGGGCACACTTCGCACTATCGGGGCATTCAAACTCTCTGTGATGCCAATTTGCGACTTGATAGGGACGGGCCACATTTCTGGCTTGAATGGAAGTCCGCTGAAGTCCAGTAAGGTTCTAGCAAGCTTCAACGCGTCGTCTTTCTCAATGTAATCACGTCTTCTAAGATAAGCTTTGATGACTGACATAAAAACCTCGTAGCCATCAAGCTGCCAAACAAACATGCAATCTTTAATGATCTCTTGGCAGACAGGACACATTGTCGAACCACTCATAAAAACGTCAAGCACCGAATTAAACGTCTGGTACCGGTTTTTCGGACTCACAGCGCGTGGAAAAGATTTACTCACGTTAAAGTGAATTCGCTCTTGTTGGAACCTGTCCAGAGCTTTGCGGAAAAAGAGCGTCTTTCCTTGGAGCCATTCACGATATCCGCCCGGATCAGAAAAGTCAGACTTCTTGAAATGACCTTTTGTGTCCGTTGTCTCCAATTCGTATATGATGTCAACTTCGCGGCACTCACCTTTCAAAGCCAGAACACGATTATTCAAATGCAGAAACTCGACGCCATACACCCTGGAGATGACCTCAAATTTTGGTAAATCTTGGATCTTCATTTGAGGATAAAATCTCTTAGCGCAAACTTCATTTCTGCGGGCTATGAGGGTGTCCTTCTGCTGACTAGATGACTTCAACATGAGTAGGTAGTCAATAAATCGAGCAAGATAAACGAGATGAACAGCTGCATTGGATGGATCTCTCGAGTGAATTTCCTTCGCTGCCACCATCTGAAAATCGTTGACCAGTTTGTTAATATCCTGCTCCTCCGTATTATACAAATTCCTGAATGTCAGCAGCATTGAGATAAATGTTTGCTCTTCATCGGTGCTCATGCCCAAATCTTTGATCTCTGTATCGTAGCCGTTAGCGAGTGAATCTAGCTTGTTTACCAGCTCAAGGAAAAGCGTTTCAGGCTTTTCATTAGAAGTACGTGAGCGATATAGTATTCCCTTTCTAGAGCCTTTTGACTCTCTGGAAGCTCGTGAGCTTTTTGAGCCGCTAGAGCTGGTGGATTGATCAGAAACTCTCCTTTTCACATTCATCGTGGAAATCCCCACAATCTCCGCAATACTATGACTCAGGAATTGAGGGTCGCTCTTATACATCAAGTAGACTGCTTTTATGAGCGGGTCGAGTGATGCGATAGCATCCATCAGGTTCAAGTGTATCTAATATCCTAATTCAGGAACAAGAATGTACATATTTTTTGAGGCTGAACATTGTGCAACTACTTTTTGTACATTGTTAGCCACAGAGGCGGTGCAGAAGTGGAATGGAGAGATCCTTAGCTCGGTCGTAGCTAGTAGCTTGAATTAGATTCTGACAGAGGCAAGACATCAGAAGCTGGCTCTGGATTTTGTAGTTTTCGATTCGGAGAGTCAAAACGAAATCAACCCCAAGGACCCTTCCTATTCTTGAGTCCGATTTGTATGTAAATATTTTTGATCATAATATAGTTCAATAAATATTGATAGTATATCAATGTCCTCTTCGAGCGATGTTCCTAAGCGACGCCGAACCACCAACGGTCATAAAAATGACCATCAAGAACTTGACAACCAGGTCAACGAATACCTCAATGATATGAACTACGTTGACGACGTGCAGAATGACGTCCGAATACACAATTTTGGCGTTGATTTATCGTCTCTCAATAACGAAGACTTCCACATAGATCCTTCTATTGCCAACGAAGATACCAAACAGCAGGTTCAGGAAAACATTAGTGCGGCTGCAGCGGCGGTGGTAGCGTATCAAGAGACTCGGAGAGCTATCGATGGTAAACAATCAGATAAGCCTTCACACCTTAACGAAAACAACTCGTTCCGTCTTTTGGAAGTTCCTGAGAATGTCGACCCTAAGAAGATGTGCCGATTTTGTGGCAAGACTTTTGCTCATCCGGGGTCCCTCGGGAGACACTTGGACAACCGCAAAGGGTCTCCAATGCATCCAGCAGACCAAATCGAACGAATTCGCTCCAATGTCGCTAGACGTGGTAACCCTGAGGAAGTTCGCGCGCGCCGGGCAGAACGTGCCCGTCTGTACAATAGGAGAGACTACGTGAAGTTGAAAAATAGAGAAAGACGGCGAACACAAAGCAAGATTTACAGAGTCAGGGAGAATGCACAGTTACAGTTCTATAAGAGCATAAATACCCCTTCGTTGGCTGCACATCCTTCGTTTCCACGGATGGTGTTATTTTTCCTTACTCCGAAAGATTGGCCTCATGATCCTCCAACTTTTCAAACGCATGAGACCTTGATCATGCACCTCGACTCAGATCCCGAACTACGCAAGCGCTTACCATACTTGTCGGACAACTTGGGGATTGAGGATTACAAAGAGAAACTGAAAACCGCATACGAGAACTGGATGACTCTGTCCAACGAAGCGAAAAAAGAGATGTGGAGCCGGGAACAGCGTTTGTGTGCTCAAGACGCATTAGGTAGTCTCAGTCTATTTGATTTTGCAGTCAGAGAGAAGTGGGCTTATAAGCTGACGAATGATAAGAAACAGGAGATAATTCAGAGCAACAAATCAGAGAGTATGGGCTCTCCGAATTACAATGATTCCTCTGATTCTGATTCCAGTCGAGATGTGAAGAATGCTATATCACCAGATGAATTTGCCGCAGTGGCGGCTGCAGCGGCTGCTGTCGTCAACAATAATGATGAGTGAGAGCGCTCATTGTGTAATTAACCTATTAGTGTATATATCTCTAATATTTTTCAGGCTGTGTACTTTTCTCAGGTATCGGAGGCTATTTCATTAAATCTGTGTCAGTGGAGAATTATTCCTTACAAAATGCCTGGTCTTGTGGAAGCACCTGTTGAGCCATATGCAAGACCTGTAAGGACCCTAGTCCAGCTGGCTCTGGACCCTGATGACGGACTGGAATATGTAAGCTTGAACAGTCAAGTTTATGAGCTTATCTATGGCGACTTATCAGATAATAAAACGAGATTCGTTTCGCTACAATTACTAGGCAGCCCCTTATTTGTTGAGTACCAACTCTTTAGAGCAGAGCTGGATAGCGAACTTCCACAAGATAGTATTGAATTGCATAGCCCCAGACTCTCTAGCAAGTATGGATCTGATTTCACGTTGGAAAAGTGCATCGTAGTTCCCGTGACAAAAGTGTTATCGCTGACGTCTGTCATTATGAGCTTCCCTCATGACGTTTACCGGCTTATTGAAGGAATTTCGAAAGAGCGGCTGTTGGAGATCGTGGCCAGCGAAAGAGGATCTGATGCGGGCCACATTTTGATTCGCAAGACTGATTTTCTCAAAACTCTGCACGGCGAGGTTATTCATTGTGAGCCTGTTGACCAAGGTTTCTTATCGTCAGACACCAACTTGGTGATCGTGAAACAGGAAGGTCTCAAGCGTGGGGTAAACGGAAACGTCAATGGGTCTCACCCTGATCCTTCGGAGATTCCTGTATCTACGCCTGTGGACTTCTCAGTTTCCCACCTTGGTTTGGGAGATCTAACATTTGATGACACCTCTATATTCAGTAACCTGACGCTTCAGCCTTTAGAGCTACAAATTGGCTTCCTGAAGTACAGCATGTTGATGGATTGCACACACATTCTGGAATCATCACACGAATTTGATCATGAGGATGATCAGCTTTTTGCCTGCGTATGCTCTTCGGTGTTACAGAAACTTGGCTGTTTTAGTGGTGATCTTGTACAGATCCAAACCTGTGATTGTGGAGCCGGCATTGTGTGTGCGTGTGATAAGAGCGCAAGGCGAAAGATAACCATAAGGGTTTTCTCACTGGCAGATCCGAACGACTTTGATCCGGAAAAACTGTATCTTTCGCCTATTTTTCTCAACAGTATCGGCAACCCTCGCATAGTCTTTGTTAAGAGACTTGCAAGTCAACGGCCAAATGGTGACTTCGTATGCGAAAAACTGGAAAATCATGTACCTGTGGCCAAAGAGGTGGTAATTGCAAGAGTTGCATCTCCAATAACTCTTGACCGAACAATGCAGCATTTATTTTTGTCAAACCTTAAGACATACTTTGAATCGAAACACCGGGTTATTGTGAAAGACCAATATATCCCTGTGCCAATAGACACCGTGTTGGCAAAGTCCCTTTTCAGCACGTACAATGCATCTGGTGACGAGACTCAGCCGGAGATCATTCCGCAAGGAATACCTAACGAACTTGCGTGGTTTAAAATCACAGACGGAACCACTGAGACGGATGATGGCAAAAGCTTGGTAGCGGGAAAACAGTACATTATCGATCCCGCCAAAACAAGAATGATTCAGTCCGGAGTGTGCTCAGACAAAGTGCCTTTGAGCGATGGCATATCCTACAGCCAGTTGAGAGACTATTTTGAGCTTCCTCGGCAGTTTGCTTATCCTTGTTTGAGGATTTCGAACGTGCTCACGTTTCCCTATGCTAACCAGTTACGAAAGATTGTCAGTGTTGCCTTTCGTATCAGAGACAACAGCTACAGTAGATCAAGGGTGCAAACTACAATTCTACTCTCCAGTATGGCAAGGTGTGTGGGAAAAGCAACACTTGTTAGACGCATTGCCACGGAATTTGGAGCAAATCTTCTAGAGCTAGATGCGTACGATCTTCTCAACCAGGCATCTGTTAGTAAGACCATTGGGACGATTAGGGGCAAGTCTGACAGGGTTGTCGATAGTTGTTGCTCGGTGATACTTTATATCCGGCACATTGAAGCACTTGCAAAAAAGCCGGATCCTAATCAGCAACAGAAAGATTCTATGTCGCTAAGGCTTGCTGAATTAATTGACGAATACACATCCAAAGGCGCCATCTTTATTGGATCTACCAATGACGCTGATGCCATCTCGGAGCTGATCAGGTCAAAGTTCAAATTTGACATCAGTATTAATGTCCCCACCGAACCAGAACGAAAATTGATTTTGACAGACCTGCTTGATGATATGAAAACTAAGGACAAAACACCTGTGGTACTAAGACCAGACGTTTCCCTTGACACATTGGCACTGCAAAGCGCAGGATTGACTGCTAACGACTTAGTGTCTATTGTGGACAACACAATCACTATTGCAATCGAGCGGCTTGAAAGGCTTTCAGAGGAACAAAAAGTCAATTGGGACCAGCTTCTGTCCTTCAATGGTGGCCGTATTAAACTTACACCCGAGGATTTTGAGACATCTATTAACGATGCCAGAAACAAATTCAGCGACATGATCGGGGCTCCTAGAATCCCGGACGTCAAATGGGAAGACGTTGGAGGACTGGATGTTGTAAAGGATGAAATTCTGGATACGATAGAGATGCCGCTCAAACATCCAGAATTATTCAGCAAAGGGATGAAGAAAAGAAGCGGTATTTTGTTCTACGGGCCTCCTGGGACAGGAAAAACTCTCTTGGCGAAAGCTATTGCTACCAATTTTGCCCTCAACTTCTTCTCTGTTAAAGGCCCAGAGCTTTTGAATATGTACATTGGAGAATCCGAAGCAAATGTGCGGCGAGTGTTTCAAAAAGCTCGCGACGCGAAACCTTGTGTGATTTTCTTCGACGAGCTGGATTCTGTTGCCCCTAAGAGAGGAAATCAGGGGGATTCTGGAGGAGTGATGGATCGTATCGTTTCCCAGCTCTTAGCAGAATTAGATGGCATGAGTGGAGCCGAAGGAGGAGACGGTGTATTTGTCGTTGGTGCCACTAATCGGCCAGATTTGCTGGACGAAGCCCTTTTGCGCCCAGGAAGGTTTGATAAAATGCTCTATTTGGGTATTGCCGACACTCATGAAAAGCAAGCTAAAATCATCCAAGCACTTACAAGAAAGTTTCAACTTGACCCGTCGGTCGACCTCGGCAGAATCGCAGAAACCTGTCCATTCACTTATACGGGAGCAGATTTCTACGCTTTGTGCTCCGATGCCATGCTGAACGCCATGACTAGAACTGCTGGTGCAGTGGAGAAGAAGATCAATGAATACAATTGTAACCGTGAAGAAGGAGATAAGATTAGCACGCGGTTCTGGTTTGATAACATTGCAAAGCCCGAGGATACACAAGTACTGGTTAAATCTGAAGACTTTGCCAAAGCCAGAGATGAACTGGTCCCGTCAGTTTCGGCAGAAGAGCTCCAGCATTATCTGTCCGTGCGCGAGAACTTTGAAGGAGGCAAGACCCAAGACGTTATGCATACAGTACCTGATGGGGCGGACATCATAATCTCACATGACTAGTGTTTAATTGAATATGGTAATCGACTTGATTAGTGCGTCTTTAGCGGTTTCCCAACTCTTATCATCCAGCTCGATCTGTAGATTTTTCCATCTGAGCCAGATATTGATGTTCGATGAGGTGCCCCCACCCTTTTCCAAGGGCTCTCCCAAAACCTCCAACAAGCGACTTCCGGTAAATTCTGAATCTAGATTATAAGGCAGAACCAACTGACAAGGTCTGAACGACTTGTTCCTGAAGAAGAAATCGATACTGTCGATTTTATTGTTAACTATAACAAAGCTGACCCCAGCATCGTAGAAGTTGTAGATTTCGCAGTCTTTGAGAACTACCTTCGTTGAGTTTTTGATGTCCAAGCCAACTTTCTGAAGCAATGCTGGTTCAAGTTCACTCCCCAAAAGGCTTATCCACCTGTCTGACATGCCGCGACTTAGTAGTGCAAGCTCCAAAATATAGTGGACGAAAATATTGTTCACTCATTTTCTTTCATCATGGAGTCTCCGCTAATTTCAACCTTTGGTGAGCGCTTGGAATCGTTTCCAAGCTCTACTGAAGACTATGCAAAAATAAGGCATAGACTCTCGAATAGAATACAAAAGCTCCGCCGTGCACTCAAAATTCAAACCAAGGATACGAAATACTATAAGGCTAAAGAAAAGACGTCCTCGATTAGTCCGGAGAATTACGAAATGGACACCAGATTTGGTGATGTTCTTTTATATCTAATCGAAAGAGACCTTGTTTTTGTGGAGGAGATCACGTATGGCCAGATTGAGTACTCAAGAACCACAAAGACGTTAACCATATCCAAACTGAAAAAAGCTCGTCAACATGCTAAGCACTTACTTTCCCTACTGGCTAACGAGAAAGACGACCTCAAGTTGCTTGCAACTCTAATTTTAGCCAGCTATGTCGAAGGCCGCTTGGCATTTTCACGCAGCAAGTGGGCAGAGGCCGCGTTCGCTTTGTCCGTCGCTCGTTGCTCATTGCAGTACTTGTCTCAAACGGAAGCTTCTGACCTTTACACTCAGATCATTGAGGGATACATCGACTCTGAGTTGAAAATATGTGCACTGAAACTGGAGAACGACAGAAATCCGGATCTCCTTCAATTTTCAAAGACATATGCTACCAAAGACACCATTACTTATTTGAGTCAGGCTATCAATATTGTGAAGAGCAAAGATGGAGACGTTCTCAAGCCCATCTCCAAAACGACGCTGGTCGATTCAGTTTCATGGTTTGAATTTAGTGCTCCGCTGAAAGATTTGGATCTTGCTAGAGCCATCACCAAAGCACAAACAGAGGAAAATAATGTGGTAGAGAATGATCCTGCATCGTTTGACAGGTCGTTTTTGCTGTGGACTGATGCATCGAATTCCCACAAAAGCTCATTGAAAGGCGGAATAGAATCCGATGACGATGAAAATCAGGACAAATACGTGATCATGACATATATCGATTACCACCAACTGCTCCTCAGAATTAGAAGAAACATTTCCCTTCTGAACAGAGTGAATGCGAAATTGAATAAGAAGAAAACAGTTTCAAAAGCTGCTTTTTTGGAAAACGCTAAGGAATGTGTCAAGCTGTACGAGGATGTCATATCATCATTCAAGGAACTCACAGAGCTATCGGGTGTGGCACATAATGAGAGTCTTTACTCTTCCCTTGTATCGCTGCAAGAGTACTTCTTAGCCTTGAAAGCATACAAGTTAGCGAAGTCTTACTTGATATCCAACAAGTATGCAGAGTCACTAGCATTGCTTAATAAGACCGTGGAAATTCTCAAAGAGGTGAAACCGCTGGAGGAAGAATTTGAGGGAGGTATTCCAAACACGGAGGAGATTGAAACGTTCAAATCTGAGTCTACTTCTCTGTTCACAAAAGTTCATGTTCTGACCATGTACTTCACCAAAGAAAACCACAAGCCTCTTCTTGGAGACTATCTGATTGATAATGTCGATGCATTCCCAGATCTGAGTAACGAGGACTTACTCGCTCAAATAGCCGATCTCGATGCAAGGGTTAAACCTGTGGGAGTGAAGCCTGTTCTCTTTGACGTCGCATTTAACTATATAGGCTACGACTCAGATTTGTCTAAGGTGACTGCCAGTGGTTCGAAGTCGGAGAAGAAAGCCGGCTTCTTTGGCTTATTTGGGCGTTAGCCATGTCTAGCTATGTAATAGGAAAAAAACAATAGGCCAAAGCAAATTTAATTTCTTGGTAATAATTAATGCAGTCACTTACAACAGTGGATAACGATTCCAGCCACGCATGCTACATATGCTTGGCCGGAAAAGACGAACTTGCACCGTTTTGTAACCGCAAAGAATCTAATGATTGGGTGAAGCCCTGCAAATGTTCGCTGGTGGCGCACCGAAAGTGTTTCTTATCGTGGGTTTCCAGTCTTGATCTCCAGAAAAGAAAACAGGAAGATGGCTTTGGATCTAATGATCCCAACTCTAGACCAGGCACTCTCATGTTCAACTACAACATACAGAGTCTTTTTTTCGGATTGCCTCTTATCAAAAAGTCCGAGATTATCACTGTCTTCATTGACTGCCCTCAATGCAAACGTCAATTATGTTTCCAGACACCGAATTCTCGTATTCTGAATATAAGACAGACCATCGACGCCGGGATATCCAACATTATGCGTGTGGGGATTTCCTCCACCGTGATATCATCGTCGGTCGCTTCCGTCAGCATGGGTTTTCTAGTCGGTCTCAGTGCTACGGGCCTTCGAGTCATGCAAATGGTGACCCCACAAAGTGTTCAACTTTCTCTCTTTGATGTCAAAAACACTACAACGCGAACGCTGGTCTCCGCTTTGGAGAAAGGACTGATTCCTATACCAAAATTTCTAATCATCACTGCGTCTATACCACTATACTTGGTGTACATGAGGACGAACGTTTTAGGTACTGGCCCAGTGAATATGATTGGAAGAGTGTTCCCTCTGCTGCTTTATAGGGATTATCAGGATTTGAAGGATAACCCAGCAAAGAAGCTTCTACTGTTGACTTTACCTCTCCAATATCTTTACAAGGCAATCTACAGTTTGACCCTCAACAGATTGTATTACAGATGGTGCAAGCAAGTCCAGCCTTGTTTTATTGCCGACAGGCTGTCGCTGAAAGAACTCGAACGCATAGAAGAAGAAAATAGGGAGGAGTTTGCGTATTTAGAAGCAGAGAAAGAGACAGAGACTTCGATACCAGCGGATTCTGGACTGTCGGGGCTATTGCAAAGATTATTCAGAGCGTTGACTTCTAATTCAATCATCAGAAAAATCCATTTATCAAGACTTAGACGGGAGTTAATCAACTGTTTCAAGTTTGACTATTCCAAGGTTTTCCAGGGGTCGCAATTTTACTTCTTCTTAGCATCCACCCTCTCATGGCCATATTTGGGAGAACTTGTCAGTAGGCATCTGATGTCGAGAATACCTCACATCAACGAAGTTTTGAACAAGCATATAAATACACCAGATGAGGCGGAGTTCCTGAGGAACTTGATTGGGTGCATCGTTGTTGTCATACTGAAAGACTTTGTCAACTTGTATTTCAACTACAAGAAATTCAAACAGTTGCGAGATGTTGATGTCGTTAGTGGATTGAACGATGACTTCATGCAATACATCAACGACAAATACCATCAAGGGGAAGATGTGAATTAGGAAATGTTAGAATCATGACGTATATGACGCGAATCACCATAATTGAGTAGTAATCTACACTCTCTTTCTTCTTCCAACGTGAGCCTGGAAACCAGTTTTAATCGACGACACTGACTTGGTAGAACCACAGGCGCGGCACACAATGAAGTGCAATCTGTTGGTGCTTTCTCTCTTGAGTTCCGTGTTCATAGATTTGCAAGTCTTGCAGATAACATATTCTTGAATGTATCTTCTCAGCACACTTTCAATATTCTTTGCCTGGAATCTTCCCTTAATGATGAGTCTCTTCTCACCATCGATAGAACCCGAAGTACCCAACTCTGCAAACAAATATTGAATCAGATGCTCTGGGTTTCTTTGCAAGACAGAAGCGATCGTCTGCACGTTGGCGAACATGGTCTTCTTATTACCTTCTCTGGCCACCTCAGGAGGAGGGATCTTGAGCTTGGAATGCTGGCCTCCAGCCAATTCAGGATTCTTTTCTTTGAGAATGCTGTAGAATCTTGAAAGAAGATTTTCATAGGCCAGAACTGAATTACTAAGAGAGTCTTGTGTTTGTGATTGCTGTAGTTGTTCAGTTGAGGCAGATGATTGATCGTCAGCATGAATACCAGCCTTTTCCAATTGTTTGTCAAAATCATCTGCTTCACTGGATTTAGTGCTCTTCTTCTTCTTCTTCTTCAGTTTGAGCCCTTCGAGTCCATCAACGAGCTCGTCCACTGGTTCTGGGGTATCGGTTTCTTTTGTCTTCTTTTTCTTCTTTTTGAGAGATGAGAACATCTCCTCTAAATTTTCCTCAGATGGCGTAGTAGCTCCTTCAGCATCGGTTTTGCCCTTGACCTTCTTCTTCTTCTTCAGCGATGGATCAAATCCTAAGTCTTCCGACATACTGTGATTCTGCAGTTTTATCGTTACAAAATTTTTCAGCATTAGCACTTTCGGAGCTCACAAGCCGGGTAAGCACGACATGGTAGCATGTAACATTAAATTAATCTATCTATTCACAACTGAGTAGCCTTGAGCCCCTTAGATATATTTTCCACTTGACGCGATTCTTCTGTTGCCTTCTCAATCTCTGTCCCCTCCTTGTACTGAACTTTCTGAGCTGGTTCATCATCGTCCTGTTGAATATCAAATCGCTCTAAAAAGTACTTCTCCACCTCAGACTTGTTGTTCTTCTCTGCCTCGTAAATAGCATCGTGGTTAAACTTGTTCTTCAGGAATGGATCTGCGCCAAATTCGCAAAGTACCTTAATTGTCTCTGTGTGCCCATTGTAGGCTGCCCAATGCAGCGCGGTATTTCCCGATTCATTCTGTTTATTGACTAAGTTTTGCGCATCGCTCTTAGAAAGCAGTCGCAAAAGGTATTGACACACCTGGTCATGTCCGTTTGCCGCTGCCATGTGTATAGGGGTAGCTAAAGTGTATTCGTCTTTGATGGTCAATAGCGTTTGTGGGTCGACATGTTTTTCGAAGATTTCTTTCAAAGAGTCAAGATCACCCACTCTGGCCTCGTATATGATGTCATCCATCTCTTCTTGGGACAGCGCCTTTTGCAAGTCAGCCATATTGGATAGAATATCGAAGCTATTTTTTTTGAATTTTTTTTTATTGACACTAGATCGTCTGCCAAAATTTATTTAATGGCAAAATTTCAGATGGCTTCTTCAAATCAGGGCTCGGAAGGAGAATGTCTTGGCCAGAAGAATGTCCAAAGCAGCAGCAATCTGATGGATCTTGAAAAGATCAAACAAGATTTGAAAGGGTTCAGGCCAGACCCAACTTATGTGCGAAAAAGGACGACACCTCTTGGCAAGCTCTTTGATAAGGTGAGCGACTTCGTTGGCACGCATGAGAGTCCAAATACGATTGACGAAATGTATGCGAAGATGAATGTTGAGGAAAGCACTGACGACAAGCTCAAAAGGCGGGAACTAGTCATCCACCAGCTCTTACAATTTTTGCTCCAGATTCATAGCCTTGTCCCACGCAACAACCAGACAGATATAATAGCCATTCCGTTATACGATATGAAGATTGTCAGCAAAGTGGTAAACATTATTGTGATAGAGGGTGTGTATACTTGTTTGCCACCCGGAATAGGTTTTCCTTTAGTAAAGCGCAGACTAAAGAATTTCAAAATTCCCTTGAAAGTGGTCAAGGTACCTTATCCGCAGGGAAAACCCATCCTACAAGACATCGTTGACACATTCACAGAGATTTATAAAACAGATAGCGATTTGAAAAATCTTTTGCTTGTCGGCACTGGATATACAGATGCGTTGACTTGTTGCATCGTTTTAGCTAAGACTGAGCCAAGTTATCAATCAAAATTTAAATTCTTGGAGTCTATTTCGTCAACATATCAATTATTTTCGCTCTATGGTACTCTTGTATCACAACCATTACAGCCTTGGTTCAAAAATTTCGTGATGGATCGTTTGGCAGACCTTGTCGTCGAGAGGGCGCACAATGGGGTCCAATCTTTGATTGAGGTGATAATGGGTCTAAGGGAAAATGAGACCATTGATGTTGCTAAGATTGATGAAGTGCTTAGAGTTTTGCTTAGCACAAAACCATCAAGATTGACTAAAATCGAATATCTCCAGAATATTGGAAACCAACTATACAACATTTTGGTTCATGTGAACTGGCCAGTTATGGTGTCTATTGTGACTCAACTTCTGGAACAGCTATATGTCAAGAATCCCCTCATAGTCCGCGATTTCGTTTTCAAACGGATATGGAACATCCTCAACCCAGATACAAGGGAGTTCTCTAATGACGATGAGAATATAATGCTCACAAGTGAGGTGGAGCTCAACAATGCTTTCAATGTAGTACTTTCCATCACGAGAACATCCGGAAACGAGGACTTTGTGAGGACAATGTTCGAGCCAATAGCTGTGCCGTTCTGGTCATATTTGCTTTACCAACGCAAAACTTCCAAGGACTACAGTCTGATTGAGAGAGTTCTTGTATCTGTATTGGCCAGGCCAGACGAGAACTACACAATTCTCAATATTCTTTTGAATAATCTGATGGCAATCGATGGGAGCTCGTGGGAATTTGGCTCCGGAGAGAATGGATTAACATACATCAAAGAGAAATTTGCAACTAAAAGTCAATTCGAGATACTCGACAGTGTGGATTTTGTGGCGACATCTTTTGGGGAACTGCTCAAGAAATTGAGTGCCATTGACGAATATCAGGTGCAATATGTGTTTTTGGCATGCCTAAAAGCCTGGTTGAACGCCGACGAAAGGCTTTTAACCAAAGATGATGAAAATCCGTTTTTTGGGCTGATAAACCTCAAGATGATTGAATATTTGGGCGACAATTTCAAAGACAGCTTGACTAAATCGGTTGATGGCACTCTGGAATTGTTGTACTCGGTTATAAAAGATGAAAAGAAAACTCACTCAGAAACATTGAATGTCGTTAATGAAAAGGAAGACTCGGATGACGAAGAAAACGACGACAACGCCAACCTCAAAATTGTTTTTGAAATACTATCCACCATCATCAGCGACTCTAAACTTTCGTCAAAATCCTTGAAAACTCTATCAAACATACAGTTAGCGCTACAAACTGTAAATTCAGACTTAGGCCAACGCTTGAGCACCATTATGTCGCAAATCGATACAAAAGAGGCAGAAACTGTTACGAAAGAAGAACAAGATATAGTAATCAGACAAAAAGCATTGAAGAATCTGGCAGATAATTCCCCTCCTATCAGAGTCCATGGGCTTCAACTTCTCAGAAAACTTGTGGTGTCTCAATCACCGGCGATATCTTTGGCGTTTGCCATCAATCAACACATGTTACAACTCAAAGATCCCGAACCTTTTGTTTATTTGAACGCCATTCGGGGATTAGAAGAATTATTAAGATTTGACCAGAATTTAATCGACAACTATCTCAATATCTACTCGAATCCCAAGATAAATATAGATGAACGACTCAAAGTTGGTGAGGTGATTCTCCGATACATCAACTTTTCTGGAAATGCTTCGAAGAATACAGGTCACATAATTGGTACGACCTTGGCCATCGTGAGGAAAGATTCGAACAATGAAGTGACGATGAAAACGTCTGCAATGTCGTTACTTGGGTCATTGTGCAGAAACAATCCTCTTGCTATTCTGAACCATATGGAAGACATTATGGATTGCGTGTTTGGTATTTTACAATTAGAGACCAAAACAGATTTTGCTGTGCTAAGGAGATCTGCCATCGTGCTCGTTAGTGACATTCTCTCGACCAGTGATGGATTACAACTTTTGGGAAAGTATGGAGATAAACTCGATACGACACTTAAATACATAGCGGAAACGGACAATGACTACCTAGCCAGAGAACAAGCGTTGTCTGTGCTCTCACTGGTTGATGACAAATTTGCACAGACGTTCCGCGAGACCGTCAAAATCCATTAACCATACATAATTCGTACATAGAATCTCAGCATCTTCATGCCTCAACTTCTTCCAAAAGCGCAAATCTATTATTAGAGGACACCAAGTCGTTTGATTCTTCTTCTTCGTCCATATTTTCCCAGTCACTATCATCTTCTGTGGCCTCCTTGCGTCCCTCAGTTTGGTAACTACTGTCATGATATAATAGTTTGCTTTTCACCGCTTCCTTGGCTTGCTTATTTATGGTATCCCAATTAGCTTTTCTCATGGATTGAATTTCTTTTGCTCTGTTGATACTCGCCTCGATTTTAGATCCAAGCTTTCCGTCAATAATTACGGCTTTTTCTCTTCTGGTCTTGATCGTTTTGGAGATACCTGACCTACCCTTATTCGACTTTGAAGCTTTTTTTTCCATTTTCTGCCGCAATAAGTCTTCATTTTTAGATGCAGATGCACGAATCATTGGACCTATAGTGTCAGTTTTCTCCAAACGAGGGACTCTTTCCAGATCTCTCGCCTCTCCCGTTGTTTCACTAATTTCACCCCTGCGGGCTGCACGAGAATGCTTCGAAATCTTTTTAGCCATAGCAAAAGATTTATGGTTAAATAAATTTAATTTTTTTTTATAGCCCTATGTAGTGCCAAAAGGGCAGGTCGATCGACGCACCGATAATCTAATCACCTCTAGAATTTGAACACTTGACTCTTGTTATAGCCCAGCTCTGCAAGGGCTCCAGTGAGCTCACCTTGGTCACTTGGTGACTTCTTGTTTCCGGAGATAGCATCATAGAAAGGTGGAGGCCCACAGACAAAAATGTGGATGTCATCGGAAGGACCGGATAACTCCTTAGACAAGACATCCTTGGTAATGAATCCCTCAGTAATCTTTTGGTCTGCGACCTTAGTAGCTTTGTCAACAAAGTATCTGACCTTAAATTGATCTGGGTGCTTGTTAGCCAAGGCATCCAATTCCGGCTTGAGCAAAATGTCATCAACAGTCTTGGACCCATACAAAAGCTTGATCTTAGTTTGGTCCTTCTCGTTCTTCAAAATCTCATGAATCAACTGGTACAATGGAGTAATACCGGTACCACCGCCAAGCAAATAGATCTCTTTGAAGGAGTTTGGCTCCCACTTCCATTTTTGAATAGGACCTTTGAAAGACAAGGTGTCCTGAGGCTTTAGATCGAAAATATGAGAGGACATTTTACCTCCATCGTAGTGCTTAACGAGCATTTCCAAGGTTCCCTGTTGCTCATTGTCACTGATTGGAGTGTATGGTCTAATGACGTTGTTGCCCTTCTCGGTCACAAATTTGGTCATCACACAGGAAGCGGTGGTCAAACCGGATTTGGCATCCGGGCTTGGCAATTCGAAAGTGAGAAGTTTGGTGTCGTGAGACAATTGCCTGACATCCTTCAATTTCAAGTCAATCCACTCATCGCCGCCTTTCAGGGCGACCGGAGTCTCGCTAGCAATTGAGTTGATTGAGTGGTAATAATACAAGCTGCTGGCAGCTGCAGCGAAAATTGGAAGAACATGTTTAGTTCTCAAACGTGCTAGATTAGATAAAGCAAATGACATTGTAAAAGAGAATCAGTTTAGTATTGAAATGAATTTTTGCCTCGATTGCTTACAGTACAAAAAAAAAGCGATGATTGGTAGAGACTCGGAATTAATCGAATGCTAACTAGAAATTCCCTCTTAATAACCAATCCAGCCACAATTCTAATTATGCAACCTCCGATTGAAGTAGATACGCGCATGTACCGCAAAGATGCATCTTCTAATGAAGAGCAATCGTACGACTAATCTATCCGCCCCAGATAAAAGCGACCCGTCGATCGTACTCCTCTAGAACTTAAGGTGATATAAATTAGACGGAGCGAACTAACTCACCTGACAAAATGTTTAAAACACTCAAATCGAAGAACGAGCTTGTCTACTTGACCAGGAAATTGATCCCACCTTTATTGCCTAATTTCCACAAAGGCCAATGTGGTCGCGTAGTTGTCATTGGTGGATGCGAGGACTACACAGGTGCTCCATTTTTTGCTGCTCACGCTGCTGCTCTTCTTGGATGCGATTTGTCCCATGTCATTTGCGAGTACTCAGCCGCGCCGGTGATAAAATCATATTCCCCTGATCTTATGGTTCACCCCTACATGCGAGATAGCTCCAAAATGGAGGAGGATTTCCGTCTTCAATCCAAGACTCCGACGCCAGAGTTGATTGACAGTTACATAAGATCCGACATTCTACCCAAAATCACCTCATTGCTTGATCGAATACATGTCGTGGTGATTGGCCCAGGATTTGGGCGTGATAAGGTAATGTTGGAAACTTTGAAGATAGTGATTGATGAGATCAAAAAGAGAAATTTGCCTGTGATCTTGGATGCTGATAGTATATATCTCATTTCTCAGGAGCCAGATATCATCCGTGGGTATTCCAGAGCTATAATAACACCAAATCCAGTGGAGTTCAAACGCATTGCTGACGCACTAGGCATCAAGGAATCAGATCCTCACCTTGAGGCCAAGGCTGTTTCGAAGGCATTGCAGGTGACAATTTTGCGTAAAGGTGCTGTTGATTTGATTGTGGACGGAGAGCAATTGATCATTGCCGAAGAGGAGGGCGGCCTTAGACGGGTTGGAGGACAAGGAGACTCGCTTACGGGCATGATTGCTACATTCCTGGCCTGGGGCACCTACTCGTATCGTAATAGGCTTTGGGAAGAATCCAAAGAAGAACCAGTATTAGGCGATCAAGAGGTGAAAATGCTCGCATGCTACGGTGGAAGTATTCTTACAAAATACGCATCTAAACTAGCATTTGAGCAACACTACAGAGCAATGCAAACATCAGACCTTCATAAATTCATTGGACAAGCATTTTTGGAGAAGTTTGGAAAGAAGGAAGATGAAGATTCAAGTTATACGTTATAATTTAATTGAAAATCCTACCATGCGTGTTCGGTTTTTCTGAATTTTAGACCTAGGAACCTTGCAAGGTCGTCGTAGAGGCCATCGAGCACCTCTCTAGAGTAGTCGTCCGAGGATGGTTTAAACTCTGAGGGGTCCACGTTTGGAGACTTGATCTTTCCTTCCATGAAAGCACGCAACTTGGCCTCTTCTTCCAAAGTTGGTGGCAAGAGCTCATAAAAATGACAAAGGGAGAGTAGCGAATCATCAGACAAATCGTGGAACTCTTTCAATGTTTTTGGATAAATTGTTTCAGGAGGCTCATCACCATCGGAGTTCAGAACAGGAGCAATAAGATCAGTGTCTTTCGAAAGTCCCGAGTTGATGGTTCTTCTCAGCGATCTTTGTTCCAGGATGTTCAATTGACCCTGCAGCTCGCCCACAAGCTGAACAAGGTCATCATTGGTAGCAAAATCTGATGTGTCAATCTGTCCCTGTTTTGATATTGTGCCATCGGGCCCAACTCTTGGAACATCAATGGAGTTGAGCTCTCTGTCGGTTTGTCTTACTTGAAATCTCAAGAGCTGCTCCCCAGTGCGGCTGATCACCTTGCTTTGCCTTGCAACAAGCTCTTTCAATTCATCGATCTCCTTTTTCAATTCCTCTAAGGAAGACATTTTGAAGGGAGCAATATATATATATAAATTAGTTTTAAAAAAATGTGGAGTGGAAAGCAATATCGCATGCATGCTCTTATATATATAGATACGGATCAAAAAATCTTATTTCTGGAAAATTACCCAACTTAAGCCAGAGTAATAATTCATGTCACGATTATTGGATCTCAATTACCAGCTCGCCTATTACAAGGCCTACCATTTTCATCCCAAAAACGTTCGGATACACTTGATGTGTATTCCGTTGATATTTTTCACAGCGGTGATCATGGCAGGTGCGGTAGATTTGGGGCCCGTCACCCTTGCTCAAGCCGGAATGATCGGTTATGGTATTTATTATCTTTTGTTGGATGCAGTTATGGGCCTTGTCTCTCTGATATTTGTCTTTGCAGCTGCCTATTCTTCTACGTTTTTGCATTCTCACTTCCCAAGCTCTCAGGTCAATCTTTATGCCCTAAGTGTTCACGTTTCCGGCTGGATTGCACAATTCTTCGGCCATGGATACTATGAAAAACGGGCTCCTGCATTGTTAGACAACCTTATTCAGCCGCTAGTTCTGGCACCATACTTTGTTCTGTGGGAGATTGCATTTGAGTTTGGCTATAGAAGAGATTTGAAGAGAACAATGGAGAAACAAGCGAAACAAATGCGCACGGACGCTGAACGGAGACGATTGAACGTCAACAAATGAGCGATCATGTATGAAAGAGTTCTTATTTTGTGTGATTATTTATAAGCCATAGGCTGCGATCCTCTATATCTTGTACTGCCTGCAGTACGCTAGGTACAAAAAAAAATAAATGTTCGCCTAATTTATAGTATGTTTTCCAATAAATATAACGTTGATGGTAGATTGGTTGTGATAACTGGGGGGTCACAAGGTTTAGGCTTTGCTCTGGCAAAGAATTTGTACTTGAAGGGCGCCAATGTCATCATAATCTCGCGCACCAAAACGAAATTACTCAACTGCGTGGAAGAGATCAAGAAACTCAGCCAAAAAGAGGGCCAATTTGTTGACTACGTGGCAGCGGACCTTTCTAAATACGAAGAATGTGAGAGAGTGTATGAATACTTAGTTTCAAAGAAATTACTTCCCGATGATCTCATCTGCTGTGCGGGTATCGCCTATCCACAAAAGTTTGCCAAAATCCCAATTTCCAAAATTGATGAAGGAATAGATATTAACTATAAGACTGTCGTCTACTTCGTACATGCTATGCTCCCTTTAATCACCGAAAGAGTACGGGAACAACATCTTGTGCTATGTTCTTCTGTGATTGCTTCTTATGCTTTTTACGGCTACTCACAATATGCCCCGATGAAAGCTGCTGTGAAGGCTTTTGGAGATTGCATGCGACATGAGCTTCTACCGTACGGGGTAAATGTCCACACTGTATTCCCCGGAAATTTTGAATCAGAAGGCTACGCTCAAGAGAACTTGACAAAGCCCGCTTTAACTAAAGAGATAGAAGGTGCTTCCCCCGCCATCTCTGCGGAAAAATGTGCGGAAATCGTGGTGAATTCTCTGCAAAATGGCAGTCTTTACATCTATACCGATTTTATCGGCTGGGTCCTGGGATCTTTTAGCTTAGGACTTAATCCAAGAGAATGGTGGTTTGCACAAATTTTTTTGAGTTTCATTGGATCATTGGTGGGCCGGCTTGTTGATCTATATCATGAGCATTTGATCAGAAGGCAATCTCGAGAAGAAGCTAAACAAAAATAATAAAACGTGTTCAATTTTTGTTATTTATAAATCTGTCAATACTCTTAGTGATGGAGTCCCCCACACCGGAGTAATCGAGCGAATAAATGTAATTGACACCTTTAATGACTTCGTGGTTCCAGATGTCTTTAATGCTTTCAGTAAGGGTTTTTTCTTTAGATTCAAGAATATTGGACTGATGAGGAACTGGAAGATCCCTTTCCTCAATAATGCGCGATGACTCTCTCAAAGATTGCGAAATGACTGCTTGATTCAGACGAAATTCACGAGCTGTGAGGTAAGCTATGGAGCCTGTGAGCAGCACGCCACCTAAAAATCCGTGGATGCGACCGGCCATAATATTAAACTCGAATTTATTTCCTTGTGCAGAGAGAAATAAAACATCTCCGGTTTCGAGCCCGTATGATTCTCAACTGAAAGCTTTTTTATTATCTAAATTTGATCACCATGACTCTGGGCAAGAACTCGAAGCAGCTTCGGCATATGCTCAGAAACTTGGGCGCATCTTTGATTGAGCATGAAAGCGTCACCACTACGCTTGCAAAAGCCAAGAGAACACAGGCACTAGTTGAAAATCTGATTACAAAGTCAAAGCACTATAAAGAGTCGGGCCAGCTTGACAAGCTGCGCACCAAATTAGATGCCGAACTATACAAGCCTGACGTTGTCATACCCAAGATGCTGAACGAGTTGACCGATCGTTATGCGAAGAGAAATGGAGGATACACGAGAATAATAAAACTTGAGCCTCGGATAGGAGACAATGCTCCCCAGGCTATGCTGGAATTAGTGGATTCCTCGACCAGAGAGATGAGGTTCTGGTACCTCGCGCGTGTGGTTGCCCGATTGGAGCAGCAAGGTTTGCCTTTAGACAAGCTGACTGAGAAAAATGTGCGGGCTTTGCTTCTTTACAGAAAGAACGGGGAACAGGTTTTCAGAGACGCTGTTGCTCTTTGCAAAGAAAGATGGTATAAAGATATCAAAAACGAGACCAAGCCAAGAATGAAGTCAGACAAGAACGGCTTCCACAAAACTTTCACGGACTACAAAGTTGTTCCGAGAGAAAGCCAATAAAGATAAAGCCTATGTAAATAGAATTAACGTATTACACCTATTCAAACCTAATTAAACTTCTTGCGAAGACTGTTTATGGTTATAGGAGTTGATGCTGAAAGCGTTGTTAAGCAGCTGGTTAGTTTTGAAATTGAATGCCTTGGTTTTGTCATAGACTTGTTGGTAGACAGAACCTGTCTCGGCACCACGAATCAGCACTTTGTCATTTTCAAGCTTGAAGTTATCTCTAGCAAGTGCATTATCGATGTGCTCGTCGTTCAAAAACTCCTTCAATTGCTTAACAGACAGCACCTTGTAAAGCTTTCCGATGGTGTCCAACACCAGAACTTGGGCATTTTTGTAAAGTTCGGCAGTGTCCAGAGTTCCAATGAAAAAATCAGTTGTGGAGAGCACTTTGAATTGCTTCATCACCTCGGGCAGCTCATCAAATTCGTAAGTCACGAACAAAATCTCCACAAACTTGGTGAATGGGTCTTGATATTCGTATTCTTCTGTTTGCACGGCTCTAACAAGGTCTTTGATTCTTTTCTGTCTTAATTGCGGCTTGGAACTTATCACTGCAACCACCAGGTATCTCAAAATCCAAGGACACGAGGCCTGAATGGTAGAGAGATATGACGATGAAAAAAACAGATCCACGAGACTTTCAAGACCATTTTCGAGGTTGAAGAAAATGAACAGCGAGAAATGAATCAACCAGGTTCTCTTATTCAGCTGATCAAGAGTGGACCCCTTGAAATGTCTGTTGTCTATGATCTCTCTGAGCTTGTTAAGTTCCTCCAGAGCATCAGTCCAGGACTCAGTGATGATCTCGGATGAGATTTTACCCCAGGTAGCGCTCAAGTTCAAATCCTGATTAATAGACAGAAGTCTAAAGTTGTTCAAAAGGTCAGAAGCAACAACGTAATCTCCTCTGTTGTACTGAAATTTTCCAAAGTTGTAAAGTTCCAAAATCTTTGCGTCGTCAATGTGGTGGTTCTTCGAAAGATACTCCCTGTTGTAAGTCTTGTCTTGTTTCAGTGACTCCTGCACATCCTTGGATGCAAGGATCTCTAGAGTTTTGCTGGTTGCCGCATTCAATCGGGCATATTCCTCTTCAATAGCCTTTTCCTTCTTTTCGAGATCGGCAGGTACAGCCTCACCTGGATGCAAGCTAGAATATTTCTCTCTAATAAACTTGGTCATGTTGGTGTCTTTCAATAGATCATACTCCATAGACTCAACGTCTTCAGAGGAGTAAATCGAGTCAAGGTTTTCCACAAGAGGAAAAATCAGGTGTCTATCCAAGAATTGTATGAATTTAGGGGTCAAATCATACTTTCTGGCTATCTCGACCTCCTGGGCCGTCAACTTAGCATGTTGTGTTGTTTGCTCGGTCATTCTGTCAAAAACACAAAAGAAGCCAACTTGAAACCTCTGAAAATTTTTACATCCTTTGATAGTCCCGTCGATCGTCCAGAACAAAATAAAGTCAACGTGATTGGAATTATCAACATGTACAGAGGATTCAAGGTACGTAATTGTTCATACTGCAACTAACAACGTAGGTTGGCTTTCCAATTATCGCTTCAATGGTGTACATGAATGGTCAATCCATTGAATGCGAAACCAAAAGAAAATTCTATGAAGCGGCCACTGAAAACACTATCCCGGGCCTTCCTTCAGAGCCACTAGAGCCAGAGCCTAGTAAAATAGAGGAGATCAGAGACTCAAAGGTTGGGTTTTTGCAGGACAATATTAAACATGCGAGATTGCAGCTCATTCAGTATCTTGATCTTGCCAAGGACAAGTATATTGAACAATCGGAGCAGTATTACAAAGTCGAACGCCAAGTGACAGACACATTATCTTCTCTCCACGATAAAAGAGAAGAACTGTTTCCCAACTCGCTCTACGTTCTAACTGGATTTCTCACGGGTGTTGTATTCACCAGACGAAGCAATATTTTCGTCAGATCTACCGTGCCTTTATTTTGCGGAGTGGCTGCATTTAGATTCTTCCTTCCATCGACATTCTCGAACGTCATTTTTTGGCTTGACACTTACGAAAGAAAACACCAGCCAGAGCTTTGGTCATCTCAAAAGGACTTGTTCAATAAGGCAAGCAACATGATCGACCAGGCAGACAAATTGGCCACAGAAACTGAGGCCGTTGTTGGCAAATACTTGGATGAAACCAAAAAGATGGTGGGAACCTATGCTGGGCTCAACGTTGAGCAGAAGGTTTCTGAGAAAAAAACTAAATGATACATCTATATAACTCTAAATAATTAATCACTGCCCGAATCAGTTTCATCTTCTCTTTCATCACTATCATCACCATCGTCTTCGGTGTCGCTATAATCGTCCTCATCTTCATCACCATCCTCATCTTCGTCACTTTCATAACTCTCTTCACCGTCATCGGCAGCAACATATTCCACAGAAGTAGCGTAGCCTTTAGAGTTGAAGAACTTCTCAATGCTCTCCACTTTCGAAGGACTGCAGCAAACAAAACACACAGACGATTTCGGATCAAACATTGGAAGAAAGTATTTCTTCAACACATCGACGACATCTTGCGATGTCACTTGTGACAAACTTTTCACCAGTGTTTGGTTGTAATCAGGACCCCTTTTCATGAGAACTTGATCAAAAAACTTTCTGTAGGCTGCACTGACGTAATTTGTTTGACCATTCACTAAGGAGTTCACAACTGAAGACATAGCACCGTGCAATGCCTTGTCGCTGATTTTTTGCACTTCAGATACATAAGATTCAACAATTTCTTTGCCAACTTCGAAACATTTCTCCACGTCAACGCCACGATAAATGTCGTAGATGACTGTTCCCCACTCAACGATACGATACACATTGGCACCATAAGCTAGACCAGACCCACGAATGCCCCTCCAGAAAGGCCCCTCAACACACTGGAGCACCTCCGCTGCTAAGAGGATCTTTGCAGACTCGCGGGCATTTGCGTCTAAAGGAATTTTGGCCATCAAATCCATGTAACTGGCAGACGATCCGGGCGTCGAAATGATGTAGCAATTGCCACACCTTTCTAATTTTCCCACATCAGTCAAAACCTTTGCCGTATATGGCAGGTCAGTGAGTGGCTCTGACATGAATTTCAAATTTGCTGCAAAAGTTTCCCAGCTGGCCACAGGATGCTCCAATCTCGCAACATCTGCAACTACCAACACACGTATATTGTTCTGCTTTATAAGCTGCTGACGGAATTGTTCAAGGTTCCTGGCCACTGTATCAAAGTCGTCATCAATTTTTTTCAGCAAATCCTTCAGGAAAGCCTCTACAAGGTACGTTCTTTGAGCCCTTGCAAGAGATCTTTGGGTTCTGATGTGTTTATTCATAAGAGTGTTCAGCATGGAATATCCGGATCGTTTCTTTGATGGCAAGTTGTTCAAGGCTTTTTCGACAGCAACTTTAACTCTATCTTGCGTGAACTTGGTATGGAACAGCAACTTGGTATACCAATCAATCACTTTTCCATAGTTTTCGCTTCTTGCAACAATTTTGAAGTCGACAAATTCTTGGAAGTTGTTGTCGAAGGAAGTTGAAACGGTAGCAGAAATGGTGTCTCTCTGGACATCCTTCACCACTTCTGAATAGGGAATAAGCTTACCATCTTGCTCAAGGGGTAACGTGAACAGGCCAGCAAAAACATGAATATAGTTTAAGAGCTTTTCATGAACCTCAAATGATGAACAGAGCAGGTCAACGGTAACGAAATTCGATTTGATGTTCTCAAAATGCAGATATAAAGGAAAACCATCTGGTGTGTCGTTTTCAACTTTTCTAGTCACCGACAAAGACACATCGTTGGCAACGTCATGATTTTTTCCAGCGGCAATCGACTGGGTTTGAATGAATTTGATCTTGGCTACATCCGGGTATCCAAAAGATTCCAAGATTTCATCGGGGATGGGAGTATTATTTCTTTCAATGGCGATCTCTAATTTGGTAGCAAGCTTTTTCAGGCCTTCAACGCCTAACTTGGCTTTTCTGTCCTTTAGTAGCTGTTTGCCGGCCTTTCTGTTAGATCGATACAGCTCTTTAGATGGCTTTGCTATTATGAACAATGACGGATTGCTGACAAAATATTTTGTGTACAGCGATCTCCATTTGGCAGGCTCCCATGTCATGAGAATCTCGTAATCCTTGAGATCCTTCAAATAACCTGGTAAATCATTGCTCGACTTATCTCCATAGATAAACTGGTAAATGACAGACGTCACAAATGTATCATCGTCGTTCTCTGCTTCATAGATAAGATCCCACTTACTTTGGTCTACCACATCCCTGATTCTAGTAATGTCTAGCTCAGTTTCATGGTCTGCAAGAACTTTTGTTATTTTCTTTGGCATCTCGTCAATATCTTCAATTGAGATATTCGAGAAATCAATGTTGATAGTGGTCTTGATGTAATCATCGTTGTATGTAGAGACATGCGTAGCCAGCGGGTTTTCGACCTCGACAAATGCTTGTCTGAATAGAGACACAGAGGAATCCGTCAAATATTTGGACAGTGTTTCGACCGCTAAACACTCGAGTAGATCAACACCGTTCGGACCATAAAATGTTAACGTCAAATCGCCTTTGGATTCGTCCTCGTCTCCAAAGTATACTGTTTTTGTTATTGATGATGACAACGGATCATCCTGGACAGAGTCCACAAAGGGCCGTTTATTTGGAGTTTCGGGTAATGGCGTTATTTCTGCGTCAAACTTCTCCAGAATATCCAAAAGCTCATTTTCGTCAACCATTCCAGTTATTATAAGACATAGATTATCTGGCCTATAATGCTCCTTGTGGAATTGTCGTATCTCATCACTAGTTAGGGTACGCAGATTCTCAACAAGTCCTCCTGTTTCTGATCTATAGGCAGACTTTGTATAAAGGGTTCTTTGTTTCTCCAGAAGCGCAACAAAAGAAGGCTCAAATTGAATTCCCTGCATTTCTGAATAAACAACTCCTTTTTCTCTGCCCTTTCCATCAATATGGTAGACTTCAGTGTAGCAAGCCTCATCAGTCAGCGTAGGGTGCAGAATATGGTCCAAATATGCGGGAAGTATCATCTTGAAACCTTCCCAGCCTGCTGTCATTAAGGTGTAAACTGTCTGATCTGTGGCTGTCCAAGCATTTGTAGTGCTAAATGCCAGATTTCCTAGGATATCCAACAGTCCTTTGTAAGGATACCTCTTGGATCCCATAAAAATTAGATGTTCCAAAGTATGCGGACATCCACTATCGTCAAAGATCTCAGTTGCCAGGGCGAACCATCCACTCACAGAGGGCGACTCTTTTGCAATCAAGCAGACCTCAAGACCAGTTCTATTGGACTTCCATTTCTTTACATTCACAGGTGCATATTCAACCTCAAACGACGATATCAAGTCAAAAGAACCCATTTATAAATAATTAGGGTCTATGTTTTTATGAAAATTTTAAGATCTGAATTCTTATTCCCGCGTTTAAGAGCCTGGAGTAAAAAAAATATCCTCAAAAAAACTAAAGTCCCCCTTAATTACTATAAACACTGACAAATGAATCAGGAAAGCTACTTGAACTCCTTGATTTCAAACACAAAGATAAGGGACAAAGGTAATGCATCCGAATCACTGAACTCCAGTCCACTTCACAGCTCTTCCATTTACCATCAACAAGGAAACCTTGGTAGCTCCATGGATTCAAGCTCAAGTTTTTTCCAATACCAAAATATGAACCACTCTGGAGCAATCATTAATCCGCTACTGAAGACGTTGGAATTTATCGGCGCTAAAAGTCCAGATACCCCTAGTGCTGCGTCTGTCATGTACAAGCTACGAAAGCTTATCAATGCCGAAAAGAAAGTTCTGAAAAGAAGGCATGAATTTTTGGGTGGTGTTTCTCACTGGGTAAACGTATTAAGTAATCCCGAGAACAAACGCTTGTTGGTGGAATTCAGCCGGATTGCAGAGCTACAAGGCCGACTTGACGAAGAAATGATAAGAAAGAAGGAAAATATCAACTTGCAGTTATACCATGTGTCTCAAAGAGAATCAAAATCGGCGGAACTTAAGCTCAAAAGAGCAAGAACTTTTAAACAGCTTAGAGATCAGGAGCGCAAAATTGGGGATAATCACAATACTTGCTTATCGAGAGAGGCCTTGGAAGAGTTGAACATCTCCATTGAAGTGGTGGATGAACAGCTAATAAAATCCATTAATACTTCATTGCAAGGCTCTTTAGTGGATTATGTCCTGAGTATGCAAAGTGTCTCTTCTGATATCAAGGAAGGTTGCAATGAGTTTTTTGAATATCTGAATGCCGATTCTATTTACAATTGTCGCAAAAGCTATTTATTAGATGACTCCTCGGATAAGATCCAATATCTTGGTTCCAGAGAAACTTCCGAGAATAAGGAGAATCAATACAAGGGCCGAGCAGAAAGTGTCAAGCCTGCTGGAGGCAACAAGAAGAAATACTTGAATTTAACCAACTTGACTGGCCCAACTGAAGTTCGAGCAAGCACTGAGCATCTGACTGGCCATGAACTCAAAGAAGAACTGGGGACGTTGCAGACTCAGCCTCTCAAATGTCCAGATTGTGGGTCTCAACTGAAAAACGAACACACCCAACATTCAAGTGTGTGTTCCTATTCCAAGCAGGGATTAAATGATCCGCCCGGCTCCTCCCAAAGTCTTGCAATGCCGGGAAGGCTAGGGATCCGCATACCTAGCGTTTTGAAGTCTCGTGCAGGCGAAGGATGGTAGCTGCTTTAGGCAGACAAAGGCGTCTTATAACATGTCTGCAAATAATTTTTTGCTGATTTCGTATGTGGAGATCATTATAGCACACGAAGGCGCAATTTTCAGGCATCGTGGAGCTAGACCCACAAAGAGCGAGCTCATGCCCTCGTTTTTATAGATGGTATGCAACGATTTGAACATCGATTCTTTGGTGCTTTTTGAGTTCACCTGCTTGTTCAAGGACCCGGCATCTTCCAAAGATACTTGAAGGCGTGTTTTCCCAACGTCAAAAGGATTGGTGAAAATTGCTGCCAGCACGCCAGACAGAGAGCCGCTAATAAACGACCTAGCAAATATTTCGGCATGCTGGTGGTCTGGCGAGCTGAAAATTTGCAGCCGTTGTAATCTGTCGTTCAAGTATTCGTAAGAGGACCAGTATATTCCACTGAATGGAACATCGCGCCAAAGTGTCAGTTGCAACCCTTTGAAAAGAGAGAAAAATCCTTTATTTTGCACTTCTTTGAACGAGTTTGTAACGACCATCTTCATGATCTCGGAGGACGTTGAGCTTGATGTGGGAACAGCCTGGAGCCTAGTTTTTATCAGTTCTAATGGGGCTACCACTGTTGCAGCCATAATTCGCGCGAAGGAACCGCAAAGCAGAGGATTGAAAATCGGGAATTGATTTTTCAAAGGAGATCTATCTCGCAAGTACTCATACCCGCTGAAGTAAACCATATTAGATGGAACTGCCATAATAAGCATCAGAGACAACCCTCTATAAAGAGTGAAAACTCCTTCGTTGACAGCAATTTTTGAAAGTCCCGAAAACGTGCCATTAATCTTGAGTTCTTGTGCACATGCGTTGCTTGAGCAAAAATAGTCTTTGCTTGGTCGTGTAGCATCCTCCCAAAACACTTTCTTACAACAAGTTGCAGTTTGGCGGAAATGGGGAGGAAAAAGCAGTTGTTGTTGTTGCAGCCTAATTCGCACCACATCAAAAGGTGTTACTACCAAAGATGTTAATAGTGACCCAGTGCATGCACTCAGCATCCTCTGCGTAATCGTGATGTCTGACCCTGGCTGTGGCCTGGACTCCAATCTGGGCAAAGTAGCATCTTCTATCAGTTCTATTTGCGACATGCTATCACAACTTTTGCCATAGAAGTTATCTCCGAAAAAATATGAAAATATTAAAAAGATTATGTACTAAGCAATTACAAAATAATGTTTAAATAAGTTTACAGATCCACCTTGACATCACTGCCCTTCTTATCCTTTTCACCAGTTAAAACACGGTACAGTTTTTCATCCACTCCATGACCAATTTTGCTGGACCAACCTCTAGCACGCTCAAACCCATTGCGCCCGTACTGGTAATCCATGAAGGCCTCATAAATGCGCTCTCTGGACGTTTCAACAAAAGGACCGTGTTGGACGACTTTCTGGTTTAGCACTTGACCTCCAATAATAACAAAATTTGTTTCCTCGCTATCTTCTGGTACCGATCCGCCGATTGCTTCTCCATCCCTATTGAAAAACACAGCATGGTATTTAGGAATGGTGGTTCCATTGATCAAGAGAGACCCTTTCAAGATGTACAAGAAGGCGTTGAACTCAGAAGGCAGTTCTTGCACAAACTCGCCACCAGGTTTGACTGTGTAGTTGTAGTACTCGACAGGTGTGTATGCGAGGTCTTTGACAGACTCAACACCATACGACTTGCCGCTTATCACCTTGACCCTGACCTTATCGTTTGGCTGTGCCACTGGAATTTCTGCGTCTCGCAAATCGCGATAACGGGGCTCTGTGTGCTTCAAATTTTCTGGAAGATCAACCCAAAGTTGCATTCCTTCGACATTCGAACCATCTGGAGAATAGGGCATTTCAGAATGGCAGATACCTTTGCCTGCTGTCATAAATTGCAGGTCACCTGGGTTGAGAACACCGGAAGATCCCGTAAAATCTTCGTGCACAAACTGCCCTTTCATAACAAGAGTGATAGTTTCTTGGCCACGATGAGGATGGTCAGGGAATCCGGCGTCGGGACTCACATTGAAATGGTCTAGCACAAGAAATGGTGAGAAGTTTCTCATTCCCATGGTGCCAATGGAACGTCTCACTTTGGCTCCCACACCTTCAGCCTGCTCCATACAGTACATCGACTTCAAAATTGTACGAAAAGAAACCATTTCGAGATCAGTTTTAGATGAACGGTATTTTGCTGGGGACCTTTTATACTACTTCCATATCTTTACTAACTTGTTAGTAATTGCACAGCCTAGTAAAATTTATCCAGAAGTTTGACTAATAGTAGAATAATAAAAAATAAGCAAACCGATGCCGTATTAAATATATAATTCCAACACTTAATAATATCAGTCATATGACTGAAATTGGAACCGGCTATGTAACCATTTGTGTGCGCCATTGAGATCTTTGTTACAACAATCTGCCATGAGGAAAAACAACCTCTATTGATTCGGCAGTACAGCACCTACTCTAACTTTCTTCTTTCGAAGATTTACTGCCCATACAATATAGTGCAGAGGTTTGGTTCAAAGGGAAACTTTCCCAAAGCACGGTAATTTCCAGTTGTTACAGGGATATCAAGACGACCAACAGAGGTCTGTCGAGGTCTCCGGAATATTACTGGGCTCTGGTGGGCATTACCTTGATGTTTTTTGGATGAGACACTTTAGATGGCCCTACAAAACGGCACTCAGTAACTTCGATAGAGGTAGATTAGCGATTAACTCTGAATTTTGATCGTTCACCTTCTTGCTCCTGACAGATTAAACTGCGTCTTCTATTTGACTAATGGAAAGGATTAGTGTTCCTTGAGTAATCTGTAACCTCCGAGCGCATGTCCGTAACCTCTGAGCGTAGGTCGTCTGTGGTAACACTGACAGCATCGGCCTCGCGTCGTTTCAAAGGAATAAGATTTGCGAGGCTTGTCTTGCCATGCAAGCGACGGAAATACCACACGATACCAACTATCAGGAAACCCAAAACAACAACAGGAACTACAACTGCAGGGACAATTATCTTGGCTTTGGACTTGCTGGACGTGGTCGTGGCACCGTTGTCAGAAGGTTTCCGGGTGATGGTAGTGTAGGCATCCGACTCGTGCTCGATGATCCGAATCAACGGCCCGTACGTGGTGCCCGTGTGCTTGGCATTACTGGTGGAGTCTAATTGTGGTGTGATAAGCAGCCAGCAGTAGCCCTCGGTGCCACTTCTGCGGTATGATGACTTGACTTCCCATGCATAGTATCCGTTGTTATTGATGACATAATCAGATGTAAAAAGGGATTCGTCTCCATCAACCGAGGGATAGGCATTAGTTGAAAGACGGACCCTGACGATATCATCACTTCCCCAGTACTGTGGATCCCAAGTAATCCAGTAGGTCTCTCCAACGAGCATTTCGGTGCCGTTGGCAATGCAAAACGGATATCCAGAGTTGGATTCGTCTGCTCTCTCGTTCATACAGCGCAGCACCGGAGGTGCTCCCCCTGTTGGACTTGGATAAGAAGTGTCAGTTGGTGTAGGAGATGCAGAGATCGTACTGGAACCTGAGACAGAAGGCGTAACTAAGTATGGGATTCCAGAGGAATCAAGAGAGTTCCAAATGGTAGCTGAGTCTGAGACAGGAGAAGCAGATATGGTAACTCCGTCAGTGACTGTAGGAGTCACGAGGACCATGTTATTAGACGACGTTGATGTCCAGACATTATCCGTGAGAACCTTTTGTGAGGTAACACACGCAGCAAGAGCGATAAACCTAAAAATCATGGTAGTAATTGGTTGATTATTTCAGGCCGTTGGAGAAATTTATATGGGCTCTGTCCGACATCGCCGACTAATTAGTCTTGGCTTTATTCGAAAAAACCTGTTTATTACACGCGAATTATTGGTTTTTTTGTCTCATGACAATGCTAGCCGTCTATTCAGTTCATATATTACATTGACAGCAAATGCTAGTATACACAACAAGTGAATTTCCGACAGTCAAACCTCCATAACATTTTTCTCCAAATCGATGTTGATAGCGACTGGTAAATTGGAGTCTTTTCTATTTCTTGTTTTGAGATACTTGGCCTGTTTCCGCGGGTTTAAACGTGTGTAATTGTTTCCATGCGACCAGGATCTTAATCTCATTAGGTTCCAGACTCCTTTTCTGAATCTCTTGAAAGTATTGGAGATGAAGAAAGAGTACATGAGGTACTCCAAGTAAAAAAATAACAGCGCAACTGCAAAGCCACCAATTACAGCCCAAACAATATGCTTGGAGAGTAAAAACATGAATTTCGCATCATCCATGTGCCATGAAGAGCCTTTCGAAATGCTGAAAAATGGATGCTCTCCATTGCTGTAGTCCTGAGGCATGAGAATCCTAACCGCCCCTGCATCAGGAACGCCCCATCTCTTGTACTGTTTCCATATCACGGACAAAAACAGCGGTCCTGTGGAGTACATAATTGTGATGTATGGCACTAGCCAGTTGTGGTTGTATTTGTTCAAATCATCAATCACTTTGGCAAAGAATGGATGTCTAGGCATCGAGCCCATGGCATCGTTAGAAATACCCGTAGGTATGGTTTTTCTCACAAACGCCGGAACGGTGAGCAAAGGATCTAGTTTTCGGGCACACCCATCGTCCAAGTCAATGTAAATGCCGCCAAAGTGATACAAGATAAAGTACCTGATCGCATCTGCTCTTTCAATTGGATACTTGTATTTGTCAAAAGTCTCTAAAAACCATGGATATTGCTCAGAAATAAATTCTCTAGACATCTCATCTGTCCAGAGAATGTACTGATAGTCGGGATGCAGGTCGATGCAACTTTGTTGTCCTTGCTTCCAGACATCAGGGATGTCAGTTGTCTTGTACGTCTGATGAATTATTTTGGGAATGAGTTGGGGCTTATCCACGGTAGGCGATAGCTCAGATTCCAGCAGAGCGTACTGAAAACTATCATCATAAAGCAGCGTTATCAAGTCAAACGTCTGATAAACCAAAAATACCACTAGCAACAAGTGCGCTAGCAGAATATATTGAAGCTCTTTTTTCATGACAAATGAAGGACTGCAATTTCAATTGAGGCAAACTGCGCACTCAAAAAAAATTGTAAACAAGGGGACGACAAGTGTTATCAGAATATAAGCACAAGGCTAATAGCGTTGAACTGTCTAAGCCTCCGTTTATTTCTTTTGTAACCTATTTCAGGCGTATCTTGTTGCTTGCTCAAGATATTAAATTAATATAATGTATACACCTCCACTTGGAGCTGCGCCAGTATTTATTTGAGGAATGTGCACATCGCATGATAAAAAAAAAAATCTGCATCGCCACATTCTACCCCAGCCTCGATCGTTTGCTGGTACACTACACTTTCTGGTATACCAATTCCGGTCTGGAGGGCATTGTGGGATCCATATGATTGAGTTCTGTGTCAATATGTTGCATCTGCTCACAGCTGTAAAGGTTACTGTCTCTTTTGGATTTCGCGAAAATCCAAGTGGAAGCTCCTTTAGTTAAAAGCTTGTACACCAGAAATATGAGTATCATAGCACCAGCCACGATCACCGTGCTCACGACAACATGCGAAACAAATTTGGGTACTGCGGATTTTTTGGGCGCATCAATATCGTTACTTTGCATGTAAGGATCATAAGCTACATTTGACATTGCCAAAGGCCTGAAGAAGAGCCTCGCTTAGCTCTTATATAGAGCCCGATCTGAAAAATAGACTGTTCTGCTGCAGACTAATACTCCAACCAAATACGTCATACACCTTTACACTGGCATGCTCTACCCGAAAAATGACTGTTGCCAAGTCAATGAACTCCCGAAAAAAAAAACAAATTCCCAATGAAAAATCTAACAATCTTGTATCCCAAACAATAGTCGCACAATAAAAGCGCATCCTCGTTTTAAAATTGCTCTGGTCCAGGGCAAGGGTGTATTTTTTGCAAGGCAGATCGAGCGGGTAACGGGGCCTAAACACAAACACAAAAAATTTTCAATATATGGAGATTGTTCAGCTTTAGTTGGCAGAGGAAGGTGTTGATTTACTACACAGATTGCATTTTTACTCATTTTTAACAAGTTAACTCGTATCATGTCTGCCATATTCTCGTACGCTCATGCCGCTGGAGCACCAGCCTCGTCGAATGCCTCCAAATCTGAACTGGAAAATGACATCTCGAACTTGAATCTGAACGAGAAAGAGGTTGACAAAGACACCAAACCGGCTAAGAAGGCAGAGAAGTCGGAGAAGAAGGATAAGAAGTTATCCAGATCCGGATCCAAGGAACCAGAAAACAAACCTGAGCCTGCTAAGGTGGAAGCGGAGCCAAAGAAGGCCAAACTGGCACCTGCACCTCTTCCGGCTACTAACGTTTGGGGGGCAACCCCTACTGCAGTTCCCCCGAAGATTCCAAGCGAGTCTATTGTTATTCCGGAGACCACATCGGAAAACGGTCCCTCTGTCGCCAAAGCGGCTTCAGGAAAGGAAAAATGGGTTCCGCTTAAGGCTTCTGTGGTAATTGCGTCAAACAAGCCGATATCCAAGGGTTCAGGAAAGAAAAAGAATAAGAAGAAAAATTTCAGGGACGGTGAAGCCAAGGAGAACAAAGACGCCAGGAAGAGTGCCAAAAAGAATGGCGAAGTGCGCGAGATTGATACCAACGAGGGTAGTAGCTCAGAGAGCAACACTCCGAAACCAGATCAGCCATCAACGATTGAACAACATGCTGAATCTGCCATCGAATCTAATGATATCAAGTCGGCCGAGCCGCAGCAGAAGCACTTCAAGACAAACGGCAATGGAAACAGCTTTTCCGGTCGTCAATACAGAACGAATTACAATAACCATAGCAGGAGATATAGTGGTCAAAACGGCAGCCAAAATGGCCAGAACGGCAAAAGCAGCAGCCCAGTTGGTCAACTTCCTTATGCACCATACAACAATCGTTCCTACAACGGTCAAAACAATAGAAATCACCACAGCCGGCCAAGCTTCCAACAGTCGCAGTATTTCATACCCCAGCAGCCTTACTACACTCCAATTCCTTACATTCCATATCCGGCCGCCTTAGCTCCATTTGCTCCAGTCATTCCGCAACAGCCACAACCGATCGCCGTGCCTCCACAGGACAGTAACATGCGGGATGCAATGCTTCAAACTTTGGCCAAACAGATCGACTATTATTTCTCTACTCAAAATTTGGTGAAAGACATTTTCCTCAGAAAACACATGAATGACGATGGATACCTGCCTCTGCCTGTGTTAGCTGGATTTTACCGGGTGTCTGCCCTTTCTTATGGAGACTACAACTTAGTTGTTGAGAGTCTGCCCCACTGTTCGAATTTGGAGTATGGAGTTATTGAAAAAGAGGGTAGTAAGTTACACAAAGTGCGGGCCAACACGAACCCGAAGTTTTGGGTTCTTCCTGCTGACCAGCGGTTGGAGCAGGGATTAGATAAAGATTCTCCAAAACCAGAAAAAAATCCAGAACTAGGGGAAGGAAATTAACTGGTGTTAGGATGAAAAAGTTATGTAAATAATTTGCCATTAATTTATTCCTCATTAACAACAATGTCTGATCAGTTCACCTCTGTCCAGTGGGACCGGGATGATCCGGCTAACGGGTCAAGCCCTGGCCAATTGTTCCCCACGGTTGACGAGGAACCATCGCGTGCTGTCACTCCTCTGCAAACTGACAATGCACAACAGGGTAACGAAGATGCAGAAGATAGCGGATCAGGATTGCTTGTTGGCTCGTCTTTGCCGCATCCTGAAACTCCGGATCTAGTCAATGGCCAGGAAAGTGTGGTTGCACATGACACAAAGGACAAGAATGAGACTTCGCAGGATTATTATATCGAAACTCGCGTTTCCAGCCCGACGACAGAATACGATGGCCAGAATCCATACACCTCATATTTGATTGAAGTACGAACGAACTGTGCCTCATTTAAACAAAAGGAATACAAATTGCGCAGACGCTACTCTGACTTCAGCTTCTTATACGATTGCCTTGCAAACGACTTCCCAACCCTTGTCATTCCTCCTTTACCAAACAAACAGCGTTTAGAGTATATCAAGGGTGGCAGGTTCACCGAAGAGTTTACGGCTAAGCGTGCAGTCTCACTGCACACTTTTCTGACGCGTGTTTGTAAGCATCCCTCTCTTAAGAAGTGTCAAGTTTTCCATGTTTTTCTGGAGGACTCTGATTACTGGCATACTTACAAATCCAACCTCAAGATTTCCTCAGGCTCTATTGATCCGAGCAATTCAGCGTCTCAAAATATAGAAACAGTTACAGATTATATCATGAATAGTTTCAAAAAGCCTTCCTACGAGTCAAAACACAAGCAAGAATTTCAGGAAATACAGGAGAAATCAACAAGATTACAGGACAATCTTGTTAAAATCGACCAAATTTATTCTAAAGTGTTGACAAGACAACAGGATATATCAGATGATTTTGCACGTTTTTCACAAGAGTTTTCAAAACTTAATATTCTGTTCAGCAACGATTTTGATGGCAAAAGTTCTAATGACAGCGTAGATATACCCACCAAACAGATAGCCGAGCAGTTTTCGAGATTTAGCACGAACCTCCAGAAGATCTCTGAGCGGTCATATTATCTTAATCATGACATTGAATACAACTATTTAACATCGTTGCGAGATCTCGAGCACTATATCACGCAACTCAAAACCTTGGTTAAGCTTAAAGAAGCCAAGGCCCTTGATTATGAAATGTTGACCAATTATCTGGAAAAGGCCAAGCAGGAGAAAGAGTATTTGATGAGCGGGGGCTCAGTCACCTCTTCCACTGAGGGTGCCATCACGTTTTTAGCTAGAAAGCTCGAGTCCATGACGGGTATAGGATCACATGCTCATGGGAATTTGACCAATGAGAGGATTGAGAAGCTTCAATCAAGAATTGAGGTGCTTGAGAAGGAAAGAAAGAACGCATTTGAAGTGTTTGAGAAGTTTGAAACGGATATCTTGGAGGAGTATCAATTATTTGAAAAAATCAAAACCGAAGAGATCAACGAATCTCTCAGATTATTAAGCGACTCATATTTACAGTACTATACAGACCTACTCCATGACTGGCAAAATTTGCAACTAGGACAGACAGATCCGAAGACCTGCGCAGAGTTTGCAAACAAAATGAGTGAGGATGACGAGTTTTTCTCCCATAACGATGTGGTGAAAAACAATGAGATTTTAGGAGAAACCTTGAAGAAACTGAATGAGTCAACTACGTCTTGATGCGTTTGTTTTTTGACTCATTGACAATGCTTCCATTTTCATCGAATTCGAGAAACAGATTGCTATCAAACACAAAACCGAACTCCTCTCCAAAAGCTCTTTGAAATTCGTCCCGCTCAAGATAACGCGAATAATCAATTGGTGGGAACTCATTCAGCTCAAGACGTCTGTGTTTTTTGTCTTTGGATGTAGGACTTTTGCTATTTTCCAGAAGATAGAACTTACGCAGAAGGGTGACTGCTTCTCTGCTGAGAACACCTGGAATGACTTTGTAAGGTCTCTCAAAGTGCGAGGTATCTTTGTTCACGGTAAAGATGGACCCATTCCCTCCAAATCGTTCGTTCGGACAACCAAATACCACAAGTTTGATCTCAAGCTGTCGCAGCAAGGAGGCGCACATAATGCATGGTTCAACAGTCACATACAAAACCGTATCTCTAAAGATATCTCTATATGTATCGGGGTATAATGCGCGTACTTGATCGTACGCTTCAAACTCTGCGTGTTTGGTGCCGTTTAGGCTAAGATTAGTTTGATTAAAGGATCGTGCAATGATTGTATTTTTGTACACCAGAATACATCCAACTGGTACTTCTTGCACCGTCAATGCTGTTTCGGCTACTCTGAGCGCCTCTTTCATGCGCATATAATGAACTCTAATATCCACCATGTTTTTTTTTATTTTGTTGCATCATTTTTGTCTTAAATTATTTTTTATTTACAGTTTATATTTATATGTCTACTATAGAGGATCTTCTTGCGCGAAAAGAAGAATTAGAGCGCGAAATTGCAGAGCTCAAGCAAACAGAGAAGAGATTGGATGATGAAATACTTAGTTTAGATGAGGAAGTGGAGGAAGATGTGACAAAAATTGACGAAGAACTCACACACCACCAATATTTTGATGAGCTAATACAGAACCTGATGACCGAGGGAATACGACAAGTCGAAATAGATAAGCACCGAAGGAATGATGCTAAACGACAAAAACGTGAAAACGCAATAAAGCGTAGCAATGATGAATATGAAGAACTACGTGAAAGACTACAGCCTGCCATTTGTCTTGAGAACGCGTATCGTTTGGGTGGACTCACTGCTTTTCCCGTCAATGATCCCCAGGCAGGTGAATCGGACCGATTTTTGGGAATACGGTTTGACATCTTTGACCCGTATACCTTCAAATATACGACCCCACACTATGTGATCTTGCGCAAAGACCCCAAAAATGACCTCTGGGAGGTCTTCAAGACCACTATCCCTAACTATGTTCCTCTTAATTCGCTTGCCCACGAACATTTGAATGACGATATGATCCGATTCGCAGGTCATGTGCGCCGTCACCTTGTACAACTACAACTTAAAAGGGCCATTTTTCTTCGACTGCAGGAGAAACTTGAATCTCCGTCAGGCCTAGATCACGATCTAGATTTCACCAAGATAAGCGTCAACATCAATGATAAATTAGAGATAGTTCTGATCTGCGACTTGTACCGAGTTAACAAAGCTATGGTCACCTACATTGATCCTGAGGTGAGCAGAGCGTGCAAGCAGGTTGAAGTTTTATTGTCAGGATTATCTCTCAATGATTTCGATGAAAAGTTTCTTCAAGTTATACAAGGCTGGTTAAATAATTAATATGAATTTGTAAATAAAATTGTATCATTTGTTTTCAAATGAATCTCGCTAATATATACAAATACAGGGGTCATATTTTCCTATTGTATCCCACGATTTTGATATGGGGGACCTTAGTGAACCGTGTGCTTGATTTTATGGATGTTAAGGTATCCAAAGAATCGTTTCTATTGAGCTCAAAGGGCCCTCTTAATAGAATCTTTGCTGGCCACTCATTTGAAGGATTCTTCCTATGTTTTGCACTGTCCACGTACTATGTGATAAGTCTCAGAAGAACCGAAACGGTGCTCCCCCTTACAAGTCGCTCAGGAATGTCAATTCGGGCGATCCTATTGCGTCAGTTGATTAAATTAGCAGTGATCTACGTCTGGCTTTCTTTCCAAATCGTGTGGTTTTTCGGAGACTCTGTATTTGATAGGATACTTGAGCTCACAGGTGGCCATTGTTTACAGAAAGCAGGCCTTAATTATAAACAATGCCGTATTCTCAATGGCAAGTGGATTGGAGGAACAAAATTTAGCGGGCACTCTCTAATTTTGAGCTGTTTTGGACTCAGTCTGATTTTCGAGCTCGAAAACGTGTCTAAAACGTATAGACCTGACGCGGCAACAGCCTTGCTCAAAGGCCTGCTTTTTTGCTGTAGCGTCTATATTGCCGCCTGGCTTCTGCTCTTCACGATCACAGCTATCTTTTACCACACGCTTCCAGAAAAAATTGTTGGCTTAGCAGCTGGCATGTTTGTCCCGTATCTCCTCTACTTCAAACTCGAAGACAAATTAAAAATTGTATAACTTGTATAATTTACATCGCTATTCCTCGCCCAGCTCCGCGTCTATCTTGCTTAATTCATCCTTGGCTATTTTTTCTAGCTCAATGGCATCATTGTACACCAGTGACCCATCTTCGTTGTAAAGTTTGGCATTATCAAACATCTGTTGAAGCTCTTCCTTGAATTGTTGATAGTCCACAATTGAACCTTTCTTTAGCCCCTTTTGAAGATCCTTGATTGCGACTGCTTTTTTCACGATCTGATAGTAGTCAGGGTACAATTTTCTGGAAGGAACGGTCATGAAAAGCTCTGACCTTGAGCGTCCATTTTCATCTGTAGCGTTCACCAGTTTTTGCAAGAGTCCCTGGCACAATTCCACAAATGGTTCTTCGCCGGCATCATCATCATCTTCTTCTTCTTCCTCCACGTAGCTTTCCTCACTCATCGGAGTTGCTGATTTCGTGCTACGTCTCTTCCGTGAAGTTTCTTCTTCCTCTTCACCGGCACCAGCAGAACGCTTCGCACGACGCTGACGCATGGTCTCTCGTTTACGAAGGGCGGCAGCCTCCACAGTATCGTCCTCGGCATCCATTGCGTCCAGCCATTGCTCCTCTGTAAGACCATCGTCATATACAACCTGCTTGCGTTCTCTTTTAATCCCAGCATCAGGCTTATCCTTCTCGAGATGTAGGGTGATGTCTTCTTTGAACACGGGAGGAAGCTCCTCGTATGACATCAATCTAGGACCATCTAATTTTTGGTCCTCCTGAATCCTTGCCTGATCGATTTCAGAAAACAATTTTTTCTCGTCTTCGTTTCTTGCAAGAATCTCATTGAGCTCTTCGTCGTCTAGATCGTCGTTTTCGGCCTCCTCGGCTTTCATCTTCTCCGCCTCTAAAAGTCTCTTCAAAAACGCTTCCTGCTCTTCAGCACTCGATTTATTATCAAACTTACCAGCTTGAATAACTTTGCCATCTATGTCTAGTTTCTGGTGCGCTCTTTCCAAGATCACCTCTTCAACAGAATCCTCTGTGATTAATCTCAAAATACGCACCTCGTTTTTCTGGCCTATACGATGTGCTCTGTCTTGGGCTTGTAAATCCTGATGAGGATTCCAGTCTGTATCGAAAATAATAACCGTATCTGCAGTCTGCAAGTTTAATCCCAAACCTCCAGCTCTGGTAGACAAAAGGAAACAGAAATATTCGGAGTCTGGGGCATTAAAGTCTTTAAGCATATCTTGACGGTCGTCTGCCTTCGTGGAACCATCCAACCGCATGTACTTCATGTCTCTGAACCTTAAATAGTCCTCCATTATATCCATGACTTGCGTCATCTGAAAGAAGATAAGGACTTTGTGACCAGAAGCCTTGAACTTGGGCAAAACTCTGTCAAGCAATTCGAACTTTCCGGAACTTCTCCAAATCAAATCTGTGGTGAGTCTAGATGGATTCACAATATCCTCAACCTCCTCAAAAACGTATGGGTGGTTGCAGACTTTTCGAAGTTGCATGATTTTGTTGTTCAGTCCCCTCAACCCGGTCTTCGTAGCTCCCTGTGTACCCACCCCAACAAAAAGAGCGTTGTGGTTCAACATTTGCTTATACAAACAAGATTGAAGACCCGAAAGCTTGCACTTGACAACTCTCTCGACCTTATCTGGAAGGTCTTTTTCAACATCTTTCTTGAGTCTTCTAAGAAGGAATGGACGCAAAACCTTGTGCAATCTTCTGATAATAAGCAGACTCTCCTCTTCGGATAGTTCCAGCTTGTCCTGGTGGCCCGTATTAGCAAATGGAGTGTTAAACCACTCATCGAACGACTTGACAGAGTTGAAAACTTTTGGAAGCACAAAGTTCAAAAGTGCCCAGAGCTCAGGCAAGTTATTTTGCAAAGGTGTGCCGGTCAATATCAGTCTGTTTCTCGTGTGGTAGTACTGAGTCAACGTTAGCGAAAGCTTGGAGCTTGTGTTTTTCATACGATGACCTTCGTCGATGATCATGTGAGCCCATTTGAATTTGCACAACAGCGGTCGATCCCTGATCACATATTCGTAGGTAGTCAGCAAAACAGAAAAGTTTCCGCTTCGAACCTCGTACTGAAGCTGTTTACGCTGGTGCTGCGTTCCTTTATAAACAATGGTTTTGACGCTCGGAGCCCATCTTTCAAACTCGAGCGTCCAATTTGTGATGGTGGAAAGCGGAACGATCACCAGGAATTTTCCTCGCTCTTTCTTAGATTCTATCAGATAGGTGATCAGGGATATGGACTGAATAGTTTTACCCAAACCCATTTCGTCTGCAAGAATTCCATTGAGGTTGTTGTTGTAAAGTGAGACCATCCACTCGAGTCCCTTTAGCTGGTACTCCTTCAATGTACCACCCACAAGTAATGAGGGCTGCTTTTCAATCTTCTCCTTTATTCTGTGGGCCACCTCATAATAATCTATCTTTTCACGACGTGCATCAGCATCTTCCTCCGTGTCCTCTTGCAATGGTTCCAATCCTTCCTCTGCACGGTCCTGCAAGCTCATAGCACGGGCCTCGTCTTGCTGAACCTTAACAGCACTGGCAAGCGAGTCAAGGAAATTATTCGTCTGCTGAATAAGGTGGTGTAATCTTGTATCCTTCGTTTTGGTCAGAAGCTGCATATAAGCCTCCTCGTCGTTCGACCGCAAAGCAGCCAATCTTTGCTTGGCAATTCTCTCGAGTTTCTTGCTTTCATCCTTTTCCACTTGCGAATGGAAATGCTGCAAAGCCTTAGCCAGAAGATGTCTTGCATTCCGCTTCTCTTCAAGTTCGTCTCTAACTTCGTCGAAAATGGCAGCGAGTTTGTTGACCTTGTGGGTTTGGTAATCATGTTCCAGTTCTTCCTTCTCGCGGCGTTGTTGCTCCTGCAATTTCTCGGCAAGTCTCGAGGTTTGCTCAATTTTTTGCTTGTCCCTTATTGAAAAAGAACGCTTGAATGCCCGGAAACTGTCAGAGCCATACTTGTTTTTCTCATGCACCACACTTGTTAGACAATCTTGGACTAATTTGCGACGCAGTTGTTTTTGTTCGGGTAGAAGCTTCAAGGCTTTCAACTCGTTCAATGCCCGAATCTTGATTTCATCTACATTGTCCAAAATATCGGAGGCAGATTTCTCCAGATCGTTCTCGATAGACGACGCATCATATAGACCAATGTTAGCGGGAAGATTTTCCAGCTCATGTATTCTTGACTCGACCTTATGTTTGACAAGGGATTCTCCTAAAGTGCTGCCTGCGGAATGAATCTCAGAATCAGGAACCGTCTTATGGGGGTCTAATCCGAAAAACTTAGCTTTCTCGTTAAAGTCGACAGGTATATCGGTATTATCAGCTTGAACCTTCAGGGACTCCACATCTGTTTCACCCAGTAGTTTGGTCTGTATTTCTAATGGCAAATCAAGGTCTTTGCTCAAAAGGTTGAATGCCATAACCTGAATGTTGAGGAGATCAAGATCAACAGCCTCTTTGTTCTGGGCCCAACTCTTTTCAAGTTCAACCAATTTTTCTTCATATCTCTGTCTCTCCTTCGTCAACTGTTGCAGTATTTTCAAAATCTTCTTCTTTTCAATATCATTGTTGCTAACAGTTAGCTGTGACAGCAATCTATGAACATCATGAACGGAGCTAGGATAAGCGATTTCAACCGCCGCCTTGCCGTTTTGTATATCGTCTGACATTCTACGCGTTGGCAGTTAAAATACGAAAACAAAAAATTTCGTTAATTAGGTTAAAATGATTTCTGGATTTTCAAAATCCTTGGTTTTCACGCATTCATTTAGCTTGTCCAAAAACAATGCCTGGAATGTTCCTGGTCCGCTAGCCTCCGCACCAGCTTTTTCTCCAGCACGCTTGTAGATTGAACAAGCAATCACAGTCGCTAGAAACGGATTGCTTCTATTGGCCGCAACAAATGCAGCAATGGTAGACCCTAAAGAACAGCCTGTGCCGGTTACACGGCTCATTATCTCATGGCCGCCTCGGATAAACGCAATAGGTACATTCCCTGTAATGTCTCTTCTGCCGTGCAAAATTCCATCGACAACAACGTCCGTCTTCCCCGAGACAACAACCACGGATCTGCTTTGCACAGCCAATTTTTTAGCCGCAGCCACGACCGAATCAAGGGATTCTTCAAACCCGCTGTCAACGCCTCTCATGGATTTCTCCACACCAGCAGCAGTAAAGATCTCGCCTTGATTTCCTTTGATGACAGTCATGTATGCTTCAAGCAACAATTTTTTGATGCTTTGTTTCCTAGTAGTTGAAGCTCCTGCTCCGACTGGATCATACACAATCGGCTTGCCCCATCTATTATAAGCCTTCAAAGCAGTAATATACATCTTGGTTTGCTCCTCATTAGGCGTACCAGTGTTTAGTAAAAGCGAATTGTTTGGATATTGGGCCAGGTCGTCAAATTCCTCGGAGCATTCGCTCATAAGAGGAGCACCACCAACAGCCAGGGTGACGTTTGCCGAAAAGTTCTTCACTACGTCATTTGTAATATGATGCACAAGCGGACGAGTAGACAGAACGTTGGCTATGGATGCACTCATATTGAAATCAGATTCCGAGTCCAACTGGTCCCAAAAATTAGGCGGATCGTTCCATAGTCTGACCAGCTCTTTAGTGGCTGCTGCAGCATCTTGAGCTGCCATAATACAAGACACCACAGCAACACCATCAATAGAACGCCCAGGAATTGAGGCCTGAGCCCTCACCCTTTGGATATTAGTATGGTTAATACCGCCGATCAGACAAATTTTCATAGGCTTCCCAGAGTCTTTGATTATCTGTAGCAGTCTTTGTGAGCCCATTGGACCCATTGGTAGCTTCTTAGTCACTTTCGTTTGCGTGTCAAAGCAAATTCCAACTCCAACATAGTCGGCACCGTCCTCAAGCGCCTTTTGGATCTCCTCAGGCTTGCTAGCCGAAACACCAATGATCTTGTTTGGGCCCAGCAACTTTCTGGCAACGGGAACTTCCATATCTTCTTGTCCTACGTGGAGATGAGCGTCCACGGCGAGTGCAATGTCAACGCGGTCGTTAATGATTAGAGGAATGCCTGCTTTGTCGGTCAACTTCTTGACCTCTCTAGCTCGGTCAATGAACTCCCGAGTGTTGAGTTCCTTCTCCCTCAACTGAACACAGGTGACGCCATTTTCAATGGCCTTTTGAACCTGTTCCAGGAACGAGACCCCCGGGGGGACCATTTCGCTGTTAGTGACCAAATACACGGACAGATCGAAGGACTTCATACCCCACAATTGCAAAAAACAAGATATCAAATTTTATTTGTTAGTCTTTACTTGTTACATAATAAATCGAACATTTGGATCGATTTGGTGAGATGAAGAGAGCTGCGGTTTTTGGGTGTATTTTTGTGCAAGGACTGCCCTGATGTTTTGCAACAGCGTGAGATAACTCTGTATAGGGTTCTCCCTCAAAACCTTGATAAATGCGTAACTCAAAGCACCCGTGAAAGAGCCAGATTCATTGGCATCGGCAGAGGTTTGTGAATCTTTGCAACCTGAAAACATGATAACATCTGCAGGTGACATTTTAGCCTGCTTGATCTGCTCAGCACGTGATCCAGAAGTAGCTTTGATACGCTTGAAGACGTTGCTTACCGAGTTCATCATCAAGCCAGTGTTGCGGGTGAGGTAGCCTGTCACCAGATTCAAGGCATCGCCTGAACTTTCTTTCCAGACATTATACTCCTTGATGCCACCATCTTGGGCTCTGTAACAGAAAGGTAGGTCGAGGGCAGTTCCTGAATGACATGAATCGAAAATACACGTGAGTCTGCAACCTGCTGGCAATGATTTCACCATGATGTCGTGCATCACGTCGTCAACCAAAGATCCCGTTTGTTGAAAGTCCACTGGGTAAATACAATCGTCATATCCGTCTTCCTCATCTCCATCCTGGTCCTCTTCTTGTCCTCCATGACCCGAATAATGGAAAAAAAGAGAATCTCCTGGCCGTGCATCTTTGACGAGCCATTGCATAGCACGGATCATGTTGGCCTTAGTTGGGACCTTAACAAGTTCTCTTTGATCGTCTGTCAGCATCACTATGTCTTCAGCCTTGTATCCTTGAGTCTGGGTCAGGAAATTAAACATGTTGTGCACATCGTTGATGCATCCTCTCAATGCGTTGCTTGTGCCAATATAATTGATTCCGACCAACAAAGCTTTTTTGCGACCGGTACAAGATGAGTATTGAAATTGCTGCACATTGTTGGTGCCATTTATTTGCTGATTTTGCATGTTGAAGTTTGGCATTGGCGGTTGCTGCGTGGGCTGTTGATAGGAAACACCACCGGTACCTTGGTACGTTTGTGTTTGTTGATTCCCCCAGTTTGGAGGAGGAGCAGGGGGGCGCTCATACTGTCGGGAAGGCGGTGCACCCGCTGGGGGTTGATAAATCCGCGAGGGAGGAGGGCCCGAGGGACGCTGGTATTGGTTGCCGTAATTGGCGTGCGAGTTTCCTGGGTACATCGAAGAAGTGAAACGACGAAATGGAAATTGTTTATAAGCTTTTTGTGGAGCTGCACGACCAATCGAGCAAGATCTATGTGTGAGGCAAAAATAGCACTTAGGCTGAGCCTAAGCCTTGCAAAAGTGATTTAAGAGATTTTGAGCTGCTATATCCAGTTGTCAATTAAAAACTCTGACTCCTGTTCGATTTGGTGCATGAAAGTCAGGTAATCTTTCTCGATGAAGGACATATAATAGTGATTCACGAACCGTTCGATCTTATGGGACAGTGGAATACTTTCGGTTTCCACTCTTTCCAGAACACTGACAAGCTCGTCAAGCGCAGACGCGTATCTCATTAAGTTGGTGGTCCTCTTACCAAAAAAAAGAAACCCTCTCCTTGAAGACTTTTCTTCTTTATTTGAGCTCATTTTGCTATCTTGGATCTCTTCGCGGTGATTGATGATCAAACCCTCGACCAAAATTGGGGTTGGCTTTTCAGAGTTCAGAATACTCGAGCAATCTGCACAGAATTTCGATAAGAGGGAAGCTTTGGTAGCAGCATAGCTCACAGCTTTATATCTAAGACAAAGCGAGAAATCTGACTCATCAAACGCCATTGGTTTCTCTGAACCACGAATATACCCGTTTAAGAGTTTCATCCAGTTCAATTTTGTCAGAGCGGACCCGTCTAGCACATTGTACTTTAATTTTTCAGGCGTCCTCACGCTTCGAGAAAGCTTTCTCAGCTCAATTATCCTCGACAGTTCATTATTCGAATTCCTCAAAAGACTTTGCGCAACTGGTCTTGAGGAAATGTGGTTGTTGCTCATTGGAATTGTCGTGAGGACCCATTTGTCATGCACCTCCCCCTGGACTGAGACTGATACGAACAAATCTTGCCGATCATTGAAGTCTGATATTGTTGACTCCAAGGATCGCAAAGAGATCTCATCATCATCCTGTTCCATTTCGAGATCCAGTGAGGTAGGAGACGTGAGTTGTAGCCGAAAAATCAATGGCCGAAATTCTGCAGAAAACGTCAAAATTTTTATAGACCCAATCTGGAAAATCAATTAGATTTTGACGGATAAAGTGCGAACGCCTAAAAATGAATATCGATATACTCAATGATCGCTCCAACTGAAAAATGCGATATAAAAAATCATGAGGTCTGTGCTATACGAGTCAATGTAACGTATATAACGTATTTGATGCATTATATAGTTGAGTAGCTTGTAAATAGTGGTAGCGGACCACGATGCTAGTTCAAAAGTATCTTGTTTTTCTTCCCACATGGCCGACAACGGAGCTTGTCGAGACCGGCCTCCTTACTTTCTGTTTGAGACGATATATTGGAATAAGGGTCTAGTTGTTTGGGAAAGCCCTGTGCATTAGACGCTGAACTGTGGCTGTTCCCTTCACTATCATCGTACTTCATCTTCTGATCTTTGTGAAGCAAAGTCATCAGTTTCTTGTTGAACATGTAGTCAGAACCTGACACAAACTTGATGATATTCCCCATACCAGTTGATGATATATCCATCGCGGCGGACGCGTCAGTATCAAATGAATCTATTAGTGCAGTAACGTTGTCGGTTTGGAAATTACCAGAGGTCATTTTGGACGCATTACAAGCCTTGGGATCAGTGTACGACAATTTTTTCTCGCTGATTTCGTTCTCCTTTCCATTTTGAGACGTTTCGCAGCTCCACTGTCTAGGGCGCCCAACCTTGGTGAAATACGAGAGTGTCAGCGAAGGAAAGGAGCAGGAAGAACTCGACGAGCTGGAAGAGGATGATGGCCGTAAGCTCATGTTTTGTATTTGGCCGAACGCATTGTCGGGAGAAGACGGGGAGCATTTGCGCAGTGGACTAGAGACTAGGGGTAGAGACCCACAAACACAAAAATTGCGATCCACTGAATGGTATCGACAGCGCAGCGACCTGCTATCAATGAGTCCTTTGAACTTTCCCTTTTTAATCCTAGCATACGGCGCTGAATGTTGGAAGCCCGCCAACAAAAAAGGCTCGTTGTCCTCAGCAGGTCTCCGACTTTTGGGGTAGTCGGTGGTAACCATAATAAATTAATCTAATCAGCGCGAATCTTTTAATATTCGCACCTTAAGCCAAACAAGATCTTTATACTGGACCACCTTCCGGCAAAGTGCACAACATCCCCGAGAGCCGTTCCGAACCTTGGAACTAGCCAAAGCACGGTACACGCAATTGGAACAGTAAAAATGGCCACACGGACTCACAACACATTGCTCAATCTCGTCAAAACAAATAGGACAAGTCACATCTGTCAAAGTCTTTACGCTGTTTTGGCGACTAACGGCGTCGTGTAACAGATCGGATGTGGTTTTCTTTTCTTCCTGTGTCTCGCCATCAGATCCCAAAATTATAAGGTCATCGTCACTCTCTTCTGTATCTGTAAGGGACTCTGAAGCCCTGCGCTTTCTGGAGTTTTCCTCAAAGGGGCTGTTTGTTATGATGATTTCTGGATCGCTCTCCTCTCCAGAGTCGGCATCGTGATCAGTATGAAATGACGGATTATAAACCGAGGAGTTATCTTCTGTACTTTGAATACTTATGAGACTGGGATTAACGTCTGGTGTTTGCATCGAAGATGCTCCCGATGCGATGTTTGGATGTCGAAAGCTCATCCTTTGGGCAATCAAAATGTACTGTATTTAATTTATTTTATTTCGCCCTAGAAAAACCACAGAATTGATTACAAACACATACACAGCCTTGAAATGTTTAGCAGAGTACTCTTGTTGGGTTGTTCTATAGTGCTCCAATTTCGAAGCTGACTAAACAACTTTAAACGTTGATTTGTCACAAATTCTGCAAACGCCAGGCAAATTCAGTAGGCAAAAGCACAGTAAAAAGCCTCACAGCATGAATTTTGCGTACATGACAGCCACAATAACTAAGAGTACGGCCACAACGTACACGTTGGAAGAAGTAGAGCTAGTAGCAGGTTCCTGCTTAGCTGGAGCAACGGCTGCTGCAGCTTCTTTGTTGTCAGTGGTAGCTGGGGCCAAAGGCATGGTCTCTGGTAACACATCGTCGGAACTCACCGCTTTCTTCTCGGAGACAGGTTTTTCATCTACACCACTGTGGCCATTGGCCAATGGAGCAGCTGCCAACACAGCGGGGTCCCTGTCGTCTGATTTAGATTGCTGTGAAGATTCTTCCTGGATAGTGTTGGTTAAGCTACTGTAGTTGAAAACCACCTTGACCTTCACATCAGTGGTGGAGCCCGCTTGGGATTGAAGCTCAGGCCATATGGTGGAAACGGATTTCGGATCGAGATCATCGGAGCATGGGACGGAAACGATCAGGAATTTGTCTTTGCACTTGGTGCCAATCGCAGGCTCCTTTGGAAGTCCCTGAAATATGATAGACACATCCATGCTCGATCCAGGCTTGACGATCGAGGCATTAGGACGCACGCAGTAAAGCTTTGGGGCTGTGGTTTTCACTTTGAAAGCGATACTAGTTTGCGAATCGTTGGTGATTGTAATGGAGCTTGTAGCCGAGGTTGTGAACGGTGCTGAATGTTAGGATCGTGGCCATTGATGTACTTACGCTCAAACTCTATATGTTTAGGACTTATTTGCATTTTTCAGTTTTTGCTCCGCTGCGTACGTTGCGAGGGCACAGTCTTAATGTATACGAAAAATCAACAGAATAATTAGGCAAATGTTCTGTGAAGACACCTTTGCATTTTAAGTGAGGGTAACGGAATTTCACCTCGAAAGCAATCAAGATTTTACCCGGACACACCTACTCCCTTTTTCTTGGAGCCAACATCCTTTACTCGGCGCGCATCCCACAATCAGCCACACAGAGTCTAGTTTTGACTTTCAATTAATCGTGCTACTTGCTCTCTGATGACCGTATGTATGCAGTAGCCGACTGCCCTTATTCGGTTCACTTTCGCTAAACTTTCGCCAAATTTCTCTTGGGCGCACCACGACGCGAACAATTTTGACAAATCGGGAAATGTTCCCTTCCGGCAGTTTAAAGGAGACACGTCCCTTTGGGTACGTCAAATTGTTTCTTAGGACTTCTCACCTTTTCTTCCATTGTCCTTCATAAGCTCTCTACAGACGCTTTATACATCTAGCCTCTAACCCTCAGAGGCTCATATGAACATTTGAGATGAAGGCTATGAAGACCAATCTACATTTAAACTTGAAATTTTCGAGAAAGGACTCGAGTCCAGCATCCCAGTCTGTTCCGACGCCAAACAGCAACGTGACTGGATTCATGACTCCCGTCGATCAGGGCCAGTCATTTTTGTTCCAGACACCAGCAGTGGGCCTTAGACGGTCGGACTCTGTCAGCTCTCAGTATCCGGAACTGTCTAAGGTGAACAGTTTCTCATCTATGACTTCGTCTTTTGACACAGCCGAAAACAGCCCAGTGAACTTGCAGAACTACGACTTCAGTCCGGTTTTCGATGACATTCTAATAGGACTCTACCACTCATACGCAAACAGACCAAACATCACCCCTTTCAACATCAACTTTCCTCCATCTGGTATCGTTTCCAAAATTTCCAAGCAAATGTACCAACGCCTCATAAGTGACAGAACAATACAATTGGACAAAAGTCAAAAAATCACAGACGATCTATTAATGGACTCTAACCAGGAGATATGTCTCTCAATTATCCGGAGACGGCTGCTCGACCTGTGCAGTGCTGCTGCCGCTGAGTCCGAAACTCTCACTCGCTGCACTTCTGTTTCCTCGGCATCCGGCCCATTTATACCCCAGCCAAGACCCTCCTGGCTTCACCAAAACCCAACTTTTTCTGCCACCCGACTCTCCTCTACCGATTCCCTTGTTGATTCTGTCCAGATCACGCCTCAACAAGTGCCGCCGCTCCAGATGCCTTATAGAGACGCTCAGACCGATATTTCAATGATCACTCCGCCGCAATCTAGGGCTGGCTACTCCCCTGCATCATCAAAACCCAAACTGACTATTGACCACTTCTCCTTCGAAAACACCGCCAAATTGCAAAGCCCATTCACAGAGACTCAGTTCCATGTTGCCCCATGTGCGCAGTCTCCATCAAATCCCGTGTTTCCAAAGAGGCCACAAAAATCTAACTCGCTCGGCTCGCTATTTTCTGGACCTGGCACACCTATAGGGGCGACAATGCCTGAACTTGAGGTCGATCCTCTCTATAACGTCACAGCACAGCGGAAAAGAGATAGTCTCAAACTCAAGAGAAACATGAAGTAGATAGAGGCCGGCACGTCGCTACGATTACAATGGGTATTTATTATTAGTATGGATTTTAACAAGAATTTACTTAGGGAGTAATTCCCAATGTAACGTTTTTCATTCAATAGACTAACGAAAATTTATCTATAAAACTAAGCCCACTCCTTGAATTGGTTGATCAAGCTTCTGGTAGATGAGTCGTGGGACTCAACAGGCTTTTCATTCTCGAGTTCCTTCAAAATGACCTTAGCAAGCACTTTTCCGAGCTCCACACCCCACTGATCGAATGAATTGATTCCCCAAATAGCACCTTCCACAAATGTCACGTGCTCATAGTAAGCGATCAGGGCTCCCAAGGTTGCAGGCGTGATCATCTGAGCAAGAATCGAGGTCGTAGGTCTGTTACCGGAGAACATTTTGTGTGGCACAAGATCACCAGAGACGCCTTCAGCCTCTACTTGTTCCTTGGTCTTTCCAAGCATCAAAGACTCAGCCTGAGCGAAGAAGTTCGAGGCGAGCATTCTTTGATGCAGATTTCCTTCAATTGGATTATGCGACTTGGCAGCCAAAATGAAGTCGGCTGGAATCAGTTTGGTACCTTGGTGGACCAACTGGAAGAACGAATGTTGAGCATTGGTGGTTGGTTCTCCAAAGAGAACAATACCAGTTTCATAGTTGACGAACTTCGAGTCCTTACTGACTGACTTACCGTTAGATTCCATCGACAGTTGTTGCAAGTAAGCAGGGAACCTGTGCATGTACTGGTCGAAAGGAGTCACCAGTTTAGTCTGAGCGCCGTGGAAGTTATTATACCAGATGGTCAGCAGTCCTCCAATTAATGGGATATTCTTCTCCAGAGGGGCGGTAGTGAAGTGGTTGTCGACTGCCTCTGCACCTCTGAGGAACTTTTCGAAGTTGTCATAACCAATGTAGAGGCACACAGAGGTGCCAATGGCAGACCACACAGAGTATCTTCCACCAACCCAATTCTCGAAACCAAACATGTTCTTGGTGTCGATACCAAACTTAGCGACTTCAGAGGCATTGGTACTCAAGGCAACAAAATGCTTCACAATGTGGGCTTCGTCCTTTGCTCTTTGCAAAAACCAGTTTTTTGCAGTGTTTGCGTTGGCACAAGTCTCTGCAGTGGTGAAAGTCTTTGAAGCGATCAGGAACAACGTGGTTTCTGCATTACACTTTTTCAAAGTCTCAGCAATGTGGGTACCATCAACATTGGACACAAAGTGAACAGAAAGTCTTGGATGACCGTATGGCTTGAGAGCCTCCGTAACCATCACCGGACCTAAATCCGATCCACCAATGCCGATATTGACAATGTCCGTAATTTCCTTTCCAGTGTATCCCTTCCATTCGCCGGATCTGACCTGCTCTGAAAACTCCTTCATGTGCTGCAGCACCGAGTCAACCTCTGGAGTGACATTGACGTTGTCGACATACATGGGCTTCAAGGCTCTATTCCTGAGGGCAACGTGGTACACAGCTCTGTCCTCAGTGGTGTTAATGTGGACACCGGCAAACATCTCGTCCCTGAGTTTCTCGACCTTGGCCTCCTTAGCGAGCTCAATAAGCGAGGAGAGAATCTTCTCGTCGATCAAATTCTTAGAGAAATCGAAAAGAATCTTGGACCCATCGTAGTTCTCAAAGATTTGAGAGAACTTTGAGAATCTGTTTGGGTCGGAAGCGAACGCATCTCTCGACGAAAAGGTCTTTCCATAATCGTCATAGATAGCTTGTAATTTCTTCCAAGCAGGTAATTCCAATGGCGAGCTCATTATTTTAATTGCTAAGTTATATTATCTGATGTTTTAATTGAGATTCCAATTATTTTATATATGAACTGATCGAGCACCGCCACGAATGTTTTTTACCATCCGACATTCGCCACGGTTTCACTATGTATTTTTAAGTACCCTGGAAAACTGTTCTCCGCAAGAAACCGTCCGGGCTGTGCGGCTATTTTCCGGACTTCCAGGACGACTTTGCTTGCTCCCAGAGCTGTTTGGTGTATGCATCCATGTTCAAGATCTGCTGTTTCAAAGCGTCTATTTGCTCTTCTGCAGCTTCGTTCTTCTCTTCCATTGCATTGAAAAACTTACTCTCATTAATATCAAACTCCTTATTTTCGTAGTCCGTCCAAACATTTTCAAATTCCGAAAAAGACTGCTGATTATCCCGTGCAAGCCGCACCAGTAACTCCATTTGCGACATTTTCAGCTGTTCGACATTGTTCAAATACGCGCTATCGAAAAAGTTCAGTTTCTGAATGGACTGTCTTCTCTGTAAGCTCTCGTAAATAGCGTCTTGACCATCGATGAGCTGGCCTGTTGATGCAATCTTGTCAGCTAGCCGCGTCTCGCTTGTAGGTGTGAAGTCGTCGTCTGGCACCCCCGTATCCTCATAATTTGATCTACTGGGAAGGTAATCTATGCTAGTGGATCCTGTTTGTTTTGGGAGACTGGCAGCGCTGTCTAGGTCATTGTGCAGTCGGTCGAAAAGCGTACCCTCTCCGAATTTACTGGTCGAAAGGATTTGAGAATCTCGCGAGACATTGCTCTGAACAGCACTGAGGTCTGCATTCGGAGCATCGCTATCATAACCGCTGTCCTTGTGTACTATCGAAGAGCTCCCACTTGATTTCCGCTCGAGCAGATCAAGGTTGGGACTTGTTTCCTGCATCTCTGACACAGTATTTACTATTTATGTGTTTTTTTTTTTTTGACAATGGATTCAGATGAGGATTCATCCTCAATTACTTCTCTCTCCGAGAGAGTGGAGAACGCAAAGTCAGCGAAAAAACAGCCGTGGAAAAAGCTACTTTGGTACAAACAGGATTATGAGGATAATTATACTGACGCATCGTTTTTATCACAACTAAAACGTAATTCAACGGTGATCAACTATTCATACTGGAAGCTTCTCTCAGACTTCACATTGATAGTTCTTCATCTTTCCATCATCATGCTTGTGATACTGGTTTTCTACGGCATCTACAGGCTCAATTGGAATCCCCTAGTCCCAGCTTTACTAAGCTCTTCACTGACAGCGTTAGGTTTTACTGTCTATGTGATCACACTAAAAATCAGAAGGAACAGAGAACTCATCCATTTGCAAAAACTAAAGATCGAGCAACTGACCCGCCCAACACGATACTCTAAATTTAACTCATCGAAATCCCACCCATCTTCTAGATCACCGTCGCCTTTTCCACACAACTTAGAACTCACAGCAAAAGAATCTACAATGGATTTGGAGAGATATTTGAGAGAGCCGAATTCACCAGATCTTTTCAACACTCTCAAATCCTCTATTCTTATTCTCCTCACCTTGCTGACGTTTTCTCCTGTCCTAAAATCCCTGACAAACTCCACAGCATCAGATTCCATTTGGGCTTTGTCGACCTGGCTTTGTTTGCTCAATGTTCTATTCAATGATTATTCAATTGACTTCTCACATACAAATCGGCAGTCTGAGTCCTCAAACTTTGAGCTTCAGACGTCTAATTCTAATCTGTCAAAAAACATTTCCCTGTCCAACGCCATTGTATTGGCTTCAAGACTCAACTCGAATCTGAGCGCTTTCTGTTTCATAGTTTTCTCAATTGAGGTCTCTGGACTGTTCCCTGTCTTCAACAACTTCACGCGGCGTTGCCAATTTTGGGCATTTCACTGGTTCCAGGTGATAGCCATCACTACAGCAGTGGATTTCGCCGTCTACAAGATTTTTGGCGTGGGCTGGTTCCTGTTATGGATAGGTCTGCAGTTTTGGATTATGGTAATTGGACCATGGCACTTTATCATGTTGCAGAAGTATAAAGACGAATTGCAAGGGCCATGGGACCCGGCAAAACCAATATTCAAGACCATTCAACGAGAATAAATACTTCGCTTTATTTTTACACCTTATTGTACACTAACCATTAAAAACACCCGCTGCCAAACACAAGTTTCGCCGAGTGAAGTGCACCTTGTAAACAGGAGTCTTCCTGGTGAAATACACTGCCATGTGATCTTGCGTAGCAGCAAATTCTTTTCTTTTGCGCATCTCTTCTTGACGTCTTTGATAACGTTGATCTTGAGTATCTGCAGGTTGGCCTCCATCGCCATTTTTAGCTGCCAAAACAGATTCCAACGTGAATTTCTCTGGCTGTGGATTGTTACTTTCCATTGTCCCTTTCTTCACGTCCCAAACCCGAACAGAGTTATCTGAACCGGAACTGACCAACACAGATCCGTCTTTGCTAAAAGCTAATGAATAGATGGAGCATCGTCCGTGTCCACGCATCGACTTCAGCTTACGCCCAGAGGCAATGTCAAACATGTTAATCACCGAATCTTCCCCTGCCGTGGCCAGCCATCTGCCGTCAGGAGAAACTGCCAACGCGTTAACAGGCATATTGTGACCGATGAAGATTCGAACTGACTCTCCTCTGGCAATGTCCCACATCCGAACTGTTTTGTCGCTAGAACCTGTGAACAGATACGTGGAGTTTGGATGGAACTCTACCACGTCGACGTCATTCAGATGGCCTGCAAAAATTCGCAAAGGATATATGTGATCACATGACCATAATCTGGCCGTTTGGTCATGAGATGCGGTTGCGAAATAGTGTCCCATTGGGGAAAACTTCACGTCCCACACAGGCGAGTTGTGGCCCTTGTATGACACAAGCGAAGTGTAAGTATCCATTGACCATAATCTGACAGTTTTATCTTCCGAAGATGAAAGAAGATAGTGGTTATCAGGACTGAAGCTTAAGCCGTAAACCGCACCTGAATGGCCTATTAGGCGACGGCATCCGTCGACAGACTGGTCATAGGGGTCATTTCTTAAAACGGATTTCAGTGGAGATCCGTCAATACTCCATAGTTTGATGAACGAGTCCTGGAAGCCTCCTGCCACAATAGTCGAATCATCGTTGAACTCAACGCAAGTCATATCGTTATTCGTATTGTGAAATGTGTACATGCATGTGCTTGGCAAGGATGCTTGGACCGCATTGAGTTTGACTTTAGCCCGGGAATCTTGAATTTTGGTGATTTCACGTTTAAGGTCGAAAGCCGTTTTTTGGGGCAGAGGAAGCGATTCTCGAGCAGGCGTATCCTCGCCAGCAGGATCCACCTTAAAATTTTCTTCGTATTCCTCCATCAGAGTTTTCTCTGGATTTTGATCTTTTTGTGCTTCGTCTTTTTGCTGAAGCTCTGCCTCCAACTCCTTGACAAACTCCGGATCATCTGGGAGCTTTCCCAGCTTGACAGCTTTGCTGTTGAAAACCTCGGATGACTCTGTGTCTTTCTTGGGTCTGTGAGACTCATCATTTAACAGCTGATATATTGCAGCAATTCCCTCTGTGTGCTCCCCATTACCTTCCTCTTCTTGAGAAGTCACCTCGACCTGAGTGGTGATAGACATGGTGTTATTGATAATTCTCACAATTATCCCACCTCCAATTGCCTCATTTTCATTAAGGAAACTCAAAATGAGGTTCATGGAGACCTTGGACACGTTCACATGATACTTTTCGGTCTTGAACAGCCTTGCAATCTCATTTTCCTCCAAATGGTCCGGTAAAGAGATTCCAGCCAGCGACCGTATCTCATAACTGTGAGACAGTAGGTGATCGCTATGAAACTTTTCAAAGAAACTTCTGGCATCGTTCACGTCCCCACGTTGAATGAGCGTCAAATAGCTCTGGACAAAAATAGGATAAAGGAATTTCTCCAGCTCGTACTTATACATTTCAAGCGAGTTCTCGCACCATGAACGATAGAGCAAGTAAGCTCTACCAAACATTTGAGGATCCTCATCAAATTGCCTTTGCCTCGACGCGTTCTGTTGGTGGAGGTACTGTTGTTGCTGAAAGTGGATATTGGACCTGTTTGAGACAATGGTTTCTGGCTTCTGGAAGTTTGTAGTAGCGGGACTCACAGGAATTGTAGGAGCACCAGGAATTTTGGTGGCTTCGTTTCTAAGAGTTGCCTCTGTTTGATGGTAACCCTTTTTGTTCAGATACTCTAACACAATTCGGTTCAAGTCAGCTTGAGAGAATTGCTGTTGGCCCTGAGCAACATTGGTAGATCCTGCGGCTCGTGCTTGCTGTGCGGCACGAGGATCGCTCCATTCCTGACCCTGAGCTGCCCTAGTCAAATTTTGCGGGTCGTTTTCCTCTTTTATAGGTCCCGTCATGGAGAAAGAAGGTTTTATGTTTTTTGCAAATACAAAAAATCAAATGTGCACACTTTGAAAATTGACAGATCAAATTTAAACTTTATCTCACCTTCGGTTGATTCACACGGCGATGTCGAACACTAAGAGGACACGGAGCAGGAACGGTTGCCATTCCTGTAAGAAAGCCCGTATTAAATGCGATGAAACACGTCCGGTATGCATGAACTGCCAGAAGGCCTCCCGCAAATGTGATTACTCTCTTAAGCTCATATGGGGTGGCAGACCATATAAGAATCCTCGGGTTGAAAAACTCAATCCCGTCGCCGGATTATCGCGCAGTATCTTGCAACAGCCAACCCCAGAGTCACAAGCAAATGTAAAAATCAAGCAAGAGCATCAAGAGCAAAACTTGTTCCTTCAGCCAGAATCTTCGGCTTCTCCAGCTGCTGGTGGCCTGGCTTCCCAATCACTTCACGACAACATACGCTCAGTAAGCAATATTCTAGATTCGATGTATGATTCTGCGAATAAGCCATCTCAGATACTGGAGAATTTCCAGCCATATCTACCTGAGCCATCTCCTGGTGATGTGAATCTTACCGATATGGTTGATGACTACTCCGATGACATAATGAAGCTAGAGCTATTTCATCCAACGTTGCAGCCGAATTTACATGCCACTGCATTTATCCAAGAGCGCAAATGGTCTAGAAGAATGTCAAAATGGGAAACAGAGGATCTAGAAGATGATGACAATTCCTTAGTCATGAATAGGGAGTTTTCCACGACATCCAACACTTACAGTCTTTCGCGCACGTATTCGGAAACCTCTACCTCAGATAATTCAGAATCGATTCCACGGGGATTGGTACCTTTGCCTGATTTGCTGCTCAACGTGCCCGATTACTACGAGGCTTTCAATTTTTTCTTCAGCTCCACAGCACAGCTATTTATGCCTTTTGGTGACGCTGTGCAGAAGTACAACCCATTCAAAAAAGTGCTTCCGCAGCTGGCATTCTCCAATGACGGTTTATTGGCTGTCACTGTGGCTTACGGCTTGGCACATAAGTCATATCTCGCAAGGCAAAGTGAGCCAGCCGAACTGCTTGAGCAGTTGCTGAGCAGATCACTTGGCGATCTTTTGGAACTTTTACAAAACAAAGAAACATCTACCAGCGACCTTACTTTGACCCTTGTTCTTCTGATCAGCTCTTTCATGGTGTTCACCTTTAAGCATAACTTGGAGGTGCATCTCAATGGCGCAAAGCAGATTCTTCTACTTAGGGGCTACAACAAACCGTTCGAGAAACTATTCAAGGAAAGCAAGCAGCTGCAGTCACAGTGCATTAGCGGTGAAATAAAGCGTTCAAAGTTGATCTTCTTTCTCTTGCGATGGTTTGCTTATATTGATGTTCTGGCTCAATTGGCCTCCCCTCTAGAACCAACACACCAGGACATTGAAAAATACAACGAAAAGTTGAAGCTCACCGAGCTTTGTGCTCAACCTAGTGATTTTGACTACGAATTTGAATCCAATGAGGATGCTGAATCGCTAATGGTAGATGAATCACATGCTAATGTGGACTATTTTCTCGGCTTCAATATCAAGTATCTTCCATTGTACAAGAAAACGATCGAGCTCATCAAACAAACAAACCTAAGGGCTGTGGTAAACTCTTCTATTGGGGTGTTGCCTTCAGCTATCGATCGTGCCCTTCAGATCGCGGGCACCTTTCAAAAATTATCCTCCGTATCTGCTCAAAGCCAGGATACCATGATCGCTATAAACAGAGTGTTTATGTTATTTGGACTCAATCAAATCTACAGAAGAGTGCTGAAGGTTCCTAAAAGTTCTCCGCTTGTTCAGGACATGTGCGCAGAAACGATTTCTATTATTGATATGCATATACTTGATGACTCGCCAAATCAAATAAGCATATTTCTTCCGGTTTTTGTTTCTGGATGTGATTCTAACAACGGCGAACTTCGTTCTCGTCACTTGAGACGTATGACAACTATAGCTCATACCGGCTCGCCTTCGGCGCAATTTGCCGTGGACCTAATGACCCAGTGCTGGGAGCGCGACCAGGACTGGTGGCAAGTGATGCAGAAAGAGGACAAAAAACATTTGTTTTTTTAGATTCAGTCTTCATCTTGAATATATAGTATTCTCTTGCTGCGGTTTCTCATAAGATCAAGAGATTGCAATCTCTTGCGCACGTTCGATCTGTTTTTCAGCATATTGTCGATCTCGATCAGCTCGTTATGTCTTGCTAATCTTTTGGCAGGGTCGAATTTGCTAAAAGTAACTTTCGTAGCAGATTCTGGAGATATACTGATTCTAGGGTTATCATGGTCACTTTCGTCTTCCTCGTCCGTCATTTCCTTGTTTTTACTATTTCCGAACTTGAGGATGTGGGAGTGGAATTTCCACAAAGAGGTACGGTGACACACAGACAGAACAGTGATTCCAAATTGTTCAATTGCCAATCGATAGCATTCTTGCTCAAGGTCTGGTGAAATGGACGAAGTGCATTCGTCCAACACAGCAAACCGTGGCTGATGATAATACATTCTAACAAGTGCCAATCTTTGTTGCTCCCCGACTGAAAGGAGATCAGGCCACCTCTTGACAGTGTCTAGAGGATAATTGCTGGAGGATATCTCATTTTTTGCCTCATCGTCTTCGTCCTCGGACTCAATCTCAGCAAGATGTTCCAATTTGACCAAACGAAGAAGATCCATGAGATAGACATCATCTTTGAGGATGCTTCCACTAGCCCTTGCATCACTAAGCTTCTGTTGATAGTCTTGGATGGTGTCAGGATAAACAATTTGCTCGCGCAAAGAACCGTATGTGAGATAACTTTTCTGTGGCAAGTAAAACAAGTCCTGGCGTCTTTGTGGAACAATGAGATGACCAGGATTTTGGACTTGCCAGAGGCCACCTAAAATTCGGAACAAAGAGGACTTTCCACATCCGTTGGGGCCAATAATCAGCAAATTTTGCCCTGGCTTAATGGTGAAAGTTAAGTCCTCAACCAAAACTGTTCCCGTAGGGGTAATCAACGGAACGTGCAGGAAGGAGATTTCGTCACCGTAGCTGACATTCGGACCCTTCACCAATGGCTTATTGTTTATGGACTGCTCCAATTTCGCCTCCTCCTCCATTGACTTGTTGATTTCGGTCAAAACCTGCTCGAATTCCCAGATACTTTCACTGTATCCTATCAGATTTTGAACATTTTTCTTAGCGCGAACAAGCTTCCCCAACGAATCTGATGCCGTCAACAACAGTCTTCTGTTTGTGATAAAGTCTGCAGAAATTCTGCTGCTGGCACTTTCAGATATCCTGTAATTATATTTATATGCAGTGGTGAAAATTGGAAGTGAGCAAAGAAGCAATCCAAAAGCTCCCAAAGTATACTTGAAAATGAATGAGACGGCAAAATCGTAAATAGCCATTCTGCGAAGCTCCATTCGTTTGAATCGTTCAAGTTCAAAGTAGTTCATATCCAGAAGATCTAATTCTCTTCTGTGCCCTTTTGCCAAAGCTATTTCTTCGCTGTTGTTGATTACTTTGGAATGGTGGGCATGAAACTTGTTTTCTAAGGAGTTCCTAAGCGCACTCAATTTCGAGAAGTTGGGGGTGAAAATCTTGAGAACTAATGTAGAAATGTTTGTAATAATTCCCAGTAAGAGCCCGCCCTCCGCGGCGTTCTCACCTGTCTTCGACAATTGATGGGCTGCAAGAGCAATGTCCATCGTTGGAGTCAAAACCTGGGAGGGAATGGAGCTCAGACTCCTGGAAAATTGCTCAATGACAGTGGTGATTCTGTGATTAGGGTCGTCTATGCTGCTCCTAAGATCTGCATGCTTGGACTTGTTAACTAAATGGTACACTGTGCTGTTCCCACTATCAGGAAGGTAAAGGTCAAGTACCTCATTGGTCACATTACGACGTATTGATTGTGCTACCAATTGCCTGGTTCTCGTTAACAAAGATTCGGTCACTGCGGCGGGAATACCTATCAACGTCCACAGAAGCAAATATTTGAAAAAGGCCTTGAATCGTTTTGTTATCAATGATGACACCAAGTAGCCATCAAGAGCCGCAACTTTAAGAGCAATAAATGCCCTGACAAATGATAAGCATATTTGTAGAATCATATACGCCAGAATTGGCCTCGTCTTTTCATTTTTGTGACTTAATTGAGACAGCAGAAGAACCAAAGGGGAGGACTTGACTCGTTGGCTGAACCGTTCCACAATGTTTCCTTTGATATGTTCTGATTTATATCTAGGTGACGGTTTGCCTTTACTCGAGGAGCCACCATTGAAAATCATGAATATAATGGTAGCATAGGCCAAACGAAGAATCACATTGCGCTGCTTGGCATACTGGGCAACCAGGTATCTACTGGTCCGGAGGAAATACTTATTGGATGAGTGCACATCTCGATTCATTATTAGTGCAAGGTCAGAGGACCTTTCCTGATGTTTTATATAATCTTCCCCACTATTGCATGTGATTTGAGTCGATATTCAGCTTGCTAAAAATCTGGGGTAGCGGTGCAAAGATGTCTTGATATGTATTTTCGAAGCCATGCAGGTTGCCGTAATGGGCCTAACGGTGAGATAATGAAGCCCCGCTTTCTTGGGCCCATTGGGAGAAATGCATTACAACAAAACGCTCTTTCTTTTAAGCTCCCTATTCTGAAGTCTATGAGCGGGAACAACCTATTTGTTAGTAAGATTATTGAGGCAAAGACTTACTTTTGCGCCTGACCAGTTATATCTAAAGCCAATCTCGTGAGCCAGGATCTCGCCAAAACCAAGCATAACACCATTGATGAAAGGCAAAACAAGATTTATTCCACAAGAACCCAAGAATGACCAAATCGAAGTGGAGCCCACATCTGGTGACTCTTGGATATTGTTGTCATTTGTGGTAGAAGCTTCTTGAGCTAAGATATTAGACTCTTGTTTGGCATCCTGGTGAAACTGGTCCAGATCATTCCGTTCCTGCTCTGTGATAATGCTAGGGCTTTGCTCAACCTGCTCATGAGCAGTACGAATATCACTGGCCAGATGGACAAGGTCTTCAATATCTTGGCCGTCCAGACTCATTGTGTAATTAATTTAATTGACTAATCTTTTTTGTCTACAAAATTTTTATCCATGTCTTTCGAAGAGAACCTTTTATTTCAAGAAGCCAGTGATAACCACCATTTGGACGAACACCAGGCACATCTTATGGATGACGAAAACGAAGCTTCAGTGGTTGGCCGAGCTCTCACAGCCATTGTTGACATTGGGTCTAATGGCATTCGGTTTTCCATATCGTCGAAAGCTCCCCATCACGCTCGGATAATGCCTTGTGTTTTCAAAGACAGGCTAGGAATTTCACTTTTTGATGTGCAGCTGCCTGACTCAGCGAACTCCCGCTTGAAAAAGCCAATTCCGGATGACGCAATCACAGAAATCATCAGGGCCATGCGACGCTTCAAATGGATATGCGAAGACTTCGGAGTCCCTGAGAACGGTGTCAAGGTCGTTGCCACGGAGGCAACTCGTGAGGCTTCGAACTCTCAGGAATTTAGAGATATCATTTATCAGGCAACAGGATGGAAAGTGTTCTTGCTTAGCAAAGAAGAGGAAGGAACTACTGGGGCTTACGGAGTGGCATCTTCCTTTCACGACATCTCCGGACTACTCATGGATCTTGGAGGAGGATCTACGCAGATCAGTTGGATACAAGCAAAAAATGGTGAGATCAATATCAGTGAGCACCCCGTCTCGCTTCCATATGGTGCTGCGGCTTTGACCGATAGACTGAAATATGAGGATCACATGTACATTTACGACGAAATCAAGAAAGCGTATGAAGTGGCTTTGGAAAAGATCAACTTACCGGCTGAACTCATCAAAGAGGCTGAAGCCAATGGGGGATTCCGACTATTCTGTTGTGGAGGAGGCTTACGTGGTCTCGGACACTTGCTGCTTGCAAATGATCCAAATTATCCAATTCAGACAATTATCAATGGTTATTCTACCACATACGAAAATGTGCGCCAAATGGCCAACTATCTGCTTTTGAAAGGAGAAGTTCCGAAATTTGATTCCATAGGTAAGCTGTTCAAGGTCTCCGCCAGACGCGAGCAACAGCTTCCAGCTGTGGGGCTGCTAGTTTCTGCTGCTTTCGAGGCCCTTCCTAAGATCAAGACCGTTCATTTCAGCGAGGGAGGAGTCAGGGAAGGTGTGCTTTATTCGATGATCCCAGACCAAATCAAAATCGAGGATCCTATTTTGACTGCCACCAGACCATACGCACCATTACTTGCTGGCAAGTATTGGGAGCTACTCAAGACAAGTCTTCCGAGTGGCAATGTGGTGCCTTCCGAAGTCGCTGACCGTGTCATTCCTGCTCTGTGCAACATTGCATTCGTTCATTGCTCGTATCCAAAAGAGCTTCAGCCAACTGCTGCTCTCCATGTGGCCACTACCGGAATCATCGCAGGTTCCCATGGGCTTTCACACAAAATAAGAGCGTTAATTGGAATTGCGTGCTGTGAGCGATGGGGAGCTGATATCCCTCCAAGTGAGGAGCAGTTTTATTCTCGCCTAGAAAAGCTGGTCATGGATGCGGATCCTGAAAACGGAGAAAAACTGATGTATTGGACCAAATTCTGCGGCAAGATGATGCACGTGATCTGTGGAATCAATCCTGGAGGAAACATTCGCCCAGGGTCTCTAGTTTTCCAGGTGAAGACTGATGTGAGAAACAGTGAGGTCAACATTGCAAGTGCAACCAATGGAGTCAATGATCTCAACCTTTCAGACGACGATACGGCCGAGGTTAAAATCAAAAATGAGGTTTCTGTGCTGCTACCGAGCGACGATGTCAAGTATAGTTACAGTGTTCGCAGTCGTATTCTTGGACTTCAGAAAAAGATCAAGAAGCTGAATAAGCGCTACAATTGTAACGGCAAAGTGCGAGTTGTTATTAGGTACGAGAATGGTGAATAGGTTTTTGTAATTAACATTTGTTAATTTTTAATTGCATAATTTAATAAAATAATGGCAAGTTCAAAGCCTGACTATTCCTCTTCCTTCCCCAAGCTCATCAACTGTCTGGGATAGAGGTCTTCTGTACATTGTTTCCCAGAAGCCTTGTTTCCTATACTTGCCCATTTCGGTTTCAGAATCTAAAGACTTATTAGACTCCTGATCATGGACCTCACCCCTGCTTCTGGTTGCACGCAAACTGGCCTCACCCAAACCCCATTTTCCAGCCCAGAAAAACAGCCCAGTAGCCAGTCCGTAACCAAGACTGATTCCAATCCTTGTATTCATTGGCATTGACTTGAACATTGATGCCACGAATAAGGCAGACGAAACAGCTGCAACCTCGGCAGAAGCTCTCGTTTCTTCGTTGAGGTTATATAGCGAATCAGAAACAAGCACGTACATTCCAGCCGCCAATGGTGCAGAAATGAAATGATGTCTCTGAAACTCGAATAGGGCCAAGTATCTGGCATGACCTGGTCTGGCAGACCCCTTTCTATGCTGTAGCATTCTTCTGAAGTGCATTCCACCCAGAATCAGGCCAGAGCAGAGTGTGACCTTGGTCGCATGGGTGATGGTATCAACTGGCTGGTATGCAGGTTGCTTGTCGACGGGCCAAACTGGTTTGGGATACACAGGGAACTGCTGACGTTCCGACATGAGATCGTAAAATGAGGGGACAGAATATTTATTTACCCCAACTGGTGCAAGGGGGGGCGATAGATAAATTAATATACTTAATAGGAATCTGATAAAAAGAGATGCATATATACTTTCTTTCGGCAGCTACCGTGTTCCTGTTCTACACCATATGGTCGCAACCCAAGGCTAGACTACCCCACTTTGATGAGACGTTGAGAGAGCTATCTCTTGGTGACATCAACTTCTTGCATACCACGGATACGCATGGATGGTTTTTGGGGCATATCAATCAGCGACAGTATTCAGCTGATTGGGGCGATTTCTTGAGTTTCACTACCCGCCTTCGAGACATATGTCAAGCTCGAGATTTAGATTTGTTGCTCATTGACACCGGAGACCGCCACGATGGCAATGGACTCAGCGATCTGACCACGCCAAACGGATTATATTCCTCGGACGTTTTTATGCAGCAGGAGTATGATATTGTGACAGTTGGTAACCATGAGTTATATGTTCCAGCAGTGAGCGAGCTAGAGTACAAGACCGTTGTACCTCACTATGGAGATCGCTTTATAAGCACAAATGTCGAATATCTCAACGACAAAGGTGAATATGTTGTTTTTGGTCATGACAGATACAGATATTTCACCACGGAGGTCAAAAAATACAACGTTTTTGCTCTTTCCTTTATGTTTGACTTCAAGGGAGGCAACGAGAGAGTCAGAGTCACACCTATTGAGACAGTTGTCAAAGAAGATTGGTTCTTGGACCTGCTTGAGAAACACACCAGGAAACCTGTCGATCTTGTTCTCGTTGCTGGGCACATCCCGATTAGCCACAGTTGGCTGGAGCTATATGTTTTACACGGTGTTTTGCGCACATTCTTCCCAGACATTCCGATCCAGTACTTTGGCGGCCATTCGCATATTAGAGACTTTACGCTGCTGGATGACAGAGCTTTTGCTTTACAAAGTGGACGGTACTGCGAGACTGTGGGATTCATGTCTCTGAGCAACATTAAGGGTGATAACGTAACGATTGATCGAAAATACATTGATTTCAACCTACAGTCATTTCTCCATCATACGAAAAGGTCTACCATTGAACAGTTCAATACCGACGAAGGATTGCAGGTTTCGGAGAAGCTGACGAATTACAGCAATTTGCTGAAGCTCGACGAGTCTTTCGGGAAGGTGCCGCGGAGTTACTATATAACGGGAGCAGATTACTATTCAAACGATTCGAATAGCATGCTTCGTTTTATCGAGAATGAAGTCCTTCGGGAGCTGGAGCCCAAGATATGCCACGAGGACATGGACCCAATATTGCCTCCTCCATCCAATTCTAGAATTGTGCTGATTAATACCGGCTCTATCAGATACGACCTCTACAAGGGAGATTTCAGCAGGAACTCGCAGTTCATCGTATCTCCTTTTAAAAACAAGTGGAAAGTCCTTCAAAATGTTCCTGCTAGAATTGCAACTCGTCTCCAAGCAATTCTTAACAAAGGTCCTTACATTATGGAGAATGAAATCGATTATACTATTGATTTAAAAGAGCTCCTGTCTCCGTACCAACGCGAAATTAATTCAAGGATTTCATCTCTCAAACTCCGCTATGGTCAGACAACGACTGATGATCTTGGCAGTGATGGTGATGATACCATTCATCGTCCAGTGCCACAATTTGCTGTACCAAATGTGATCCAATCCTATGAATACACAGACCAGCAGCAACCAGTGGACGTTGTGTTTTACGACTTCATTGAGCGCTACGTGTTGTGGGCATTACAGAAAGCTTGTGATGGGGATAACCTGCTTTACTACTCGCTGGTTGAGCAACTTACTTTTTACAACGATTGCGAGCAAGAGTTCAACGTTGGAGAGCTGCTTAAGAAATACTCTCTAAAACACTGGCGGTGATTTACAAAAAAGGGTATTCACGTGATACTTGTTCAGGGCAAGTGACCTGCGTTTTTCTCCCTGCAAAAAAAATTCCGGGGGCCCCAGCGAGAGCACCAGGCGCGCGTGCGAGGAGTGAGTGGTTCTGAAAATTTTCACGCAGCAGCCTGTTTAGGAAGACTTGGTTTAAATTTTTCTACACTATTGAGAACTCTATTCAGTGACCAAACAACATGGGAAGAGGACCAAAGAAGCATCTCAAGAGATTAGCAGCTCCAAAGCACTGGATGCTCGACAAGTTGTCGGGTGTTTACGCCCCAAGACCATCTCCAGGTCCACACAAGCTGAGAGAGTCTCTTCCATTGATTGTCTTTCTGAGAAACAGATTAAAGTATGCTTTGAACGGTAGAGAAGTCAAGGCCATCTTGATGCAAAGACACGTCAAGGTTGACGGCAAGGTGAGAACCGACTCTACCTTCCCAGCTGGTTTCATGGATGTGATCACTTTGGAGGCTACCAACGAGAACTTCAGACTCATCTACGACGTGAAAGGTAGATTTGCTGTCCACAGAATCACTGCTGAAGAAGCCTCCTACAAGTTGGGTAAGGTCAAGAAGGTCCAGCTTGGTAAGAAGGGTATTCCATACGTTGTTACCCACGACGGTAGAACTATCAGATACCCAGACCCAGCCATCAAAGTCAATGACACCGTCAAGATCGATCTTGAAACCGGAAAGATTACTGACTTCCTCAAATTTGACACTGGTAGGTTGGTTATGGTGACCGGTGGTCGTAACTTGGGTAGAGTTGGTGTTATCACCAACAGAGAGAGACACGAGGGAGGTTTCGACTTGGTCCACATCAAGGACGCTTTGGAGAACACTTTCGTCACCAGACTCTCTAACGTGTTTGTTATTGGTGCTGAGGCCGGCAAGCCATACGTTTCTTTGCCAAAGGGTAAGGGTATCAAATTGTCCATTGCCGAAGAGAGAGACAGAAGAAGAGCTTTGGCTGGTTTGTAAGTATCATAGGTTTTTAATAGGAACCAGTAGAGGAATGAATCGTTACTTCTATATACATCTCTGGATCAATCACTTTTTGAATGGATACTCCACGTCTTCGTCTTTGCGCTTCCAGATCTTCTTCTTCTTTTTAGTCGGAACGTATTCCACAAACACCTCTTCGCAATTCTTTTTCTTGAACTGCTTGATGAATCTTGGATCCCACAACTCAGAGGCAATTCCCAGGTCTTTGCAACATCTCATTAGCGCGTTGGATTTGCATCCTTCCGTGGCTGTGGGAATGCCCTTATCGCTAAAAAATGTCTGCTCGCCCCTGGCAATAGACACCAATCTACCATAAATCACAAGACCGTACTCCCTAGTAAGTAAACCACCTAATCCAGACTTGGATATAAGCGTTTCCGAACGAGGTGCCAGACCCCAAGCTCCAGGACCAAAAGCCTTATTAAGAATCCGTCTATACTTAATTTCCGGTAGGTAAAGAAGTCCGTCGGGCGTGATTTCAATGTCGTTGTCTGGAATTGGCTCTGATAGAATTTGCTGTGCTTCCTTTGGGAATGCCTGATTAGCTAGTCCGTGGAACGTTTCTGACCAGTTGTGAGATCCCTCCACTTGCTGAGACGAATAATCATTTAAAGACGACTCAAAAAACTGAGATATTGGTCCTTGAGAGGGAGTAGATGACTCAACGTTTGATCCCGAGGAAGCAGTGCTCACGACAGGGTCAACAGGGGTAGCAGGCTTTTCTGTGGTCGCCGCCTTCTTGAACGTTTTGGTGGTTTTCGCTGAAGTTGCCCCCAGGTCGTTCATGAAGGCCTCCTGCATTGCATGGAAGTCAGAGACGTATCTGCGAGAAACCAGCCCCACTATCTGCTTCAAATATCGACTGTGTCTTAGCATACTGTATTGAAAGTTTTGAAGCAACGAGTAATTTATTATTACGAGCCGCAACTTTTTGTGACAGATAGCTAGTTCATACATTTTCCCGGAGAAAAAAAAGCTTCGAACGTGTCGTGTCATCTAAATCATGGCTCCTAAACAGAGGTTGCCTGCTAAAAGCTCTGTACGTGACCGGTCAGCTAAGCTGGCTGATACAAACTCGGTAATTGATCCGGCCATGGACAAGTATTACCAGCTGACGAGCGTCGTGCTCACTTTCCTGGCCCTAGCCACAAGATTTTATTTCATCTGGTACCCCGACGAAGTGGTGTTTGACGAGGTTCATTTCGGAAAATTTGCATCTTACTACCTAGAGAGGACCTACTTCTTTGATCTACACCCGCCTTTTGCCAAACTATTGATTGCCTTTGTGGGGTACCTTGTTGGATTTAATGGAAAGTTCAAATTTGACAATATTGGAGACAGCTACATCACGAATTCTGTCCCATATATTCCATTGAGGGCATTGTCTGCTACTCTCGGAGCACTCACAGTTCCTCTGATATTCAACACCATGAAGGAATGCGGTTACTCGATTCCAACGTGTACTTTCGCGGCGCTCCTCGTACTTTTTGACAATGCCCACGTTGCAGAAACCAGATTGATCCTGTTGGACGCAACACTGATTGTCTCTGTTGCTGCCTCTGTTTACTGCTATGTCAAGTTTGTGAAGCAAAGAAGCCAGCCATTTTCTCGTAATTGGTACAAATGGCTTTTCCTTACTGGCTTTTCTCTTTCCTGTGTTATTTCCACCAAATATGTTGGTGTCTTCACTTTTGCATGCATTGGAGTGGCTGTCCTTTGGGACCTTTGGGAACTTTTGGACATCAAGAAAGGCCTCACAATTAGAATATTTGCTAGGCATGTTGTTCACAGAGCCATTGGGTTAATTTTTTTCCCTTTCATGATCTACCTTGGCTGGTTCTATATCCATTTTGCGATTCTCACAAAGTCTGGACCGGGCGATGCCTTCATGTCTTCTGATTTCCAGGAGACTCTTGGAGATTCTCCACTTGCTCGAGAGGCAAAGGAGGTCCAATACCACGACATCATTACCATCAAACACAGAGATACTGAATGCTTGCTTCATTCTCATAATTTCCATTATCCGTTAAGATATGACGACGGAAGAATCTCTTCGCAAGGACAGCAAGTGACCTGTGTTAAAGATTTTGAAGACGAAAACAATTACTGGCAAATCCTTCCTGCTCTTCCGTATCCAGATGGCCAACTTCAAGGCCAAACTGTCAAGCAAGGAGACACAATCAGACTGAAACACGTTGCTACTAATGGCTACCTGCTGACTCACGACGTTGCTTCTCCGTTGTATCCTACCAACGAAGAATTTACTGTCATCAACATTGAAGAAGGAGAAACCACCAGATTCAATGACACATTATTCAGACTGGATCCATTCGACAAGAGAAAAAGTGATGTTCTCAAGACTAAAGCTTCGGTTGTCAAATTCTTCCATGTTCCTACTATAGTGACCATGTGGACTCACGACGATCAGCTCCTGCCAGAATGGGGTTTCAACCAGCAAGAGGTCAACGGTAACAAGAAAGTGGGCGATGCAGACAATTACTGGACAATTGACACTATTATCGGCCTCTCCGATAAGCGCGCAGAATACGTTCCTAAGGAAGTCAAGAAATTGCCATTCATGACGAAGTGGTACGAGCTGCAAATGACCATGTTTGAACAGAACAACAAGTTGAGCTCCTCCCATCCATTTGCATCGCTCCCTGAATCCTGGCCGCTTTCGTTATCTGGCGTGTCCTTTTGGACCAAGGCCGAAACCAGGGAACAAATCTATTTCATTGGAAACTTGTTTGGATGGTGGCTCGAAGTGGGTCTCCTAATGACCTATTTGGGAATCTTGTTGGCTGATCAGGTCACCAGGAGAAGAGAAATCTATGTTCTGAACAACAAGTCCAGAGCCCGATTGTACAAAAGCATCGGGTTCTTCTTTTGTGGCTGGGCCACCCACTACTTCCCATTCTTCCTCATGAATAGACAGCGTTTCCTTCACCATTACCTTCCTGCTCATTTATTGGCAGCCATGTTCTCGGCTGCCTTGCTTGAGTTTTTATTCACTGACAACAGAACTGAGGAGTTTAGAGATCCTAAAGAGACTACCAAGCCTGGCAGCATTTACTGGATTCCATACATTTCGGTACTTGTGCTACTCACTGCTGCCTTGGTGAGTATGTTCATTTTCCTTGCCCCTCTTACTTACGGAAATGTGTCCTTGTCTGTTCCAGAAGTTTTGCAGAGACAATTCTTCGATATCAAATTGCATTTCGCTAAATAAGCTAGCGAAGAGGAAATGGCAAATTTCTGTGCAGTCTAGCAGCGATCTCAATATAATCGGGCTCATTTTCCGGCAAGATATACCCATGTCTCATCAAGAAGTCTATTATAACACCTGAGCACGTTGGCGTAAAATGCCCCGATTTAACAAGATCACATATTTTGGGAATATCCAACAACTGAAAATCCTCAGCTTCACCATCCACGGGGCTTGGGAGCGTCTTGCCGCTCATTTCCAAGTCGTAGAGGTATTCTACCTCTGGCTGCAGCAAGCCAGCCTCTGTAGTATAATCGCCTTTTTCTGACTGGTAGAAGAATGACATAACACCAACGTTGCGTAGATTTTGTTTGACAACGTCTTCGGTCAATCCTGCCTCTTCATAGCACTCTTTAATGCACGTCTCCATCAGACCATGCGGGTAACCAAGTCCACCGGCCACGGTGTTGTCGAGCATCCCTGGAAACGTTTGTTTGGTGGCAGATCTTCTAGGAATCCAGAGCTTCAAACCTTCCTTGGTACGTACATAGCCGTTAATGTGAACTCCATACATTACCACGCCCAAAAGGGGACATAGTGCTCGCTCCAAGTACATGTACGGCTCCTTTTCGGGCGAGTATATCGTGTACAACTCGTTTCTCCAGCCTTCGAGAGTGGAAAATAGTCCCGCCTTCTTCCATTCCTTGGCCATTTGATTCAGCCTGTCGGATCTGAGCTCCACAGTGGACAGTTCTGAAGAAATCTGAATGCTCCGGTTGTTTATGTCCACAGATACAAGACCTGAACGACCCAATTCCGTGACGACAAGAGGAAGCACATAGCCTAACTGAAAGCGGCGGTCGTGAGAATATAGCACATAGACAGACTCCCGAAAGGTGTCGTAACCTTCCTCATGAGGATAAGGCACGACATCCATTCTTTTGATCGCATCTAGGAACGACATTAAGAAGCCAGCATGCACAGCCAGAGATAAAAAATAATTTCTATCAGCCTAACCAACGCAGGCCATGCACAGAAGTCTTCTTCGAGCGCTTGAAGAGGCCATTCAGAAAGAACCAAATGATCAGGAGGAGGTCAGAGCGTGTGCTGAACGTCTTCGAGCAGAACTGGAATCTACAAATGCAAAGATAGGAGACGAGCTGACCGTTTTGTATAACAAGATGGTTAATTCTGTTGAACGAGAGGTCTCCTTCTTGGAAGCTTTGACTATACTCAAAGACCACGTTAAGAATCTGAATGTTTGGACCGCAAAATACGCTGAGGTATCTATAGACTCAGCTGGCTTGAATCTTCGCCTGACGAAACTCGCTACGCAATTGGTAGAATGGGCTATGGATCGCGATCTGGCCCGATTTTTCGTCCACAAGTACTTACAGACATTTGACGTACCATCAGATACATCATTCGAAGACAACGAGAAACACAGATTCCGTCGACTGAACATACGAAGGATCTTATCATCTTATGTCAAAGTGGATGCTCCAGGGTTGTTCTCTATTTTAGCAGACACCTTAGTCACAAAGGACCTCCAGACACTTGCGCTTTTTCAGAGTATTATGGAGTGCCCTCTCAATGCACAATTTGAAAACCTGCCCTTATTCGAGCGTTTGTTAGACGTGCTGGAGAGATCCGACTCTTCAGTTCAAGGGTGTGCCCTTAATGCGCTTTGCGTATTGGCACCGATGGTGATAAGGTCCTTCAAAGAACAATTTGGCAGGATGAGCGATATCTTTGTGAATCTTGCAGACGAAAATGTGGAGTATATGCGGCTTGGAGGGCTTCTATATGCTGTTTCACCACAACAGTTCATCTCAACTGTAAAAAGCCGGCTTGCTACCAAATCGAAAAACATCTTGACCAATTTACGTTTGCACCCTGCTTTACTGGAAGGACCGGAAATTGAGGAGGAGGAGACAATCGAGTTGATGAAGTCCTATGTTTCAGATTTTGGGACGGCCCAAGAGATTGATCTTGAACACCTGCTGGATGATTACGAACATGTTTTTGCCAAGAGCGAGGAAAAAGAGGGACTTTCTGAGCCAATGCAGTTTTATCAACGCGAAATGTTGATTTTGAGCAATGAGCTCAGTTTTTCCGAGTACGTTCGACATTCGCTAGCCATGGAGCGCAAGAAACCGGATCCGAAAGAACTTAGACTAAAAGTTGAGGTTACGAACCCAATTGCAGCCACACCACGGTCTGCAAACCCGGAAAGGAAAATGGAAGAGGGATTGATCTTGAAAAACAACGAAAAATTGCGGGACGAAATTCTACTATTGACAAGCCAAGTGGGCCAGCTTCGCGAACAAAACCAGGCACTAGAGCTGCAAGTTATGGACAGGGACAAATCTGTCGGTCCACTGAGGGAAGAAATAAGTAAACTCAGAAACAAGACCATTTATTTGAAAGAGGTCAACGCCGCTTTGGAGGAGAAACTGGACTCGGCAAAGTGGAGCTCAACAGATACGTTGGCGGAACTTCCATCAGATTCTCCTGACAACTTACACTCTCAAGAGAAATTGGAAAAAATAGCCAAATATCGTGAACAACAGATAGCTCATATTAATGAAAGCTACCAAAACCAAATCAGGGAATTAGAGCGTGAAATGGATCTCCTACGTCTTGAGAAGCGAGAAAAATCGAACGAGATTATACGACGACAATTATCGCTGTTCCAAAGTAAACTAAAAGAATACGAAATATTGAACAAGCAACTAGAAAAACAGATACAAACTCAGGAACAATATCTCATTGAGTTGAAATCCACACAACCAATTCAGATTCCTCAGACAACGCCAGCTAGACCCCTTCTGTCTCCCAATGGCTACGACTCTTCAAACAGCATCTACAAAAACGAGGAAAATCTTATGTTCAACAGAGTGAGAAAAGCTAAGTCGACCGAGTTCACAGCTTCCAACTATAGTTCTTCAGAACGTCAAATTAATCCATCTGGGTTTAGCTTTAGTATTCGTCGCCACGCCAATCCTACAATTGATACTTCCAATATAGCCGTTAAAGGTCGTGGAGGAATTCAAAATAAAGCAAAGCTAAAAATGTAGCTTTGGCTCACAAGATTAAGTCTTCCATGAAAAACACCTTTCGGAAGACAAAAATCAATCCAAAACGGCCAACCAGATTGACACATAAAGATTTGGGAGACGATTCTGATGATGTTTGGAAGAAGGTAAGTTCTAATGTTCAAATTCTGACATATAGACTCGGGCCGCATGCAAGTCCACAATAGAGAAAACGCTGTCGCAAATACAAGCAGATCGTGAATCTGTCGTCGACCCAGGTCGTTTAGCATCTGAATACGAGTGTTTGCTCTATGAATCACGGAAACATAACCTTGACAACTATAAGGAGCGATTTCGAAAAGACTTGATTGCTTTAAAAAATCAGAGCACAGAGTTTGCCCAGGATCTTCTCAGGGGTGACATGTCCATGAAAGAATTTTGTAGATTGAAAGACTCGGAGCTGTTATCCAAAAGGCAGAGAACCCAGGACAAACAGCTTCTCGAAAAAGAATTGAAAAGTAAAATCACTACAAACTTGCCTGACACAATCAATCAAATTAAAAACCAAGCCAACACTGTATCTGAAAAATGGGGCATCAGTGAAAGCGCTGCTAAAATTGATCCCGAGTTTGAAAACTGATTTATTTATGGTACTATACTGTTCGCCGAAGTTTCGTCGTGCTTTTGTTTTTTGGCTTGTTGAGACGACTCTTCATCGTCTGATGCTCGCTTAATGCTGAATTCGATCGGAGGTTCTAATTTTGGTTCTTGGCAATTCATTGCGGGAGTCTTGGGGGTTTGTGCACTTCCGTCGTCGTTGGAAGTGCTAATAACTGTTCTCGTTTCTGGATTCTCGTTTTTATCGTCTATTGTATATTTGAGTAAATTTCCTTCGCCATTTTCTCGCTTTATCGAATCCAGTAGCTTGCCCACAGCACTAATCGTCTGAATACAAAATGGCGTAATGTCTCTTCTCGCCACCTTGACTTTTTCACGACTAGGAGTTGAGGGCTGCCCCGGTTTGTTTTTACTTTCGACAAATTCAACCTGCGAGGATTTCTCAGATTCGGGAATAAGGTTCTTGGTAGCACAATCCTCATAACGAGTGAAAAGTATTAGAAACAATGTATGGAAGCACTCGTCTATCACACCCGTTGCAGCAAATCCATTGGCCATACGTCTGAACTCTCCAACTTCGAACAAAAAGTACAGAATAAGCTTTTCTTCGTCCGTGAAGGTTTCCTTTTCTTTCATCATCTGCACAAACTCCTTGCTTTTTGCAACAAAATCAGCAAAAACAAGTTTGGACAACACTTCATCCAAGAAGCCTGGCACAGCGTGCACAATTTCTTTGATGATAGCACAAGTTTTTGCAACTGCAAGATCAAAGACTTTAATCTGGTCAATCATGCTTGAACCCAATTTTCTCAGCTTTTTGATAAGTTGGAACAAAGAATGAACATCTTTTGAACGATCCAAAAGCTCAACAAAAAAAACAATGTAGTTGTGGTTGTAAACAAAATGCTTTCCAGGGCGCTCATTCTCCGGCTTCCATATGTTGCTGAGGTTTCGCACTGTGGACTTGAGATTGATAATAGAGAGCATTTCATTCTTCGCGGCCTCCAGGTCATTATACTGGTCAATGTAGATCTTGGCAATGCGATATTTGGGCCTATGTTGCCAATTTTTCCTATCGTAAGAGATGCATTTTTGAAGAAGACCTATTATGGTTTTGCCAAACTCCTCTATAGTTGATGCTTCACATGGAGATTCTTGAAAAAGCGAGTCGCTTTTCAATACGCTTAATCCTTCTTCGAGAGAGACGTCCCCACGCATTACTGACTTATAGGTGAAAGAACATAGAAAGTAATGTGGCTCAACAATATGGTCATCCCGGTCGCTCGCCTTCAGAGCAAGTTCACAGGCTGTGAGAAGATTCTTGGCGACAGTTTTGTAACGATTCTTTCCTCTGAGTTTGGATTGAGACTTTGCAAGGTAGAAGTGGCTATACCAATCTTTAGGGTTCAAATTACATGCTTGACGAAAGCAGATCTCCAGGACCTTGTATACTGTGATGTTGAGTGGAAGATGAAGAGTAGGTGACGATGTGCTCAAAGTTTCAATGCCGTTCGGTTCCGTATCAGAATCAACCTCCAACGCCAGCCTTTCCATAGGACTCATCACTGCATTGTAAAGTTCTCTCCCCAGAGAAGTCCATAACATTGTAGCAACCGGGGCGAGTTCCTCTTGCCTCTCTGTACTGAGCCTGGTAAATAAACTAATTGACATGAAGTAGCAGAGTAATGACTTGCGTTGCAATATAGCAGTGTTGCGTTTCTTATCCACATTGTTCAGTTTGTCAGAAGTCCAAATGATATCGTCCTCCACCAGGTAAGAATAAGCTTGTGCAAGGAGAAGCCACGACTCAAACCTATAAGACCCAGAGGCAATATCGTATTCAAACATCTTGATAACAAAGTCAAGCTCAGCTGAGCGTCCTTGCATGGTTCGTTTTCGAATTTTGAATAACGTTAAGGCAAGTAAACCCTGCATGAAATAAACTCCGTCTGATAGATCATCGGTTTCATTTTCAGCCATTGGCTCGTCGAGAGGAATGGACAACAAGCCATAAAAAGACAATCTCATGAGACGCGTGTCTAAAGTTCTGGTCTCTAGATACTCCATTAGAGCCTCCATATTATTTGAGACAGTGTAGTTATCGGGCTCAGGATCTCCCAAAACATCATAAATCATGTCAAGAATATTTTTGATGTCTGCCTTGGGAACATTGAAAATGGGATGCTTGCGCTTGAAGCAGTATTTCATCATATATTTGTTAACCGTAATTGCATTGACCTTTTCCATTGTGCCTGGCTCGGCCCCGTGATCAAAAGTGCTAAAACTATCCGTCGATATATTGATCCCATAATGGCATTTCAGGGTTTGGAAGAAATCGTTATCAGATTGCTCCCAGTCCAGATCCACAAGCCTTTTCTCAACGAAGTCCAAAAACACGCTATTATATCCATTGCATATATGACGAAGCCCAAGTTGTTCGTGCAATATGGCGTAGAAGTCATTAAGGTACTCTGGTTTTCGATCAATCAAGCTGCAAGAATAGTAAAGGCTAAGGAGTGTAAAGCTGACAACAGCAATATCCGCTAGCTTCTTGTAGGCCATTCTGGATTTTGCTCTCATTGAAATTCGAGTATTAGAAAGTTGAGCACTATCCTCGTGGAGCAGAAATATATAGGAAAGTGTCGAGAACTTTGCTAGTATAAGTAGAACATTCTTTGCGTTAGACAGTTGCAAATCCCATCGTTTTTGGACCCCGATGTTCACAAGATCTTTTGCAAATAGGTCAAAGAACCCAAGTACTTTGAGCAGCAACTGTTTGCGCTGAAAAAATGTCTTTTCCGCAAAGTTTGCGCCCTCAATTTCCATCAACATTATCTGTAACACTCGTTCAAAGCCCCTTAAGAATTTGTCCGTTAGCTTTGCTTCGCGATAAAACTTAAACAGCATAGTCCATAATCGCATCTTAAGCTCGAAAGGCGATTTGCTGATAAAATCATCCATCTCTCTTTCCTCTTCATTATATTTGGACTTCTTTTCATCGTCGTCAACTAAAATCTTTTCAAGAATCTCATTGGAAGCATCACTTTCAGTAAACGTTTTGAATATTTTCATTTTTGATAGTTGGATTTCTATGTTTGATCTATTCAATCGTGGAATGTTGGGGAAGTTGACCATTAGAATGTCAAAGTGTACAGATTTTGAGATATTAGCCATGGAGGTCAAGATCATGGACAGCACTTCAGAGTCGAATGAAGAGAGGTGTTGCAGATAGCACATTTGACACCATTTTGTTCTGAGCCATAATTGCGAGCATACAGTATCCAAATGCATGTTTTCAAAATAGTCATTCAATATTGCAATCCAGCGCTCAATCCTTCGTGAAGTGATCTGTTCTGTTTGGACAATTTCGTTATACAGAGCTTTGGTTCCGAATTTTTTGAGTTTCTGATCCACTTTCAAAGAGATGAAATAATCAACCAGGATCTCAAGAACTGCAACGCCGAACGACAAACTACCAATATCTGTTGGCCCATTTTCCAAAAGACTGTTGCTCAATTGTCGATACACATAGAGACCAACAGCATCAGTGAATAGACGCAGTTGTTTCAGAGATTCAACGCTCATGAATCCGTCTGTAACAAGCGTTCCCCCCAACTCCCTGACTGAAAATAAATAATTTGTAATAGATAATCGGATTTGATTGAACTGTAAGCGAGTCCCAGTAATGGATGAGATCACAGTTTTCAATCCGCCATTGTCTAATTCCTGAAATGACCTTCTCTCCTCTAGCGTATCTTTACTCAACGAGCTAAGAATTTCTTTCACCGAAGCTTCCTTGCTCTCTTCATTGCTATGTCCATCTTCGAGTTTCACAAAAAGGGTTTCTGTATCCTCTTTATTCCACTGATCGAATATTTGAGCCAAGTCGTAGTACTGTTGGGGCCCACTTTTTGACTGAGCATTAGGAAGAAATGCTTCTATTACTTTGCCAGATCCATCCACTATGACACCACAATACAGCAAATACTGTGGTAATGTTTGCTCCAAAAACAAGAATTGAGACGCGAAAGATTCATTGCTGAGTTCGTTCACCTCTGCTTCCTTATTAGCCCTTGTTTGTCGTTTCGTAACAGTAGGAGTGGTAGAAACTGCGCCTTTTTGATGTGTGTCTTTGACGCCCTCTTTTTCTTGCTGAGAATCCTCAGCAGCAGATAGCTTTACCCTGGACGGTGAACCTGAATCTTCGTTGTCAGGAACAATTGCCACATCGTTTTCTTCAGCATCGTCCTCTGCTCTAGGTTCCGATTCTTCGTGGTTCTCCCCTGTCTCCACTAGTTCGAAATTGACCCCCTCAATGGGACGGTCAGTAAGAATGTAGCTGTCATATATTTTTGATCGCCCTTTTTTGGGTAAGAGGTCGTTAAGTTTTTTCAAAAGCTCTTCTAATGCCACCGAATTATCGTGACAGGCAATGGTGACAGAATGCCACTCCGGCTCCTCTTGATTGAAGTTTTTGAACTGCTCGGCGGTTGGAAACGCATCCATTGCAATCCCTTTGAGGGGCTTGGCGCTCTTTTCGATACCCAGTAGCAATCTTGAAGAAGCAGATTCAACACCCATTTCCTGTAGACATTCCTTATAACTGCGCAGAAGGCTCAGTTGACTCGGTAGTAATTGTTCAGGGCGCTTTAGATTATATTGGATATCATCTTCTTCAGTGAACGCGTTTCCAGTGCGCGGCTGAGTCTGAGCAGTGTGTTCGGGCTTGAGCAGTTCGTACTCGTATGCAAATCGGCTCAGCTTTTTGATCTTTAGACGTTCAAAGATTTGAATTAACAGCTCTATAAGTTTCAGATCTCCCTTACCATGACACAGCGCCGAAGTCAAGTCATCAACAGCGTCATTGAAAAGTTCAAGATTGTTGGAATGATCATCACCATCGAATCCTCTTTTAATTTGAGCCAGTTTCAAGACACCACGGTTGCGGAGACAAAGATATTTGAGTGTTTCAATAGCGGGATTATTCGTCGCATTTCTGGTGGTCAAAACCTCCATACGAAAGAGCTCCTGATACTTGGCATTAGCTTCGTTATAATTTCCTTGTTTTTGAGCACTTAAAGCCTCTTCGAATAGTTTGAACCCAAGTTCAATCTGCAACTCTCGAGAGTGTTCCTCAATATCCTTTTCATCTTCAACATGGTTGATTGCCGTGAAGGTAGAATGGCGAGGCTGTATTTGTTAGATATAAATGCAGATATCCTACTTACCATACTTCAATGACTTTTGAAAAATGCACTTAGAAATTAATACGTATTTTAGGGGTGTATTATATATACAAAAGCGAAAAATATCATCAAGTCGTCTCGAACGCAAAAAAAGCTTTCACCTAATTGATGGAGAAAGGACTGGACGAATAACTTCGTCCTTTAACAGAGCAAGTTCATCAACTTGCTCTTCTGAAATTTTGTCTAGGATATTCAAGGCCATTTGTTCCGCCAGTTTGTCATTTTCAGTCATGTCAAGGGTTTTGTCGAAATGATCGATCTGGTTTGCCTTTGCAAAAATGGACTTATCATTGTTTATATGTGGAGAGGGTGGAGGCTCGGTTATAGGTAGGGAGTTATTGGTTTCAGTTTTTGAAATAGCTGAATCGAATATATCTATAGTGGGCGACAACATTGATACCGTCGGGGTATTGGTGGAATTAAAACTTCCCATATTCTGATTAATTGGTCTTTGGCCAGCATTTTTGATAGGTGATGACTGAAGGGGGAATAAAAGCAACTCGGAGCTTGAACGGGGCATGATTGGGGTAAGTTGTTCGGTACTACAAGGCAACGAGTATTGATCCTCAGGGTCGTATGGCAGCAATACCACATCTTTCAACACTGATGAGCACTGAGAATCGGATCGAGGTTGGATGCGGGATGGCGAATTTTGATCATTTTTTGATTTGGTGGCGAGAGATGTCACCCTGGGGCAAAGATCAGGGGGATCATTTATAGGATTGGAGGGATCATCCGTATTTTTTTTCAGTTTGGCAAACTTCGAGCGGAGTCGAGTCGAAAATGATCTTTTCAAAACCATGGTAACTTTGTATTGAAGTACACCACGATGATAGCGAAGTTCAACCAAAGGTAGATCCAAATATGATTATTTGATGAGTTCAGTCACAAAAAAGCACAACTTTTTTCTGTTAAATAACGGTCGGCTGTGAAAAAAATAGGAGCACCGCCACCACTTCGGACATTTTTATTACCTTTTTGGTAAATATCCGCCACGAACGGGAATCAAAATAGCGAAATTTTGCCACAACGCGTAGATCTAGACCACACTATCTCAGTGTAGAGGTGTTTTAGATGGTTGGACTATAATTTTCATGCCTCTTTTTGTGGGCAGAGAGGGAGAGGAGAAAGAAAGGCCGTGCAAATTCGGCGCATACTATACAGACTGAGAACAAAGTATTGAATCACACCGGTTCAGGCTTCCATCGCTTACTTAAATTGCAACTACCGATTTTCGAAACCTGCTTCTGTACCTAGGAGCTGTACTGAAAGCAAAACTATGAGTGGCAGGCCACTATTGCGATTTTATTTTTCAGCTCCTTGTTTCTGCGTAAATTATTTTTCTTATGGCCGTAGGTGTTCATTCGTTCAATTTCAAAAAATCAAAACATTTTCCTCAGCAGGTCCATCGATTTATGTTTTTTTAAAGACACACTGGCATCTGACGATAATCATCTCTTCCCACTTGACAACATTTTGCAGCAAATTTTGTTGTTCAGAACAATATTCGCCTAGTGGATCTCGTGTCTAAATTTCTGATAAAAGGGTTTACAGCAAATAAGAATTTGCATAAACCTTTCGTTTATTTCCTTGCATTCCTCAGCGGATCAGTTTTACACCTTGGCAAATGTCCACAAGACCAAACCACTCCTCTCCTGCAGCAGCAGCAGCACTGGCAGCGTCCAATAATATGACCAACGCAAACGGATATCAACAAAATCCGTCAACAACCGCACAATACTCTTCGGCTAGCGCTCCTCCTCCTATGCAGGCACAGGCTCCCGCAATGGCACAACAACAACAAATGCAGCAAAACTCATCCAGCTCGAGCTCCCAAGTGGTGGGACTCCACTATAAAATCGGTAAGAAGATCGGTGAGGGATCTTTTGGTGTTATATTTGAGGGAACGAACTTAATCAACGGCATTCCGGTTGCGATCAAATTTGAACCTAGAAAAACCGAAGCTCCGCAACTAAGAGATGAGTACAGAACTTATAAGCATTTGAATGGAGTAAAGGGGATTCCAAGTGCATACTACTTTGGTCAAGAGGGACTACACAACATCCTGGTCATTGATCTCCTTGGTCCATCTTTGGAGGACCTTTTCGATTGGTGCGGCCGCAAGTTTTCTGTCAAGACAGTTGTTCAGGTGGCTGTCCAAATGATTACTTTAATTCAAAGCGTCCATGAGCGAGATCTTATTTACAGAGACATCAAACCTGATAACTTCTTAATTGGAAGACACGGTCTCCCAGACGAAAATTCAGTTCACCTTGTGGATTTTGGCATGGCCAAACAATACAGAGACCCAAGAACCAAGCAGCATATACCTTACCGAGAGAAAAAATCGCTGAGCGGAACAGCTAGATACATGTCTGTTAACACCCACTTGGGAAGAGAGCAATCCAGAAGAGACGACTTGGAGGCACTCGGACATGTGTTTTTCTACTTTCTCAGAGGGCAGTTACCATGGCAGGGACTTAAGGCGCCTACCAATAAACAGAAGTACGAGAAGATTGGTGAGAAGAAGAGAACAACACCAGTTCTGGATCTGTGCCACGGATTCCCACGTCAATTTGCTCAGTACTTGGACTATGTTAGAAACTTGCAATTTGATGCGGAACCTGATTACGAGGGATACAGGAAACTCTTGTTGTCGGTTTTGGACGATATTGGTGATGTTGCTGATGGTCACTACGATTGGATGGACCTGAATGGCGGTCGTGGGTGGGATGCCACCATCAACAAGAAGCCAAACTTGCATGGATACGGCCACCCTAATCCGCCAGGAGACAGACACCGCCACAGCCAACAGAGAAGACCTAGAAATACTCAGCAGCCTACCGGCTCTGGTGCCGCTGGTACACAGGCTTTACCTTCCTCAGCGCTTCCTGGCCAAGTTTACAGAACGCACGATACACAATCCGGCGACAGACCTCTGCCAAACTTACCAGACAAAAGTGGCAGATTCTCTCCGGCAAATCAGGGCTCACCTCTTGCTCAACAACAGGGCCAACAGTATCAGTATCAAAACATACAACAGCAGCCTCAGGCTATCAGTGAGCCTATCAAGGCTCAACCTGGAGCGGGAAAGCAGGAAACGGCATCGAAAAAGAGCAGCAAGGGATTCTTTGCCAAGCTGTTTGGGTGTTGCTTGTAGATGAGAAGGTGGGCCTAAAGGTGTACTTAAACTGTTTTTAAAAGTTTTATACTAGAGATCAAAAGTTTCACGTGACTAAACTTTGTACGTAAGTCCTGAAAAATTGTTCATGGGCTTGTTCAAGATGTCAGCCTACTTGAAAGAAACGTACATTGCCCAGTTGGCAGTCCAGAGAGCTACCCTTTTGACACAGAAGGTTGCGGTTGAGCACTTGAAAGGCGTTAGCAAAGAGGATCATTCTCCAGTTACGATCGGGGACTTTGGAGCCCAAGCAATAATCATCAATTCCATCCTAAAGAATTTCCCTGGCGATGAGGTTGTTGGGGAAGAGGACTCCAAATTGATCAAGGAGAAGTGTCTTGGTGAGAACATTCTTTCTCAAGTCCAGTATGTTCAAGAGCAGGATTCCAGCAACAATGATTCTCTGGGTGTCATTGAGGACAGCGACACATTATGTGATATCATTGACAAGGGTCAGTCCAACGGTGGCAGCAGCGGTCGCATTTGGGCTCTTGATCCAATTGATGGAACCAAAGGCTTCTTAAGAGGAGACCAGTATGCCGTGTGTCTCGCACTAATGGTTGACGGTGTGGTTCAAGTTGGTGTTATTGGCTGTCCAAACCTTCCTCACCAATTAAACGACAGTAATTCACCTGTGGGGGGACTTTTTACCGCAGTCAAAGGCGCTGGGTCCTATTTCCAGGACCTCAAGTCGGATCTGGTATATCCTTTCACCAGAAGCATGAGAATTCAAGTGAATAATTCACTTCCTGTAGAACAGGCCCGAGTCCTGGAGGGTGTTGAAAAAGGACACTCTTCTCATAATCTTCAATCGTTGATCAAGCAGGATCTCAATATACAAAGCAAGTCAGTGAACCTTGACTCACAAGTGAAATACTGTGCGCTGGCCAAAGGTGATGCCGAAATCTACTTGAGACTTCCTAAAGACCCAGCATACCGTGAAAAGATTTGGGACCACGCAGCAGGTACTCTTTTGGTTCATGAGAGTGGTGGAAAAGTCACCGATATTTATGGTTCACCTCTAGATTTTAGCCATGGCAGAACATTGGACAGCCAAGGTGTCATAGCTGCTACTACCAACGTTCACGGCCATATTATTAAGGCCATTAAACGAATCATTGGTGAAAAGGGAGAAAAGTTGGAGGAATACTGTAAATAAACACGAAGGCAGTGCCTCAATCCGTAGTGATTATTTAATATCTAGGATTACTGTATACTGAGATTATTAGTAAAAAAAAAAATGTTAAGATCAAATGTCACGTTCCAAGTTCGTATCTCTATTTAAAAGCTCGCCGCTATATGACTTTCTGATTCCCTTTCAACGAGCTCCAAACCAATGGGTTGCGCGCTATATCATAATTGTTTTCGCCATAATTGTGCGATGCGCAGTTGGGCTGGGACCTTACTCGGGACAAAACACACCTCCTATGTTTGGAGATTTTGAAGCTCAGCGCCATTGGATGGAGATTACCACACAACTACCGATTAGGGAGTGGTATTTTTATGATCTTCAGTACTGGGGGCTGGATTATCCTCCTTTAACTGCCTTTCATTCTTGGCTGCTAGGAAAAATTGGCTCCTTGACAGATGTTTCGTGGTTCGCTCTCGATGTCTCAAGAGGACTCGAAACTGACGACTTAAAGTCTTACATGAGAATTACAGCTCTCTTGAGTGAATTATTCATTTATATTCCGGCAGTGCTAATGTACACTAGGTGGATGGGGAGATATTACAACAAGGCTTCTCCTATTGACCAAACTATCATAGCGGCGGCCATCCTCTACCAGCCGTCTCTGATTATTATTGACCATGGGCATTTTCAATACAATTCTGTGATGCTTGGTCTATCTCTCTTTGCAATTGTCAACCTCTTGGAAAACAACTATGTTTTATGCTCGGTGTTCTTTGTGTTGGCTCTTGGTTTCAAACAAATGGCACTCTATTACGCTCCTATTTTCTTTTTCTATCTTCTTAGTGTCTGCATTTTCCCCTTCTCCAAGATGAACCTGTTGAGACTGGTTTCCGTTGGAGTCTCTGTGCTTTTCACGTTTGTGCTGATGTTTTTACCCTTCGTGTACAAGGGCGGATTTGGGCAAATCATCCAAATACTCATCCGTGTGTTTCCATTCGATAGAGGCATTTTTGAAGATAAGGTGGCCAATTTTTGGTGCGCAACTAACGTGATTATTAAGTACAGACAAATCTTCACTCAAGATCAGTTGAAGAAACTGTCGCTCCTGTTGACGTTGGCAGGAATCGCGCCCGCTTCCATTACAATTTTCATAAAGCCAAGCAAGAATTTATTTACCTGGTGCTTGGCATCCTGCTCATTGGCTTTTTATCTTTTTTCATTCCAGGTGCACGAGAAATCAATTCTTCTGCCTCTGATGCCAATCACTCTTCTTCTCAACGAGGTTGATCCCGACGTCATATCTATGGTTTGCTGGATTGCCAACATTGCTTTATTCTCGATGTGGCCGCTTCTTAAGCGAGACCAGTTGTCTCTTCAATATTTTGTTTTAGGGATTTTGAGCAACTGGCTCATGGGCAATTTGAGTTGGATCAGAATGTATTTGAGAAGAGCTAAAATTCCAGTTCTTGCCAGGGAGCTAGCAACGCCAGTGCTTCCTCACAACTTATTCTGGCGCTTTGTCATCATCAGTTCGTATACTCTGGCCTCATGTCTACACATACTCGATTATTTTTTCGAACCTCCTAAGCAGCTGCCACACCTTTGGGTGATCTCTAATGTCATCCTATCATTTGGCTGCTTCATGTTGTTTTGGTGCTGGACAAACTACAAAATCATTCAGAAAGCAACCTTCAAGGTTAAAGCCAATTAATAAATTCAAGTTATATCACTGGACTCCGCTAACATTTTTCCATGACGCAGTGGAAAATTCGAGAGCATTGGCGCACTCGGGTAGCTGTAGTCCCTCTTTCAGCTTACGGTCGTGGGTGAAGAATCCCCATTGAGTTTCCCATGTACTGCCTTCCTCATGCCATATTTTTTTCCATGGCTCATCAAAGGCTTCGAAATAGTACCATGCGAATTCTTGCGTCTTGGGCGAACATACCCATGATTCAAGGAATTGGTGCATTTCCTTTTTCCCGGCAACTGAAGCCATGTATTGTCCACCACCAGTTGGCCAGCCAACTTCGGTAACAGCTACCTGAACTTCCGGCCGTATACTATGGACATATGGCAACACCTGTTGCTCTAGGAAATCGAGTGTCCATTGCACTCCTTTATTTACTGCCTCTCCTCCAAAAAAGGGGTGAATGTTGGCACCAATGAAGTCGCACTTCTCAACCATTTCACGCTTGACTTGGGATCCCAACTCAGAAGTCCCAATTGGAATGTCTCCGTATCCAATGGATTTCGCATAGGTTCTAGCTTCTTCCACATACGAGATCAGCTCTCTCACGGTTTTGTCTTCCCTGAAAAGTACCTCATTTCCAATGATTATTGAATTGAAGTAGCGTTTCGGGAAGTTGCTTAGCAACCACTTCATTTCATTCATCTGTTTCCAGTTCGAATGGTCATCTTCTCCTATCCAAACTCCAAGGGCAATTGTCATATTCAGGTTAAGCTCCTGAAAAGCTTTGAGGATAAGTTCTGCCTGACGGCATTGCGTCCCATAGGTTCTTACCCTGGTTGTGACTCTCGACAACAGCGCAACATCCAATAAAACGTCTCTTTCTGTGACTTGACACATGGGCTCAATCACCCCTCTTGGGGCGTAAGACAGACCATAGAAGGATTGCTTTAATCTGTTGTCCTCCATGAGGGCCCTTATTTCGTAATCCCCTTGATATTTACTGCTGATACCTCGGAATGAATTAATCGTCGAGTTATTAAACAGAGTGTTATTATTTTGAGGGGTATTATTGAGACGAGAATAGTTGTCCAATCGCTTGCCACTGCTAAGATTGAAATCATTGAAAATGCTGGTAACTTCTGGATATCTCTCATGTTCATCCAACGCTTGAAAATATTGAGCCACTTGCTCTCGTCCGACTTTGGAAGGAGACCACGCTTTGATAGACACCAAACTTGCATATATAAGTAGAAGGATGAAAAGAAATGCCAAGAAAATTCCAATCCAAGGAGACATTGTCAGACGGTACTGATATACAGGCTCAATTTTTGTCATTTTCTCTCCTTCTGTATCTTTAAACTCCACAGATTTTTTGCGGTCGTCAGCATGAACCATGGTTTTTCTCGTGGATCCGCCAGTGTACTTCCGCACGCTTGCTCTACTAAAGGAGAATTCAGATTTTGAGCTTTTGACACTGGTCCTTTCAAGGGCATCGACGTCTCCGAAAGCCCATGGTCGAGACATAGATCCCTTTTTACTAGACATTCCGGTCATGGAGGCAGCAGAGTTCATGGCATTCTCGCCATCGTTGCCGACCAAATGTCCATGTTCTTTGATTGTTCTGTATCTATCGTAGGAGCGTAATGTTTCAGTATCAACATCGGTCATAGATTCTTTTTCATTTTGGCTCTTGATCGATGCCTCTTTCTCGTTTGGCGATATATAACCAAACGTTTGAATCAGATTTTCCCCTTCAGACCACTCACTTCGCCGGTCACCAGGGCTACCATTATCAGGGCTTCTTAGTTTGGGGATTGAAAGCTTGGAAGCTTGCTCACCTTTCAGGTCCGCCGAATCAAGGGTGCCCAGAACGCTAGCTGTCCTTCCTGAGTCTCCTTCTCTGACAATTTGTTCGAACGGATCAAATTGCGACAGCAGGTTGGCTGGGGATGCGCTAGACAGATCAATGAGGTCTGAAGTCTCCCTGTGTTCCATTCTGCGGATTCCGATTGATTCGGGATCAAGAGAAATGGGTCTCTCGTCAACATAACTGGAGTGAATTTCCTGCGGCTTATTTGGTTGTATATTTCCGGAGTAAAATCGATCAACACTCTTGAGTCTTATAACCACTGGCTCGGGAGAGTTAGCCAATGGAGGGACAGGGAACTGCATCGTGTTTCTTCTCAGCTTGATATCTCTCTCTGCATCATCTTGATATGCGCCAGACGGGGGAGTGTTTTTGCCTTCCTTGTGAGAACTTAACTCATTCGCATTTGCTATCTCTTTCTGAACCTCTATCGCAGAGGCACTGTTGACTTTTCTCTTTGAAAGGAAAGTCATAAACGAAGTGGATAAGTTCAAATACTTTTTTATATTTCTTAGCGCCTCGAATTAGGGATAAATTCATATCCCTGGAAATCAATGTATTTTGAACGAAGATAAATATTATTTAAATAAATGCTATGCCATCAAAGTAATTGCAAGCTGTAGCAGGAAGATCAGAGCCATAAATCCCACACGAGCGCTCAGCAAGAGCTCTTGACCCTTCAAGATCACAGTCCATTATAGCCATTGAACGGCCCTGCAGTCTTGTTACCATTAGATTCGAGTATTCGGTGAACAAACCATTGAATTCCATTAGCAGACTTTCAGGAACTCCAAATGCATACCTCGAGTGATCTTTTGGTTCATTCAAAGAGTCCAATATTGTAAACAGTCTCCTGAAATCTGTCATATCTTCGTATCCCAAAAAGGCAACTGATAAATGATTCAGCAGCTGATATAATATATCAGAGCATTGTCTCCAAGAATTCTGGTTCATTGTTTTATAGGCCCCCATCTCAGAACACAATGTGATTAGTCTGACTAGAGTCCATACATCTGCCTGAGAAAACGATCTACGTTTCTTAACGGCAAGAAGAATTATTTCCAACCAGTTTTGAAGATGGATCCAATGAGATTTGTCCGTAGGAATTTCGTGCAAATGTAGCGAAACAATAATCAAAAGGGAGTAGAACACCGACTTGTGAAGTGGATTGACTTCCAAAATTGGTAATTCATCAACATCTGCAACAACGTCATCCTGGAAAAGCTCAAGCCGGTAATTGATCAACGAATTAATATATTCGCTCTCTAGAAGGATCATAAGATCCGTCATACTGTCTGTTGATTCGAAGCGTTCGTTCAGTGGCGCTTGAACGTCTTCTATTGCCAGTTCATGCCTCAAGTCAATGAATTCTGGCACTGTCTGTAAAACAGAGCTTGCCACAGTATTGAGATACCGGACCAACGTAACGAAATCCTCCTTAGGTTTTTCAAACTTCCCCTGCACGATAGATCTCTTATAGACATCACTCAAGGATTTCACAAATAACTTTAAATAGTCGGCATCTTGCTCCTTACCTTTCTTCGCACCAACCACCAAACGAGCAAGAATGCGAATGCTCACCCTCATAATTTGACCGGAGAATTCCTCCATTGTCATATCCGATAGATTTTTCCCGGTTCTAAACTCCAAATATCCACTGTGTTCGTTCTGCTGTGCCAAAAGTTTACAGAAATCAAAAAGGTCTTTGGTGCATGTATCAGCAAGCTTTTGGAGAAATACAGTGAACATTTCAGAAAATGAGCTAGCAGAAGTTTGATGATCCCTGTAAAACGTGATCACTGAGGTGAAGAATGCCAACTCATATTTCGACCTCATAGCTGCAGTGCCGAAGTATTGCCACTCTAGTTGGATCAAAGCGTCAACAACAACTCCAGTGACAGAACTGATATGTACCCAAAGATGAATACTCGACTTCTTGAGGGAGTCGTTGAGGAGCTCGGGCGCCATAACAATTGACTTCAGTGCAGAAAGTAATTCTGTTCGTATCTTCGGGGATAAATTATGGAAGGCAGTTGGCTTCATCCAGATGAGTTTTCGAGTGGCATCCATCGTTCTTTGTATCACGGCTGAGAGGTGGGATGTTCGGATTTTCAGTAAAGTAGTAAACAGCAACAAATAGTGACCCAGTTGGCCATCTTCTCTATCGTCAATAGCTGCATCCCAAAGTTGTTTGGCCAAATAACGCAATTTTTCCAAAGATACATCTGATGTTAGCCGCATGGTATTGATTGAGTCAATAATATGAGCCAAGCAACCTCGAAGAAGTGACAGAGGAACTTTCTGGAAGACTTCAAACTGACACTGCGTGTAGGAGCTGACGAGATCGAGAGTATGCTCGTAAGCAGATGTTGATCCGAATGCAATCAAAACCCCAAAGAGATTGGCAACTTGTTTTGAAAAATCATGTTTAAAAAGTCGAGTCATCACCATGAGGAGACAAATCCTATTTCCAAGAAGCTTGACCGTACACGTGCTGATATCGCTCACAGGGGTGACTTTCTCGATCAGGCTCATCCTTTTTTCTGGTTCCATATATTGCTGGACATGTAGGGTGAGGAATCTGATGTACATGTCTAGACATCCATCAGATTCAGATATGGTCAGGGACAAGGGAACATGGCAAGTGACTCTCTTCATACTGCCTATATTTTCAAAACGATGGTAGCTGATGAGTCTATAGATCTTCACTAGCAAAAGCTCCTCAAAATTCCAGTTTAGCTCCCTAATGACTTTCATGATCGTGGATAGAACAGTTCGATACCTCTGTATATCATTATCATCCTTGAGAGCCTCAATTTCATGGATGAAAAACTCCCAATCAACCAGAACTGGTCTCTGGGAGTGAAGAAAATAAAGATAGCTTACCACGTTTTCAAACGGGAGCTCATGCTCTTTGGCCAAAGAAGCTACATTCTTCCATGGGTTTGGACACAAGGCAAGAAACATCGACATCGATTCCGAAAACTTCGATGAGTTATCTTTCAATGCACAATAAAAATGAGTCTTGGAAATTGAGCATGCCAGTTTGCTGATTTGTCTCTGCAATTTCACAATGACGTGATCGAAACCCTGATGATCTTCCTTAAGTTGTCTTATGAGTCTGCCTGTGAGAGTAGCCAGTGTTAGGTGAAAAGGTGCAAATAGAATCTTAATTTTTGCCTCAGCCGTCAGATCCAAAAACGTCCAACACGAGGCTAAAAGGACCTTCGCCAGTTTCATGAAATCGTGACGACTCCACTTAATCATGTTCCAAATCAATTGTAAAATGCGAATGTAGGCTTTCCTAATACAGTTGCGATCATCCTCCGAAAACGCTTGTTTAGCAAGAGATGTAAATAGCTGCTTCAGCAAGGCTTCCGTAAGTCTTGGAGTCTTTTCGGTGTTGAATTTGTCCAGTGAGTAATGCAAATTTCCAAACGTGAATTCAATAGGCTCGTGCTTGTAGTAGTCCCCATCTTCATTCAAACAAGCATGGAAGAGTTTGGAATTAATAAATGAGGATTTGCCAGGGTCAAAGTCCTGATATTTGTCGAGACTCAAATCTCCCATGTACAACGCTCTTTGTGAAGTTTTCTTGCCCAATCTATCCAGGACATCGGCGTAAGTATTGGTTTTGTTCTGCAATGGTTGTCTGACCTCCATCACTTCCTCTTTTGCTATATCTTCCAATTGCGCTGTGCCAACAATACGACGTCTCTGGTAATAAAAATGTTTAGGATCACCTGGGTTTCCTATAAAAGGCACCCTCTTTCTGCGTTTGTGATTTGTTGTTGGGGTATAATTCTCTGGGCGCTTTGATGGATCGTCCGCATATATTTTATCTTCATCATCACTAATCCATATCATTTGATCCATTGGCCTTTTCGATAGCGACTCTGAGGTTCGCTGAAACACCCTACGTCCGTACCTAACCGACGGAGTTTCACTTCGACGCTGTCTATAAGTTCCGATACGTGGTCTTCTAGGTTTGCTCTTCGTCTCACCCTTAGTGTTCTGTGCTCTGTTAAGCATGTAATTAATGCCTGCTGATCGATCTTCTTCTGCGTAATCCTTATTGATCATCACTTCAAAAAGCTCTGTCACATCCGAGTCAGATGATGCAGAGGAAAGTACGTTCATCTCGTCCGCAGACTCAACTGTTGGAGCCGATTCCAAAGGCGTATGACCTTCTTCCGTCTTTTCGTACTTGAATGGTCGTATCTCTGTTTGGAAATCCTCATTGGTCAAGAAATCAGCAAATTCATCATTCCTGGCGTGTTTGTGATTCCTCTTGCGTGCAAGACCTGGGCGTGGAGCTCGTCGTTCTCGTTGTAGTCTGCCAATTGCTTGTGACTTATTGAGCTTCGAGAAGGATTTCGGGGCGACACCCTCCATAGAATTCTTTCTCTTTAGGATACGGTTGCTAAATATGAAAGCATCCTCCTGGTTTTCTTGACCAGGTTCATTGATTTCATCATAACGAGCAGCTTTCATCTCTGAGAAGTCATCATTTTGGCTGTGAACTCTTGATGCAAAAACAGGTGAGGATGGAATAGGTGGCTCATCTTCCACGTATTCGTCCTCACTGCTATCACTCATGTCTACCTCTTTAGTAAGATTGTTTTGCTCTGCCAGCTTGTGAGTTTCGGAGGCAAGGTACGCGGCAAACGATGGCTTGTAGAAAGGGCCATATCCAATCTCCTTTTTCTCGCGCTCTTTTCGTTTTTCAGAATAAACAGATTCCAGATATGTCATGATATCTTGGTAGGATTTTCCCTGCTCGTAAAGATCGTTAAGCTGGTAAATCGATGACAGACCCAAATACACTGCCGTATCAGTGACATACACATGGTCTTGCGAAAATTTATGCCTGCGTGTCCTGCGACTGAAGTCAAGCTCAGGAATTGAATATTCCTCCAGCATTTGTTGGGTGCCTGTACGCAGCTGTTGAGGCGATTCTGGCGAAACGTTTGACGAGTTTGTGGGCCCTGGTGTAGCATTTGGCAGTGGTCGAGGTTCCAGGCTAATTGATCGGACACTCACAGGAGTAGTTGGAGGCGAGGAAAGGTCAATACTGACTTGGCTGTTGCCAGCATCAGCGGTAGTGTTCTGCGCTGCTGAAGGCGGCTCTCCCCTTGTTGCTGGCTCTTCCTCATCCGATATGAGACTAATTGATTCATTGACCCCAGGATTAATCTCTTCTACAGAATCCTCGCTTTCGTCCGTGCTCACCTGCTCCAGTTCCATTCTTTGCAACCTCAATAGGTAGCGACGATCGGCCTTCGAACTGAGCCGATCTTCAATTGCTTCGTAGTAGGCTTTACCACCGCGGCCACGGGTTGCCTGGTATCGCTTGAAATCTTCAAGATACACATTAAAGTCCTTTTTCTTGAAGCGATGTTTGGCAACTTGATGTCGCTCATAGAAATGCCGTAGCTTGATATACTTTCTGTTGAGCATGTAAAATATCCGTCCGTCGGAAACACCATTTCGTGATATGCGCTCTAAATCCGTACGAGATGCAAGACTAAGGTATTCAGCCAGATCCGCAGTGTAGACATGTCGCTGGCAAAATCCGTGCCTGCGCGTCTTTCTTCCAGAGATCTCATTAATGCGGTCTTGTACTGTGATCTGACGGTCGGGAGAAGCAGCGGCAAGAAGCTGTTCAACCAGTTCCCAGCTTATCGTTTCATCCTCTCGCACGGGAGAGTTTGGCACTTCAAACTCAACCATCCAGTAGTTTACACCACCTGTGCGCTATCGAGTTGGTGAGTAACGCGTTTTTTATGTAGAAAAATTATGTCAGCACAAGTTCAACCTTAAAAAATATCTAAATAATGTCCTCGCCCGACCAAACGACTCCGCGGAGGTCGAAATCACCATCGAAACGTAAATCGGTAAGTTTCCCTGCTTCCGCTACTAACGCTAAGACGTCAACGAGTATCTCGTCTGCCACAGCGCAGTTGCTCACTTCCACGAAGGCCTTGCTCCAATCTTTAACCTCCTGGGCCAACAAAACTGCTTCTGTTGGAGAGGTTTCGGCCAAGTTCGTTCAAGTGGGCGATGATTTCAAGGCACTTCGAAGAGCTTATGTGGCTGGTGGTGTAGACACTAGTGACATCAAAGACATTCCTAATTTACTGAGGAAAGTCCTAGAGGAATCACTCATTCTAGAGCCGTCACAAAGCACGCTCGACATGTTTCTTCCAAAAGTTGGTCAGATTGTAGCAGAACTCATGAAGACACTGAAAGAGAAACAGGCTGAGTCTCAATCCATTGCTGAAAAACGCAAGTCTCAAAACCAACGCTCTGTCTCGGGTCCTGCAAACGTGTCTGCTTCGGCTACAAGCCCTCCACTGCCTCCACCCCCCTCGGAGTCTAAAAATGATGCTATTTCTCGTCTTCAGAACAATCACTCGCTGATGAGAAAAGCATCAAAGCGTTTTTCTGCTTACCAAACTTCAAAAATATTGTCCATGAATGCGATCAGTCCTCGCAATTCTCCAGCTCCCGCTGAACGACAGACACTAAGTCCCGAACCACCAAGCAGTCCACTGCAAGCTGAAGTGTCGAAAAACATTAAGAAGTCAGAGATCCATCAACAGCTTACCGCCCCATCAATTACCTTGGAGGAGCCTTTCGATAGCAAAAAGACCATTTTTGTTAAGCTCGAAGGACGCGTCAAGAAAACACAGGTGCAATTACCAACCACAATCACTCAATTGCGTACTATTTTCACGGAAAAGTTTGGATACGTGCCTGAAGGTGAATTTCCCCCTATTTATATACAAACGTCGCCAACGGACATTGCATACGAGCTTGAAGATACCTCAGAAATCACAGATTCCGTTATTATTTCACTATCAGAGCCTAACTTCGCAACCTCCCTAATGAAAGAGATGAAGAGCCAAACAGAATTGCTTCGAAATGAAATTGTAAAATTAGAGGAGAGTTTAAGTAGTCGTTTACGAAATTCAGGGGTCAATGCAGTTACCAGAGAGCCAGAAGTCCTTTCACCACCATCTAATCTCACCTCGACTGATACCACGACTGAGATTGAGAGTCTGAAAACTGAACTTACAAAAGCTAGACAACTACAGAAAGCACTAAAGAAGCGCGTTGGTGCCGCAATCGAAGACGCCTTAGAGCTGGTTGAAAACTTTCAGAATTCGAGTTCGTCCGCCGAAGGAGTTATCAGCAACCCGTACATGGAACAGTGCAAACGAAAGGTTAGCTCCGAGTGCGAAAATCTGGTCACTAGAATCGATGACCTACAAGACATCATTGAAGCTCTGAAATTAGACATTAGCAAACGTGGAAGCAAACCCACACAGAAACAAATCCTCCATGTTCAAAAAGAGCTTGAGACAACCAGAACGAATCTGTCCTCTCTTTTGCAATATATGTCTGTCGAACGCAAGAATTGGAATGCCAGATGGCAAGCAGAGCTTACTGCTGTTTTGGAGGAGCAAGAGTTTTTCAAAGAGCAGGAGACTATTATACATTTGCTTGAGGAGGATCTAAGTTCTGCGGATGATACATATGCACTGATTGTGAAATGTGTTGAAGAGTTGGAGAAAAATCCAAAATTGATGCGTGGTGGAAGTGTGGCTCTTCCGCCTCCAGATCCATCTGTTTCAATAAGCCAGATGAGGAATGCCTTAATGGACGAAGTTCTCAGTTTGAAGCCAGACCATGATTCCAGGGTTGAAGCTATCATGAAAGCCGAGAAAGTTAGGGAGAAGGAAAGGGAGATTTTTATTGGCGACCAGGCTGAAGATGGAACACCTGAATCAGAGATTCAGGGTGATGATATGAATAATAATGTCTAACGGTGATTAGTAACGGGAGTTTTAATGCTAGTTAGAATGCTTTAAGAAGCGAACGGATAGAGGTCAAGTATGATGTACCTACTTTCGTGAGTATCAGCTTTTCCGTTAGTAGCAGAAACTGCTCAAACCTTGTAATTTCCATCTTGTCATTTCTTGCTACCGACTTCTTGGATTTTTTGAATCTCATAGAAAGAGATTGAATAAGGATCTCTATATTTTGTTTCAAAGTGTCCTCGTCATTGATGTCTGCATTAAAGAAGTCTGAGGCCAGTGCCTGCTTGAGATGAATCAGCAGAGTAGAATATAAAGCTTTGAAAGATGAAACTCGCACTGGAGTTAGATCATAGGAATCAAGATTCTTCGTGACGCTCAGCGTCTTCAAATTTATTGTGGTCCCAAGGAAATCAACTGTTTCTTCGGACACAGTACTTTTTTGCTTGTTCACAGTGAGATTGAACTGGGGAATGCGTTTCTCAATGAGATTCTGATATTTTGCTATTATGTCCATCTGAGTTGACAATATTAGAAAATCGTCAGCAAGCCGGATAATTTTCACATTGTCGCCTCCTAGCGAGAGCAGATATTCAGTGAGCTTGTCATAGACGATTTCACAAAAGATACCGGAGAGAGGAAAACCTTGGAAAACGCCTTTTTTTCTATGGAATGTCTCTGATGACGAGAGAAGAGCTGCGTGTTCGAGTTGCTGCTCGACAATCTTCATAATTTCACTCTTTTTCAATACTGAAGGAGTATTGGCGTGCGATAGCACTTTATCCGAAAGCACGCTTTCATGCCCCTGCAATACTGAAAGCTTACGGCGCTGTCGTTTTCCGGTAGCAGTTGGTGCGCTCAGCACAAAATAGCGTTCAATATGAAATTCAAAGGTCTCGGGTGTCTCCTTGAGCAGCTCAGAAATCAGTGGCAGTATCATCGTTCTGGGCAATGTGTCATAGGCCTGACGGATGTCAAACTTCAGAGCATATACCGGACCTGTAATTTGATTTTTGTATTTCAACAGCTCGTATGGGAGATCGCTCACAGAGTCGATACAGTTTTTTCTCCGTTTGTGGGAAAGTACGAGGTTTGCTATCTTCACTTCGTTCTTATGACGATCCATGTATTCGAATATATTTTTCCTAGACCCCTTGAATGGCATTGTAATAAATCGTAGATCATGAGCTTTCGGTAGCAGTTTCTGGCTGCCAATAAAATCGTCATTTCTTGCATAAGTGTAATAGCTGTTCAGATTCTGCGGTCTCCTTTCCAGAAACCGGCCGTAGTATTTGTCTTTGAAATGTTTGGAGATCCGTCTCCACGTGTCATGTCTATAGTAGAGTAGTTCAAAAGATTGAGAGACATCTGTGACATGAAAAAAAGAAGCTACGAGTTTGAATAGCAGCGAATTAAAAAACCACCCAATGAATTGAGTCCAAGTGTTTTGTGCTTTCAAGAACTCGTGTTTGTTCATCTTTCTTTCTGGTACCAGCCAGCCAACATCTGTGATCTTGAAATTCTTTGCCACATTACACACATATATGGAATCCTTTTTATGGCTGTTAAGAACTTCGGCAATCTTCTTGAATAGCACTGACTTATTATGAGGGGACCCAAAAAGTTCTTTAGGCATGATCTTTTCAAGTACTATGGTAACAAACTTTATCACGGATTCTTTTCCCACCGCTAAGTCAAAATTGGACTTGATATTTGTAGGTTCGGGACAAATCGAGTCTAATATATATGGATAATCTGGTTGATGATTCATATGATAGATGCGCATGGACTCAAGTAGAAACTCGAGTTTTGGATGTCGGCCATGTTCCGTTTTGAAAACGTCATAAATTAGAGAGGCAGATTCAGGTAGTGGATTCAACCGTGGCAAAGACCATATCTCACTGTAAAGCATGTTCTTTATACTCAATTGTGATGATTTGCATTGCGTCTTGTAATTACTTTCGTTCAATTCGCCCCAGAGATAAACATTTCCCATCCGCGCCGAGTAATTGATCAAGAGATCCAGAAATGTCTCCGTTCCTATGATTGTGTGTACCAGTCTAAATTCAGGGGACTTCAATAGATTGGTGACAGCATTTCGGCCTTTGAATCCATAGCTGTTGGCAATTTCCAAATCATCGCCTGTCACTAATCCGTTGATCAAAGCGTTTTCATAGCGATTATCAGCCAGGTATCCGATTAGCATATCGATCAGCTCTTCGTGACTGTAATTAGGCTTTACTAGCGTGGACGGAATTTTACGGTCTTTGACACGCTCAATCCATATCTCTCGTCCTGTTCCATGCCAACGTGTTTCAAAAAGATCATGGATCAAGGGCTCAAAATCATCAGACGACTTGTTTTCATCAACATACTGATCAAACCTCATAAAAAATTCTTTTCACAAAGGAGGATGAGCTATGATATAGATTATGAAACTTTCACTTTTTATAAGAAATATCGAAGGATCCAAGTCCAAGATAGCACGGAGCCTTTTTTGGTTGACCACTGGATAGTATACATTGAACCCAAAGAATCCTCGTTGATAAACTCAATTATAAAAAGCGAATTCAAAGAGAGTGCTAATAGCTTACGACATTTGAAGCGGTTTTTGAAAGCGAAGAAGAACGATAGAGATTTGCTGAAGGTTCTAATATGTGCCTGTGATCAGATCAACCAAGAGGAGCTTGAGAAGATATTGTTCGGTCCGCTGAAACGCTCACGGATCGAGAAAGTAAAAGCTCCACTTAATAAGCCTTTTGACAAAGAGCTAAACGCAGAATGGTCAGCAAAATACTGGCCTATTGTTTGGAAAGGAAATCCCATGATACAAGAGCTGAATGAAAGCTACAAACAGTTCTGTGAACAAAAAGTACATGGTTATCTGAAACTAATTTCGGATCTGTCCAGAACAAGTAAAGGCCTCCCTGTGGTGACCATCTTTGTTGACCCATCTACAGATCAAATAATGGCCCAGAAATTTGATTTGCGTGATTCATCGGACATTATGAGACACTCGATAATGAATTGCATTGGCGAAATAGCAAAAAACGAGCTACAGCGTAGGCAAGCTCGTCCAGACCCTTCAGCCCCTACAAACTACCTCTGTCTCAACTATCATGTCTATACTACACACGAACCATGCACTATGTGCGCAATGGCACTATTGCACTCCCGAATAGGTCGTTTAATATACATAAAAGATTCGAAAAGAACCGGAGCTATAGGTGTCGAAAGCGGTAATAAATATATGCTCCATCTGTCGTGTTCTCTGAATTGGAAGTTCGAGAGTTTCAAGTACATCGGCGACGAATTTGATGTTGCAGATATAGATCCGCAAATAAATGTATGACTATTTCCCCAATTCCAATAAGCGATTTTCGAGTTCATGTAAATCTTTACACAACGATTCAATTGACGTTTCAAAGTTGATGGTTCCATATCGGAGGTCATTGAGAGCATCGATTTTCTCATTGATTTCCTCTAGCTCAACTTTGATATCCTGCTCGATAGCTTCTATTCGCGACTCCAGAGACTGGTTCAGTTGATCCATCGATTGTATCAATTGCATAAGACTCAAATCTTCTACCTGTACAGTAGTCTCATTGTTGTCTGTATCTATACGTCCCAAATCCAGCTGGTCGATACTCGATTCAACGCGCTCAAGAGTGTTCTGTTTCTGTCTCGATAATATATCATACAACTCAGTTTCCTCCTCGTCCAATAATTGGTTACGGCAGACCAATTGAACTATTGAGTGAAACCTTTCTCGCGATATTAGCTGCGGAAATTCCTTAGAATCGGTAAGATACCGTTTAATAAGCTCTTTAGATTGGACGTTTGCCATGGCGTCACTAATAGCTTGGAAGATAAAAAATTATTTCGTTTCGGAAAATAAACGAATTGCACAGCATGGAACTTTTACCAGAGGGCCAGAAAAACACCACTGAGGTAACCTGGCAAGACCAGCAAAAAATCAACTCTTTCTCAACACTGATATCAAAGAAGGACGCGCTGAGTGCAACTCTTGATGAACACAAACAAGAGAAAGAATACCTTGACGATTTAGCATTAGAGATTGAACTTGTCGACGAAGATGAGAAACTCAATTATAAGATTGGCGATTCTTTTGTTTTGATGAAACAATCAGAGATCGTGGAGAGATTGGAGAATGATCAAGAATTGCTCGATTCAAAAATCGGCGAGCTGGAAAGCCAGATTGAGGACATCGATCAGGAACTTAATAATCTGAAAAAGCTGCTTTATGCTAAATTTGGCAACGCTATTAATCTCGAAAGATAGGTACCGGCTTGTACAAAGCCGCTATTAATACACATATCGCTCTACTCAATTCCTTTCTGACTCTTTATGAGAGCCACTTCGCCGCTGAGCTTATCAGTCTGCTTCTTTAGATCAATCAATGTAGCAATGCTTTGAAGTAACTGATCGAACTTCGAACAAACGTTTGCTGTTGGTAGAGTGGGCTTCATGGAGATTTGCAATTCGTTCAAAACCTCCGCCACCTTAGCCTGCACTGCTGGCTTAAAACTCGACAGTTTCTGTGAACGGATGTAAACGCCTGGTTGTAACTTCTCATCGTGAAACCTCAATCCATACACCTCCATTTCTTCGGCCGTGAGTTTAGATTGTAAAAGCTGCCAAACCTCAGACTGCGCCTGCTGCTGTGAAATCTCCTGTTTGCCTCCATACAGCTTCTGTGACAAAGATGACTTTTTGCCCTGGCGTTGTCTCATCAAATGCTGTTGTTGCGCTTGCTGTATTTGTTGCGTGTGAGGAATAGCATTTGGACCCAATTGAGGAGGAACGGGGACTTCTGGTTTCCGTTTCTTCGACTTGTCCACAGTCATAAGAGAGTTGTAAAGCTGGGTGAGACCAGACGAGGTGGTATATTGTTCAATTGAGGCGGAAGATTGGGGAGAGTCAAGAAGTTGCAGCAATTGTGCTCTTTCCATGAGCATCTTTTTCGCAGCCAGCTCGAACTTCCGAGCTTCGATGACCAATGATTCCTCCTCGGCAATCTCCGTTGGAGCTCTATGAATCAACCGGTCTAAATACTGTTTTCTTTCTAGTTCCTGTTTTTTGTCAAACGATTCTAGTCCTTTGATCAAAGCAACATCTCTTGTGCCATCAGGGTTGGAGTTCAAAAGCTTCGCCGATACAGAATACAGTCGTTCTTTCAAATCTTCGAGGCTTCTTTGCTTGTTGTTGTAAAATTCGTATCTGTCGTATATCACCGCCCACCTCAAATCATAATCCCTAGCCAAATCAAATAAAAACTTGGTTTCCTCGAAATCCCAGTCTTCGCTCATATCCTTTAGCTTCTCATCGTATTCTTCCTTGCTGAACGATGGAATATCAAGGGAGGTGTTGTATTTTGCAAAATTGTATGATCTTTGCTCGTCTGATGGTGCGACGGGTCCCTTAACCCAGTGATGAAGCTCGAGATCGTCTGATCTAGCCTCATTTTTAAAAGGTGCCCAAACCCACGGACTTGCTTTTCCTGAGTTGATTTTGTCTTTGAACTTGAAGCCTTTTTCAACAGCAACAGGAGGCAAATTGGAACCAATAAGATTATACAGCTCTCTGCTCATGGCATGCTTCTTCTTTTTGGATTGTGACCCAAAGTCATTTTCTGAACGGGCGCGCTTCTTTGGCTGCACGCGAGCCTCTTCCTTGATGTTGAAGACGTCCAGGATGTCCGAGGCCATTATGAGGATGGTTTGCGAAAAACAAATTTTTCTGGGCTGCGTAACCTGATTACAACTTCTTCAGATCAGCATGTCTAACGCATGGGGGGTACGTGGGCGTACCAAGATTCGGCCACCTAAGAAGACTGTTTCCAGCGAGATCGACTTTGAAAAGACCTGGGCCATAATCAGAGATGCAATTCAAGAGATTCAACACAAAAATGCTTCAAAATTATCGTTTGAAGAACTTTACCGGAAGGCGTACAATTTAGTGTTGCGCAAGAAGGGAAAGATGCTCTATGACCATGTGGAGCTCACCATCCAACAACACTTATTAAATGAAACTCGTAAGCAACTTCTCGAGAGTCTCAATAATGATGATAACAAAACATTCTTGTTAAAATTGAACAATGTATGGGAAGACCATTTGCTGAGCATGCGTATGATCAGCGACGTGTTGATGTATCTTGATAGGGTTTATGCCAAAGAGTTTCACTTACCACTGATTTACGATGTTGGGCTAAAGGCCTTCAGGGATAGTATAATCAAGTACAATCAAAACGAGATTGGTATGGCCGTTATTAACATCATCATTGAATACATTAACCGCAGCAGACACGGTGAAATCATTGACAAGTTTATCATCAAAGCGATCATCTACATGTTCAGCTCCCTTTCAGAGACAATCTCCATGGATTCAGACAACAAGGTTCCGTATGGAGAAAATTACTATCTTCGCTATTTTGAGCCGGTATTATTACAACAGAGTCACACATATTTTGAACAGAAAGCTACTGAGCTTCTTACATACCAATCGGGTACGATATACATTGATAATGTTATGCAACTTAGCCAAGATGAGGAGGCACGTATCCAATTATATCTTCCTGATGTGACTTCGCCGAAACTTATCGAGCTGATGGACAACGATCTGATCACGAGGCATATGGAGTCAATAATGAAACTTGAGAATGATGGACTTCGACACTGGATTAGTGAAAATAATTTCAAAATGCTGGCCTCGTTGTATAGGCTAATTGGACGAGTTGATTCCGAGTTTGAAATGCTTAAAAGACAACTTCGCCTTATAGTTCTCAGCAACTGCGAGAATCTGAATAGCAAAACAAAAGAGGAGTTGGAGCTTCAAGAAAAATCCACTGAAGAACAGGATCCGGATAAAAGAGCAAAGAAGAAGAGTGCTAAGGAAAGCGCTACACAGTTTGCTGTACGCTGGATTCAAAATTTCTTGGATCTCAAGGAGAAATATGACGTGATAATCAAGAATGCTTTTGATGGAAATCCTGGAGTTGTGAGAGAAATTGAATCTTCCGTTTCCGAATTCCTGAATCTTGATAATAAAACTGCAGAGTATCTCTCTCTGTACATTGACGACGGTATCAAAAAATCATTCAAGGACAAATCACAGGAAGAAGTAGAAAACCTACTTGACAAATCAATCATTGTCTTCCGGTTCATTAAAGAAAAGGATGTTTTCGAGAAATACTATAAGAATCATCTCGCAAGGCGTCTGTTGCAACAGAAATCGAGCTCCAACGATATTGAAATGAATATGATCACAAAACTCAAACAAGAAATAGGCTCGTCATTTACGTCACAGTTTGAAGGAATGTTTAAAGACATCAAGACCTCGCAGGATTTATCAGGAGAGTTTAATCGAAAAATCTCTGGAGACGAGGAAATTCGCAAAATCAACGGTAGAAGGTTGGATATGGAAACATCAATATTAACTACCACCTTCTGGCCTATGCCTATCAACAAAGCCTTGAGTGAAGTGCAATACCCAAAAGAGCTAGAGCTTCTAAGAAATAGATACGAGTCATTTTACATGACTAAATATGGTGGACGAAATCTAACGTGGGCTCCCAACTTTGGTACCGTTGACATTCGCATTCACTATCCGAAAAAGACGTATGAAGTGAATATGTCAACATATTCTGCGATTATCATTCTGGCATGTTTTAGAGAGGGCTCGGATAAACAAGAGTACACTTTTGAAGAGATTCACGAAATAACAAGAATTCCCAAGCCGGACTTGATACGGCATTTGCAATCTATTTCTGTCGCTTCGAGAACCAGACTACTGAAGAAAGTTCCGATGTCCAAGGATATTCGCCCTATGGACGTCTTTTCGATCAATGAGCAGTTCAAGTCTCCTCAAACAAAAATCAAGGTTTCCACTGTCTCTTCTGGATCGAAGGTTGAAGATGATTCGCAGAGATCTGAGACAATGGATGCCATTAATAAATCAAGAATTCTTGAAACTGAAGCTGCGGTTGTGCGTATTATGAAAGCTCGCAGACAATCCACCCATCAGGAGCTGGTGAACGAGGTTATTCGTCAGCTCATTAGCAGATTCAAACCACAGCCTTCATTTATCAAGCAGAGAATTGAGGACTTGATTGAGAAAGAGTATCTGGCAAGAGATGAATCTGATAGAAATGTATACCACTATTTAGCATGAATGCATGTTGATGATATCTGGGATTATCAGTGATGGCTCCAATACACCCCTACACAGCTTCTCTCTGGAAAAAAAATGTACGCAACAAAAAAAATGATGGTAATTTGTTCCTTTTCAACGGATTCTCGATGTAGATTTTCTCATTGATCTACAGCTCCTTCTCGAATGATGTTTTGTCATGACCCTAGGAGTCAAGGATCCGATTGGCCAAGGATATATAAAATTAGTGCATCATAGTACATCACTTTCGGGTAACACAAAGTGGTGTCTCCAAGAACACATACATCATAAACACGCCTAGACTTAAATTCAAGATACTCATAATTAAAAAAAGGGAATTCGTATTAACAGGTCAATGGATCGCTTACTCTTGGCCAAATCCAATTGTCTCTTCAACGGCAATAGTGAGTTTCTTTTTCAGCGACTCATAATCCTTGTATGGAGGCAGATCCACTCTGTTGAAACAAGTGTGCGATTTTGGAAGCTGGTCCGGCTCCCCAGCTTTTTCTATAGTGAAACGTCTTGGACCATCTGATCCCTGTAAATCCTTGAATCCATTGACAGGAATTCTGGATGTACCGGTGGTGAATTGTAATAACCTTGCTCTTTGTTCTCCTTCCCACTCACTCACGCACTTCCAGAACCACTGGATCACTTCGTCACTCTCTTGATAGCCTCTGTAATCTGTATGTTTCTTCCAATCTTCAATGTCAATATCTGCCAGTCCTCCAATCAAGAGCTCCAATTCCCTCTCATCGAAGACCGAAACTAATTCTTGAGGAATCAGCTCGTTGAATCCATCCATGAAGGCCTTGAACTGAGCCTCCACTGGCTTGGAGATAATCCACTCAGTCTTAAGCTCGACATATTCTCTCTTATTTTCGTTCGTCACCTCGATGTTTCTACCGTTTGGTTTCAAATCAATGATAACTTTTTCTCCAAATCTATCTTCTTCAATCGAGAATGTCTCGTAAATGACGTCGGTGATATCATTCTCGAGCATCCAGCATAAAGATTTGTACATCTCAGCATCCACACTTTCCAAATCTTGCAGCACAATCTTCTTATGAAGCATCATTTTATACATTGCACCCACAAAGAAGGCATCCAGGAAACGACGATGAAACACTCCCAAACCGACAGTTCTTCCTATAAATTTGAAATACGTCAGGTGTTCAGGATTCACACCTGAGTTTGGGTTGATTTGAAGTGTATAATTGTCGCTCGATGCATATTGGAAAAGGCAGTAAAACGGATTGAACATTTCGTGCGAAAGTTGCTGGAAAAACTCTCTAGAAACTCCACCGTAATCCAGTCCTTCTTCTCCCTCAAACTTAATCATCAGCCTCTTCTTCAAATCCTCTGGGGTTTGTCTCATGATGTCACGGAAAGCATCTTCCATAAGATGGTCTCTTCTAACTTTAATATGACATTGCCCTGGAAGAATTCTTATTGCAGGTTGCGATCTGAAATACACCAGCTTTCTTCTGAAATCACGTTTGTATTGAGGAACGTTCTGGTCAAGCGATGATGGCAATCTTGGATCGTCCCATGTCGTGGTTTTGGTATTGTGGTCGACAAAATAAACTCTAGATGTATTGGCTAATCTCATTTCCCAACCACTTGGAAGCGGACCCATAGCTGACAATCGTTGTGCATTGTATCCTCCATTGTTGCCAAAGCTTTTAACAAATTGCTGTCTTCTTGGATCAACCCACGTAGTTGTTCTGCTGTTGTGGTCCACATAATATGGCCTTCCCTCTGGAGTGAAACGTTGTTCCCAACCTGGAGGAAGTTCACCAAGGCCAGGACTCGTTGCTCCTGTGGCAGCCATGGTCATTGCAGTAGCCTGATCTACCTGAGAATTGGTTTCAGGCAATGTTCTATTACGGTATTGCGTTCTTTCAGCCTCTCTCGCTCTTTCCCTTTCCTGTTCTCTCTGGCTTTCAGATTGGTCCAATGTAGGTCTTTTCCAGGTGGTAGTCCTTGAGTTGTGGTCAACATAATAGGTTCTGCCAAAATTGTCAGTTCTCCGCTCCCATCCAGGGGGAAGTCGACCATACTGATCCTCGAACGAAGAGAATTGCCTTGCTGGTGGAGGTCTAACGGAAGATGATATAGCAGCAGCAGCGGCGGAGCCTGGAAATTGATTGTTTAAATTTCCGGTATCGACTGGAGCCCTTGGGCTAGAAACTGAAGGTGAAGCTACGGTAGACGCAGGTGTCTGCGCTGATGTGTTCGATTGCACAAAATTGGAAGGATCTCTAGAATCTCTCGCAGAAGCATTCTGGTGAGAAATGGTGAGTATCAATTTTCCGGAAACCGTCAGATGTGAGTTAGACCTCTTCAACTCCTCAGCAATGGTCTGTTCGCTTGATGTGTCGTTCAAATTGATAACATCGCCAACTTTAATATTGACGACACCCAAAAAGCCTTGGTCCTTCTTCTTGAACTTCTTTTGATCAAATATCTGCACGATCAGAATGGAATTCTCCGTTACAGAGAACTCAAAAGACTGATTCCAATGCGGCGACAGTGTCTTTTTGACAGTCTCGGTTGTTTGCGTTTGTGCGCCATCGACCGTCAAAACTGCAAAAGGGTCCGGGGACCGAAAAACGTCCCGCTTACATAGTCCCTCAGCTGCTATCACTCTGACCCGAATTTTCGACCGCGTTGACATCGTAGGCCAAAAAACAGAAATGTGTTTTTGAAAGGAGGTTACCTATAGTTTTGGTGACAAATTTGGTCACAATGCAGTATATGAGCTTGGATACCCTAGAAATGCAGTAAATGCAGTAGCCGAACCCGTCTTTCTCACTTAAAAGCTTAGCAAAAACCCCCCACTTTAACTGTAAAATGGGTATGATGACGTTACAAACAAATCAATTAGTCAATATCGCCTTCTGATATTTTTACTTCCTCCAATCCCGCGATTACTTAAGCATTAGTTAATACTTTTGGCTATTTGCGAATAGATCATGCGTACGAGAGCGAGATCTTAAGATATCTCAAGCACGCTGAGAGTTATGTGTCGCGGATTTCGACCTAGATTAGTCAAGACACATGGTTTTTGCTAACCCAAAAACGTCTCACGACTCTGCATTTGATTCGAGAACTGTAAAGAAAAGTATACAAACACTACCCAACCGCTTTTGCAAAAGGTAAGTCATTGAACCACTGAACATGTGACTTAAGGCTTACATGCAGGATTTGGGAGCAGGATACGAAAATCATAGACCTTGGCATTTTAATATTTTTTTTCACCGGCCTAGCTACCAAACCGGGCAGTGTATACCAAAAATAAGTTGGTTTCAGTCCAGCCTTCTCGAAGATGTTTCAAAGTGTAGAATACATGGCTGCAATATAAAGGGCTAAATTTTGCCATTGGTCTCTACTTATCATACCCAATCCAACTTTAGTCATTCTTTTAATGTATCCTATTGATGAGTCGCCTGTGCAAGAGGGTTTGCAATCTAGCTACTGGAAAATCGATTACGGCTCGCCATTGAATCCGTACGAATTTCTAAATTGTATGGATGTCAGCCAAGACTTGATTGCCGTTGGATCTTCTTCAAGCCACCAGAACGTCAAGATGTTTAAGCTGGATACCGAGAAGAACTTGCTTGGTTACTTGACCAGCTTTACCGCACCAAATGTCTGCTCTATAAAGTGGTTGCACAATGTTCTTGACGAGACAAATGATTTAAAATTGATGATTACTGGCCACACTAATGGCATTGCTAATCTCTCTCTTATTCCAAACGTAAGGTCTACTGACCTGACCCACGTTGACCTCATCAAGCAGTTCAATCACCGAAAGCATACTTCACTAACCGACGTGGGAGACGAATTTCAAATTGAGATAAGCCCGACTTCATGGAAGTCTTGTCTGACCAATTCTATGATGTCTATCTACAAAGAGAATATTTTTTTCTGGGATACTTCAAGGTCTTCGAGTCCTCTCTACAAGAATAAAGCTCGAGGTATAAAATCCTTCGCAGCTAGCGAAAATAACGACGGGTTGGTTGCCTTCGCAGGGTCCTTTGGTGTCAGGCTATTCGATATGAGATCTGCTACCCAAACAGAGCTCTGTACTTCGACGTATCTCTCGTACAAGCGCAATAAAACGCACCTCATCGAATGGTCTCCACAAAACCCATATCAACTATGTGCTGCAGGGGAGGACAGCAGTATCCAGCTGTGGGATATAAGAAAAGAGCAGCCACTTGCTACCATGTATGGCCATTCAGGTGCCATCACGGCCATTGAATGGGTCTCGAAAAACAGTATCTTTACAGGAGCCAAGGACGGGCGTATTGTCCATTGGAATATGAAAGACGTCGTGTTTCGAGACAGTCCAGTCAAGTGTTCCCTTGGAGGAAAAGATTACGAAAGCTATCAGTGTGCTACATCCATTGAGTCTTCCAAAACTGGAATTGTCAGCTTGAACTCGTCGAACGGAAAGCTTATCAGTCTTGACGACAGTTATATGGGGCTGCACCGACTCGCAGTGCAGCATTCACTTCGCAAGCTCAGCAACCAATCCGATGTGACTCTAGTCGAACAGGCGCCTCTGGATAAGTTGATGCAACAACTAAATCTTTACCTCGGTGATATGGAGACCTATATTTAAGATCAGTATGTGGGCAGATCGTTTTCATAATCTTCAATAAGTTCCTTCAGATTGGCACTAAGGAAGGCGTAAAAATCCTCCAGAAACTCGCGTACTAGAGAAATGCTTTGCGGGTCCATAGTCGATTGTATCACTAAGTTGGGCAGGATAGCGCAAAGTCTCAGTAAATGGTTTACACCGTAAACTTGCGACATCTCAGAGTCGGGGAATTTATCCAACACCATCTTGTATTGCGTTCTTTCATGGCGGTATAGAAGCAAGGAGCCTAATGCTTGGTTGAAATAGAGCCGTAGGCTGCGAGCAATCTCAAGCTTGTTGTCGAGCGCGGGGTCATCCTGAGCGGTTGAAGACAGTTGAAGCTGTGTAGTGTATGCTGTTACAATGTTCGCAATGCAGTCTTTAGAAGGCAAGTGAACGAGCTTTCGCTTTTTAGTCACATTTTCCCAGTCGTCCACCAAAACGTATTTTATTGAGTCGGGGATTTGAACTTTCAACTCGGCCCTTTTGGAAGGTTCTGTAGAGTTCGATGGTGCGCTGTTTGTCTGCCTTACCGTGCCTTTCAACGTGAGTTTCACTTTAGGTCGGTTAGAAACGGATGATCCAACAGATCGATGGCTTTGAACTAACTCCTTTTGCTTGATTAAGTTTTCTTTGTTATACGGCAAAATCCTTTCCGGCGTGACCCATTCATCCCACTTGGACTTCCATCCTTTGTAGTGAACAAAATAAGCCTTTGAAGATCGATATCTCTCAAGGAACGTCGGTTCTGGTGCAGTTTCAACAACATCTTTAGTTTTCTCGTCATTAAATTTGATTATCTTGGATAAGGGATAGAAAATCTTGAGTATCTTAGCTTCATACAGTAACTCTCCTTGATAGACTAGCGCTCGGTCGCCAAGCTCGAACACCGACATGATTTAATAGTTTGGTGCGTGATGAAGAATCGAATATTATTGCGCGATCAGAATTTTTGGAAATTTCGTCTCATCATTCTACCTCTATTATACACTACAAACAACAACAGAAGATGCTCTTGAAAAAGCCAAAAATTCCTTCTGGAATCTCCTCTGTGTCCTGCTGATACGGATCTCCTGAGGAGTCGTAATGGCCGTTAGCAGCTCCCAGAAGAAGCCGAGTGTTCTCATCCACTTTCGACCGTGGTTGACTCTCGTGTGGATCGCTTTTCGTATGCTGCGAAACGCGCCGTGTTGGAGCAAAAGCCTTGTTTGACTTGTGGTGTCTGCTAGCATGGTGATTGTTAGACCCGTATCCATTGAGATTAGTTTTCCTATTTTTATTCCAATCCCAGCCTTTCCCATCGTTCAGCTTCATCCAGTCGTAATAGCCATCGTCCACCTCGCCGATGTCCTCTAGCGCGGCATCCATCAACGATATGAGATACTCGTAATTAGGCTCCTCTTCAAAGCGCAGGTTGCGAGCATACGTGAGGTAGTCTGCGAACGATTTCGGTAGTTTATGACAGAGCTGCTGAATTGAAGTGGCCTGCTTTTTCTCCCCAATCTTCTCATACTTCATCTTATTCGTAGGTGCTTTGAGCCCTTGCCATGGGAGCTCCCCTTTCAAAAAATACAGAAACACATGCCCAAGAGATTCCAAGTCGTCTCGTCTTGATTGTTCTCTTCCCAAATGCGTGTTGATAGACATGTACCGTGCAGTGCCGCTTAGCGACTTCCGTTCTCTATACGGTATATGCTGCTTGGTGACAGGATTTCTGTATTGCTTGATCATTCCGAAGTCCACCAAGTATATCAGATTGTCGTCAGAGGTTGCGCCAATGAGGAAATTGTCGGGTTTGACGTCGCGATAAATGAGATCATTCTCATGAACAAATTGAATTCGTTGAATCATCTGCTTGGCTACCTGCGCCACCGTTTTGACGCTGAATCTTCTACCGCACCACTCGAACAAGTCTTCCAGCGAGGGTCCCAGTAGTTGTATTATGAGTATGTTGTAATAACCTTCTTGCCCGAAATAGTACACCTTCGGAATACCTTCAATTGATAGATAGTGATGGTTATCGTTCTCAGGTCCATCGCGCAGGTAATTGTTTATGGCACTGTTAAGGATCTTGTACGCTTTGAACTCGTCCTTGAGCTGCGGAGCCTCAGACTTTCGGCTTTCAAACTTAATCGCGACCGGTTGGTTATCTCTCAGCAAATCATAGCCCTTGAAGATGATACCGAACGAACCTTCGCCTATTTTTTGTGCAATTTGATAGTGTGAGGCTATTATGTTTCTATTCACCTGTTGAGTAGTATTGGCAGAACCCGATCTTTTATGTTGCAAGGCTGACATAGATTGAATTAGGTGTTCATAACAATCACGGCTTCCAAGACTACTAACTCGATCGTAATAAATGCTTTTTCCTGGTTTTGTTTCTCCTCCTTTTATCTGTTGATATATACTCAATCATTTCTCGCCGCAGAAAAATTTTATGGCGCTGGTGCACGGATTACTACTAGGTGGAAGCTAGGGCGGTAATAACATTGTATATCTAAAATCATCTAAATCCAGCGACTTTGAAAGCATGAGCAAGGTCTTCGATCAGGTCGTCTGCACTTTCAATGCCTGCGCATAACCGAATCAGGTCTTCAGGAAAGTCTCTTTCCTTTCTGGTTTCCGCTGAAATCGATGCATGACTCATCAGGCATGGAAGAGAGATCAGTGAAGCCACATATCCAAATGACACTGTAACAGAGTATATCTCACAAGCCGCGATGATTCGCTTACTAACAGCGACATCTCCAGTTTCAAAAGACAGCACTGCTCCAGCACCTTTACATTGTTTCTTGTGGAGCTCGTATTGTGGATGAGATTCCAACCCTGGATATCTGACCTTTACATTTTGCGACTCGAGCCACTTTGCAATTTTCATAGCGTTCTCCTGTTGTCTTTCAACCCTCAATGCCAATGTCTTAAGACCTCTGAGCAGCAGCCAAGAGTCAAAAGGTGCGATACCAGCGCCTGTAGCGTTGATAACAAAAAACACCTTTTTGGCCAACTCATCACTGTTGGTTGCAATCACTCCAGCCATAATGTCGTGGTGACCATTCAAATACTTTGTGGCAGACTCGTATTGGATATCAGCCCCCAGCTCCAAAGGAGACATGAACAAAGGCGTCATCATGGTGTTGTCGAAAACAACCACACAATTCGGGTTTTGCTTGTGGGCGTGATCTGCAATGGCCTTAAGATCACAGATCTTGATGAGAGGGTTAGTTGGCGATTCCAAAACGACCATCTTTGTGTCCTTTGTTATTTTGGAAGTGATGAGCTCTAGATTTGTAGTGTCATAGTGACCCACCTTGATGTGATTGAAAGTTTTGATATATGTCAACAGTCTGTCAGTTCCACCATAAAGATCATCACCAGCGATAACTTCGTCACCTGGGCTCAAGATTCTTACAATAACATCCAAAGCAGCCATTCCAGAATTCAAAGCATAAACATGCTTGGCTTTCATGATTTTGGACAGGTGGTTCTGCAGAGCTGAACGAGTAGGATTTCCTGACCTGGTGTAGTCATATGGGCCCATTTCGTCTAGGTCTTTGGCCTTGAAAGTTGCAGACATGTAGGCTGGAGTAATTGAGGCATTGTGGGTGTTCTTATCGTCCACATGGACAAGTTCGGTTTCAAGCGATAGTTTCTTAGTCATTAGGGAAAGCAATTAAAAATTTCACAAAGTAAAGCCCGACACGATGAGGTAAGTAACCCTAGATTTTGGGGTACTATAAAAATCCAACTCAGTGTACAATTAGTTTTCAGCGTGAAACAAGGTACCGTTTGATGAGCTAGATAGGTCGACGACGCAATATATGAAAGATATGGATTCTATCGCCGTAATGTGATTTTTTCCCCAAAAAGAGGATACTGTTTTATATTGTTTGTTGGAAGACAAGGCAGGGAGAATACTTCTCCATTAATATTCAAAGCTAGGAAGTGGAAGAGTGCCGCAAAGTGGGTCAGTTTAAATGTCATTGCATCTATTGATTCAATTCTTATGCACGATGGTCATAACGTGCTGACGATGCCGTTTGTTCTTGAGTTGTGTAGCAATGGCCCCCATATTGACGATTAGCTAATCAAGTGTATAAAATTAAGAATTACCCCATCTTTTGTTGCAACTACAGTTCATGTTTCTCTCAAGATATACGCGTCTAAGCATTTCAAAGCGCCCCTTTATAGGCCGCGGACTTCACATTGTTGCAGTTCATCGGGATAATCAGCGCAACAACCAAAAGATGAAATTTGAGTTCACTCCCGAGAACAAAGAGCTCGCTATGGAGATTGTGAAGAGATATCCGCCGCAGTACAAGAAGTCTGCAGTCATGCCTTTACTTGATCTAGGACAAAGACAGGCGGGGTTCACCTCAATCGCTGTTATGAACCACGTAGCCGAACTTCTCGACATGCCGGCTATGAGAGTGTACGAAGTTGCCTCCTTTTACACTATGTACCATAGAGAGCCTGTTGGAAAGTATCATATACAGATTTGCACAACCACGCCCTGCCAGCTGTGCAATTCTGATTCAGTCATTGAGGCAATCATGAAACATTTGAACTTGCAACCAAACCAGACTACCCCAGATGGGTTATTTAGTCTCGAGGAGGTTGAGTGTCTGGGTGCGTGCGTCAATGCTCCGATGATGCAGATCAATGATGACTACTATGAGGACTTGACTGCCGAGTCCGCTGTGGAGATCCTGGAGGCATTAAAGTCCGGAAAAGACGTTCCTGTTGGAACAACCAAAAGGGAATCCTGTGAACCATTTTCAGGGCCAAAAGTTCTAGTCGGTGAGCCACTGGATGTCTCCACTCTCACTCGCAGCGATCTGTAGTCTCTTGAGGACTACTCATAATATTTATTTACTATTAAACTTAAGATTTTTAGATTTTTAAGATTTCTAGATCCTTAGTTTTGCAGATTTTCTATTTTACCGTGGAGCAGGTACTGTGTTATGTTTTTCAAGCAGAAAATGGCTGTCTGATCGAAATTTTCACTGGTTGCCGATCCCACATGAGGAGTCAAAGACATATCTTGTCTCTGACAATGGTGAACCAGCGGCTCTTCAGGGAACACGTCCAAACCCACAAATCCTATATGCCCATCCTTCAATCCTTGTATCATATCTTCGTCATTGATGAGGGACCCACGACCAACATTAACAAGAATAACACCTTTTTTCATCAGCTGAATAACACCCTTGTTGATCATGTTGATCGACTGTGGAGTCGCAGGAAGACAAAGAACTATACAATCTGATTCGGCTGCCACATCATGAATCCTGGCTGCGTAGCGCACTTTGTAGCCCAATTGAGCCTCCTCCTCAGGGGAAAGCTTGTTTCTTTTGATATAAATGATGTTCATACCTAGACTGGAGAGTCTCTTGCCCACTTCTTTACCAATTGCCCCAAAACCTATGATGGTTGCAGTTTTCCCCACTGGAGAATGGACTTCAATCGTCCCCACATGATGTCCAAAACAGTATTTCGACTTCTTGCTGTGGTCAAGGACAAACACCCCGCTCTCAGCGTCGAAATTTTTTACGTTTCCCAAAAGCGAGCGGGCCTCGATTGTATGAGGATTCTGGCGAAGAATGGCTTCAAACAAGCCAAACTTTCGAAATCCATTCAAGACATGGTAGAGGACAGTCTCTGCCACTGCAGAAGCACCAAAAGTTGGTGAATTGCAAAACTTGATTCCTCTCTCACGTAAAGCCTCTAGATCTAATCCACCAAATCCGGCAGAACAGACGGTGATCAATTTCAGCGACGAGGGCAGCTTGGCCACTAGCTCTTTATCCAGATTTCCAATTTTCCCAAATGGAGCCCATGCACCGTAAATTGCTTCGACATTGTGTAATTTGGTTTTCAGATCAGAAACAAACTGTTCTCTAGAAACTAGCTCATAGAATACAACATCAAATGTTTTCGTAAACTGTTTGAATTCTGGCAAATTCTCATTTAGACCTCCCAAGAACGCGACCAGAGGCTTTGTACTGCGCTTTTCAGTCATTTTGCTTCGTCGCAACAAGGCCCAGTTATAAAGCAGTTTACTTTTTTTCGTCACTATCTGTATAAAGATTTCTGGCGAATTTCATATTATAACATATCTATACTTAGTGGTGGTGGCCTTCTCCAGTTCCCAGATACTTCAATTTGTACACGGAACCACACTCCCAGCATCTGGCAACCTTCTCCACGGTAGGCTTGAGCCACATGATCTCATGAGAGCCGGCAGGAGAACCGGTGCATCCAACATATCTGTAGTCGTCGTACGAGTTCACAACGATTGGGTCGGCCAAGGTACCTTTTCTGGAAGAGTCAAGAGGCTCGTTCTCGAAAACCTCAACACCCTCCAGCTTACCAAGTAATTCAAGTCTTTCAAGACCGGTAGCTTGTTCCAAATCCGTAGGAACAGTGCCTGGCTGAGCACCAGGACCAACTAAGTCATACTTGTCAACCACTTCACTAAGGCTTTTGGCTGTCTTGAATTCCTTCGGAGCCTGCGATGCATTTCTGGCAATGACAGAAGTGGAGAAGAGTCTGGCCGGTCTGGCTAGTCGGATGGTTTGTCTTAACATCTAGAAAGTTAGCATGAGAATTCTGGAAACTATAACCTGTTATAACCTGTGATCGGCAAGCCAGGCCCAAAGTACCTACCTTGATTGTAACTCGATACAACTAACTGTTTTTTTTTATAATTTTGAATTGTCTTTAACTGGTTGGCTTCCTCGCGAATCCCTGGTCCACCACGCAAAATATATTTTCACCCGGTGTAGTGGCACGATTTACGATAGCCAATTAAATGCGTAATATTAGAACATATGAACACCCTTACACGCTAATTTCGACTCGCGAACGTCTGGCTGGTTAGACAATTTTTCAATTGAGAATCCCAGTCACGTGATGTCTAACGGGGTTAGACTTCTCCTCCAAATAAAATTTCTCCGGCCAAGCAGGCCGTCAGCGTACCGGGCATCGGGGTAAAACTCGCGGTGTTTCTGCCAGGGCACCCGGTGGGAGCACCTGCGACGAATTTTTCATTAAATTTTTCATATTTTATTTTATAGATACTAGTGCAAGTAAGTAACTACCGCTGAAGGAATACTCTGCAACGTTCAATAGCAGGATAGCTATACCGAGTCAACAATCAAGAAATCGGTTGTTCCCACTTTTGAATCATTGCGTATTCCATCTTAGTATATTCTAACCATTCAGCATGCCAAAGAAGAGATCGTCCAACGGAAGAAACAAGAAGGGTAGAGGACACGTCAAGCCAGTCAGATGTGTTAACTGCTCCAGATGTGTCCCTAAGGATAAGGCCATCAAGAGAGTCACTATCAGAAACATGGTCGAGGCTGCTGCTGTGAGAGATCTGTCTGAGGCATCCGTCTACGACGAGTATCCACTGCCAAAGCTGTACCACAAGTTGGTTTATTGTGTCTCATGCGCTATCCACGCCAGAATTGTGAGAGTCAGATCTAGAACTGACAGAAGAATCAGAACTCCACCAGTCAGACAAAGATTCAACAGAGAAAGAAGAGTTTCTCCTGCTGACGCTGCTAAGAAGGCCACTGCTTAAATTGTGTTGTAGAAGTGCTGATGTATAGCGTACAGTAATGATATGTTGATAAAATATAGGACAGTAGGTTGTTAATCGTATGGATGGTTGCGGTGTTTTGTTCTTAAGTCGTTTGAACATCTTTACACCGATATATCTGGATATTGCAAGCAAAAAATTGTACTGGATTCCAAGCGGACCTAAACTATTAGAGGGGCAATCATAGAAGGCGGACTGCAAGCATTTTATTAGCGATTAGCCAATTTGGTGTGTTTTCTACAGATATTTACAAAAGCATTACTCATAGTGGCAAGTCACAATACAAACCGCATTCCTGCAGTCAATTGATTTGGGGCATCTACTGTTTTTTTTCTAAAGCATCAATAGGTAGTTCACTCACATAGAGCCAGATATGGACGATTCCTGGAAATTCAGCCAATGTTTTGGCGATAAAGGCGACATCGAGAACATCACCGAGGCGGATATCATCTCCACAGTCGAATTCGATCATACCGGCGATTTCCTAGCAACAGGCGACCGTGGAGGACGAGTTGTGTTATTCGAAAGAAATGAGAACAAGAAAACTTGTGAGTACAGATTTTACACAGAGTTCCAATCTCACGATGCTGAGTTTGATTACCTTAAGTCGTTGGAGATCGAGGAAAAGATCAACAAGATCAAATGGCTGAAACGTTCTAATCAATCCAACTTCTTGCTTTCCACCAACGATAAAACGATAAAGCTATGGAAGGTGTTTGAGAAGCAGATCAGGATGGTGTCGGAAAATAACCTTAGCGAGAACTCGGTTTCGTCTCCAAAATTACACTCACAGTATTCCTCGTTCCATACAAATACGAATTTTACACAATCCTACCCCATGTTTTCATCTGCGGCAAACCTAAAGCTTCCAAGGCTAACCATGCACGATACCATCACAGCAGCTCAACCAAAAAAGATATATGCAAACGCTCATGCCTACCACGTGAATTCAATCAGTGTGAACTCCGATCAAGAGACTTTCATTTCTTCCGATGATCTCAGGATCAATTTATGGAATTTGGGAATAGCCGACCAATCCTTTAACATTGTGGATATCAAACCGGTTAATATGGAGGAACTCACCGAAGTGATTACAAGTGCAGAATTCCATCCTACAGATTGCAACTTATTCATGTATTCCTCCTCGAAAGGAACCATCAAGTTGAACGATATGCGTGTCAACTCGCTGTGCGACAACCATGCGCGTGTATTTGAGGAATATATGGATCCATCCAACCACAACTTTTTCACAGAAATAACTTCTTCTATATCAGATGTCAAATTCAGCTCAAACGGCAGATACATTGTGTCGAGAGATTATATGACAGTTAAGATATGGGATATAGCGATGGAGTCGGAACCAATCAAAACAATCAACATTCATGAGCAGCTCCGGGATCGGTTGTGTGACACATACGAGAATGACGCGATCTTTGATAAATTTGAGGTGCAATTCAGCGGAGACAACAAATCCATTATGACCGGTTCATACAACAATAATTTCATGATCTACCAAAATGTGGTGGGTAACTCAGGTCCAGAAAAGGAGATTGTGCTTCAAGCGGATAAGTCAGCATTTAAAGCAAAGAAAATGAATTCAAACAAGCGGAAGAATCTAACAATGATGAATAAGATGGACTTCGACACCATCGACTTCAAAAAATCAATTTTACACTTGAGCTGGCATCCTCACGAAAACTCAGTTGCCATTGCCGCTACCAATAATCTATATATCTTTTCTGCTCTTTAATTAGAGAGCGTGGTAGTCATTCTGTCATCTGTATGAAATATATTGATTTTGTGTACGTGCCAAACTTTAATAGTCTTTGATGTGTCTGTTCACATCTGGGTTCCAGAACAAAGTCTTGTCACCATCTCCCCAGAAGAAGTCTTTTCTTCTAATGTTTTGGTATGGGTAGTCTTTTGGCCACTCCTCGTCAGAGAGGTGCTTGGTATGTTCTCTGTGGCGAGCATGTTCAGCCTCAACGAGGTAAGTGTTGACAGCAGTCAAGGCAATGACAGGGAAAGCAACAAAGTACGTGATTTTCTTCCAAAGCTGAGACGTCTTCTCAGAGTGGTGAATGACGGCCTCATTGTGCTCGATGAATTCCTTGGCTTTTGCTGGGTCTGGCTTTTTAAAAGCAGGCTCGTTCTGCACGGAGGAGTTGAATCTTCTACCAACAATTCTCGCTTGTCTAATTCCAATGGCTCTCAACATCTTGTTCTATGATTTACTGGAAGCCTGTTTATTAGTGACACCACTAGTCAATTTTTTTAAATGCGTTTTTGACCATCTTCTAATTGGTGGAGTGAGATTTCTCCCAGGTGCGGAAAACGAGTTACCCGGATTAAGGTTTTTTTTGAGACCGATCGAGTTGCAAGACTAGTGAGTTCTTGTACATCCAAAAGGTCTATTCTCCTAGCACATATCTGACTACTGATTCAATACTAGAGATGATTGATATCAACAAATTAGCAATAACATAATCGTTCAGCTAAATACCCCGGATCCTGTTGGTCGTAAGCACAAGCTTATCGTCGACCTTATTGACCTTTTCGCTGATGTCTTTCAGATTTTTGTTCTGTGACATGATTTCTTGCGAAAGCAAATTAGCTTTGCGTCTCAGATTTGTTGCCAACTTTTGCGCCTCGTCCACGTTCTTGCTGTATTCGACCTCCATCCTTTCATCCTCCTCATCGTGTTCTTCTCCCAAAAATCTAGAAGCCTCCTTCACACGTCTTTCGTATTCGTACTTTTCTTTCAGCTCCGAATTAACAACGGGCTCTTTTGCGTCGCGCAGTTGGTCTATGATCTCATTTTGAGTATGATACAAATTCGAACTGAGATTTGCGTCTCTTTCTCTATCTGCTTGTCTCTGAGCAAGGAATCGCTGTTCAGCAGCCCTCATTCTCGACTTTTTGGTGAATGGGTTGCTGGCCTTTATATGGAACAATCCTCTGTTGTAATGTTCTAACTGCTTGACATGTTCATCAACAAACCGTTGATGCGTGTCCATTCCATTTAAGGATTTCTCCATCTCATACATCTTCTCTTTTTGTGCACCAATAGTCCCCAAAGTGTTGACGGCCGTGTCATCCGCCTGTCTCAGATGGCCCAAAATATTGTGTGTAGATTTTAAAGTCGCTTCTCGAACATCTTTGGTCTGTCGCTTGATACGATTGATTTCTTCCTCTTCCTCGTCCACTTCCTCTTCAACTTGTTGCTGATTCGAGTCTAAGTAAGGATCATAAGTGCTTGCAGCGGCCTGAGGGTATGTGTTAGGATCAAAATCGTCTTCTTGAGCTTGTGTTTCATATGTGTCTTGGGGCGGTTGTTGTTTCTGCGTAGTCTGCACTTGCTGCAACTGTGACTGGTACAGACTTTGCTGGTTAACGGAAGCGGAACCGTCGTTATCATATGGATCGAATGTATGATAGGAAGGAGCGCCACCGTACCTTCCTCCATATTGAGTTGCTGTTTCTTGCGTCACATTTGAGACTGTCGACTGTGTAGCAGGGTTGTATGGATCTTCTGAAGATCCGGCAGACGATCCATGTGAAGCCGGTTCTTGATGGATTCGGGGCATCAGCGCAGGTCGATCCTGGGTTTCATCTTGAGCGAACTTTGAAAACTCTCCAAACTTAAATTTTCTGCGATGGCGATTCTCTTCATCCCTCACACGGATGCCTTCGTCTTGCAAAAACTCTTTGACGTCCTCCTTAGACATCTCCTTTGGGGGTTTGAATATGTTCCTAAGACCCATTTTGCTAATATACTGTTATTTGCCCGAATTTTTTTAAAGCTCCCATAGAGTATGGCAGATTATGTGTCAGCTTGTGTGGCTCAGTAAAATCAGCAAGTTGGCTGATTCTAATCAGTGAAGTCTAATCAACTGCACAATATCCAGGAAGGTCGTATACAAGGGTTGAGTAATGCGCATTAGATCCCGTAGATCGTTCTCATATACGGCCGACTGATGGTAGCTGGATGATTTGAACAGCAATCAAGGTACAGATTATATGAAGGCATCCCCATACTGGGACTGCGTAGCACCCCTAAGGATCACGCTTGACGATGCTAATATACAATTTCGATACACTACAGTAGAGTTGCGCTTGGCATTTAAGACGGGAATGACCCTAGAGGTCCTGCGATGCGGCCGTTTTGGTCGAGAAGAATCTTGAGAGATCGAACGGGGAAGATTTTTGGCCCTCAAATAAACATGTTGAGGTTGGCTGGTTGGTAAAATTTCCTAAATATAGTATATAGTATTGTCAATATCTATTGTATGGAACAGAGACTTTTTAGACTACTTTTGATCGCCATGGCCATGTATGATTCTATGAAGACGCGTGATGGTCGCTGAAATCGCATAGGTTCAGCAGAACAAAGCTGGCTGGCCGCAACGTGCCCGCCTCAAGTCGCTTGAGGAGCAATGATATGCATATTGGTAGATAGAGTTACCCGGTATGGACTTGTAGCAACAGGGATTGCAGATATAAACACAAGTTCAAATTTAGAACCTGAATGATCATTTCCATGGCCAGTGTTAACCTAAGGACTAGAGTTCTCGAAGAGTGAGTAATGATTCGAACCTGAATGCAGGATTCAGGCTGCGGTCCGAATGCAGAATTAGCCTATCCAGATTTAGCGACATGCATAATCCCCAAAATCAGGAATTAGTAAGATTTTCTTCACCTACGCGCGCCCAATTGTGCCAGTGGAACGCGTAGGATTGCTAGGAATTAGCAAGAGTGGAAGCATATGGCAAGCCCACCTGGACACCAATTGGAAGCCAGTAAGTTCAGTTTCTCTCAATTCTTTGAGGATATCATTGTTGCTACTCCAACTGTTCTATATAGTCACCTTAGATCGCGGTTTCTAAAAATTTCGCCGTGTTTAAATAGATACTGCATATTGGCCAAACGAATTTTAACAATCGGCCTCTAAAAAGATTATGCAAAAAAAAATTTCCAAAGCCCCTGTGTGGACGTAAATGCGATCCGTGCCTTCAGCCAAATGTGCAAAAGCACCGCATCACTATAAATTGGACGACATTCCCAGAGCCTCCAAAGCCGTATAGAAAGCCCTTTAATTTTAGGTTTAACTCTGGTTGATATCGATATCAGGTTCGCTAGCAACTTTACCACCGGGAACTACTAAAAACCTGTTATAATGAAGCTTTCGTTTTTCAACATCGCGGTTGTGGCCTCCTTGGTCTCCAACGCTGTGACCGCCGCTTACACTAACTCTACCACTTCATCTTCTGGACCAGCTCCATCCACTTCTCTTGCTCCATCCATCCGGGCTGTTGAGAACAATGGTCGGGCTGAATACATCATGACCATCCCTGCTGCTCTTCAGTTCTCTTCTTTGAACGTTTTGTCGCTCAGTCAAAGCTTCAGTGCTTTCGACCCAACCCTGTGTAGTGCTGACGCTGACGGACAGAGCATTCCAATCAACAACGAGTCCACTGATACTGACATTGATTTTGATGTTAACACTTCTGATTATTCCGCAGAGGAGTACCACGCCCACATCTTCTCCAGTGCCGCTACTGAGCCAGGTTCTTACACTGCTACCTTCGCTCTTACTCTTGACCCAGAGAGTGCCAAGAGAGATGAGCGTGTTTACTACTTGACCGCCACTGTGTACATTGGTTCTGGCAGCTCTTCGTCTTCCGGTGCTTCCAGCTCCGTTCCATCTTCGGCCTCCGTTCCTGGCTCTTCTTCCTCGGAGATCCCAGGTGCTACCGTCATTACCAAGACTGCTTCTGGTACTGTCACTCTCACCAAAACTTGTACTGAGGAACTGTGCACTGGTGTTGAGACCATTGTCACTGGTGTCACCACTGTCACCGATGAGACCACCGTGTACACTACCTACTGCCCACTCACCACCACCCTCACTCTGGCTCCAGTTACTGTGGTCACCACTGTTTGTGAGACTGAGACTGCTTCTCCAGAGACCACCACCATCACTGTTACCTGTACTGAGGAGAAGTGCAAGGGTCAAGAGTCTACCATTGTCACTGGTCTCACCACTGTTACCGACTTGACCACTGTCTACACTACTTACTGCCCATTGTCCGCTAGTGAGGTTACCAAGACTTACACCACCACCATCACCAACCCAGTTGCTAGTACTCCAGTCACCGGCTTGGAGGTCACTGAAACTGCTACAAGCGGCGGTATCACCACTACCTACGTTACCACCTGTGAGTACTACGAGGTTACCACCACCACTACTGCTACCGCTGGTGCTGGTTCTACAGCCGCTGCTGGTTCTACAGCCGCTGCTGGTTCTACAGCTGCTGCTGGCTCAGAAACCAAGACCACTGTTGCTACTATCACCACCACCGGTGCTGCTGGTGCTGGCTCCACTGTGGCCGAGACTGGTGCTACCGGCTCCACTGGTGCTGCTCCTCAGTCCTCTTCTTCTGCTGCTGGCTCTGGCTCTGGAGCTACTGCCTCCAGCATTTCGATCTTGGAGGGTGCTGCTGCCAAGGGTTACGCTTCAGCAGGCTTGTTGGGAGCTGCTTTCATTGCTGCCTTCTTCTACTAAGCGTGCTGGCAACTTTGAAAGAAGTGCAGGACTTTTCGAATTCAGTTTGTTCACAATCAATCCATAGTCATCGTCTTTGCCGCTCAAAGTTACGAGATATTTGGTGCTGGTACTTCCTGGTATTCAATTCAATTTATTGACCTGATAGACTGTCCGGATTTTTCTTGCCGTGACAGCTAATATTGTCATTTGTGTTTATTAGATACCTTTTCATTTCCCACCTGCATAGATACCTCTTTAGTGTCTTTATCGACTCGGGCTCGATGATTTCATTGGGCTTCTAATGATATTTAGTTACTTCTAAGTTGGTAGTCTCGTAATCTAACCTAAGTTTTCTTCTGTCGATTTTCGAACGAACTAAAACCACACACTAGCCACATATAACCTTAAAAACTTCCGCCACGAAGATTTAAATTGCCAATAAATGGATAACAACCCTTTTAGCAAGCTCGCGAAACGGTCATCCATAGCAGTGGAACAGCCACACCTACAGGGACCTTCCAGTAAGTGATGCTCATAGCTCCTTATCTAACCTTTTAGGGATTGGAGAGTCCCGCTTTGTTTCAACCAACCTTCAGCCGTCAACTGTTCCTGAGCACACCCACTCTACTCCCAGGTCGTCATCTCATGACTCTCGATTTCCTGTGTACGGGCTGGATTGGACATCAAGTGCTCAGTCTGATATAGCTAAAATTGCTGTCAGCTCGTTCCGTGAGGATTCGACAAATAGACTCAAGATAATCAAAGGTTCTCCAATATATATGGATGATGAACAAAATGGCACCAAGACAACAGACGCATATGAATTTACCTCGATGGCAGAGATTACAGTCAACTACCCTATCACCAGACTTCAGTGGGATCCCTCAATGCCACTTTATCCTGATGTGACGTGCGTAGCAACAAGTTCTGAATGTCTGCGAGTCTACGAGCTATTAGAGCCCGATTCTTCACAATCTTATGCGCAAAGCCCTAGAATCGTTGAAAAGATGACACTCACCAATTCAAAAACCAAAAATTTCAATCAACTACCGCCACTGACATCGTTTGACTGGAACAAAACTGATTCCCGACATATAATAACAAGCTCTATAGACTCTACGTGCACGCTTTGGGACATTTCACGCGGCACAGGCGTGGCCAAAACGCAGTTGATTGCCCACGACAGTGAGGTCTTTGATGTCAAATTTCTGCACGGTAATAAGCACGTTTTCACCAGCTGTTCCAATGACGGGTCTATCAGAGTCTTCGATCTGCGATCTTTGGAGCATTCGACCATCATATACGAGCCCCAGTCTACCAGATCATCTATAGCAAGTATTGCTACGCTAAGTTCCGCCCAAGACGCAGCAATGGGTCAGCGTGTGCCATTGCTCCGACTAGCAACGTCTAATTACAATGCTAACCAAATCGCCGCCATAGAAGCAGATAGCAACCGCATTTTAATACTAGATCTGAGGTATCCTGAGACACCAATCGAGATCCTGCGGCACCATGTGGCACCTGTCAATAGCATAGCTTGGCATCCAAGCAAGAACTTCCTCTTAACGGGAGCAGACGATTGTCAAGTACTTATTTACGACCTCACAACCTGCGGCCAACCAGAAAACTCTGTGGCACCATGTTTTGGCTTTTTTGATGAAATGGAGGTGAACAATGTGTGTTGGAATACCGATGGCTCATGGGTAGCTGCCAATAGTGGACGCAGAACTCAAGCGGTTGCGCTTACGTAATATACCGAATATTTATTTATTTCAATCCTGTCCGCCAGAGTCACCAAGTAACTAAAGTTGACTCGTATCTCCGCAGATTTCTTTTTCCAAGTCAGTCTGCATCAGTCCTTTATATATCCACCTTCAGTCCTGTATCTGTTGTTCAAAATTGATCAATTTCTTTTCTCGCAATGTCTGTCTCGTCCAGGATTGCATTTTGTGGATCTATTCGGCTGATTTCCTCAAAAGCCTATGCTCAGGGATATTATCCCCCAAATAAAGGATTAGCGGATCTGGATACTTTTGCGCGCAGACACTTGGGTCCCAAGCCCCAAGATGTTGATCAGATGCTTTCTGTGGTGAAATGTTCCGACCTTGGTGAATTTATCCGCAAGGTTCTTCCGGAAAACGTTTTTGTCGGAAGACCTCTCAAGATCAAGCCTGAACAGGGATATACTGAGACCCAGATGCTAAACCGATTGAGGGAAATTGCGTCCAAGAACAAGTTGGTCAAATCCTACATTGGAAAGGGTTATTATAACACTATCCTTCCTTCTGTGATCCAGCGGAATCTGCTTGAAAACCCCGCTTGGTACACATCCTACACTCCTTATCAGCCCGAGGTTTCGCAAGGACGGCTCGAGAGTCTTTTAAATTATCAGACCATTGTTTCGGACCTCACTGGACTTCCAGTGGCAAACTCATCTCTTCTTGATGAGGCTACTGCAGCTGCGGAAGCCATGATTTTGTCCTACAACCAATTGCGTGGAAAGAAAACCAAATACTTTGTTGATAAGAACACTCATGAGCAAACCATAGCCGTCTTGAAAACTAGAGCCTACACTTTGGGAATTGAGCTTATAATTGATGACCTGGGTAACGTTGAACCTGTCGCAGGTGAGCTATGTGGTGTATTAGTCTCTTATCCTCAAACAGATGGTACCATCCCTTTTCCAGAAGATCTAGCCCATATCGCCGAAATTGTGCATAACAATAAAGGTTTGGTTGCAGTGGCCTCTGATCTAATGGCTTTGACTCTTCTCAAGCCTCCATCTGAATTTGGTGCTGATATCGCTTTGGGATCCTCGCAAAGATTTGGCGTTCCTATGGGTTTTGGAGGCCCTCATGCGGCATTTTTTGCTGTCACTGAAAAATTGCAAAGGAAGATTCCAGGAAGACTAGTGGGCGTCACAAAAGACAGGCTCGGTAATCATGCCCTTCGTTTGGCACTTCAAACTCGTGAGCAGCACATCAAAAGAGAAAAGGCTACTTCAAACATCTGCACTGCTCAGGCTCTACTCGCCAACATTGCAGCCAACTACGTGGTTTATCATGGTTCCGATGGTTTGAAGGCAATTGCTACTCGGATTCACGGTCTTACACGCATTCTTGCCGACCAAATCACCAATCATTCTCCGCATACCGTTCTCAATACCACTTACTTTGATACGCTCTCCGTTCAAGTTGAGGGTACTGCAGATGCGTTCGTTGCCAAGGCCTTAAAAGAGTACAACATTAACTTATTCAAAGTCAACGAGAAGCAGATCCAGTTGTCTCTTGATGAGTCTGTCACCGAAGACGACCTTTCCAGGCTCGTAGAATTGTTTACTTCACAAACGACTAGTTTCGACAGCCTTCAAGCTCTTCCTGAATTCCCTCGCCAGCTCTCTAGAACGGACAGGATTCTCACCAACCCTGTCTTCAACACGCACAATTCGGAAACAGCTATGTTGCGGTATCTATACAAGCTACAGCAAAGAGATATCTCTCTTGCATCTTCCATGATCTCTCTTGGCTCCTGTACCATGAAGTTGAATGCCACAACGGAAATGATTCCAATCACGTGGCCTGAATTTGCAAATGTTCATCCCTTTGTGCCTAGAGACCAGGCCAAAGGCTATTTGGAATTGATCACAGAGCTTGAAGCTGATCTAGCGGATATCACTGGGTTTGCTAAAACAACCCTCATGCCTAATTCGGGTGCACAGGGAGAGTACACTGGTCTTACCGTCATCAGAGCTTATCTAGAGAGCATTGGCCAGGGCCACAGGAATGTGGTCTTGATTCCGGTGAGTGCCCACGGAACAAACCCAGCCTCCGCTGCTATGGCAGGCCTCAAGGTGGTTCCAGTCAAATGCCTAAGCAACGGAAATCTTGATATACAGGATCTCGAAGCTAAAACCACCAAGTACGCTTCCAATCTTGCTGCTATTATGATCACATACCCATCGACATATGGTATGTTCGAGCCTACAATCAGGGATGCTGTCCGGCTCGTTCATGCTCATGGAGGCCAGGTTTATCTTGATGGCGCGAACATGAATGCTCAAGTGGGATTGACATCCCCGGGAGACTTGGGAGCCGACGTCTGTCATTTGAATTTGCATAAGACTTTCGCTATACCTCATGGTGGGGGTGGTCCAGGTGTTGGACCTATTTGTGTTGCAGAGCACTTGAAGGACTTCCTTCCAAAACATCCTCTGTTTGCGTCCACCAACACTGCATCGACTGCAATTAACCCTGTTTCAGCTGCGCCATTTGGCTCTGCCTCGATTTTGCCCATTTCCTACGCTTACATTAAGATGCTTGGAGCCCAAAACCTGCCTTACGCATCTAGTTTGGCTATTCTGAACGCCAATTATATGATGTACAGACTTCGCGACCACTACAAGATCATGTTCTTGGGTGATGAATCCGCACATCATGAGATAAAATACTGCGCGCACGAGTTTATCATTGATTTGAGGCCATTCAAGGAATTTGGAATCGAGGCCATCGATGTTGCCAAGCGTCTTCAGGATTATGGCTTCCATGCTCCAACTATGTCCTTCCCTATCCCAGGAACTTTGATGATCGAGCCTACTGAGTCTGAGAACCTAGACGAGCTCAATAGATTCATCGACTCGATGATCTCAATACGTAAAGAGATCGAGGATGTCAAAAATGGTGGCAGCGCCGCTCTACTAAAAAATGCTCCTCATTCGCTTAGAGACTTGCTGGAGACCAATGAAAAAGAATGGCAAACTAGAGGATATTCAAGACAGCAAGCTGGCTTTCCACTGCCATTCTTGAAAGACTTCAAGACCTGGCCTTTCGTTACACGTGTCGATGACACTTATGGAGATATCAATTTGATGTGCACCTGTCCTTCAGTTGAGGAGGTTGCACAACAATAAGATTCAATAGGTTTTTGAATAATAAATAATGGAAGATCCAAATAAATAGTTTCACATAATCATCTGTCAACCTCTCCGAAAACGAGATCCATTGTTCCAATGATGGCCACGGCGTCGGGTAGCAAGTGGCCCCTAGAAATATGATCGAAAGCAGCCAAATGAGAGAATCCTGGAGCACGAATTTTGCATCTGTATGGTCTCTCTGATCCGTCACTCACGACATACACTCCCATTTCGCCCTTCGGCGCCTCGATAACTGTATACGTCTCACCTGGGGGAACTTGGTAACCTTTAGTGAACACCAAGAAGTGATGGATTAAAGCTTCCATGTCAGTTTTCATCAACGACTTGGCTGGAGGGGCAATTTTGAAATCCTCAACCTTCACAGGACCTGCTGGCATATCGTTGATGCATTGTTCGATGATTCTTAGCGACTGTCTAAACTCAGCCATTCTTATCAAGTATCTATCGTAGCAATCTCCTCTTGTCCCAACAGGGATATCGAAATCCACATACTCATAGGCATCGTACGGCTGTGACTTTCTGATGTCGAATGGAACGCCCGATCCTCTAAGCATGACACCCGATAGACCATAATTCAATGCGTCTTCTGCCGTCACCGTTCCAATATCAACCGTTCTTTGTTTCCAGATACGATTGTCGCTAAGGAGCTCCTCTGTTTCATCAATACGGTCTCCAAATTGCGTAGCCCACATGTATATATCATCCAGTAAGCCAAATGGAAGATCTTGCGACACCCCGCCTGGTCTCACGTAGGCAGCGTGCAACCGGGCCCCTGAAACTCGCTCATAAAATTCCATCAATTTCTCTCTTTCCTCAAATCCCCACAGAAAGGGCGTCAGCGCTCCCACATCCATAGCATGCGATAGAACGGACATGAGATGGTTCAGAATTCGGGTAATTTCTCCAAACATGGTTCTAATATACTTTGCTCTAATCGGCACCTCAATATTAAGTAGTTTCTCCACAGCAAGGGAAAAAACCTGCTCGTTGGTCATCATAGAGACATAGTCGAGTCTATCAAAATACGGTAATGCCTGAATATACGTTTTCGATTCGATCAGTTTTTCCGTTCCTCTGTGCAAAAGGCCAACGTGTGGATCTGACCGAACAATTTCTTCACCATGTAGCTCAAGAATCAGTCGCAGCACTCCGTGTGCTGCAGGGTGCTGCGGTCCAAAGTTCAAGGTAAAATGTCTAATCTTGTTTTTACGAACAGGAAAGTCCGGGGAATCTTCGTTGTAAAGATTCCAAGTATCCCAGTCTTTCGATTCATTGATAAACTGTTCATAGTTACCCATTGCAGAACTTATTTTAATATTGAAAGTTGACGCTAGCTCTGGTTCATCCGGATCACCTTCTCCTGGTCGATTGCCTCTTTTCCTAATCTGATAGAAATCGTTATCATCTGCCTTTTGGCTACCAGTTCCTCCAGTGCCCTGTCTACGATATGCAGTGACAGAAAAATTCCTTGAGTGGACTCCTATGGAGCTCCAGGCTGCAACCCTCCAACCCTGTCTGAGTCCAAAACAAATCATTGGTAGCTGCGATTCTGAAACCCCACCTTTTCAATGCTACAGTACCAACTAGCCACAGTTACCCGGCCTTTTGGGGTACGTGGCTAATTTTAATCCTTTTGCCCTTTTTTTTCTCGAATCTGCAATATAAAAGCAGTGGCAAATAGATTCGCTATATTTTCTAATAAAATAATTTTCAACATGCCAAGATCATCTTCAAGAAGACCTGCTCCAGCTGCTAGATCCGCCCCATCTGGTGCCAGACCGGCATCCACTATGGCTGCGCCAGCTCCTACACACTCTTACAGCCACCCAGTGCAGACCCAACAACAGCCAGGCCTGTTTTCTCAAATGGCCTCGACTGCTGCCGGTGTTGCTGTCGGTTCCGCCGTGGGTCATACTATTGGTGCAGGTATCACCGGTCTGTTTTCCGGATCTTCCTCTCAACCTGCTGAATACCAACAGCAACAAGTGCCGGCTGCTTCAGCTCAACAATACCAACAACAATCCACTCCAGCCTGTGATGCCGATGCTAGAAACTTCACTAGATGTTTGGAGGAGTCAAATGGCAACTACCAAGCTTGCGACTTTTACTTACAGCAACTGAAGGCCTGTCAGGCTGCTGCTAGACAATACTAAGCATCTCTTAGCATAAATATTCTCTATACATAGCGACATTTGGTACTTATATAATTGACCATTCTATATTACATCTCTGTGAGCTCTAGAATCTCCAGTTCTCGTCGGCTGATTCAATGGCCCATGCAAACTTCTCACGCAAAGTTTTAGTGAAAAGCTTCTCGATGGGCACGTTGAATTTCTTTGAGAACATAACCGTTAGTCGAGGATCGATGTAATTGATTTTAGACGTATTCAGTGCAACTTGAGAGTTGTCCTCCTTATCTTTTAGCTGAAGACTGGTGTTTTTTATCCTGGTTTCGATTTTTTCTACCTGCTGTTGCAACTTCTCCACAGTTTGAGTGGGCTTGATCTCGTAGGTTCCAGTCTTGAACTCATTTTTGTACGTCTTCTCTAATTCTTTGTGCTTTTCCAATCTGCTCTTGTGATCGGCTGCCAATTCTTCTTTCTTCTTTGCCTTCTCATCTTTGGTGAGCTCTTCGTATCCCAGCTTCAACAACTCTCGTTCATATCTCTTTTCTATCTTTTCCTTCTCTTTCTGCAACACTCGCTCGATAATTTTTTGTTCTTCCTCTTTGCTCATATCATCAACCTCCTCGAAATATTTGAAATCCTTTTTCCTCAGCGACTTATCTTGCTGCAGCATCATACGCTTCAGCACGATCTTGCGCCATATCATTTCTTCTATCTTCTCATTAATCTTTTGGACTCCTGCTTCATGATTTTTGCTAACCGTCCGCTGGTGATTACAGAGAATCGCAACAGTTCTATTCGCAGCGTTGAACTTGACTACTTTCTCATTCACCGTACCTTCGTTCTTAATTAGGTCGATCTGGTCTTGCATTGTCTTGGACGCATTGTATGTTCTGAAAACCTTAGCGGTCAATCCTGGCAGGTACGATTGGAAGTATTTGTTGAGCACGGAAGGATCGATTCTATCAAACAAGTTGTCCCCAGGTTTCTTTGGGCTCTTCTTGAAAATTCTCAGATTCTTGAAAACTTGCGGATCAACTTCAACCTCTTGATAGAATCTGATGGAATCCTTACCTAAGAAGTCAAATACAACTGTGTTAGGAGGCTTAAGAAAGATGTGTTCGTATCTTAAGGAGCAGCAACCAACAGTGTCTGCTTCATCTTCGCTCTTCTCTCCGCCTGCTCTGAGGGCAAACACGTCAATGAGATATGTTGCGGTAGCCAGTTGTCTATCCATCATGAGCTCCGACTTCAACTTAGCGCGGTAATCCTTTCTAATCGCATCGATGTAGTTCTTGAGCTCTCTCGCCTTTTCAAACTTCTTAAAGTCACTCATACCTTTTAAAGAGGAATTTTGAGCAAATCGCACATACTTCACGGATCCAAGCACATTTTCCCTCCACATGGCCAACCATGCGACAGTGTTATCATGCTTTATTTCTCCCCACTGGTGGCCTTCAGGTGGCGGAGGAATTGGTGCGTCTTTACTCAGATTCAGAGTTATATCCTCCGGTTGAACGCGCTTTTTCAGTTTACCGGTCTTAGGATGCGCACCACGACCTCTGAATAACCCCGGAGGCTCAACTCTAAAGTTTCCAACCTGCTCTCTCCGTCCGTTTAAAAGACAAAATTTGTATTTCTCTTCCATCTTTTCCTTCTCTTGTTTGATTCGTTTCTTTTCTTGTGGAGAGATGGCCTTCTTTTCCTCCTTTTGCTTTTGGAAATACTCGAACATTTGGCTGAAGTCACATTTTTGGAACTCCGTGATTTCTGCGTCTGGACACCCACCGTTTTCTTTCAGCACCTCTAAGAAGTCGGCAAAGAAATTCTTCTGGAAAGTTGGATTTTTAGCATGGTCAGACTCCAATAGGGCTGCAAAAAACCCGGCCACTTCTTCAGCAGCTGGTGGTAGAGAAACAGGCTTTTTATCGTAGATCAACTTCACATGGGAAGGGAGGGGCTCGTAATCAGGAGGAAATATAACACCGTTATGTTCAAGGGTATCCCAAACAATTTCGTCGTTCAGGTCCTGTTGCTCCCACCACTTGTACTTCTCTTCTTCCTCCGCTTCATCTTCTGTCTTAACTCTGGGTGTATCTTCTTTCTTGATTTTGGGCTCCTTACTCTGCTGATTTTTTTTCCGGGGAGAAACTGAAGCGCTTGATGGTGATTCCTTCTTGACTCTGGGCCTGCTTTGTGTGGCCTTCGAGTTGGTTTTCCGCTTCTTCAGAGGTACATCTTCAGATTCATCTTCACTAAATGATGTGGTTGGCGTCTTCACCTTCTCTGATCCAGCAGCCAATCCATCCTCTGATTCAGACAGAGCTAATTCAGGCTTGCTGGTTACCCGCTTGCGTTTCACTGCATTTAAAGGCGTTTCCTCTTCTGACGAAGACATCCCAAATCCTAATAACTTTTTTTGGCTTGATCGACCTAAATATAAGTGTGGTGCAAAGGTGCGGAAAACAATCGCGTATCTGAAATAAAAACAAGCTATATCTTCGAGGATTCAGGATGGACCCCGCAATGCGCGCCAAAATTCAGCGCTACTACGACTTTATTGATTCTTCTATTGAGATTCTGAGGACAGCAAACGAAAAGTCGGACTCAAATTCCATCAAAGAGATCGTACGCGAATTACAGCTGGTAGTACCAAAATACGGTATAAGTCTGAGTCAGTTTAAGAAACTGCTCAATGTCGTGCTAGACACCACGAACGCGAAGCTTTTCAGCAATTCCATCAAATCTCGAATTGTAAAGCTTTGGTACTGCTATGAGCTGTTAGACTTTGACACATTTCTCTGCATTATTAGCGCGTTGAGGTTATCTACGTTTTCCAACGAAGGAATGACACTACACCAGAGGATTCAAACCAACATGAGCAAATGGCTTGTCTCCAACTTTTTCAATTTCAGACTAGGTAAAGACTATTTGCGGATTCTTCCGTATCTGTTTAACATGCTACCAATCGGATACATCAGAAGCAATATAAGCATAATTATAATTTATTTGATTCAGCTGAGTTCGCAAATTGATGAGTCTTATAATGTCAAGTTTTTGCTCAATGCTTCCAGAATCATATACTTGACCGAACTTTATGGAAAAGACAAGAGCATGTTGCCTTTAGTTACTGTTGTTCACAGTCATTTGCAGGGAAAGGACAATCTGCCTCTGTTTGATACCTATAGATATAAATTGGAAGAGATAGTCGAGAATGATAGGCTTCCTAAGGATGTGTTCAAGGTGGACCACCAAGTGCTGGACTCTTTGGTGGACCTCAAAGTTCAATATCATCAGTTCAATCAGAATACTGATGCCATGTCACCACTGATGGAAATTGAAGATTTTCAGGAGTTCTACTACAACTTACAAGACTTTTACCAAATGGTTGAGTATCTTAATTTGAGATATGGGCTATCAGCCGGAAGTCATCGATATAAGCGCAAAAAGCTTGACGAGTTTTCTTTTGATCTCAATACACTGGATATCTTGACCTCCAGGTCGATAGCCGATTGTTACACAATTCCTGCCTATTTGCTGCATCTAGATAGCATTCCTGTTCCTCGACAAATGGGGTTGTTATTATACCAGATTGATGACTTTTCGCATTACAGAGCGCAGCCAAGTTTCAAAGTAGCTGAAACTCTTGGCCATTTCGTTCAATTTTATCCAAGACTTCCTTTGTACACAGCTTTGTTGCAGCTTGATTATCAGGAGCTAAACAATTGGATGGAGGTTATTCTTGGTGAAGAAGGACAAAAGCTAAATCCTGTGCATGAACCATTATTCAATGGACTGCTTCAACTCACTAGAGTTTCAATGGTTCTTCTTCCAGCCGTGGAGCACTTTCTTTTGTCAAACTTGCAACCTGGGAGTCCCGTTATGAGTACCGTGAAATATTACGAATTTATACCTTACCTCAGTTATCGACCTTGGTTACAATTTGTCCCAGTCTATGAGAAGCTCAGATCACTCTTGCAGGATGCTGCTAGCGCATCCCGTGTGTTGGAATCTATTTCTGATCTTATATCAAACTGGTGCATCGTTCAGTCCTCTCATGAGGACGAAGAATTTTGGAAAACGATCAATAATCTGATAGGGAATGTGATTGGCGATTTTATGGAAAGTTTTTGTGGGCAAGCTGAACACTATACTGACTGTAAATTAAGCTTCGTTGGATTTCTGCGTGTGATTTACCGAATTGACTACGAGCACCTCAAACTTTCAAATTTAGTTCTGCCACCGGTTGTACTTTATGACCTATACTTCTCATCGAACCCTGTTTTAGTGGACGCAGTATGTCGACATGTGAGTTTTTGCAAACGCTACTATGCAAATTTTCTGTCTACCCAACAAGGACATGGTGCGATAAATTCGGACTTGACACAAGTGATGTTCAGCATGCTCAAAAACTTGCACAATTCTTACGTGATGGATTTGTGTAATATCATTTGGAGAGACAAGGCATTCGACAGAAATGAGAAGTCTACCGCCAAGGGGTTCATGCTGCCGTATGCTCTCACAACCAAAATGTTGAAACAGCGCTATCATCACTACGATTCAAGTATTGACGATAAGGAAGACTATGATTTTGATTCCATCAAAAAAGACTTTGATGTCTTTTATGCACCTGCATATTCTTCATTGATTACCGATATAATCCATCGTCTTGAAAATTCCAATAGGATAGATACTCACCTTGCAGGGCCTTTGAACGAATCCGAGTTCAACCGACTTATCAGTAATTCTGAACAATGGCACAACACATATACTGACTACGATTATTTGAGACTGGATATATTACATGAGTTGACAAGTATGGGTTTTGACGGATTACCTGGTCTCCTCCAAAGTTCATTGAAAAGCCTGTCAATCAAGCTTAGAGCGCGAAATGAACATTAATATACATCATAGCTACCATATCGCATAAACGTTTTTTTTTTTTGGAGTTCCACTACGTTGGCTATTAATCATCTCATGGGGAAAGAAAAAGTTTAAAGGGATCTTTAATTTATTGTGTCATGAGTGGCGGATCTATTGAACTCAGCACTCTCACACCGGAAAATGAAGATAAGTCCTTTGAGTTACCCCGCGAATATGACAATGAATTCGGAGCGGATGAGGATTTTGAAATGCCATCTACCATAGACTTCCAAGGTCACACAATTCTCCTGGGAAGCAGAGATGTAAAACGTTCGATAAGACTGAGATTACAGGTCGCGGTCATTGTGATTAGCTTCTTGATCATTGGCGTGGCAGATCAATCCTTGGGATCGGTTATGGAGTACCTTTTGTCAGATTATCAAACTGATAGAACTCATATCTCATATCTATTTCTTTGTCAAGCTATAGGTTATATGATCGCAAGTTTCGGAAACAACATGGTTTGCCAGATTATGGGCCTAAAAGGCCTTTATCCCATCTCCTTGCTGATCATGTCGTTAATGCCTACAGCTATATATGCAAAGCTGAGTTTCTCGACGCTTGTCTCAGTGTCCATGATTAACGGACTAGGGTTCGGAACTCTTGATTGTGCAATGAACCTCTTTGTTGGTGGCTTGAAGTATAGCAATCAATTACTTGGTTTAATGCATGCATTCTACGGATTGGGGTGTTTTATCAGCCCTCTGTTTTGCACCTATCTGATTCATCATGGGTTTGCATGGAACCAGTACTACCTTTTCATATTGGGTCTCATTGCAATAAACTTTGTGGGCTCGATTTTTCTTTTCAGCAGAGAAACAAAATGGAAATATAGATACCAATTACAACAAGATTGTGAGAAGGATGAGACTGGGGACAAATTGGCATTCAAGACGATTATCACAAACAAGTTCATTATATTTTTCTCCTTGTGTTTGTTTACTTATCTGGGATCGGAGCTCAGCATGGGTGTGTGGCTTTTTAATTACCTTTTGAACATTCACAATTTTACGGACAAGTCTTCGTCATACGTCACTAGTGCGTACTGGATTGCCTTCACCGCTGGCCGGTTTCTCCTTAGCTTCATCACCGGTCATCTATTTGAAGATTACGAAACCAAAGCGATGCTAATATACTGTACCCTTGTTACCATTGGAACAATTCTTTTCTGGTTGTTCAATAAGGTCTATTCATTGATGGTCTGCTCTATATGCTTTGTTGGGTTCTTTGTTGGACCTATGTTTTCTACCACTGTGGTTATAGCCATGAAAACATTACCCAAAAGGTTTTCCACTGCGGGTGTGGCTGTGATATGTGGATTGGGAGCAATGGGGTCCACTGTCATGCCTTATCTCATGGGACTGATTGCAGATTCGACCGCAGGCGGAAAGGGTGCTGGACTCGTTTATTTCCCATTATACGAGGTTCTTTTGTTTGCTGCTGCAAACATGCTATGGTTGGCCTTTTTTGTCAAGCACAAAAGAACACTTGACTCATACGAACGTCTTTCTTGTGACTGATATTACGCACATTGAAAGTGAAAGATATCCTGCACGATGACTTTTGGGGTTGCTATTTAAATAAAACTAGATAACATACTTTTTGATCCGGGCCATTGAAATTAAGCACCGGTTCACAGATAAGAAAAAGAATGAGCGACGATTGGTTTCTAAGGTCATGATAGTTTCGTAAACCTGGTCTTCCTCCATTTTTAGTAGCTACAGGTTCATATACCCATAATAGCCAACATATTGGTAGCAAATAGGCAAACTTCATTGGGCAGATTAAAACAGTGGCACAGGTTGAGCGCCCAAATCCATATTGTCAAGCCAGCTGAATTGTGAGAGTTAGATTTTTCTCTTGGTCCTCCCTAATAGGCTCATTGACAATATCGTAAATTTGGATGAGAGACCCACGTATTATAAAATGGTTGAGAGTACTCAGGCAATTCCACGAGCTAGTCTTAATGGGATTAACTCTTCTTTCCAGCGTAAATCACACAACTGGCCCAACCCCACTGCTATTGAATGCTTTCATCTTTTTAGGCTGCATGTAGCACTTCTCCCTGCTGCCGTGATAAAATAATTAAGGCTACGCTGTTTTTTTGTGTAACAATAGCATAGGCTGCGAGACAAGCCGAAAGTGAAATGAGTCAATATCTAGATTATCTGCGCGAATCACTTGGCCAACTTGTTTGAGTACGTATTAATTTGAACCACGGTCGCTCGCTGTCTGTGAGATAAAAAAAAACGGCTCTCAAATCTATTAAGTCACCAAGTATTTCCCTGTCAAATCCCAGTCAAAACTTTGTACTTCATTTTGCCTATAAATCCTTACCCGTTTCTCCACATCACCTCAATCGTAGTATGTTTTCCCGGAGAGTGCTGTCATCATGGCCGAAAGAAGTTAGGTACTACTCGTCTGAACCTTCTCTTCTAACCACGCCCTTCACAGACCTGCATATCAAGCTCAAAGCAACCATGGTCGATTTTGCGGGTTATTCGATGCCTGTTCTTTACAAGGGCCAAACTCATATCGAGTCGCACAAGTGGGTCAGAGCTAATTGCGGGGTCTTTGATGTCTCCCATATGCTGCAGCATTGCATCAAAGGTCCGAACACTACCTCTTTTCTGCAGAAGCTATGTCCCACTGACTTACGCTCTCTCAAGCCATTTCATTCCACATTGAGCGTGTTGCTTAATAACAACGGTGGAGTTATTGATGATTGCATGATCACAAAGCACGACGAGGACAGTTTTTATATCGTTACTAATGCAGGCTGCAGAGCCAAAGATATCGAGTTCATCAAATCAGAGCTCAGCAATTACAATGAAGGTTCTGATATCGAACACAAAACGTTTGAAGGTGGCCTTCTCGCAATCCAAGGGCCGAAAGCGCAGGAAGTTGTGTCTAAGTTCACTTCGTCTGATCTGAGCACCTTATATTTTGGCCAGTCCAGATTCATTCCTTTGAATGGTTTCGGATCCTCGGAAAAATTCCATATCGCAAGAGGTGGCTACACAGGCGAAGATGGCTTTGAAATCTCCATCCCAGAAATAGGCGTTGCCAGAGACTTCTTCCTTGCTCTTTTGCAGAGCGACGTTGTGAAACCAATCGGCCTTGCAGCAAGAGATTCGCTGAGGCTTGAAGCAGGAATGTGCTTATACGGCCATGAACTGAACGAAGAGATTACACCTGTTGAAGCGTCTTTGAACTGGTTAGTGTCCAAATCAAGAAGGTCTGACAGTTTCAATGGAAGCGAAAAGATACTGAGCCAGCTGGAAAACCCAAAGTCGGTTTCCTTCAAGAGAGTTGGCATCAAATCCAAAGGCCCCTCCCCTCGTCAGGGAAACAAGATTTTCGCGAGCGACGATCAGTCTAAACAAATTGGTGTGGTTTGCTCTGGATCTCCTTCTCCTACTCTTGGAGGCAACGTTGGTCAGGCCTTCATTAACAAGCCTTATCAGAAGACCGGCACCGAAGTTCTGATTGAAATCAGAGGCAAGCTAAGACCCGCAATTGTGTGCAAGATGCCGTTCGTTGAGCCAAAATATTATCGGCCCTAATCTATTTCGGTGTAGGGTGTCGATTTCGCGACACGAAAAATATTGAGACGCGTTGATTTGTATATCCTCAAACCATGCATATCAAGAGAGTAAGTAAATGACTATAACGGCACTAACGTGAAGATCGTAATACAGGGTTTCAAAACCTACAAGAATATGACCATCATTGACTCGTTTTCTCCCAAGCACAATGTAGTGGTTGGACGTAACGGGTCAGGAAAGTCGAATTTCTTCGCCGCCATCAGATTTGTTCTATCGGACGCATATACCAATATGACAAGAGAGGAGCGCCAATCATTGATTCACGAAGGTTCGGGTACTGTTATGTCCGCTTATGTGGAGATTGTTTTCGATAACACAGATCGCAGGTTTCCTATCGACAAAGACGAGGTTGTGATCAGAAGAACAATTGGTATGAAGAAAGATGACTACTCGATAGACTCGAAACTTGCTACCAAGTCTGATATTACTAATCTCCTCGAAAGTGCTGGGTTCTCAAAATCTAATCCATATTATATCGTCCCCCAAGGTCGGATTACTTCTCTAACTAATGCCAAAGACTCTGAAAGGTTACAGCTCTTGAAAGAAGTTGCTGGGGCTCGCGTTTTTGAAACGAAACTGAAAGACTCGCTCAAAGAGATGACAAATACCAATAAAAAAAGAGAGCAAATTGAGGAGATGTTGAGGTACATTGAGGGTCGTTTGGAAGATCTCGACCTTGAAAAAAATGATCTTAAGGAATTTGAGAAGCTCAATAATAAGAAAAAATCTCTTGAATATAATCTTTATGATAGAGAGCTGACGAATTTAAATGACCAGATTGAATCTCTGGAGTCAGATTATGCAGCTGCTCTTCAGGACACCTCCTCCTTGGTTGGAAAACTAGCTGAGAGGGAGAAACAAGCACAAAGCATTGAGGCTCAACTCGCAGAGCTTACGGCAGATTTGAAGCTTGTCGACGTTGACATTTCTGAGAATGATGCTGAAATTAAAGACGTGCTAACCAGTATAGGAGACACGAGTGCTCGATTAAAAGAAGCAGACGCAGAGACTGGTTTTTCGGGAGCTGATATTGCTTCTCAGCTGGAGGACCTGAACGCTCTGATATCTCAGAAGGAGGTTGAGCTTGGCAAGTGTCAGCCTGCTCTTAAAGATGCGTCGGCCAAAGAGCGCGCTATCAAAGGCAAGTTGGATGAGATGAAGCAACAGCAGCGCTCCCTTCTTTCCAAAAAGGGCCGCTTTTCACAGTTTAGGAGCAAGTTGGAACGTGATGAATGGCTCAAATCAGAAATCGATAATCTGACAAAATCCCTTGAATCCAAAAAAGGAGACCTTGCGGTCTACCTGAAAAATAAGGAAGAAATGGAGTCTTTGGCGGGAAACCTCGCCTCTGAGTTGAACGTTGCTAAAAGCGCTGACCCCCTAGACGCTGAAATGGATTCTCTTGACAAAGAGCTGGGGCGATTAAAGCTCGAATACAATCAACTCATTGACGACAGGAAGCAACTTTGGAGAGAAGAAAGTAAGCTCAATAGTGTTATCCAGACATACGAAACTGAAAAAGCCAGAGCACAGCAAGGAGTCAGTGAAACGATGGATCGTTCAATGGCTTTGGGGCTTGAAGCGGTTCAACGGATAGCTAAAGATCTTGGTTTGAACGGGGTATATGGGACCTTGGGAGAACTCATTAATGTCAGCGAAAAGTACAAGACTGCTGTCGAAGTTATTGGCGGGAATTCTTTGTTCCATATTGTTGTTGATACCGATAGAACTGCAACACTTATCATGGAGGAGCTGATTAGACAAAAAGCAGGGCGTGTGACCTTCATGCCTCTCAATAGGTTGAATCCTAAAACCCCATCTTATCCAGATACATCGGAATGCGTTCCTCTTATTAAGAAGATTGCATTTGACGAATACTTGGAGCCTGCTGTGAAACAAGTTTTCGGCAAGACCGTTGTCTGTATCACTCTGGAGAAAGGCGCTGAAATCTCTCAGGCTTACAAACTCAATACCATTACTTTAGACGGCGATAGATGTGACCGTAAGGGTGTGCTCACAGGAGGATTTCGAGACCAAACTCGTTCAAGGGTTGACTGTCTTAAAAACTTGACCAAATGGAAATCTGAGATCTTCAGTGCCCAACAGAAGCTTGAAGAGGTCAAAAAGCAGATTGCAGACAAAGACGCTCGCGTCACCAATACAAGCGAAGAATTAGCAGCTAAGCGCAGAGAACTGGATGCCATGTTCACAAGAAAGGAGTCTTGCTTGTCCGCCAAATCAAAACTTGCAAATGAAAAAAGCAGATATGACCAAGAGCTTGGCTCTCTGGAAGGACGCATTGAGTCACTACAGACTTCTATAAAGCTTTCGGAGCAACAAATTAGTGAATACCAGAACGAACTAGAATCTGAGTTCAAGGAATCCAATCTGAGCGACACCGAGTTGCAGCAGCTGAAAAAGCTCGAAGAAAGTATTTCAGTTGCTGAGCAAGAATACACTCAGGTCAGTGAACAGCTCAATGAGCTGGAGTTGCGGGCCTCGTCGCTCATATCCGAATTGAATGGTAGTTTATACCCCCGGTTGAGGCAGTTGAGTCTGCGGACGTCCAAGTCTCAGGAAAATGATGACATCAAGGTGAAAGAGCTCGAAAGCAGACTGCAGAGATTGGTGGAAACGAAAGAGAAGTTGGAGTCCTCGAACTCTGAGTTGCTCGGCAAGTCGAAAGAATTGAAGAAACAGCTTGAGAGCCTGGAGGACCAGCTTCAAAAACTCAATGAGTCACAAAGGAATCTCTTGCGGCGACTAGAAAACTATGGCAAGAGTTCTGAAAAATCATTGAGCAGAAAGGTGTTGCTCGGTAACAGGCGCGACGAGATTAGCCGGAAAATCAGAGATTTGGGTGTCTTGCCAGAAGAGGCGTTTACTGCTTACAAAGATATAAGCTCAGGTGAGATTTTGAATTTATTGAATGAGGTCACTGAGAGTTTGAAACAATACAGTCATGTCAATAAAAAGGCCCTAGAGCAGTTCCTTAATTTTGCCAAACAGCGTGACTCGTTGGTTGCTCGGAAAAATGAGCTTGATGATGCTAAAGAGTCCATTGAAGACCTTATTTCGGTTCTCGAGCGCAGAAAGGATGATGCCATTATCAGAACATTTAAGGAAGTGAGTATCGGCTTCACCGAGGTGTTTGAGAAGCTAGTTCCAGCAGGAACCGGTAAGCTGATCATCCAGAAAAGGAGTGAAAAGGTTGGTAAAGGCAAGATAGGTTTCGAACAAGACTCTGATGATGAAGAGGACGCTGAACTGGTGGATCAATACGTCGGTATTTCGATTTCAGTCTCTTTCAATTCAAGGGAGGATGAACAACAAAGAATTGAACAGCTTTCTGGCGGACAGAAATCGCTCTGTGCAATTGCTCTCATCCTGGCAATCCAGAAGTGTGACCCGGCTCCATTTTACCTGTTTGATGAGATTGATGCAAACTTGGATGCCCAATACAGAACTTCTGTCTCGCAGATCATTCATGAGCTTTCCCGCAACGCTCAATTCATCTGCACTACGTTCCGTCCAGAAATGCTCAAAGTTTGTGACAAGTACTTTGGGGTGATGTTCAACAACAAAGTGAGTACAGTTAGTGAGATCGATCAGGCTGACGCGCTTGGATTTGTTGAGGGTCAACAACGTCGCTAGTTTTCTATATGGCTTGCCTAGTTTAATTTAGCTATTTTCGAGCATCTTTCATTAGATCCAAAAATCCATGGTTTTTCTTCTTGCCCTTGGCCTTGGAAACAATATTACTTGCCATTTTCGCATCAAGATATCGTTGGGATCCCGCAGTTTCTGAGTCCGAACTGTCATCCTGTGAGTCGTCTGAATCATCCTCAGAGTCAGAAGACTCGGTTTCGGAATCGGATTCAGAATTCTCCTGCCTGGAAGTAGACGTTGTCTGGGCACCTTGGTTGAATTCCCTGACATCAGGGAGACCACGTTCCATCAACTGGGATAGCTTTGGAAGCGAAGAAATCGAGCTTCCAGATTGAGAGACATGTGGTGGCTGTGTCTGAGACTGCGAAAGCAGTTGAGGAACCACACGGCCCTCTTGCGTGCTTGGAGGTGGAGAGGAGATTTGGCTTTCATTCAACGTGGAATTATTGCGCGAGGAAAGGACAGAGGTGTTGCTGAGCAGGCTCTTTGGTGCATTCACCACTCGGGGTCTTTTCATTGTTTCCTGTTCATCCTCTAACTCGTCATCATCGTTGTCATCGTTATCATCGTCGCTAGAATCCGATTCACTTTCTGCCGGTTGTGGCACAAGCGGTTGGGAGTTTGAAGCCACCGGTGGCTTTCCTACTTTCTCAGCTATACCATTAGATTGTACTTGATGAGCAGGAATATCGTTACTCTTTGTTTTTCCCTTCATTCCATCTTTTAGCAGGCCAATCACTTCTGCTCGGGTGTAGTTCGTGCCAGGATTCTGTGCATCATTAGAATGAGTCTTTGCAGAATCAATCTCTCTGGTATCAGCAGCTGTCTTGCTTTCTCCATTCTGTGAAGTAGATTCGGTGGCACCAGTATTGTTCATATTTGTGTCCTTTGTTTCACTGCTCTCTGCTGCGGCCACTTCGACTTTTTTTGGTTTAGGCTTGCGGGTGGGCTTTTTCTTTTCCTCTGGCTTTGTGGTCTCCTCGCCATTTTGGGATCCGTCTTCTTTTGCCTCAACCTTCTTGACGCGATTCTTGCTACCAACAGGACGGCCTCTGCGAGGCTTGGCGACAGGCGTCTCTTCAGCTGGTGAATTCTGCAGTGCTTCCTCCCTGGAACCATTTTTCTGTTCGTTCTGTTCCTTTGTTTCCGTTGTTTCCTTTGTTTCCTTTGATTTTTTGCCTCTAGCCTTTGGGGCTGTAGACTTCTCCTTGTTGATGTTCTTTTGCTGCGTCTTTTTCTCCAAACCTGCATCCGGGCCCTTTACCGAGTCATTTAGTTTTTTCGTGACCTGCGATGGTTTCATAGGCTTGGTCTCCTTAAATGATGGATTTGAGACAACGTTGGCGGGTGTAGGAGTCTGAGCAGGGATCGAAGAAAAGGAAGAGTTTGAACTGTCGTTCAACTGCACTGGAGATTTCCGCTGCATTGAAGAAACGCGGTTCATCACATCAGCTTTAGTTGGCACACTCGGCCTCTTTCGGACAGCAGAGGTGTCCTGATTAGAATCGCTTTGATAGTGATCGCTGTCAGTTAGTAGGTCATTTATTTGCAAATCACGCTCTTCGTCTTTCTCGTTTTCATCCAGAGCTTTTGACAGATCGGGCTGGAATTGTGACGTGAGCATTCCTGACGTTATTCTTGTCGGAGACCCAGGCGCATTCACCGGACTTGCATTTCGCGGGCTAAGATTCTTCTTTGGCTCAATGATTACAGTAGCATCCTGATGGCCATCGTTAGGAGCTGGAAGCGACAGATTGGATTGATGGGATTCCTCGTCAGCTTCTAACAAAGGAGGTTGTCGAGCCTCGTGCCAAACACGTTGGTTACGAGAGGACCTTGTTTTCTTGACAATCTTATTCAGATCGTTGTGAAGATGGCGCTTCCCTCTGGAATCAGTTTCCTCTTCCTCAGTAAATTCATTTTCCACGAGAACACGCAAAATATTATCCGTATCAAATATCATTGAAACTGAGTACTCCGGGTCCAGGTCACACTCATTGCTATCCTGAATTTGGTGAATGACGATAGGCTCTTGCTCAGGATACAGCCTCAAAAATCTCTCTTGAATCTCAACACAAACATCCTGAAGCGTGCTTGAACTTTTCGTAATGTGAAGGAATTTTTTGATGCCATCGGACGTGCCCACGATATGCGGAGACGGGCCATAACTTGGCCACTGGGAATTGAAACCCGAAATCCCGTTAACAAGTGGCGTACTTGAGCCATTGAGTGTGAAGTTTGGATAGAAAGAATTATTATGCTGGGACTGGGAACCGGGGTAAATCTGCGATTGCATTTGCATCACACTCATATCCACATTATTTCCAGTTCCATTGTAAGCGGGAGCTTTGTTTGCTTTCGTAGAGCTCGGCGGAACAATGTGAACTTGCAACTTTATCATCTTTTGCTCTCCAAAAAGTCTGAAATTCCCTGCCTCTTAAATAGAAACCGGTGTCACTTTTACGGTTAGTGTTATTATGCTTATATACTTGGAAGAAGTTCACAAAATATTTTTTTTCATATCACTGTCATCAAAACTCCGTGTTTTTCGCGCGAATCTTATTAGCTTCAATCTCATCATGAATCCTGTCAAGAATATCAGAATTCTCGGTCTCGGACACTTGGGTCCCTAGATTGCCGCTATCAAAATCCAGTCCATCTCGACTTTGTTGACTATCCAACAGAGAATTATAGCCCCACACAGATATAGTCCCATCCTTGCATCCACTGTAGTACTTGATAGAGCTCTCTTTAGCATATACGATGCTTGTTGTCCTTCTGTTCAGAGTACTCCCATTCTTATTTAGTCTGGCAACAAGTTTGCCGTCATCAAGTCGGTAAATCAGGATTTCACCGTTCTCTGACGGGAACCATAAGTATTGTAACTCTGTTTCGTTCAGAGGGCTCAAAGCCATGCTAATATGCTGTGTGGATTTGTTTCTCACCAGGGGGCCAAAATTGATCTGCTTGTTCAAAGGCTTTTCTGCACTGGTCAAATCCCAAACACATATTTTATCGTCATGTCCAAGGGTAATAAGTTCCGCCCCATCATCTGTAAAAAGCAATGAATTTATTCCACCATTATGTGCTTTTGGAGTGCTTTCGTGTAGTAGTAACTGTCTGGTATTGGTTCTATAGTTAGTGGTTGTTAAGTTATAGTCCATTTTGAAAACACAACCATCAGCACGTCGTATATCCCACCCTATACAATAACCATCTTGGCTGCCACCAACCACAAGGTTGGGGTCTGCGGGTGACCACCGACAACTCAACATATACCCAAACCCTCCTTGAAGTTTTCCTCCACCCCCCAGTGTATGAGCATCTGCTAGGGTCCTCAAATCCAGCAGCCTGAGACCTCCGACTCCCCCGTCCGCGCAAACAGCTACCAAAGAATTGCGCCCATGGTCTTCGAAATCAAAATGGAGCACTCTGGAGCCAATATTAAAGGAATGAACATGCTGCATTTCATTCGCATCCCAAACACTTAATGTATGATCGAAGGAGGACGAAAGCCATAGTCCGTTGTCGGACCACCATTTAATATGGGTAATACCAAATTTATGCACAGACTTGGATGGAAGAGTATAAATAGGCTCCAACTCTTCTACTTCAACCTGCTGTTTAAGATCCCACAGCTTGACAGAAGATTCACCTCCTCCGGAGAACAAATATCGGTTATACAAAGGGTCTAAGGATAGGGTATTGACAGACGCTTGGTGAGCTTTCATCGGGAAATGACCTTTCATCGCATCCAAGTTGTCCAGTCTTGAGTACTTATATTCATTGTAAACTTTGAGGACATCTAGTGGAGAGTGGTTGAATTTGGTTATCGCATGTTCAAAGAGTAACTGATGCATTATTTATAGTATAAGTATCATAGGACTATCGACGCAATTTACCCTGCTCAAAAAATTGACGAGATATAAGTTGAGAAAAATTGTTTCTGATGTTCAACATGTATCTGAGACGTTCAGTCGCGCTGGTGCGCTCTCTGAGAATGTATTCCACCGAGGGTGCATCTGGCATTGATGAGAATATGCTTGGTGAACTGAAGACTATACCACAAGAATTGAATAATCCTGCGAAGTCTCAGCTTCCAAAGGAGAACAACCAGGCCAAAATCTCAAATCAGAGCCAAAACACACCACGCATTTCAAGAGAAAAGCGTTTCCAAGGAAAGAAACCAAGAGCACAATATTCATCGTCCAAATCTAGATCTCCTCGTGGCCACGGGAAGGGAAAACAACAAAGCGACTATTCCTTCGATAATCAAGATATGAAACCTTATGTTGACGCAACTATGAAGGCGTTTGATGAATTACCATTGAAGGCTCTCAAAAGCCAGAACATTCAACCTGACATTTCCCACTGGGAAAACATCGTGAGAAGACTCGAAAAGGCTACTGAACAAAGGGACAAGCTTAAGAAATGTGAGCTGCCAGAGGTCAAATTACATGACCTAAAATCTCTTGGGGTTATCGATTCCAGTGTTGATAGCAAAGAGTTGAAAACCACCTGGGAAGCTACCGATGCAGTCAATGATATCAAGAATTTCGTTAAGACCATCAGCTATTTTGAGCCTCAAGATCCGCTGCAATATAAAATTAAAGAACCATCACCTGGAGAGTTAGAATTGAACAAATCCCAGATGGCTTTCAGTCTGAGATCCAGAATGTTGCGCGCAATTTCCAAATTTTCAGAACAGCACGGCTTGGCCTTGAACTCTACAAATCTTGGCCAATCCCAACTTCATGGAATGAACAAATTGTACCCATTCGCCAACCCTAACATACCCAAGGCTGGATTCAACAAGGTTTCGGACATCAAATCCCTTTCGAAATCTACGGGATCAGATTTCAAGAACATCGTAGACACCACGGTAAGGGGTATAAGGCCAGAACTCAAATTCTATAAAACAGGCCAGTTCAAGACGGAGCAGTCACGCGTGAACGCAGAAGTAGTGTCTCATGCCCTGAACTCAAACGCTCAGCTTCAAGTTGATAACATGCACGTTTCAATAGGAAGAACTCTTGTTGGGAAAGGAAAGCTTGCAGACCTTCCGCAACCGCTTCCCTCCTCAGAATAAGGTACACTGTATATAATGAAGGAAAAGGTCGTGTAGATTTTATTTACAAATTATTTCAAACTTATCTAGCCAGTAGCGGGTAACACACTATGACGATCCTGTTACCAGACTAAAGCTTAAAATAAAAAAAAAAGCATAATTTATAATCTATTGCTAATCTCATCAAAAAGCTGACCATTACTAGTTGCAATTAAAAGCTGAGTGTTTGTCTAAGAAACTCACATTTAAGATGTCGAACTATTTTGGTGAAAGCCCTCAGGGTAACACGTATAGTTCCAGCTCTATACCCCCGAAGGACTCCGCCAAAGAAGAAGACGTGATTGACAAGTTTTTGAACCTCACATCATACACTCCAGTGCAAGAGGAAGCTCCCGACTTTCTCATTAACTCTTCATCTCTGACTTCAATAGGCCACCAACCATTGTCTAGCTCGTTCGATAATTTGCAACCTTCATCCGACGATAAGGGAAATGCTTTCTTTGATGATGTTTCCGCAACTACTATGAGCGGTGCTCATTACAGCTCAAATAATGCCACCAACAACTCATTTAATGTGTTGGGTTCTACGCAAGACTTTTTAAACATGCCACCGGTAGATACACCTCCAGAACAATCCCATATCCATTTTGATGACTCGTTGCCAAATTTTAACCCATCAAAAGTCGATACCTCTGCTCCTTTTATCCAGATTGACAAAGCATTTTCCGATTATCTGACACAGCAATCAGAAACAGCGAATTTCTTTAACTCAACCTCACGAACTTCAAACACGGGATTCCCAGGAACCAATATCCTACCACAGCGAGTGTCTCATTTTAGTGCTGACCCTAATCTCCTGTTGCAACCACAGGTTGGGAGACAATATACAGGTCCAGACTCCTCTACAGGTTCTGAACTGTCGGCCTCTAATTCGCCCTATCTATCGGCAGTTGAATCAATTGCTGGGGACGATTATGTTGAGCCAAAAGATGACTTTGAAAGCCAGCTGGTTTCTGATAATATCCGTCAGCTGTCATTGTCCGCAATAAACACCCCAAATATTAACCTTACGGAGCAGAATCTCAAAGAGCAGGAACGCATATCGGCAGCTCCATCGATAGTCATTGAAAACCCAGAGAAAGTTGCTGATAGCACTCCATCGCTGTTTTCTGCGTCATCCTCCAAGGCTTCCTCTCCCAATAGATCGAGGTCAGCTAGCGCAGGTAATACCCCTGCCATCAAAGTTGAAGACTCTTCCTCCACTCCTGCGATTTCAATCAATGTGGAGGATGCTGCTCGTTCACAGGCTATTGATAGTTCAAGCTATAGCACTCCAGATCACGAAAGACTGTACCATAGTAATTACTTACAAGTGGACGATGCTTACCTTACGCCAGATGATAGAACGCATAACTCGATGAGAATGGGACGGCAACGACGCCATTCGGAATCTAGTTCGCGCTCCAGATCTACTTCGAGGTCCAGATATTCAGATGATTCAGATTACGACAGTGATGCATCACTTTCACGCGAAAAACTCTCCGAGCTTGCCGCCCCTCCTTCGCCTAATAAAAAATCGCAGAAAAATCCAGCTTCCTTTGCTTGCCCTGTATGTGACAAAAAGTTCACGCGACCCTATAATCTCAAATCTCATCTTCGCACACATACCAACGAGCGCCCTTTCCTTTGTACCGTATGTGGTAAGGCATTCGCGCGACAACACGATCGGAAACGACATGAAGAATTGCATTCTGGAGAAAAGAAGTATCAATGTCGTGGGACTTTGGCAGATGGCTTTACCATATGGGGATGTGGTAAACGCTTTGCGAGGACTGATGCTTTGAGACGCCATTTTCAAACGGAAAGTGGTAAAGGTTGCATACGACCTTTGATGCAAGAAATTGAAAATGACAAGAAGGAGGAAAGACCGCTCACCAACAGAGTTAAAAAGGTCACCGACTCAAAACTTCCCATGGAAGTTTTGGATGTTTCTGACTACAACAGTTTACTGGATCAGATTTTGACCGTGCAAAGCAAGGCCAGCACGACTTGACTTATGATTTATGTCGTGTATCAACAAATGTAGTAAAAAAAAGATTTCATACTAATTTTTAGAGATCCAGTAATTTCTTAAAGGCTAGAGCCTTAAAAGTACGATATATATCCAAAAGTAGCCAGAGCTGATGCCTCAGTTGCTACTGATCTTAAGTTGGATATTCCTATTGTGCTTGAGTGTTTTGAGTCAAGAATCAGCTGTCATTGAAGAAAGTTTGGTGGACCAATACGCTAATTTTGTCCAAGGATTTAAGCAATCGTTTACGAAAGTGATTTGGGCTGACAAAAGCTGGAACCTGGTCGTGGTCAGTGTTTTGACTATTGGATTAGCAGTGATTACCACCAGGCCTTTTATTAGAAGCAAATCGAAAGACAACTACTTTTATTGGATCATGGCAGGATTTGGAGAGAAGTTCAATTCAGCGCTGACAAGATCTACTTCCGCTTTGGGGTTCAGTAACTCACCCTTCTCAGGGAACGATCCTTCTGTACGAGAGAGTTATCATAAAGCAATGAACTTGGGCGGCTCTATTGGCGGTTTGATGAATGATGGCAACACATGTTTTATGAACAGCGTTCTTCAAAGTCTGGCTTCGTCGAATGAAATAATGGACTTTCTCGAGAGTTTTACTCAGAACGAGAATATTTCCCCTCAGAATAAGCCTGCTTTCTCATCTGCATTATATGAATTGCTCAGCAAATTGAACGACAAGCATGGGAATAAATCCCCTACATACAAAACACGCAATCTTCTGAAGGTGATGAAAGATGGTCCCAGCAAGCATTTGTTCTTGGGCTATAATCAAGAGGATGCTCAAGAATTCTATCAGTCCGTAATGAGTCAAGTTGAAAAAGAATATATTGGACCCAATTCAAAAGATAAGGAGAAGGGACAAATTCAAGACAAATTTGTCGATTATGAAGATGGAATGATGACAGGCTTGCAAAACCTTGGTGACTTAGGAACGATTTATCTGCCTGCAAAACAGATTGACCCCTCTTACCCTAATGCAGATTCCAAAGTATACCCAATGAAGCTCATCACTCCAGTTGATGGACTTCAGTGCGAGCGGATTGGATGTACCAAATGTGGGGAGATGGGGGGGATACGCTATTCAGTCATAAGCGGGCTAGGATTAAATCTGTCATCTCCCACTCAATCAACCTATACTCTCGAGGAATTATTGGACGGTTGGATCGAACAAGAAATCATTGACGGTGTGGAATGTAACAGATGTGGTCTGATCGAAATTCGTGCTACTCTCATCGAAGCCATTGAGAAATACAAAGAGCAAGGTTCCAAAATGGAGAAGCTTGTGGAGCTCACCTCTAAACGAATCCGGGAAATTGAGGAGGAACTAGCCAAACCAACCATCAATGATGCAGTCTATGAAAGACTTCACACCAAAAACAAAGTTCAAAAATCGAAGAAAACTAAGCAAGTATTCTTCGCAAGGCCTCCTGCAGTTTTGTGCATACATATAAGTCGCTCAGTGTTTGATCCTAGAACCTACACTGTGCGCAAGAACAACGCAAAGATTGTTTTTCCAACTAGGCTCGACTTTGCTGATTACGTCGCCGAGCCTGATAATATTAACACGGATGCACGATTACCGTTTAGAAAAAGTGACGATAATGGTGGAGATGACGGTAAAGCAGATGTTGAGGACTCTAGCTCATCCGGCCTGAAATACTCACTCAAATCTGTTATTTCACATTTCGGAACGCACAACTATGGGCATTACATTGCATACAGAAAGTACCGAGGAGTCTGGTGGAGGATAAGTGACGAAATAGTCAGGGTGTCTTCGGAGGCTGAGGTGCTTGCTTCTCAAGGAACTTTTATGCTATTTTATGAACTAAGCTCTCGAAACGACCCGAGAGATGACTTTAAATCCCACGAAACTGAACCATTGACTCCGGCAAATACTGAAGCTGATGGAGAGTCCAAACTGAATCAGGATACTGACTTAGAATTGGAAAGTACATTCGATGCTGGTAATTCCCTAGACGACAGTCTTCGCGTGAACCAAGAAGAAGAATTACGACAAAATGAGATGATTGCCATACAGGCCAACTTGTAATTGTTTGTTCACTCGAATAAATTGAATTAAACATTAAATTACTATTAGATTTGTATAATTTCATACTTCTTCACGATTTGATATCGAGCTGGACGTGTAAACATTAGATTTCTCAGCCCTTTCGTTTTCAAGTTCCTCGTCAATCAATTCGTTCAAGTCGTAATCAAAATTGTTAGGATTAGAGTCTGTTGTCACAAGTTTACGAGCTGTGCGGCTTTTCAATTCACCTTGATTTTGAAGCTGAAGTTTGATAGGAATATCATCCGGGGTCAAATGGCTAATTTTAGAATAAATTCGTGATCCCGAAGACTTGGCCTGCTTTTCCAATTCGAGTTGCTCATCAGGAGGAACGTATCCGCCATATCCGTCATCTCGATGCGATTTGAGCTTTTCTACTTCTGTCTGTTTCCTCTTTTCGAGATATGAGGGATTTGGCTTATAAGTAAACATTCCTGAGAGAAGTGGTAAGAAAATCACCAAAGCAATGAAGGTTGCCATCAAAATGAACAATGCAATAGCCATGGTGATTGATTATATTATTTTTTGGCTATTTTATTTTTTTTTCGTTCTTTTTTGAGCTGCAGTGTGTTAACAGGGTTCCGAATAATGCACATTTAAACATGAATGAATCTTCTGCAAAAGCGAAGAAAGCGCCATCTTTGAAACTCCGATTATCACAGGAGCCTGAAAACCAACCCATGACTGAGGAGAGCGATGTGTTTTCCGATTTTTGTGATGCAGATGATTTAGACGAGATAGTTTCGAGAGCTCATAAAGAAAGACAGAAAAGGCTCAACAAACAAGAACAGAGGAAATCGTTTTGGGTCAAGTTTAAGTTACCCAGAAAGCTTTTGGAAGAAAATCAAGAGATTTCATGTTCAACTCCCCTTGCTTCCCTATCACAAAAGCCGCCTCTTACGTCCCAAGATAATAAACTCTCTCAAATCAATATAGTACGAAACCACATTGTTTATCTGGATCGAATACTTTCCGATCCGAGCATACCTGCCGAGCTGAGTTCCTCCCTCAGGGAACTTCACGGCAGTCTTTGGCTACAGGTGCCTACCATGGATCCATATTCGCTCTATCAACTTCTAATTCAACTTCAAAAACAGATTGCCAGATTTAAAGAGCTCAAAGACATAATCAAGCCGTCTGATGCTCCTCACATTGACTCAAATCCGGCCATCCCGCTGTTAAACTCTGCTACGCCCCAATTCGATGATCCAACGTCAAGTCCGCAAATGTCGGGATATTTTTTCCAAGCTATGAATGCACTTGATAGACAACTCTCCACTTCACGACATGTCACCAAATCGAGTAGTGCGAAGCGACGAATGGATTCGCAACAAACGACACTTTTTGGCCACGTAAAAAGGCAAAAACCACACACTCACGAAAATGACGATATAATGGAGGAAGCGATCGTGCTCTCGCTTAGTGATCCTCTTTCAGGAAGGCGAATGAAGACACCTTTACGATCCAGGTATTGTTCTCATATTGAATGTTTCGAATTGGAAAGTTTCATGCAAATGAATAATCTAGAGCCATTCCCAGTTAGCGTGAGAAGAAAATCCACAAATAAAATAGATGCGAATGAAATTCTGAGTGATACAAAAAGGCGGCCATTGAATCCGGATCAACATAACAGAAGAACATTTGAGTTTCAATACAAGGTTCAATTACGCCAGAATAAAGATCAGAACAAACCTAATAACAGTCTGGAATTTTTTACTTGCCCGATATGCAAACTAGAGTTTAGCATCCACGCCCCAGGAGATTTGTATATAGTAGGGGAACTGCAGGCAATTTTGGAACAGCTAGAGACGAGTTCTACAGTTGACCGGATTCGGATATCTCAGGATGGAAGCTGGTCATTTGTTGAGGCTAAAAAGAAAGAGGACGCAAAGGAGTCAGAGATAATAGAATTGGAGGATCTAGACAGTTCCGAGGAAGAGCGTGAGATTACGAAAATCAAGTTGGAGCGCACTGCAAAAAAGGAGGCGTCTTTATTTCCTGCACGGCGCTTTGAAGATGAGGCAATTCTGGATGATCTATTCGAGCCATCAGACAAAGAAATTGAAGATGAAATTGACCGAATAGTGGATCAGGTAATTTCGAAAGATGGGTCTCGACAGTCAGATTACAATTCCTACCTCAAAACTTCGTCTTTGAATGCAGGAAAGACACAAACATCAGAGCCTGTCTTTTTTACGGGTAATGGGGACGAAGAAGATCCTTTCGTAATTGATTGAAGAACCAATCAATACAAAGAAATCTGCAGACTTAAATTCGCTATCGGTTAATAATAGCGTGAAATGTCAACCATGTGTATAATAAACCTTTGTTATAGTTATTCGCCAACGCCTCGGTTCTTTTTAAAAGATAATCAATCTACGGAAACTGGTGCAAATCGTTACCATAATCTGCACCTCCGATTATGCAGTTAAAATTGATTGGAAAAAAAACCGTTACCTATGAGCTATGTGCCTTCGATGCCTCGGCCTCCCTCCCACAAGGTATATAAAGGTTTTTGATCTCTCTGTATATTCAATTAGCATTCTCTAATGTATTCGATATTGTTACTGATTGGTCTTCTTTTTGATTCTGTCTTTGGAAGTCTTCTGTGCGTAGACTCTCGTCAAGCAAAGACAAACGGGGTGGCAGAAGCCATGAAAGACTCTCGAGCCAATCATGGTTACAAATATCTCTGTGAGGGCACGGTGAACTCCACCTCCAGTCTGAATCATTTGATCAATAATCCGATAGAGCCCCTTATTCAATATCCCAAGGTTTTGAAAGAGACTCTGCAATCTACCTTTGACGAAAGCAAACTTGCGAACATATGCTATGATCCATTTTCTCTGAGTATTCTCTACTTTAATGACTCACTGAATGGTCGCCACACTTGCATGAAAACCGATAACCCGTACAATTACTCCTCAGCGAACTTCGAGCTGATATACTACTCGAATAAGCAGGTTCTAAGTGGTGGCCTAAACTTACACCTGATAAATATGAGGCCGGATTCGTCGACCACAACCAGTTTCTTCTCATATAGATCTGCTTCATCAATTATAAAATAATTCCCAACTTTCATATAGGTACAGTTCTGGAAGGTATCAAACATTGCTTTATTTATAACATTAATATTGTACAGAGCGTAAGTTAAGTGGTATCAAGAAAAACGGCTGATTTATGTGTGCCATGGGCTGAATTGACTATTATTTTCTCTCAAAAGCCACTTGTGCCAAAGCATCCAGTGCACTCATCCCCGTAGTGTTCTGCATAGTTTTGCCTGAAGAGTCAGGAGCCCGGTCATTAGGACTCATCAAGTCTTTGAAGTTTGTAGCGGGATATGCATGTTGCGGATTGGAATCAGGCTTTTCATCATTTAGCAAACTTCTAATAGACGAACGCAGTTTAGATGTGAATGGAGAAGAAGGAGACACCGATGACGTCGACGTCAGGGGTGGTAGATGAGAGTGCGTCGAACTTCTTAGATTTGGGGGCTGCAATACAGTGTTCAATAATGAGTTCATCTTAAGCAACTTTGGATCGGAATCAACACCGTCTTGAACAGAACCTGCTGCCTCCACTAGGGACGTCAATGAATTGGTATTTGCAGGATATGGGACCTGTAACAATGGTGGGTTTTTTTCTGAAGTTTCAATTTTATTAGGAAGACTTACCGCAGGTAGCCTTGAAGTTGAATTCACAGAACTTTCGGAGCCAGCAGGTGCAGAGGATGGATAGTATGTATGTAAAGCAGGGAGTTGGATTGTTTGGGAAGCAGGTTCAGAAGACGCAGGCTTTGGTTCATCCATCGTGTATTTCGATGTAGAAGGTCGTCTGTCATAGAAGTATCCCAATGGAGGACCGCTCACACCCCCAGATTGGGCGTTCAGTGACTCTTTCTCTTTTGCACGCTTTAAATCTGCTTCACGGGCCATCTCCTCCCAGGTTGCATTATCGGATAGTCCTCTTTGATAGTAGTTTCTCACCATGGTCGAAGTTTTCGTCGTAATATGCCTTGACATCGTTTCCCAATCAGTTCCGTACTTTTGAAGGAGATCAGGAAACAAACTAATTTCCTGCACGCTCCAATAGCTTGTTATGTGGCTTTTGTCCTTGTGCTTCTCCTTCTTCTTTTCGCTCTCCTCCATACCCGAAGATACAGTTCCGCGGCTCGATTGGTCATTCAAACTGTACGGTGGTGTGTCTTTGAGTTTCTGGTCAATTTCTTCCTTTATTTCACTAGCAACTTTCAAAGGATCCCCATTAGATGATTGCAACAAAGGGACGTTTTCTTTTGCCTCCGCGAGCTTTTGAGCGGATGAAGGCCCCTCAGGCTTCAACTTTTTTCTACCCCTTTTCTTTTTAGGTTTCTCTAGTGGTTCTGCGGTAGCAGTCTTTTGGTTCAATTCGCCTTTCTCAGCCTCATCCAGAGAGAAGGATGTTTCGTGATTACTGTGGCTGATTTCATTAGATGAAGCTAATACCGGCAAGCTTTCTGCAATCTTCTGCTTTTTCTTTTCTGTAGGAGACGATGAGGTACTCAATCTTCTCTTGTTAATATCTGTTCCCTCCTCTTCGTCACTTGGTTCGCCCAATGTTCCTTCGATACTGATATTTGCAGATTCGGCTGTCGATGGTTCAGGAGTGTGAGTCCCAGTTCTAATCCTTCCGTCTTTGGACTTCCTTTTGGTACTGGAGGCTTTCCTTGTTGCCCTCCGATTCTTGTTGGCCACAATCTGCTTGAAATTCACTTGTTTCTTCGTCCTGTAATAATGTAAAACACACTCCTCTGGTGTTCTTAGCCCACCCATATGGCTAGATATACGTCCGAACTTTTTGGGCCACAAGCTATAAGCTTCACAAAACTTTTCATGCTCGGCTTGTGTGAAAGTATCCACAGAATCCAATTCAATCCTCTTCGCCCACAGTGACTTATCCCGCACCATGTTATTTGTATCCAAAAAATGAACTGTTGCATATCGCTCAACTGGATTTATCATCATATCGGGAATTTTTGCACATCCATGTTGAGCTCTAACCATAGGATCCTTTTCGCGTTCTTTTTCCAAAGTTGCTAGAATTTCCAAAAATTCTGCTTCAGTTCTAACGGCGTCGCCATGATGACGACCACGGCGACCTGATAAGGGCTTTTCAGTGACCTCCGTCTTAGAAGTTTCGCCTGTTTGCGGTCTCGATTCTGGTTCACCAATATTATAAAATTTGCTCAACTGCTCGTCCATCAATGACACCCGCTTTTCATATAAGTGCTTGCGGTAAATATACTCTTCGGTCAAATCTTTCTTCTTTTGCGCCAAAAGTTTTTGGAGCTCCAGTGATTTCTCAAGCAAATTAGGGCCATCTGCCTGCTTGAAAATCACGAAGGCTGAATTGTAGAAATTGTATTGCCGCAAATCAAAAAGCTTGTTTGGCTGCAAATACTTTAATGTCTTTCGACGCTCCATTTCCGGAAGATTCTTGAGCTCGTTGAACTTAGTTTCCACCCTGTTCAACGGAAAAATACACTCTCCCACAGTTGAATTGACAGAGTTGACGGTGATCGTAGCTTCTGCTATTGCTCCCACGATATTTGAGTTGGTAACTTTTTTGTCGACTGATCCGATCAATGTATTCTTTTCCTGTGATTTGATAGCCGGACTTTTTAAACCAGTCTCAATTTTATCTTCCACTGCAGGCACAGCCTGTCTCTCTTCTTTCTGATCTTTTTCTTCGCTCATTGCCTCGTGCTCTTCCTCTTCCTGAGTCTTTTGCTCTTCTTGGACCTTTTTGTACTTCAGGTCTAGCTCTTTTGTTGGCGCATTCTGATCATTGTCTTCTTTATCTGATCTGACATGTTTTACATCAAGAAGCATTTCCTCAGTAATGTCCTTTTCGACATCAAGTTTGATATCAAGTTTGGTAGAAACTTCTTTTGCTTCCAAATCATCAGTTTTCTCTTCCCAGCTTGATTTGGATTCACGTTTCTCCTCGGTATATTCTGGTGCCGATGCTTCCTTTGAACATGTTGCACTTGCCAATAATTCCTCCTTGACTGTCTCTTCCCGATCAGCTGGACCATGAGTTGCTTCTATCGTATCATTTCGACTTGAAGGATTAGCTAAGTTGATCTGTGCTCCAGCGTCTTTTATGGCGGTGTCCATCTGATTGTGTTCATATGATTCAACTTCTATGTTTCCTGTTTTGTGGGCCCCTTCATCAACCTCAGCTCTTCTCATAGGAGATTGAGAACTTTCTAAAGATGCAGAGTCATAAGGACGGTTGTGATTGTGATATTTTTGGCGTTCATTCCAGACCCGATCATCTTCTTCACGATATTCTGACCGGTATTCGTCCCTGTACTGACTTCGCGCATATCCCCCACCAGTGGAGTGTACTCTTGAAGGTCTATAATCGCGCATCCCCCCACGGTTGTATCTGTAATCCCTGCTGAGTATTAAATCACCGCCCTTGTTGTTTAGCCCTCCTAGGAGATCACCGGATTTGGAAGGTTCATCTTCATGGGGAGTTATACGATCTCGACTTCCTGAACCCCATCTTCCGCTCGAATAGTTATCATCGTTCGCAGAAACTGAACTTTGTCTTGAATCATCCATTCTGAAATGCTCCTTGCCGTAATAACTATTTGAATATCTTCCATTTGAACCACCTGGGTTGCCGTCACTGCTGTATGATCTGAAATAATGGGAAGATGAGCCACCAATACGGCCATTAGAAGGGCCATTAATATGGTGTCCTCTTGAAGGTCGATATCCCAAACTCCGCCTTGGCCCTCCTGACGAGAATGAATTTCGCCCGTAGCCTGAATCATGACTATTGCTCGAACGATATGAGCCATATGAGTCTCCATTACTGCTCAACGAGCCTTGAGGGCTATTCAAAGAGCCTGTTGCTGCACCTGGCTGTTCTTGTCGCCTTGAAGAGAATGGGTTGATGTTGTTTTTCTGGCAATATGGAGGAGTTGTGGATTGATACTGGTGGTGACCATTATACTTGTTGTGATGAGATGGCATGTATTTTCGTGGCCTTTTGTTGTCTTCCCTGTATGTCTTAGTATTTCCGTTATTTGAACCGCTATAGCTTGGTCTGGAATGCTCTGAAGGAGACATCCTGTAGTATTATTTATAAATTTGTATTTGATTAAAGCCTCAGAACCTTGACAATTTGATAGGATTTTTTTTGCAAAATCTTTGCTATATACAATAATCGTGGTATTTCTTTAGCTTGCGTCCCTATTGCGTTGACATTCACTATCTATTAATGAAGTAATCTGACTAAAAATAAGATAGCCCTCTTAATCTTATGAGAAGGAAATTAATTGTGCACCTCTTTTTTATAAGCCGTCCCAGTCAATGGCAGAATCAGTTTTCATTCTCAAAAAATATTCATGGGAAAATTTCGTAATTCAGGCAGGGTAACATTCTAAGAAGTTTGAAATTAAGAAAAATCTAATTTTTCGTGTATATCCTTAAATTACTGCTTTAGGAAAGTTTATTTATTGCAGGAGGAGCTCCTTTAATTGAGCGTGTCGCGATAGTACAGGAAGCGTTCGAAACATGTTTCAAACCTTAGAACTATAAATTTTCTTGGTTCAAGCTTCTATGTCTAATCCAATGGCTGATATCACATCTTCTTCAATCAAAAGGACTCTAGATCCTATAGAGTGGGAGATACAGGCCAAACGTATCAAATTGGATCAAGCCTCAGCAAAATCATCAGGACTTCTGTCTCCCCCCGTTACTCCAGAGAAACGTGACCGAATCCTAAATGTTCAGGCAAACTCTTTGAACTCTCTTAATACAAAGCTCTTTGGTTCCGTTAAATCGCAACCCCTTTCAGTTTACTCAAGAGCGAAGAAACTGTTCTTAAGGAGTTCGGCAATGGATCTTGATGGTTTTGCTTTGACTGCGAGAGAAGCTGAAGCCCGTTTACTGCGCCAACATATAGATCAATGCTTGTTGAAACTGGAGTCCACATCTATTTACGTGTCTGGTCCTCCTGGGACCGGAAAAACCGCGCAGGTAAACGCGATATTGAGTTCTCTGATTGTGGAAGATATCGAGAATGCGGATGATAGGATTTACAAAGTTCCAGTGAGGATAGACTCGAAGAGAATCAACCGCAGACTAAGGATCGCCAAAATCAACTGCATGACTGTACGCAAAGCAGAAGACATATTTGATGCCATTTATAGCGACCTTGAGGGCCAGTTCACGCGCAAAAGGAGAACTTCTCAGGACCTCAAGAGATTTCTAACAGACAAGTCCAAGTGCGATATCACAATTGTGGTTTTGGACGAAATGGATAACCTCATGGGTAATAGCCAGCAGGTACTTTTTGACCTTTTTTCATGGGCGTCGGATATGTCAAATGACAATCCAAAACTGGCCATCATTGGAATTGCTAATGCTCTGGACTTGACTGATCGATTCCTTCCGCGGCTGAAAAGTAACAATATCAGTCCCAAATTGATTCCATTTTTACCTTATACAGCAGATCAAATCAAACAAATATTGACCGCAAAGCTCTGCTCTCTTGCGGATGGCAAGACAAATGTTCCTCCTTTGGTTCATCCTGCTGCAATCCAGCTTTGTGCCAAAAAAGCGGCAATAACCACAGGGGATTTGAGAAGTGCTTTTGATATTATGCATAGAGCTCTTGAACTAACAGAAAGCTTACAATTACAAAAACTTGGTAGCAAGGAGCTTTACAATTTGACTCTTGAGAACGCTCCTAAGGTAATGATTTCCCAGCTGGCCAGAGTCTGTAACAGCACAGTCAGCTCAAATTTCAACTCCAAATTGAAGGATCTCAATATTCAGCATAAAACTGTGCTGTGCTCTCTGATAAAATATGAAGAAGTATTGAAGAGTCAAAAGTCCAAAATCATTGCATCAATTAATTCATTCTATTCATATTACGCATCACTGCAAGATGTGCGCAAAGTCATTGGTGTTCTTAACCGAGGCGAATTCCTCGAAGTTTTGAGCTCATTAGAGTCTGATTCTTTTATCAATATTTCCTCATCTATGAACTCGAAAATACATACCACGTCCAAAATTAAAGGGCCAATCAGCTACGGTGATTCTAGACTATCTTCTAGCGTTCCGAAGATGGATATCCTCAAGATCGTTGATGATATCGGGATTCTCAAGAAAATTCTGGCCGGTACAGAAAATTGCATATAATAATAGATAATAAAAATGAAGTTATAGATTTAACAAGACTCGGGGGTGACAAGATTCTTTTTCTGAAGTGAATAATTGATCATAGACTCGCTTGGATTACCTAGGTTTACTCTATCGCTCCAGATAGTGTAATGCTCGCCAATCACAATATTAGATGATAAGTAAGCCCTTACCAGTGATGAAAATTAAAGACCCTTTCTTCTTCTATGGCCGTTGCACTCCCTTCCCTTCTTTTTTTCCGGATGATCTCGAAGGTTTACATGGTGCCTGACTTCTATAATCTTCTAGCTTCGACAAAGCCAAAAGGACAAGTAAAGGCACATTGGGCGTAGGTATGACTCCGTTGTACTCACCTCTGTAAATATTATATATGCGTAGTTCAGTAATTTGCTATTTAATCAAATAAACATAACCCCAACAAAAACCCAATCAGGCAGCCAAAAGGTTTTCGGCCCTCGCAGCTCTAGCAGCGGTGGGGGTGCCAAATGCTGACTGCTCAAGAGGTATCGCAGCTTTTATTTCATCTTGTAGCTTGTCCGAGTAATTGACAGGGTATTTAGGGTTGGACCATCCTGTTTCTTCGTTAAAGTCCTTAGTGAAATGGGCAAACGGATATGTGGGAAGAGTTTTAACCGGCGTGTTGTCATCTATGAGCCCCAGGTCCTTTTGTCTCTGTATCAAACCCTCCAAGTACGGGATGAGGTGATCTTTGAAAGCATCGAAATTCTTGTACTTCATGATTTTTTCCGGAGCCTCGTCCAGGATCTTGCGTAGCAATGATGGGACAAGAGGTTCGTCTTTCATCTCGTCGATCGAGTAAAATATAGGATGATTCGTGAAAATAATGGCTTTGCTTTTTGGTAGTCTCCTCAACGTCTGTCTTTCAACCCTGACGTTGAACTCTGTTGGTAAGACATTCGAGTCCACTTTCTCGCCCTCTTTCATAGCATATATATTGTTCAAAAGTAATCTATGATCCCACGAGATATAAAAGGATGCTCTCTCGACGGGATCGGCAGGCGCCATCTTTTCGAAAAAACGCAACATGGAGGTTCTCAACTTTTCTGCGTAATAAGGAACAACGTCGTGAATTGCATCCACTGTTCTGCCAATTTTCTCGCTGATCTTAAAGGAGCCACCTGGAAATGGAACAGCAGCCGCGACCAGTCTGTACTCTCCATCGCTACCTTTTTGAAGAATGTAAAAGTCTTCTTTAGCCATTTTCGAGACATAAACCAGAGGATGATCTTTCAAAGGTTCAGAAAAGTCAAGGACCTCACCAGTAAGTTCATTTTTCACATGCAGTCCGTCATCCCCTGTGGTGAAGAGAAGAGGGTATCTTTTCAGCATGTGCTTTTTCACTGTATCCAGCAATTCATTGCAAGCATCCGTTGATTCGGGACTCCACCCAATATGCTCATTGCCATATGTATGAAAGACTCTCCGTTTCTCCTCAATGTAATGAACGTAATATTTATCCATATCCAACCAGTGATTGATATCCAGCTTGAATATAGACATGGTTTGATGATACGGGACTCTGAAAGGCCTCCAAGGACGATCATCTCTTTTACTCACTTCCTCTGGCCTAATATAAAGTGGCGTCGGTTCAGGAGGCGGAGCGTTCATATCGGAATGGAATTTTCCTTTCTTCGATGTGTTCTCTGTTTTGGAAGCAGACGACTTAGACTGAGTAGTTTTGCCAAGGTACAACTTGGAGATGAGCAAGGCAAATCCAAAAGCCCCACTCACCATCAGCAGCAGAAGCCAATGTATCTCTTCGATCATGTATAAAATAAATCGATACAGGTTGCTTAAGCGGAAAGTTATTTATACTATCGATCTTTTCAACTGATAAGAAATCATACTCCGAAAACGGCAAAAACTTCGTGATTAAAATAAAGTAGTTTGCACAATCAGAATTTGACAGCATGAAACCCTGGAATCTTTATACATTTCGGGAAGGTGTGTGTTTGAGTAGCACCATGTATAAAGTCAGCTCACAGGTCATTGCTAGCCGCTCGAGGATTCGCTACCCCCATATCGGCGCCAAAGAGAACCTCCATAAGTTCTGTATCAAGTATGGAGTTCAACGCCTCATTCACATCCAGGCCAGCAGGTGTTGAAGATCTTGAGCTTTCGGGTTGCTTCTCTGGTCTGAAATCATCATAGAGAGGAATTTCAAAGCTGGGAACCTGGCCTGCAATGTTAGTTGACGATGAATTCTGAGATTTTGGGAAATCGAATATTGACGAGTATGGTAGGCTAGGCTGGTCTTGTGTCACCTCTTGTGGGTAAGGAGAAGGAGGCAACAAACCTGGTTCCTCCACATTTTTTTCCAGGCGACGTCTTTTGGCTTTTGTTTTGTCGTTCATACGCAGCTTACGATAGTAGCCAGGGATGATTCCCCCATTGACACTTGTGCTGCCACTCTCTTTTCTTCCCTCTATTTTTCGTACATTGCTAGGGCGTGCATTAAATTCCTTGACCAGGATCTGGATTATTCCTAGATCTTCCAATAGCGTCTCGATAATATCACTTATTCTTCTCATAGTTCCGTCAATTTGATGAAGGTTGTTCAAAATGAGATTTCTGATCAGATTGATTGCTTTCATGAGACTTGAGAAATTAATGTCATGCTCCTTGTCCATATACTCGAGGTCAAGAATACTTTTCGCAGTTTTCCCCTTTGGACTTTTGAACAAGATGTAGGTTAACGTAAGAACCATGATAGCGTTATAAGAATAGAAGACATCGTAATACAGTGTTCCGTTGAAAAAACCGTTGGAATCGGTGTAAGTCAAGATTTCTGCTGTCTTGAAAGAGGACTTGATTCCATTCACGAGAAGTGATTGTATAGGATCATCACGATTGATAATGGAAGACTGTGTGCTTACAATATGCATGAAAATGGGTAGTGTCAATGTGATAAAGTAGTAGTGGAATTGAATATGCAGCTTAGGTTTGTAACGACGAACAGGTAAGGATTTGTAATCCTTCCAATCTTCCGGCAAGCGATCCCAAAACTTGTGTAATTGCTTTTGGAAAAGAAGTAGTTTTTCGATGCTTACTAAAGACAATGGTTCTCTAGAGGATTTGCGCTTGTTATCTAGAATTTGAAAAATGATCCTTGTTAACTTGCAGCTCTGAACATAGTAGATTTTGAAGAGGTCGTTATCGACATCTGACATGGTAGGTAGCTCAACATCCACTTCTTCCCAAGGTATCGCACTGGCTCTTCCAAACGAACAACACAACGTGGTCTCGCTTTTGGTCAACGACCACATGATACGCTTCATTTCGTCTGCTTTTTCATCGTTAAACTTATCCACAATAAATTTTCTGTGCAATCCCAAACTCTTGCATTGAATGGCTGCCATTTGCATCAAGCAATACCCACTTTCGCGGACCTTGATGCTAGATAGGTAAACAGACAATAAAATAAGCAATCGAATACCATCCAAAGTTGGTGTTAAAACGATGTCCGAAAGAGACAATTTGATGATATCAATGTAACGTCCTATTAGGTCATCGTTTAATTCAGAGTCCGCGGGAAGATCTTGTGGATTCGTGTATAGCTGAAACCGTCTGCCAAGTATCCAGACCATGTATATACAGCATATCTCGGCGCTCCCAATCTTCAATGGAAATGGCTCGTCTGTCTTAACATCTGTTTTGGCAATCTCTTGCCAAAAGATTTCGTACTTCTCATCAAACTTGAATATGTTGAATATGAAATAGTATGGATGAACTTTCTCGAAGAAAACGTTTTTGTAGATGTCAGCCTCCTTTCTCTTTAGCAAGTTGATCAAAGGGAACCGATTGATGTTTATGGTATCCAAATTATATAGATGTGTCGGATATTGGTAAACGGGTTCGTTTTCAGATGTAATCGTTTGGACAGAACTATTTCGAATATCCTGGGTCGAGATAGGTGGCTTCACGCTAAAAGACCGTTTGATAATAATATCACATAGCCCGTTCAATAATGAAGCAGTTCCAAAGTTACCGATAAAGTGTGTGTGGCCAAAGCGATCCATGATCAGGCGGTCTCGATCGTACGCAGTAGCTTTTAGTTTTATGTTTGGTGGAAGTTGGGGCATCTGCTTATTTCCAGGTGAATCCTTGTCTATTTTGTCCACCTGCTGGTCTGTATTTTTTTCCGAATCGTTGTCTTCGTCATCACCGTCATTCTCAGATTTTGTTTCCTCGGGGATCGCCGAATCTGTTTCTTCCTTCTTTAAGTCAGCCAGATCTTTCATGTTCTGATCATCCAGTTCTTGAATGTTCTGTATATCATCCAACATATTGTTGTCTGTAGGCATCTCAAACTTGAATGACTTTCCTAGCTCCATTAACTCCTCGATGCTATATACATCCTTGTCGGGAAATAGCCCTGAGACCAGAGCCAGCAAGCACTTATAATGCAATGTGATATTCTCTATTGGCCCATAAAATCGTCTCTTCCGAGGAATTGTTGTTGTACAGGAAACACCCGCTTTGGTGCATTGTACACAGGGCGTAATATTATCGTACTTCAAATCGTTGTCCTGCAGTCGTCTGCACTTAGTCTTTCGAAGTTTGCAGCGATCGCAGGAAAAGGGGGCCCTTTTGCGGTTCTCTGCGGGTACTATTCGTTTTTTGGATTGCAATCGGGAACGGTTTCCGCCGGACATATTTCCTGTGGCTCGTACTCGATCTTCGCTTAAACTGAAATTATTTAATTTAGTAAATTATTCGATTTAATGTCAACAGCCACAGTATCATCCTCGGTGGTTAATACCGTCAATACCATCATTGGATCGGGAATCTTGTTGCTTCCGTATGCTTTTAGGACTGACTCGGTTTTGTTTGGTATTTTGATTCTTCTATTTGCTGCGGCAACGAATGTTTTTGGACTCTTCTTGCAAGCAATCTCCTCTAAGTTCCTTCGAGAAGGCAATGCAAACTTCTTCACCGTTTGTTCAATAACTTATCCAAGTCTTAGTGTTGTTTTTGACCTGGCAATTGCATTACAATGCTTTGGTGTGGACATATCTTACATCGTACTGACTGGTGATTTGATGCCACTCATTCTTCCCATATCTGGCTTTACGGACTCTCAAATGCGGCTTTTTTACATCTTAATCTCAGCTTTCATTACTGTTCCATTGTGCTTTCTAAAGCGGCTTGACAGCTTGAAATACGCGTCCGTCGTCTCGCTCTTGGCTATCGCTTATCTAGTCATTTTAGTTTATGTCAATTTCGCTTATGGGCTGGCGACAGGGTTCAAACACATTCCTTTACAGAAACAGGGACCCATTTCCTGGTGGATTCCCGAAGGTTTTAAGCCGGTCTTCAAAACCTTCGCTATTATTGTTCTTGCCTTCACATGCCCTACTCAATTTTCAATCATCTCCGAATTACGTGACCCTAGGTTGAACCGCATATTCAAAATCATCACGATCTCTCTGACGATCACCACGATTTTGTTTGTAACAGTTGGTCTCTCGGGCTACTTTACCTTTGGAAATGCGTTAGAGGGAAACATCATTTTAATGTACAACGATACATGGACTACCAAATTGGCTATGGGGTTGCTCTCGCTGATGGTTCTTCTTTCTTTCCCATTGATGTTCCATCCCGCTAGAATATCAGTCAACAACATATATCATTGGATAGAGAGTCAATTCAAAAGTTCGCGGGAAGCACAGCCGTTGCTATCTAGTGAAGCTAGAGCAATACCTATGTCTGACTCAAGATTTGTGAAAGTCAGCGTGGTCATGTTGATTGTCGCATATTTTGCTGCTATTAAACTTGAGTCTTTTGAGCTGGTTCTTTCTTTGGTGGGTTCTACCGGAGGGGTTTTGATTTCGTTTGTGCTACCTGGATTTTATGGGTACAAACTAATTAACAATCCAGAAATGTTTGATGCCCTAGTGACACATTCTCCATTAGATAGTGATCACTGGGTGTTCCGAAATAAGGTTCTGCAAAAGCTCTCACTGAATCTAGTCATATGGGGAATTATAGTAATGCTCATTTGCCTATATTCAACTTTGTTTCAATAACATATACATTTATTAACTGTGCAACTAATCCGAATCATCACTTCTTACATCATCCGCACTATCTCCAGAAATGACTCTATATGCGACTTTGGCAATGAGGAACATCCAGAAGATTGTAATTACCTGTAATCCACCAAGTAATGTTAAAAATATATTGACCGTTGCTTTGCTGTAACAGATTTTATAGTCGCCTAGGGGCGCCAGTTCCTCGCAAGTTCCATGCATCTTGTAGGCATTCTTGTAAGCATGGTAAAACACATAATTGTATACAATGTGCCGCAATACAATCCAGCTGATCATGAACACAGCAAACATTGTGTCACAAAAAGTTTGGTAGCCGCAATATTTGAGAATTTTCGCAAATGAAAGGAAGACATCGACAATGTCCATCAGTAAAAAGATGACATGTCCAATCTTCGTGAAGTAGTAAGCGTAAGAGCCTATGCAAAGCAGTGATGTGATGACGTGGTGAGAAAACATTTGATAATGGTCTTTTCTTTTTTCCTCGATATGAAGAACAATCATTTGCTGGAACCAACATGCAGTTTGGATAAGATAGTAAGCTTTAAATGAGGCTGACATTTTGTCGTTCGGCCAGGTCTCATAAAATTTATCGCAGTTCAAGTAGTAATCTGAGTGGAGGTATAAATAAAATCCTAACGCCCAAGATAGGGAAAAGTAAATGATTGACCATCCCTGCTCTTTAAACCTCTGTATTGCTTTGAGTTTGTACATTTGGAAATACTGCGCAATAGGCTTCAATATGTACAACATGCAAAAGCCTCTGATCAGTACCAAATTTAGCACACTGAATATCACAAAATATGAATCATCAACACCCATATCATAGAAGTCACCATGTGGGTATCTATACTGTAAAGTGTAAAATTTTGAGAACCAAGGGTAATGATATGAAAGTCCAAAAATTGCAAGATCGACCAAGAGCGCCATTTGTATCTGTAACCTATCGGCGTTTTCTAGTTTTGCAAGACGCAATGCATCATCTTTCAGTTTGGCGGCTTGCAAAGCAGAGGCTTTGAAAGCTGCAGGAATCTCCAAGTCAGCTTTAAAGCTGTCTCGAGATTTCAAAGTGGATCGATCAGGACTGAAAACTGAGGAGGACGCACTCGGGATAGATTCCACAGTCATTTTAAAAGAGCGATACTATGCAGAAGCTCTCGTTGCAATTAATTCCTGTAGTTGACTTCTTTTGGGCGTCCAAGCAAGATAAAACAGGATGATAATTGTATCGCTTAATGCGTTGTTGATAATTCCACTTTTTTTCCGGCTTGTATTTTTTTTTTTTTACATAATCCGTGATGGTCTTATTATGAATCGTATTTCCAGCTTTCGGTAGACTTATCCGGCTTCAATATAAAGCACCCTTGGCTTCTGTATGTGATATACCGGAAAAATGAAACTTATCTGTTCATATTTAATAACATCTGGTGCAAGCCATTCTTGACATACATTTCGTCATAGGAGTTCCAGGCATCATACAGTGTGAGCAGCTCCTGTATCGTTTCTATCACCTCGTCTAAGTCAATATTGGAAGCTGCCAGGAAATTGACAAATGCTTCGATGCGCGGATTCTGAGTTGAGGAGATATTATTGACTGATTTGCGAACATCGGCACCAAGGACCAAAGTGAGATACAAAGTTCCTGTTGCTATTATATGTGGTGGAAAAAGCAAATGTAAATCAGTAATGTAACTGTCGTTCATAATTGACCAACAAGTTTGCAACTCTTCAGGAGAAACTTCCAAACGGGAGGACATGTCACCATCTTTTAGCACGTTGACCACTTCAAGGATAGAATTGTACGGATGATGAACCACCATGTAGCAGTTTAGTTCTTCTATAAGATAAAACTCAAATTCCGCAAGTTTAGTCAAATCATTTGGAATGAATTCAGGCCAACAATTTCGAGCTTCAGATAAGATCGTTCTAATATGTTGTGGACTTTCCTCCATCTTGCATGCTATGTATATACATGTCGTTACCAGAAGATAGATGTTGATTTCCCGAATAGAGACTCTCACAAAGAATCTCGTAAGATACACTTCAGCTGTGGAGATAATGATTTGACGTAAATTCAATTTCCTCCCAAGTTTGATAATTAGCTGATGTAGATATATCCTCATGTTTATGTCGTACTTCATGGCACACTCATTTCCGTAAAGTTGAATCTCCATTTTTGTGACCGATGACCTAGCGTCCCGCAGTTCCTGGCGTGAGAACTGCCACTTGTTACGCTGTGAAGACGTCCAGTAGTTCGCCGACATGTTAATTTACATTCGTAAGAAAATCCGGCTGTGCTATCTTGAAAATCAAATTAGCAATGTCACATTATGACAAGGTAGGTTGTTGCGGCAAGTTTGCATCTGGCTAGGCCGCTGTCTATAACTGATAGACGTTGCCCTAGACCATCATATTGACAAGAGACTAATGTGATCTGTTACATATTTAAGGTTTTATTGCTTAACAAGACCCAGAGGGTACAACCATCGAAATTTACAGATTCTGCTTTAAGAATTAAAAACCCCAAATATTTGTATATGATGATACAAATATATAGTAGCTTTTGTTTGATGACGGGGAAATATAGGTAAAATGAGAAGTTAGCATTCCTCATCAAGAGAACCGAACATATAATCATTACAGACAGTTTCAGTATAGTCCAACATCATTAAGTGTCAACCGCTTTAATTGCGGGTTTTTGCTACAGTAAAAAATATCACCTGGCCACCAAACGGCAGAGGTGAGTAAACTGAAAATTTTTTTTTTTTTTTTTTTTTTTTTCACGTCCATGGGGAAAGAATCATCTTTCGAGGCTTTCATACGGAGCGTCAGCTCATGATGCCTTGGGGAAAGTCTCCGGCAGTAGATTGCAGGCGGAAACGTCGATGGGTCACATAACTCATCAGCAGTGAGGAGTCAGGTCGCAGAAGTGGTTCTTACTTGTTTTGATTGGTTGACACCTTAGCCTCTTGCCATTGTTGGTGTTGACTGGTTGGAGCTTGTATTTATTGAGCTATAGATGTGTCTGACAATGCACTGCTCTATTCAAGAGCTTTTTTTAGCTCTTTGATTAGGAGGCTTCTCCTGATATTCTGCACTGGATACTCTTATCTAAACCATAGTTATGATGATTGTCAACATTGTTGTTGATAACCCAATGGAGCTCACTTTTTTCCATGGACGCCTTTATCTAGTTTGATCAGTCTTGGTAAATGCCAGGACGTGATTAGCATTGTCAAAGATGCCAAACTATAGCTATGATCAAAACACACAGAATTAGGAAATCCTATGTGTATTGATTTTCATGTTCCTCATGTGATGAGATTAGTTTTTTGAGTCAAGCTCCGAGTCTAAATGACGTGGACGAGAAAATGAACACCGTAAGGATTTCTGAGAGGAACTGTATAGGTAAATAGAGTACAACGCGTACTGAATTGAAAACAAAATAATATACATATAATAGATCGAAAGGAGATCTTTAGATGCTCCAGTGATCCGTAAGCGAGCTATCGTCAGGATCATGGCTCATCAGCTCAAGAGAATATAATAGTAGCACACCAAAAATGTTTATCCAGTTCCACACTTGCCACGAGTGGACGGAGTTTGTGACCTCAGGAACTTGAGCGCTGGAACCTCCAAACTGAAAATTGAGCCAGTTCCAAAAGTGATTGTGCGTGTCGAGCTCATCAATGTATTGGATCATGAGATTCGTGTAAACAGCAATGATGATACAAGGAGAGTAGAGGTAAATCAAGCGACTAGAAGTTGACTTGTTTCTAACCCTCGTTTCATGTCTGTTCGCTTTCACAGGAGTGGGTGAAGAAGGAGTCGAAAGAGGGGAACATTTTTGAACTGGTTGAAGGATCGGAATGATTTTGGTTGCGGCGAAAAACACACATATTCTGTATGCTAATTGAATAAGAATCGAAAAGGTGAGGTTGCTAATAGAGATCTTAAGAAAATCCCAAAGAGACTCAAATGACTTGGGGAAATTTTCCGTAACGAATTTAATCACGATATCCACAATAAATTCTTTCACTTTGACGTAAACCAACAGTAATTTATCTTTAGTGGTAGACTTGGCCAAGAACTCAAGATGCACGTAATCAAGAAGATCGCGTCCTGTCTTGAAGTTATTGAATGTTGTCTGGATCGAATTGAGAAACTCCTTATTCAATGAGTTGGCTTGGTAGTCCAATTTTTTGAACTCATTCATAATAAATTTGAGTAACATATTGAAATTCATTTCTGAAAGCTCCGGAAACAGCTCGTAGCAGCATTTCACAATATATGCCACCATAAGGGAGCACTCCAGAGGAGATGCTTTCCCAGAATAGATTCCAAAGACGGTGATCAGTATTGTACAAGTGAACGCAGATCCTAATAATGAAGCGGAAATAAGTCCAACTCTTTGCAAATCTATAGGAGACACATATATTTTCACAAAGAAGAACAGGCAGGAAGATAAAATACACGCACTTGTGATAAGGTTGACAATTGACCAGGTGTCGGACTTGTGCTTTATCAGATATTGTGACATTTGTCCGATAGCCTGTATTGAAAGCAGTGAGCAAAACCCTTCCAGGATAGTAAACAAAGGAGTAGAGTTCATAAGGAATAATTTCCAGGATTTTATGATGAAATTCCACCAAATCTTTTTCATCAGTGTACTTGCATTATACTCGTCAGAAGATGTGAAAACGGTTAAAAAAATGGATAGCAAGCTGGGAAGTAGAAAGTGTTGCGTGTAGTAAAGGAATGACGAAATAATGCGATGGTATTTGAGGACCCTTAAAGTAGCGAGACAGAAATAGATGAGCAAAATGGTGATGGAATAACTCAGGCCACAGTCTATTCCGCCTATCTCAAAACTCAAGGGGATGGTTAAAACGATATAGAACAGATATATCGACGCCAAAAATATTCGTATCAATTGCAAAATCGTGTCATATATGTTGATTCTCTTGTGGTCGTTGATCATTGAGGAATTAGTCCTGCTTCCGATGGGAGATTGTTTGGGTGAACTCATTTGGATATTTCGCGTCAAGCGCTTGAAAGGGCGATATATATACTATCACAGGTAGCTAGACACAGCACTTCAACGATGTTTGAATTAGAACAGCAGCTACGAACAGCGGAAACAATACCTTGATGAAATAATGATAAAGCGTTTTACACTATATCGTTTCAAAAATTTTTTATTTGCGAAATCCTAAAGGGTAAAAAAAAGTACATATCCTTGCAATCTTGTGTAATGCCATCTAATTTGGCAAGACCGGAGAAAAGACAGAGCCAAGAGTCCTCTGCTACGAACTTCACTAAAAAGAAGTTTAAAAGTGGAAGAAAGGAACTTCGAGAAGTTCACAAAGGGAGAAATAGTCAGATACAACTTAAAGAAAATCCGCGAGAAGTAGACCAAAAAGCTGAATCGGATGAGGAAGAAGTAGAAGAAGATGTTGCCACGGAAATACCAGAGATTGGGGCATATAGTGCTCTGGTCACCCTTCTCAAAAATGACCACCCAGAGATTGCGAAAAAGAAATCAAAAAGGAAAGTGGTAGCTAGAGAGAACAAGGCTGAGACCGAAGAGATCCCTATATACGAGGCGGAAGAAGAGGAAGAGGATAATGGGGAAGAAGAAAACGAAAAATTAGCGGACGATGACAAGGAACAGGATAATGAGGATGTACATAATCGATTTGATGCATTCAACAGACATTTTAATGATGAGGACAAGATAGAGAAGGAAATCGACGCTTATTTGAAAAGCCAGCCCAAGATCAAATTGTTCGAAAGACAACAGCTAGGAAAAGCTATTAAACTTGATTACAGATATATTGAGTCAGATGGAAGCGCTCCCAAAGACATTCGGAAAAAACTCAAGTACCATAATGTCAAGCAAAAACTTCAGAGCGAGTTTTTGAACAAAGAACCGACAGATTTGGAGACCGAACTCCTAGAATCATTGTTGAATTACCAGAATGTGAATTTTCAGCTATTAGGCATGCCAGAAAGTGTGAGCACCAAATATCAAGAATACTACTTACTCCATTGTTTGAACCATGTATATAAGACCAGAGATAGGGTTTTGAACAACAATGAGAAAAAAGCTCAGGTACAAAGAGAAATTGAAGAAGGAAAACTAAATCCTGCAGACGAACCCGAATTTAGGGATCAAGGATACACGCGTCCTAAAGTTTTGATCCTTCTTCCCACGCGAAACTTTGCGTGGGAGGTTGTGAACAAGTTAATTGAGCTTAGTTCTCCAGACACTGTGGAATATAAAACCAGGTTTAAAGAACAATACTATGACGCTTTTGATGTCAATGAGCTTAATCCAAAAAAGCCTGACGAGTTTAAGCAGTTTTTCAAAGGAAATTCCAATGATTTCTTTTGTCTGGGGATAAAGTTCACAAGGAAGACGCTTAAGCTGTTTTCTAAATTTGATCAGTCTGACATAATCGTTGCTTCTCCATTAGGGCTGAGAATGACATTGGAAAAGACCAAAAAACCGTTTTTGAGTTCCATAGAGATTACTGTGCTGGATAAAGCTGAAGGTCTGCTCATGCAGAACTGGGACCATGTGAACACAGTGATGTCTCAAAGTCTTAACTCTCCACCTAAGAATTTTGACGACCTGAAAATTGATTTCAGTCGTATCAGGATGTGGGCAATCAATGACCACTACAGGTATGTTGCACAGGTGATAGGCTTTACAAAGTATTCCTTCCCAGAGCTCAATAATGTTACGTTGAGTAATCCTAAAATATCAGCAAACCTGCTGGGGGGAACAGCGGTCTTCAAAACGATCTGTGGTGACAACGACTGTGTACTAGCCAACTTGAAATATCAGCTAACAAAATTGAGGATTATCAATAGCCAGACAAGGCTAAAACAGGTGTTTATGCGATTCGAAGCAGATTCACTATTAGATGAACCAGATAAAAGATTTGCGTTTTTCAAAAACGTGTTGCTTCCACAGATCCAGCACAAAGTATCATATGAAAACGGCACTTTGATATACTTTGCATCATACATTGACTACATTCGTGTGAAACACTACCTGGAAAAGGAAACAAGTGTTGCGTTTGTTGCCATAGACGAGTATTCGTCTCAATCTCTTTTGACAAGAAATCGTGCCCTATTCATGAAGGGTCAAAGCGATGCCAAAATAATGCTCTACACAGAGAGATTGCATTTCTACAAACGTTATGATATCAAAGGTGTGAATAATGTGGTGTTCTATGGTATTCCTACAGATCCAAGTTTCTACTCCGAGGTGCTGAAGTTCATCGTCGATAATAAAATACGCCTCGACATGGCCAGCAGCAAATCGGAATATTCTGGTGACGTACTGGACTTGAATCTCTGCATGGTCAGAGCTATGTTCAGCAAGTTGGATATGATGAAATTAGAGAGAATCGTTGGATCAAAGAACTCTCGGGTTCTTGCTCTGGGAGACAACGAAATGAACGAATTCCAATGATGCATATAGCTTTGGTCATAGTAACTGATTGAGGGCAATCACAATACAGCAAATCGAGATATATGGACTAAGCCTTTCTCCAACTCTAGCGCATTTCCAGAACACTCCCATCACGCCTGTTTTATTTTTGTCTAATATTGCTGGCCAAGAAGAATGTATGTATGTGGCAGTGCAAATCATTAAAAGAAGCACTTGCAAAAGAGATGTGAAATTGAATAAAGCGGACTGATTGTTAGGTTAAACGATAAGAAGTGTAATCGTAACTTACCATCGGTGTAATCACGTATTGAATAGAGAGAACGGTTTTTTGCTAAGGTACAAAAAAAACAACAGTACACCCGTGCACGAGTTCCAATGCGAAAACAAAATTAATAACTAGACTCACTATCAACATTCTTCCGAAGCCTGGTAGGATGGATCATAATAAGTATATATTGATCAGACTTCTTTTACCCCTTTGAAAACGCGCCAGCAAAGTTTCTGAACGATGGCCGAAGAAGCTGAGATTTTTGATTTTGAACAAGCGAATAAGGAAGAGATCCTTATTGATGAAAAAGCATTGAAGACACAGTCGCTGCCACCTATTTTTCTTGGACACCAACAACGTTCGGACAGTGCGGATGAAGAGGAGTATGATAAGTTTGTTCCAACAGATCCGGCTTTAATCGAGCAGTACAAGAACAAATTCCATAAAATTTCCTATACACCTCCGGAGAATTTCGCTTTGGTATGCGGATCAATATATCGCTCTTCGTTCCCGCGAATTGAGAACTTTGAATTCATGTTGAAATTGAAACTGAAATCTGTGTTATGTTTAATACCTGAAGAATACCCATCCGAGAATATGGAGTTTTTGAGAGAAAACGATATTCAGTTCTTTCAAGTCGGCCTCAGTGGAAATAAAGAACCGTTTGTTAAGATTAAACCCGACCAAGTGAACGAGGCATTAAAGATCATTGCTAACCCTAAGCATCATCCAATACTGGTGCATTGTAACAGGGGAAAACACAGAACAGGATGTATAGTAGGATGCATTCGAAAACTACAAAAATGGTCATTAAGCATGATTTTTGACGAGTATCGACGTTTTGCCTACCCAAAGGAGCGACCGTTAGATCAACAATTCATCGAGATGTTTGATGATTCGCATATACAACAATACGCACAAGACCGCAATTGGCTTCCTCTAGAATGGTGATTTTCTGCAACATTCACCTCAATAGAATCCAAAGAACCGACCACCATAGATTACACTATTAAGGCCAGCCCCTACCAGGAGAAATTTTGGGTACAGCTTCCAACTCCATATGGCACGACGAGAGTTGGCCAAACAGTAAAGAAAGCTCCAGGCACTAATCAAACCTGAGCCGTTGACCGGATCATTATCGTAGCACATAAATCCCCCAAGCCCAATGAAAGAACCGAATAACAATGTGTGAACGCCATTCGGATAAGGAGAAATAGGCTTGGATGGTTTCAATATTGCAGGCAGTAGACGAGAAGTTTGGGCTCGGGAAGCTGCTGCTAATTGGACTTCAATTGGTGGCTTGATGGCATTGGTGGCCAGCAATCCTGCAGTGAATGCCCAAGCTGGGACTGGTGAGTTGGAAAGCTCGTGGAATTGAGACTTGTTAAGAGACATTTTGATATTTCAAAAAATCCTAGACAGCAAAGATAGCAGAGCGAAAAATAAATGTCACTTCTGGGAGTCGCTATTACTTACGTAACCAAAAAATAAATCGATAGATTTCTAATATACAATGTACCCAGGTTTACGATCTCTCACCTCTCAATCTTCTAGCAAGTTGAATATCCTTCTTTTGGATGGTAACTCTCTTAGCGTGAATAGCACACAAGTTGGTGTCCTCAAAGAGGGAAACGAGGTAAGCCTCAACGGACTCCTGCAGAGCACCGATAGCAGAGGACTGGAATCTCAAGTCGGTCTTGAAGTCCTGTGCAATTTCTCTGACCAATCTTTGGAATGGCAATTTTCTGATAAGCAATTCAGTAGATTTTTGGAATCTTCTGATTTCTCTCAGGGCAACAGTACCTGGCTTATATCTGTGTGGCTTCTTGACACCACCAGTAGCTGGAGCGGACTTTCTGGCGGCCTTAGAAGCAAGCTGCTTTCTTGGGGCCTTTCCACCAGTAGATTTTCTTGCGGTTTGCTTGGTTCTAGCCATTTTAGAATAATATGTAGAATATCAAACCGGTTGGGTGAATACAGTGCCTTTATATAATAAGATTGACTGTTTACAAATAGTTTATGCAGTCGCGACTCTCATTCTTATTTTTACGCTGACTCATAGGTAAACGATAGTCCGACTCTGATAGTCAAAAAAAAGCTAGGACCAGGGTTTACTCAATAGTGATGCGTAAACTTTGTCACTGAACACGATTTTGTAAGCCGGCTGGAGCGCGTCAGGATAAACACAGGCGAATGTTATAAATACAGCTTGGGGTCCACATACAATCTGGATAATATATCACATAATAAATCAAAATGTCCGGTAGAGGAAAAGGAGGAAAAGGTCTAGGAAAGGGAGGTGCTAAGAGACACAGAAAGATCCTTAGAGATAACATCCAAGGTATCACTAAGCCAGCCATCAGAAGACTTGCCAGAAGAGGTGGTGTTAAGAGAATTTCTGCTCTGATCTACGAAGAGGTCAGAGCTGTCCTCAAATCCTTTTTGGAGAACGTTATCAGAGATGCTGTTACCTACACAGAGCACGCTAAGAGAAAGACCGTTACTTCCTTGGATGTTGTCTACGCTTTGAAGAGACAAGGAAGAACTTTGTATGGTTTCGGTGGTTAAAGTTGCTTTGTGGAGTTTCTTTACTTTTGTATTCTAGTGTCGGTAGCAATATATTGGTCAAATACCAACGACTTTAAAAGCGATAATTAATTCCGTGGCAAAATAAATACCATAACAGAACATGTAGTTGATAGTGTTATAAATATGCTAAAGCTTTATCTGGAGATGGTGTAATGAACTCTTATCAGCTGCTTTTGTGCTTCTGGTGCCTTTGCACATCGTTGTTTGGTTACCCGGTGAGGCAGAATGTGACACTCACCCAGTCATTCTATCCCATGGAGCTTTTCGTAAGGACAAGTAATTCAACAATATCAAATCTCCATCTCAACGCAATCAATGAAGGAAGTGGCATTGACTACATTTTCCTGGTGGATACTGACCTTTCAAATATACGGTTAATATACAATACGGCCACTAGAAAAGCAGAGTCGCTGGCTACCAAGAGGCAGCTGATGCTTCTGGACAAATTTGTGGCACTGTCCCAGGGTGTTTCACTCACTAACTGGGATTTGTCAGAGATAGTTAGACTTCCTGACACTACCAAGGGCATCACTTATATCCAAGGTCGACTTGTTCCGAACAAGTATGCAGATGGCAACTTCTATGCTTGTTCATACGCAAACGACCCTAACGGATATTCCGAGATTCTCCCCGAGCTAATCTATTACTCCGGTACCCCAGAAGACAATTGCGTGAAAGTCTACGTCTACGCAAACTTGATTGAAAAAGGCAAATAAATACGTAAGTTAAGCACTAAATATTCAATCTATGCTTCCAGAAGCGAACCGAGCCTTTTTGCAACAGCCTCAATGAATTCCTCGGTCGTCACATAGGAGGAGCGCTCGGTTTCTCCTCTAGCAAGAGCGAGGTCTTTGGTCATTATGCCGTCCTTCACTGTATCAATGGTGGCTTTTTCTAGAGTTTTGCCAAATTTAACAACGTCAGGAGTATCGTCTAACTCTCCCCTTTTGATAAGACCTCTACTCCAAGCAAATATGGAAGCAATTGAGTTCGTGGACGTCTCCTTGCCTTGTTGATGCTGCCTGTAATGTCTGGTAACCGTTCCATGGGCTGCCTCTGCCTCAAAAGACTTCCCATCTGCCGAAATAAGAACCGATGTCATTAAACCCAAGGAGCCAAATCCTTGTGCCACAACGTCTGATTGAACGTCACCATCGTAGTTCTTCATGGCAATGATGAAACCTCCCTTGGATTTCACCATCTGGGCCACCATATCATCAATTAGGCGGTGCTCATACCAAATTCCCAGCTTCTCAAACTTATCCTTGTACCGTGACTCGTAAATATTTTGGAAAGTATCTTTGAACAAGCCGTCGTACTGCTTCAAAATAGTGTTTTTTGTCGACATGTATAGCGGCAGCTTACGGTCAAGTGCCAGTTCAAAAGAGCTAACAGCAAAACCTTTGATAGACTCCTCAGTGTTGTACATTGATAAGGCACATCCTTTGCCATCAAAGTTATAAACAGGGATTTCTATGTTTTTGCTACCATCTTTGGGAACAAAAACTATCTTGAGCTCTCCTCCGCAATCTGGAGTCACAATATTTTCACACCTGTACTGATCTCCAAAAGCGTGTCTCCCAATGATGATTGGCTTCTCCCAATGCTGAATGATTCTAGGAATATTGTCGATAATGATAGGTTCACGGAAAACCGTACCACCTAAAACGTTTCTAATGGTACCGTTTGGAGACAACCACATCTTTTTAAGACCAAATTCTTTAACACGGGCCTCATCAGGAGTGATAGTAGCACACTTGACTGCAACTCCATACTTCTGGGTGGCCAGTGCAGAGTCAATTGTAACTTTATCAGAAGTTTGATCTCTGTGCTCAATGCCAAGGTCATAGTATTTGAGATCGATGTCCAAGAACGGAAGAATCAACTGGTCCTTGATTAACTTCCATATTATTCTTGTCATCTCATCTCCGTCCATTTCTACAACTGGTGTCTTAACTTTGATTTTCGCCATTTTGCTCTTGCTTGTTCCTGAAATCTAAATTGTACCTCTATTTATAATCCGCCGAGTTTATGCGGAATTGGATGCGTTAACCTCTGCTCCATCTCGGAGTCGAGTTTTCAGGCCAATCATATTGCATTTCAGTGTAATTTATGTACCCCATAAATAATTTCTCCCCAGATTACAATCCTTTTCTCCGGGGTAAAATTCGTTTCCCCAACCATTACTACATATATTATTTATACTCGATAATTTGTATAATCTAGAAATACATTATTCTGAAAAATCAAGTATCTAATTTTCCCCAAGTAGTCGCTCATCGATATTGAAATGCTCTTCCTTTTGAGGGGGATTACCATAGTACTGTGCTGTCGGGTATTGGTATGAAGCTTGCGTCTGCGATCCCTGCTGTTGAGTAGGGTAGTGTTGCACCGATGATGAAGCTTGCTGGGCGCCATAGTGTTGAGGATACGATGGGTAGTGTTGTGGCTGGTCTTTCAAAGCTTGAACTGCAGCAACGGCTGCTGCTGCCTGTTGCTCCACTTCCTTTTTGTTTTCTGCATCAATAGTTGGATATCCCTGGGGCCATCCAAGGCTCTCATGAGACTGCCCACTGTGGCCATGAGCTTGCAAAATAGGTGCTTGGGATTGGTGGAATTGTTGTTCGACCGCCAGATCTTCGTCGGCCACCTTGCGGCTTTTGATTTCCGAGTTCGTGGGCACCATTCCCTTCTTTTTCAGTATTCTGATCTCATTGTAGATGTCTTCCCTCTTGATGACAATGTCACTGAAAATAGCAGTGAGCTTTTGATGTATCACGGAAGGCTTGTCACCCGTTGAGTACAGTTCCTTAATGGTAGAGTTGACTCTGTTGGAGCGCTTTCTCAGCATAGGAAAATCTTCTAGAGGGTTCAGCTTTGCATGGTTGTGCTTATTCTCTGTAATTTTCAAAGTCCAATAGTTCTTCTTCTTGGAGAAGTTAGCCACCATAGCGAAAGGACATCTGATCTTCTTGGTTCCAATTTTCTTGGACTCGTATTGAGACTGCAAGTCGTTGCTCTCATTGAACCGCTGGCCAGCTTGATTTTTCTTACTCCTCTTTTCTCTGTAAGATCCCCCTAGCTCGCATGTGAAGTATATAGCCTTATTATTAGAGTGCGCGATAGCGATACCAAATTCGTTCTTTTTACCAAACTCCTTCACAAACTCTTTCAACACGTTCACATTATCAAACACCTGCTCCTCCATCATGGGCGTCACAAGATAATCACTTGGATCACTGCCATCCGAGACATTCACCGATGTATTCATATGGCGATTGGAAACTTGTTGGTAGTCACCTGAGTGAGATATCTGTTGACCAGTCACCTGAGGAATGTGATACGATTGACTTTGAGTAACTTGCGGAGGAGGTGGAAGATGAAATTGTTGAGACTGAGACTGCTGATTTTGCTGGTAGTCAAATTGGGGTTGCCCGTGGGACTGGGTGAAGTACTGCTGAGCATGCTGTTGGTGTTGAGCGACAGCAGCTTGGGCTGCCTGAGCCACCATAGTTTCATTCACTATTCTTTGGGTCTCAGCATCAGATTCCTGTTTCAAAGTAATCTTTCGAGATTGAGGTCCTTGCTGTGCCTGGGGATAATTGGGAATATGAAGACTAGAGAGATCTGCGTTGTACTTAGGGATGAGTGAGGAGTCGGCTTGCTGGGATACAAACTGAGAGTTTGTTAATTGGTTCAGATCATGAGTCTGACTCATCAATTCTTCATCGATAAGCGAACTATCAACTTTTTGTCTTTTGTTTCTGTTAGACATACCGAAGGTCGTGCTTGGTCGTGTTTTTAAATCTAAAGGAAGTGTTCAAGTACAAAAAAACAGTGTAAACAATTTGATATTGAAAGCAAAATGGGAGAACCGTTTGGCTAACAGACCAATTGGATTGCGTGATAGAGGATGACCCATAAACAGATATGGCAGTGCTTTTTTTTTTTTTAAGCACCGGTTTTGGTGAGAACAATAAAATCTTGGCTGGTGCAGAGATGCATCTAGATAGATAATCATCTTCATTTAATCCCTCTTTTGCCATTGACATGACCATCGCACATCAAACCGGACCATGATTGCTGAGATTTACGAAAACTACATCAAGACAAATTCAGGACTGTGTTTTATCCTGCTGGGAAATCTTTTCAACTCTTTTATGGTTTTCTTCTGCAAGCTATTATTGCTAGATGAGAACTTTAACCCCCCGATCCATCCATTACATATCCTAGCGATTCGGATGTTCATCACATACATATGTTGCGCATATTTTCTATGGAAAGACCCAAATTTTCCATTCGGTCCTAAAGGCTACCGGATCTACATGATCTTGCGAGGTCTTGGCGGATTTGTTGGGGTAGCCGGTCAATACTTTGCGCTAATGTATTTATCAGTTTCTGATACGGTGGTGATGAGCTTTTTGGCACCTACAGTGACATCGTGGATGGCATATGTCTTTCTGGGCGAGTCGTATACTCGGCTGGAAGCAATATGTGGGGCAACTGCTTTCTTGGGAGTCGTTTTAGTTGCTCGGCCCTCCTTCATATTTCACGGGTATGAAACTAAATCCGGTGAAGATGCTCCTGACGGTACTCCAGTAATTGAATCAAGTTCTGCCACTTTGAGACTCATCGGAACATGTGCAATTCTTTTGTCTTGTTTCGGAACAGGCGTGTCGATGTGCTCTATGCGGAAAATCGGATTCCATGCCCACCCTCTTCTTACAGTCTCCATTTTCGCTCTTATAACCTTCATTTTATCATCTGCTGGAGTAATAATTTTTCAGCTACCATTGCAGATTCCTCATACCCTGAAACAATGGCTCCTTCTTTCAACAGTTGGCATAGCAGGCTTTGTTATGCAGTATCTTTCGACGATGGGTATGCAGCGTGAGAAAGCCGCTAGAGCTATGTCTATGTCATATACGCAGTTGCTTTATACAACTGTTCTAGAGTACGTTCTCTTTAATCATCTTCCCAGTCCGCTGACTATTCTCGGATCATCAATCATCATTGGATCAGTGATGATCATCATCCTATATAAGCCAGAGGAGGATGAGGACGAAAACCTTGACACCGAGTTATCATTATACGAAGACACAAATTCGATGAACTCCTCCGACTCCGATAAATAAGCTGAAGTAAGCAGAAAATTAGTTTATGGAATCAATTCATATAATTCGAATGCCGTATTTATGAAGGAATCAAATACATTCGAACGGATTCGCCATGTTCTGCAAAGATACAGGGCGGAGCAAGTACCTCAGCTGGCGCTTTCAGGTTCATACTCGCGGCAATCGGCCGACTACTCGCGGTCTTTACTCTGGAAAATTGTAGCATTCCAAATAACAGGACATCTGGAAGATCTTAATCTGAGAATGCTTAGAGAGTGCAGAAAAGATTATGAAATATTGAGAAGCGAGTTCATGGTGCCATGGAATGAGCTTGCAAAAGATCATGAGTTCTACTGCGACTTGCATGTGGAATCTGATCTGAGCGAAAGCTTTGGGAAGAAATTGAAAGTGTCTAGAATGCGGATTGAACATCATCCACTGAGTACCCCCAAGACCACCAAAATGACTGACATTCAAACTTTAGAAAGCTTGATTGCAGATGTTGATCGACTGTTTCCTCAAATTCCTGAATATTTCATTGACAATAAGGAAAACAGGCGGCAGCTGATTGAGGTATTGTACATTTGGTGGAAGCTCAATGGCAGCCAGTATTCTCAAGGACTACATGAGATAGCCGGAGTGATATTTGTTGCGCTTAAAACGGAATCCATTTCCAAGGCAAATTTTCAGAATCCAGACCGGGGAAGCACACTTGTCGTGGAGCTGATGGATGCGACGTATTTACGTCATGATGTTTTCAGCATGTTTCAGAAAATGACAGAATCATTGGTTGACCTTTATTACGACGAAACCTCTCTTCTCCAAGAAAGCATCAAGTTTGATCTTAAGCTACGGCTTGTGGACAAGTACCAATATCACCTTTTGAAGAATAAGCTACACATAGATTCGTCAATCTGGCTTATTCGGTATTTCAGGCTGCTGCTAATCCGTGAGATAGGACTTGAATATTCATTCGACCTCTGGGATAAACTTGTTGCCTTTTCATATACTCAGCATCCGGATAAATTAGACCTGAGCCTGCTTTTGCCTTATATTATCATCCTGCTCCTTTCTCTCATCAAACCACACTTGATTATTTCGGATTATGGTGAGGCCCTCTACTTATTACTTCATTATCCCATAGAGGACAGACATAAAAGCCAATTACCATCATCGGCAATTCTTGTTAATGAAGACGCAGGCTCTCCTACCGAAGAGTCGACATTCACATATATTCAGGAAAATCATCAATCAAAGAACTCAGGGTCATTTGATTTTGTAAGCACAAACAATAATGAACAGGAACTATTGCAGCTCGATATTCTACAAATCACAAAAGATGCGATCACTTTATACCACATGTCTGACCAAGAATTGTGTGTTATTGGAGCTCAAATAATAGAGTCGTATTCGGGGTTATCGAATGAGGAGAACAAAGAAGGTGTGTTGTCTGCGAATCCAATCAGGAAACAATCATCTCCACTAGGAGATATGCTCAGAAGATCAGCTTCGTGGACAAAAAAAACAAGTTCTTCTGGCAAGAACAAAAGCACTTCGCATTGCAATCAAAGGAAGGATTTTGATCGCACAAGGCTGGAACTAAGATTACGAAACAAGGTGTCACAAGCATGCAAAAAGTAGGACAAGAAACTTTATGATATTTGGAAATTGAGCACTATAACGTAGAACGCGTAAGGGATTCCACTTGTTCTTTCAAAAGTTTTTCGTTCTTTTCAATCCAGTTGAGACTCTCTAAGTGGTTGTTCAGTAATTTGAGAATGTCTTCCAGCGAGGACTCCTCTTCAAGGCTTTTGGAGCTTGAGGAGAGTAGAGATCGGTTAAATGAATCGCTCACCTCATTTACTTCGGAAATCAAGGAAGAAAAGTTCGTTTCCAAGGAATCAAGCTTGTTTTCAAGACTTTCTGCAAGTCTGTAGGAATTCTCTCGAATTTGATCGTTCGTCAACACCCTTTCATTTCCATTGCCCGTACTCACCTGCTGCACCGATGCAAGAAGCGACTCAGACTGCTTTTCATACCCATCTAGTAACTTGTCAAGTTCCTCCTGTTGCTTTTCAATGTAAGAGAGTGTTTGATCGATTTTGGACTGTTTTTGGTCGCATGACAAAGAGTCTGCATATAATTTCGAGATTTTTTCTGACGAAGAGACAAGTATCTGGTCCCAGTTATTAATTTTGTCACTGTAATTTTCAAATATCTTAGCGGAAGAGGACAGTTGATTTGTCCACTTGGTTATGAGATCCTCTAATGTCTTATTCTTAATTGATATTGGCTGTGGCTTGATGTCCTCGAGTTTAATTTGAGCTTTCTCGCGACCAGAGCCAAATGAAACATTCTTATCCTCTTTCTTTTCGTCATGATTTGATGTTTCCTTCTTATCAGAACCTTCTGAAGGGTTTAGACTCAAACCACTGGCTGCAGGCTTTCCATCAGTTTTAAAAGCACCGAAAGAAAAGGATGGAGCAGAAGAGGCACCGCTTGTTTTAGTTTCACCCTGAGCCCCCGAATTAGATCCCGAGCTTTTAGTGTCCTCTTTGGTGGTAAATGCGCTGCTTGAAGTGCCTTTTTCATTGGTGGCTGTCTTATCACCTCCAAAAGACAAAGCTGGCGAAGACTTTGCATTTTCAGATTTCTTGTCTCCAAATGCGAACGAAACTGGCTTTTCACCTTCAGATTTGTTTCCACCAAAAGAGAATCCAGAGCTGGGTTTCTGCTGATCAGTCTTTTGTGTTCCAAAAGAAAAGCCCGTCGTAGACTTCGCTTCTTGTGCTTTTGTTTCACCAAAGGAAAAGGAAGGCTTCACATCTTCTGGCTTCTTCTCACCAAAAGTAAAGCTTGGTGCAGAGCCTGGCGCCGCAGGCTCTGCTTTTTTTTCAGTTGTGGAACCAAACGAAAATGAGGGCTTATCCGATTGACCTCCAAAGCTGAATGATGGCTTCTCATTCGGTTTATCATTGGCCGAAGACAAGCTCGCTCCACCGAAAGAAGGTTTGGAGTTACCAGCATTGGAAGCCCCCGAACCAAACAATGATTTGGATTCTGCTGGCTTTGCAGTCGAAGTAGCCCCAAAATTGAAGGCATTTCCTGATTGCTGCGTGGCCTGATTACTAGATGCGTTTGTATCCTGGGACTGGGAATTAGTAAAAGAAAACCCGGTAGTTGGTTTAGCGTCAGACTTCTGAGCGTCTCCGAAACTGAAAGTTGTCGGTTTCTGGTCTGTCTTCTGTCCACCAAACAAGGAATTCGTATTAGAGGCACCGGTTGCGCCAAACGAGAATGCAGGCTTATTTTCGGTTTTCGATGAAGTGGATATTGTGCCAAACAATGATGTCTGAGGCTGAGTCTGTGATTGAGCTTGGGTCGATGACGAGTTGGATCCAAACAGAGGAGCCTTTTTATCTGTACCCGCATTAAAAGTCACTGGTAAACTTGGCTTACTGTTATCAGAGGAAAATGAAAATGCAGGTTTGCTTGCATTGGTACTGTTTGAGGATGCACCGTCACCCTTGCCGAAGCTGAATGTACTTTGGCCGGTGTTTTGATTTTGGTTATTGTTTGTTCCAAAGCTGAAACCTTGTCCGGCTTGACTATTTTGGCCAGTATTTCCTGAAAAATTAAACATTGGCTCTAGTATAGTAATTGCGTGCGCGTGAAAGTATTCGTTACGCTGAAAGAGCACAGCAGTTATATTCTGGACAGGCTAATAAACAGTTTGAAATAGTGTTTTGCACTTTTTTTTTTTAGGATTAGACTGTGCAAGGATGGGCTGAGAGGACTTTGTTGAGGGCTATACAAGTGCGACAAAAGGCTCCCTTCTCCCGATGTGATGGCTACTGAATTATGTAGTCAAGACAGAGACCGATAAAGCAGATAGCAGACTTCCAGCAGATCCTCGTCTGTTCTAACGGTAGCCTTTTGTTCATACGTATCTCATTTAAGAACTATGGCTCAGATACCCTTACATGTAAGTGCCTCTAGCCTGAATATACTAGACATCTGTCGGTTGCCAGCTAGTACTTTTTCATGGTCACCACATTCTACCACTGTGGTGTGCAGTTCATCCTTTAACCCTGCCACCACAATTCCCCGAAAAACTGGGAAAACAGATTTTCGGAATAGTAAGTTCCTATGCAGTGACGTGACTTAGAATATATATAAAGGAACAACATTTCTTCATTTATTTTCAGTTATCAGTCAAAATGCCAAAACTTATCCTTGTTAGACACGGTCAATCCGAATGGAACGAAAAGAATCTTTTTACCGGTTGGGTGGATGTGAGACTTTCTTCAGTCGGCGAGAAGGAGGCTGCCAGAGCCGGTGAATTGCTCAAAGAGTCTGGCCTTAAGCCGGATATCCTTTTCACCTCGAAATTGACTAGGGCTATTCAAACCGCTAATATTGCACTGGATAAGGCAGATAGACTTTTCATCCCAGTTGTCAGATCGTGGAGATTGAACGAGAGACATTACGGTGCTTTGCAAGGTAAAGACAAGGCAGCAACTCTTGCACAGTACGGCGCAGAGCAATTCCAAACATGGAGAAGATCATACGATGTTCCGCCTCCACCAATTGAAGATTCCTCTGAATATTCTCAATTTGGGGACGAGAGATATAAAGACATCGATCCCAACGTTTTGCCTAAAACAGAGTCTTTAGCACTTGTGATTGATAGACTGCTTCCATACTGGCAGGATACTATTGCCAAGGAGCTTTTGGAAGGAAAGACTGTCATGATTGCAGCCCACGGAAACTCACTGAGAGCTTTGGTTAAACACCTAGACAACATTTCAGACAAGGACATTGCTGGATTGAACATTCCAACCGGTATTCCTCTCGTCTATGAGTTGGACGAGAACTTGAAGCCAACTAAGCCATCTTACTATCTGGACCCTGAAGCAGCTGCTGCTGGTGCAGCTGCCGTTGCTGCACAGGGACAAAAGAAATAGTTGTATAGCTCCTTGATTTATGGCTAAAAAAACCTAGACACCTATATATTATTTTTTCGAATGTGGGGAAAGGTAGGATCATTTTAACTTTTTGATGCATACACATAGAACTCATCAATTGGTCCGGAGATGTCTTCACAACCGACCGAAGTGGATCTTACCCGGTGAAGATGGCTCCAAAAAGGTTCGCTGGGCTGACAGCGTCTTTGGCAACTATGTACGACGCATTGTCGAGCCAACGTTGAAAAGCATAGAAATGTACCTCTCCGATCCGGGAGGAGAAACGGATCAAAACGCAAAACACAGAAGTCATAGGAATGAATATGAGTATCTGAATCTTCATAATGCAACAGACATCAAGATATTGAATTCTACACCGTTTTCGAATCGCATCTACAATGCGGCTTGGAAACGAACCAAGGAACGATTGAGACCTCATCACACCACTCTTCTAAGTTTATATCTTGTCAATGGGACCATTGATCAACTTCCTACAATAATAGAGTTCTTGGTGAGGACGAGGTGGTTTGTAAATGCTTCTACTCTGCTGAACGGCGCTGATATGAATTTCAAGGACTTTTTGAGCTATACTAACTCTCTTTTGGAGCAGCAATTCAATTCAGACTGGTCAAGGAAAGAATTTCTTCGGCATCTTCTGCGAGAAGTAGCTAATCCACGAACACTTTTTCAATTAGACAGGAAAGATTTACTGGCAGATCTGGAGCTTGCGAACCAGCTGGAGGAGACATACTTGGAAACGGACTACTCTTTTGAAGTATTGCAACTCCATTTGGAGCAAATCAGTGACCACAATAGTAGTGATATTATTGAAAGTACCAAGCTGAAGCTCCTGATTAATAACATTCAACAAAACATGCATGATCCCAAACTACAGGTCAAAGAGTTCTTTCGTGTGGCAGATACTTTCAAGCATCTTTTTGCAAAAGCCCCCGACACTGTTGGCTTTTTTATTCTGGCATGCATACCGCATATGGAGAAGGATGCGAAGACTCAGTACTTTTCGAGCGCCTTTTTTAAGTCTTTCTTGATGCTGCATATTACAGTAAACGACGTGAGAATCATTTTAGATAAGCTGATATTGAACGAAAAACAACTAGAGAAGCTTTGGGAGTTTTGCAAATCACCGGACATGTGGCTTCTGGGGCAGTTCTTTCAACATAAACATTACAGTAAACAGATGACGCCGGAGTGTTTTTCCCGGTTGCCCCCATCTATGCAGAAAACAGTTTTGATCGAACTCTATTCAAGGGGAGCGGGAAATCCTAAGGAAGTGGGTAGAGTTCTTGCTCTTGTAAAATGCATGTCTAACAGTTATCATGCTCAAACTGCCCTCCATACTGTGATTGAATCAGAGACTCAAAAGTATGTCACCTCGATAGATGATTGGCTGCGATTACTGCAAATGCTCTTTGAGCTCGAAGACAAATTGCCCACAAGCGTAATCAAAGATATGGCCAGATTTGGCGCTACATTGACCATACTTCCATCCCATAGTTCTCAGCTTAGGCAGCTTGCTTCATTACTTGAGCATCGCGACAGCTCATATTGTCTTCCATTAATGCCTTTAGTTTTGCGTTGGTTTAGAACACTACATGTAAAAGATCCAGATAAAGAAAGGAAGGCAATGGTTGGGGACCTATTTGCCAAGTCATTGCACTCAATTAAAGACCTCTCAAAGACCGATAATGTTGACCTCTACGTATTCGGTTCGAAAGTTCCAAAAGTTGTGCTATCTAATATTCAGCAATTGAACCTCATAGCCAGACAACTATGGAAACTAGACAACGATAGCATTTCTTACTTTATCGGCAAATACGTTGATAGCTTGTTCACAAGAGAGAGCTACGCTCACCACAAAGTTCACGAGAAGATTCAAACGGCAAGTTTTATAATTGACATGCTGTTTCGCTTGGTATTGAACAAGGGCCGGAGGAATTGGAAGTCGTTTGTGGAGATTAATTCTATTCTGGACAATTATACGATCCGGAAAACACAGTATTTTCATGGTAGAGATATCAAGACGCGGCAAAGTTTGATCAAAGTTATTGACTCCACAGTTAGTGGGCTGGCAGATAAACTGCTAACAGGCCACGTTCCACGCTATAGAGGCATTCAAAATGACCAAGAAGAAATTGGATTGGAAAAGCTGAGACTTGTGTGCTCGAAATTAGAGGACGAGGGTTATATCACAAAATGTTCTGATCCTGTGAAAATCAGAAGCATGGTGTCGCGCGAGGACGCGTTGGAACGGGTTAGGCTACAAGCTACCGTGCGGACCAAAATGTGGATGGTACATAACCTAGTCTCAGCCAATCCACATCTAGTTGACAAAGTGCTTGAAAAATATTACATGGACTACGATACAGATATACCGCCTGCACTGATTCATCAAATGATGATCTGCATCATGGAGTCAAAGTTCAGCTTCTCAGAGAAGCTTCAAGTTTACAGGTATCTCGACAAACTGGCTTTACTGTTGAGTCATCGTTCAGCTTATTATGTCAAATACCGGCGACAGAAAAGGGCAACAGAAGTGTTGATTGATAAAATCATCAGCGAGTCATGGAAAGAGGGCTATAATCATAAACTGCTTATCAGTATTCTCAAGAAAAAACAGTATCTGAAATTGGAGGACCAATCACATAGGTGGTCCGCTATGCTGGAAAACATGAAATCTAATAAAGACGGATTCTGGAAAGAAAAACACAGATAAAATAATATAGAAACATTGAATTAGATTCTCCAGTAGTCATTCATTCATCATCCCTATTCGCTGTTACCCTTTTTTTTATTGGTGCTTACATAAACACGAGATTTCCGTCTGGCGTGGTTTTGAAAACTTTTTATTATGTAGAAATTTTTGTCCAATTATCAAAGTGTTAATTTCAACTGTTGGTTTAGCAGCGGAAATATTTTAGAAAATCCATAGAATACAAAATACAATGATTTCGAACGTTATCAAAGGTGCATTGAGACAGAACAGCAGACTGGTCAACAGAAATGTGAGTCTCGTCTCGAAAGTCAGACCAATGAGACCAGCCCAATTTACGAGCATCAGAAAGTATTCTTCTGACCACCACGAAGAAACCTTTGAGGAGTTCTCCATCAGATACGAGAAGGAGTTCGATGAAGCTTACGACCTGTTTGAAGTTCAAAGAGTCTTGAACAATTGTTTCTCCTATGACCTGGTGCCATCTCCATCCGTCATCGAAAAAGCTTTGAGAGCCTGCAGAAGAGTCAATGACTACGCTACTGCCGTTAGAGTTTTCGAGGGCCTGAAACACAAAGTTGAAAACAAAGAACAATATCAGGCCTACCTCGATGAGCTCAAGGATGTCAGAGAAGAGCTAGGCATTGATTTGAAGGAGGAATTATTCAGCGCAAACTAGATCCTGCCATTGCCAGTTACGCGAGAGGAAAAATCCTAGAAAACACACGAAGCAGATGAAGTCTACAATATCTATCTAATATACTGAGTACAATTCTTGGGAATCTGTAAGAAATTGGATGCTAGTTATTAGAGGGTCTTTTGTATACTTCTCTTTATATATAAGACTGAAGCATCGAAAAGCCAATGGAACATACCTGTCAGATAGATGAAGGAAGACCGTAGTTTGATGTATTGTGGTCTAGAATCCTAACCGGCCAATCAAATCAGTTCATTTTTACTTTGGCACACCTTGAACCAGGACGGTGTCTGGGTGGACTAGACCTGATCAACGGCTGTGAAATTAAGAATTTACCTATACACGAATACGGCAATAAATAAACAAATTCTCAGTAATGTGTAGATATTGTTTTTATCACTCGCAATAAATCAATAACATTTACCAGATCCAATCTGTCTATCGCTTATTTTTATGGCTGACAATGGCTTGCTAGTTGACGGTCTGGTATGGTTACCAGACCCGCACCAGACATTTGTGAAAGGACGTATCATCGAGACTATAAATGACGGAAAACAGGTCAAAGTGAGACCTGAAAACTCACAGGAAAACACCCTCATCTTGGATGTCGACAAGCTTGAGCGCTGCAATCCTCCGCAGTTTGACAAGTGTGAGGACATGGCTTCAATGACGTATCTCAGTGAGCCTTCAGTTGTGAACAACCTTATGTTACGCTACAAAGAAGACTTTATCTACACCTGTTCCGGTTTGTTTCTGGTTGCGGTCAATCCTTACAAGGAGCTCAATATCTACAATAAAAGTTTTGTTAATATGTACAAGGATTCCAAGTTGGACAAAAATGGCTCATCCGAGAAAGACCAGAAACTGACCAGTTGCAAACCACATATTTTTGCTATCAGTGAAGAGGCCTTCCAAAACTTGATCACAGACGGCAAGGATCAGAGCATTTTGGTCACCGGAGAATCGGGAGCCGGAAAGACAGAGACAACAAAGAAAGTGATTCAGTACTTGCTTTCTGTTGTTTCCACTGACAGCAATAGCTCTACAGCCTCCAGTTTTGAAAGCCAAATTCTGGAAGCGAACCCGATACTTGAAAGCTTCGGTAATGCTCAGACGGTGAAAAATCTCAACTCATCGAGATTTGGTAAGTTTATCAAGATCCATATTCAACATTCTACAAGGCGATTGGTCGGTGCGCATATTGACTGGTATCTGCTTGAAAAATCACGGGTTGTTCTTCAAGACAAGATAGAGAGAAACTATCACGTATTTTATCAATTTCTCAAAGGTGCACCTGAGAGCGAACTCAAAAAGCTAAAACTAACTCGTTCATTTCAGCAGTATGGCTACCTCAAAAATACCAATCATGGTGTCGCTGGGATAAATGACAAAGAGGACTACTCAAAACTTCAGAAAGCTTTGGAAGTGATGAAATTCAGCAAGGAAGAAAAGGGCCACATCTTCAAAATCATTGCCACCATTTTGCATCTAGGAAACCTTACATTCAAGAACCGGGGTAAAGATGACCGTCAGGCTCATTTCAGCGATGATGCTCCCCTGACCACAGTTTCTGAGCTCCTAGGGGTGTCAGAAAATGAGCTTAGAACCGCTTTGTTAACATCCAAAGTTAAAGCTGGAAGAGAATTCGTGACCCAGCAACGTACGGCTTCTCAAGCTAAATTTACCATTGATGCACTTTCAAAGTCATTATACGAACGTTTGTTCCGCTTTTTGGTGGATAAGATCAACGACAATTTTAATCGTAACTCTTCGCTATCAATGGAAGCACAAAGATTTGTGGGAATCCTCGATATTGCAGGGTTTGAGATCTTTGAAAGAAACTCTTTTGAGCAACTATGCATCAACTATACCAATGAGAAGCTACAACAGTTCTTCAACCATCATATGTTTGTCTTGGAGCAAAGCGAATATCTTCGGGAAGGTATCAGCTGGAACTATGTTGACTTTGGTCAGGAGCTCAAGCCCACAATAGAGCTGATTGAAGGGTCTTCCTCCAATAAGATTGGAATATTCTCGCTCTTGAATGAGGAGTGTGTTGTTCCTAAGGGGTCAGATACCTCTTTCCTTGAAAAACTGCACCGAGAACTAGATTCGAAAACGAACCAAAAGAATTCTAGGTACAGGCCAAGCAAACTTGGAGACGCATTTTTTGTTCAGCACTATGCTGGCACAGTTGAGTATTTTGTGGATGGTTGGCTCGACAAGAACAAAGACCCACTTAGTTACACTTTGGTTGAAATTCTGTCAGGATCCAAAGATAAGTTCGTGAAAGCCTTGTTTGATTCCTCTACTGAAACCAACCTCGCAATCTCTCCGGTCAAAGGAGCTCAAAGAAGAGGCGACAGATTCAGAACTGTCGCCCAAAGGCATAAAGAACAACTCAACGACTTGATGAAGCAACTGTCTGCCACTCATCCTCACTTTGTGAGATGTATTTTGCCCAACACAAACAAAATGCCAGGTCAGTTTGATAAGAAGCTTGTTCTCGAGCAACTTAGATGTAATGGTGTTTTGGAAGGCATTCGTATAGCCAGATCTGGATATCCTAACAGGATCGAATTTGACCAATTTGCTGAGACTTATTGGCTTTTGGCCAAAAATACAACGTCTTCTAAGAGCTTGAGAAGAAGGAGCAAAGACATCTGTGAAATTATTCTCAAAGACTTGCATCTGGACCCTGAAGTTTACAAGATTGGTACAACTAAGTTGTTTTTCCGTAATGGAGTTCTCGCGAAGCTGGAGAAAGAAAAGACAAGAAGATTATCAGCAATGATTTCTGAGTTTAATGCCGTTGCTCGGGGTGTGATCCTGAGGGGAAAAATCAAAGCTCAGCTAGCAAAGTTGCAAGCCTCTCGTATCATAGCGAGAAACTTTGCCGTGTACAACACGGTCTCCGGCGATCCATGGTTTAGAATGGTTTCTCAAGTAAAGCCTTTGCTTGCAAATTCTGATTCCTCTCAGTCCTTCTTCAATCGAAAAATTAAGACGCTTGAGAAAAAGATCAATGCTCTCAAAGCGGAAAAGGAAATGGAGACACAAACAAAGAATAAACTCGCAGAAGAACTCGCATCATTAACAGGAGCAATTGAAATTGATAGAAAGTTACTGGCAGACAAAACTAAACATTTGGATACACTTCAGGTCAATCATGTCAAACTTGAAAGCCAATTGAAGGACAAACAGGTGGAATTGCAGGAGCTTCAAGATAATTATAAAGCTTCCAAAACGGCAATAGAGCAAGAAAAAAGACGACTTCTTGAAAAACTAAACACTCTAACAGAGGAACTGGAAGCAAACAATAAAGATGCGAACTCTCTTCGGGAAGAAATCAAGTCCCTGAAGAACTCGTCAATGGAGAAGGATGAACGGATTAAGCAGCTTGAAGCAACTCTTGAGTCTGCAAAGGCAGATATGAGCAAGAAGCTCCAACAAAAGGTATGTTCAAAACCAGCGACTGGATATAAGGAACTCTTATTCCTTTCGTTTTGAAATCAATTACTAACTAATTTAGACCGAAGAAGTACTTGAAAGCCAACAACAGCGGAAAGATATACAAAATGAATTTGAGACACTGCAGAAAACCCTTCGAGAACATCAGCAAGACCAATTGATGTTGAGTAGAAGTATACGAAACAAAGAAGACCAGACAGCTGAGGTAGAAAAAGCAAAAGAAATGTATCTCGAGCTTCAGAATAAATATAAACAATTGCAGCACGAATATGGAGAGGCAAAGGCTCTGCTTGAGGCAAAGATCACTGATGAGATCAATTTTGACCGCGGCAAGCAAAAATATGATAGAGAAATCAAGGATCTGAAGCAGGCATTGGAGGAAATGAAGACGGAGGTGGAGGTCGGGAAAAGAGAATCGACGAGGTTGTCTCAGGAGCTCAAAAATGCCAAATCCGAAATCAATCATCTAAACAAGATCAAGAGAGGTTTAGATGTTAAACTTGCGGAATTTCAATTGAAGTCATCCAGAAGGCCTGAAATGCAAGGCACTGCAGATGTCGAGCTTTTGCAAACTAGACTTGCATCTGAAGCATATGAAAACAGACAGCTAAGAGCTCAACTCAAAAAGCTAGCCTCCGGGAAAGAAGTAATACCTGGCGAATTATCTGATGAGCTTTCAGCTGAACGAGCTGCTAACAGGCGCCTCGAAAAACTGAACATTGAGTTGCAAAAAGAGCTTCTTCATTACAAGAATAATTTGCGTGAGTCAAGAGGATTAGAACGGTTGGAGGAAGATTACAAGTCGAAATACCAACTTGCAGAAATAAAATTGCAGTCCATGGAAGACAAACTCAAGATTTCATTATCGAGCCCATTAAAAGATCGCACCCGCGAGTTTGATAACCAGACTAATATCGAGTCTCCAGAGAAAAATTCTCTAATAGTTAAACAAGAAAACTTGAGGTTGAGTTCAATGCTAAACGAGTCTCAAACAAAACTGAGAAGATTGCAAATGAGCAACGCTGCGAACTTTGCACAACAGGACCAATCCATCCAATTGAACTCGAAGCTGCAAATTTTGACAAACAAGAACCAGTCTCTACAAGAATCTTTGGATTTCTACAAGGCTAGGGCCGAAAACTATTATGGCAAGATCGAGGCAGCCGAGGTTGCTGTTCAAACCGCCAAACGTGCCGAGGAAAATTTAAGAAATGAATTGAACCAGACGAAGCAAAGGCTAACTAAGGCACAACAGGAATACCGTAATTCAGATCTTACGGTGGCCAAGCTCAACACTCAAATCAGAGATCTTGAAAGGGATCTATCAGACAAGGTATTCGAGCTAAGAAAGTTGGAAGAAGCGCACAATGCTCTTAAAGAAAAGTACGAGAATGCAGAGGAGCTTAGATTGTCCTCATCGTCCAATCAAGCTGATTCAAAAGACAGAGAAATTAAGCTGTTAAACGACGACTTACTACAGCTTATGGACAAAGAGACTGAACTTAACAAACAGATTAAGAATGTCACAATGCAGCTTGAAAATTCAAAGAAAGAAGTTCGTACCATCAAGTTCAGCAACAGCGAGTTATTAAAAGAAAACGAACAATTCAAGAGAGCACTCACTGAGGCGATGTACAAAAATGACAAGCTCACTACAGAGAGACAAGAGCACTTAATGCGAATGGATACTCTTACATCTCAAGTAAAGGCCCTCAAAACCACGAATGCGGATCTTTTGCAGGAGAGAGATAGCCTGCTGGAGTCAAAGCGTGAGTTGGAGGCGAAGGTGTCAGAGATCACCGCAGAATTTGATAAATACCTTGCCAAGGCCAAGGATGATGCAGAGAATGCCGCTACAGTTGTCCAACTCCGTGGAGAACTAGAGAAAACAAGCCAAGAGGCACTGACCTTGAAAGAGAAACTTCAGCAGCATGACGAGAAACTGCGTGAATACGAAGCCAAAATGGCTGATCTCCAAAGAGACTCATTGATGGTAATTGAGGAGAACAAAGCTCTGACAAAGTTCAACAAGCAACTGAAAATAAAGCTTGACGACACTGTATTGGATCACCAGAAAGAGATGGAGTCCGAGCGGAAACACTGGACTACCAGAGTTCAAGAACTGGAAGAGAAAATATACTTGCATAATGCCACCAAGCGTGACGAAGACCAGAAACTGTACAACCTTGAGCGCTTGGTCAAGGATTATGAGCATCGCAACGAGATCCAGACTTCTACCATTGAACGTTACAGGGATGATATTAAGAATTTAGAGGAAACAGTGACAAGGCTTGACTCAAAATTGGAGAATTTGCAGCAGAAGGAAGCTGAAGCTACTCTTCGTGCGAAACGAGCATTGCGCGAGCTCGATGATTCGAGAGAGAAAGCCTTATTGTTGGAAAAGGAGCTCCTTGATTGGCGTACCACCAGTACCGAATAAGTAAGATACAATTAATGTTGTCGCGACGACTTGCGTAAAAAATTATCGCATGTAACCATTTCTCCGCGCCGGTTACGGAACTGTTTTTTTTATTTTTTTTTTATTTTTGGTGGTGATTCATTTGAAGATAATATTTTATGATCAGTACAAAAGCCAGCAGAGCCATTGTAGGCCGTGTGCTGAGATTGGCAAGGAACAACAGCTCGTCGACGTCAGCACTGGCCTATAAGAATTTGCACAGAAACAAAAAAAGACCGCATCTGCCTACTCTTGATGCTCCAAATTGGTCAGCAGGTGCAGCCGTCTCTTCAATCATCTACGAGACTCCACTTCCATCCAAGGCTCCAAAAAATCAGCATGTGCTGAACTGCTTGGTTCAAAATGAGCCAGGAGTGCTGTCGTTGGTTTCAGGAACGCTCGCTGCAAGAGGTTTCAACATTGACTCATTAGTTGTTTGCAACACCGAGGTTAAGGATTTGAGTCGTATGACTATCGTCTTAGATGGTCAAGACGCAGTCATTGAGCAAGCAAGACGCCAAATCGAAGATTTGGTGCCTGTGTACGCTGTGCTAGACTATTCTAACACAGAAATCATCAAGAGGGAGCTTTTATTAGCAAGAATCTCGCTTCTAGGCTCTGAATACTTCCAAGAGCTTATTGCTCACCACAATGAGCAAGTCGATGAGATTCCTGAGGATTTACACAAGTCTCAGTTCCACCCCAACAACTTGCCCCCTTCTCAAGCATTGAGACAAAAATACGAGCATCTTGATGCTATTACTACTTTGACCAAACAGTTTGGTGGAAAGGTTGTTGATGTGTCGGACAGAAATTGCGTGGTTGAACTATGTGCTAAGCCAAGCAGAGTGAGTGCTTATATCGCCCTGGTGCAGCCATTTGGAATCCTGGAAATTGCCAGATCTGGAATGATGGCTCTTCCAAGAACACCCCTGGAGGCTTTCTCCTCGGAAGATGGTACTGATCCAAGCAAAGATGCGTCTGACGTTGTTGACGCTTCCCAGTTGCCTCCGGGTTGATCAAATAAGTAAGTCTAAAGGTATAATAAGATTGGACACCGGGATGTACCCATTGAGAATAAGTATCTTCACACTTGCATTTCCTTGAAGCCGTAATTTTGAGTTACCAGAGAGAATGATTCTCTTTATCACACCCAAAACGCCTTCGGCATTGGGATACAGCTTGACAAATAACGTCAGGTCGGATTGCGTCGTATCGGTGATCCGCACGCTAAATGGAGCTATTTGTACAGTACCCATAGTCTTATAATCTCCCTTGGATTCATCGAAAACCGTCATTTCAAGGTCGTCAACAGCAAGGTTGAGCTTCCGAATTGTAAACCCTCCAAATTTGAAGTAAGCCCTACTTATAGAATCCTCGATATGACTATAGTTGTTATAGTTTGCCCCTTTCACTTCCAGAAGTATGCCTCCATCATCCTCCATACCCAGAAGCTTAATCTCATCTGAATCAAACTCAGTACCTTGAGCAACTATATCGCCTAATTGCGGTTTGACTCTGAAAACAAAAGTAAAAAAAGCTGTAAAAAAGAAACTGGCAATCAAAACCATAGGAATATAAACGTCTAAACGGTAACGCTTCCATGTTGGCTTTGAAGTGCGTTCATTGTTGATTGGTAGCAGTGGCGTACTTTCAGACATAGCAAGATTACAAAAAAATGATTTGTACACTGCCCGATCATAAGATAAAAAAAATACAAAAAATATTTCATATTTTTTTCAAGGTTCGCGATGTTGTACCTTATCGGCCTAGGTTTGTCGCATGCTACTGACATTACAGTAAGAGGATTGGAAGTGGTGAAACGGTGTAAACGTGTGTACCTGGAAGCTTACACCTCAATTCTTATGGCAGCTGATAAAGAGTCGCTGGAGGAATTTTATGGAAGAGATGTGATTCTTGCTGACAGAGAACTGGTTGAAAGTGGATCAGATCAGATTCTGGACAATGCCCAAGAAGACGATATTGCTTTTCTTGTGGTTGGAGATGTTTTTGGTGCCACAACACACACTGATCTGGTAATAAGAGCCAGGGAACTGGGTATCAAGGTGGAAGCCATTCACAATGCCTCAGTGATGAATGCAGTCGGAGCATGCGGGCTCCAGCTTTACACATTTGGACAGGCAGTTTCCATTGTCTTTTTCACCGAGAACTGGAGACCAGACTCATTTTATCATAAAATAATGGAGAACAGAAAGATTGGACTGCACACCCTTCTATTGCTAGACATTAAAGTGAAGGAACCTAATTTCGATGAATTGATGAAAGGAAGACTTGTTTATGAGCCTCCTAGATATATGTCAGTGGCCACATGCTGTCAACAATTGCTGGAAGTCGAAGAGAAGAGAAAAGAAAGAGCATATACTCCACAGACTCCTTGCGTTGCAGTGTCACGTTTAGGGTCTCCAACACAATCCTTCAAAGCTGCCACCCTTCAAGAACTTGCTAACTACGATGCTGGTGAGCCACTTCACTCCGTTGTGATGCTCGGAAGCCAGGTTCATGAACTCGAATTGGAATATTTGTTGGAATTCGCAGACAACAAGGACGCCTATAGAGCTGCTGTTGCAGCCGACCAGAAACTTTTTGTGAAAAACTGATGGTATACAGGCCAATCAGAGAAAGAGAAGAACTGTCTCACTTCATAGAAAATGTATCGTCAGGAAATTTTGTTGTTAGCTACTCGCCGATCGTTGTGGGCTGGTGAGCCAACTAATCACGATTTATAATGACAAACAGTGCTGAATGAATAACATGAGTACGAGATAGCAAATGACCATACTAGGACAGAACACGGAACATCTCTTCCCGTAGTAGTTAAGGTTGCAGCTTCCTCCCTTTTTCACCAGGAATTTAGATAGGATTCATATAGCAAAGACAAACGAAAGATGGTTGCTATGCTCAAGATGCAATCACTCTTCTAGGTCTCGAAAAAATATTCGGCCATACAGTTACATTCAGAGATCAATCGAAAGCGCCTTCCAATGAAAGCATATATTAAAGCTTTTCACCACTGCCTTAGGCTAAAAAAATAAACTCATGAATTTTCATTACCATGGAAATCATCGGAGCCCGCGATGATCGAGATACAGCTTCAAAGTCGGGTAGCTCAGAAAGCTCAGACACGGTGACTGTTTTGTATGGTTCGCAGACGGGTTCAGCCAGAAAGTTGGCTTTCCAATTTGCCAATGAGCTGCTGGAGAAATACAGTAAAAAGGCCTTTGTTGATGCTATGGATAATTATGATCTCAGCTCAATTGTTGACAGCACTCAACTGACAGCTATAGTTTTTTTTGTTTCTTCATATGGTGAGGGAGAACAATGTGATAATGCATCAAAAACATTCAGCTATCTTTCAAAACTATGCGCTGAGAATAGCCATCACCTGAAGAATCTCCATTATGGTCTTTTTGGTTTAGGAAATACTGCCTACGATAATTACCAGGGAGCTTCCAGAGATTTAAAGCACTGTCTCAGTAAGCTGGGTTCCACTTTACTTGGGTCATATGGTGAAGGAAACGATGAGAAAGGAGAATTAGTGGAAGACTACTTACAGTGGAAAAACCAGTTCATGCCGACTTTAGCTGAACACCTCAGATGGAAGCCTTCAAAAGAAGACGCCTACAAGCCCTCAATCGTTATATCTGAGGTTTCACCAAGAACGCACGTTAATGGAGAAATAGTATCTTCTCTGCGAGATTTGAAATTTCTCGATAAACCTCCATACCATATTGCGAAACCATTCAAGGCACGGCTCCTCAACTCGCAAAAGTTCACTGACGGACAGCGATGCCAGTTTCATTGTGAAATCAGCTTAGAAGGATCTAGAATGAAGTATCAAACAGGGGACCATCTGGGGGTCTATCCCATAAATCGTGAAGAAGACGTGTCTAAATTCATGTTTCTATTTTGCCTAAGCCAAAAAGCAGACCAAGTTGTTGAGTTGAGATCGGCATTACCTCTCTGGATTCCATCTCCAACAACTTATAAAGCAATAGTAAAACACTATCTGAACATCAACTCGGCCATATCCTCTCAAATGTTGCAGACGTTGGCAAACTTCGCACCCTCAGACATCTCTAAAGATCGTCTTCTGAGCCTTTCGTCTAGAGATTTATTTACTAAAGAAGTGGTCGAGAGACGATTGACCATGTGGGAAGTATTGCTAGAGGCCTCCGACGGTAATCCTTGGCCCGATGTCCCATTTTCTTTTCTTCTAGAATCATTGGGGAAACTAGAACCAAGATATTACTCAATAGCATCCTCAGAACTGTTATATCCGGACCAAGCCCACCTGACCATAAAATGCGAGAGAGAATTAGTCAAAGGTAAACTCTTCTATGGTGTCTGCTCAAACTACATCGAAAGCCTATGTTTCGAGGAGGTGGATCAAGCTGGACGACCAAGAGATTGGCAGACGGTCTCAGTTTTTGTTAAGAAATCTAGTTTCAAGCCGCCTCTGAATGGAGAAACACCAATGATAATGGTATGCGTGGGAACAGGTATTGCTCCGTTCAGAGGATTTATTCAACATCGCATAGCCTTGTCTGCTGCACATAATGTTGGAAAAATGATCCTTTTTTATGGATGTAAAGATAAGTCTGATATTCTCTACCCCAACGAATGGCCAAAATATAGCACAGCTTTGGAATCAAAATTGTCCGTGCATTTTGCATTATCTAGAGAGAATCCGGCTCGCAAACAGTATGTTCAAGACATTATCCTGCAACTCTCCAAAGACATCTATGAATTGCTCGAGAAAGGAGCATATTTCTATGTCTGTGGAGACGCCATAAAATTATCAAATATGAGCAAATTAGTTAGGCAGATATTAGTGCAACGAAAGAGCATTAGTGAAGAAGAGGCGGCTAAGACCCTCAAACAACTCAAATTGAGAGGACGTTACCAAGAGGATTTGTGGTGACTGAACAAGCCGGTCTCGATTTACTTAATTCAAGGACCTTTTCAAGACTCCTTTCGTCACACGTTGCGAAGTCCCAAAAAATGCGAAAATAAGAAAGCCACACCTGATTTATTTTTTTTCCGTTTTATCAATGCTGCTATGATTAGGAGAGGTTCAGAGCTGTCCTTTCATATAGAGGACGATACATCACCGCTATTAGAAGATGCTGTCAGAAGAGTTGACTCGATTCTAGCCAGTCAAAACAGAGCGATATCATACCTTGTTGGCCAATATCGGAATTCGAAATGGTCTCAAGACCATATGAAGGCCGCTCTCAAGATACTGAACAATTCTTTGAATGACGGTGGAAAGGTGATTGTTAGCGGAATTGGAAAGTCCTACAAGATTGCTGGCAAAACCGTGGCTACGTTAAACTCTCTAAGTGTCCACTCTGCTTTATTGCACCCATCAGAAGCCTTGCACGGCGATCTGGGAATAATCAGAGAAGATCATCATGACTCTCTACTCATCATATCTGCATCTGGAAACTCTCCAGAGCTTACTACGCTACTTGAATATGTGCCAGCTTCAGTTCCTGTTGTATTGGTTACATGCACAAAGGTGTCTGCCTTATCCAAGCATCCAAAAGTCAATGCTCTTTTCTATGCCGAATTGCCCCCAAAAGTCTCGGAGAAAAATCTTTATGGTCTACAGGCGCCTACAATATCCACCACCATCTGTCTCACATTATTAGATGGAATTAGTATTGCCCTCTCCGAGCTACATATCAGGGATTTAGAGGTGAGGCAAAAGAGGTTCGGCGATCGACACCCCGGCGGCGCCATTGGGCTTCACTACTTACAAGACTTGGATCAAACGCGGCGCCTGAGCGGGTCAAATGGATCAACCTCTGAATGTTCGTCGACCGAAAAGTCAGTCTCCGAGGCCTCAAGCGAATCTGTTTATGAGCAGCCCAACTTGCAGGACGACGATTTTGGAGATGCAAACGATATCTTAGAGCTGCCAAATTTGAAACTGCTGAATGAAATCAAATTATCAGTATCTAAGATTACTCTACCAAAGGTTCCTGGAGATGAGCTGGAGCTTTTGAGACTGGCATTGATGTATGACTTTCTATTGGTGATGAATGCAGAAACAAATCGAGGTATCAGAACGAAGAACTTGTTGGATATCTATCGCAAAGGCAAATTACAGGAGGACTCTTGGGATGAGATCCTGTGGAAAATTAATGACTCTTTTATCAAGTTAAGTTTATAAATAGGTTTATACATGATACAACTCTAACGACGCGTCTGCCGTCCGAGGTATCTCTTTCGCTAAATTTCCTGTTTTGGTTTTTTTTTTCTTACGCCAACGTTATTATGGAGAAAAGTGTCTCAGGTTTAAATTAGCGTGTTCGAAAGAAAAATATTGATTTAAACCATACAATCATTAAAATAAGAGACAACGAATCCACTGAAATCTCGCATCAGTTTGAACTACAATATATCAAAAAATCAGTGGTACTTAAAGTCCAAATCGTACAGGAAATTGCAAAAGAATGTCTGGATTCTTTAAAAGAAGTTCCAAAGATCGAAAAGACAAAGCGTCAGTGAGCCGAGTCTCATCCACCTCATCGACAGTATCCATGAGTGCTGGTGTAGGATCCAGTCGTTTGTCAAATTCGCTAAATGCTCCCACCAAGGTCATTCAGGCAATGAGCTCTTACATAGCGCAGGTACCTGGTGAACTAAGCTTTAAATCTGGCGATTTCTTTTACGTGAACCAGCAAGTTGATCACAACGATACTTACGTTGAAGCGCACGATCCTGTGAGAAATATCAAGGGTAGGGTACCAGCGTCACATTTCAAGTTTTTTGATAAGACACACAAACCCACTGGTGAAAGTCCTTCCTCCAGTGCCGGTGCGAGCCCTATGGTTCCAAACAATTTCTCACCTACAACAAGCGTGAAGAAAAAAGTCTCTCCTCAGCCGTCGCTTTATGGAAGGTTACTGTACGACTTCAAAGCAGAGAGACAAGATGAGCTTGACGTATCAGCCGGAGACAGTATTATCATTTGTGCTCACCACGAGTACGAGTGGTTTATAGGAAAGTTTTTTGACAAGATAGGCGAACCTGGACTTGTTCCCGTTAGCTATGTCCAGCTTTTTGATATCACATCCAAAGTGCCGTACTCGGGTTCTGCAAAAGAGATTATCGACAGAGAAAGAATACCGACTATCGAGGAATGGAAAGCAATTAAGAACCGCCACAAAGCAAGCGCAAGATCAGTTGGTATGGCTGCTCAACGAAATGATTTATCTAGGTCCTCTTCCGCCAACAGAAGTCGAGCAACGGAGCCAACTCCTGCTTATGCAATCGACGTAAACATAGAATCGTTTTCTTGCACTAACGGGAAGTACTGGTACCTAGTTCGAGTGATTTTCAATAACGGTGTTGCGAGAAGCCTGTGCCGCTACTACGAAGACTTCTTTAACTTCCATCAAAATGTCCTCAGTACTTGGCCTAAAGAAGGAGGTAAGTTTGACACCAAGGATAAGAGAGATAGAATAATCCCATTTATTCCTGGTCCCTTGATGGAAGTCAGCGAAAGCCTCTGTCACAAGCGCCTTGTTGATTTAGATATTTATCTCAAAGGGCTAATCCAACTCCCGGACTATATTTCCAAGAGTGTACTGGTGAATTCTTTCTTCGAGATATATGATGGTGATCAAGAATTCACCAACACCGAAGGCATTCAGAGAATACCTATCCAACCTCTAAGAAGTCCTCCCAACATGATAATTCTCAACAAGACGGACTCTTCAGAAGGCCATCCTCATCACAGCACAAGAAATTCACAATATCAACAAGATAGATTGTCACACTACGAAAGAACAAATTCAAATCGTTCTAACAGCGTACAGATGCAGCAGCAACAGCGACGGATGTCCTCAATGTCATCGTCTTCATCATCTATGAGAGTAACTTCAAATCCTTCAAACAATGGCATTCATTACATTTCGAATAGCAGTGTAAATACCCCAAACGAGCAAGCGCCGGAGACCGTAAACAAGATCAAGCTGAAATTTTACTACAAAGACGACATTTTTGCAATCGTGGTTCCCGAAAACATAGCTTTGGCCAATCTGCGGAAACTCATTGTTCCTAGGATTGACGAGTTCAATGAGCCCAATGCAGATGAGAAACTGAAGCTCGTTCCCAAAAACACAAGTAATGCAAACCACTCGGAGTTCCATCCAGGCGATGTGATCTCTTCTGATTCCGAATTATGGAGTTCGCCCAACTTCTGCGACAAGGGCAAGTTTTTGGTCGTTCTTTAAGTGCAGTTTTCTGTGTAAGCTATGTACATTCTATTAATTAAACCCCATAAAGTTTCTTCCTCTTTTCAGATTTGGCACTATAGGCACGGAGAAGACGCTGCAAATGAGTTGCATTTTGGTCCATATAAGCCTTTTCGGTGTTTTCGCGGTTCACTGGATGATCCTGCAAATTCGAAGCAGCCTCGGAAACATATGTATTGTAACATTGTTTGATTTTCTGCGGATTGAAAATACGGTTAATGTGATAATTCACTTCCCATGTATTGTCTTGAGGTTTGTCTAAGATCTCAATAGGGGGAGTAGGATATTTGCCACGGAAGAGTTTCCCATTGAAATAATGTGTCGCCGTGATTCTGAACATTAAACATTTGCTTTGGTCATCAATACACGAATCAAAGATCTCCTTATTCAGGGAAAGCATTCGCTTGTGATGAAGCGATCTTGACTCTGCCATTCTGATGATGCGTTCCATTGGCAGCTCGTCTTTCTGCGTGGCGGCCAGATCCTCCTTATCGAGTGTAACTATATCGTCGGCAAGAGTACTGAGATTTTTAAGCATGTCTTCGTCCACAACCGTAGCAATGACATCCAGATAGGTTCCAAGGAAATTTCTGTCGCATTTTGTGATCAAACGGAAAGGTCTGTTGTTTGTTTCTTTCGTAATAAGATCTAAAACGGTTTGCCAAATTTCCATGGAAACACGGAATTCAAAATCTGCCATGAAAGAGGACAAAGCTTCTCTTTTTGTTTGCCAATGATTACCAAAATCGTTGACCACATCATCGTAATTTTGTTTCGACTTTCCAGGACCATCGTACCCATGGAATATATGGTCTATTTCTGTTGTAGGCAGATACTGGAATCCGAAAAATCTTCTCATATTATGGTATGCAATGAAAATACCATCCATGTTACCAATACGCGCCTGCATGCTGTATTTCCATAAACCTGTTCTAACCAGATCAAATAGTTCACGTTCAAAGCTTTCATAAAGCCCAGTACTTCTGGTGATCTCGTAGTTTGTGAGATGATAATTATTATAGTTGATATCATGCCTCACTGCACAAACAGCACGAGTTTTGAGGTCAAAAATACCCGTGCCTGGCAGCTTGTCACTTTTGGCGTCAGATTGAGACCTCATCAAGAAACTACCAATCCTGGCATACTGATAATTGTTAGGCAGAGGAGCAGGGCTTTCTTTTGAGTCGGAGTTTTTCAGGAATTTCTCAAACTCCTCTGTTTCAGCAGTCAACATGAGTTCGAGTTCATGCCCGAGCAACGAAAGTGCAATCTCGGTATCCGTAGATCTATCCGCGTCCACTGATAGAATCCCACTGCCTTTGGGAGCAATCACATTGAAAGCGGCACATTTCATACTTTTCGAGAATATTGTCGTTGAGGAGAAGTCTTGAGAGAAACTGCTTGTGTGGCATGGGCGGTAATTACTGAGTAACATGTGGAAATGTTTCAATGTACTGGTCATCGATGAGGTAGAAGAAAAATACTTGATGCTTTTCTGATTCTCGTTTGACGACGCATTGAGCTCCTCTCCAATCTTCACCATCAAGGGGTCTTTGTTTGGTGGAACAAAACCAGCAATAAGGTCAAACCTGAAGTTATCTATACTTGGTATGTCCTTTAGGTCAGAGGAAAAATTGTACTTTCTCGTCCTTGGATCCTGCATATAATGAACACCCGGCGAGAATAGAACTCTATCAAGGTTATGGCGTAAATCTGGAATCTCTGAGCTGGGTGCACAATACTTGGGCAATGGATTGTACTTATGTGCATCTTCCAAGCTCGTGGAGTACTGATATATCTTTCTGTGTGGGCTTGATCTAATACTTTTGTGTAGTCTTTTGACGTCTTGCTTGAGTCTAGTCTTTTTCTTTCTGGAAGAATTTTGAAGTTCTTTTGAATTACTCGCATAGCCCCTACAAGCCCAAAAGACTGGCCTTTGTAGCATGCAATATCTCATAGTCATGATGAGCTACAATATTTCTGAAATTTTTTTTTTCAATAATAATTTTGGAATTTAAGTACAGTATATATTTAATTGTATGGGAGAAAGAGAAAGATATGAATGTCTATTAGATCAGCAAAGCAGACCAAACCATCAAAATAGAGTAGAATGCGCTTGCTTGCATTTGGGCACCCGCTCCTCTTGATGAGGAAGAAGAGGTTGTGGGGGATGAAGAAGATGACGATGCTCTTGTAGACGATGACGAAGCAGTTGAAGAGCTGCTGGAGGTCACAGATTGAGAACTGACACTGGAAAAATCGTCATAGTCGCAGGACTCTTGCGTTTCAGCTTCAAAACCATAACCTGTGCCAGCACCATTTTCAAAGTAAGTTTGAGCATCCTCTGGGGTATCTGGAACCGTGATTGTGAAGTTCCAATCAGTTGGGCACTCGGACGGCTTGTAAGACGTAGAGTATCCTCCACTTCCTTGAGGATCAGATGTAGAATTCAGCATGGATTTCAAGTTCGTATAGTCGTCCAAAGTGGAGACAGAATCTCCGTCAATTTCGACAAGTCCGTAGTTTGAATCTTCTTGCGAATACTCATAGACCAATCCGCCAGAAAAAACTGAAGACATCTGAGTAGAATAGATAGAAGCAACCTCGGAAAATTGTCTGGTACCCTGAGTATTGCAACCGTACTCAGAAAAGAACATAGGAACAGAGTAGCCGGTGTACATTTTCACCTTCTCCGAATATCCTGACTGAGTGAATGAGGAGTGGCCGCACCAAGAATAGTCGTTAACACCGAGCATATCAATTCTGGCAGTTGAATCATTCCCGCAATTCAAATACTCTGCTAGTTCTAGTCTCACCGAGGAAACATCCGCAGCCGAGTAACCCACAGGGATCTGTCTGTAATCTCTCGCCTTGATGTACTTCTTAAGATCTCTAACAGTAGCCTTGATATAAGGAGCTGTAAACAAAACGTCTTCATTGTTGACGACCTCGTTTCCTGCGAAAAAGCCCAGGACATTAGTGTAGTTAGCAAAAGCGTCGACGGTAGCAAAAATGTTTTGCAAAAAGTCTGCATTGTAAGAACAACCAGGGTTACTTCTTGAAATCGATGTTCCAGGGGTAGTGACGTCCAAGATCAAGTAAATTCCTGCATCTGCAAGCTTCTCCATACACTCAGAATGACTCAAGGTATTGTCCACCGAGTAGACTCTAATGGTATTCAGACCAAGATCCTTGAAGTAAGGGATATCTCTGGAACAGACTTCAACATCTGCCAGAGGATCAGTAAGGTTCGAAGATCCGCCGGGCTGATAATCAACACCCCTTATGTAAAACCTCTCACCCGTTTCAGAGTTTAAAAAGGCATTTCCGGTTACATTTATAGCAGGCAATGATGCTGCAACAGAACCGATAAGGAGCGAGAACAAGAACGAGTATTTCATGTTCGGTATATTTCAAAACTTTTTCAACGAAACTATTTATTTATTTATTTACTGAACTTGCATAAAAATACCGAAATTGTCAGATTTGGAAGATTCCATGATATGCAGCCCAAAAACTGAAACTCAATTTTTTTCGAGAGAATACTCAGAGTCTTGAGACTTCGACGTGATTGGTGCAAGTCCTTCCAATTTGAGATCATGAACATCATTCTTTGGGTCCACTTCCACAAGAGATGGAGAAGCGGGCTCTTTTGAGGTTCTGATACCCACATCCTCAACTTCAAGATCTGGCCTACCTTCGTTCACATCTTCAGTATATTCGTCGTGAACAATGTTCTCGTGTTGCTCTTCCTCTAAATTTCCTGTTTCTTCAGCTTCAGTTGATGAGCCATCACTGTCTTTAACTTCGTCAACCGGAAGCAGAGGATGATTTCGTAGCTCATCATCCGATTTTACAAGCTTCCTCAAGTCGATACCCCACGACGTTGTCACAAGGATATTGAGCTTATTTCCAAGTGTCTCGTCATTGACTTCTATGCTGTCTTTCACACGAGATGGTAGTTTGCGCCCTCTAGGCCCTTTGGCCCTTTCTTTCCTCACATCTGTAACGTGATCAGTAGCATCATCATTCTCAGGCTTTGCGAAAGGCATTCCTGGCACGGAAATTCCAGGAAATGCCATACCAGGTAACGGAAATCCCACTAAAGGCTTTCTTGCATGCTGAGAGCCGGGGTCAGAAGGCTCTGAATCATCAGCTGCTTGTGAAGGTCTCTTTGTTGGAAGAGGAGGTTTTGGCTTAAACATCCCCATATCTTGTTGCTGTCTTTGAGCGAGCATTTGCTGAAAGGCTGCAATTTTAGAAGACGGCTTCTTAGGAACTGCAGGCTTATTCGATTCTGTTGAACTTCTAGGCGAAATACCCAAAGACACATCGGACGACGTTTTGGGGGTCCCGTCATCGGCAGGCTCCAGGACGTTTAGGTTGGAAGCAGGATCAGGTATTGAAACGTTCAATTGGGGTGATTGTTCATCTGCATCCGTTGTAGATTCCTCGTTACCGAGTGGTTCTGACCCATGGGAAGAGCAGTCGATTTTTTCTTTTATGACAGGGGATTCTTGTTCTGGCGATTGCTCGCCCTTAGCCTCATCTGAATCATTTCCAACAGTTTCTGCAATACCAGAAGTCTGGTCCCTATTCTCCTCCACCGTTATTTCTTTAGCGGTCTCATTTGCTTGTGCAGGAACTGACGAAATTGGCTCTGGACAACCAGTTTCATTCGCTGCTTCGAGCGATCGAACATCTTTGCCAACGCTGTCAATCTCCTCGTTTTTCGGAACGCTCTCCCTTTCCCCTTCCTTCGTTTGCTCTGGAGTCTGAGCGTATATATCCAAAACATTTTGGTACGTTGGCGTTTTGGGAGGAGGTTCCACGGTGGAATTGGCTGCAATGTTGTCCACAGTGGCAGCTTTTCGAGGCCTTGTCGCTGGAACAGCTGGTACTGGCGGTGCGTCAGCCTCAACAGAACCTTCACTGCTTTTTGTACTTCCATCGTCCTTTGGCTTTGGCCTCGTGGAAGGCACCGCTGGAATTTCTAATTTGGGCAAACCAGAGGATTCCGACCTTCTTGGGCGCGAGCTTGGAACCTTGGGCACGTCAGAATCTTGGCCTGGTCTCTTAATTGTTAGAATCATGTGAATGTACTTACATGGCTAGGAACAGGTGGCACATCCATATTATTTTACTTCGCGACTAAGCAATCTGGTTCATTTATACACATTGCTACACACCAACACCAACAACATAAGTGCAACAAAAATGCACAGATGTTTTGTAGCTTTTACTATGCAAACAAACTAGAGAGCATATAAGGTCACTTTAAAGCCAATTACTATCAAGTCCCTGCGCAGACGGGGCAAGACAAACCATTAGTTCTTTGTTCTTAAGCGTAATTGAGTCTAAAGATATCGTTCAGGACGTAGTAGGAGCCTGCATCTGGAATGAGATGGAAGACCTGAGAGTATCTCTGGGTATTTTGTTCGTCATCAATCAGAAGCTCACCAGTAACCATAACAAGAACGTCTCCATTTTCGGATGCAGGCTGAGCATCAAGGGTGGAAATTCTGTGAGCCACCTTGTTGAAACCAAGGGATGTGAGTTTTTCAATGATGTTGCGAGCACCCTGGATTTGGGAAGACTCAAAAGTGAGCATAGAGTGGTCTCTCTAAACGTTGTTAGGATTGAATTCCAGCGCCAACAAATGTGGCCAAAAAGTACTTACATAAAGGTTTCCCAGTTGAGATCTATCCTTGTCAAATTGATCGTAATAGAAGCTGCAAAACTGTTGGGCCAAAGCGTTAAAATCAACCGACATTGTTGGAGTTGATGAGTTTTGTTTTACAAATTTTTTCTAGAGCAGGCTTCCTTCAATTTCTATTATTACCTACCCTGACACCAACCGCTTCCAAAATACAAAGTTTGTCCTCATTGATTTGTCTGTAGCTTGGAGGCAAGTCGTACTCTTTCAAGGTCCCACTTTCGATGGTCACTCTTGTAAAGGGCGGTACTAGGTAGTTTGCGGGAATTCTAACGTGGTCTTCGATTACACAACAGTCTCTGATAACACATCCTGGTTCCAAGATACAACCGGACCCCACATTCACTCTGCTGCCTATTGCTGTGCCAGAGCCAATGGTGGTTTTGGAGCCGATTCGTGTGTAGGACCCTATTTTCACTTCTGCTTTCGAAGAGTCGACTGTTACAAATGGCTCGAAGAAAGAGTTCATTCCAATCTTGATTGAGTTGAACTGAGCATTCAGATGACAATGCTCGCCAATTGTGCACCTGCCAGCCAGTGAAATCTGCTTCAACCCTTTAATCTTACAGGTTTTATGTAGTCGATTTTTTGAAGATGTCTCGACCCATTGATCCATTACTTTTAGTTATTTAATTAATCGCAGTTTTCCAGAATTTAAAGATATACAAAGATAATAGTTTAGAGAAGCCAAGACAACACCTTATCGAACCAACTGTCAGGTTTAATCCTGGTATTTTGCATTCTTTCATAATACTCCTCCTCGTGATGCTCAATTTCCTTCAAGCCAGTAACCAAGTCAGCTGTTGCAGGATTAACAAATTTGGTTCTCTTAATAATCTTCCAACTCAGGAAAATTGCAATGTTCAGGAAGACCATCAAATAGTAGTAAAGGAACGAATCGACATCAAAAGAAGGAATGAAGGCAAATGTTCCCAGGAAAGCAATAATCAAGAATGTGACGATAAGAGCAAAAATGGCGGGAAATGGTTGCAACTTGGTGACCCAGGTCTGCAAAGGTAGAGATGAGCGATCCAAACTCTGAGCCTTACAGGCTCTGTAAAAGCCAAGGTAAACAATCATCATGTAGAAGTAGTTGAGAACTTGCGCACCTGTTGTCAAATTAATCAACCAGTTCAAGGCAACCGAAGCCGAGCTTCCAAGTTGTAGAAGCGATAAGCACGCAAAACAAGTTGACAGTGCCAAGCCCACAATCGGAACCCCATTTTCTGTCGTTATGCTAAAGAATTTTGGAGCAAGACCTCTCTTGGCGAGGGCGAACATCGATCTGGACCCGCAATACATGTATGAGTTTCCAGCAGAGTAGGATGACAACATACACAGAACGTTGACAATATGAGGCAGCACCTTGATGTTCAAATTTCTCATTGCGATGACGTAAGGGGAGACGTTAGCACCCGCAGCACCTTCCGCAACAGCATTGACTAATGTCGGATCATTGTGTTTCAAAACAATGCCAACACAGAGCGATCCAAACACGTAGAAGAAAAGCAGTCTGAAAATGATACTTTTGAATGCAACTGACATGGTTTTCCTTGGGTTTTCAGCTTCACCTGCAACCATACCCAAATACTCTGGAGCAGCCTGACTGAACACTGCCTTTGCGTACGCAGACCAGAAAGCGTTCGCCCTGTTTCCAAGATACTTAGGAAAAGCATCGTCGTAGCTTCCAAAATTACGGAAGCCATACCTGTCGTGAAGTGGATTTCCACCCAACATTGTGACGAGGGTAAACAGCATCAGTCCGACCGCAAGGATGACCTTTCCGATGGATAAGAAAAACTCAGATTCTCCATACCATCTCACAGCAAAGATGTTCAATATGACGTAGGAAACAATCATGGGAACAATGGATGCCGCTGCAGAATAGTCTTCCGTCCAGAAATGTATCATACTATTAACAGACGTCACTTCGAATGGAACATAGAGAGCCATGAGCAGGTAAAAGTTGTATCCAAAGCAGGCCTCCAGGGCAGGATCAACAAAACGTCCAGCGTGCGTGATGAAAGGCGAGTCAACAGGAAGGTAACAAACAACTTCTCCTATCGAGACAGTGACGATATACATCACAAAAGCATGGAGCACGAATGCCACCAAGAGATTTCCTGGTCCACCTGTGGACAAGGAAGCTCCAATAGTGACAAACATAGCTGTACCGACGGATCCTCCGATACTGATAAGATCGATGTGACGACGACGCAACCTTCGAACAGTGTGACCATCTGACACAAACTTAGATTTCTTCTGATGTGGGTCCTCTATTGAAGTGACCTCGAAAGCCTCGACGGTTGGGCTCTGTTTCGTAGTGAACTTCATTTTGGCGCAGGATTTAATGAGCGGAGCAGATCTGATTTATATGGCAGATGGCTATATTACACATAGCTTATCTCTTCGTTTTCGATAATAGTGCAGTTTTTATCTACCAAGCCCTCATGCATGTTGAGCAGGATTACGATTTTAGACAAAAGAGTTCCGGTCACGCCCTGTAAAAATGCATGTTTATGTAACTTAGTGATGGCGCCAACTGAGCATGATACGCACGCGTAGGTACGCTTAAGTGTCGGATAACCCCGATTTGTCACAAAATAATTTTTACGGCATTGCCCTTTTCGTCGCACTTGCCGGGAAATTTATGCCAAACCAATCGTTCAGTCTAAAATTTTCTTCTCGCGTAAAAGTTGTCACTGGCATAGTATCTCCCAAATGGGTGGTTTTAATAACGTTATCTTATCTAACAGTCACTTTGTTCCTCATTACAATGTCTCCACTGGTATCGAGCGCCTTACTGTGTTGCTGAAAGATAAAGAGACAACGGCAACGATCTATCCTATCTTTTCGCCCGATGATTTGCCATTTGAGCTTTTACGATTTTTAACGCAGGAATACAATGATGAGATTGCTAGGGGAGACACTCAACCGTTCTTTGAGCCTTTGTCAATCGACGAGTTCAGGGATTACTGGCTTGGTCAGTTTGCTGCTGTAATGGTGTTGGGAGACGACCCAACTTTAGACACTTCGTGGTCGCACAAGGAGTGGGCCAAGAGATGTCTAGGAACATTTTTCATTAAAGCCAGTTATCCAGGCAGATGCGCACATGTGGCAACAGCAAACATACTTGTGAATGCAGGTATTAGAGAAAAAGGCATAGGCAGAATCTTAGCTGAATGTTTCCTTGCATGGGCTCCAAAGCTAAGCTATACGTATGCGATGATGGAGCTAATTTTTGAAACGAACGCCCCGGCAAAAAGTGTCCTGGAGAGCCTTCGTTTTAAAAAGATCGGGCGAATTAAAGGCTGTGGACTACTCAAAAGTAACAAAGACTCCTTGATAGATGCTATCACTTACGGTCGAGAGTTAGACCCTCCTGAGACCAAGACTGACCACAATTCAAAATATGAGAAAATCCGAGACTTCATTCTCACAAGAAAGTATCCAGATGATGCAGATAGGCAGGAAAAGTCGCGACTAAGGGCTCTCGCTTCTCACTATACCGTGGAGAATGGTCACTTGTATTTGAAAGGAAAAGAGGTCATCATGACACAGAAGGAGCAGCTTCGAATTACCAAAGATGCACACGAACGTGGCCACATTGGGATCAACAAGACAACGTCCTATTTGTGCGATAGATATCACTGGCCGAAAATCAAAGAGATGGTGACTCAAGTCGTGAAAGCTTGCCCAGAGTGCAAGGATCCAACCCTAATATCCTTGAAAAGATCGGAAGTCCCGACACCGAAGCTGCGAACAAAATCGCCAAGGCAGCAGTATATTCACCACCAGTCGCCCAATTCGTTATCGCAGCAGTTACCGGAAATTGCTCACATATATCAAAACACAAACATTGATTCTTCTAACCCTCTCAATGATATTTTGGCAGGCTCCGGAATCTCGGATGTCGTTGAAATGGTTCAGCGACAACATCGCCATATACAAGAGCCCCATCAAAACCATACATTTGCGGACTATGCATCTCATTACCATCCAAATATAACATCCAACTTCCATTACAACTCGCCTGGCGATCATTCAGAAACCCCTACTCCCGCAGACTCTCAAAATTTGCGGTATAAAACCCCTAATTCGATTCCCATTGATCCGGCTGTTACCAAATCACATAACCAAGGCTCCAATGATAGCTCAGATGTTGCAGCCTCTTCTGAGATAGACATGGCTCGAGCACTGCTCAATAGTGGACAGGGACAACCCAGAAATTGATTATGCAGGGATTTCTATGTAATGTAATAAAAGTATAATTACACCGGAGGGAAAAAAATTAGCTAAATTATTTACTTTCTAGGAATAGCTCCAAAGTGAAACATGAATATATAGCATCACGATACAAGGAAACGGAAGCATGAGAAGACAAACATTAAGACAGATGCCTGGCCGAAGCCTTTCCGTGCAAAGTGATATGTTCGGTACCAAAACGTTCTGGTTCAAAGCACGAAAACAAATATACCACATTCAAGCCAAACTAGGACCAATAGTAAGAAAATTGATTCCCAACTTCTTGGTAGCACATTACACATATATCGTATTTTGGTGCATAATCGGCTCCATTTTGATCTACCCAAAGAAGAACATCAAATACATTGATGCTTTGTTTTTCGCTGCAGGAGCGTCGACCCAAGCCGGACTCAATACAGTGGACACGAATAATCTGAGCTTATACCAACAAATAGTTATCTACTGTGTGACTATGTTGACAACTCCAATATTCATTCACTCGGCAATCGTGTTTTTGAGACTTTTCTGGTTCGAGAAATCATTTGATGACATCAAGGAAAAGTCGATGCAAAATTTCAAGATGCGTCGCTCCGCAACCCTCGCTCAGTTCAGAACACAAACAATGGATACCTCTAGGAGCATCCATCAAAACCGAACCAATACCACAGGCTTCCAAAATAAAGATTACAATACTCACAATGCTTCTGAAGATCTAGGTACAAGACTGAACAAACTCAATCAACAGCAACAAGTAGAGGACCGAGAGCACAAATTAGACAAGATATTTGAAGATGAGTATACTGTTCCTATGTCCTCTAGTTCAGGTGGATCTCCGGAGACAAAAAACCTTGAGAAAGGGCAAGATATAGAGCTGGCCGATCTTTACGCATCCCACAATTACCCAACGGACATGGGAGGCGTGGTACATTACAGCGAGCCCAGTGACGAAGAGGGCGCGCAAGAAGTTCAAGTTCCCGAGACACGATCGAAAGACATCAAGTTTGTGGACTTACCGAAGCCACCTAACAAACGGAGGAATAAGGATGTTGAGCCACGTGATCTGTATATGTCCATTTCTATGATGCAGCAACAAAGAGATAATAATATTGCAGAGGACGAATCTGGGCCGGCACTAGTTATACAGGGCCCTGCAGAAAGGACAGGAAGCAAGCTTCCGGGCCATATTAGCCGCCATGAGAAGGAACAGAAACGCAAACAGCTGAAGAAAATCAAAAAAATGGAAAAAATGCAAGACGAACATCCTTCCGCTTTTTCAAAGCCTCCAAAAGAAAAATCAATCCAGTTTCAGGATCCAGCCAGACCACGCAAAGGTTCAACAATTAAATGGGAATCCCAAGTCCCTGTTCCGGTGCCCGAAGCAACAGAGGACGAAAGTGCGTTGAGCGATGAAATGAATTCAAGCTTGGAAGACGCAGGTGATGATCCGCTAGCCAACGATGATCTCAGCGACGAGGAAAATGGAGTGGGTTTTCGCCATGTGGGGAGAACACAGTCTCATGTCATGGCGATGCCAAATGGAAAGCATGGAACCAAACTTGATCGAAGAGCTCATACTTTTGATGTGCCAGTAGAGAAGAAATCGGAATCACACAAGAAAGGTGTCAATATAGTGAAATCGCCAACTTTTGATAAGATGCTACGCAAAAATATGAAGGACAAGTACAACAGATTCACCAGAATTGGGAGACGTTTTACATCTTCTCGCACGGGCCATTTCAATGCATTCACGGATGATATCGAGACTTTATCAGATAACGATCTTGCTAGTTTATACTCAAAGTCTAGCAAACACGCCCCATCGAACTATCTCTCCTGGACACCAACCATTGGCAGAAATTCCACTTTCGTGGCGTTAACAGATGAACAGAAGGAAGAGTTAGGTGGTGTGGAATACCGTGCTTTGAAATTGCTCAGTACCATTCTAGTTTCTTACTACATTGGCTTCCACCTCGTGGGAATCATATGCTTTGTTCCTTTCATAACAAAGAGAATGAAGTATTTGAATATAATTAGAAGCGACGGCGTCGCCCCTGCTTGGTGGGGTTTTTGGTACCCCCAAACATGTTTTAACGATTTGGGAATCACTCTTACCCCTGACTCAATGATATCATTCAAAGAGAACGCATTTACTTTGATTTTAGGAGGATTCTTGATCGTTGCTGGAAATACAGGGTTTCCAATTTTTCTTCGATTCATCATTTGGGTATTGCATCGCTTCTCGAGGCCGCTCACGCTGTATAAAGAGTCATTGGCGTTTTTGTTAGAACACCCGAGAAGATGTTTCACGTTGCTGTTTCCGTCGGGGCCCACATGGTGGCTCCTTTTTGTGTTGGTTGTGTTGAATTGCATTGACTGGTTGCTTTTCATCATTCTGGATTTTAACAAGAGCGTCTTGGAAAGCGTGAGACCGGGATACCGCGTCTTAGATGGACTTTTTCAAGCTATATCCACTAGAACAGCAGGCCTGTCAGTTGTGGATTTGTCTCGGTTGAGTCCTGCTGTACAGGTGAGTTATCTCGTGATGATGTACATTTCTGTCATGCCGTTGGCAATATCTATTAGACGAACTAATGTCTACGAGGAACAATCCTTGGGTGTTTATTTTGACAATAACGACGTTAGTTCCACGAACAACGCGGATGATACCAATAACAGTAATCAAAAGGGGAAAAGCAACCAGACTATATCTTTCATCGGCACACACTTGCGCAAACAGCTGTCTTTTGATTTGTGGTTCTTGTTTCTTGGTCTGTTCATCATATGCATCTCGGAGGGTGGAAGATTAAATCAAGGTGATATACATTTCACTATTTTCAGCTGTCTTTTTGAAATCACTTCTGCTTATGGTACTGTGGGCTTGAGTCTAGGTTATCCAAACACAACTCCATCCTTTTGCGGCCAGTTCAACACTTTATCTAAAGTGGTGCTCATTATCATGATGGTGAGAGGTAGACATAGAGGTTTGCCTTACGCAATAGACAGAGCTATAATGCTTGAGACCGACAAGATTAAGATGCGGGACGATTTGCAAGCTCACCATACTTTGAGGCGGGCTCAAACTATGGCTTCATTACCGACGTACGCATCGTCGCACCATGGCCCTTTGCTGAGGGTCAATACAACTCGAAACGAGGGATTCGATACGAGCAATATCTGGCCATTTTTGAAAAGAAAAGCCTCTGCAGTGGCCGGAGAATTTAGAAGAAGCTTGCAAACAAGGAATTATGATTCTGAGAATGAAGAGGCTCTAGAGTTTGATGATGAGTCTGTTCCTTCGTACAACGGCTACAGAGAAGCGGAACATAACGAAACGAATGTGATGGACAGAAATATAAATGAAAGAGCTTCATTGTCGCCAACTGGACCCGCATCCTCAGCCCCATCTTCTAAGCCCAACCGTCACAATTCACTTTAATAAGCAATCTTTTTAATGTTCTTTAGAGTTTAATCATGATTGGCCCGGGCAATCAAACCATGTTGTTTACCCCAGTTACACTTAAGTCGAGTGCCATTTATGACCATTCCATTCAGCCGCAAAATTGCCTCAACAGCATGCTCATGGCGGTCAAATTTTATGAAGGCACATCTTCTTTCGGAACACAGTTTAAAATCAATGATATAGCCAAATTTCTGCAATAAAGAAATGAGTCGCTCTTGCGTCACGTATCCTACTAAATTTCCAAGGTAAATAGTGTTGTTCCAAGAAGGGGTCTGGTGGTATATTATGTGATAAAGTTGTGCAGGACTAATGGAGGGAATGTCCAGGGGATGCGACTGTATGGTCGAAAAGTCAGAGTGCATAGAGAGCCTGTAGTGGGATGAAGTCTGATAATGATCTGTTTTGCGGCTTGCTGTGTTTATTTTTATTGGCCATCCTCCAAGCATAACTCCATTCATCTCATAAAGACACTTTTGTGCATCTTGAAAATCCTGGAATGATACAAATCCATATCCCCGCGATTTTCCTGTTTTCATATCCCACATCACATTTGCTTGAACAAAGGATCTGTAATTATTGAAAAACCGACCAAGCGTTTCATCATTTACGTCTGGCGATAAGTCCCCTACATAAAGATTGTGAAGGTTGTTGGATTTTGAGCGTTGGGTTTGGAAAGCCCATGAGACTTTTATCGGGCAGCCGGCCACCAGTGTACCATTAAATGACTTAAATACACTTTCAGCAGATGAATGTGAGCCAAACTCGATAAAAGAGTAATGGAATTCAGATTTGTTTTTATCACTGAAAAGCTTGATGGTCAGTATAGGAGAACCTATGGGTAGAAAGAGCTCCCTTAGGGTAGTTTTCGTCACAGATTTGGGTAGCCCACCAACATGTAAAACTGTGCGAGAAAGTTCTCGTCCTCCTTCAATTGCACTTGCCGGAAAGCTGTATCGATTATCCAGACTTGTGCTTGTGGTCGGCCTCTGCACTGGAGTCACCTGGGATACAGACGAACTAACCGACGGATGATCAGACAACAATTCTGTAGTCATATGCTAAATCCAATTGCTTGCGAATATGTTTCAAAGTTAAAACTAAATGTATTTGCAACCGCTGAATGTGCCCTGATTTGCAAAATGGAAAAGATTCGTTGCAATAAACTTCCCCAATTTTAACAAAAGGCGAGACCAGTAGCTGAATTAGTACAATGACAATGAGAACTGGCCTCCGTCCCGTGACAGCCACGCATCTCATGAATCAGTTCACATTTCTCCACAATTGGAAATTTCGATGTCAATCACAGGACGTTCATTGTCAACAGTCACATGCTCAATTGTCCGAATTATGTCCTCACCATCAATCACACGCCCAAAGACCACATGCTTTCCATCCAGAAAATTATTGTGAGCCAGATTGATGAAGAATTGACATCCATTGGTATTAGGGCCAGAATTTGCCATAGCTATCGTCATGGGCTCATTCTTGAACATAAAGCCCTCATCCTCAAATGAATCCACACCGTAAATCGTTTTGGTTCCAGTTCCGTTCCCTCTCACGAAGTCGCCCCCTTGGATCATAAATCCAGGCACAACACGATGAAATCGACTGTTTTTATATCCTATAGGCCTTCCGAGCTCCCTATATTCACCTGTACAAAATTGCCGAAAATTTTCAGTCGTTTTTGGAAGTTGCTGGGTATATAGCTCGATCTTCACGCGTCCGAGAGGTTTGGGCCCCAAGCTAAGATCTAGAAACACGATCGCCATTAGGGTATTAGCTCGGATTTTTTTTTCTTTTCGCTTGGCGGTGCCAGTGGAACCATAGAGTCAAATAATCAAAAAGTATTTTCTCGCATAATGTCTGGCGATAAACGAGTTCACACCTCTGTCCCTGACACAGAGACGGCAATAGATAGAAACTTGCCCGAATTTCCTGCAGCGAAGCCTATTGACGAGGATAATTATTTCAGGCTTCATAAACCTCCCCCTTACCTTTCTCAGATATCCAGAGATGTTGCAGAGTTCATCAATTACCACCATCTCCAAAAGCGCAAAATTGTGCTGGTCACTTCGGGAGGTACCACGGTACCTTTAGAGAACAACACTGTCCGGTTCATTGACAACTTCAGTGCGGGGACAAGAGGTGCTACTAGCGCAGAGTACTTTTTGGAAAATGGATACGCAGTGGTATTTCTCCACAGAGAATTCTCCCTGCTTCCTTATTCAAGACACTACAGTCATACTACTAATTGTTTTCTAGATTATATGACAGAGTCAGAAGATGGGAAAGTGGAAGTCAATGCCGAGTTCCAGAAAGAGATGATTGTTGTGCTCCGCAAATATAGACACGTACAGAACAACAACTTGCTTTTACTCGTCCCATTCACTACTGTGCACCAATACCTATTCACTTTGAAACTCATTGCGCAAGAACTTTCGGTGATTGGTTCCGATGCACTCTTTTATTTAGCGGCAGCGGTCTCGGATTTCTTTCTTCCTTCCTCTAGAGTTCCTGAGCATAAAATCCAGAGTCAAGAATCAGGAGGGAAATTGGTGGTCGATTTGGAGCCTGTTCCCAAGTTTTTGAGCAGACTTGTGGACTCATGGGCCCCGATTTCTATGATAGTATCGTTCAAGTTGGAAACCGACAGTTCAATCTTGATTAAAAAATCGAAAGGCGCACTTGAAAGGTATAACCATCAGCTGGTTATCGGCAATTTGCTGCAGACCAGAAAACACGAGGTTGTATTTGTTACCAAAGATAGCGAAAGATGGGTCCGTTTGTCACAAGACCAGGTGGATGCAGGTATTGACATTGAGTCTCTCATAATCCCCGAGGTTATCGAATTACACAAATCTTCCATCGAAGAGAAGAAAAAAATGGGTTTGTAGACTCTGTCTATATCTATTAGCCATTGAATTTACAGGAATGATAAACCAATTCCATACTGAATACCTTTGCGCACTTCATCCCCGTTGTGTATCGCGATCGGCAGAGTGAAGTTGAGTTCAAATCTTGCTGCTGGATGAGCATACACAATTCCAAATCCTATCGTGGTATTGAGCTGATTGAACAAACTGGACAAGCCCCAAGCAGGTTTGGAAATGTCCAAGTTAATTAACTTACCCGAGTTGAGAAAGTAGTGAAGCTTGAAGTTTGAGTCAGACGACAGGAATGGTATGCGTTGGAAGAGACTGAGCCCATAACTAAAACATGCATCACCTCCTATGCTGAGCCCCATTTGCTTAGGTCCCATGCCTGATGTCCAAAAACCACGAATGTCATTAGGCCCACCAGATTGGAACTTGTCCATCGGGTGAATAAGAGCATTGTTCAGGCCCTTGATGAATCCCAATTTCGTAGTCATGCTCATACTCAAAGAATTGGTGATCTTGAGAGCCTGTGAAAGTTGCAAAGTGGTCTTCAAGAAAGTGGATGCAGGAAGAAAAGAATATTCAGTGGTAGATTTGAAGAGATGTCCTGCAGTTGGAAAAATTGGCCGATTTCTTGTATCATGGGAAATCGAGTAAGCAACGCTCGACTTTGGAGACTCTCCAGCGTTGAACAAAAAGTAATCATTAATTAGAGAATTATTGCGGTAGCCATTTGGAGATGGCTCTAGACTCATTGCCCGTAGGAGATTTTCAAACGTAAGTTCTTGATTAAAGCGGTTTTCGAATGGGAGGTAGTTAGTTGATAGTTTTGTGGTAATTCCCGTTACTATTTGTTCATGGTAAGTGGTGTAATCTATGAATCTAGAAGAATGGTAAAGCAGGATGTCAATCTTTTGATCTGGACTGTTAAATACTGGCATGCTATAGTTCAAAAGATACTGTGATCTGTTTCTAGTGCCAATCTGATTCGAGGCCATATTAGTGTCAAATGTAAGTGTTTCTGCACCTCCAAAAATGTTGCGCCATTGAAGGGATAAATAGCCGTCTCCTTCTCCATTGCCAACATTGGTGCCAATCTTCATGAATAGCTTTTTTACTGGCTTGATCTTCACATTCGCTACTAACTCAAGCATGTCAGGGGCACTTCTTGGCAAGTTAAAAGCACTTGCATCAAGTTGGGTGATTACTTGTTCAACTGCTGCCGTTTTCGTAAAGTTGTAAGCTGTGGTATCGACTTTTTGTAGAAATGACTTCAAAGTCAACAATCCTGGGTTTTTAAGCAATGGACTTAACTGACGCGCAAGAAATCTATCTCGAAACTGCAAATTGTCTCCGAAAACATTGACTTGGCTTACTTTGACAGGCCGCAGCGAGTTTTCTCTCAGCAGTTCATTGAGCATATTTTGATTATATTCCATGATCACTTTCTGCCTTTTCGCCTCCAGCTCATCAAGCTCTGTTGATTTTCCTGGGGCAAAGGTCTCCATAAAGCGATCACTGTGATCAGTCATGGGGGATCTTAAAATGTTCAAGGACTTTGTATCTGTTAAATCTAGAGCGACGATCGACGTTATTTACAAAATTTTCAGAGTCATTCTAAATTAAAGATGAAAAAAAATTCATTCAAAAACAAGATCTTGATCCACAGAATTAGGTCAACCTGTATCACCCTTGATTTTGCACTCAACACCTGACACGAGGATAACAGAAAATGTGCGGAATTTTAGGATTAGTGCTTGCTGATCAAAGCCAGAACTGTGCAGCTGAACTTTTTGATGGGTGTCTCTTCCTGCAGCACAGAGGTCAGGACGCTGCAGGTATAGTCACATGTGGAAAGAGAGCTAGACTTTACCAATGTAAAGGTAACGGAATGGCTAGTGATGTCTTTACTCAGCAAAGGATGCTTGGCCTTGTTGGAAATATGGGCCTGGCTCATCTTAGATATCCCACTGCAGGCTCCAGTGCCAATTCGGAAGCTCAACCATTTTACGTTAACTCCCCTTATGGGATTGCCTTGAGTCACAACGGCAATCTGACAAATGGAGAAGAACTCCGAACATACCTCGATGAGGTGGTTCACAGACACATCAATACAGACTCTGATTCTGAACTTTTGCTCAACCTATTTGCCAGTGAGTTGGCCGCATACGGAAAATCCAGAGTTAATAACAACGATCTTTTCAAGGCTTTGAAGGGGGTGTACGAGAAAGTCAGAGGTGCATACGCTTGCGTTGCTATGCTTGCGGGTTATGGTATCATCGGCTTTAGAGATCCTCATGGCATTCGTCCTCTCTTAATCGGTGAGCGCCTCAAAGATGATGGATTGAAAGATTACATGCTTGCTTCAGAGTCTGTTGTTTTGAAAGCTCATGGATTCCAAGTTTACAGGGACATTTTACCAGGAGAAGCAGTCATAATACCGAAGAACTCCATGGTTCCTGAATTCAAACAAGTTGTGCCTATGCAATCATACACTCCCGACATTTTTGAATATGTGTATTTTGCTAGACCTGACTCCGTTTTGGATGGAATTAGTGTGTACAGATCGAGATTGGAAATGGGTACTAAGCTGGCCGAAAACATTACTCACCAATTCAAAAAAGATGGACTTGACGTGCGAAAAGAGATTGACGTTGTCATTCCTGTTCCAGATACATCAAGACATTCTGCTCTCCAGTGCGCTAATTCGATGAACATTCCTTACAGAGAAGGTTTTATCAAAAATAGATACGTTGGCAGAACGTTCATTATGCCTGACCAGAAACAGAGACAGTCTTCGGTGAGAAGAAAATTGAACGCTATGGCCTCAGAGTTCTATGGCAAATCGGTTCTTCTGGTTGATGATTCCATTGTGAGAGGTACAACCTCCAAGGAAATCATCAGTATGGCCAGAGAAGCAGGCGCAAAAAAGGTTTACATTGCATCTTGCTGCCCTGCCATCAGACATAATCACATTTACGGAATCGATCTTGCTGACAATCGTGCGTTAGTTGGCTACAATAGAACAGATGAACAAATTTCAGAAGCAATTGGTGCAGACCGCGTCTTCTACCAAAACCTTCAAGATCTTATTGAATGCTGTGTGAAGGATAATCGAATCAAAGACCATGAGATGGAACTTGCTTTGACCCCTGTTGTTTCCAGAGACGAGACAATTGATTCCCAGATTTTGACAAACAAGACATCTCCGCCTATCGACTCTTTCGAGGTTGGTGTGTTTACTGGCTCGTATGTCACTGGTGATGAGACCGAATATCTGTCCTTTGCCGAAAGAGCTCGTGCTGTAAATGAAAAAATCAAAAATACTGCAAAGGTCACTCGAGGGATAGAGAGCTTGGATATAGAAGACGTGAAAGCTTCTGTGGATATTTCCATCTTTAACAGTGGAGACTACAATTAGCTATTCTCTCTATCACTGGTTGGCGCACGATAATCTACATACGGATATAAAAAAATTTCAAAAAAATTTATCTTATTCAATGAGCCAGCTTTCGAACGAGAGAGTGGTAGATTCTGATTCTGATCTTTCCGATCAGGAATTCTTTAGTTTTAATCCACCAAGGGGATTCAAGAAGGTGAAGAAAATAGAAAATATAGAAAAGCTTTCGCCAAAGAATTTGAAAAATAAAGAAATCTGGTTGATTCAGGTGCCTTCAGACTTCAACATCAAAAAACTCAAAAAGCTTCCAGTAAATCTTGGAGTTGGTCGAACGACTGAGTTTAAGGTGAAAGATACCGAATATGCATTAAACGAAGACCTCGCGGCAGCGGAGCATAACGTTTTAAAGAAAAGATACAAGATCATGAGCGCACAAAACGAAAAATCACTTCAACCTGTTTCCAAATTGGAGATCTCCAGATTCTACAGTGTATCGGAGAAGGTGAGAATTCCAGAGATTGACCATGGCAAGGTAGTGACTCAAAGACGTGACGTGGAGCAACATGCCGACTTAAGAATGAGACATTTTCCAACGGGATACGGAAAAGATAACTATGAGGAGGCTAAAAGGGAGGATAAGCCTGTTGCCACACCTCACAAGAGAAAAAGCGAGGATTTCTCAAAGAAGGAGAAAAAACATAAAAAGGACAAAAAAAAGAAGGACGCCGAAGATTAGTCTGTATTATAGTTAGAGATCTTAACTTTGAACGTCATCAGTGTAAAGAGTCTGTATCATGACATTTTACTATAGTCCTTGAGAATTCCTTTCATATGCGTGTTTGTGATTTTTCCTCTTCTCGCTTTCTTTTGCTTCCTTTCTTGCACAGGTGCAACTTTTTTATTCTTTATCGAATCAGGATCAACATTGGTAGGTTTTGATCCAGTTTCAATCAACTGTCTTACCAAATCATCACCTTTGGGAACCTTGATTTTAGCCCACATATCGTAGAATTCTGGCTCTACCACATTTTCAAGTTTATAGAACCCGACATTCAGCCAAATATGGCGTGGTGCATTTTCTTTCTTTGTCTTGTGAACGATTATTTTCTCTTCTTTCTCCAATTGTGCCAAGGTCTCAAGACATCCATTCCATCCATCTTTCAGCTGCTTCACCGAAAGACCAGAAAATGTGGGCTGATTTTCAAGAACTTTGATCAGATCATCCCCAGTTTTGATATTATGCAACGAAAGGTATTCAAGTGTTTGGTTCACAGGATCATATTTGATTCTGTCGACGTTTGTGAGTACCTTCAACAATTTCGGATCCACCTTACATTTGATATGCTGCTGAAGCTCTTCTATTTTCACTGGATGGTCACTGGTTTTGATGAAATCTGATGCGGTCATTAATCGTATGGAAAGAGAGCTTGCAGGGGCAGAATCATAATCGCTTGTTCTTGGTCTTTTTATTTCATCATCGTTGTCTGTGTCGTTCGGGCGCTTCAAAGAAGGTTTATCAATTATTCGACGCTGTGATGGAAGAGTGGTAGAGGAATTGCGAACCGTTTTTTTGAACTGGCTTAGTTGTGAAGCGAAGGGGTCCGACATACCTGCAAATATTAAAGATTAATTATGAATTATTTTTGCCGTTATTATATTAGTACACGACCTAACGAATATAAAAAAGTGGACTCTCGCGAAACTTTTCCTTACACACACCTTTCGATCCAAGCTGATGATACGAGGTAATGTTACAGTTCATTGGCTTCAAGATCGAAAGGTCAAATCAATCGACAGCTCTAAAACCATCGTCGTAGAGGTCTACGCAAGTATTGACTCATGAGATGATGATGACCTGACAGCTGCAACAAACTTATCTATTGTAAAAGCTAGTAATTTAGAAGACTGAAAAAAATTTTCAAGTTAAATTCGCCTCTTGCCTGTATATAAAATGATTAACCTGGTGGCAAAATCTGCCAGATGTGCACGTTTGATCACTCATAAACCAATCGTTGTCAGAAGTACTCTGGTTGCGTCCCAGTATAGATTCTACAGTGAGAAAAAGGACGAGAAAAAACCTGACTCCATCTTGGACGAGGACCTTCTTGCCAAAGCGGGCATTGATTCAGACCCTAAAATACAATCAAAAGAAGAGCCTAAAAGGCACGAGCCTCAAGAAGACGAGTTTGGTCAACCTAGAAAAAGAAGAAACAACGTTAAGTCCTCTTTGGATAAGAAGAAAGAAAGACTGGCCAAATTGTTTTGGTTCTCTGTTCTAGGAACCGCTTTGGCTGGAGGAATCTACAACTCCAGAGACTGGGATCCAGAAGAAGATAAAGAGCTTTACAACTCTGAAGAGAATGGGTTGAATCCAGTTAATGTGTGGACTAGATTCAAGAAGAGAATGTGGGGAGTTACAAACGTGTTTTCCGAGCCAGCGTTCACCGATCTTCTTCCACCTCCCCCTCCTGCCCCTTACAGACACCCATTGACATTGGTGTTAGAACTTGATGATCTGCTTATTCATGCCGATTGGGACCACAAAAAAGGTTGGAAGACTGCCAAGAGGCCGGGGGTTGATTACTTTTTGGGCTACCTCTCCCAATACTACGAAATTGTGATCTTCTCTAGATCTTCCATGGCTTTTGCGGAAACAGCAGTTGCTAAGCTAGACCCATATCATGCTTTCATTTCCTACTCTTTGTTCCGGGAGGCTTGCAGAACCAAAGATGGAAAAGTGATCAAAGATTTGAGCTTGATGAACAGGGATTTGGGAAAACTGATCATTATTGATCCAGATGAATCATGCTACTCGATGCAGCCTGAAAATGCCATCCCTATTGATAAATGGGATGGCAAAAAAGACGATAAGCTTGTTAGATTGATTCCTTTCCTTGAATATCTTGCCACGCAGCCAATCAAGGATGTCAGGCCTGTTTTGGCGTCATTCAAAGACAAAAAGAAGATCCCTGAAGAGTTTGCTGAGAGAGAGGCAAAGTTGAGACAACAATGGGAGAAAGAACAAAAGCAAATCAATGGCTCCACCCTTACCTCCTCATTGCTTGGTATTTCCCAAATGAGACCTAGAAAGATGCCTTTGGATCTCATAAGAGAACACGGGCAGAAGAACTACCTTCACATGTACAATTATTTGAAGGAGAATGGAGAGAAATTGTTGCAAGAAGAGCAACAGAAAACGAAAGAGCTATTGGCCGATCAAAAGTTGACTTTGGAGAAGATCTTCACTGAGGGGATGCCAACCGCGGAGGACATCGCTAAGCAGCAGGCCATTCAGGCCGCTCAAGATGGACAGGCTCCAGCAAAACGATAACTGTTATGAATGAGTATGACCAGATATGTCTATGTGCGTTTTGTATATTGGAATCTCTAGTATTTACCAAGAGCCAGGCTCTTAATTAGTTCGTATGCAATACTTCCTTCCATTGGAAGAGAAACGTCATCAAGTTCCCCGCCATTCAAAAGGGTTTTGATATCGTCAACATCAAACCATCTACAATCGGCCAGTTCGTTATCCAACTCTGTGTTGATAACTTCATTAACTCCATCGAAGTGAACAATGCCAAAACAACCAATCATCAAATTCGCAGGGAATGGCCAAGGTTGACTTGCAGCTATCTTGACTTCCCGCGCAGAACATCCAGTCTCTTCCCAGATTTCTCTGAGTGTGGACTCTTCTATGGTTTCACCTGGCTCCATAAACCCAGCAATACAAGAGAACATTCTCTTACCGTTAGGACCAGCAGGATGTCTTTGATTGTTCCCCAAAAGGATTTTTTTCCCATCAGAAGATACAGCGCCCACGATGATGACCGGATCTGTACGAGGGAAGCAGACATTACTCACAGCAGAGCTTTTCACAGGACACTCTTCTTTGGGAGTTTTGCATAAGAGTCTTGTTCCAGCATCCACTGGAATCACTTGCCGCCCACAGCCAGGACAGAACTTGTTTCTCATAAGCCAATCCATATACATTTTGGAATACGCAAATAAAGAAGACTCGTTTTTGGACACTGTAAGAATACTCATCATGTTGTTGACAGTTTTCACATCTTCGAAGGATGACAGATAGGTTTGGAATTCCTGACATTGTGTGACATCAACTGCATAGTACGGAGTCCCCTGAAATTTGTCGTACTTAAACTGAGGGTACTCTTTCAGCTTATAGGAGTTTGGATATATGAAAGAGCCGCTCAAAGAGTTGTCGTTGAAGAGGTATTTTTCATCCAATCCGTCTTCATCGAGACCCAGAAAGACTAGCGTAACATCGTCTCTTAAATCATTCGCTTTCTTTGAATTCTTCATACTCCAGTCATGAAGAATTCGAATCAATTGTGAGGGAAGAGTATTCAGTTGCAAATTCAGCATGCCAAACTTGCCGTCTCTTTGAATCATATAAGGATGAATTCCATTTTTGCCATCCTGTTTATAAAATACTAAACGTGCGGGGGAAAGGGGATCGAGAATGGTCTTGGAGATAAAATCATCGTTGGTTCGTAAGAATGAAAACCTATTGAGAGTTGTAGTCGTTCCAAAAAAGATATCCGTCATGCCCCTCTTTCTTTTAAATCCTCTAACAAAATTCAAAGAACGAAATACTTTATCTATGGGGTTCTTCATACCCGGATAAAAGACTTCAAGCCTAAGTCTCCGCCTAGGCAACTTCAAAAATTAAGTCCGAGATGCGACTGTAGTCGCGACGATTATATTTTACAGGACATACATTAGATTTGAATTGATTATGGACAATGTGAAAAAGTGACCCAGATAAGCTAAAGTATACTATACGAACGCACAAACAGACATCGGCTAAAGAATCAACAACAAAGTACCAAAAATGAGGTTGATATACTTAACTTCTACCTGAACTGATAATTAGAGCCATGCTGGATTGAAGTTCGACTGTTCGTGGTTTGGCGGAGCATTGAATTGAGAGGCAGACTTGATGTTGTAACCATGTTGAGCGCTCTTGTATTGAGTGCCTGCAGGTAATGGAGATGGATCAGGAACTGGTTGGGCTAGGGTTTGCGATTGTTGTAGTAACGGTTTCACAGCAGGGCTCGAAACTGGATCTTGGTAATACTGCTGTTGCGATGAGAGAGCATGCTGCTGCTGTGATGGTTGCTGTAATGGTGTCGGCTCTAGTTTCTCCTCCTGCTTCTCCTCCTGCTTTCCTTCAGCTTCGTCGCCATTTTGAATGGCCTTTTGTTGCTGTTGTTGTTGCTGCTGTTGCTGCTGGTGCAGCTTGTACTTGAAAACGGTCCAGTCGAATATCGAATCATAAAGGTATCCTTCCCTAATGAATAATTGTCTGAATATCTTTCTCAAATAAATATAGTCAGGTTTGTCATCAAATCTCAGTGCTCTCACATAGTTCAAGTAATGTCTAAATTCAAGAGGAAGGCCTCTAGCCAAAACTTCTGCAGGAGTTGCCATCTTTTTCTCCAAGATACGGTCGTACTTTTGTCTCTTTGTGGCCGCCTTCAAACCCTGCCATGGTAAAGAACCCCTGCAGAAATATATGAGAACATAACCCAATGATTCCAAATCGTCCCTTCTAGATTGCTCGATACCCAGATGGGTGTTGATAGATGCATATCTCGCTGTTCCAGTAAGATTTTTATTCTCTCTGTAAGGAATGTGCAGATGGGTTCTCGGATCCCTGAACTTCTTTGCAAGTCCAAAGTCGATCACGTTCACTTGTGAGCCTTTTTTGCCAATACCCATCAAAAAATTGTCAGGCTTGATGTCTCTGTGGATAAAGCTTCTGGCGTGTATGAATTCGATTCTGCAGAGAAGCTGATCTGCAAGCAAAAGGACAGTCTTGTATGAGAACTTTCTGTTACAGTAGTTGAAGAGGTCCTCCAAAGATGGTCCAAGAAGATCGATAACCATAGCGTTGTAATCGCATTCAGTTCCGAACCATCTTACGAAAGGAATACCGACTCCCCCACAAAGAGCTTTGTAGACTTTTGCCTCGTATTCCAGTTGTGGGTGTTTAGCTCTAACGTTCTCAAGCTTGATAGCGACCTCCTCACCGGAAATAATGTTTGTACCAAGATAGATATCACCGAAAGATCCTGATCCGATCTTTCTGCCGATCCGGTACTTTCTGCCGACCCTTAAATCCATCCTGAGTCAGATATGAATACTCCAGAGAACTAAAAATATGCTGAGATGTTGTTTAAATATAATTCTAAACACTAGAATATGAAAATGGCGGTATTCAATTTTTACACTTTTCCCGCAAACCGCCAGCTGAGAAATCTAAGCAGTTTGCCGTGGATCCTAGCCGCGCCAAGTTTTTCTGACGCCTTCGTGTGTCCTGTTGTACCGAAAATTTTTTCTACCTGAAGTCACCTGGTGTACGGATGTTGGAATTTTTGTCTTGCATAAAGTTTCTATCGGTCTCAGATGATGGACGGCATTTGAAACCCTTATGACACGTGACGTAAACAATTGTATACGGCTGGCTACAAATTTAATTTGAAATCAATACATACCTACATAATTCCGGTATGTTTTGCTACTGAACCAAAATTAGCCACGCGATTTTCGTTCCTCTAATGGCTGACCCATTGCCAAAAAAGTTACAAAGGGTAGTGCGATACACATATCTACCTATCAATGTCAGAAACTATAATAACATGCCACAATAGGATTTCCTGTATCTTTGTTCCTTTCAATTCCACAGCCTTCCAATAATAAGCCTGCCTGATTTTAGCACTGTGTGGCTGGTATGTGTCTATATAAAGGGCAATGAAACCAGACGATTGTAAATATAGTATACAAAATTTATAATGTCCACTGAAGAAGTATGCTCTTTTGCTCAATGCTGTAATAGACTAACACTGTATAGATTAAAACCAAAGCCACTGACGCTGTCAACACTGCTGAAACCAAAGTTGACGAGGCCGGCAAGACCCTTACTGACTCTGCTAAAGAATTTGAGTCCAAAGTTGAATCTTCCCTTGAGGATGCCAAGAAGCAAGGCGAGCCTGCCTTGAATGAGGCAAAGGACAAGGTCGATGCTGTCGTTGACGATGTGAAGGATAAGGCTTCCAATGCATTAGGTGACTCTAAAGACAAGGCTGAGAATGCTGCCACTAATGCTGAGGGTCAAGCTCAGGAGACTGCTAAGACCGAGGAAACCAAAACTGGCTTCAAGAAGTATCTTGCTAAGTTCAAAAAGGTTTTCAACATCTAAATGACACCCTGATAACGCTATGAATGTTAATCATGTTGAGATACTAGGCGGTGGCTAATTTAATCCCTATCGCGTCTGACCTAGCTTTTATGTAATAATACGCTTAATTGGAATTTTGTCAACTATTACGTAAATCTCGTCGAGTTTTACCTGAAGGTAAAAAAAACTTTGTAAGAAAATCGATTGTGAAGGACACAGATGTTTCGACCTTTAGGGCTTACTCACCTTTCCCAAAGGCGTACCTTTTCGAGCTCCACGCTCCAGTTTGCGGTTTACAAATCTAAGTCGTTTAGCAGAAAAACGAAGTACGATCCGTCCAAAAACAGAAAAGGTTCCGGCAAGGATAAAAGATTCAACAAACTTCTAGTTTCTGAGAATTACAAAAGGAGCGCCACTGATCAGGAAGTTCACGAGAAGTTACCAGTGTTCTCTGCTGAAAATTTGCATCTTGATGAAGTTGTTAAGTTCAAGAAAACAAGCTATCAGAAATTACATATCCTTGGTGCATTCAAACCAAATCAATTTAACGAACTGTACTCCCGGCCGATCACTTTATCGCGCAAAGTTGAGACCAGTCAGATTCACGAGTTTGTCACCAAGAGCTTGTCGTCTTCCTCGAAGGAAAACAGACTGATTATAACTGGAGACTTGGGGGTTGGTAAGTCGACGATGCTCACACAGTTCCATGCTCTAGCACTGGAACAGGACAGTGTCATCCTTCATATTTCAAATATGGATGCTCTTGTCGACGGTTCCAATGATTTCAAGTACAACAGTGCAACAGGATTATATGAACAGCCAATGGCCACCAGGGATTTGCTCAAGAAGTGGTTTTCTTTGAACAAAAACGTTTTCGACAAGATGAATCTTTCTAAACCATATTCTCCTACATTTGACATGGCCAGGAATCAAAAGCCTATTGCCTTTTCAGAGAAGAATACTCTGCGTGAAGTGTTGGGAAAACTTTTGTACAACCCTGCAGTGAATCGTGCTAATCTCTTTCAATTTTTGATGGACGAACTTGCCGCTCAGGAAAGCATTCCTGTGTTTTTAACGATTGACAACTTCAGTGCCCTTTGTCACTATGCTAACACTAGGTATAGAGACAAGCACAACAATCCAATCTACTTCCAGAAATTTCAATTGTCGAAAACTTTTGTGGAGTTCATCGGCGGCGACAAGACATTCCACAAAGGAGCCATCGTTGCAGCAACAAAGTTTGACCACAAGGATACGGACACCATCCCTGTTGCGCTTGGACTAAGGGAGCCAGATTACTACGCCACGTTTGATCAGTGGGATCGCAAATTCACTGAACAGCTAGTTAGGAACGGCAAGCCAGAACACTTACACGTGAAGAGATTGAGCAAAGAACAAGTTCGTGCTTTAGTGGAGCACATGCTGGAATGTAAGGTGATTCCCCATGAAATTGAAAAGAGGGGATTTTCAAGAGAAGACGATATCCACGAGGTTTTGCCCAGACTATCCGAAATGGAGTATTTACTCTCGGGAAATGGAAATCCACGGGAACTTTACAAAAACTGTGTCTTTTCTTACATTTGAAAAAGATTGTACATAGAGATGCATTAATATACAACTAGTTATACATGCCTCCTTTTACTGGGAAGTCCCATGTCTCCATATTTTGGACTGTTTGTTTTGGTATACGTTGGCAACTCTTCAAAACCATCTGATTCGTAATATTCATCATCGTCCTCAGGTTTCGGAGGAGCTTCTATTTTGCGTTTCTCAGGAGGGGAGGGTTGAGGCTTCTGATGAGGCTGATGCGAGTGCGTATGTTGAGCGTGCTGAGCATACTGTTGTTTCAGCTTTTCTCTTTCCATCCATCTAGCCTTAATTTCATCCTCAGCAGCTATGAGCTCCTCCTTGCTCACAGAATCCTCTATGGATTTTAACACCTTTGACACAACAGTGATGTAATTTCCATGAATCTTGTCGTCTCTGAAACGGAGGAGTTTCCACTCACCTTTCTCGTTTCTTCTGACCTCGGCAATTCGTCCATTGAAAGACTCCCCTGATTTTTTCAGTTGTTCCCATTCCTCGTTCGTAATCGTTAACTGATCCCACTCTTCGTACCCACTGAAACTGTTCACATATTCTCCGTCGTTTCGTTGCAAATTCTCTTCAATGGATTCGTCTTCAGCCTCATCTTTACCCTTCCAGACATACAGCTTGATGGTGGGGGTCGCATCGTAGTCATAATATTCCCGGTTAGGATCGTGCTTGGGTAAGGACTCGTCAACGTACACCGGAAATTCCAACTTCAGCTTCAGATCTATTGTATTCTCTTCTGCTGGCTTCCACTTCAATAGATTGCTATCTGTCCCTGGAATATATGGAGTGTCACAACAAGTCAAGATCAAACCATCAGAAACATACGTCAAGTTCTTCATTTCCTGAAATATCTTGCGGATTTTGTACGGTTGTGTCATGTTCTTGAAATCGAGCTTGAATGGAAATTGAGCACAAGCGTCTGGAAAGGCCCGACGAAGATCCATATATGGTTTGTGAAACTCATGCTGTGCGTGGTACAGTCTTTTCCATAAATTTTTATGCATAACACTGGTCATGTCCATAGCAAGGCAATCAAAAATGAGATATCTTATCTCCCTGATTCCAGTGGTTGGATTTTTGCTCCAAACAAGCTCACCATCAACGATAGTACCATTATGCGAGCTGTCGAAATTTTTGCTGGACCTTGGGAAATGGAACCCAGGAACTATGTAATACTGGTTTTCTCTGTTGATAAGAAACGTCCCCTCCTCTCCAGTGTCCTCATTGATCATTACCAAAAGCAAACATCGCAAACCATCCGATTTTTCACAAACTAGATAGTCTCTGTTTTTTAGCGTTGTCAAATGTTCTCTTGCAAAGCTAACCGGTTGAGAACCTGGAAAGGAATTGAACCTTGTTTTCAAGATCCGCGACACTCGCGACTTCAAGTACTCTGCAACCTCAGGGGCTACCAAATCCCCAGGGATATCGGGCACACCTCTGTCTTGGTCCATTGATTGTTTTATAAAAAGTTTGGAATTTCACATCTTTACACCCAAAAATTTTAATCCTTCTATTCAGTATCTTTGCATCCGTTGTTCATGCAAGGCCGCTATTGAAGCAATCGGGACAAACCCGACGGCTCCGCTGTTGTCTAACTGACTACCTTGATTGGAGACGGTTGCAAATCAGCTTGCTTATTCACAAAACTCTCGAAAGACACTTCTCTTTTGCTGTCATTCTCCTTGATGGAGGAAACTGAAAAGTACAGAGATGATCTCGATAACATGGGATCTGTTCTTTTCTGTACCAGCAGCAGCGTGTAATTTAACCTCGAGGGGACTTTTCGACTTGGTTATCACATTCTCAATAGTGAATGGTCTGCAGCTCCCTTAAAATGAGCTGGCCCCCGGTCGTGAGTTTCATGTACAACATTGTCTGTACATTGGAGACGAGTGTAGTCCTATGTACCAGTAGATGACCCTAGTTATCTCGACGATGCATCTCCTTGTCGTCGTGCACCAGAATTGCAGTGATTTTTTGCACGCAAAATATCTTTTCCTTCCAACGCCACGGTCTTCTCCGCTATCTTCCCACTCCTGCTTTCGTATTTTGCAAGAGACTGGGCTTGACAGTCTACTTACGGTCATAATGGACTCCGCTCGCCCCAAAAGGAAGACGACTGTCAACGTCAACTACAAAGAAAAAAGCGAGCTTGACCTTGTGCAAGAACAAGAAAGAGAATCAAATGTCATAAAGAAACCCGCCAAAAAATCCGAGCCTTCCAAGCCCGACACGCCTACAAAGCTAGCAGGTAAGAACAAGAGCCAGGATAAGTCTCAATATGTTCCGGTTGACGAAGTAGTGCCGACAAATTTTCAGCCAAAGTGTGATCAAGATTTCAACGTTTTGCTTGATCTCAAGGGCGCAAAAGTGGAAAACAACGTTCTCACGCTCAAGGATGGAACCAGAATAAAGAAGGGAGATTTCATATACATGATATGTGAGCCTCCCGGAGAACCGTATTACATCGCAAGAATAAAGGGGTTTGTGCGGAAAGAGAAGGACGATGCCACCAAAAGCGCAAAAAACTACAACTTCGAGGTCTGCTGGTTTTATCGGCCCCGTGATCTCAACAGAAAGTCCCCTGATTCAAGGTTGTTATTTGCATCTCTGCATATGGATGAATGTCCTATTTCAAGTTTTCGAGGTTTCGTGACCGTCAAGCATCGAGCAGAAATCGAAGATTTGGACGCATACCGAATGATTCCTCACAGTTTTTACTTTGAAAAGCTCTACGATAGATACATGGTGAAAATGTACGACGTACTGCCAACGATTAAGCTTACGAACCTGCCACCGAATTATTATAAAGCTCTCACGAAGCGCTTTGAATATATTTTTGTCGAGGTGGGACGAGGCCAAGATCTATTATCAGACCCCAAAAATTGTGAAAAGTGTATGCAATGGGCCGCATCCTCTGATTCAATACAATGCTTGAGATGCCAAAAGATTTACCATTTGCTTTGTGTGGATCCACCTATCACGAGCAAACCCAAAAGGGGTTTCGCATGGTTTTGTGCTGCATGTAATAAAGTGCTCGAGGAAGAGTTGTCGGAGAAGCGCGGTCATATGCTCCACAGCGGTCTTCCTTCACAGATTGCAGCGTCGATAAAGGATGAAGATTCAGATGTAAGTGAGGACGTTTCTAGTTCCCAGACGCCCATGGAAGCAGAATCCAGGTCTGAATCCATTCAGACAAACGAAACAGAACTGCCTAACAGCAAGCTTGCACGGTATGAGGAGCTTGCCGTTGCATTTCTCGAAGCAGATAAAAACTTGAGTTTCGAAAAAAGGAGAGAGATCGAAGAGTGGCCATACAGATACCTCGGTATGCATGCTAAACTAGAGGACGCGCTAGATCTTCAAGACCGACCATATCCGCGAGCGGCATCGAGACTTGGAACAAAGCATCAGTTCACTGGAATTGTCGATTGGTACGGCCATCCAGTCGTATACTATGACGATTCTGACTATCCAAAGGCCAGAAACCGCAAAAAAAATACCAAAAAGAAGACAGCATTGCAGACTGAGGAAGGCTGCGGTAGTTTCCCCATGCCGAAGAAGTACAGAGATTGTGATCCTAGTGATTTACCAAAATGGCTCCAACCGAAGCCGAAGGGATATATAGAGCGAGGCACGGATGCTACCAGCGAGCTCCTTTGGAAACAACCGGAAAATGATGATGGAATGGTCGAAAAATATTTGGACGATGCAAAGCCTTTTGTAGAGAGGCTGGGTATGATTCCTACAACACCCAATTTCATTGACGCTGCACTGAGGACTCTGATGCACAATGATTATAATCCAGAAAAAGCTTTACAGGAAGTATCCAAATTTACCAGAGACTCTTTGAAGGAACCAACTTTCACACCAGAAGAAATCCAAAGATTCGAGGAGTCTGTCAAGATAAATGGAAGTGAGTTATTCCCTGTGTTCAAAGATGTTAAGACCCAGTCGTCAGCTATGATAGTTAGATTTTACTACCTTTGGAAAAAAACCAAAAATGGCCATTTGATTTGGGATAACTACGCAGGCAGACCTAAGAATCGTTTGACAAAGCTTGCAAAAGCAGATGGTGTCGATGTTAATGATCCTGTGGATGATTCTTCTTACAGTACAGAGAAGATTGAGAGAAATAATGTCACTTTTGAGTGTAAGCACTGTCATACAAGAGCTTCCAAGAAATGGTTCAAGCTTTCGGGAACCACTCTTCCAGAATCGTACCAACAGGTGTTCCCAGGTCTTTGTTTACGGTGTGCTCGTCTATGGAGAGAATATGGTGTGGAATGGGAAGATCCTTATGAGATTATGCGCAAACAAAGCCAACGGGGTGGAAATGGCTGGAAGCGGAAGATTGAGTTTGAGCTGTACGAGGATGCTCGCAAAATTATCAAAGCAAGAGATGAATATCAATTACGTCCTCGCAAATACACAGATTTTGACAAGAAGTCAGATACATCGCGAAGGAGCAAGTCAAAAATAAAGGAAGAAATAGATGCATCTGAAGATCCACTAGAGGATAAGCTGAAGAAAAAGTCAATCAAGGTCAAAAAGCCTCCAAGGCCAGAGACGGTTCAAAAGCAATCTTTAACAGTCACCCTACCATACTCTGAAGTGAGAAAAGGCGAAGAAGTGCTGAATCTCAAGAAAAGATCTTCCGAAGAAGATCCTGAAAAGAAAAACAAAAAGCAGAAGCCTGCTCCGCTGGAATCCCGCTACGAAAGCAAGTTTGATATCCCTTTGCCAAAATTCCAACTCAAGGGAGAGAAACAATACAAACCACCATTTGCGAACGATACGCGTGCATGTTGCGTGTGTAGAGAGTATGGAATGGCCCAAGAGATTTTGATTTGCACTTCATGTGGTTTGAATGTTCATGCATCATGCTATGGAGATATCAATATGGAATCGCTAACGGATCTGAGCAGTTTTAAGTGGCTTTGCGATACTTGTTCAAACGACTTGCATCCTTTATACTCCACTGATTACAAATGCGTTCTGTGCCCGGCAAAGGAGACAGATATTCAGGGAGGTAAACTAGGATTTCCTTACTCGTACCCGGATGCCCTGAAGCGAACAGCCAGTGGTAACTGGTGCCATATCATTTGTGCCACATTTGACCCTTATTGCGAGTTTGGATCCACCTCTTTGCAACCAGTGTTTGGTACAGAGCTTTCTCTTTTGAAAAACACGGGAAAAGAATGCACTATTTGTGGATTTGGTGGCAGTCTCCTTGACTGTAAAGTTTGTCAGAAGCCTATGCACGTAACATGTTGCTTGGATACTGAAGGCTGCGCTGTTGGATTTGAGTTGGTTCCTGATAGAACACTCAATTTGAAATTGAAAGATGTCAACAGATCATTGCGACCAGTACCCCAGATAGTGTGCTGCAGTCACTTGTCACCAGATCTCGTTTCCTTACGTGCTTTTGGAAAAATGAAAGGAAAGAAGGAACAACCACTCATTAAACTTTATTGCACAGAGCTTAAACAGAATAAGTCTGCAGTAACAGGCGAGTACTGGCATCGACTCTGCAACGAATCTCTCGAACTGATGGGAAGAAATACTCCGCGGGTTGATCTCCCTGTACCCGTTACCCATGAATGCCTGCACTGTCATAATACAAGATCTCTGAGATGGTATGAAGAAGCAGGTAGTCAGGGTGAAGTGTGCCATCAATGCTATGTGAGGAAGAAAAATGATGAGAGTTTGATAGATGTGCTACCCGATGTTCAATCTTTGAACAGGGTTGCGCTCAATGCTACGAAGTTTGGATTAATTGGGCTCGATGACAAATTGAAAGATTCTAGAATGTCTATTAAAGATATGCTGTCTTGATATATATTAAATATGAATGCAGAGACTTGTAAATATTACTCAATGTAACCCCGTTTCAAAGCTAACTCTATGCGATCTATTTCATCGAGGCTAGTGGCATTTATCAAATCGGCCTCCAGTTTGGACCGCTCTTCCTCTGTGAGTCTGATTGATTGCTGTGTTTCTGTAGAGATAGGCTCTTTGAGGGGCTCCAGTTCTTTGTTGTTTAAAAGCTTTAGTGCCAACTTGGTCGGCCGGTCAAAGGTGCCTAATAATTCTTCAGCCGCCTTTTTCAAGCGAGGTTTCACGCGCTCAAAGTCAAGCACGGTCAATCCAGGCACCAACCAAACAACAAACTCCTTGTAGTATTTTGAAGATGTCACTGGATTGCCGGTGAGGTATAAATTTTCCAGGTTGCGACAGTGTCTCAAAGGAAGTAAATCTGGTATGTTTGAAATGTTATTCTCCACTAAGGACAGTGTATTGAGATGAGGCAGGAGGGCAGCGATGTTAGCGTCTATATCGACAATCCTATTGCGAGCAAGTAAAAGCGTTTTGAGTTTCCTCAAGCGAGTGTTGAAACTAAGTGTACGTATCTCGTTATCTGTTAAGTCCAGAGCCTCATTGACATCATCATATTCGCTAAAACTCTCGATGAACGTTATTTGCAAGCCTCGCAAGCTAAGGACGTAGTCGCCTGCAGGATTTCGAAAACAGGGCGCTTCTTGTATCAATAACGGGGTAAGTCTCATACGAACTAAGTATACACAAGATTTTTTTTTTCTAATTTTCATATGTACCAAAATCATTCGTCTAGCGAAAGGCTCGAGCGATTACTAGGAAGAATTTTTCCGTTTGGTGGCTCATACTTTTGACGGGTGGCCTCCCTCAGTTTTTCTTCCTCTCGAGGTGTAAGCGGTTCGATAGTTTCATTTGGTGCGACAAATTCAAAATCGCCAAAACCAAAAGCTCTATCACTAATTTTGTTCAAAATGTATAGTTGCATCCTCACATACCTCACGAGGGCCTCCAATTTAACATTGTCTATGTTCTTGTCACCATTAAACACATTTCTCCAGAGAGCGGCAGCTAACACGCTGTCTGAATTTGAAGCAAGAGCCTCATCGTAAGAAAATGTTATTCCTAAAAGTTGCGAGTGGAAATCTTTCATGTAGCTTTCTCTGATTTGTCCTGAAAGAATGTTCATTTCCTCGCTCAATCGGAGCTCAATATCTTTGAAAAACTTATCCACAAGTTTTTGCTGATAGTTTTTCCCGACTTTGAATGGCATGGCTCTCATTCTAACAAAGAGTAACCACACATGAAGGCCAGTGATCTGGAACCATTGGCCAAAGGTTCTAGGCAGGCCAAGAGTTTGGTACCAGAAGATGGCCGTTTCAGATAGAGGCTCATCTTTAAACTGCAATCCTTGATCTTTGCACATATAATAGTATTTCGATCCTCCCATTGTTCCAGCCCTCACATTATCCATATCAATACGGAACACATTTATAAAGAGCTCTCCAAATGCACGTTTCCATTCGGGCACCTTGAAATTCTCGGACTCATAAAACGGCTTTGGAAGTTTCCTCTTGGGATTTATGTCTCTGTCTGGGGTATCTGGATTTTCTATCTTGGGCAAATGAGATTGCAACGCCAGGTCTTTAGGAGAAGCCTTGTTGGATTGTAGCCTTGTACCAGCAAAACCGGGCACTCTATGCTGTTTGATAGCGGTCCTATAAACCTGTCTTGGAATCATTTTAAAACAAATCGCACAGGAAAATTTATTTTTTTCATTTTTACAACTACTATAATTTCTATTGGATTTCACACTCCAAACTATTTTTTTATATCTTTATTATGAGTACAATCACACCTATCTTCTAGTTTTCTTACGACTTCTTCCTATCGACTTTGCAGCAACTTTGGGACCATCGTAATGAGAATAACCGTAAGTTTCCACTGCGCGAGAATTCACCCATGACAGTAAGTTTTGTCGGTTTCTATCTGTCCTCAAAGAATGCAGCATTTTTTTGGCATGTTCCAATCTGTCCAGTTTTTCTTGACGTTCTTTCATCATTTGTTTCTCCAAATCACGTTGCCCTCCTCTTCTGGTTCGTTTTGGCATAAGAACTTCGTCATCTTCACGCTTCCGTTTCTTAGCCTCTGAGCGGGTGGATGCCTTATTACCGCCTGTCTCACCTTGAGAGCCATCTTCTTCGTCAGGGCCTTCCTCATCATCACTTATTTCTGTCTCAGCAATGACCTTTTCAAATTTCACTTCGTCCTCTGACTTGCAGCCGATTCCAATTGTTTTAACCCTCGAACTTAAACTATTCGTAATTTGATCCTGAAGATCCACGATTCTTTTGCGGAGATGCTTTTCACGTTCTCCCTCTATGTTCAGCCATCTCAATAGTTCCTCAATTTGCTCTGGACGCTCAAGGTATCCCCAGTCAGATGAAGAAACCAAAATATAGCTGCCCTCTTCCAAAATCTTTCGCTCCATAGGACTAAATTGTCTTTCTATGGTAGAACCATATTTGTCCACAACCACAAATCCCTTTTCATCTCTCACTTCCCCGTTGTCAAATTTGAAACCAAAGAGAGATTTCGCAGCCTCATCAAAATGAGGATCTATCATAGATTCTTTCTCTTGTTCTTCTTCCTTAACATTGGGATCAGCCACATCTGCTACATCACCCGGCTTACCTGTTGGATGCACTCCATCTTCTTTGCAATTGTTGGCATTTCCCAAAGGCACGTGCACTATTTCGTTCCACTTGTTTAGCTGATCGTCGTCAAATTTAAGGAAAACTTTACGGTCTTCATCGCCAGGACCTTGAATCCACAAACGACCCATTAAATAGGACTCCTCTTCATACTCAGAGCCAGCATCACTCATGTCGGCCCCATCTTCTTCTTCCTCGTCATGGTGAGAGGCTGAACTCAAGTTAGGGAGACCGTTCTTTTCAAACCACCAGTATCTGTTGTAAAACCTGTCCCTGCCAATGTAGCAGATTCTTTGACAATCAATTTCGTTTAGGCTCTTTTCGAGGTTTCTGCGCTTCTGTTTCATCTCATCAATTTCTTTCACCTTCTCGACCCTTTGTTTGATGAGTTTCATGAAATCCGGATTGCCTGCGCACACGGCCTTCTCCAAAGTCGTTGGCTCGGGTGGAAGGTAACTGAATCCTAGCCTACTGACCTTTTTCTTCTGCTCAATAAGCTCCTGTGTCTTTTCAGGGTCATAGTTCCAATTCTTTATTTGAGCAGTGGTGATAGGCTTTAAAGTCTCGATTATATTCTTCTGAATCACAATTGCTTGATCCATGACCACCTTAAACTCTTTTATCAGCTCAAGTCGGTCACGCCTAAGGCCAGTTGCATCATCCAAACATTTATCGATATGGGATCTAATCACAGTACCATTTAAAAGCAGCGACATCAGTATAGCAATGGTCTTCGCACGATCTTCTGCAGAAAGCTTCTTGAAATAATTATGCTGTAATGTTTCTGCGGTAGAAGCTTCTTCGGCTGGAGCAAGTACTTCGAATATACGATTGATGTCTGCCTTGTACTCTGGCAAGAACTCGACTGTAGCCATGATTCCTATCAGCACCATAAGCCAATTCCCCTCTTTGAATTGGCGTGTTGCCAATCTATCTTCCCATGGTCGATTTTTGTATCTGAGGAAAGAATAAGCGTTGTGATTAATGATTACCTCCTCAGCTTCGTCTTCTTCATGAGTGAGTTCGGTCTTTTCATCTTCCTCCTGCGCAAGAGCCTTAGGTGACTCCGTTTTGATTTCGGAACCATCATCATCAGGCTGATCATCATCGTTCAATTTATCGTCATCATCTCCGTTGTCAAAAACGTTTTCTTTTGGCAATATAACTAAAATTCGACGCCTACCATCCATGAAAGCCTTGAACATGCCACAGTAGATCTCCATAAGTAAAGGACAGACAGTCACTTCATCTTCCCATCGTAATGCAGCAAAATAATCATCGAAAGTGAAGTTGTCGATGACTAATGCTTTCGCATACATGTTCAAGAATATCCACGACTCCAGAATATCAGAACTATCTTGCACTCCTGGCAGTTTGATAATTTTGGGACGTGATTTTGAAACTCCACGAAAAGGTAGCTTCAAGTCATCAATAAGCCCTGGTGGCCTGAACTTGCTACCAGAAAACACATTGATAGGAGTTGAACTCCTTGAATCCAAAGGAGTTGTGGCTTGTGGTCTTGATCCAGGTGCAGGCAAAATATCAACGTAGCCATTATGAGGATTAGGAGACGCCATGTCAGGGGATGCTGAATTTTCATCCATTTGAGTTTGAGCAGTCATGATCTTTCTGTATGTGATATTCAAGCTCTTGAAAAAGCGAAAGCACTTTTCGTAATGCCAAACCTTGATTTTGTTGTTGAGAACATGATAGAATATATTGTCAGGCGTGTATGCGGCTTTAGGAGAGTAGGGGATGGAAGTGACCAAGAAATTGACAGTCTTTGGGTCAAATTTATCCAATACTTTAACGCTAGAATACTGGAAGAGGGTAAGAATCTTCTGTTTGATCTCTGGATCGGCATCACTTTCTGGGGTGTCCTGAAAATAGACAGTGCAGTGTTTCAGAGCGTCGTACCATTTTTGTTTCCATAGCTGCAACGTGAACCCGTTCTCTTGTTCATTAGCGGTGGGCGGAGTTTCTTTGAGATTGTCGAAAATATGTTCATTGACTTTGACCTTGTTGGTGAGTGTAGCTTTTCTTAATGAGTCCTTCGGATGTTCAAACTGTTTCAGATGATCAGGGTACTCCAATGAAATTCTGTATTTTTTTGCGACAGAGTCTTTCAAGACCCAGGGGGAACCGAGTTTAGTAGACCTGGTGAGACTCATTTTCAAAAATGCTTTAACATACCATTTGGTGAAAGTGTTCCTTTCTCGATCGATTTGTGAAATGGAGTTCACGGTAACTTCCTCATTATTTTGAAGAAGAACTCGGTATGAACAATAACCCTCTTTCACGGTTCCGTCAGGCAAGGTGATCGCATTGAATCTTGCCTTTTCACGAACAATGCCGTGTACTTTATCACCCGCATCTGTTTTCACAACTACCTGGTCTCCTGGGAAAAAATCGTCCTTAAATTTTGCGTAAACCTCATCAACTAAAGCATCAATTCTTGGTGTAGTGGAGAATGAGACGTATCGAAGAATCGGCTCCTTGACTGGCTCTGGAAACCTTGCCTCCATCATACTCATCTCATTTTGTTCAACTTTTAGGGCCTCGAAGAATGTGAAATTGGAGTTTCCGGATGTTTCACATACAAACTTCTTTATATTGTAGTAGTCCATACGACTCAAGTATTGATCGTAATCTAGAAACCACTCTCCAGTTTCAGGAATATACCACACTTCAGTTGACATATCGAAATTATCAGGGAGAACCGGAGGTGGGCTGAACTCCACTTTCTTTCGTTTGAAAAGCACCTGAAATCATGTTAGAACCTCAATCTCGACTCAGATTCAAAGCTGATGGAAGCCTCTCTGGGATTCCATCCGTAAAGAACCATCTACAAATACTTACCATTATGGTTTTGAAGGTTTCAATGGAACTTGGTGTTTTTAGTGTTGTACAATTGGATGTTTGTCTGTTGCTATGAGAGTTACTGACGGAATCTTGATTCACCCCTTTTCAGCGCGTCTGTATCAGTTTTAAAACAAGGATGTTGATTTTCAAACGCGTTCACTTGGAAAATGAATAGTCGGCTTAGTTAGTTTTGACAAACAAACAATTCATCCTATTTGCCTCTGCTTGAAGAAAAAGTTGAGACATGTCGAATGAAAACTGAAAATCAGTGGTCGTGGAACCACCAAACAGAACGCGAGATAAATAGCTACGCTATAGGATGTCTCAAATAACGGGTTATAAAACAACACCTAAATCAGCTATACTGTATAGATCTAGGGATAATGGCAGCTTAACTATAACCACAATCCAACCGTTCACTGTGGCTGAGATCATATTTTACGATGAGAAATATGGTGTTTTGAATAATTGCCAACTATAACAAACCACCAATATACGTGCCTATAAATCCAGATAGAGGTGCGTCGACGCTAAAAAAATAATATGATTGGGGCTCTGCGGCGATTCACAAATCCTCAGTTATATTTTCCGTCCTTGACGTTGAAATTTTTCTATTCCCATACTCCCAAATCAGCATAAGATTTAATTTATTCAACAAAGATAGAAGACAATATGGGCATGTAGGTAGTCGTTGTAAAGCACAACATATGCAAATTATCCTGAAGGAATAGCCTAAACTCGTATTCATGAGCTTTATCAGATATATGTACATGTAAAAAATAACAATTTGCGATCTGCAAAACACGGAGAGATTATTTGTATAGGAATCCCAACCACCCCGCCTTGGCCTTTTCCCTTTCCGCGCGAGGCTGGTAGACGGATATATTGGACTTGATCTTGTCAATTGCGTCCTCAACGTCATACTGGCGACCCAACACATCGATGAACTCACCTTCAGGATCCATGAAATAAAAGAAGATAGAGTGGTCAACCAAGTAATCTTGACCTGGCTTGACATTGCGGGGGGTCGAAAAGTAAACTCTGTAGTTTTTACAACACTTCTTGATCTCATCGTAGTCTCCAGTCAACCCAATAATTGAGGGGTGGAAATCCTTCAAATACTCTTTGATAACCTCTGGAGAGTCCCTTGCTGGATCACAAGTAATAAAAATCGGTTGAAGCTCAATGTTGTGTTTTGATTTGAGTCCATCTAAGATCAAGCCCAATTTATCCAACTCGTCAGGACAGATATCAGGACAATGTGTGAAACCAAAGTAGATAATGGAAAACTTGCCCTTCAAATTTTCCTGTGTGAATGGCCTTCCTTCAGTATCAATCAAATTGAATGGCCCACCGATTAATGGTTTACCCACTCCCCGGTTTTGTTCAGCTTCCCTTCTTAATTTAAGCTTTTCTTTCTCACTTGTGAATACATAAGTGAGGGCAGAACCAAATATGACAAAGACAACAACAGCTTTCCATGTCATAAATTCAATCGGGTTCTTTTTCAATGTTTGTTTCGAGTAGTCTGGGCCTCCAACAGGAAGTCTTGACAAAGGCTTTCTTTTTTTTGGTGCTTCTTCTTCGGGCTTTGGATCATTCGGCTTCAGCTCATTCAAACTGACCCTAGAAAGCGAAAACCTTCTCGTGACAAAACGAATGTCTCTCCTGACGGGCATAAAGATTGGTCGCAGCATCATGGGTGGTATATTCAAGCTAGTCAATTTTTTCCAATACAAGTTCATCAGGTAGGATCATACGACATCCCTACACCATTACATAAAACCTAATTCTTGCCTGCACCGGCTCTGAAGTAGATAATATCACCATCCTCCACAGTGTAATCCTTGCCCTTCTGGAGCAACTTACCAGCAGCTTTCACTGCGTTTTCATCTCCCAGCTCAATCAAGTCGTCGTACTTCATAACGTTTGCCAGGATGAAAGTTTTCATCAAATCTGTGTGAATAACCCCTGCAGCTTGAGGAGCCTTGGTTCCATCTCTGATGGTCCATTCTCTGACTTCATCTTTTTCACCAGCGGTGAAGAAGGAGATCAGATCCAGCTTCTTTCTCATAGTTGTGATGACCTTTGGTAAAACAGATGGAGCTCCAACCCTTTTCTCCTCCTCAGCTCTCTCCTCATCAGTTTCCATTTGAGACAGTCTTTCCTCGTAGGAAACGGAAAGAGGGATGATGACGTCACCTGGAGAATACTTGTCGACCCACTCCTTTATCTTGAGCAAATGTTTGTTCTTCTTTCTGACGTAATCCTTCTCAGACAAGTTGATCAGGTAGATGGTTGGTTTAGCAGTCAAAAGGAACATGCTGTTGATGATTTCAATTTCCTTGGCAGTCCAGTTTTGGTTGTAAACTCTTTGGCCACTTTCCAGAAGCTCAATCAGTTTTTCAACAAAAACGGCTTCTTCTTTCTTTTGCTTGACTTCCAGGGATTGACCTCCTCTTTTGGTGATTTTGTGAATGCCTTCTAAGTGGGACTTGGCAAACTCGATGTCCTTCAGTCTCAGCTCGTTGGAAATAATGTCCAAATCTCTTGTTGGATCAACATCTCCCTCAATGTGAATAATGTCTGCATCATCAAAGCATCTGACAACTTGATAGATGGCATCAACAGCACGAATGTTGGACAAGAAAGCGTTACCTAACCCTTCACCAGAAGCAGCTCCCTTAGTCAAACCAGCAATATCGTAGATGGTGATGTAAGCTGGAACCTTCTTTGGGGGCTTGTACAGCTCATAGAGCTTGTCCAGACGTTCTGAAGGAACGATCACACGAGCTTCCTCGGGCTCGATCGTTGCAAATGGGTAGTTTGCAGGGTTTCCTAGAGGACATCTGGTGATAGCCTGGAAGAAGGTGGACTTACCAACGTTGGCCAGACCGACAATACCAGATTTCAGGTTGTTTCCTGGTCTTCCCAGCAAGGGCTTTTTTTCTTCAACTTGCTTCTTTGGTGGCATAGTATAGTAGTAATTAGTGTGTTTTCAACCATCTATTGAAAATTTTTTAAAAAATAGTGATTACGTCATCGAATTACTGGCGATCTATTGATTGACCCTCCACCCATTGCGCAAACCTGTCTAATCTCTTTCCTTCGGCGGCATCTCCTGTGCTTTTCTTATACTGTGTTACTCCATCGTACTTCTCCACTTGTAATCTGCGGCCTCCAAAATATCTTCCGTTCATCTTGGAAATACAATTATTCGCAGCTACGGCAGACTTGAATCGAACACTGACAATACCTTCCTCTTCAAGATCATACAAGACGACATTTGTGACCTCGCCTATTTCTTCACAACCCTCTCGTATATCCTCTTTGATATCTAATATTGCCCCCGGGTCGTTTTCGAGTTCCTTGAGGGTGAAACAGTGCTTAAAAATTAACGTTTTTTCTTCTCTCGATCGTCTTGTTTCATCTTCTTCTTCCGTATCTGACCAATCGTTCACTTTTTTGTGTATCTGTTCGATTTTCTTCTTGAGTTGTAGGCGTTCTTTAGTCTTCATTTTTACTCGAGGCTTCTGCTCTGCTTTGCTATTGAACTCAGCTTTTGAAACCCGAATGGGTAGTTCATCTGCAGGTCGAAGTTTTGTTTCATCCAATAGCTCAATTGCGAGGTCACAGCTCTCCTCTTTTAGATATTCTATTAGACAATCACCTTTGAAGTGGCCTCCGTCGTCTTTATACATTTTGATTTTGGAGGACCCAGTGCGCAAATCCTGTGCAAGAACTCCATACTTACCGAAAACTGCCTCCAGTTCCTCGTAGGTGATATCTTGGGGGATCTGACTTACATAAATGCAAGTATTTCTGTTCCTCCGAAACTGCTTCAATTCCTCTTTCTCTTGCTTCAATTCATCGAGCCGCTGACGCTTCTCGCGTTTAAGATATTCAGAAGTGGTCACCTCATCATGAGGCCTCTTCTCGGGCAGGTAATCCTGTATAACTGGTACCCAACGCTCTAGAATTGGATTGAACTCAAAGCACTCCTTTTCCTCGGGATTTTCAATCACCCATCGAGCACGTACTTTATCAAAGAATAAGTATGTTGCCAGATTCTGTGGCAGATCCTCCGGAAGAGTGTTCTGTATCTCATCGATCAAGGGCATGAGAATATGCACACGCAGATTAGCAAAAATCTTGTATTATTTTTTAGTGGCTGCACACCTCACACCGATTTCCCCGAAATCGCTGCGAATGAAGGCAGTGGTGGGGTACGTAATATTGAGCTGAAACAGCAAACCTATAAATTTGTGAGGGAATTTCCTAGAAAAAAGCACCCTTGCCTAAAATTAGTTTTTAACTTTTTTCACTTTTTAGGAGAGATGGCTTCCAAGACAATTAAGTTGAATAATGGCATTGAAATCCCACTAGTTGGGTTCGGCTGCTGGAAAGTCGAAAAGTCAATCTGTGCTGAGCAGATTTACGAGGCAATTAAAGTTGGTTACCGTCTGTTTGATGGCGCAATGGACTATGGTAATGAAAAGCAAATTGGCCAGGGAATTGCCAAGGCCATTGAAGATGGTTTGGTCAAGAGAGAGGAGCTGGTTATTGTTTCCAAGCTATGGAACAATTATCACAAGCCGGAGAATGTGAAGAAGGCAATTAGAAGAGTTCTTGACGACCTAAAATTGGATTATTTGGATATTTACTACATCCACTTCCCAATTGCTCAAAAATTTGTCCCATTCGAGGAGAAATACCCACCAGGGTTTTACTGTGGCCCTAATGGTTGGGAGTTCGAGGACGTTCCGCTTGCCGTGACTTGGAGGGCAATGGAAGAACTTGTTGAGGAGGGGCTTGTCAAGTCAATTGGTATCTCCAACTTCTCAGGTGCTTTGATCCAGGACCTGCTGAGAGGTTGCAAGATTAAGCCTCAATTGCTTCAGATTGAGCACCATCCTTACCTCACTCAAGAGAAATTGATCAAGTACGTTCAGGCTCAGGACATTGCTGTTGTTGCCTACTCTTCATTTGGACCACAGTCCTTTGTGGAGCTAGACCATGCTAAGGCCAAGAACACTGTTTCTTTGCTCAAGCACGATCTGATCAACAGCATTGCTTCTGCTCACAAGGTCACCCCTGCTCAGGTCCTCCTGAGATGGGCTACCCAAAGAGACATCTTGGTCATTCCAAAGTCCAACCAAAAGGAGAGACTGGTCCAAAACCTGAAGGTCAATGACTTCAATCTGTCTGAGGAAGAGATCAAGCAAATCAGCTCCTTGAACCAGGATCTGAGATTCAATGATCCTTGGACCTGGAACGAAATTCCAACCTTTATCTAAACCTTTGAAGGAATAGAGTGGTTCACCCACAAACTATCATTGTAGGATGGTACGTAAATTTCCGTCAGTATGGCGAACGCAAGGTCTGTCCGCGAAAAGTCACACCTCTGCACGTGACTTGTTCGAAATAGGCAATTTGCCAAAACTTCCATGCCCGACTCGAAATCAAAACTCATTTAGATAAAGGAATTGTTTCCCAGTTAATGTCAATCAAGAACAGTATGTCTATCATTAACAGAAATATTAAGGTCGCGCTACTTCAATTCTATACCGGCTCCGACAAACAGGCCAACTTACAGAAAGTGAGGGAATTTGCGGCAAAGGCTCTTGCGAAAGAGCCAGCTCTTGACTTACTGGTTTTGCCAGAGTGCTTCAATTCTCCATATGCTGTTGATCAATTCAAGAATTATTCCGAACCAATACCATCAGGGGAAACAACTAAGTTTCTATCTGACCTTGCCAGAGAGTATAATGTCAATATCATAGGAGGATCATTCCCTGAACTAGGCTCCGATAACAAAATCTACAACACCTCTCTCACTTTTGATAAGAGGGGAGAGATTGTTGCGAAGCACAGAAAGGCTCACTTGTTCGACATAGACATTCCTGGCAAAATAACTTTCAAAGAGTCTATATCCTTAGCACCAGGAGACAAAGCCACTGTTTTCCAATTGGACAACTTGTGTAAAATTGGTCTCGGAATATGCTATGACATCAGGTTTCCAGAGCTGGCAATGATTGCAGCGAGACAAGGTGCTGGAATTATGTGCTACCCAGGAGCTTTCAATACAGTCACGGGTCCTAAGTTTTGGACAAAGTTTGCGGTCGCTAGAGCTATTGATAACCAAGTATACATTTTGATGTGTTCTCCTGCAAGAAACGTTGAAGGTGGTGGGTACCAAGCTTATGGACACTCCATGGTGGTTGATCCAAATGGGGACGTTCTCGTGGAAGCGGGACATGGCGAAGAAATTGTCTACTGCGAACTTAAACCGGAAGTTCTTGACGAGGCCAGAAAAAACATTCCAATTACCCTGCAGCGCAGATTCGATATCTACCACGATGTTTCGAAAGATGCTGTGGCCAAAGCCATATAATGATCCTCGGTGAATTGAGATTACGTAACTCGGCTTTTAGATTCTTGAAAAATAAAAGTCGATCTCGAAGACGCTTAGTGATTAGTAGAGTGCATCGTCAAGATGTTGAGACAGGTTTGTGTACCAAGACGGTTTTACTCCCTAAAAAGGCCTCTGGAACGAGTTCCTACGTGTCCTGAACCAGAAATCGATACAGGATGTACATATTGTAAAATACCAACCTTTCCAAAGAACAAGCAGCTGGATCATACAAAACCCATAGCCAATACAAAATCAAATCCTTGGAAACACTTGATTGTGATGTCTGGTGATCCTGATTACAAAAACTGGCCCAGCAGATTTGAGACTTCCCCGGGGACAATCATATCGGAAATCCAAGCTCACAAACGGAAAGTGCTGGACCCATTTCATCCAGTGCTCACCAGCATGACGACATTGCAGGAGCAACCGGTTACGCAAGGTAATACAGTGATTGGCATATACCCGGATGGTCTTAGGGTGGAAGTGTCTCCAGACAAGGTGGAAGAATTTTTAATCGGATATCTCAGCACAATACCCGATAATCTTGACCAGGAAGACTCACGGCTCGTGGCAAAAATGCAGCAAGATTTCAGGGCCCAGTTTCCAGCTCAAAAGCTAGATCAGGATCTGGTGTTGATCTGTGGTCATTTAAAAAGAGATATCAGATGCGGGGAACTGGCTCCATTAATCGCACAAGAATTTGAGAAGGTTCTAAAACTGCATGGCGTTGAGAATACTAAATTGGGAATGATCTCACATATCGGAGGACATGTTTACGCAGGAAATGTACTCATTTTTAAGCGCAATGGCGATGTCATATGGTATGGAAGGGTCTTACCGCATCACGTCCAAGGCATTGTCAAGCTGACCCTACTCGAAAATAAACTGATCGAAGAACTATACAGGGGCTAGATTGGGAAGATAGGAAAAATATTTATTGTATAAACTCGGAGCTATTTATTTTGCAGTTTTTCACCCGTTGGTCATTCACCCTGCACAGCCATTAAATTTTTGGTTGGATGACCATTATAACCGGTTAAATTCATATATGGGCAAATGGTGGTCTTGAGTAGGCGGTAACAATTGTAAAAGGCGTAGATGCACTTTGAAAGTTGCTGTGAACAAACCTTGCCCAAACAAATATCTACAGCCCTAAATTTTGGTCACGCTTCCCGGGGAAAACGTTTGGCTCAGCATCACGAATTCATCCGGTGAATATTTTTGCGTCCTAGACTAGTGTAACAAAAAGAATTTTCTTCCTTAATGGCACCATGGAATCGCTAGATCGAAAGAGATCTCCTCCGTTCCTGGAGCTATCACAGCTTACTGTCCAAGCATTACAGCATAGCCAAAGCCAAGCACAACTAGACTTTGGCAATGTGTTGACCCTCTGGACAACCCTAATAAAATCAAGCGACGTGATCAAAAATGGAAAACGACTAGAAAACATCAGCTGGCGCGTAGTGAATCGCAACATCTTGCTCAAAAACGATTTCAACAGAAATGATTTCTCTGCGTTAATACAGATCTCGTCAGGAAAGGTGGAGCACCCTATCACCAAGGCCAGAAAGCATTTGAAGCAAGCACTCTCCTCAGAATCATCTAGAACAAAGAGCGCGGCTTCAGTGAAGACTGACCAAGGCAGGAAAGAAATTACCACTAATGTCCCCGATAGCGGGCAGAATTCTGAAGATGAGCGACCTTTGGATGAATCCAAAAAGTTAACCCAGAGGAATCTACATCATCAGCAAAGCCTTATACACAAAACGCCTGACAAAGCCAGGCGTTCGCGTGGGCATATGTTTTTCATAGAAAATACACCTTCCCCGGAAGCTGAGGGAGGTTCTTCAAAATCGCCTCCCTCTCCAAAAGTGAGGAGCTTATTCGATCATCCTGTAAATGACGGCAAACCACCAATTGAGTCTGCGCAAAAACCGAAACCGCGGCATATAGAGCGTGATAGAAGCTTGGAGCGCTTAAATCAGCAGCATGCTCTTTATGGCACTAGCAAGTCCAACACTGCTCTGCATTCACCACAGTCAGAGACCCAAAAGTCCCAGATGTCTCTATTTGACAATAAAGCTGGAAAACAGGCAGTAACAAAGCAACATATCATGTTTTCGTCGGACGAAGAGATATCAGATGGATCGGATTGGTCTTCAATGTCTGGTGATTCTGACTTGGATGACGACGATGAAGGAGAAGAAGAACAATTGAATTTCAGTAAGACAAATATTCAAAAGCCAGCTGAAAGGCCACAGATGAAGAGATCTCTTTTGAGTGGTCTATTTTTGGACAAGATGGGTAATGAAGTCTCTGAAAAGTCGCGTGAAAACAGCAGGCCAAAGTCCAGAAGCCCAAGTTTAGTGGTTTCGCCGTCCCTTGGTTCAGTAGATCACCCAGAAATGTCAAGAGCATCAACCTCTGCCTTTAACGTGAACGCTTCAGCTGACGTGGTTACCTCTCCAACCGAGAAGACAAGATCTTTAGCACAACGAAATATCACAAGCTCGCCGGTGCCTCCAACAGATCACCAACGCCCAACAATGACACGGAATAACTCGAGCAATAACCCCCATCTTGTTTCTAAGTCTGCAATATCACTGGCATCGTTTTTGGCCAGCAACAGGAGACCCCATGCGACCGCATCAGAAGTACACAATGGACACTATGATCGTCACCACGAGTCCAACGCGCCGCCTACTGCTGCTACCCTTCTCCCTACCGCACTATCCACTCACATGTTCCTTCCAACTATGAATTTACATCGCCAGTCTAGAGTCAGGGACACGAAGTCTTCTACGCACTCACATCTGGTGCCCAAACCAACAGCTAAAACCCAGCTCGATGATAGAAGTAGGCAGGCATCTAGGGGTAGATCAGATGGGCAAGACAACGATAAAGAGTTCGAAGAGGCTATTAGTGTCTCCTCCAGCGTCAAGTCAATTGAGATTCCAGGATCTCTAACGCGTTCTAGAACTCATTCTCGAACTCATTCTCATCGGGACTCTCCGGTCCATCATCCTAGCAGGCCCGGTCTAGAAAATCGGGGCAGCTCGTATCTTACAAAGGTGTCGCCTGCTGTCACTACAAGAGAAATGTTGACGAAAGAGCTTCCATCTAACCTTGTGGAATCTATCAACAATGAAAACAAACTAATTCATGCATCATCCACGAATTTGAGCGAGCTTTCTAGTCATGCACGCTTACACAACTATATACACACGAACCAGTCCTCTACTGCTACATTGATGAATGGAATTGTCACAGCAGATGAAAATAGCAGTTCCGAGAGTGAACCGTCGAACAACATTATTGCAAACGGTATAATGGGTAACAAGCTAAGGTTGCTGACTACAGATACCCAAAGCGCACCATTCATTGATGACGAACATCTTGCATACAATCAAGATAAAGACGATGATTGGGAGGATAATTTGAATTATCACGCCAGAGGTTGGTAGAGCAAAATCTTTGTTGATAAAGGCTGTGTATCGTTTTCTGTTAATAATATATGGCTAGAAAGAAAAGGACTTTAACATCTGAACCGCATGGTAAAACTATCTTTAGTTTCCCTCCATCAATCCGGTCGCTTCAGTCGCAAAAGATGGAGTTTTATAAGGCTCACTTCGAGAGTGTTGTTCCTGCACAACTTTTCACAATATCCAACTTCTGGAGCGCAAAACAATGTCAAGATCTAATTTGCAGCATACAGGAAAGTCTTGATCTTGAAACTACACCTGTGATTAAATCCAAACTTTACGCGTCTCGGGTCAATGACCGCGCTTGCATAAGAGACCCTGTAAACGCTGGGCTGATATATGACTACTTTCAAAAAATACTAAAGTTCAAGATTGGACAAGGTGCTGTTGAGGAATGGATAGTGCAAGAAATGGAAAGTTCCGAGGCCTTCAATCCAGATTCAAGGTTTTATAGGTACTCCAAGGGCCAGTACTTTGGCAAACACTATGATGAGTCTGTAGAGGTTGGAAATCTAAAATCAAAGTGGACAGTTCTAGTCTATCTAAGCGACAAGGGTTTGAAAGGAGGCGAAACAATATTCTATAATGAGCAAGCAGATAGGAGCAGAAGACATATAAGTATAAAGCCCCAACAAGGTATGGCGTTATTCCACAAACATGGAGACGATTGTTTACTCCATGAAGCTGCTACAGTACTAGATGGTGAAAAATGGGTTTTTAGAACGGATGTCATGTACAATATATACAAATAAAGGAGTGTTGATCTATAATTTCAAATCAGAGAACTTTACAATGCTATTGTTGATGAACGCATTGACGCCATAATCTTTCCTTTCGGATTTCGAGAGCTCTTCCAAGTGCTTCATCAATGGCGATTTAACTTCTTTTCTTGCAGTGGATGCCCTTGTAGCTCCGTCCTTCACCACTTGGGCAAATTCAGAGCCAGCTAGATATCCACGTTTTTCTGGACTGGTATAGTAAAGAATATCGCGTCTAGCGATTGGCTTCGCTTGCATGGGAACGTAACCCTTCGTACGCATAAAGCGCTGAGGAGACATATGAACTTTGTAACCTAGAGATCTCGAAAAATACCTCGAGGTGTACTTTCCACCGTTGCTTTCGATAGCTTCGATCGCTGTTTGCGTAGCTTTGGTCGACTCTATGTTTATATTGAGCTTGTACACCGGAGCTCCCGTGCCTAGAATAGCAACCCCGTCTTTTAAGGATCCAGTAATCAGACCTATTTCCCTCATCTTTCTCATCGTAAGTGTCTCCCCAGGAGCCAACTTCAAACGTCCTGAATCGTGAAATTGTTGTATTTTAATTAATGGGACTTCGTGTAAGTCAAGCTTTTGGTGTCTAATAAAACCTCTCTTAGGATAAAGTTTATAAACTGGAGTTTGTCCACCTTCAAACCAATTTGGCACAGATCCTCTAGCTTTCTGGCCTTTTTGACCTCGTCCAGATGTTTTTCCATAGCCTGAGCCCGGACCTCTACCAACTCTCTTCTCATTGAGTTGAGAGTTTGGCGCTGGCCCCAAGCTGCTGAGCAATGAAAGGCATCTACTTTGAGGACCCAAAAGGAAAGACTGACCAAATTTAGAGAAGCCGGTCAACATTCTTGAAGTCTTAGCAAATGATTATTTTTTTCGGTCAGTTTTATTGAGTCGTCACATCGCATCCTTACACCGCTGAAAGGACTTAGACATTACACGAGCGAGTTGAGGATATTAAGTTACAAAAGAGAGGCCTTTATGGCCGTGACTCACTATTTACAAGCCAGTAACCGATTATTTGGAACTGTTCAGTTTCTGAATTCTGTTTATAAGCTTCTTGTCCTCTTCGAGCTTTCGTTTTTGGGCTGGAGAGAGTCCAATTCGTTTGGAAAGAGTCTTGTCATTAGCCTTTGTAGAAATCCTTTTAGGAGCTGTTCGGCGAGAGAAACTACCTCTCTGAGTTCGATTGAGAGCTTGCGCAAGTGGATTCTTCTTAAGCAGGTTTCTCTTGGTGTTCGATAGTGAGTTCATGAGAAGGCTCTCTTTACCTTTCTGCTGATTGCCTCGGGAGCCATTGATAGCCCTTAACAATGGATTTTGAGACAATTTGTTCCCTTTCTGATTTTTTGCATTCTGCTGTTGTTTGGAGACCATGCTAGTAACTATCGCTCCAAATGTTCGTTTCGCAAAACCGTTTGATCGCACCTCTACACCGCACTAAATTTCTAGAGTCTGTAAAAAAGTGCTTCAATTCACTTTCTATTTACATTAACAGCACCTCAAAACGGACACAGTCTGATACAATCCGGGGTTCCTCATAATATATTGCATCAGTGCATACACTAAGAGCCAACCTTCTAGCTTTTCAATACTGTATCGGCACCAAGACGCGCTAGTGTTGAATATTACAAATGCCACTTTGTGGAAGCCCTCCCAAGCCTGGTAAGTAACCGACACTCAGATTCTAACATTCAGTCCAGCGAAAAATAGTCATTCTTGGAGATGGTGCATGTGGTAAGACCTCACTCCTGAATGTTTTCACCAGAGGTTACTTTCCTCAAGTTTACGAGCCGACCGTGTTCGAAAACTACATTCATGACATCTTCATTGATGGACAGCAGCTGCAGTTATCGTTATGGGATACTGCTGGCCAGGAAGAGTTTGACCGTTTGAGATCCTTATCGTATAGTGACACGCATTGTATCATTCTGTGTTTTGCTATCGATTCGCATGATTCTCTTGAAAACGTGAAGAACAAATGGGTGGGTGAGATTCTTGAACACTGCGAGGGTGTCAAGCTCATTCTCGTTGGTTTGAAAGCAGACTTGAGAAGTAACGATCCAGAGATTGGTCAGAATGATATGTTGATTAATAATGCTCCCTCGGGCAAAAAGCTTGTTTCTTATGAGGAGGGAGTCGGTGTGGCGAAGGAAATTGGTGCCCTGAGATACTTGGAGTGCTCTGCTATGAAAAATCGTGGAGTTAATGAGGTGTTCACCGAAGCAGCACGTATCGCTCTTACCGCAAAACCAAAAGGGGCCAACGCTGCCGCGAACGTCGCTGACAACGAAAGCAGAAGCTGTGTGATAATGTGAAGGTCAAAGGCTTCTGATTTGTTGTTTTCACTTCTAATTGTGTAGTTGATTAATTTGTAAAGAGAACTGTATTACGAAAAGGAAACAAAATATTAAGTCTGATTATTTCTCAAGCTCTTCTCACTCCTTGAAGGACTCTTTGAGCTGAGTAAATGCTTCTTAGGGCTGCAATTGTAGCTGTGATTTGTCCGAAAGACATTTGATGGAGAAGAGCCTTGGTAACATAGATACGGATCCGGTATATGATTTTTGGTATCATTCGAGCCCAAGGGCTCAACAATGGAAGGCATCTCCCCAGTTTCGATAAATTCATCCAAAAGAACACTGCTAATTGCATTCTTTGGCAGCGGGAGACGCTGAGGAGGTGAAAAAGATGAAAGAGTTCCTGGCGAGTTTTCTAGTTTTCTCAATTGGAGGGTTCTGACCTCTTGCTTATCTGTCAAAGGCTGATAGTAAAATTTCTCATTGTTGGCCGGTAACACAGTGTTGGAATTGGTCGATTTGAAGCCTCGAGGATTGATAATCTCGTTTGCTGTACGGTGTGATCGGCCTCTCAAAATTCCAAGCATTCTGCCTCCATCTTCGAGTGGCTCTGTACCCTTTGAGTCAAAAGAATCCTCTGTTGAGTTCACATCCTTGGCCTGGATTTTGGCTCGAAACCTATGATAAGCAGAACCGATCAAAAAAGCGAGCACGAACCCGGCTACAATGGGGAGAAATATGATATAGAACGTTCCCTGATGCACAGATGTATTCTGTAAGAAAGGATTGTGTATCTCACTGGGTGGGATACCAACCTTTGGTGCCAAATTTGGATTCAGAGCACGATGATTGTAGCTGCCCGAAAGATCGTCTGGGGCGTAATTTGTCGACATATACACTTCTGGCGCTGAAGAGAGTTGCCTTCTGTCACCATCACGGAAATTTTTGGAATCTGAATGTGTCATTCAATCTACTGGCGCTATTGAAAGAAGCAATAAAACACTAAGTTTATCGCTGAATCGAGAGATGCATTTCTAGGCGGCAGGCTGGTATGCCTGGATTGGCTCGCAGACCACGGATTAAAGGCCATAAAAGTCAACTAGCTCGTACGTTTTGAATAAATCTGCGATATTAAGCGCAACTTGTGACCACGGGCTAATAGGGTATATAATCAATCTTCAGTAATTTCAAAGAAATGTGCCAAATCGTAATTTTTCATTTTTCTTTTGAGGCATGTTTTTGAGACCAAGGTGCTTCTTTCGTACAGCGAGGGTCACACCAGTTCGGTTTGTCGCTTCCAAAGCTATTGAAAAAGATGTGGCTGCCAGGTATAAAGAGAAACTGGATCGAAAGGCTAGAGAACTCGGTGCTGCGAACGCAGAACAGCTGAAAGAGAAATTGAAGGACGAGATCGAGAAGAAAAAGCTTGAGATGAATAAAATAGACCCGCTTAAGGAACTGGAGGCATTTGAAAAAGCACAGCAAAACAAAGTGCGAAAAACCGTCAAGGAAAGGTCCCCCATAGACCCATCAACTCCAAAAGACCCATATAAAACTTTAAATTCATACTTGGATCTGGAGAAGATAAAGGGTCTCAAAGCCAACGAAATTGAGTTTCTTTGGAGAATGAGATTCCAGAAAGGTGAAAATACCCTGAGTGCTGTTGTTCCAACCAGCACCTTCGACAGACTATTTAACAATGCCATCAAAAATCCAACATTTGTCCTCCCGTTGCCCCGCGAAGATGCCCAGGCTGAAAGCGAAGACAAGGGGAATCCGGTAGAAATTCATTTCGTTCAATGGAACTTTGTTGGACCTGATACCACGCATGTCTTGATCACGTCTCTAGCTGAGTACAAATTACATCAGGAGTACGCTAGACCTCACACCACGGTGATGTTTCACCAGGAGCTGAAAGAGGATAAGGGAATTGTTATGATGAACGGACAAGTCGAGAAAGACGCTTCTGTTACTTTACAAGAAGCTCAGTTACTTTTGCTAAATGTGCAAAGATTCTACGGTGGGCTCGCCGAGACAACTTCCGAAAGCAACCAGAAGAGATTGGAATTGCTGAGAAAGTTCAACTCCGGGGATCCTGCATTCAGCATGGAAGAACTGATAGAGCTAGCCGAAAGGATGGAAAATTAATTTTTGTACCAAAGTAACCGGATTCCATTGCTGTGATAAAATAATTTTTTTAACCAATTAGTATATGAGCGAAGTCAATCGATGAGTGAGCATGACTTCAATTAAGGTAGCATATTTGGGACCCCCTGGGACATACTCACATCAAGTAAGTACATTGAAAGCTTGTCATGTAAGGGCTAACTGAGCAGGCTGCACGGCAACAATTCGAGCCTTATGCTCTATCAGATGACGCATCAGTAAATTATCTTCCACAGCCATCAATTAATTCATGTTTCAAAGCAATCTCGAAAGATGAATGTGACTACAGCATAATTCCATTTGAGAATTCATCCAATGGTCAAGTTGTTCTGAGTTATGACCTATTCCGTGATTGGTTTATCAAAGAAGATCAGTTGAGGCTCAAGCTGAGGGAATTGGAACAAAGTGGCAGTTCTCAAGCGTCTTCTGTCAAAATCCCCGACTTTCAAGTAATTGGCGAGCAATTTGTTGCTATACACCACAATTTCATAACTTTTGCTTCAGACATATCAAAGATCAAAACTATATATTCGCATCCTCAAGTGTGGTCACAGTGTAATAAATTTCTACACAAGCATGAGTTGGATAATAATATCAAAGTACAGAAGATTGACACATCCTCGACTTCGAAAGCAGTTGAAATTGTTGCTTCTCTACAGACGGATGAAGAAAGAGAAACAACAGCTGCCATGGCATCATTGACTGCCAGTGAGATTCATGGAGTTCCAGTCAAGGTTTCTCAAATCGAAGATTTCAAAGGGAATACTACAAGGTTCCTGGTGCTAGGCAAAAAACCATTACCAGACTTACGCCTTTCTTTTGACTCTAATCCGGTATCAGACAAGCGCATGACTCTTTTAACCTTTATTATCAAGGATAACGATAATTTTGGAAGCTTGTGTAACATACTGCAAGTCTTCAAAAAATTCAATCTCAACTTGCAATCTATAACTACGAGACCCTCAATTGTGAGTCCTTGGAGGTACGTATTCTTTGTGGAAGTTTGGGAAGGAGAGGGTCTTCCTGAAGCATTGTCTGAGGTAGAGGAGCTGGTTCTTGATCTGACGGTGATTGGCTCGTTTCCAAGGAGCAAGAAATTCTTTCAAATGATCGAAACTGGCTTCCCCTGATTAGCACGAATATACGCACCACGCTTTAATTCCAGATAAGGTACATAAAATTAACGATTAACAGAATGATGTAAGAGATCAATGCTGATTCGATCTAAAAATAATGTTCCTGAGCAATAGTTCCATGACTACCCAGGTAGGGTATATATGATTAGCAGGCTCAGTGATTGCCTTTTGAATTCCTTGACGATCTTTCCGAATCAAGCAATATCTGCTAGCCAGGAACCTGCCCCTCAGAAAATAAAAATCTGGACTTCTCGCTTAAAACCAGCCACGAGATCAGATCCGCCTCGATTTTCTAGAAAGACAATAGCTTTTAACTTTGTGACATTTTTTATTGTCAAGCACCTTTACAAAGTCGAACGTGAGAATTGAGTAGTGAACGCTTTTAATTTATTGTTTCAAAGCGTGTCGGTATTGTTTATTCTGCATACCGTGTTTGGTAGCAGATCCCGTTGTGGCTAGCTCTTAAAACACGCATCTGACACTGCTGAATATAAACGCAAACCTTTAACGTTTATTCGAAGTTTTGCAATCCATAGGTTATCTGTCAATACTTTCTTCGTGGCCGACGTGATCACTCTTTTTTCACAGCCAGTATCTAAACATTCTTTCATTCTTTCGTGTCTTACAAGAACAGACCCATTCCATTCCTTTCATTAGTCCAAACAAATGAAGCTGTCATCAATTGTCACATTTTGTGTCTTGGGACACCTGGCTACTGCCGCTCCTTTCTTTCATCTCAAAAGACAAGCTGATCCGAAATTAGTTGTTGTGACTCAAACAGTTAAGAAGACCGTTGTCATCACTCCTGGCGCTACTCAGGCGCTCGGCGGCATTCAAAGCACAGCTGCTAGCAGTACAGCAGTCTACACCACATCCACGGCAGTCTCAGACAGAGACAACCTCGTTGGAACCCTCAACGTGGAGGAAGATACAAGTTCTTCCATATCCCCATCCGAGACCGACAATGCTCAGCCAACCACCGCCGAGTCCACCAGCTCCGCCATTCCTCCCACCACGCTAAGCACTTCCTCTCCAACCCCAACTCCAACAGAGGCCTCTTCGACCACCGAATCATCTGCATCTTCCACAGCTGCCACCTCTACGACATCGTCTGGCTCGTCGGGTTCCTCGGACTCGGACTTCCAGGAGGCGATCCTCAAGGAACACAATGATAAGAGAGCATTGCACGGCGTCGATGCACTCACGTGGGATGATACTCTTGCTCAATATGCTCAGAACTATGCTGACCAGTACAGCTGCTCGGGAGTTTTGACTCACTCCGGAGGAAAGTACGGTGAAAATCTGGCCCTGGGCTACTCTACTACCGGTACCGTGGATGCTTGGTACAACGAGGGAGCGAACTACAACTATGGTTCTAGCTGTTCTGTTTATGACCACTTCACCCAAGTTATCTGGAAGTCGACAACGAAGGTTGGATGTGGATACAAATATTGCAACGATTATTGGGGAACTTACATAGTATGCTCCTATGATCCTGCCGGGAACATTGTGGGTGAGTGTGCTTCCAATGTTCCTGCGCTATCTTCTTAGGCACTTGCTTTCCTTCCAGTACTAGGCTTCATTTATTATAGTTTAAAAATTGAGTTTTACGCGAAATTAGATCGCTCGTTTTTAGTTTCTCCATGTCTAGCATGCAGCAACGGCAAAGTCGAAAGCCTACAATCTATCAAGTCGTCCGGCTGGTATTTGCCATACTGACGTTTGCGACCGGTTGTTTGAGCATCGTTTTCTCCCAACTGCTGGTGAATGTGATGTTAGGTGGCGATGAGCGATTAAGAACGCGCTGCATCGGTTTCACAAAGCGCAATTTCGTGATTCTGATTACTTTTATAACAAGTCTTACATGCCCAACGGATCTCGAACTGTCATTTGATCCCGATACCGTTTCGTGTCGCGAGGTTCTGGCCAATGCCGAACGGTCCTTGTTGAATCTAGATACTAGCGCCATTTTGATTGCCAATCACCAACTATACACTGATTGGGTCTTCTTATGGTTTGTCTCTTATCTGAATGAATGCGCTGAGAACTTCTACATCATTATGAAGAAGTCGCTGGAAAGAATACCAGTTTTGGGGTACGGCATGAAGAATTACGATTTCATTTTCCTTAATCGAAAATGGGACTTAGACAGGTCATATATGATTCAAAAGTTTGCGCATCTAAGTTGTGTCAAAAAGCATTGGCTGCTTATTTTCCCAGAAGGTACAAATTTGAGCCCCAACACTAAACCAAGGTCAGACGATTTCATGACAAGGCAGCAGCTCGATTTTAAACTAGATCATGTGTTGCTCCCCCGCGTGAAAGGACTGTACCTAGCGTGTAAACACATGCACAAAAAGACAAATCTTATTCTCGATTTCACAATGGCTTACAGTGACCATCTTGCGACAGAGTATGCTCAAGACTCGTTCACTTTGCGCTCAATCTATCTGCTTGGAAAGGGTCCGAAGCGCTTAAGCATGTTTGTCAGAGCAATTGATATAAGTTCGATTGACGGATGCACTTTCGATGAGGACGCGAGCGAGGAAGAAGAAGAAGAGGATATGAGAAAATTTGAAGTTTGGCTGAACAAACTTTGGGTGCAAAAGGATAAAATGATGGACAACTATTACAAAACAGGGCATTTGGTGGAGGGGGTCAAATCAACCAAAATGCCCTTGAAACTTCGCAATAGATTTGAAATTTTGAATGTCTATGCTATACCCGTCGGGTTCCTTCTTCTGACCTGGCTCGCCTGTCGTCTAGTTACTACATTGTTACGTTAAAATGTTATTTGACCAATCACGCAATAGCATGAATCTGGATTCGCTTCCAAATAACGTCTACAAGCTAAAGCCAAAAACTATTATGTCATGAAATAACTATTGACTTCATCCTATGAAAATTTCTCTTGGTTCGTATCTGTGGTGGAGAAACATGCCAGTAGCTCCGTATTAGTTCAAAATTTCATATCGACTGCACATAAACAGGGCACAGCGACGTTGTTACTTGTCATGCTGTATTTCCTAAATTTCACACTTTTCTCACTTAGAACTATCGAAGTCGTCCCATGTGAGTATATTAAGTGGTCTTGCATAATAAAGTTTCTCGTATCCTTCTCTTTTATTCTCATCGTCGTATTCCGCTGTGTAGTCTTGTTTCAGGGTTTTTGAATTGTGGCTCTCAAACTCCTTCGATCCCCTGAATGTGATTTCTGGCATGATGATAACATCGTCGACCTGTGTGGGGCCAACAGCTAGGCTAAGCAGCTTGTATGAAATGCGGTCTTGTGTTTCAGGTCCCACAATCTTTTGTGGTAATAAATCTTTGTCTGTTCGCGCAACCCTGTAGATGAAAGGAGATTCAAGCTCATTCAGATACTCAAATAAAGTGTCAGTGAAAACTGATTCACCAGTACATTGTGTTAGTGGTTCACCATTGCTATCCAGATTCTCAAAAGCTGTATTCCAGTCAATCTCGTGAATGATGCGATCATCGTTGTGAACCATATAGGTAATTCGAGCAATAAGCTTTGCCAAAAAAGGGTGGTGGGACTTTGCTTTAAAAAGCTTATTTGAAAATGATAACCTTCTGTTGTATAGCAACGTCCAGTTTTCGTCGTTGTAGTCTGTGGAAATGCCCACCATCAGCTTACCAGGAATTATTCGAGATTCATACCAGTATTTCATCGGTTTCACGCAAATTGTATCAATGTCTGCAAACAATCCACCGCCAATGTACACTATCAGGTACTTGAGAAACTCATATTTGAGCCGGGGATCTGGAAGTTTGAGTAGTGCATCTAAAACCTCTGGCACCTGGTCCTTGAGATAATCTGAAACTAAAGATTCTCCTTCGGACGTCAAAATCAAATTATGGTTGTAGTCATCATTCACCAGTCTCCATCGTTGAATGTGAGGAAAGCAATTGACTGGAAATTTCCTGTCGTCTGGTCTTTGTTGCCACATCTGCCAAATATTGTTTTCAATTTCACCTTCTGCGTCGTAAGGAAAATAGTGAATAAGTCGGGCCTCAATTGTATACATATCATGAATATTCTTTCGAGGAGGTGGGGTCTTGATCAGAGTAGCATTTCCAAAAAAGCTCTGTGGATAAAAGTCTGACAAGCTATACCGCTTTCTGACAGAATTGGTAGGATCACCCAAACTCAAGTTTAACAATATGAACACAGCAACAGTGGACAAGATCATATACTTATAGCTTCTCCAAAGGTTGTAAATATACCGAGGCACTTGAGATGGGGCCATTTCCTTGGTATTGGGTCCCGGAGATTCGATGTACCTGCTAAAGCTCGAATACATGGGGACAGAATTATATTTCAGGATAGACTTTTTTGCTGTCAAAAAATACGACGGCAAATTCTCCCTTGGACTGAATTTATGGAGACAAGTTCACTGCCTGAGTGTTAAAATGTATTCTGTTTAGCTATCTTCCTTATTTAACATGCTTAGAATATACTGGTAGTTTTGATACATCTGCGATAGCTCAGACACAGTGAGCTGTTCGAATGACTTATTGCCAAAGCGGTCTAGTTTCGAAATATCAATGTTGGCAAACTTTTGATGATCCTCAGAACGGTTTTGAAAATGATCACTTAAAGAGCTTCCCCGGCTTCTGTTCTTAACATTCTCAAAGGCGTTCTCAATAGAGTTGAGAAGCCCTGCTTTCCCGATTTTCGAGTACTCCTGATTAAATAGGCCAGTATTTATCAAACTAGTAGTACGGCTGCGCATCTTGTTAAGTGAGGGCTTGCTTTTATCTCCCGTTTGACCGTTGCTGCCCGTATTGAAAGGAGTAATGGTATTCTGAGAGACTCCATTGTTGGAAGCGTTGGGTTCCAGGTGAACATTGAGAGAGGAGCTAGATGATGATGCACTCACAGGCCGAAAGTTTTTCATCACACCGCTCATGCTGCTGGTGAATTTGTTGATGAATTTATCCTGTGCATTTGGTGACGAAACAATGGAATCAGTTTGTGACCTTGTGCGGACCAACGTTGTTGAAGTGATGGTGGATGCCCCCAAATCTTCCCCCGTTTCTGGTTGATCCAAATGCGACGATAGTTGTAACGACAAGTCGGAGCCAGTATGTACATGATGACGAGAGTCGCTGGTAGAGATAGACGAAGTAGGGGTGATTTTGGACTCCTCAACTTTTGGAAGAGAGACAGTGGATTTTATGGCTAGATTTTCCTCCATCTGCTGCCTGGTAGACTCCAAAATAGGATCGTGGTTGTCTGTTGTTCCTATAGAGTTCAGCCACGAGACCCTACCAATTATGCTTTTGATGCTGGAGTCCACGGCATTACTTATATTTCGGATGCCTTGATCCGCATGATACAATGGCAAAAATTCAGATGGCGCCAGCAAGGAGAATCGAGAAGAGTCCAAAAGAAAAGAAGGTTGACGAGGTGACAACGTAGGTCGAATTTTTTTGATCTCCTCCTCGATTGATTCTAATACCAAAGGTTTTGTCAAAAATTCGAGAAACTCATCACGGGACTCTTCAGGAACCTTGGAAATGGTCTCATCCAAGCTTATGTTTAGATTGTCCAAAGTCACACTGGCGAGATAAGAGAGACTCGCTTCAAAATTGGTGAAGACATACAATAATTGGCCCTTTTCATCGTCATTTCCGTCATAAATATAATCGTTCCGAAATCTTTTGATGAACTCAAACTGGGTAATGAGGGCATGAGTCCGCAAATCTTCGAGTTTGATGAACACGTAAATGAGAATGGGAAGATAAATATCCGTATTTATTTCGTGAAAGGTGTTCTTGCTGAGTTCCCTGATCAGTTTGTCAATTTCGGCATGGACTTGAGACAATCGCTTCAATTTTAGTGTAGGAGAGCGCTCCGCCGTGAAAATTTCCAACTGCGGGAGAATGCGACCATACAAATTGTCCAAGAATAAATCTTCATCAATATCCAGATGGATATCTAAGTTCTCGAATTTGATGTCCAAACTGTTGAGGTATGCAAGCTTGATTCCAAAATCTTTGTTGAGCTTTTTCTCAAACTCATCCATTGGGACTCCTTTCTTGGGAAACATGAGAGATGAGTAAAACTTTTCACTTAGTAATTGCTCAACAATAAGATTGTACTTGCAAGAAGGATTGCCAAGCGGTTTATCAAGCTCCTTCAACTCCATTCTTTTCTCTCCATGCGTGAAGTCATTTGTTTTGATGTTGAAATCTGTATAAAATCTTTGGAAAAGCTCAGCGATCTCGAACGTAGCCAACGGCTTTGCATACCTAGGTTCTCTCAGAGATTTGATGAAATCCTGTAAGTGCTTCAAGAGAGAAGCTGGAAGTTCGTCCTTGCTTGTCACTTGGACTGAACTGACAATTCTTTCATTGCTGTCACGTCTTTCCGATCCAATAGCCGGCGACTTATGTGATAGCGACTGTGAGCTGATAGCTGTATGTTGGGCATCGTCTAGAACATCAGATTTTTCAGCATCATAAGAGAACTTAACTGATGTATCTGGTTGCCAACTATCTTTCGTTGGAGGGGTATGAAACATGGTCAAATGTAGATCAGGCCCGTCTATAATTTATTCAACGTGTAATGCAAAACTGCGCTTGGGGGTAATAGTAATCGTTAATCCCCCAAATGTCAATTAAGTGCTGTTGAAGTTATAAAGTGTTGCGTGCTAGTCTTGCGAAACTTTTGGGCTAAATTTGGTTCATTCCCTCCTCGGGTTCTTATCTCTTTGTAAGGCAATTGTTAAAAATTTGACCCCGTCAAAAAGTTGGCAGATCACCAACTTAAACACTGGTTTACGTAAATATACCACTGCTTCTAACTTCTTGACACAAATCGATAACTTTGTATAAGTTTGCACACTTAATTTAAAACCATCATTATTTCGGGTTTTCTGTGATTACTTGGATTTCTGAGCCTTGTCGTAGAGCTAGCGGTTCGGGGTTTTTTCCTCTTGTCTCGAACTGATGGAGGATGAATTGTTATATGACTTTCTGTTCATAGCCTTCGTTTTATATGTGACAATCTCCATGATGTGAAATTAGCAATTGGTTGCCTAGCTCTCGGTAATCGTAGAGCCTGCTGCCCTGAACCGAGCAAGACATTTTATGGAAATAAGTAAGTAGACTATTAAGTTCGCTTATCAGTATTTCTTTGTAAATCAAACGAAACAAACTATCAAAATGTCATGAGAAATATTTCCTCCTCCATTCTGAGTACTCCATTGCTCAAAACTTAGAAGAAACCTCCTCCTCCTTCTTGACGACGCCCTCCCATACCACCAAAGCCGCCTCCTTGGCCATAGCTGTTGTCATCGTACCTTCCACCGCCACCATAACCACCTTGATCGTAGCCGGCATTATCGTATCTGCCCCCTCCATATCCACCTTGGCCTCCCATTCCATCAAATCCATGACCTCCTTGATGTCCTCCACCAAATCCAGAGCCGCCATGTTGTCCTCCCAGCAATCCAGAAACGAGAGAACCTAATCCTCCTCCCATACCTCCACCTGTGGAGCTAGCCATGCCACTACCGCCTCCCAGAAGGGAACCGAGATTGAATCCACCTTGATTCTGCTGGTGTTGAGGAGTGACACCGGCCCCAGCCAAGGCAGAGATGAGTGATCCGAATCCACTCGATCCTCCTCCCATTCCTCCTCCCATTCCTCCTCCCCCAAATCCTCCACCCATGCTGCCACTTCCACCGGCACCGAGAAGGGATGAAAGCATACCCAGTTTGGATGAGGTGGAATTGCCTCCATTCAGCACCTGAGACATCAGCATTGAGCTCAATCCTCTTTCATTCGAGCCATAATTCGGATTTTGTTCAACCTCACGTTGCAAAGATCCGGAAATATTGTTCAAAATATTGTTTAGCTTCTGTTGCACCTCCGGTGAGTTAATCACTCCATCCTGTTCATCAAGCTCTGCAGCCAGTCTATACTGGTCGACGGCAGCCTTTTGATCGCCCTCGGACAAAAGTATATCACCCAGAGCTATCCTTACTTTACAAAACAAGTTAGGGTCCACCCTTTGCGATTGGCAAATTTCAACAGCTCTTTGTATGATATGTTTTGCATTAGCACCAGTAGAGGACTGAGCTTGTTGTAGCAGATTCTGGACTTCTCCTTCAGCAGACATAATGAAAAGCTTTGCAAATATGAAGCAGATGACCTGAGTGTCTTTTGCTATTTTTTTTCGGAAATTTCACCTGGAATTACTGCAGCAGCGGCTGAAACAGTCCAATTCAAAAAAATATAAGCGCGTTTCTCAGTGATTCACTCTACAATTGATGAAAGAGGTTTCCAATTTAGATGAAGACCTGAAATCCTCAAGGATCAAGAAGTATAACAACCCATCGCTTCAAAATGAGGTCAAGGAATGGCTTCTACAAGTCATGGGCTCCAGTATCAACGAAGATGAACTCAGGTCCACAGACCTCGTCGATTTCCTCAAATCAGGGGAGGTTTTGTCACAGCTGATAAATTGTGTCTGGGGGGCCAATACTCTTCCAGTGAGGAAAAGCAAAATGGCTTTTGTTCAGATGGAGTCAATTGAGCAATTTCTAAACTTTATCAAGTCCAAAGGCGTGCCTCAGGATGAGTTGTTTCAAACAGTTGATCTCTATGAACGCCAAGATCCGTATCAGGTAGTGATGGCCATACAGTCTCTATCAAGGTTGATTCATAAGGAGTTTGGGGACCGATATCCCTTAATTGGGCCCACCATCGCTGCCAAACATGAGCGCCCAAAAGTCCCTCCGAAACCAAAAAAATTCTCGGCTAATAGTGGGGCTGCTTGGAGTACTATTGAGTACGGTTATATGAACGGAAGTAATCAGAAGACGGAAAACATTGTTTTCGGCGCGAGAAGAGACATTGTTAGACGTTGAATTCCAGAGCTATATATAATCATTTATACGATCCACCTCATGAACGTTAGTCAGAAACTTGTCTAAATGAAATGTCTCGACCTCATTAGCAGACATTTCCAAGTTGCCCAGTGTTATAAGATTTATGTTAGAGCTAAGTTGCTTCAGTACATGGAATATACTTTCCTCTGTCCGAACTTGGATGACTTGGTGTGAGTTTCTTTGCACATTGAACCTTGATAAAAACTCTGATTTATCAACCGAAGGATGAAGAATAACAGTGAGGTTTGGATATTCATTCAGATAAGCAGCACTGAAAAAGTCAAGATCCTTTTGCGTGAGAACTAGTGACACAAATTGACCATTGCTCTTGCTGGCTTCAGATGTCTTTGCAGGTTCTTCGAAAAGCCCAGGATTAATCGTCTTCAACGCCCAGGCACCACCAATTACCAATCCAGCAACTACTGTCGCTGCAACGGCACGTGTCCAGAGTTTTCTTGAGTTTCTTGACATCCCATGAATCAAATGTCTGGCTTGAATAGAAAAAAGGCAGTAAATAAGTAGCTATTTGTTTAAAACCTACGATAAATTATATCCAGGCTAAATCAGAGTAGCGATTATGTAATAGAATGTAAAATAGGTAGTTTTTTTCACCGCCTGAAAATTTTATGCAGCTGATCGAGAAATCAGTTATCAGGAGAGATCACGGGCGTAAGCAATATTCTACGCTGAGTGGTTGGACCTAGAGTCCTTATCCAAGCAGCATCGTCAACATAATTATTTCTTAACTATCAACATAGGCTAGAGTATCATGACAGTTGCTCTGCGGGGCTCCTATCGTTTGATTTCCATGTTGCCTGTCTACAAATTTATTAGTCATGCCATGCGAACCGACAATTAGCAAAAGTTGTTTGGTGGAGAAAAATTACATTCGTGGGGCATTTAAGATACCCTTTGGACCCTTTTGCTGGAAAGCTTGCTTGGTGTGCTGGTGGATCGTTTATCTGAGGAAGCTGAAACAAGGGATCCTCAAAGAGCCTTGTACTGAGCATCTTTGCGCTAGCCAGCGGAGTACGTCAAAGTCTACCCACATGGCTTCCCATCATAATAGAGGTTTAAGCGCACCACATCGAAAGAGAATTGCAAGTTTCTTCCAGATCGCGTAACTTTGAGCAACGGCTCATGGTTAGCGGATATGAGGGTGGCTGGGAAAGTACCAAAGCACTAGTCCTTTTTCTGAGAGTCGTTTGGTCGTGACTGAATCGCAAAATCTTACTGCGCAAGCACATAAAAATACATAGAAACCAAGACTGAAAACAGTAATTTTGGTATTCGCAGAAGGTATTGTAACGACAATAAGCTATTTGGATTTATCGGCTATCGTACACAAACGGACTGAGAAAGGGCCTGACATGGGCTATACTGAGTGGGCTTAATAATTAAAGGCTATTCTCATGTATTTAGAGTTAGCAAACGTGCCTAGATGGTGGCTTTTCCACTTGTCTTGGCAACCTGTAGTACCTTGCTAAGCACTTTTTTTCTACCATCCGAATCGGACAAATATTTTTTCTTGTACTGCACGAAAGCGGCATGGTGCATATTATTGTTGTAGTGGTGAAAACGCAAATTATCTTAACGATCAGTAACTTCTTTACGTGTGCAAGATTCAAACCAAATGTCAGTCTTTCTTGATCCTCAGCAAACAGAGGTTTGAACATATGCGTTAGGGCTACCTACCAGGATCAGCAAACTGGTGTTCGAGCGAGCTTTGTCCGTCCCAACAATTCTCGTTGAAAACGTAGCTGCAGGTGACGTGCGTTGGGTTGAATTCGTCGCAGTTTTTACCATGCCTGACTTTGAAAAAGTTGAGAATAGCGAATCGGAGGACTTTGTTTGGTGGTTTTTTCAGATGCATCCTAGCCGTTTGTATTTAGAGTTCTTATATATAGGGTCAAGCCACCGTAATTTGTGGCAAACCAGTACTCCGTCATGAAACTGATCAAATGGCTCACTTTAGCAGGTCTAGCTGGCCTGGCTACATCCAAAGATACTTATTCTCACGAAGACTATGTTGTGATTGCGTGCAAGTCAGCAGTTGAGGCCACTGCTACTTTTTGCGAAGGTAAGAGCAAGGGATACGATTGTGCTTGTTCCAATCCTGCAGAGTTGGGTTCATGGATCTCCTGTGTTTATAATAATACTGGGAAGTATGACCCTGCTGCCGACAATGCTCTGGTGGATTTCTGCAACAAATATAAATTTACCGTTGATAGTATTCATTCCGCCTACGAAAATGCTACCAAGTATATGGTCAACATTAGCAACGTCAAGGGTTTTAAGAAAAAAACTATGATCAACTACCCCATCACCGGTGGTAACTTGACCAAGAACTACCAGGGCTACTATTGGGGTAACTTTCATCGATGGAATAATGTGGCAGTGTCCCACTACCTTGGTATTGCATCACTATCTGCTTGGGCATTGCTGATAGTTGTATGTGCATTCATCAATTGGTCGCTTGTCCTGCTACCATCTTTGAGAAGAAAGCTGGTAGGCCCTGCTACTAATTTCTGGAGAAAACACATTGCACTGCCGGCAGTTTTTGGAGGTAGGCATATGGAGAACTTTGGATTGTTGGGACTATTCCCTGATAGATTCGAGTCAATTGTTCTTTCCATATTCTTCATCTATTCCTTTTTGGCAAATGCTATTCTTGGCTTCACCTACTATGAAGGCGATTTGGTTTTCAAGACAAAGTCTACCGCATACGCAAGATACATCGGCGATAGGTCTGCTATTCTGCTTTCTTACTTGGTCCCTCTGCTCTTTGGATTCCCCGGAAGAAATAATATCATGCAGTGGGTCACCAGGTGGCCGTATTCCAGGTTTGTCACTTTCCACAAAGGGCTTGGTAGAATATTGGGCTTGGAAGTGCTTGTGCACTCTATTGCCATGACTATCCAATCTTTTGCTCTTGGAAAATGGCACACCAGAATCCATGCAGTTTACTTCCAACATGGCATTGCAGCAACCGTGTGCTGTTGGGTGGCTATGGGTTTTGCTGCCTACGGAGTGAGAAGATATTGGTATGAGCTATTCCTTGTCAGCCACATCGTTTTGATAGCCATGTTCCTGTGGACTGCCTGGTTGCATGCTGCTTCCCAAGATTACGGCAAGTACTATTACGCTTGTGCTGCAATCTGGTGTTTTGATAGAGCTGTCAGAATTGCCAGAGTTGTACTATTTGGGGTTAGAACTGCTAAATGCGAAATTCTCGAGAAGGAAGGAACCATCAAACTCTCAGTTCCTTATCCAAAGAGCTATTGGAAGCCTTCTCCAGCAGCCCATGGATTTGTCTACTTTTTGACTCCAAGAACATTCTGGCAATCTCACCCTTTCACCTTAATTGACTCTATCACAGACAAAAGCCACATTCATTTCTACTGCAAAATTAAAGGCGGCGTTACCAAGCTCATGGGTCATAAAGTTAAAAATCACGGCCATAATGTTTTCAATGTCAAAGTCCTTGTTGAAGGCCCCTACGGTTTGAGAAACCCATACCATCAGTACGACAAGGCTGTTCTGATTGCTGGTGGTAACGGTATCCCAGGCCCATTTTCCTACGCATTGGACCTTGTGTCTAGAGAAGTCAAGACAGAGGTAAAACTCTACTGGGCAGTGAGAGAATACAACTCCTTGAACTGGTTCAAGGAGGAGCTCATGCAATTCAAGGGCACCAATTGCAGACCTATCATTTATGTCTCCAATCCCAATTCTAGCATAGCCGAAGTCGATACTGACATGATCTCCAGTTCTGGTAGCTCTGTGGAGTTTTCTGAAGAAAAGAATTCGGAAAGAGAGAAGATTTCCGAGCAAACCCTTACGCTGGAAAGTTTGCAACAAGCCTTTGACTATGTCGAATTTAGACGGGGAAGAATCGACATCGACCAGCTCGTACAAGAAGAAATTTCCAATAGTACTGGATCCGTTGCTTTCGGTATCTGTGCCCACCCTAATATGACCGATAACGTCAGAGCTGCCGTCATCAAAAACTTAGACAACAAAAAGAGGATTGACTACTTCGAAGAGATGCAAACCTGGTGAGCATTATACAGATATTTTTCGAAGCAGATTTATATATTTTGTCAGATGTAGCAAATAGTTTGCTACTACGTTTTGAGTACACTTCACTCCAATTTAACATCGTAAGGATCGGCCTCCTCATCTTGATCCACCAAGTTGCCCCTTCTTTTTTGGTCCTCCTCCAGCACTTCGAAAAGTCCCTTGAAGTTGCCAGCACCGAATCCATTGTGGTTATGTCTTTGGATAACTTCAAAGAAAAACGTGGGCCTATCAAACACTGACCGCGTGAAAAGCTGCAATAAGTATCCATCCTCGTCAAAGTCAACGAGAATGCCAAGTTGCCTGATTTTTTCCATGCTTTCCTTAAACTCTGGATGCTTGCTTTCCTTCAATCTTTTCTCCAGGTTTTGATAATACCGATCAGGAACATCAATGAATTCAACACCTCGTGCTCTAAGGGCCTCAACGGTACTTAGAATATCATCCACCTTCAAAGCAACGTGCTGAATCCCCGGACCGCCATAGAATTCCAAGAATTCCTCGATTTGCGACTTTTTTAGGCCTTTAGCTGGCTCGTTCACTGGCATTTTAATTTTCTCGGACGGTGACGCCATTACTGTGGACTTGAGGGCAGAAAAGGCTGTATAAACCTGCTTGTCATCCACAGACCAGAATTTGTGGAAGCCAAAGATCTTTTTATACATTTCGCATGACTTGACCATCTTGTTCCAACCTAGATTCTGAACGCAGTGATCAATTACGTCAAACTTCACCTCTGTTGCAGAATTGTTCTCCAAATTGTCGAGCTGGTAGCCACCAGGGAGAAAACCGGAATAAGAACTCCGATCAACTAGCGTATGAGTTGTGTCTCCGATTACTCCAACCCTGGAAATAGTAATCGAACCATGCTCGTCCTTGTAAGTGGTGGGCTCTAGCACTGAGGTTGCGCCACCCTCCAAGGCTCTTTTGTGAACCTGTTCCACATTACTGACCTGGAACGCAACATCCTTGACTGCATCTCCATGTGTAGTAGTGTGGTGATGGATTTCTTGGATGAACTTCATGTCTTCTTCAGAAAGGCCTCTCGATTTTGGTGGTCTGAGACAGCTCACAAACTGAATAATGACACCTCCATTACGGACAACACGGACGTTGGTAATACGAGACCCGGTTTCGAGGCCTTTGTGACAGTAAGGGGTGAAGCCATACACGTGGATAAAATGTTCTGCCATGATATCGGCCGAGTTCACATAGCACGTGATATGGTCGTAGCCTCCGAAAACACCATCTTCAGCGCCATTCTCCTGGACTGTTTCAATTTCCGTGTCAGTAGCAATCTCCCGCTCACGTGAGAGAGTGTCTTGATTGACTTTTTCTGTGTTGGCGGAAAAGGGTGTAGTCTCTATAGTCATCTTTGAAATCGAGCAATGGAATTTCAATTACTTCCAGGTAGGTTTTTATAAGATCTGGAGCTCTCAAAACGATGTTCTACTTCAGTGAAGTCGCATGATTTCGAAGCATTTCGGTGATGAGCCGTTTCCCTATCTGCAGAACACAAATTTTTGGATTAATTTTTTGACATATTTAATTCTGTTGCTACCATTTTTGACAGGCATTGCACATGCATATAATTTCCCGATCTTTTAAAAATATGCCGTTCACATATGCTTCGAGCATGGGATGCAGATAACCATCATTATTATCTGTGTCTGCATCATTTATACACTATTCCAATACCTTCTAATGAGAGAGCTGGTGAATGTGCCAGAATGAAGCTCTCAAACAACACCCAAAATATATGCGTTCTGCTTTTTGGTCCTATTTCCAGGAAGAAAATTAGGTTCTTGATAGATACCAAATCAAAAACTGTACCCCACAATCGGGGAACTTTATCATCACAGCGTAGATGACACGGTACTGGTATTTTGCGGAGTAGCCCTCAAACAACTCCTCATTCCTTTGGATATTTCTCTGTAATGCCCGATTTTGCTTTCATTCGAAAGACGCTATATAAACCGACCATCTTGTGCCTGAACATATGATTGAGATATGTCTTCTTTACCCTCTCTAATCGACTCCTTGACGAATCATGCTGCAAAGGGCACGGGGATTGTAAAGCTTGTTGGTATCGCTAAAAAGGCTCTTCATCTGCAATCTAATCAACAGATCCCAGATGCACTAATAATATATCTCAAAGATCAACAACAGTCTCAGTTTGGATCCTATCCAGACCACAATGACGTTTCTCCGAGTAGCGTTTTTACAGCAGTGTTTTCCCTGCTGATGCTCGGCCACTTATTTGTCTTCATCAAGAACAAGACAAGAGGACACTGGTTCCCGCTTTCACTTGGTTTTGCTACTTATTGCCTGATAAGACTTTTAGGCTTTGCTCTAAGAATTGCCTGGGCAAAAGACATTCTCAGATTGCACACAGGCATAGCTTCTGAGGTTATGCTTGTACTTCCAACGGTGTTTCTAGCCTCTCTCAACCTTGTGCTAGCACAACGGCTTTTCACTTGGCGTCATCCCGTTGGTGGCAACCAGAAATTCTTCCAGATTGCCATGATGACAATCTATCTAGTTGTGGTGGCGGTCGTCATCATGACGATTGTTGCAGGTGTAGTGCCCTATTTATATTTCCTCAACCAAAGCCACTATAACATGTGCCGCAACGTTGTGAAGGTGACGTCCGTCCTTATCTGTTTCTACTCACTGTTGGCCATATTGCTTGTTTTATGCGCTTTCTTGATTCCTCCTTCTTCCAGAGACAAAAAAGCAACCGTATTTCAGCCGTTTTGGATCACATCATTTGCCCCGACATATTACGCTCCCCGGGGCGCTGCTGAGGAAGGACAATACCTGTTTGTACAGAGGCACGGTGAACTTTGCAAATACTCGGAACGGACCATTTTGAAAGGAGGAGATCTCTATTCCATGGCGGATGAACCATCGCAGCTCAACCAGTTTGAAGCTCAGAAGGAAGCCATCTATTCTATCAAGCACAACAGCTCAATTCTGCTAGTTGCGATCACATCTGCGTGTGTCTTAATTGGCGCTGTTTTTAGATGCGTGCTTTTGTTTTTCGATACAACGTACGCTACACAAGGGTGGCTGGCAAAACCGGTGGTCATGTATATGCTCTGGGGATTTTTGGAAGCTGTTGTCAATCTGCTCTACCTACTCAGCCGGGTAGATTTGAGATTTTACAGACCTGACAAGATCCCAAATAAGCTGATCACTGCCACTGACTCGAATGTCGTGCCAACTTCCAGCGAAGACAAGCCAGGCACGCAAGCAAGTCCCAGTGTGGTCTACTGACTCGTTTCTTTCTGTATTTTGTATGTAAAAAAATATTTGATTGCTTGAAAACAGTATTTGGCTGTCTTCTGAAACCTGATGTCTCTGTCTCTGTTCCTATTTACCTATAATTGCGGCAAGAAAACGCCAATTGTGCCCGAGTTTGGTGAAGACATAGCCAACTTGATTGAACAGAGTGACGGGCGCGTGCCTGATCTGCTGGTGTTTGGTTTCCAAGAAATTGCGTCCATCAGCGAGGGGACGAGCCCATACACCATCAATATCAAGCTCTTGGCGTTGAGCAACTTATTGTTGGACAGCATGGTGGCCAAAACACAGATCAACTTCGAGGTGATTGAGATCAACCATGTAGGCAACGTGGGAATAATTCTGATTTCTCCATACAAGTCCAAATGTCGAAAAGTGAGACGGTCAGCAAACGTTCCCCTAGGATATTTTATAACAAATATCAAGGGAGCCACGGGCCTGAGAGTTACATATGAAGCGGAATACGGCAAAACGACAGAACTGACATTTGTGGTGGCCCACTTGGCTGCCAACGAAGGTGTTAAATATCTGATGAGAAGAAACGCTGACCTTGATAGCATATTACACGGACTCAGTTTCCAGGATGGCTTCGGCATGCATAAACCTAATTCACATTGCTTTATCATGGGGGACCTAAATTATAGGAAAACAGGTGCATACCATTTTGCTGCAAACTCGGATGAAGAACGCTCTGGCATGGAACTAGACGAGCTCAATATCATGCGGTCTTCTGGCAGAATATTGTGGGGATTTAAGGAGCCAGAAATCAAGTTTCTTCCTACATATAAGTTCAAAACGGGCACATCGACCTACAACTATAAAAGGACTCCTTCTTGGTGCGATAGAATATTATATCTGGATTACAAAGGCCTCGAGGAAGATTTGATGGGGTTGGATGAGCCAAAGGAACGCGTCATCAAATACGACGCGGCTCGGTTAATAAAACTGTCCGACCACGTTCCAGTCTACTTGAGAATCGATGTACCTTTAGAAGCCCCTATGTCTTTGATAAACTCCAAGGGGTACCTCATGGACAAATTCACTCATCTTTCTAATAACGAGATTGATTTAAAACCACGGAAGCGATGGAACTATTATCGGGCCATGGCGAACTATAACGACAACATACTGAGTTTCGTTTTTTATCTTGTCCTCACGACAAAAGGGCGCATCATCCTTGCTATATGGTGCTTTATTGTTTACCTGATTTTCCACGGGCACATATTGTTCACGTGAGAGCTCACTTACGCCCATAGCGTGCTTTTCCAATGTCAAACGGAAGATATCTGTACTTGATCATGTGTTGAATTTGTCTCCTCATGGTCAAAGTGAACAAGATCACAAAGTATATCAAAAGGATAGGCCAAAAGACAGGAATATCAAACACTCTGAACAGTGAGCAGACCAAAGCTATAACTGTACCTCTGGTGGCATTCAACCAAAATCTGAACTCGGGAAGTCTTCTGATGAACGGCCTAAACTCATCATCCTTGTCAGTCATTTTCGCTGTGCCCTCTTCAATGGACTCGTTTTCGTATTCTTGCTCCAATGACGGATCGAACTTAGGTGTCAAGAATTGCAGCAGCATGCTTAATAGGTAGATAGCCCAAGTATAGCAAACAATGTACCACCCTTCGCATAGCACGATTCTTAAGGCAAACAAAAACATCAAAACATATGTTGCAGCCCATCTATACACTGTGTGTGGAGTAGCGATATCCAAATACCGCTGGTATGTGTTGCGTATCCTCGCCCATTGAACCGCTGCTTGATCTCTATATTGATCCACACGCTCCATGACAATATAGGTGAATGCTTTGTAAAACGTATTCTCAAAAATGGGTTCGAGGAAAAAAAAATCAATTCGATTACATAACGAGTTTGTAAGCCAAGCCAAATCTGGAAACATATAAAACCAATGGCTTGCCGAGTCCACCCAGTAATATATGTCTACCTCGTTAGGGTGGAACCATTGCAATACCGCTAACCAAACCGAAAATTTGATCTAGATTCATTTGGAGTTTGAAGTGGCCGTATCCTGAATTAAATACATGGGTAGGAAGTGGCTTTTTGGCAAAATATAGCTACCATTCCAAGCAAGTGCGAATACGCTTCAGGGTTATAGTGTGTGCTAGGGAGAACAGTGTAGATTGCCTTATACTCCAGAAAGTATAGGCCGCGTATTGCTATGAGTGATGTACACTCAAAATTACAGTTGAGACGTTTGTAGTGAAAACATTGGAATTCTTACACCAATTTTAAGCATTACAGATTCGGACGACTTGGGCCAAGCGCCACAAAACAATGCGCATTACGTGCTCCACCATTCAGTTCACTGTCTTGGTATTTGACTTCAAATCCAGTCATTAAGCTTATTTACTTGAACGTCAATTGTGATTAGCCACGTCTGTTCTGAAGAAGCAAATCGTAGTTGATGCATCTGAGCTCTTTTTCAATTCTTGGTCTTCCACTTCCGTCATCATAAAAGCCAGTAGAGTTGGCATTGCTGAAACCGAGTGGAGAAGGTCCCCAGGTAGGGACGAAACAAAGCTCGTCAAAGTTACAGCTCTGGGAGCATCTGTAGTAGTATGCCCAATGCAAGCTCTCAAGGAGATCAGAAAGCTCAGTTTTGGCTTTTGTAATCTGATCATCTATGTCCTTAGGAAGCGTGGCTCCAGTCAATGGGGATAGCAGTATCTTGCTCAGGGTGAAGCAATTGTACAGTGTGTCCACTATTTTCGATTGAACAATGGTAATAGAGTTCCAGACAAAAAAATCGGCCGTCGATTTCAAAGGTTGGTAGGGATGGCTGTAGTCCCAAATAGCCATTGCACGATGTTTTGGAAGCAACTCGTGGTCAGGTTCGCTCAGATATCTTCTGATGAAATTGTAGGTATAAGCGGTCAGGTTGGTTCCCAGTGTTTGATAATCCTCATGTTGACCATAGAGAGCAAAGGAAGAATTCAGGTTGACAAGCATTGGCGCAAACTTGTCAACTATATAGTCTGTCACCAATTGCCAGTTTGTAGAGCTGTATGGATCATTTGGCGTCGACAGCATTTCTTCCACCGAGTTGACCAAGTCGGTCTTTAGTTCCGACGAAATGTTGTGGATCCGTCGAAGATATGGATCTGGATGAATGAATGTTTTATTTAGCGGAGTCACAAACTTGGAGAAGTCAAGTAAAATCCGTTTGTCGCCATTATAAGCTCTTGCACCAGCGAGATAATGCTCAAATCCAGACATTGCTTCAACAACGTCAATGACGGCACTTCTTTTGGCATTCAGATCCTCTCTATCGTCAAGATTTGCAAACTTTTCCGGAGGAAAATCGATGAATTCCGTCACATTTGCCAACGACACATTGGAGATTGGAATCATTTTCTCTTCAAAATCGCAAATCACCATTTCAAAGCCAACCTCTAAACGCACGTATCCGTCGAGACCTCCATGGCTTTTTCCCCATGAGCAGATCTTATCAGCAGCAATCCGCTCATCAAAATCGTCGTAGTCTGCAACCTGGGACAAAACAAATTGTGTATCCATTTCTCCTGTTAATGATTTCGCAGCCGATGCACCACCAAAAACAATAACTTTGTCTAGAGGTTTGGTAACTTGGAATGTAAACAAGGAGGAAGGACCATCAAAGTTAGGCGGATGACCACCATGAGATGGCCTTTTACCTCCCGGTGGCTTGAAATTTGGAGGGCCTCCAGGGCCTCCAGGACCTTTATCTTTTCTTGGCCTATTTCTGCTCATATGCGCAAAGTCATAGCTGAACTCATAGTCCATAGCAACCCATTCGACGGTTTTTGGAGGCTGGCCACGGTGATTAGAATGGTATAATAATGTCCCCTCTGGGATGTAGGCTGGGATAAAACTGACACTGATGGGATTGATGTCCGCATTTTTCTGCTTCAGAACATCATACACCTCGTTGAAAACGGCAGAAGCATTCGCAAAGTCCATAGGCTGAAGGTATTGCTCAAAGCTTGCGACGTTCAGCTCTATGAAAGGTGCTATCGGAGTTTTGATGTTCCGCAGTGAATAAGACAAGCGCAAAAAGATGGCGATGTTGAGTAGCAAAAATGCCCATATACCGTAATGGCGAATTTTCGAATAATCCACCTGTTTTTTGGATCCCTCCAGGGAAATATAGTTGGCTCCAAGAACCATTGAAACACAAAATTGGATAGTAGAAAGACAGATGCCGGATTTTAATACCCAGGGCTAAGCACAAAAAATTCGCACTACCACTTTAGAAAGCCGAAACGTCAATCACCGAAATGGAAACCCGAAATCGTGCGGCACTATTTATTCCAACTTTTTTTGACTCTTATACCTAGATAATAGAAACCGCGGCTCAAAATGGTGTCTGAAACCATCTGCACAATATACGCACCACATCTTTACACCACCGAATACATATGGCCCTATCCGCCTCTGCCAGCACGTATCATCTAAAATTAGGGAACACGTGAGATGCTTCCCGACACTTTTTTAACTACTAGAGGATGTGCGCAAAGGTGTACCCGTGCACAATAATCCTGGTAGCTTTGGATTGGTGGTGTTCCACTGAACTTATGTGCTTAGTAGCGAACCCTGGCAGCTACAATGCATCTCCCCCTCCAAAAATACAATAAAATACAATCGGGCTTACATAAGCGATTCTGAGGCTCAGGGGAGGGGTGTTGGCAGGAGCAAATATTTTAGAAAAACAAATATACAGAATTTCATCACTCTTGACTACTCCAATATATTACAGAATGAGGGTGGTATACTGGTTGATTACATTTGCGGCACTTGCGTTGGCTGCCGACCCAGTTACTACAACAGAAACTACACCAACCACACCAAATGCTGCTACAACAGCCACGGCACAAACCACAACACCGAACACGGCACTTACCACGGCCACAACACCCCCAGCAGCCACTACCGGTACTACAAGCACGGCCACCACTCCTGCAAACGCGCTCACTACGGCGACGCCAACTACCGGCACAACAGGAACTACCGGCACAACAGGAACCACAGGAACCACAGGTACCACTGGGACTACCGCGACGCCAGCTAACGCAGCTACCACAGCCACTCCAACAACAGGAACTACAGCAACAACGGGTACAACAGGGACCAGGACAACTCCGGCAGCAGCAGCAGCCGCAACCACTCCAACCACCTCGACGTTGACATCTGCGTCTACCAACAGTGACCTCACATCTACAGAGACGGGCTCAACTACTGCATCCCCTACTATTGCATGGCGTACAACTACGGAGGCTGGTGTTATCAAAACAATTTCGATCACGTTCTCGCAGAGTTTCTATTCCTTGTATTCTACTATTGGGTCGTGGTCAACAGGATCTGTTGGTTTGGGGAGCTTAGCTACTTCGGGACAGACTGTGGGCACAATAAAACAATACCGCACTATTACTATCTCATCGTCAACTAAATGATTGCAATAATCTTGGCGATGTGTGTATTTATAAAACCAGAAATAAATTATTGTTGATTTAAGCATTGTCAGCTATATAACAACTTAAACAACGCATCAGCACAATACATTGGGTCTTGGATGCAACGAAACTCGAGTTATGTCCAGCTTGAGAACTGTGTGTAAAAATCTTGCTGTGGGGGTGATAAATGGTTTAGACGTAGAATGCAGGTTTTGCTCCACGGTCGTTGGAATCCTTATGACTAATAAACTCAACAGACTCACCCTCTCTGAGCATCAATATTTTCTTTAATCTCTCTCCAATAGGCACAAGAGCAGCTCTATCGCAAGATTTCGTCCAAAGACACACTCTGTAGCCCACTTTTCTGACGTTCAAGACAACTCCATTCACTTCATTTTGGTCGTCTTCTATGGTCTCACCAATAACACTCAACAATGCTCTGGTCCAAATTTCGTTAATTCCGTGCTCCAGCCTTTTACCCTTGAACTGGAAGGAGAATCTTCCACCCTTAGAGTTGGCTGGGTCTTCCCACTCCGGTTTAATGTTTTCTCTGAATAAATGGTAGTCAGATTTTAGAGGTAGCTCATCTGCCTTTGGAATGGAGTTGAAAATACCCCAGAATTCTTCGACAGTGTCAAAAGCAACAACTGGCTTCAGAAGATCAGACCAGCTCTCACTGGAGTCCACGGCCGGTTTGGTGTACCACAAGGTCCACTTGGAATTCAGTGGGTGCTTCACGTTGAATTCCTCTCTGGAATCGAGGACTGTCACGTCCTTCTTCTCGTCGAGAGACAAGTCCTTAGCTGCTTGATTTAGTTCTTCAGACATCTGGAGAGTTAGTAGGACAATATTCGGGCCACAATTTGGATGACAACTCTGCTAACATTTAAACAAAGATTTTTTAAATGAAAATCGTTGACTTTTGTCATTGTGAGTTCAAATTTGTCACTGCCCAAACCATGTAAGAAACATACCTTATAGTAATTCAGCGCTCTGATATGATGGCAATTTAATGTTCGATTTGCTTCAGGTCTTGTCCAATATACCAAACAATTAAATCCTTCTACCTTGTTTTGTCGCTGGTTTTTCGACAAAATTTTTTGGAGAAGAAGCCACGACCAACCAGCAATTTACCCGGAGATTAAGATCTTAATCTTCAATTCTCTATTCTACATCATATGTCTGTCACGATTGATAGAGGACTAGTAGCGCATACCAAACGAGTCCATGGTGTCCATCCCGTCTTTCTCATTGAAAAAATATTACGTGAACGAATCCTCGACAGCCAATACTGGAAACGAGAATGCCAGCACGCCGACTTGCTAGTACTTCTGGATCGATCCGTTGAGCTAGAGCAAATAGGAACTTACGCAAATACTGGACATACAATTCCGACCCCATTTATATGTCTCCTGCTCAGACTTCTGCAGCTTCAACCTGCTGCCGATATAATTGACTATTTGCTCGTACAGACAGATTTTGTCTACCTGACAGCACTGGCAGCGTTGTATGTTAGAATCACTTGCCATTCGGTGGCAGTTTATCAGAAGCTGGAGCCTTTGTTGGCGGACTATCGACGATTAAACATAATCGAAAATCAAACAGTCAAGTCGATATATCTGGACGAGTATATCGACGAACTGCTGCAAGGAAACAAGTTCCTCGATATGGTGCTTCCTCGTCTGATTGACAGGTTAGTTCTCGAAGACCAGGAATTACTAGGGCCGCGACAAAGTTCAATGCAAGAAGAATTCGAGCGCATGTGTGAAGAGGAAAAATTGAAACGGGACGACGAGCAGTCCAGTGCTAAATCCCGTGTGCATTGATGACAGCCCAATATATATGTGACGATTATTAAAATGCCCTGGCTCTTCCGCGTCCTCTTCTTCCCCCCCTTATAGGAGCTTTTGCTTTTTGAACCGGAGCAACAGTGGATAGATTTTTTGGCTTCAACATGGAGTCCGAGATTATGCTATCGATATTGAGCTCATCAGGTAGAATCACAAGGCGAACCTGATTACCTCTTATGTTGATGTATTCCAGACTTATTGGATTTCTGTATTTGATAGTCATTTTGACATTTTTCAAATTGATGTTCATAGAGGGCGTAACAGAGATGATTTCTCCAGAAATGACAGTTCCATTCTTCAGTTCTACCTGCACTTTTTCGTTGTTTAGCTTCATCAAAAACTTCACCAGTTTCATAATTCTTGTATGATGATGAATAATGCTAACAAATATATAATTTAAAATCAACTAGGTTATGAAGCCCAAAATTTTATTTTCATTCTGTTTCTTTGGATAACATGGTCAATCTCATTATCGTTCCTCGATCTAAGACCTTGCGGAAGATCAATTGCGATACTGATCCAAAGGCAAAGGTACAAGCTATCATCAGCGAATACTCTAAGGTCAACAGCATTGATCCCAACAGAGTTAAACTTTCTATTCTGGAAGAAAAAGAATCCACTGACAAGAAGCCCGTCCGTAGAACACTGAAGAATGAGAAGACATTGGAAGCCAACGGACTTGACTTCTCTACGACAGATACCATCACCGTCTATGCAAAAGACGTGGGCCCCCAAATTGAATGGAAAACGGTCTACTTGATCGAATATTTCGGTCCCATGCTGATCCACTCCTTGGTCTATTACGGTTTGTATGACCCTGATGTCAACACGTACACTCAAATTGCGGCTTATATTCTGACGATGGTTCACTATTTAAAAAGAGAATTTGAGACAACTTTCATCCATATGTTCTCTGTCGACACCATGCCTTTGAAGTACTTGTTCAGAAACTGTGGACACTATTGGATCTTTAACGGATTGTTCATTGCCCTTTCCGTTTACGCTCCTCAAGATAGGTACTATTCTGGTTGGAAGAAGTACGTTTTCCATGTTGAAGACAGGCCTTTGAACCAACTCTACATTTATGGTGGTCTCTGGGCTCTTTGCGAACTGGCCAATTTCTATTGCCACTTCATCTTGATGAAGCTGAGAAATGACGGTTCGAGGGAGAAAAGAATTCCATATGGTTTTGCCTTCTCACTGGTCTCCTTCCCAAACTACTTCTTTGAGAGTCTAGGATGGTTGTTTTATGCTATCATGATCAACAACTGGTCGTGCTACTTATTCCTCATTATCGGAACTCTGACCATGATGAGCTGGGCCAAGCAGAAGCACAGAAACTATAAAAAGACCTTTGGTGATAAATATCCAAAGAACAGAAAAGCCATGATTCCATTTATATTTTAAGTAAGATGAAATGACATGCCTGTTTTGAAATTGTATGGGGATCTTAAAAAGTAAAATATATATTCCATTTAAATTAGCACTCAATTGCACCTGAAAAATCTTCAAAACCGCGTTCAATTTGTAAGCAAAGAAGCAAGGCCTCAATTGTTGGCAATTCAAGAGTTGACAGCCATTCAATGTCCGACTCAGAATCAGCAAAAAAAGTGTCCAATTCACAAGTAGAGAACAATGATAATACTCCCGTTCCCTTGTCTCCTGCACTCTCTTCGAAGAGCGGTAACACACAGGGACCGAAAGCCCAGAAATCCACAAGATCAATGAGAGCTACTCCGATTCCCTCTACCCATGTGCTTATGAACTACCAACCGCACCACACAGGTTCCGCATCGCACCACCGACAATATGTTCTCCTCAAAGATAAAGGAGGCACATCTGGTTCTCCAAATGTAGGTGGTAATAGTTCAGTTTCTTCTCCAAAAGTGAGTACACCCTCACATACGGGGCCTAATGTTTACCCAGGTAAAGCAAGGCCCTTCTTACGAAAAGCACCAAGTTCAAAATACATTTTCAGCGTTGACGATGACGAAGACGAGGTTGAGGAGGATTTGAATAGAGAGTATCTGGAAGGCTATTCTGACGCATTGCGTCATCGCTTCAAAAAGGCTATTTCAACACAAACAGACTCTAATGATCCAAAATCTCGTAAAATCCAAGAGCTGGAAGCCGAGATTGCGCAAAACCTGTTGGCGACTTCAAAAGATTTGGCTATCCTACGAGAACGGGAGGGAGATTATATTAACCATGACGGTGAGGAAAACTCGTTTGTGCAAGCCGAAGATGGGCAGCCTATAAAACCTCGTATTTCTGCCCAAGATCTCTCCGAAAGAGATGGAGACAATTCAGACGCCGAGTCTACATCTTCAGCTGAGAGCTTCACATTGAGGGGCAGACAAGATGCCATCAATGAGACACATCCTTTCGGTATCCGTATTTGGAAGCCCGCCATCTACAAGAAAAACAGATCAGTCGAGATTGAGGCAGAAAACGATATCCATTCGACACCGCAAATCGCTAGGGAGGTTTCTGCTACAAACGCATTTTGCAACTTCATATGGAGTTGCACTTTCGGGTTTGTTCTGCTTATACTTTGCCTTGTGATGGGCTGCATTACATTAGTGTTCACTGTTTTTACAAATCCTAAGAAAAGTGAATCAATCAGGTACGCAAAATTGTACTTACATCTGGGCACTTATTTGTTTGTTCCATTTGGAAAAATCATCTTACTAAGAGCAGATAAAAACTACCTCACGGAGGATGCGAATGTGGGAAGCACGCTCGCCGAATTTGCAAGATGGAGAACTCAAGACGAGAGCCGTTTGTTCTATGCTGCACCGAATCGAAAAAGACGCGCAAGCGAAAGTACTCCTTTGCAATCCCATATAGGTACCAATTATGCATCTGACGGAAACTCTGAAAATATCGAGGAGATACTTGATGAAGACGAAGGTACCACATTTTACAAGCAGAGACTATTTGGAAGAGGAAAATGGAATATTGGAAGAATCGTCTTCTATATCTTATTCTATGCTTGTGCTCAGCCAATAATGCTTGCATTGGGTGCAGCTTTATGGTTACTTGTTTTCACAATCCCGATGGCCAAGGTGCTTTTTACTGTTTGCAATCATATCAGGAGACATCCGTTAGCCTTGTCCATCGAGATTGAAAAAGATTACTACCAGCGCAAGTTGGCTTCCAATACATCCAACGAATCCATTCTAATTTGCACTTACAGAAGCCTCGGTTTCCACTATTACAAATACACTGTGGACGGCACCAACATTTTCTTTATCAACCTCATATTCCTGGTGATTTTCACCATTTTCGATTTCTTCGTCCTCAAAGAGTACTTTGGTTTGGAATCTCTCTTTGTTTCTCCGGTGGTCATCTTTATTCTGTGTCTTGTTTCCGTTATCCCACTAGCGTACTTCATCGGTCAAGCAGTTGCCTCTATTTCTGCGCAAACTTCAATGGGTCTAGGTGCTGTCATCAATGCGTTCTTCTCCACAATTGTTGAAGTGTTTTTGTACTGTATTGCGCTGAATCAGTCAAAAGGAAAGCTGGTCGAGGGATCCATGATAGGCTCCATTTTGGGAGCCGTTCTACTTCTTCCCGGAACTTCTATGTGTGGTGGAGCCTTTCGTAGAAAGACACAACGATACAACCCTGCATCAGCGGGTGTTTCCTCCACAATGCTCCTTTATGCCATATTCGTCATGCTTTCTCCCACAATTTTATATGAAATTTATGGACAATACGAGGTTCAATGTTTTGACTGCGAACCTGAGTACTACGAAACTGGAACAGACTGCAAAAAATGTCACTTTCTACAGCCGAATCTCGCAGTGGACAAATTATATCTGGACTATTTGAGACCTTTTGCAGCAATTTGTGCCATAGGGCTATTTTTGGCCTACTGTATTGGACTGCTCTTTACTCTTAAGACACACGCAGCGCTCATTTGGAGTACCCCCGTGGTGTCTGAAAAAGAGAAAAAGACGGAGAACTTTAGCGGAAATGCAACAGAGAACACAAGCATCAAATCACTTCGTCTTGATAGCACTATCAACCATAAGAAAACTCAGGGCAATATTCAAAGAGGAACACCAGGAAAGCAGTCCATGCAAAGTCCAGCCTCGCAAGCTGTGCAACCAGGCCTGCAAGGCCTACCGGGTCAAACTATACAAACTACAGATGGTGGCCATGACGCTCCGAATTGGTCCAGAAAGAAAAGTACTACAATTTTGCTCTTGGCAACTTTAATGTATGCTGTCATTGCGGAAATACTGGTGGATGTTGTGGATGATGTTCTCAGTGCCTTTCCCATAGATCCAAAATTCCTTGGATTGACAGTGTTTGCGTTGGTGCCCAACACTACAGAATTCGTCAATGCTATTTCATTTGCAACCCATGGAAATGTGGCACTGTCGATGGAGATTGGATCTGCATATGCGCTACAGGTCTGTTTGCTGCAAATCCCAATTGTCACCATGTACTCTTCGTTCAGAAACATCAATGCCACGCCAGCTGACATTAACAATTTGTTTTCATTGATATTCCCTCGCTGGGATTGCATAGCGTCACTTATCTCGGTGTATATGTTCACCTACGTGTATGCCGAGGGGAAGTCCAATTATTTCAAAGGCTCAATCCTGATCCTGGTCTATATCAGTGTTCTGGCAGGGTTCTATTTCTCATTGGTCATCGATGCAAAAGGGGTGTCCATAATTCACACTATATGAAAAACATCAGTTATATCTATATATCTAATTATTCAGTAAATGTTTCTTGGAAAGCGTTACCCAAGATATCGAGGCCATCGATGATGACAGAGTCCTCGATATTCAAAGCAGGAACAAATCGGATAACGTTATTACCGGCTGTGATCACCAGCAGTCCAAGCTCCCTGGCTTTCTTAACGACTGGTGATGGATCTTGGTTCAACTCCATGCCGAGTAAAAGGCCTTCCCCTCTGATATCTTTGATCTGATCCGGGAATTTTTCGCTCAGTTCGTTGAGTTTCACCTTGAACAATTCAGACTTTTTCTCAACCTGTTGCAAAAATTCAGGATTGGAAACTTTGTCCAGCACGTATAAGCCAATTCGAGCACCCAATGGGTTTCCACCATAAGTGGTTCCGTGATCACCAACTTTCAAAGCTTTTTCAACTTCTTCGGTAACCATAGTTGCACCAATAGGGAATCCATTACCCAAAGCCTTAGCCATGGTAAGAATATCTGGGTGAGCGCTTTCTGGCAACTTGGAATGCGCCCAGAGTCTTCCAGATCTCCCCAATCCACATTGGATCTCATCGTATATCAGAAGTGCATTATGCTTATTGCACAACTCTCTAAGCTGAACCATAAAGTCCGAATTCATAGGAAATATTCCTCCCTCTCCTTGGACTGGCTCTATAATCACTCCACAAGTTTTGTCGGAGATCAAACTTTCCACGGATTTGATATCGTTGGGTTTTGCAACTTTGACTCCAGGAATGAGAGGTGCAAATGGCTTTTGGTATTTGGGATTTGGTGTCAGCGAAAGCGAACCCATCGACCGTCCGTGGAAAGAGTTTTCGAAAGTAATAAACTCGATTTTATTATCAGCAAGCGATTTGCCATATTTTCTGGCAAACTTCATCGCAGCCTCATTAGCTTCAGTACCGGAATTGGCCATGAACACACGGGACGCATTCTTCATACTTCCTGATTCCAGAGTTTTCGAAACCAACTGTTTGCTCAATTCACCAGTCCACTGGTTGTAAAGCAAATTCGAGCTGTGAACAAGTGTGGTAGCTTGCTCGTACATGATTTTTGCAATTTCGGGGTGTGAGTGGCCAAGGGCAGTCACCGCAATTCCAGCAGAAAAATCGATGTACTTCTTTCCCTCCATATCCCAAAGATGGCATCCTTCTCCCTTTGTGAAAACAATTGGCGGTCTTGAGTAAGTCGTCACAGTGTATGGGTCAACATCAGCAACAAAAGATGCAGAAGACGACTTGCAAACAGTACGGCTGTTACCAAACAACCGTTTTTGCACGGACTGCACAAGAGTGGTCCGCTGAAGCATGATAAATTATGTGACTAAAATTTTCGGAAAAAAAATGAATTGATAAGATGTAAAAGTTTTATGGGCCTAGGCCACTGTAACTTGGAGTGAGGCACATCAGGTAGATCATTTGGCCTTGGCGTATCTCAGCTATTGTTTATGTAGACTGGCAAAAGAACTGGTTCACAAGATACACACGTGACAAACGTCACGTGCAGATATTTTTTCTACTTCTCTACGTTAGTCTTGTATCAAGTTTTTTTTTTCAACCTTGAAACCGAACATGTCGAAGTTGTTCAATCTCTCTGCTGTGGAGGCATTTGAGAAGTTACCATTGAAGCTTCGCAACTTCTTCACTCGCTATCCTCCAGCCCCGTTTAGACAGTATGCGTCCGAGCCAACACTTACAAATGCCCCTGATGCCAATCCATTCATTCCAAATAGACATCCAGTCACCGGTAAGGTTCAAGAACCTGTTTATTCTTTAAGACGGCAATCTGATTTATACAAGCTAGCGTACAAGTTTGGAATAGCAGACCTGATGCCAACACTGCGCAATAACAAGAAGTTTTATGCAGAGAAGTTTGAGACTAAACCGCTATTGAAGGGTGTGCTGAGTCCAAAGGGCCATAAATGGGAAAGAACCTACGACGAGAGAAAACAGAGGATCGCAGATGCAGTGGCAAAGGCAGATGAAGTTATTGTGGAGGCCAAGGGATCAAAATACAAGAAGCGCGTGGAAAGAAAATTATCGCAGAAGAAAACGTGGTTTTAATGTACATAGTTGTAAGCGTGTTTATATCATACTTCAGGTTTTGTTGCGCTATAAACAGGTAGTTATTGGGTAGGCTCTCCACTTTCAGCATCCTCCAAATCATTGAATAAAGTGTCCTCGTCAGGAGCTTGGGTGTCTTTTTCTCCACCAAGATCGGATGACATATTGCTCAACCTGGCTTCCAAAACTTGCGTCTCCTCGAGTGCACGAACTTTCCATTTCTTAATCACTTCGGTTTCCTTATCGAAGCCTTGCTCAACAACAGTCTTGTCATATACAGCACCGAACATCTCATGCTCTTCTCGTGTAACGTTCATGTCTGTCTCCTCCTCGATTTTGAGCCTGTAGTATTCGTACTTGGCTTTTTCGTAAGCCTGCATTAAGTTGAGCTTTTCGTTCTGCACGAGATACAGCGTCCGTTGAACAACACTCTCTCCATCCAGCTTCTTAGTGAGTTGTCTCATATGAGACCAATTTTGATTCTTGTTATCGATGATGTGCTCGTTTTCGATTAAAGACTTCGGATCTGCGAGTTCCCAAGGGTGTTGCTGGTAAAATACGTTTCTTATTTTGTCTTCCAGGAATCTCAAATTCTGGGGTTTCAAAATGTCCAATTTCAAATCATCGGGTGTCAATCTGGTCTTGTACAAGTCTCCGCTTTTGGATGGTACCGAAAGTTTCCTCAGTTTGGAGAATTTTTCAGGTCTGATAATCTTGTGTTGAGCCTGTTTAGGAGGGTGGTACGCAACCGGCTTGTACCACGCAGGTTGCTCTTTCACAAGGCCACTACGTAAAAAGTCCGACGTACGCTTCAAAACGTCACTGGCTCCCTTGCTAGTGTTCATGTTGACGAACCACCTAATTTTTTTTTCGCTTGAGATAATTAGTGTACTGAGTCGTGTACGGGAATAATTAAAATTTTCAAATCAAAAAAAAATATTTAGCATAAGTTGGTGTGTAATAGATCCATCATGTCTCTTCTGGAACAGCAGCTTTCTGCCATTGCACAGAACACTCAAACTGTGGCACTAGATAGAAAGAAGAGATCAAAAATACATTCCGTCTCTTTCATCTATAGTCCGCAAGAAGCTGCCGCACAAGACTACGAGACAATCTATTATGAAGCACTTGAAGCTCTTGATCGTTTGGAGCAAATCGACAAGCGGTTCGGAAAGTTCAGGCTATCAATTTTCAGTGAAACATCAATAGGTATTGACAGACAGATTCAATCTCAAAAGCAAAATGAGAATCTAGACAGGACAATAAATGCCTTTTTATCTTTGGTTGCACCATACTGGCATCTAGCCATTGCTCTCAGGGCCTCTGAGTGGCTACTGAGAAGATTCCAGATGAATTACCATAATGCCGAGCATCTCCTCTTAACCACACTTCCATATTATAAAGAGCCTGTGTTCGAGAGAGTGTTATATGTTTTGCCAAAAATGCCATTGTTGTTCCAATGGCTCTCTGCATTTAAAAAGGCAAACAACAAGCTACCGTCGAGAAACAGTATAATTAAGGCGTTCACAGATACTGATTTTTACAATTTGTACTCCAAATTTCTCGGCGAAGAAATTGCGAAGAATAATCAATATAGGTTGCAGCTGGTTTTCTTTGTCAGTATGACGATCTCTGCGCTCGCTTCCTTGTCATCTGAAAACTCAATTAAATTGGTTGATTTTGTTCCTCATGTGCTGACTATTTGTGGATCTCTGCTTGTATCGCAAGATCAGGACTCGAAAGTCGGTGGCTACACGATTATGGTGGTTTTATCGTCCGCAGTTCCTCTTTCCAAAGACGTTCTCATGGCATCCATCGAAACAATTCTCATTCACGCTCAGCTCGACAATAAAGGGTCACAGAAACAGGCATTTACAAGCATTCTCAAACTATACCAGGCAGTGCATACCAACCCATTAGACTCGCTTCCTCTTTCTATTTTCAGTCGGATGCCTGAATTTCTGGACGAAGAATCTCCTTACTTTGGACTCATAAGTCCGTCTCAGGACACTAACTTTGTGTGTTCCTATCTGACAACATTAATACTTAATCAAAAGCTGGACGACAAAGCCGCAGCCACATGTTGCCACTTTTCTTTCAATTTCGAGCAGACTCAAGCCCTGTGCAAGGCAATATTTGATAATCTGAATGTTGGTGACACATCTGCCTATGTTCAAATCCTGAAGCACATCAAGAATCAGTCTCCAGAGTGGTTCAGTAAATTATTGGATGCAAATGGAGTCAGCATTGATCAATTAGAAATGTCCCTTCAGACAACTTTTTCTGAACCTCAGGATAATGACACGCAAGAGCCATTAGTTAAAGACAACACATCTATCGCTTTAGACGAGGATTTGGAGACGGTGAAAAGTTCCTTTGCATCGTACATGCAATATGGTGCTCAAATAGATACGGAGTTCTCTCTATTGCTAAAGCACTATATGAAATCCATGCTAAGGGGCTCTACCAATTCGTTCCTTTCTTCGTGTCTCCGAGATACAGCGCCTACAGTCACCTTTCTTCTACGCGTGGCTTTCTTGCAAAACGTCCCTTTCAAGGCAAGAACATATGCACTCAAATTACTCTGTGACCAGATTCGATCATTGGACGAACAATTTAATGTTAACATTTTGATCCCTATTCTTTCTGCACTGTTGCTGGATGTGAATAGACACATCCGCTACAATGCGTTGGAGATTTTCAAACAGGCCAACTTGAGATCTGCTGGGAAGGAGTCCATTTTGGAGACAACATTGTATGGGGATTCAACTAAGGAAATCTCTATGGTGTCTCCTAAAGTCTGCCATTTACTTGTCAAAAATATAGTCGAGAAAGCTGCCGACCTAAGCACAGCTGTGGACCAATTCGGTAAGCTATTTGTATCTTTAGTCGGCGAGAAGAAAACGGGACCAATCATTTTGGCATTCTTTGCTTCGCATGCAAACATCATCATGTTGCCCGCTCCAAAGCTCCATCTCATCAGGCTGGTTACTGACGCCGCCAAAGCAACAAAAGGAGCATTGCCTCCATCCCAAATCTTGGAAAAGGTTTTAAAATCTTTCGTCAATGAAAGAGAGGATTGGAGGTCAAGATGTGTATTATCAGGTGTTGATTACGCGGACTTTGAGAATCAGATTGTTCGTATCGTTTCAGAAAAAGAGCACCATGACCCTGCCATTAAATTCCTTGAGGATGCCCTTAACAGCTCTTCTGAGTCTTTATCGAATGCTGCAGCTACCAGACTTACTGAATTGCTTCCGACGCTCAAGCTTGAGCATCAGATCCGGATGGTCAAAACAATAATCACTGCAGGATTATCAGAAGACGATACCACTATTTGCTACGATGCAGTCGAGCTACTGGAATCGCTGACTTTACCAAACGCATTATTTGTGCAGATTTTGAAAGACTCGTCTCTCAGCAACTCATCAGAACAGCAGTCCAATATTCCTAAACGAAGAAGGAGATCATCTGCATCAACTCGGCAAGCAATGAAGGAACAAGAGGTTTCTTTCATGGCTTCCACCCATTTGAAGAAAGTGACGATGATACTGGACGTTTTGGAAAAAGAAAGCAGAGAGAACTTCAAGGGCTCATTCGAGTTGTTGAAATTGCTCTTCGATATCCTAGATGACTTGGAAACTTTGGGAACCGACGGAAAACTGCCGATTTTGTATTCTGAGGAGACACTAGCTTCTTGCATGACAAATGTGATAAAGTCCTTGGATAAGACTCAAATGAAGAGTAAGGAGATCACCTCGATTCGTGCGGACATTGTTGTCTCAGCAATCAGATCCTCAAGCTCGCCACAGGTCCAAAACAAACTACTTCTGGTGGTTGCTGCGCTGGCAGCAATTTCTCCAGAACTGATATTACACTCTGTGATGCCGATATTCACCTTTATGGGTGCACACACAATTAGACAGGATGATGAGTTTTCCTTCCACGTTGTTGAACAGACAATTTCGTGCGTGGTCCCAGCCTTAGCTGAAGCTACTACTTCGGAAATGGTGGAAGAAGTTGAATTCTTGCTCACTTCCTTCGTCAGTGCTTTCCAGCATATTCCTCGTCACAGAAGAGTCAGACTGTTCACGACGCTAGCTAAAACTCTTGGCAGCTCTAGCTCGATTCACCTGATTTTGTTCTTGTGCGGTCAGCAATACGCCAACGCCTACGCCAAACACAAAATGGGCGATTGTTCTGCGTTGACAGACTTTTCATGTTCCTTCTTGCAAAAGTTCAAGGTCGAAGAACAGTTAGAGGCCATTCAGAAGTTCCTTGATTATTGGAAAAAGGTTCCCGAAGAACCAGTGGACAAGGAATCGCCTATATTTACGGAACTAAGCTCAAGAGTCATATTTGGACCTGCTTTCGTCGCGCTAAACAAATCCGAGTTATTCAACTTGAGAAAGTGTCTGCTCTCCTTCTTGAGACACACCATTTCTGATGCGAAGGACATCAATGGAATTTCAAGATTGAGACTGAATATTGCATCTGCCTGCCTTCAAGGTGGCGATCCTCAGCCGCTGCTTAACAGTTTTGCCAAATTGGTGCAGGATGTCCTTGAGATTATCGACTCTCGTCATCAAGAAATTGAAGAAGTGGAGATAATGCATCAACTTTACAAAGTCCTCGATGATATTCTGAGTCTGCTTCCTATCGAACATTTCGTGGATTCTATATCGAACATTCTCTCTTCTCCAAATGCTTCATTGAGAACTCTAATCCAAATCACTTCGCTCACAGCATTCAAATTCAACTCTGAGCACGTCGAAGATCCAAATGCTCACGAAGGAATTGCCCGTCTGCTTCCTCTTCTTTTGTCCATGATAAGCTCTCAAAGGGACGTCGAACTATCACAGACTTCGCTTGATACGCTCTCTAGTTTGTTTCAAAAATACACCGTTCACATCGACTCGTCCCTGTATTTGCAAACATTGAATGTCGTTACCTCCTCAGCAGGTCTGCTCAATGGAGCCCCGGAGGTTGTGGTTTCGTCGATAAACTGCATTACTAATGTGATCAGCATCATCGGAGTTAAAATGATTGGCTACTTCACCAAAATTCTGCCTCCACTCTTTGACATTTTCGAGAAAGCAGACGAAAATACGGCCCCACTAGTTCAGACTGCAACGCTTGTTCTCTTTACCAGTTTGGTCAAAAAGATGCCATCGTTTGTTACTCCTAATTTGGCGGACATGGTCAAAATCGTTCTATGTTCGTCTCAAGTTGCAGACTCTGTTCGTACGTCTGTGCTGACGGTTATGGTGGATCATATGGACGGTAGAACTATGCTACTTACATTATGTTCCCTTTGGAAATATGCCTCCAAACTTGACGTGATTGCAATCGGCCTTCATCTGTCTGCTATGGAGATGGTGATAGAGAAAATCGACAAAAAAACGGCAGTCAGCAATTCTACCGCATTCGTGAAATTCCTCTTGCTAGCCTTGGAATACAGAGCTGATACTGATTTGGAAATCAACACGGTGAATAGAATTGAGGCCTCAGTTCACAAGTGCGGTCTGCAGTATGTGCTCAAGCTGAACGACAAAACTTTTAGACCGTTATTCGCCTCGATTGTGAGGTGGGCATTCGATGGTGAAAATGTCGCCACTTCGATCACTGAAACAGACAGACTTATTGCATTTTTCAAACTTTTCAACAAGTTGCAGGAGAACCTCAAATCTATTATCACCTCCTACTACGCATACCTGGTGGACTCTGTTGAATCGCTGCTATACAAGTTGCAAGAAACAGACGAGATCAACTTGAAGAGATTGGTGTTACTCTCGTTGGGATCATCGTTCAAGTATGACCAGGATGAGTTCTGGCACTCAGACACAAGATTCAAGCCAATTTCAGCAGCTCTGTGCTCTCAATTCGGTACGATCGAAGACTCCATTGGGAAGTATCTTGTTAGAGCCGTGACGAGTCTCGTTCAGGCAACTTGCTCATCGGATGAGCACAACAAAAATATCAATAGTATGCTCCTGAGCCATATGAAGGCCACTTGTAAGCCTAAGGAGAAACTCTGGGCAGTCAGGACACTGAAAAATGTTTACAAGAAAGTCGGAGAGAGCTGGCTTGGACTGCTTCCTCAACTGGTTCCAATTGTGGCAGAACTATTGGAAGACGATGAAGAAGAAGTAGAGATGGAAGTGCGGACTGGTCTTGTGAAGGTTCTAGAGCAGACCATGGGAGAGCCTTTAGACAGATATCTCGATTAAAAAGATGCGCTAAATACACGACCAAAAAATAAATTGATTTATTTTACTGACGTAGAGTTCATCAAAACATTAATAAAATGCCAAAAAAGCAACTAGAAGGACTAGGATTGCATTCGAAAACAAACCCAATACTCCCCATAACACAGGATGACATACTGGGTACGCCAACCCCGCAGCCGGATGACTTGGCTAGCGTAGCCAATTCATTACAGTCCTCTTCCACAACGTTATCATCATTTGCGAAGCGACAGCAGCGCAAACTGAAAATCAAAAACCTAAAAAAGTCAATGGATTCCAGCTTCACTATTCCACGTTACTTCAAGAGGCTACTAAATGTGCGCTCGTTGGACTTCGAAACTGCTCTCTGGGAAATGCTCAATTTGATAATACAACCAAAGCGTGTCTACAAAAGCTTATACTACCAGAAGCAGACCAAAAATAAGTGGTCAAGAGACGATCCTAGTTTTGTTATTCTTTTGAGCTTTTTCCTAACCATCAGTGCGATACTTTGGGGCTTGGTCTACTCTACAGACATTTTGACTATTTTCAAATTGATCCTGTACATGGTTGTTGTTGATTTTGTCCTAGTAGGCCTGTCGGTTGCCACAGTAGGCTGGATCATTGCTAACAATTTCTTCATTCAAAATCCAAACATGAATGTGAGTTCTTCCCCGTCCCAAAGATTACTCAATATCTTCTTGCCCACTGACTCCATGTTGGAGTGGGCGTACTGTTTTGATATTCATTGCAATGCATATCTGATCATATGGGTGTGTCTTTATCTGGTGCAGTTCATTCTGCTGCCATTACTCAGACTCAACAACTGGATTTCCACACTGCTAGGAAATACACTCTATCTAGCATCAACCTCATATTACTGTATTATTACGTTCTACGGCTATAACGCACTCCCATTTCTTCAGAAAACCGAGTATCTCCTAATGCCGCTCCCAGTTCTCGTTTGTGGTTGGATGGTGCTCACTTTGTCTGGTTTCAATATCGCCAACTACATGTCCAATGCATACTTCAATTAGCCTGGTGCACGGTTGTATAGACAAAAAAAATTAACGAAAATTGATCTTTTAGTGTCTTAAAACATTTTGTAAATAACATGTCCGCGAACCCGGGCAATCGTCTTCAGAAATGGAACCCAACGCCTCCTGATAGAGGCGCTTTTCCTTTGGACCATTACGGAGACTGCAAGGAGCATATGCAGAAATATCTCAATTGTATGAAACTTGTGCGAAATGAGAACGCCCCCAACTGTCGTCTACTAGCAAAAGAGTACCTTGCCTGTCGCATGGAGCACGAACTTATGGACCGAGTCGAGTGGAAAGACCTTGGACTGCCCGATGATGATAAAGATACAAAAAGATGATTTCATCATTTGTTTATAGTACAACCTGTAAATAGCCAATACAGCATGAGAGTAGACAAGTTACTGGCCAGCATGTGACACCTTACCCTCCAGTTCCATGATTCGCGACTCTAAAGTGTTCACCTTGGCCTCCAGAATAGCAATAGTGCCGTATAGCTCAGCTAATGTGGCATCGTTCGAGTTGTTTCCTCCATAATTCGCTAGCTGTTGTTGAGGATATCCCGCTGACTGCATGTAGTTATTTGTAGAGCCAAGAGAGACCTGAGGTTGGGCGGACTGTTGTGTGGATCGAGATCTGCTTTGTCTTTGCTGCGTCTGGATGGCAGCTTGTTGCACGTAGTAATTCGACACGGCGGAAGCCACTGCAGCGGCTGCAGCTGCCTCAGCGTTGGCGGCATCTTTCGATTTCTTGAAAGGTTGCATTTGAACGATTTGTTCATCGTAGGTTTTGCGCTTACCCAATGCTGTACCAGCACTGGAGCCAGGAGACAAGGAAGGGTCCATGCTAGAAGTAGATCCTGCTCCAGCACATCCGGACGAGGAGTTTGCATGTCTCAGCAGAGCATCTGCACGAGCAAACCTCTTGTCACATTTTTCGCATCTATATGGCTTTTCACCGGTGTGAAGCTTTTCATGTCTTTTCAAATCATGCTGTCTTCTGAACTTACTGCTACAATGTGTGCATTCAAAAGGCTTTTCATCAGTATGGATGAGCATATGCGACTTCAAGTTATGTTTTCTAGTGAATGAATGGTGACACTGGTTACATTGGTACTTCTTCTCTTCTGAGATCCCGCTCTTGTCTTCTTCGTCATCGTCTTCGGAGTTGCTTTGCTGACCCAACGAAGACGAGTCAGTTCCTGTGATTTTGGAGGAGTCACCGTGCTGATCGCCTGTCCCCACAGCTTGCTGATTCATCAAGCTCGAATCTATGTTCGATAACATGGTAAGTGATTGGGACATTGGTAATTATAGGACGATCTAATCAGGATAAACAATAGTGTGGCAAATGGTGCTGAAATCTTTTATGAAAAAAAGTGGCTAAGTTGGTGTAGAGATGCCAAACTCTTTCGCGCTGCTGCTGCGCACAGCACTATATCAAACAGGCTCGCCTTGCTTTTCGAAAGCAGAGGACATTTTTCCGGACTACTGGCTAGATTTGCTTCAATACAACATGAACTTTGCCACCTTCCGAGTGTGGCCACAAATACTGCAGCTTCCAAATGCTCGCACCTACTTTATAATACGGGCGGGAAGGAGTCTGCTCCTTTACTCCCTGGTGCTGTGGCAATACTCTAGCAATGCGTGCTTGTTTCGACTACGTAGAAGCGCCCGTGTATGTTTCATCTACAATAAAAAGTTCCTGTAAGTTATGATCTCCTCATTTGGTCTGCGTGTTGTGTGGTGCAACACAGGCGCGGCTTATCGTGTCCCCGTGCAAAACAAAAGAAAAGTGCACAAAATTAACCAGGAAATCGATTGCTATCCCTGCGGAAATCCTGCAATTTGCGGCCGACACCTGATAGAATCAATTAATTATGCGGCTGCTTTTTACTGGAGCTAAGGGGGAAAATATATAGGGGGCTTAAGAGGGCAATATATCTTTTACGTAGGATGCAAACCTTATATTAATTTCTTAGTGGAAGTTCATCTTAAGACAAGGTATTTGACTCGTGGGATCTCGCACAACTCAGGCGATCTAACAGACACTCCTCAAGCGGATATAACCGAGGTTTCATCTTCGATATGTTAACTGCTAACAATTACAAACGGAAGAGACCAAGAGTCTCCTCCACACAAATGGTATCATCCAAAAGTTCTGAAGGACCGTCCCATAGTGTCTACAAGAAGAACCAACAACAATACTCTGCTGGATCATCTTATACTGACCAAGAAGTCATCAATCTTGATTCGGATGCGGAGGATTACATTTTCAAAGACAGTGACATGATTGATGACTATTTTGGTCTCGAGGACGCCGATATGAACTTGATGAATGGCACCGACAGCGAATCTGGTCTGATCAGCAGGGACAGTTCACGTCCCAGAAATCCTTTTGCCTCATACTATAACACGAACGATATCAAGATCGCTGGCCTAAAACTATCTGGTCCTTCAACATCAAGTGGTCCCAGAATCAAGAAAAAGAGAACCAAATCGCTTCCTCAACTGCCGTATTCCAAACTGAATTATCAGCCCAATTTCGATAAAAAATCAGTTCAGGAGAAAATCGGTGATGTGAAGACAACGTTGATACAGCACCAATTCACAAATTATACTTATAACACTCCAAAGCCTGTGAATCGAAAACTTTCATTCAATGTGGATGCTCCGCTTAATCTAAGTACATTCAACCAACACAGCAGCAATTCTTCGTCGGACTCATACGATTCCACGAATACTTCGGCAACATCGATTGAGGATACCCCTTGTGATGACAAGGATGGTCATTACATTATAGTACCGGGCACCTCGTTTGCTAATGATCGATTTCAAATCCAATCATTACTTGGCCAAGGTACATTCGGAAAGGTTATCAAAGCTCACGACAAATACAATAATTGTCCAGTCGCGATCAAGATAATACGCGCCATTCCCAAATACAGAGAAGCCTCAAAGGTGGAACTGCGAGTACTCACGATGCTGAAGAAACATGATCCGGAAAACGAGAACCAGTGTATTCATTTGAGGGAATGTTTTGACTACAGAGGTCACATTTGCATTGTCACTGATATTTTGAAAATATCTCTTTATGACTTTCTGGAACGAAACCAATTCCTACCTTTCCCTGGCTCTCACATACAGGCTATTGCGAAGCAGTTATTAAGATCGGTTGCATTTTTGCATGATCTAAATTTGATCCACACCGATCTCAAACCGGAAAACATATTGTTGAAAGACGATTCGTATACGAGGAAACCATATCTGAAACCAAATGGAACCTCAAGCTCTTCAACTTATAGAAACATTCTGAATGATCCAAAGATCTATACAATTGATTTCGGATCTGCCATATTTGAAGATGAATATCATTCATCCGTAGTGTCAACTCGACACTATCGTGCACCTGAAATCATTTTGGGGATAGGATGGTCATATCCTTGCGATCTTTGGTCTGTGGCGTGTATCTTGGTGGAACTAGTGACGGGGGATGCTCTATTCAAAACTCACGAAAATGCCCAACATTTGGCAATGATGGAGCGCACTCTTGGAGAACCGGTGGACTTGAAACTCGTGAGGAAATGTTTCAGCCAATATTACTACAACTCTTCCTCGCGTCGCAAGTCAACGGCTAACTCTGATTGTATTGCAAATTGTTTTTCGAAGACTACAGGAAAACTTCTGTTTCCAACACCTCAAACTTCTATGAAGTTGATTGACGAGGTGGAAAGGCTCCCAACGCTTGCTGATCTGATTGGTTCGAAGGTTGGTCTCCCGTTTGATATGAAGTCGTCTTTGAAGGAGTCAATTGCGAAGTACAACATTTCGAAGAAACAGTATGACGAGTATGAATTTTGGTACTGGTTTATTGATTTGCTCAAGCAGCTGTTCACCTTCGATCCGGAGAAACGTATTACTGCAATGGATGCTCTTAATCACAAGTGGTTCGATTACGGGATTTTGGATGATGGCACTTGTTGATGACTTTTGTTTGTTCGCTTTTCCACGGGGTTATCCCCATTTACGATTTTACATGTTTTATTTTCAGGGGTTAGTTTAGGAGGTAATATAAGCTACTTCATTGAGTTGAAGTATACATTTAGTCTTCATAGTAATCGTCATCAGCGTCGTCATCGTCATCGCCATCGTCATCGTAATCATAATCATCATCATCATCCAATGGGGCAACTCCTTCATCTTCTTCCAAGATATCGTCGTCTGGGGAATCCTCCCAATCCTCGTATTCATCTGACTGTCCTTTCTCTGGCTTTTCTGAACTAGTGCTCGACATTAGTACACTTTAGCTTTATATTTTTCAGCAACTATTTTAATTTACCCCAGGTGGATATCACCACCTAAAATACGGCTGTGCAAAGCGGCACATGACTCGGGGTGTGTATTTCAACAAGTGAGCCGAACAGAATAGATGATACAAGCCCAGCCAAACAACTTGATGTTTTCAACTCTCATCTATTTGAGTTGCGTCATGCTGAATGGGCAACTTAGATCCTTTATCGCGAGACCGAAGCCGCAGGGTGACTAGATAATTTTTTTCGAAGATGTATCTAAGTTTACTTGTATAATATTTTCAATGTCTCACCAAGCTCCCGCAAAGTACAACTTTTTCAAAGGCCATCCTTCTGTCGACCTCCTACCCAACAAAGAGATAATCGAGGCTTCGAAAAATGTTCTATCCAGATTCGATAATTCTATGGACAACTACGACGGAGTTAATGACACGCATCCGTTGAATTACGGCACAGATCCTGGAAATCTTGAGGTCAGAACCCTGATCGCCGACTGGAATGATAACAAGTTTGAACTGGAAACAAAGACCGACCCTGACTGTCTCAACCTAACCTCGGGTTCATCATACGGGATCATGAATATTCTAGCCCAGTTCTCATCTGCGCATAATGGAGTCACGCGTAGAGCATTTCTTGTCAGTCCTACCTACTTTCTCATGAACGCCATATTCATTGATGCTGGGTTTGGAGGCAAAATGACATCCATAGAAGAGGACGAAACAGGCCAGATAGACTTTGAAACGCTCAGGCAGAGACTGGAGCTCTATGACACTCTCGAGCCGGTTGCAAGATCTATCTCGGAAAAAGATATCGCCCATATTCATGATCCAGATAGACCGTTGAAAAAAATATACAGATACATCATGTATATCGTGCCTACATTCTCAAATCCTCGCGGAGGGACGCTGAGCCAAGAAAACAGACAACGTTTGATCGAGCTTGCTAGAAAACACGACATGCTGATCATCTGCGATGACGTGTATGAACTATTGGATTTCCATAACAAAGTGCCTCATAAGAGGATGGTGTACCTAGACAGGGAAACACTGCCTGAGGGCGAAGAATATGGTAACGTTATCTCCAATACTACATTTTCTAAGATTCTTGGTCCAGGTCTGCGAACTGGCTACCAAGAATCTGCCACTCCCAAACTTGCCTATTTGCTCTCCCAAGGAGGCGCAACCAGGTCTGGTGGTACCCCCTCGCAATTGAACACGGTGATCGTTGGTGAGCTTTATAGAATGGGAGCTATTGACAACATACTTGCCAGGCTTAACTCTACTTATTCGAAACGCGCAGCTGCTTTGAATGAGGCTCTTCAAAAGTACTTACCAAAAGGTACTCAAATTTCTCCAATCAACGGCGGCTATTTCAACTGGGTCGTTCTTCCAGAAAACATCGATGCTCAAGAAGTTGCGAACAAGTGTCGGAAGAGGGGGGTCGTCCTTGCCACCGGAGACAACTTTGAAGTGACTGGGGACCCTAGAGGATGGGGTAAGAGAAGTGTTCGGATGAGCATCAGTCATCTAGATGCGGACCAGATTGAGGAGGGAGTCAGAATCTGGGGAGAAGAGTGCGCATAACTGCTCTTAACAACTCTTGATAAAATATTCTTCCACCAGTTTTTGGTATTCTGGGGTATTATCAGATAGTTTGGGAATAGGCGCTCCTTTCCATTTGAAGATGGTGTCAATATTCCGGAAGGTTTGCATCTCGTCTTTCGTAAACTCTTCACTGAAATTAGCATTGGAGTTAAGCGTGAGAGATCTTGCTATTATTTGACTTTTCAACTTTGCGGGAACAAGCTTCCTTGCCTTATAGTAGTAGTATCTAGCCAGTGCAATCCACTGTTCCGCTGCGAGAGCCACATTCAGATGGTGCGAGAGCATGGTGACATAGATTTCCTCGGCATTAGTCAATCGGAACTTCTCTGCTAAATATTTGCCATAAGAAAGACCAAAATATGGCTCACCCTTGGTGCAATAATGAGAAACGAACAGTTTTGCAGTCTTGGTGTTCCCTTGAAAACCTTCGTTTTCGGAAATCTGATGAATATAGTCAAATACAGATTCAGGTTCGAGCTGCAAATAAGCTTCAATCATTGCATTGTTGACTGGAATGCCACGGTGAATCTTGTGGTCCTCAAGAAATCTAAGAATGAGTTTTGGTGGAACTCCTGACTGAGCCATATGTTTCACAATCACTGTGTTAATATTTTCAAGAGGCACCTTCATGACTGTCATATGCTCAAGTAGGAGATGATTCATCTGCTTCAGATTTGAGTATACGAAATACAACGACGACAGATTTGGCTCTATATTATGCTTCTTCATCTTTTCAAAAAGACTCATTACTGATTCTGTTTTAGTTTTATCGTACTTCAAGTATAATTGGAGAAGTAGGTTATACGTTTGAATGTCAGGTTCCACATTATCGTCGTCGTCCATTCTTTTCTTAATCAGTTTTGAGCGGTGGTAGATTACCTTCCGAACATAGTGCTCTAAAATACAATTGTAAGTTTGTAGGTTCAAGACCCCTGTGCTGATTAGATCTTGTAGCGTTTGATCGATGTAGTTTTCGGCCTGCAAAGAATACTGATAGTTTGATTCGGCAAGGTCCCGAGCGTATTCATTAATGCTGTGTTTTTCTAGACTTTTTGGAGGTGGTAGTGGATAGAGTTTGATGGGTTTTGGTTTGCGGAAATTAGAGTATTGAACGTCTTGTACCAAACCACTTGGCGTTATTAGTTTAAGCGTTTCGATTATTTTGGTCTCATCAAGCGAGGTTCGGGCTGCCTTTTCAGTGCTGGAAAGCTGGTACTCCAAAGCTGGATGTACCTGATTCAATCTGGTTATGGTCCGATAACCCACGCGCCAGTGAAACCAGAAATATCGTACATGGCTGGTGAACATTGAAAAATAAAATATTGGGCTTGAAGTGGCTTTTTGGTGGTCGTTCCTAGAGTAACAAATTTGTCAGTACAACGATGAATCTCATTGAAGAGTGATTCATGCACTCATACTGAAAGGCTCACTCGGAATGCTTTCACCACGAAGGATCAAGACCTATTCCCTAACAAGGGGACGCTAAGCGTCGATCGACTTAACCTGCATCTGCACATGTGTTGGAATATTTTTACTCAAACTAAAATAGACACGATCAATGCAGGATTTAATAGATTTGGCGCCCCTATTTTTGGCATTACCAACCCTATTCGTGTCTCTCAAACTTACAAATGCAATTTCTGAATTCAAGACTCCGTCACTCGCATTTTATGCTGTCTCATTAGTGCAATCTGCGTTCTTGTCGTCTTTGTTGATGCTCGTGGTAGCTATATTGGCGAAACTAGGAGATGGTGCTCCCTCCACCAAAGAAGTGAAGAAATCTGTACAGTTGTCTATTGGGCGACAGCTAGTGCTCTTTGGTGCCATAAGCTTGATTTTTCTTGCTGATCAGCTACTATGTCCAGCACGGTTCATGAACCTGGTCATTCTTGCTTTGCTCCTCTCTGGCCCCAAGGATGACCATATGTCTGCCGAGTTGGAAGAGACATATGCCATTGATAACAAAGGAGTCAATCAATTGATAAGGAAGCATCAACTGTTTATCATATATTTGTTATCTTTCTTATCCGATGTGGTCATTGCAAGTATCAATGGCCAGGATCTCATGTCACTCGTGCTCATGTATGCCCTTCTTTTGATTCCGATTTTTGTGTTTCTAAAGCCTTCAGCAGATAGGCAACAGTCATCTACGTGCGGCCACTTACGAATTCAGACCTCGGGATTACTTCTCTTGCTTTGCACTGTCATAATGTTGTCATATAATTTTGAAAGCTACAATTTGAAAATGATATTTGTCACTGCTGGTTCATTGACAATATTCACAATAAGTCAATTGGATGTTAACCATACCAACCCTATTAATCAGGTATTCAATACCAGCTTGTTTTTGACCAACTATAAAAGAAATATCATCATTTTGAACACTGTTATGGCACTGATACTTCAGACAACCACAGATTCTGATAACAAAATGGAGGCACTCAAGATGAATATCGTTGATTTTGCAATAAACATGCTGCTCATGTTGATAGTGAATCCTGCCAAAAAAAGTGAGCATTCATCTTGTAGCGAAACCGTTTCGGATAAATCGCACCCCAACTCTACTTTTGTGTCATTAGTCGTCCAGCTTTTCAACTCCAAAGACACAAGATCCATTTTCAATTTCCTACTACTGAACGTGTCTTTCATGTTCATACAATTGCTTTATTCTTTCCGATCGAAATCTCTCAGTCTTTTGAGCGACTCTCTTCATATGATGTTGGACTGCACATCCCTGTTCCTTGGTCTTTTAGCGTCATTAATTGCGAAAAATAATAAACAGTATCCGACCAGGGAATTTCCGTTTGGCTTGACAAGAATCGAGACTCTTGCGGGCTTCACCAACGGTTCGCTTCTTTTGGGTGTGGTATTTGGAATTCTCAATGAGTCCTTTCAACGTCTATTTCATCCAGTGGACTTGCGCAAGACTGACGAGCTTTTAATTGTCAGCATTCTTGGGCTTGTGGTAAATCTGGTTGGAATATTTGCTTTCAACCATGGCCACGATGGATCTCATGGTCATTCGCATTCGCACAGCCATTCTCATGAACACACGCATCAACATACTCACAACCACTCTGAATCTGGCGAACATGCACCGAACCTGAGTGATAATATGCATGGTATTTTCCTGCATATTTTGGCAGATACCCTGGGCTCTGTCGGGGTCATTTTATCAACGTTGATCATCAAGCTGACTGGAATCCAGGTCATTGATCCAATTGCATCTATATTTATCGCATTGCTGATTTTGGTGTCTTCAATCCCGCTTCTCAAATCTTCATCCTCGAATCTTCTTCTTGCCTCATCTGATTCTTCTGTGAGCGAGCTTCAGTATGTGTTAGGAGAGGTCCTAAAGGTTCCTGGCGTCAGGTCCTATACAACCCCGCGCTTTTGGCCTGTTAGTGATACCAATTCAAAGTTGACTGGCTACATTCACATTCAATATTACCGCACCGAGACATCGCTTTCGCTGCGCAGCAAAATCGACAAGCTTTTTAAAAGTTCCAAATCCATTTCAAAGATCTACATTCAGTATGAGAATGAGATCGATGACTGCTGGTGCCGGAAAGATGGAATTTTCAGTGTTGGATAACATGATGTCCAATGCTGCTATTATGCGTATAGACTCGTACAATATGAAATTCTCTATGCATTGCATAGTTGGGGCTCTAGCACTCTCATATCAATTGGGAAAATGATTTTCACGTTTTTTCCTAATTCGGAGTGTCTCCAATCAAAATCCGGCGGTGCTGCACATATAAAAGAATTCTTCACCCACACTGTTCACCATATCTGAGTATGCAGGAAAAAGACGTTGCTGAGAGGCCTGCTAACAATCAAAGGCGCCAGAGAAGCCAATTGGCTCTCCGCAGCTTCTTAACAATACTGGTTCTTTGCGTGTTTTACCAGTTTCTTCATTTATCCCCACCATGTATGATGCGGTCGAAGAAGCCACACTCGGCATTCTTCTCCTCTCCTACAAATTCTACCGATGAGCCATTGTGTCCCTTGTATGACAAGGTTGAATTCAAGGATCCAGATACCAGTGTTTACATCCTTCAAGATGAAGAATTTAGAAACAAATCGGTCTCAAGATTGAGCAAAGCAATTCAAATCCCAACCTGGATTGCCGATGAGGGATCAGACTTCACAAAGTTCGCAAAGTTCCATGAGTATTTAGAGACAGAGTTCAAGAACGTCTTTGACGCAGCCAATGTTTTCAAGGTCAACACCTATGGAGTTGTGTTGGAGTTCAAGGGGTCAAACTCTTCGCTGAAGCCTGCTATGTTTGCTGCCCACCAGGACACCGTTCCTCCGGGAGATCTTCAAAACTGGGATAGAAGCCCATTTAGTGGCTACTATGATGGAACCAGAATTTATGGTCGGGGTTCAAGTGATTGTAAGAACCTGTTGATTGGTTTGTTGGAATCAATGGACTCCTTGCTTGCCAAGGGATTCAACCCCGAGAGAACTATTATCTTTGCGTTTGGATTTGATGAGGAAAGCAGTGGAAAGTATGGTGCCTCTCACATAAGCAAGTTCTTGTTGGAAAGATACGGTCCAAACTCAATGTACCATATTATTGACGAAGGGTTCGGCGTTTTCATGGAACTGCAAAACAAGTACTTTGCAATGTTGGCCACCGGCGAGAAAGGTTACTTGGATCTTGGAATCGAGGTGTTGCAGCCTGGTGGACACTCTTCGATTGCGCCAGACCATACAGCCATTGGTACAATGTCCAAACTGATCAGTCGATACGAGGACAGATTATATGATCCTATTCTGGTCAATTTCAACCCAACACTGAACACTTTACAGTGCGTAGCAGAATATGCGGACATTGATGAGAGTTTAAAGAAAGACATTTTGAGAGCGCACCTTGACGAAAAGTCGAACGAGAGGGTCATCAAGTTCCTTGTGGACGATAAAATGACCAAGTACAATGTTATGACAACTCACGCAGCAGATATTATCAATGGTGGAAACAAGGCAAATGCTCTTCCGCAAAACGTCACTGCGATTATCAACCATAGAATTGCTCATGGTAACGACTTTGACACCGTCAAGGATCGTATTACGGGAATTGCCCTAGGCGTTGCCAAAGAGCATGGTCTGGGATTGGTTGTCGAGGATGAGATCCTTATTGAACCTACCCCGGCAGGCTCAATCAGTATCAAGGCTGTTAACAAGCTCGAGGTTGCACCTGTCACGCCTATCCACGACGAGATCTGGGCTTCCCTGGCAGGTCATTACAGAACTTTTTATGAAGACATCACTTATCCAGAGAAGTTTGAAGATGACGTTCTTGCTTTTAGTGCTGGTATCATGACAGGCAACACAGACACTAGACACTACTGGGATCTTACCGATCACATATTCAGAGGACAGCCTGGATATACGCCACTGACCTCTGGAGTCCACAGCAACAACGAATATGTTGATGCCGACTCCCACTTGCACGTTGTCGCTTTTTATTACAACTATATCTTAAGTATTTCTTGAAATAAATCCTTGCACGGCGTGAATTTGACGATTTTAAATTTTGGAAGGCAAACGATCTTGAATAAATAGGCATTCAATGATGGCACAGCCTGCGACCCTGGCATCTGAATATTCGAATGAAGTTCCTCTTCAACCAATAGAGCACAGATTCAATCCCTATACTGGTAAGTATGGTCTTCCAATGGCTTTCTTGATTCTGACACTATAGATAATGGTGGTACCGTCTTGGGAATTGCAGGAGAGGACTTTGCCGTCTTAGCAGGTGATACCAGAAGCACATCCGGCTACAGTATAAATACACGTTACGAGCCAAAAGTCTTTGATGTTGGAAACAATCTCCTGTTGACAGCCAATGGGTTTGCTGCAGATTCTGCCCAATTGATCAAAGTGTTTAAAAACCAACTGGAATGGTACCACTTTGACCACAACAAGCCAATGAGCACACAGAGCGCAGCCAGATTCATACAGCATCTTCTCTATGGAAAACGGTTTTTTCCTTACTACGTCCACACGATTTTGGGAGGATTGGATGAGGAAGGCAAAGGTGCTATTTACTCATTCGACCCTGTGGGATCCTACGAAAGAGAGCAATGTCGTGCAGGAGGGGCAGCGGCCTCTTTGATTATGCCGTTTCTGGACAACCAAGTTAATTTCAAAAACCAGATGGACCCTGCAAGTGATGGCAAAAAACGGAAACCATTACGTTTCCTTTCATTGGAAGAAGTCATACAACTGGTGAGGGATGCATTCAGTTCTGCCACCGAAAGACATATACAGGTTGGTGATGGATTGGAAATTTTGATTGTGACTAAAGACGGAGTGAGGACAGAGTACTATCCACTCAAGAGAGATTGAAGATATGTAAGTTTATTGAGGTAGATTGAAACCGATGTTCTTGATAACTTTTTGGTAGTAAACATAGAAGAAGTCTGAATACACCAGTGTCTGAATAATACCCGTCGTCAGTGCCAACTTATCCAAATGTCCTTCGGCGAAATATCTGTAGAACCAGTTTGGGATATACAATGCTCTGTAAAGACCCAATGCGAAAATGTAATGGATAGTAAGCAATTCAGACTCTCCACTCTTCTGGAGCATGAACAATTGCGGTAGAATGCACACAGATTCAAGCCAAAGACTGAAACTCCACAAAACCTCGGTGATGGTGAACTTGTGGTTGAAAATCAGACCAAGGACAAAAGATGGCGCAATCAAGTATTGAATCTTGAAATCATCACTGTACTCTCCGATGTTCTTGGTGAACTTTTTAAGCAGAAAAATCGTGTAGATAGACGACGAAATAAAGAATATCTTCATAAGAGTATTGTACAGCGACACGTAACTGTAAAACAGATCCAAGTATCTGGTCACAAACACTAAAGCGTACAAGATGTTAGTTTTCAAGGAAATGCCTTTAGCAGACTTCCTCGTCCAAATTGTGTGAAGTAGAATGAAGATAGATGCCAAATGGCTCAGATCTCCGGCAATTCGGAATATATTCAGCATTTCTCTACGCTTCTTGTTTAACACGCAAATGAATTTTATTTTTCTATCAAAGATATACAATTTATCGACAACGTCCTTGCACCAGATACTTTCAAAGATCGCGATACTGTACGTCCACTTCGTCGTTCCTGGTATTCTCCTCAACCTCAGTAAAGTCCAAGCTGTTTACCAATGTAAATTGTCTTTGTCCCGTATCCGACCCCATTAGAATCTCAACAATCTCCTCTGGACCCACGTTGTGATCCAGTCTGAACGGTGAATCACTGTCTTGACGATTTTTAGGGAAATAGAAAAGAGTAGGGTACTTTGCAACCTTGAATTGTGCCAGCAAAGCGTTGTTTTCGGCCTTGGAAACGTCTACTGCTCTGAATAATGTTCCATCTTTCACCTCATTTTCGTAATACTGGGCTAACCTTTCGTAAAAAGAGTTGTGAGCATTATCCCAACGCTCGACCCATGGAGCGTAAAAAACGAGCATAACATCGTTTTGTAATTTCTCGAACACTTCTTGCTCGATATTCTCCGGCGATACTTCGACGACAGTCCTTGGTGGGTATATGGGATGAATTCCCGTCGCATCTTCGAGATACTCGATCATCTTTGCGGTAGTCCGGATACCTGTGTACGCCCCGATATCATCGCCTTGGGACGAAAAGAGTTTGAGAGTGGGATATCCGAAAAGTTGGTACTTGTCACGAATTCTCTTGTTTGTGCGGCCATTAATCTTAAATATTTGGAGCTTAGTGCCCTCGTATAAGTCCACTAACGGTTCGAAATGGGGTTCCAATTCCAGACAGTGTTTACATCCGGGAGCGTAGAAGTAAACAAACGAGTATTTGCCCGGCTGACCGAAAACTAGGTTTTCAAAATTCGAGTCATCCACTTCTACAAGTGAGGCGAGTGCCACACCGCACAGAAATAGCAATCCGTGTATCAACGATCTCATGGAAAACGATCACAGTTATCCCCAATTGGGATATTTCGGACTTTAATAGCACAGCCTGAAAAATAAAAATAAATCGCACTCGGATTGAGCAAATAATACGATGAGCAAATATCTCTGTTCAACGACTTAAAAGGACCCATAAATCTCTTGTATATAGATACGATATATTTGATAACATGTGTTGATAAGCTTAAGGTATCGGAAGCTGGTTTACGAATTTTGGGGCCATGTCATGCCTTTGCGCAACTTTTTGCCTTTCATCCATCCTTATGTCAGCGGGTAGTGCAAATTAGTAATTGCCACCAGTAAGATAGCTCTAGAATATTTAAGACTCCGAACAATCTCAATTTCTTAAACTTCTAACGAAAATGGTCAAAGCTGGTAAGTAGGAAGAAGTTTAGCCAACTCCTAACAATGCAGTCGCTGTCGTGAGAGGAGACTCTACTGTTAAGGGAATTGTTACTTTTGAGCAGGCTTCGGAGTCTGAACCAACCACCGTTTCATGGGAAATTTCCGGTAACGATCCAAACGCTCTGAGAGGTTTCCACATCCACCAATTTGGTGACAACACTAACGGCTGCACTTCTGCTGGACCACACTTCAACCCATTCGGCAAAAACCATGGTGCACCAGAAGACTCCGAGAGACACGTTGGTGACCTTGGTAACATTACTACCGACGCCAATGGAGTTGCCAAGGGTGCAAAGCAGGACAGCCTGATCAAGCTTTTCGGTGAAAACTCCATTTTGGGAAGAACTGTCGTTGTTCACTCCGGTACCGATGACTTGGGTAAGGGTGGCCACCCAGACTCTTTGAAGACCGGTAATGCCGGTGGCAGACCAGCCTGTGGTGTCATTGGATTCTCTTCTTAAATGTCTTGTCTTGTATGGAATGGGTTGCCCCCAAAGTTTTGTATAGTTGATCATTTCAACTCCCATTAAATTCTTTACCGCAGTTGTAGTCTATTTACATTATTCGCTTTCCCAAAACATTAAACCGCCCCCTGGTCCAGAGCTGTGTCTACTGAAGTAGTCAAAGTCAATGGACACTGCGTTGGCTAGCAAAACTGCCTTTTGATCGAGAGTCATTCCTTTATCAGAAACGGGGTAGTATAAATCTTCCAGCCCCTGGAAGCTCAATGGATCCATACGAATCACATAAATGCCTGTGTCAGTGAAAAGTTCCCTTGCAAATCCAACGAAGTTCCTCGAGACAGCGCCCAATATCGTTCCATTCTCTGCCCTGACGGGAAACTCCCAGGATAAGAAACCAGAGTCAATGGCTCCAAATTGGTCGAATGCGTCGTCATCACTTGCTTTGAACAAGTTGTATCTTCGTCTCCACAAATGCCAACTCTGAACCGACTCTCCGATCAAAGCCCCATCAGGATAACGAGAGTCTATTACGTTGGGAAGAAATGCTTTAATGTGAGAGTTGATGAAGCTGAACGGTCTTTTGATAGTCATCAAAACGTTGCCGTAGTTGTCTAGTAGGTCCACAGTGAACGGACGGTGAAGTCTGTATATTTGCCTCATTATTGCTTTGGTGAACCCAAAATCGCGCTCCAAAAGCCAACCTAATTGATTGCCCATCGAATCCATGAGAACGTATCTATTAGCCTGCTCAAATCCCAGGAACAAATTCATGTACTCAATTTCTCGTTGTATAACCAAGGTTGGTTGTGACAATATCGACGCCAAAGGGTCTGAGTGACTGATGATTCCTCCAGGATTGGGTGTATGCACATAGCTGGTGTGAGACGGAAATCGCGAGTAATCCTCTGTTACATGGCGGCCGGTCGTCTTTCTCATCCCGTACCGGCTGCTATACCACCTGCTGCTCCGAATACTGAAGTCATTGCCTCTCCACGGCTTAGCTGCTGTCTTTACTGAGCGTATCAGCGGAGACCACATATTATTTTGCCTTTGATTATATTGTAGTTTTTACTTTTCCCGCACTACCTTTTGTCAAGCTCTAAAATTTTTCAAAGCTTCCCCATCGCCAGCTTCGAGATGCATTTGTCTAGAGTGTTTTCGAGGGGAATTCACCTGGTTCCCAGGCTTAAGAACCACCAGCAGTGGTCGCAAGATGGAATCAAGGGCTTGATGTCTCCAAAACAGTACAAAACAAGCTGGACAGACTACCAGAAGTATCTGACCACTAATCTCACTTTCAAAACCATTGGAACGGAGCACGAGACAAGAACGCCACTAGCTATCACCCTAGCCACTGCGAAAAAACCCGAATTAGGCCCACTGTTCCACTACGCCTCGCAATCTCACAATAACCACTTGTTCTTCGAACAACTGCAGGACACTTCTACTGAGCCACCGGCGCTCAAATCGCGTCTCGAAAGACACATCTCCTCAGCCTTTGGCTCACTAGAAAATCTCAGAAATGACTTCTTGTATGCCGCTGATACACTAACTGGAAATGGATGGGTTTTTCTTGTGGAGACACAGGAGAAAACGGTTAAAATTATCTCTTGCAACAACGATGGCACCCCATACTTGTACAGCAGAAACCAATCCTCCGACCTTAATGGCGCAATCAGCATTGAGGACTTTGAAAAACTCATTTCCAACAAGGATAGATTAAGCCGGAAAATTAAAGACTATACCGTTCCCCTACTGGCTTGCAATGTATGGGAGCACGCCTACATCGAGGATTATGGAGTCAACGGTAAAGCCGATTACCTAGAAAACTTCTGGAACTGTATCAATTGGGAGGTTGTTAACAACAGACTCTTTGTTAATATAGGTCTCTAATGTACATAGACATAGATCATGCTTCGATCAATATCTATTCTTCAAGCTTGTAATCATCATAATCACCACAAAATAGCAGTGTCTCGCGCAAATATGAATCACTGTACACATCAGATTTGGAAAGTGAAGATATGAGACTGATGTTGAAACTGCTCAAGGCTAGGTTCTTTTTTATAAGATGAGTGTATCTCTCTTTCAACCGCTCCAGTTCCGGAATCTGCTCTTCCTCTCTAATTTTATTTTGAAAAGAGAGGTTTTTATTTTCCTCCACCAGATCCAGATAGTTTTGTATCAATCCACGAAGCCCCCCAAGGCTCTTGTTCACGTCTGCAACTGTATCATCAAGGAAACTATGAATACTATCGGTTTTGTTCAGTTCATCCATAAGAGACTTATTGGACGTGTCGCATTCTTTTGCTAGTTTGGCTATATCAGAGTCAGAATCTGTGTGGATAGCGCGCAGTATGGGATATGTTATCATGTGCTGTTCTATTATGCGAAGCCTGATATTCAGCATTTTCTCTATAAATGAATTTACCGTCTCCTCTGAATCCTTATTAAGAATTTCTGCGTGCAGAAGAGCAAGTTGAAGATCTGGCATTTTTTGCAACGCTTCATCGAACTCCTTCTCAATCGTCTGCGGAAGCTCTTCTAATTTGACCCTCTTCGTTGCCACTAGCAGTTGATCTATCACTGATACCAGTTGTCTGTAAACTTGGGCGTGCTCGTCTTCCAATGAAGCCATGTCGCGTAGTTTGATAAGAAAAGTTTTGTCACAATTGATTATTTTTTTTATTTGGTGAATTCCTCATGTCGTTCAAGTTTCCTTCGATATATGATTTTCCTCCATTTTTTACTAAGCAGGTACATGGTCAAACATTGGAAACACAGAAGTCTCAGTGGATTCAACTGATACTAGATTACTGCAGATACAACAAGATCTGGATATTATCCTTGAACGGGGAGTCAGGGGACTCAAAGCTGGACCACGTAGATTCAGAGGACGAAGATGATGATGACGACTACGCAGAAGTGACCAAGCAGTCTTTGTTCACGAATAATAAGATTGACAGAAGCCTAAAAAGTGACTTCATTATGGAAATCTACAACGAAATGATTTCCAAAGAGAAAGCTGAATGGGTGAATCCTAAAAATCACAAGCATGGAATCATTGTCTATTGGCACACATTAGAAGAGTGGGCAAACATAATTTTTGAATGGGTAAGTGTATCTCCGTCAACTATGCTAACTTTCAGATTGACCTTACAGGGCAGAGCAACACCGTTCTGACATTGTACGAATTACGCAAGGGTGACCTGGCAAAAACGCAAGAATTTTATGGAATGAATCCAACAGTCCTAATAAAGGTTTTGAACGTCTTAGTGAAGACAGATAGAGCGCAGATCTTGAAAGACGATAACGGTAAAATAGCTGGGGTCAAATTTAGTGATAAGTAAAGTCGATAGACGCACCGTGTCGCGTCGAAAGAGAAAAAAAAATGTTTAAAAATTTTTTGGTTTCATCTGATAGTCTTTCTTCCTAAGGTTCAGACTACACAAGATTATCATGAAGTACGTCGTTGTTTCTGGTGGAGTTATTTCAGGTATTGGAAAAGGTGTTTTAGCATCCTCCACTGGTATGCTGCTCAAAACTCTTGGCTTAAGAGTCACCTCTATCAAAATTGACCCATACCTAAACATCGACGCAGGAACTATGTCTCCTCTAGAGCACGGGGAGTGCTTTGTTCTGGACGATGGTGGAGAAGTGGATCTTGATTTGGGAAACTATGAAAGATACCTGGGTATTTCTCTCACTAAAGACCACAATATCACCACAGGCAAGATTTACTCTGCTGTGATTCAAAAGGAGAGAAAAGGAGACTACTTGGGTAAAACTGTTCAAGTTGTTCCTCATATCACTAATGCCATCCAGGACTGGATTGAGCGTGTTGCCAGAATTCCTGTTGACCCCTCTGGAATGGAACCAGATGTCTGTATCATTGAATTGGGTGGAACTGTTGGTGATATTGAGTCTGCTCCCTTTGTTGAAGCCCTGAGACAATTCCAGTTCAGAGTTGGACATGAAAACTTTGCGCTAATTCACGTGTCACTTGTCCCAGTGATTCATGGCGAGCAAAAGACGAAGCCTACCCAAGCTGCAATCAAAGATCTGAGATCTCTTGGCCTTTCTCCAGATATGATTGGTTGCAGATGTTCTTCCAAATTGGAAAAGCCCACGATCGACAAGATCGCGATGTTCTGCCATGTTGGTGCTGAGCAAGTTCTTGCCATTCACGACGTGAACTCCACCTATCATGTTCCGCTCATTTTGAAAGAACAAAAAATGATCAACTATCTAACCAAGAGATTAGAACTTCACAAAATGAACATTCCATCCTTGATGGTTGCCAAAGGTGAGGAGTTATACAAGAACTGGGTTGCGTTGACAACACAGCACGATAGATCTTACGAGAAAGTCACCATTGCAATTGTCGGAAAGTACACTAATTTACATGACTCGTATTTATCTGTGATCAAGTCGCTCGAGCACAGTGCAATGAGATGTTCCAAGAAACTGGAAATCGTCTGGGTGGAGTCGGCAAACTTGGAACCCGAAACCGAATTGGTGAATAAGGCTGACTTCCATTCTGCGTGGCAGCTGGTTTGTAAAGCTGATGGTATTTTGGTTCCTGGCGGTTTTGGTACTAGAGGTGTTGAGGGAATGATTGCTGCTGCTAAATGGGCGAGAGAGAACAATATTCCATATCTGGGTGTCTGTCTTGGACTGCAAGTGGCTGTTATTGAGTTCATCAGAAATGTTTTGCATGTCGAAGGTGCAACCAGTGCTGAATTTGTTCCGGAGATTGCTGATGAACAAGCAGCTGTTGTTTATATGCCTGAGATTGACAAGGAGAACATGGGAGGTACCATGAGATTGGGCCTTAGACCAACGTGTTTCGATTCCACGGCTGATTCTTCTATCATCAAAAGGCTCTATGGTGGTGCAGAATCTGTCTTGGAAAGACACAGACACAGATACGAAATTAATCCAGCCATGGTGGAAGCTATTGAGAAACACGGGATGAAATTTGTCGGAAAAGATGAAAAGAGGGAGAGAATGGAGATTTTGGAGCTTGTGAATCATCCATTTTTCGTTGCTACTCAGTACCACCCAGAATACATTTCCAAGGTTTTGGACCCATCCCGTCCATTTTTGGGGCTGGTTGCTGCCGCTTCTGGCATGTTGGATGAAATCTTGGAACAAGATCTGAGAAAGTCGGCTAACGATTTTTGAAGGTTGCTCGCAAATGATTTTTGTTTAATATGTACGTAAATTCGTGGAGCATGTGCATGTACCTCACTAATACTAATAGAATACATGGGGCAAGGGTCCACATCGCAAAAATCTCGCCTGAATCTGATACACCTGGCTAAAGCTGTGATCATTTGGACAATGATTATCAGAGTGAGGCAAAGTTTGAGGCACAAAGGCACCAAAATAATCTCTTCATTCTGCTGAAAGGATAATAATCGTGACCGTATACGACTGAAGTTGTCCCTCTGACTCGCCCTTCAGTGCCAATGCCGAAACTGATAAGCACTGACCTCCGAATCATTTTTGGAAAAAACAAGCAGATTATAACCTATACTGTGCAAGCTTCGTAGATTCTTGAAAAGGAATGTCTCTCGTATGCTGGGTCATTCCAGATTTCTAGATATTTGAGCAAAAAAAGAAGGAACCAAAGGTTTCGTACTTCCTAACCGCAATGACTTGTTTCTCGAATGAAGGCCTAATCAAACTTTAACAGTTTCAAGTCTTGTTCTGGACATCAACAATCACTATCACCGACGAATGGTAATCACTGATAAGGATGGAGTTAATGCTAGTACTGCCCATGAGTTTGTTTGGGGCTACTCGAAGAATCAGGTTATAGATTCTCCTTTGACATTCTCCGTATGCTTCAAAACGCTATCAACTCTTTCTCAAATGCGTAAGGTCATGAGTTTCATTGAAAGAAATTTGTTCATCTTGAGGAAATCCGCAACGATTGGGGCTGTTGGAGCGCGATATTTCGTCATAGTCTTTAGCACAAACGCTATTTTACCCAGTTTGGTCACATACAGAATTTGCTGTATATTATTACTTTAAAAACGTCTGAGAGTTAGTCTCTAGCAGAAAACTTGAGAACCGCCCATAAGAAACCACTGCAAAACACCGGGATGGTGAAGTTGTCGTCCCAATTAAATATGGTAAGAGCTTCGCTGACCGATGCAATCAATCCGCATAAAAATGAAAGGGTGTGCAGGCTCAGATAGCTCTTTGAAGGTTCCCACGCGAACTCGGAATAAAAGTTGACCTCAGGGTATGCTGGTACGAAATATCCGTAGAACAAGTACGACGATGCGACACCTGTAATGAATGCTGCAATTGATCCGGCAAGGGATTTAGACTTAGTGATTTTAGGTGTCAAGTGACCGCACATGCGTCCGAAAGTAGAGGCAGCAGTGTCTGACCAACTTAGCAGCAGAACTGCCATGACAGCGATATCCTTCTTTTGCGTCAGGAAGACCAGGCACAACCCAAGTAGATACCACAAGGTGCCATTGTAAGTATTGATTTCCTTATCTCTCATCAAAAAGCCGACTGCACTGCAGTATAGTCTGTTGAATGTTTGTGATCTAAACCGAAAAAGATCCAGTGTTAGCACTGACAGAAATCCCGTCACTAGGGGTTTGATCAACATTGGAGTCTGAACATTGATGGTGTATAAATAGAGTGTAATGAATCCGATGGAGACGTGAAATAATTTGCGCGGCACCTCGTGTTTGTGTATGAGGTTCTTGAAACGTTTGTGAGTTTCCAATAGTATGTCTGCGGTGCTTTGGTACTGCGAATCCTGCCCCGGATAGAACTGTTTGATAGGTTTCTTATCCATATTCTCAAAATCCGAAGATATAGAAGAAAGATCTCCCGGGTTTGTGTCACTTACTTCGGACTCTAGTTCCGTATCACCTTCTTCTTCATCAAAAGTTTCTGATGCTCCATTTGATGTGTAGTCTGGGTCATCTTCTTCATTGTAAGAGCTATCTACCTGATCCACAACAACGGAAGGCACGGCTCTTTCATTTGCCGATTTAACCATTATTTATAAATTAAGCCCTATATTGCTGTTGTCAACGTGTGATGACAAATGTACCGTCGCCTGTAAGTCGAATTAATTAAATAGACTGTGGCTATATGTTCCAAATCTTTATTGAATAGTTTACAATTTTTGCGTAAATGAAAACATAAATTATTTGGCGACACGTAAATTAAAAATGGCAGCGATCTCAATTAGTCCTTCATAACTCGAGTGTTTCCTCAGAAACTCTACCGTACAAATCTGCCACGAGTCCCAAAAGAACATCTAACTCATTGGTAATTGAGTTTGTGACCAGGTTGTACGTGTAAAGTAGAACAAAATCTTCGTCCGACAACACCTGTTTTTCTGAGGTGCTTCGTTTGCGAATCTCGCTCATTTTGGCGAGCATCCGCTCTTTTGAATGTTCGGTAGAGGCAGGCTTGTTTGCGAGTGGGAACCCTAACTTCATAGCTGAAGCCAACATGTAGAATATAAGGAACACGCGGTTCTCAAGTTCCGACATCTCACCTGCTAAACTTTGCAGCACCGAGTGCTCGCTGGGTGTAAGCTTTTTATTGATCTCGATGATGGAGTTCAGATTCTCAAAAGCGTCGATTATCCGAGAGGTTGAAACTAGCAGTTTTTCGTAAATTCCTATAGGGAATGGTCCTTTGAGTCTAATCTCCATCGGAGCCTGTTTCAGTAACGTCTCCAATTCAGACATGATCATATGAATAGTCTTTCTGTCCCTTATACCAATAAGATTGTATTCATTGTGTTCGTCGACCTCGTAAGCAAGTGGACCACTATGCCAAATGATGCCCATGCGCAACCATAAAATGGAGAGTCCTCTGCGTATTCTACTCCGTGCAGAATTAGGGAACAAAGACATCGTCACGATCAAAGCCCAGATGACGCCAAATGAAACACCCAGAAAACGGTGAATAGCAATTTCAAATATGATCGGGTTGTCTCCTCCCTCATCATCATAGTCGGGCACATTATCTATCACCTTATTGGCCATTGTCCACGAATACAGCACAGTTAAATTGTAGGTGAGAAGAATGAACCTACCGAATGCATTATTTGCTTCCCAGTTGATGATGATGTAGAAACAGCCAATCGAAAATAGAAATCCCACAACTGCCATTAGTAGTGCATTAGGGTATAGTAAAACCCAAACACAATAGGCGGTAAACGCCCCTAAAAATGTTCCCAAAAACCTCCACTTGATTGTCATGGTGGTACCTCCAACTGACTTATTCATTATAATGCAGAATGTCACCAGAGCCCACTCGCCTCGCCAGTCATCAAAGAAATCTTTCGTCTTGTCAATGTATGCAAATATAGCTATAAATAGCGAGCCAATACCCACTCTCAGTCCAAATTGTACGTCCACACTTCTCAGGATTTTGACTATTCTCCAAACTCTATAATTCAAGGACATTTTCGCACTGTAATCGTCATTGATCCCTTGAATTCGTGAAACCATATCATTGATGGTACTTCTTCGTGGAGTAGTGGACGACAGAGGAAATGAACGTTTCCAAAACTTGAGAAACTCAAAGGTTTTTGTGTCATTGTGAGTAGACACGGCCTTCAGCTCCTGCAAAATTCGCAAGTACTCAAAAAGCTCCGACGAGAATTCCAACAGCAGAAAAGAAAAGTTTCCGCACGATGCGGCCACTTCTTCTTGATCAACTTTGGAATCAAAGTCCGTCTCGGTTTTGAAGAGGTCTTGCTCGTATAATTTCTTGAGGGCCTTGAGTTGGTTCTCGCTGTACAAGTCCTTTGCCAAAGACAAGCTTTTTGAGTACTGTTCAACGGCCGGTTCTATTTCGTTTTCTGAATTAAATGGAACACCGCTTAGGATCTGTCTAACAGTATACGAGAAACTTTTGATAGATGGTCCCAGATAGTAGACAAATAAGTCAAATAGGTCTTTGGAATTTATTGCAACCGCTTCATCATCTTCAAAATCGCTCTCATTAGACGTGTTCCCGTCAAACTGTTCACTGTAGTAGCTGCGCAAGGATGTAGTCTCTGTTTGAGCATGATTACCGGAGTCAAGGAGCTCGTACTTGAACTCGACCGACATTCTCATTCCAGCCATGGTCATCCAAAGCTTTCCACAGCACTCTACTAGATCTTCGAGCAAGTGATATTCTTTTTCCTTTCCTTTCACATATAGTTCAAACTTGGCTTCTTCTAGGTATTTCTTCAGGTTTTTGAGGTTCGACTTCACCTTCTCAACTAGTACGCTTGTCTCCGTCGATTCTATATGATCGTACCCTAAAAAGGACCTTGATACAATTTTAAGGAGACGGGATTGTAAATCTGCATTCTGTTTCAGCTGTTGTTTTAGTTTCACCTCAGCAGACGTTGGCCACAACAGATAACATGTCAATGCTGAAACGATACATCCTGCTAGAACAATTCTGAATATTGACCCAATTTTTGTCCATGGCACAACGCTACCATCTTGGCTACCTTCCTTGATGACGCATGAAATGATCACTATGGCACTCAACGAACATGCGGTGTTGAATGTGGGCTTACTGACCCACTGTTTTGTTAGCGATATCAAGCCAAGAGCAGCACAGCTGAATACAAGATCAATACCATAACCGAGCTCAGGGCTTTCCATGTTGTATGACTTGGCTGAAATGCTCATTAGTGTCACCGAGATGGAAAAAGCAAACGAAAGGGCCAAGATCACGAAAATCAAAGACTGAATCATAGACCCTTTTGTTCTTGTTGGATGGAAATAAACGACAATTGTGCAAATCAAATGCTTCGAATCGGCATTTCCCAATATACTTGACAGTGTAGTCGAGTAGACAGCCCACGACGCAACGAAATAGGCTAAAGCTCCCTTTAGCACTCCTTTGCAAGTGTCAGAATAAATCATGCTTTTAACTCTACCCTGAACCCCTTGATTGCTATCTTCTGATTTCGGCCTGCTATTCTCTATTTGACTTTCCAGCTCAATCTCATCCTGTGTCTGGTCCCAGAATGAATACGATCGCTGTATCTTCTGGCCCGTGTCAGCCATAATAATTGAACTTCGACGGTGAATATTGGCCCTCGACAGTGACGAGTTATGTCTCAATGATGGCCGCGCTTGGCCACCCACTGCTCTGTCCATCGGAAGAAAGGCTGCTGACTCTCCGAATGTCGGGTCGGAATACCCAATAGACATCTCTTCCAAGGAACGTTGAATCTTATCGTGGCAAAATATTTTTACACAGCCCTTAAACTGTCTTGTGGGTTAGTTGGAATTTGTAGTTATCTTGCATGTAGATGCGTATTCGCTATATACAGTCACTCGTATTCTACACCAACAATCTCCTCGAAAATCTTCTCGCATGGAACAACGGCTTTCATCCTTGCGCAAAGAAGGTAAGCACCGCTGAGCTTTCTGTGCAAACTGTACGTCTCTTCTGGAGGTGGTGTAAGACGTTCATTCAACATTAACTTGATATTTCCGCGAACGCGATCGGTCACTGTTTGATTGGTAAAATCATACTCAGAACCTTTGTTGTCCAACGGAGAAAATGGCTCGCCTAGCGCTATAATTGACTCAACATGGGCCTGTGTCATGCTGTCAGTTTCCAAACCGGTGAGAAATCCCATGTCTTTGGAGTATTTTTGGACTCTATCATAGTCTTTCTTCACGGACGCGCGCAAACAGTTGAGATACGTGGTAATGAAATCCTTATTGAAATCTCTGCATGCACCAAAATCTAAAAGCTCGATCTTGTTAGTCTCTTCGTTGTAGAGAAAGTTGGCCCAGTTGGGATCTGTTTGCATGAATCTGAATTTGGCTATTTCTGTGAGCGTCAGTCTCATTATATTTGATGAGATCCAGTTTTTCGTCTTCTGAGGCCATTCCTTCTTCATAATCTCGGTACCTCTCATTTCTTCCATCGTTAAAACATGCTCGTCACTTAGTTCATGATACACTTTGGGAACCACAAAAACAGGGTCATCTTTCAACAAATCGCCAAAACGAGCAATATTCTGAGCCTCTCGAAGATAATCACATTCCCACTTCAGCTCGACCCTTGCGTTGGCCACACTTTTGTCGAGAAACAGTCCCGGCGGAAGCAGCCTGGATGCTGTTAAAAGAGTCAAAATATTATCAAGGTCAGAATCTATGCTGTCCGCCACTCCAGGGTATTGAACTTTGACCACAACCCTTTCATGGGTGTCCTTAGTAATTGCCTGGTGAACTTGTCCTATGGAAGCTGCTGCGATAGGTACATCGTTAAAAGAAGCGAAATACCGGCTTCTCCAGCCTTCGCCAAGCTCGAAAGAGATTACTTTCTCTAGTTGTCCCGACGGCATATAATGAGCGCTATTTTGAACACGAAGGAGTATTTGCTGAATTTCGGGAGGCAGCACCGATGCGTCTTGGAAAGAGAGCATCTGTCCGATTTTCAGCGCAGCACCGCGCATTCGACTAAATTTGCGAGCAATTCGCTCAATGTTCCGGGGAGACATAATCATAGATCCAACAGGCTTTGGATCTTGACCTTTCGCATAACTCTCGGCACTCTGTCGTAGGATGTCGAGTCCAACTCCCGCAGCCAATGTTCCGTAATGAAATAGACGGCTGATTCTTGAAGATGGCACTGATGACTGTGACATTTCGAAATCTGCCTTTTCAGCCTCGCCGATGACCTTTGGTTTGGCTTTGGAGCTATCTTCATCATTCAAAACCCTAGTGGTACCAAATTCTCTTTTATTGGAGATGTCACTTTTTCGGTTTTTAGGCCTCTTGCTGTTTGTTAAAATATCATTTTGTTTCTTTTCAGCCTGCTTGACACTCTTCGATTTCTCGCGAGCTGCTTGGAACATGTCATATTCCTCGAATTGCTGATTATCTTCATCTAGGGGTTGCTTTTTGGCCTTCTGCGACATGGCCCGGGCATCGGCATATAGTTTGTCATTACCTAGAAAGTTCGAAAGTAGTGAGCAATTGGCAACAACCACACGAGCACTTTCCTTGACAACTTTACTACTACCATTGGCAAGTGTGTATGTCTGGTACAAAAATTTGGAAGACATGAAATTAAATCACGGTCTGGTCTATCTTTCCACCAGCTCAAATTAAACTTTTTACGTTTACATTTGCTTGAAATTTTGAAAACAAAAAAAAATTATTTTTTTATTTTAAGACAATGGGGGAATCATCAAGACCTAAAAAGCGCTCTAGGACAACTGAGACATCCATTCCTCAGATAGCGGCAGAAAAAGCAGAGCACGAACTTGCTAGTCATCCTCATATGAGAGAACAAGAAGAGCTTGAAATTTATAATGGAGGTGAATTTGACATTTCTAAACGTAACAAGACTACAGCTAAATTTGCCAAGAAGCTTGAAGATGGTGAGAAGAATCCGTTCACAGGTAAACCTTTTTCGCAAAAATACTTTGACATCTTGAAAGTTCGTCGAGAATTACCGGTTCACGCTCAAAGAGACGAGTTTTTGAAGATTTTTCATAAAACTCAGATCATGGTTTTTGTTGGTGAGACAGGTTCCGGTAAAACCACACAGATACCTCAATTTGTGCTTTATGATGAGATGCCTCATTTGAGAGGCACGCAAGTTGCTTGTACGCAACCTAGAAGAGTTGCAGCTATGTCGGTGGCGGCCAGAGTGGCGGATGAAATGGATGTGACTCTAGGAGAAGAAGTTGGTTACAGCATCAGATTCGAAAACAAAACATCGAAGAAGACAATCCTGAAGTACATGACCGATGGTATGCTTCTTAGAGAGGCGATGGAGGATCACGATTTGAAAAGATATGGATGCATAATTTTGGATGAAGCGCATGAACGTACGCTTGCAACTGATATTCTCATGGGCCTTTTGAAACAGGTCAGTGTCAGAAGGCCAGATCTAAAAATAATTATTATGTCCGCCACCCTGGATGCGGAGAAGTTCCAGAGCTACTTCAATGATGCTCCATTGCTAGCAGTTCCTGGTCGTACTTATCCCGTTGAAATTTATTACACTCCTGAATTCCAGAGGGATTACCTGGATGCTGCTATCCGTACCGTCTTGCAAATTCATGCCACTGAAGATGAAGGAGACATACTGTTGTTTTTGACAGGTGAAGAGGAAATTGAAGATGCATGCTCGAAAATATCTTTAGAGAGTGATCATTTGATCAGGGAAGAAGGGTGTGGGCCGCTTTCTGTCTACCCCCTGTATGGTTCACTCCCCCCTCATCAGCAGCAGAAGATCTTTGAACCTGCCCCACAACCATTCAAACCAGGCGGGAAACCAGGAAGAAAAGTCATTGTGTCCACCAATATTGCGGAGACTTCCTTGACGATTGATGGTATAGTATACGTGGTTGATCCAGGATTTTCGAAGCAAAAGGTTTATAATCCAAGAATAAGGGTGGAATCGCTCCTAGTTTCACCCATCTCTAAAGCCTCGGCCCAACAAAGAGCAGGAAGAGCTGGTCGTACGCGTCCTGGAAAATGTTTCCGTTTATACACAGAAGAGGCCTTTCAGAAAGAGCTCATAGAGCAGAGTTATCCAGAGATTTTGAGAACCAACTTGTCGTCCACCGTGTTGGAACTTAAAAAACTAGGAATTGATGATCTCGTTCATTTTGATTTCATGGACCCCCCTGCTCCAGAAACTATGATGAGAGCTTTGGAAGAACTCAATTATCTGGGATGTTTGGATGATGCTGGAGACCTCACTGCGCTGGGACGATTGGCATCTCAATTCCCATTAGATCCGATGTTGGCTGTTATGCTTATCGGTTCTCCCGAGTTCAAGTGCTCGGAGGACATCCTGACGATTGTCGCCATGTTGTCTGTCCCTTCTGTTTTTGTTCGCCCATCAGGAAAGTCAGCTAAAGCTGCAGCTGAGGAGGCCAAAAAGGTATTTGCTCATCCTTATGGAGATCATTTGACACTTTTGAATGTTTATAACGCTTTCAAATCGGAAGAAGCCCAAGAAATTGGCGTCAGCAAGTGGTGTAAGAACAATTTCCTGTCTTATCGATCTCTCAAATCTGCCGAAAATGTGAGATGGCAGCTTTCAAAGTTGATGGAGAAATACGATTTGGAGCTCAATTACACCGATTACGATAATCCAAAGCACCACTTAAGGCTGCGCAAGGCTTTAGTTGCTGGCTTTTTCATGCAAGTCGCTAAGAAGAAGAGTGCGGGCAAAGGTTACATTACCGTGAAAGATAATCAAGAAGTGCTGATTCATCCATCGACCGTCCTTGGGCAACAAGATGAATGGTTGATCTATAACGAATTTGTTCTGACGTCAAAGAACTACATTCGTACAGTCACTGCGATCAAGCCAGAATGGCTAATAGAGCTGGCTCCAAAGTATTACAATCTGGACCATTTCCAAAAAGGAGACGTCAAGTTAAGTCTCGAGAGGGTTAAAGCGCGCGTGGACAGAAAATAGAGTTGAAGTCAATATAATATATTTTTATGTAATTCTACAATTACCCCCTCTAAGCAAACTCACCCAAGGAGAGAACCTTCTCGATACCTCTCACGACCGTTGGAGTGTCTGGGAAAGCAAAATCTTCCAGTTCTTTCGCATATGGGGTTGGAACTTCACATCCCGTGATTCTCTCAATTGGGGCATCTAGGTAGTCAAAACCTTCGGATTCCATCACTTGGGCACAGATTTCTGAACCAACGCCGAAAGCAGGGAATCCGGCCTCAACGGTGATAGCGTGATTGGTCTTCTTGATGGATTCGATGATAGCTGGAACGTCCAATGGTTTGATGGATCTGAGGTTCAACACTTCTGCGGAAACACCGTATTTCTCCTTCACCACCTTGGCTGCCTCAAGGCAGAAAACCAGGTTTCTAGAATGCGAAACGATGGTAACGTCTGAGCCTTCGAGCTCAATCTTGGCCTTGCCAATTGGTAAAACAAAGTCAGGAGAAGCAGCCTCTTCGGACATTGGGAAAGACTCACCGTACAACAGTTCGTTCTCCAAGAAGACAACTGGGTTAGGATCTCTAATAGCTGCTTTGAGAAGACCCTTGCAGTCCTCCGAAGAGAACGGAGAAATCACCTTCAAACCTGGAATAGATCCGTACCAAGCCGAGTAATCTTGAGAATGCTGGGCAGCAACACCTGCAGCAGCACCATTTGGACCTCTAAAAGTGATATTACATGGTTGTTTACCACCAGACATGTAATACGTTTTGGCTGCAGAGTTGATGATCTGATCAATGGATTGCATGGCGAAGTTGAAGGTCATGAACTCACAGATTGGTTTTAGGCCAGATAATGCAGCACCAACACACAAACCGGTGAAACCCATCTCAGTAATAGGAGTGTCCACGATTCTTTTTGGACCAAATTTATCAAGTAGCCCTCTGGAAATCTTGTAGGCACCGTTATACTGAGCAACCTCTTCACCCATCAAAAACACATCTGGGTCTCTGTCCAGTTCCTCCTGCATGGCGCTGTTCAAAGCGTCTCTAACGGTCATGGTAGCTGGACCAGCGCCAGAAGATGCCGTTCTAATGTTTTTTCCAATAGAGGACCTCAATAAGGTGGACGCAGTCTTCGCGGTATGAGCAATTTTAGACATAGTTTTAAGAAAATGTAGCTTGTTTTCTCGAGGTTTGTATCTCTAACTGGACTTGAATTCACAGAACTATTCCAATTGTAGGATAATATGCGCTAAACTCGCCGAAATATATTAGCTTCTTGTCAACTCAAAGTACACTTGGTGTCTTATCTCCCCACTGGGTAATTTTTTTTTCGTTTACCGGATCTCTTCAACCCATCACTCCAGGTGCACGGGTGCAATTATTCCATATACTAGCTATCAAGAATTGAACAAATTCGCCCACTCGTTTTGCATGCAATGAAGAACTGATATGGAAAGCAGCGGACAAATCATCATTCTCATTGCAGCGGATTGCTGATCTACAATCCAAGGTTTAGTTTCGCTCTCAAATACGAGACAGCATAAAAAGTTTGTAAGGAGCACAGCTCCGACTATGATTATTGCGCAAACGTGGATGATGACAAGCAGAATTAGCATTCGCTGCTCGGAAAGACTGTTGATGAGAAAAGAATAGTAATTCACCATATTGTTGAAATTGATTGTCGAATAATGGCACAATTCGAAAAGACATCCAAAAGCCGTGAGCCATGCCTGAAACGAGCTCATAAGCGTGAATCCAGTTTGTGCATCGTTCATCATTGTCAACTGTGCCCTGTAGAGACTAAACAATGACCCCAGCGCGATGAGTATGAAAACGATGGTCAAAAGCGTCATAGACCAAAAATACTCTCTTTCTAGATGCATTTCATTGACTATTCCAACTATCTGCACAATCACCATTGACGCCTGTGACCAGATGGCCACCAAGTAAAATGATGCAAAAGTGACAAATTGGGAAGACCTTATTCCAAGGATATTCTCTACACCCACTAAGGAGATTAGAAAATTGATGAAGATCATGGTTGGTGGTTTTGATTTGTACAGCGATAGCCTTGTTATCAGCTCTTGTCTGGAAAGCTCCGTTAACATGAACTTCTTATCTTTCCAGCCCAGATATAAGGTAACCGCAATGGGGAGGGTGCAAGTTACTGCTGCAAGAATGTGCTCCACATTAGACGTGCCAGGGCGCCTGCTCTCTTGATCAACAATCAATGTTCTCTCAATGGCCTCGGTTTGCTCGATCTTCTCAACGTCCTCCATACTAAGGTCGATAAAAAGTCTAGGGTGTTTCTGTATCCTTTATTTGGCGACGCGCCAAATTTTAGGGCTGTGAAAATAAATGGGAACGGTTAACAACACTTTCAGGTTTACTGATAACCAACCATATTAAGAAGCTCGTTTAGCTAGTAATACATTTTAGTTCTCGGTACATATATTAATGAACTCCTCCTCGTTGATTTCTCCATCCTCATCCAGATCAAATTCATCAATCATCGCCCGAAGTTCGTCGTCTGTCAGATTTTCACCCAATTCCTTGGCAACGCGCCTGAGATTTCGAAGACTAATTTTTCCTGTCTCATCGTCGTCAAATAATCTGAACGCGCGGCGGATCTCGTCTATCGGATCGCGCTCAATGATCTTATTCCCCACGTATTGGAAAAAATCTTCGTAGTTGATCAGCTTGCGGTTGTCTGTATCGTATTCGTCTATTATGTTGAGAACCTCTCTCTTGGACATGTCGAATCCTAATGCTCTCAAGGCCACCTTAAGTTCGTGGTAGTCGAGGTATCCATCACCATTCATGTCAAAAAGAGTAAACTAAGGTTAGGTCTCTTGTTGCCATACTTACGGCCTCCCTGATCTCTTGTTTTTGCTCATTGAGAAGCTCAACTTTCATCTGTCTTCCGCTTTTCAGAGACGACATGATGATTTAGGTAGTTGTTTTTAATTTTAAAAAAAAATACGCGATCGCTTGATTTTCTTGTATGCACAATATCAATGATAGAGTGGTGCTGAATGGTGTGGGAGGAACTATTAAATATATCGGCCCGACCCAATTCCAACCAGGTGAGTGGATTGGAGTTGAACTTGACCAACCTGCTGGAAAGAATGATGGTTCTGTTGCCGGCGTGAGGTACTTCCAGGCACGAGATAAGCATGGTGTCTTTGTTCGTCCTGCGATGTTGCAGTCTCCCGACTCGAGTGACAGTCGCCTGAAGGCAATCATCAGATCCCTAGAAGATAAGTTGTTGAAACTTCGTTCGGATATAAGCGATCTTTCACGTCAATTGGAATCATCAAAAAGTACGGTGGTCTCCTTAGAGGAATCATTAGAGCGAGAGATCATGGAAAAAATGGCACTTTCTGACCAGCTAGCAGCCTTGCAGGACAAGACAAAAGAGATCTCAGACAACTCATTGAGACGTGGAGATGTTGACAGCGGCCAAATAGAGCATTATGTTAAGGAACTCACCCAGCTAAAACAATCTAACGACCAGCTCCAAAGCAAAGTACTCTCTCTAGCTGACGCGGAGGTAATGATTGACTCGCTAATGGTTCAGAACGCTGACTTGACAGACGAACTCTCAAAATGTAAGGTCGCGATAAAAGAGCTGGAAAGCCTTTTGGAACTTGATAAAGATTTGGAGCAAAGCCATTTAGAGATCGAAAATGAATTGCGGGCTGAAATAAAGCAGGCACGTGAAAAGTTGGAGCAAGAACAAGCTCACGTCAAAGCTCTTGAGACGAATGTTGCAAATCTTAATCAGCTACTTCAGCAGAAGCATTCGCAACCAGAAAAGTCGGGTGTTTCAAGCGAGTCGACTGAAAAGCTTCTTTCTCAATTGAAGCACCACGACTCTCAAATACTGAAACTAAAACACCAGTTGGAAATAGAGCAGGTTTTACATAAAGCAGAACACTTGGCTTTGGAGGAGTATTCGAATTTTCTTTCAAGATCTGAAGGAGGCTCAGAGAATCTACAGCAGATGGCCCAGCTTGTGAGATTTAAAGTTTTGTGCCACCAATTTGAAGACTACCATATTAGTCAACTAGGAGAGGTTGCAAGTATCGATGATTATTTCCACCAATCACAATGTCTTCGAGGAGCCTTTTCATTAGGCCGTCTTGCCTTACAAGCTGGCTGTATAATAAAAACTTGCGAATATCACCGAGAGGTGCCTTCTATTCTTGTGCAACAAGTTTCTGGATTTTTGGAAAGATTTGATAAAATGCTTGAAGCAGACGAGTATCACGAAGATCTCATATTTCCATTTGAAGGTTTTGTTAAGAACAGGGAGGAAGTCACCAAACAAGTTCTTATGGCCGTTCATAAACTTGAATACTCCCTTCTTTTAAGTGGTCTTCTACAGGACGGATTATCACTGAACGGTACAAGGTATGGATTTAGCAAAGTGAAAGCTGCTATTGATGATTGGATGGGGCAGCTCGACGGTCATATCCATGCACTCGAAACCCTGGAGAAAAACGGGCAAGGGCTGATAAATGGGCCTAACATTCAATTTGAAAGTATAGACGATCTCTTTGCTGCGCTTTGCGATCTAGATGAAAGACTAAGGACTGGGGAGCAGATTACTGTGTTTGGAGAGCTGATTAGAATATCTCCAGCTAAGCTATCGCTCCCTGAATTTGAAATCGTTGGAATTCCAGCATCCACAAGTTGGTTCAGCGCACACAGAGAAATCCAAAATGATACAGCGATTCCAAAAGAAGCCCAAATTATTGAAGAACTTCAAATGAAGATCTCTGTTCTTCAAGCAAAGCTGAGCAAGCACCAAACAGAGGAATTGCAATTGATACAGTTATCCAAGTCTTTTGAAGAATTACAGTTAGAGAATCAAAAACTAAATAAAGAGTACATGGGAGCACAGGAAAAGTACAAGGTAATATTGAAACAGCTTGATGAAGCAACCAACAAGTTGCAACTCTACGGAGACGATAAAACTCGAGGAGTCTACGAAGAGTTCATGCGACTGGATAAAATGGAACTCATAAATGAAATTTCAAGTCTAAGGACTCTGGTAACCAAGCTTGATACTTCCAAGACTATCCAAAACTGTGACCTAAAGTTTTCCTGTGACCTTTTACCTGACCTTAGTCCAATTAAGTGGGATCTTGGTACCAAAATCGAGAAGTTGGTGAGCACTGATGAGCTATCTGCCACCATTAAGCACTTTCAGATCCCAAGAATCACAGAGAATAACTCAAATACATTAAATGGCTACACCAAAATGCTCAACATCTTGATGGGATGAAAATGCGCTCATTTGCCTGTCTGGACTTTTTTCCGTGGCCATTTCTTCACCTTGTCTATCTCACTCTCGGGCCACCACCAGTTTAAAAACTCGAGAATAAATAAATCGACGACCACACACAATATGAATAGTAAGCCAGCCCATGGCCCACAATTGTAGTATTTGATTAGAACATCCACAAGCGAGGGAGCCTCTGTTTCAGAAACCATGTTGTACACCTTTTCTGTTCTCTTGGCGATATCGCCCCAATCGTACATTTTCTTGACTTCCTCGTGAAAGCTGCTTGTATCAATTTTGTTTTCTTTAAGCTTTCTCACTGCCAGATTCACAGCATCAACCAGTGACTCCTCATCCGGATCAGCGAAAACAGTCATTTTATTCGGCAGAACCTCGGGAATGCCTCCAACTTTGGTTGTTACCACTAGTAAACCACAAGAGGCAGCCTCAACCAGAACAGTTCCAAAGGCCTCCGTCAAAGACGGGTGCAAATATATATGTCCCTGGACCATCACATCCCGAACCTGTTGATGTCGTATGCTTCCTATTAGTTCGACTCTATCTTGTAATTGATGTTTTTCCCTCATTTGCTCTAAGTCGATAAACTTCGGGCCATCGCCAGCAATCAGGAAGTGTATGTCAGGCCTACTGGAGCATAACCGGGGTATAATTGCGGTGAGAAGGTCTGCTCCCTTGTTTTGGAATAATCGTGAGATCACGACAACAGTGATCTTATTCAATGACGGTTTGACCTCTGCAGGCTTGAAGTCATCAGCAATAACAGCATTTGGAATCACAGAAACTGAAGAGGGATCTAAGCTGGCTCTCAGAACGGTGTTTTCCTTGCACGTATGGCTGACACATATCACATGACCTATGTTGGTGAGTGTGAATTTTAGCAGTTTGTTGCCCAGGATGGAGCCCACGTCTGCAAATCCAAACAGCGAATGATCTGTAAACACCGTTTTGATCCCCATAGTGTTGGCGTGCAAGATTGCCTCGTGACACATGGAGCTGAAGGTACCATGACCATGAACTATATCAATTCTCTCGCGGATCAGGATTTGACGAAGTATGGGAAATAACGAAAACACCGTTGGGAAAGTTGTTTGCCGGTATATGATAAAAAATGGGACATAGTAAATCTTAAGGCCATTAGTCAACATTCGAACCCCTGTTCTGTCGTCATATGCGTGGGTGATTACCACAACAGAATGTCCCCTGGCTATGAGCTTTTGCGAGAGGTGGTATATATGAAGTTCCATGCCTCCCGGCTGTGGATAGAAGAAATCTGAAATCATTCTGGACTGTTAGGGTTCAAGAGAGGGCTACTTACGCGATGTTGTAACTCTTCATGGTGACAATAAGTCAACTTTTTTTGTCGGCAGTGCAATAAGATTTATCAGAATATTTGTTTTTCAGAGGCGATCAATTCCTAGAGATAACTTGATGACCAACCAGGGAGAATACCTGGAGATTCCAAATGCGCCTGACGAGGAGCCACCGGCTTATGATACCCTGGAGGACGCATCCGGAGAGTTTATACCCTATGAACAATTTGATATAGATGAACCGGCACAGAGACCAAGAATGAGCCCGCGTGAGCTGTTCCACAATGCTGGAGATTTCGCAAAGAGTTTCAACAAACGATTTTTCCGTCCCATAAACAACGCCTTAGACCCGGTTTATGAGCTTTATCGATTCATCAGCACCAAAACCGAAAGCTACATATCTAAAGTCGGCAATCCTCTTATCATTAAAAGACTCCTATATGTGCTATTTATTGCCGCGCTCATTTATGTTATATCGATGTCTGGCTTATATCCTGAGGCTACTGGGTCATTGTACGGAGATTTCTATGATGTACAGAAGCTCCATTCCTACATTGACTCCCACGTGGACGTTAGCAGAATTGAAGAAAATCTGGAGTACCTATCCTCCATGCCACACATGGCCGGCACTGCTGGTGATCTCGCTCTCGCTCGATATATTGAGGATATTGTTTCCGACTCCGCGCTACAATTGGATGGAAACTCAAAATTCACTGCATATGTCAACTATCCTGAAAAAGTGCATGCTAAGCTTTACCACGGAGATAAATTACTACACGATTGTGACCTGATCGAAAAATTGACCGGCCAAGACGACAATGAAAATAACATTGAATTGCAACAGATGGCATTTAATCCGGGATCAAAAAGAGGTTCCGCCAAGGGTCGTGTGGTCTACGCCAACTATGGCACGTTAGAGGATTATAAATTGCTGAGGGAGAAAGGTGTGAATCTCCAGGGCTCAGTGGTGGTGATAAAATATGGAGGGCTCTTGATGGAATCAAAAAAATTGTATTACGCACATGAGCAAGGGGCTTCTGGAGTCCTTTTCTTGAGCGATCCGAAATCAGGCTCTGCTTATAACATGCGTTCTATACAAAAAGAACCTGTCGCATTACCAGATTATTATACCGGAAATATGGTGAGTCCTGGTGGAGGAGTTCTCGATCGGGTCCCAGACTATTTTGATTTGAACATCATGTGGAATTCCAACAACTGCACTCCACGTATTCCAAGTATCCCCGTCTCGTGGGAAAGCGTTAAGAACATCATGATCCCTTTGAAGGGACATGGGGAGAGAGTGGACGAATGGACCCTGGATTTCGGTAATGAAAAAGTTGAAATTTGGACTGGAAGTGACGAGTTCATTATTGATATGTCGAACGAAGTGGCAGAAAGAATGAACAAGGAGGTTTGGAACGTTGCTGGACGGATAACGGGATCCGAGCAAAACAATCTTGCAATTGTCATTGGGGCAGCAAGGGATTCCCCGGGATATGGAGCTGTTGACAGCACGGGTACTGCAGTTCTCCTGGAGCTCATTTATTTGTTCTCCAACATGATGCGTGCAATGAAATGGAAACCCCTCAGATCAATCTATTTTGTTTCGTTTTCGGGAACTGACTACAATATGGCTGGTTCTACCTACTTCGCTCAGAGTAAAAGTGACTTCTTCAATCGCCAAGGATACACTTACATCGACTTGAGTGATGCTGTGTCTGGCTCCAAGCTAGAGATCGCGGCAGATCCGATTTTGCATTCTTTGATTGAAAATTCCTTGAGCTTGGTGGAAGATCCAGCCACAAATAAATCACTTGCTGAAGTTTGGGATAAAGCCTTTTTATCCATGAGAGATAATACAAAGAATTACCAGCCGTTCATTTCACACTTTGGGATGCCTGCCGCAGAATTTCGATTCAAGGGAAAAGGCTACCCCAAAAACAGCTGTTTGGACACATTCGACAATTTCAAGAAGCAGAAGATCGACAGGGAAATGCAATATCACAAAGCGCTGACTCGATTAGTGGCGAAAATCATCTTACAGTTGACTGACAAGCCAATTATTCCCTACGATATATTCAACATGGTCTCTGCGATTAACAGGAATATGAAGGATTTGCGTTCTTACGTGGAGTTCAAGGATAAGGACGCGAAATTGGATTTCACAAGATTTGACACTTCCTTGATAAAACTCAAAAGTATTGCCAGGGAACAGCAATCATTTATCAAGACCTGGACTGAAATTGTTAACGCTGACTCGGGCTCAGAGCCAAATCTCTTGGCTGTCAACAGGTGGGACTGGAATGCAAAGCTTGTACTTCTAGAAAAAATACTGCAATCATCTAACGGCATATATGGTCGACCATGGCATAAGAATGTTCTATTTGGGACTGAATTTAGAGTTCCTGAAACAAAAGAAATGTCATTCATATATGACTCCTTCCCTGGTGTTCGGGATGCGATTGATGTGGGAGACTGGAAAGAAGCTCAGAAGCAGCTTGAACTGATTTGTGAGCTTATGGACCAATGTTTAGATTTATTTCAACTGAATTGAATTAGTTGGGTAGTTGGATTCGATTTTTGTAATAAGTTCCTCGCTTCCGTCAATCATGGCGGTGAATGAGTCGTCCACTTTAATCAGTTTGTTCTGTAGTAAAGTGCGAACCAGAGCAATCACTTGCTTCACAAACTTTAAGCCGTTCAAAAACTCTGCTGATGGCTTTTCATTGACGGCTTTCAATAACGATTCATCTACGGAAGCAGATGCTTTCTCAGCGTCCAGATCAGCAAGGTATGTTTCTAAGAATTCCTGTGCCACGATTCCCAAAAGAACATTAGGAAGCGACTTTTTGAACGGAATCTCCGTCGTGAGCTTTCTCCAAGATTTATTGTCTCGTTGGAATTTGTCCAAGTCATCGTGGTTTAGCAATTCCAAAGCGATGATGTTCGAAATTAGAAGATCCTTTGTATATGATTTCAGTTTATCCATCACCGATCTGAACTGGAGTAAAGGTCTGTGGACTTTATAGACATAGTTGACAGGATTGAAATTTGACATCGGTTGAAGAGAAAGAACTTTCGATATGAAAATTGCGGCGTTTTTGTACTGCTTATTGTCTGTCTTAAAATCGTTTGGCAGTATGATATCATCAGCCTTCAACTCAGAAAAGCGCTTAAAGAAAATAAGCAGCAAAAAGAGCGTTTCCACGTTGACTGACTTAGAAAGTTGAGGTAAAAGCTTTCCCCACTCAGTCAACATGAAATCATTCTCCGATAAAAACCCATAGACGTACAACGTTCTAAGGAGGCCTGTCGAGATGACTTCGTAGCTGGTGGAAATTCTGGTGCCCTCTTCGTCTGCTTTTGGAACCACGGTATCTTCCAAAAACTCGTCGCTCACTCCAGAGAGAAAAGCTGCTAATTGGAATGATCTGGCAGTGTTGTGTCTAACAAGAAGCGGTTTCACTTTTAGATAAAGAGGAGGAGTCATTCTTTGGACAAGTTCATACTCCTGACGACCATTGAAAACGGTTTCTAGGCGCAATTTTTTAAACTGGTAGTATCTGTTGAGTGAATTTGCAAACAGATTAAGCGTTTTGCCTCGTATCTCTAAAGACTCCTCATCGCAAACAAGTTTTTGGTATAAAGGTGTCACCGACATGTCTAAAGGTAATCTTTCAATTTGTGTTCCATGGATCAAAGTCTCACAAAGTTCAAAGGCCGTGAGACCTATCGATTGGTAGAAAAACAGCTCATCTGGTAGTCTTTGGCCAATCACCTCGTGCAAGTCGTCAGGGATTCGTTTCAAAGGTTCCGATGGTGTTGTTTCCGTGGATGTGTTGGAAGAATTGAGAGCCTGGGGACTAGGTGCCACAGAAGACAAGAAAGACGCGTTACTATCCATCTGCAACAGTTCAGTTCTTCCATTCACTTTCAGTACAGGGGTGTAATCAAGAGAAGCGCATCCTTTCTGATAGATTTCCATGTATCTTCCCCCATTAGGTAATGCAAGAAGGGAATTGTAAATCGAGCCACCATTAAGGATAAATTCGTGGAGAGACGGGAAGGTTGGAGAGGATGGGATATGAGGGAAAATGTTGATGTTGTAAGGTTGGAAGCCATTACCAACGCACATAGAAAGATCTTTGAATTGTTTCGGACTGAGGTTGAGTTTTCGAAGTACACTGGACTTTTCAAGACACTTGAACTGTTTGCTCTCGAATTCCATGCTGAATATGAACTTCTCTACACCTTCAATAAGGAGTCCGTCTGTTGACCCAAATATACAGTGTATCAAGTTCTCTGCCAGCAGATACTGAAGCTCAATCCATGCAAAATAGGGAGCGACGATATAGTCAACGCCCTTGGACTCCAAGATTTGCATAAAGTCATCCATGATTGGTCTCAAAGCCAATGGAGTGTTGGAGTCCCTAAAACTCTCATTGTAATGCTCTCTTGCGACTTTTTCGTCCCATATTTTTTTGAAGTTCTTCTCGTGCTGTAGGAGTTCAGGTTCCTTGATGTAATCGAACTGGTCCACAGTTCTCAGACCCGGGAACACAAATATTGGGGTGATCTTGAGCTCTTCAAATGACTTGAAATCAGATTCCATCAGTTTTTTCAAGGTCATCGGGAAACCTGCGATTGCTTCGAGGTTGGGTTCTTTCCTAGGTGTGAGAAGTCTCGAGAGATAATGCTCAACCTCAATTCCAATCACTGCATCCTCCAGCACATCCATGGGACAGTTGGACACAGTTTTTAGATCAAAGAGATAGGGCTCGAGGGATCTAATGGGCATATTAAGAGTAAATACGAAGCTTTAAAGGTTGGAAAAAAAATATGGACGAGATTGAATTTTTGGGTGGCGTCGATCGCCGCGTCGGAACCTAGAGACACTGGAATTAAAACACGTACCCAAACTTATTCAGGCTCAGTCCGACTCCAAGTGATGAGATTTTCCTTCTTCTTATTATCCATTGGATTACTGATCCCCACTTGTTTAGGTGTGCGATATGAGACACTGACATCTAAGTACAAGAGGAACATCGTGAAGATTACTGATGCCAATTACCAAGATATTTTGAACAACGAGGATTTTGACATAGTACTGTACCTGACTGCATCCAGTCCACAAGTTGGTTGTGTTTTATGCAATGAATTCCAGCCTGTGTTTGAACAGCTCGCCTCCTCGTTTTATGAAAATCTTGAATCACATGGTCTTGACTCTGAGGACACAAAGTTGATCTTCGCCTATTCTGATTTTCCCGACTCCAGAAAGCTTTTTCAACAATTGGCACTTAATAACGTTCCGAAAGTCTACTACTACAGTGCACAGCGGGGAATTGGTTTGAAACCTGATGATGAACTCATTTTTATGAGCACTGATCTGCTCTCTACATTGACGAGCTGGTTGGTGGCTAAGACGCACCTAAGCCCCGAACTGTTTACTTTAAAAACCAAAATCAACTATACTGAGATATTCTTAACATTCTGCATTGTTTTCGGACTTGGGGTGATCGCCATATTGAACTATAAAAGGGTTTCGGCCATCCTTACCAACAAAAGGGGCTGGCAAGCGCTTAGCATTTTGCTTGTCATTTTGTTCACATCCGGTTACATGTTCAACGTTATTAGAAATACACAGTACATTCGTACAAATAAGGACGGCTCCAACATCTATTTCATGGGTGGACACCAAGCACAATTGGGAGTCGAAACACAGATTATTTCGGTAATCTATGGGCTTTTCTGTGCTGGTATGGTCATCTTGGTGGACATGTTCAAGAAGTTTGAGAATGCCAAGTTGAGACTGTTTGGTTCTATCGGTTTATCATTTGGCCTTTTCGTTTTATACAGCATTCTGGTGACTTGTTTCCATGCCAAAAATACTGGCTATCCATATTGGCTTCTAAAGTTATGACTATTATATAGTTGAAACGATTGCATATGACTATGTTATTCTGAGCCCATATTCTGGAGTATTTTGTCTACTCGTTGTTCGATGATTTCCATTTTCGAGCTGATGGCGCTCATCTGCGATTTTATAGCTGTAACTCGCCTTACGTACTCATCCAGCGAGAGAATGGTATTGTCTTGACTTTCTTTACTTTCGGTCAAGTTTTCCCGCGTTCGTTCCAACTTACTTTCAAGCTGGCGAAGAATGCTCGAAAGTATGACTTGAGACTCATAAAGAGATGTGAGATTCAGGTTTAGCACCTCAAGTGGTGATTCGACTAATGATTGTACCACCAACTCTATTGGATGGACTGTCCCACCAGAGCTTTGAGTATGGTTCAATTGTGGAGATGGGGGCATGAAAATTGACTAGTCCGGAATTTAAAAAGCATAAATTATTTTACAATTACATTATTAAATTTGGCATATGTTGGTTCGTGCTTATTCCACCCAACGACCATTGTTACTGGACATTTTGCCCCAGCGCAAGCTCATCAAACGTCTGCTTTTTGACTTTGATGCTAGAATGAACCTGAGGAAGTATATGCCACTGATACAGAACATTTACGATAATATTGGGAAAGATAAACTCTCATTTCCACCGAAGGTGCGAGGATCGGATCTTCTTCTGTTTCAGAAAGTTCTGTCGGAAATACGAACTCAAACTCACACATCCAATCAACACCTTGTTAGATTGGAAGATGAACTTATAGAGAGGGCTGCAGAGCTGGGAAGTAGAGATGCATTGACAATTGTTTCGTTTAGAGCTTTAAGAGATCAAAGCGGAGAATACACTGATGAAGACAAGGTTCAGGCGAAAAAGTTCATAGACCAACTAAGAAAGCTAGAGCATCCTCTAGTTTACAAGATGGGGGGAGATTACGATTTTGACCAAGGCAGATACAACGAAGCTGTGAAACAATACTGGAAATTTGTAAAGCTAGATCCTAACTCATTTCTGTCCGCAGAAGTTTACAAGACTATGGGCATGATCTACTTCCAACAGAATCAGCTTCTTCGTGCCAAGCTTTTCTTTGAAAAGTCCATCAAACTAGCCCCAATTTCCAGAGTAGCGCAATCTCACTACATGCTCGGTCTGATATACGAAGTTGATCCTTTACGTTCTCGATACCACTTCGAAATGGCAGCAACACAAGGTTTCAAGGAAAGCTTCAAGACACTTGGTTTTATGGAGCTAAACTACTTCAAAAATCTCTACAAGGCCAAAAAATGGTTTCAGATGGGAGCAGAGCTGGGCGATCACAACTGCATGATTGGACTTTTTGATGCCTATATTCAAGAGAAAAACTGGAAGGCTGCAAGAAGAACCATGGATATGATCACCAAATTTTCAGAACAAAACGGCCTTGAGCTGAACATGAAGTCGCTTCGAAAGGACTCAGTTGAACAATTGATAGAGCACGAATCAGCCGCTCCTATCACGCAACAAAAAGATAAATCGTTATGGGACGTTTAATTAAGCTTGTATATAATGACATCTCCCGTCCTGCGAGAATCCCAGTGAAATCTGCTATTGAAAATTCGATGATGTTCTGAGTAGTTGCTATTACGGAGGTATTCTTTCATGAATTGCTCCAAGTTCTCAAAAAATACTAGGTATTCAGGCCATGTATGTGGATGAGGCCCTCTAATGTCGTCCTTAGAATTCTGAGCAGTAGGAGAGGGAAAGTTTTGTTGCAGATATCCCAACATATCGTCATAGAATTCATCCGACTCATCTCTATAAGCAGTCAAATCTGATGACGAATTCAAATGCAATGGAGGCTCGCATGTCAAGAACCATATATCTACCTGATTTGGCTGCATGTGGAAATGGCTTTGGAATGGAGTAGAGTGACACGGGGTTAAAAATCCAATGGAAGATTGCCTGCTACCAATTTCATTTCTGAGATACTGGGTAACGGTAATGACCCCGCTCTCATGGATCTGTGTGAAATAGAATGCGATTGTGGTATTTAAGAGTGCAATGAATAGAATCAAGCTGCAAGATGTAAAAGGTTTGAGTCTTTTGAGTGCATAAAGCACCCCATGAGTGGTAAAGAAGAGTAAAATAGGCATCATGGGATATATAAAGCGAAATTCTTTGTGCTGGATCAAGGAAAAGGCAAGAATGTCAATGATGAGCACCATTTTGAGATCCCTTGCTTTCTTGACTACCAACCCAATTGCAAAAAATGGCAAGTAGCTCAATAGTATCACAGGAATAGCCTGAAAAAAATAAAAATCAAATCTCGATACACCGTAAAAAGATGAGAGGCTCTTAGACACATTGAAGTCGAGAAATTTGATGAAAGGAATAATCCAGGTGCCGTAAAAATAACGGTTTACCACGCTGTCAACGCTTAAAACGGCGATACCAATGAGAATGGTGGAAACCATGATTTTGAGCTTAGGACCTCTGCGAAAATTTCGTAGTCCATAAACCGCCCATATCAGGCCGTTTGTTGGTCTGATTATGCAACAAAATCCTGCAATTGTCAAAGAGTAGATGTAGTTAACATCGAAAGTCTCAGGGTATAGAAACAATGCTATCGTTGTAAGTGCTAGCTCGAGAGCGTTGGAAAATGATCGACAATAACAATACCAATTAAAGGGCGAGAATAAGCTCAAGTAAAACATTAGGCACCTTGCTGAAGGGTCTTTGGTCCACTTACATGTCAGCTTGTACTGGAAAGTCTCACCGACGGCACAGATCAAAGCGTTCATGACTTTGGGGAGGTAAAGAAGATATGCGTAGTCGAGACGCAGCAATTGACATATTTTGTAGACTGGAACGTAAAGCAAAGGATGAATGAAGGACCGGATTCCCTGACGCCATTCCCAGGTCAGATACCCATAGCCGAACACCTGATAATGCGCCGGTTCAAGTGCTTGCCAATATTCGTCGGCTTGGAAAAAGGTATTGATTGAAAAAGAGTTGACGAGTCTAATTGAGAGAAGAAGAGTGAACAGCCCAGCATCTGTCTTAGGAATCGGCCAAGATTCAGGCCTCGTCAATTTTGCCATGATTATGGTTATTTGATTCACTGATGCTGCGCCATGCACGATCAGACAAAAATAGATGTTTAAACGTGTGCGTACGATTTCTTCAAACCACCCGGAAGAATAAAATCTTTAGAAGATAGTCCTGTACACCTAGATAGCCGTGATAAAGTCCATTTAACCAGCGCTCTTGACATATCTGGAGAAACGTTTCTCAATGAATTCGTCTTCAGAGCGTTCAAATGGCATTCCCACCATCACAGTGGAACAAGAGGCTTCATCGGAGGGAGCATTATCCAAGCCAGTGAAAACTCGGAAACGTGGTTTCAGTCTCCGAACGCAGCTCTTCAGCAAGAACGTTGCGCAGTCTGCTGAGAACTACTTAACGACTCCCGAAATCGAGCTCAAACAGGTGGATAATTCGTATCTTGCTGATGAGCTCGACGTCTTCAGACATGATGACTCGTCAACAAATCAAGCCAGCCTCTATGGTAGTTCTGCATCACTCAACCAATCTGTGATTGATTTGAATGATGAACCACAATACAAGTATAACTATACACAGCGCACGACGAGCAAGTACCATTTTATCAAGGCCACTTTCAATGCTCTCATGGGGATCTCCAATGCTCCGGAATCTAGGGGTGGTCGCCGTCTCCCGATCACAGTCAACCTCAAACGGAGCGATGAGCCGTCTATAACCAACAAGAAAGGAGAGGTGCTGCTGCTTGATAATCGCACAAATCAGCCCTACGTGAACAACGTCATCACCTCGTCGAAATACACCTTGTTGAGCTTTTTGCCCCGACAACTGATTGCTCAATTTTCCAAACTCGCCAACTGCTACTTCATGACAGTGGCCATCTTACAGCTGATACCCTCGTGGTCAACAACTGGTACCTCCACCACTATCATTCCTCTCTCTATCTTCATCTCAATTTCTATATTGAGAGAAGGTTGGGACGATCTGAGACGACATAAACTAGATAAGGTCGAAAATAACAAGCCAGGCACAGTGCTTAAAATGGGAAATTCCCACTATTCTTCGCATTACGTTTACAGCAAGAGTACAACATCTTTCTCGCGATTGAGATCGAGCACTCAGTCCTTTGATACTGATGATTTAGACTCGCAAGACGAAAATATGATTTTTGACGAGAACTCTTTCGCTAACGAGCAACTTCTCAGCAAAGAAGGAATATCAACAATACGCACGAGATGGAAAGATATTAAAGTGGGAGACATTGTAAAGATTGATTGTGATGAGTGGGTACCGGCGGACGTTGTTCTGCTAACTTCAACAAACGACATGGGAGAAACTTTAGTAGAGACTATGGCTTTGGACGGAGAAACCAATTTGAAGTCTAAGCTTCCAAACCAGGAACTCCACAAACTAGCCAATTCAATTGAGGGACTGCGCAAACTTAAAGCAAATATTCACTGTGAAGATCCAAACTCGGACCTTTACAATTTTGAGGGATCTCTAGATATCGAAGACCCCACATCCCACGAAACTAGAAAATTTGCATTGGGCCCCGACAATATCATTTACAGAGGGTCGATCATCCGAAACACCGATTCCTGTTTGGGGGTGGTCGTTTTCAGCGGTGAGGAAACGAAAATTAGAATGAATTCCATTAAAAATCCTCGGATCAAGGCACCCAAACTTCAAAAATCAATCAATTACATCGTCGCATTCATGGTTTTTGTGGTTGCCTCGCTAGCAATGTTTTCTTTTATGGCAGAGAGAATGTTCTACAAAAGGTACAGAGACAAGAATTGGTACATCAGAGGCGAAGATGCTGGTATTGCCCCAACAATCATGAGTTTTATTATCATGTACAACACTCTTATTCCCCTCTCTCTCTATGTCACTATGGAGATCATCAAAGCCATTCAAATGGTTTTATTGCAGTGGGATATTGATATGTACCATCCTCAGTCGAACACGCCCGCTGAAGCACGCACTGCCACCATTTTAGAAGAATTGGGACAGGTTAGCTATATTTTCTCTGATAAAACGGGTACTCTGACCGATAACGTTATGATTTTTCGCAAGTTTAGCGTATGCGGTACAGCGTGGATTCATGACATGGACCAGTCTGATGAGAAGGCCTCCGATACGTCTCAAATTCCACTTACAGAGGACTCTTTGGATGGAGCTACAAATGTCGGCAGAGGTATAACAAGATCAGGACCTGCACCTTTGGCTGGTCGATCAAGCATGTCATCTGTCAATCCAAGTTTGGTAACTGCGCAGACTGCGAAAATGCAAAACCTAAACTTCAAACCCAGCATCAAGTCATCTGCGGAGCTTATCAGGTATTTACAGACAAACCCAAACACCATATATGCCAAGCGGGTGACATTCTTTCTTCTTTCTATTGCGTTGTGCCACTCCTGTTTCCCCAAGAGAACAAAGACGGACTCCGTTCCCGAGATGGATACTATGGAAGGATTTGAGGAAGAAATTGAGTCCATAAACTACCAGGCTTCTTCTCCTGATGAGCTGGCTCTAGTTCAGGCAGCCTGTGAGATGGGTTTCATTTTGTTTGAAAAGAGACAGAAAACTATTACTCTCAAGCTGTATCCTCACGGATTTAATGAAGAGCCTAAATTTGAGGATTATGAGATTCTCGACGTTGTTGAGTTTTCGTCAAATAGAAAACGGATGTCGGTAATACTTCGACTTCCGGATTCGAAGATTGTTTTATTCTGCAAGGGAGCCGACAATGTTATCATGGAGAGACTGAGGAACTCTCAGGTAGCCCACTCGAAACAGCAGGAGTTCTCGAGAAACGTTGCCAATCGGAAACGATATGAGGCAGAACTTATTTTACAGAGACGGTCGATGGATTCTGTCCGTTCAAGAGAGGGCAGGAGCTCGACGTCTTCGGTTCCAAGACCAAGTTTGAGCTTGTCCCGTTCTTCCATGGAGGGCGTGTCGCCTGTCCGCGCAAACCAAGCTTCCAGGACAATAGACTCTGTTTTCTCTGAGGATTCTGAAAGACACGAACTTGAAGAGATAAAGACCAAAGCTAGGAGATCGTTGCAGTTGAAACAGACAGAAAAATATAACCTGCGGGAAGAGATATCTTACATTCCATCGGATAGACTGGTTGTCAATGATGAATACGTTCTAGAAAAGACCATTGAACATGTGGAAGATTTTTCCACCGAAGGCTTGAGAACATTGCTTTATTCTTACCGTTATCTCTCTGAAGATGTTTACTCGGAATGGTCTCAAAAGTACGGCAAGGCGAAGACTTCCCTGACGAATCGTGCTGAACTCGTTGAGAAGATCGGTTGTCAATTGGAAGAAAATTTGGAGCTTTTGGGAGCCACTGCGATAGAAGATAAATTACAAAAAGGGGTTCCAGCTACTATTGAAAAGCTCAGACGAGCAGGAATAAAGCTTTGGATGCTGACAGGAGATAAAAGGGAGACTGCTATCAACATTGGATACTCTTGTCGATTGATCAAAGACTATTCGAAAGTGATAGTACTTTCCAGTGATGAGGGGACGGAAAGGCTGTCTTCCATCATGACAGCAGCAGAGCTTGAAATTGAAGAAGGCAACGTGGCTCACTGTGTGGTTGTCATTGATGGAGGCACTTTGTCGGATATTGAAATGGACAACACGCTAATGACAGTGTTCATTTCTCTTTGCATGAAGTCAGACACTGTTATCTGTTGCCGGGCATCTCCTTCTCAGAAAGCCAAAATGGTGACAAGTGTTCGGAACCTAAACAAATCAAAAGTGACGCTTGCGATTGGAGACGGTGCCAACGATATTGCCATGATTCAAAGCGCAGATGTGGGTGTTGGAATTACCGGTAAGGAAGGGTTGCAGGCCGCTAGAACGTCGGACTATTCTATTGCTCAGTTCCGATACCTTCTCAAGCTCTTGCTAGTTCATGGTCGCTACAACTACATCAGGACCTCCAAGTTTGTTCTTTGCACATTCTACAAGGAACTACTTTTTTATTTGACACAGTTATTGTACCAGAGATACACACTTTTCACAGGCACATCGTTGTATGAGTCGTGGTCGTTATCCATGTTCAATACATTGTTCACATCTTTGCCGGTGCTGTGTATTGGTATGTTTGACAAGGACCTACGGCCGTCGACTCTTATAGCTGTTCCCGAACTGTACGCCAGAGGACGAAACTGCGAATCGTTCAATTTCAAATTGTTCCTTTTCTGGTCCCTGCTGGCAGCTTCACAAAGCACGACTTTGTGTTTCTGTTTGTGGAATGTTTATGGATTTCCTGCAACGCTGGATAACACGACATATCCGCTAGGAGTGGTGATGTTCACTGTGCTAATTGTGATCATCAACGCAAAATGTAACATTATTGAGATGCACTCGATTACCAAGCTTTCCCTGATATCTTTCTGTGTGTCTGTTTTTGGCTGGCTGTTGTGGTGTATGCTGCTTGTGGGACTATACAAAAGAAAAGACAGCACTATATACTATGTTTCACACGGGCTGTTTGAACATTTTGGCAAGGATATCACTTTCTGGGCCAGTATTTTAGTGCTGATTGTTGTTGGACTTTCCATAGACATGCTATTCCACTTGGTCAAAGTTAGCTTGTGGCCCACTGACACCGATGCATTCCAAGTCCTCGAAAAGAATAACAGGTTACGCAAGCAAATGGAATTGAATGCTTTTGACGTATTAGCGCAAAGCTGGACTTGGATGCATGAATCGCAGCTAGTTGAACAAGATATAGAAAATTACTCAAGCATGAAGAAGGGGCTCTATCAGTTCCGATCATTCCTGAAAAAGGGCTCCATTCATCCTTCCAAGCAAACCAGAAAAAGAAAGCAAACTCTTGTGAACCCCACAGAGTTGCCCGCTGGATCGCCGGCCAGCGTGAAGATCGCATCTTTTGACCTTTCAGATCAGGAGATGCTGCCAAGCGGCAAGATTATTCGCCATAGAGGTGACGATCACACCTTCACACGCATCTTCAAAAAACAGGAAGAAACAAGAGATATAGAGTCCATCTTGGACGAGAGAATGAGACACTTAGAAGACATGGAAAAATAAATACATTGAATGAATAAAATATATTCGCCGTATACGCAATCTCAGTTACCTTTATTTCTTCTGCTTGACATAAGAGATGAAGAGACCGTCTAGAACAGCAAAGGTGGCTGCTATTCCGCCAGCCAATGCCTTGTTCTCTCTTTTACAGATCCATTTGTTGAAGATCTCAGGGTCAGTTGAAAGAGCACAAACAGCTCCTGCTGTTCCAACAAGGGCAAGGAAGAGCTGAGAGGTGGTGACCGGGTTTTGTTTCACTGTCTCCACGGTGGTTGTGTAGAGGCTACTGGCAGTACCCACAGCACAATTGTAAGCCCTTCTGAAGTACTCCTTGACTTTGGCCTCTCTCTCTGGCAAGTCATCCTTGAAATCATCCACCTTCTTAGAAAGGTTGTTGGAAACCTCGTCAATCTTCGATTTGGTTTGATGAGCCAAGGAATCCAGCTCCTTTTCAGTCTTGTCAGCAGACTTGTTCACTTTCTTCTGAACATCGTTGGCAGCGGCTTTGGTTTCTTGAGACCTATACTAGTTAGCAAGTTGGTTTTGTTTAACTTACATTTTACTTGTGGTGGGTATAAAGTGTGGACAGGTTATTAATTGCTAGCAGGTTCCTATCGTACCACTTTCGGGCGGTGCACTATTTAAATTGCTGCTGCAAACTTAATTGCTATTGGGGCAGGACGAAAGGAATGAAGGTTTGTGCGCAAAAATGAAATCCAACGCCTGAAATCTTCCGTTGCCCGTGTTTCCTTGCACAGGATAGCTTATGTAGTATACGAACAAGGGGAGCAACCAGGGGTCGCTACGAGTCGTTAGATAAGGGCTCAAAAGAGATAAGATCGCAAGGTTGGTCACGTGCCTAATAGTCGTGTGATGGGGCGCTTTAAAGATTAATTACGCGTAACGCAGCACATCCGTACACAGACAGAGCTCTGAATGAAAGGGGTTGGCACTGGGGTATTTTGTTGTTGTTTTTTTCGCAAGCGGATTTTGTCACGTGATCTTGTATTCTGAGCCAAACCCTCTGAAACTTGATTTTTTTCACCAAAATTTTTCAATTTCGATAAACTCAAACCAAAACCAATTAATCAACCATGGGTGCCTACAAATATCTCGAGGAGTTGCAAAGAAAGAAGCAATCTGATGTCATGAGATTTCTTCTCAGAATCAGATGCTGGGAGTACAGACAGAAGACTGTGATCCACAGAGCTTCCAGACCATCCAGACCAGACAAGGCTAGAAGACTTGGATACAAAGCTAAGCAGGGCTTCGTCATCTTCAGAATTAGAGTCAGAAGAGGTGGCAGAAAGAGGCCTGTTCCAAAGGGTGCTACTTATGGTAAGCCAACCAACCAGGGTGTCAACCAATTGAAGTACCAAAAGTCTCTCAGATCTACTGCTGAGGAGAGAGTTGGAAGAAAGGCCGCCAACTTGAGAGTTTTGAACTCCTACTGGGTCAACGAGGATTCCACTTACAAGTACTACGAGGTTATTTGTGTTGATCCTCAACACAAGGCCATCAGAAGAGACCCAAGATACAACTGGATCTGCAACCCTGTCCACAAACACAGAGAGGCTAGAGGTCTTACTGCCACTGGAAAGAAATCCAGAGGTATTGCCAAGGGTCATTTGTACAACAAGACCAGAAAGGGAAGAAGACACACCTGGAAACAACACAACACCTTGTCTTTGTGGAGATACAGAAAATAAGCTGGGTGTTAAAGCCGCTGTTAGGGCTTTGTTCGTATCTATATTTCGAAGTAACTTAATCGAATAAAGTGTTGACAACTTGATAATTATGGTAAATTTGAAATAACGTCTAATTTGTCTTCCGCTAATTTTTTTTTCGACTCATGATCAATTTAATTAACCAAAATTTACAGGAATTCGATTTAGAAACTGTCTAATTAATTTTATAATTAATCATGAGCAAGTCGAGCAAATCCAAAATTGCCATTCTCTCTGTTTACGACAAGACAGGTCTTCTGGATCTTGCCAAGGGTCTTGTCCAAGCTGATGTGAGACTTCTCGCATCTGGAGGAACCGCCAAATTGCTCAGGGAATCTGGTTTCCCTGTGGAGGACGTCTCCAGTATTACCCATGCTCCTGAGATGCTGGGAGGACGTGTCAAGACTCTTCATCCAGCTGTCCACGGAGGTATTCTTGCTAGAAACAACGAATCTGACGAAAAAGATCTTGCTGAACAAAACATTGACATGGTGGACTTTGTCGTCTGTAATCTGTACCCATTCAAGGAGACTGTTGCTAAAATCAACGTGACCATCGACGAGGCGGTTGAGGAAATTGATATTGGTGGTGTCACTCTGCTGAGAGCTGCAGCCAAGAACCATTCCAGAGTGACCATTCTGTCGGATCCTAAGGATTATTCCAAGTTTTTGGAAGAGTTGGCAACCAAGGGCGATGTTTCTCCTGAGGCTAGACAGATATTTGCTCTGAAGGCATTCGAACATACCGCTGATTACGACAGTGCAATCTCCGATTTCTTCAGGAAAAGATACTCGGAGGGTGTTTCCCAACTGCCTTTAAGATACGGTGCCAACCCTCACCAAAAGCCAGCACAGGCTTTCGTTACTGAAGGAGAACTTCCTTTCAAAGTCTTGAGCGGCTCTCCAGGCTACATCAACTTGTTGGACGCATTGAACTCTTGGCCTTTGGTCAAGGAGTTGTCTGCCTCCTTGAACCTTCCAGCAGCCGCTTCATTTAAGCATGTTTCTCCAGCTGGTGCTGCTGTTGGTCTTCCATTGACGGACCTGGAAAAAAAAATCTACTTTGTTAGTGAGATAGAGAATCTCTCTCCGTTGGCCAATGCATACGCTAGAGCCAGAGGTGCCGACAGGATGTCTTCTTTCGGTGACTTCATTGCGCTCTCCAACATTGTCGATGTTCCAACTGCATCCATCATTTCCAAAGAAGTCAGTGATGGAGTGATTGCTCCAGGATACGAGCCGGCTGCTCTGGAAATACTAAAAAAGAAGAAGGGGGGTAAGTATTGTGTCTTGCAAATTGATCCAAACTACACCCCAAAGACTACCGAATCTAGACAGGTTTACGGTATCACTTTGCAACAGAAGAGAAACGATGCAATTATTAACTCTTCTTCGTTCAAGGACTTTGTCTCTAAGAACACTGCTTTGACAGAGCAGGCCTCGATTGACCTTACTGTTGCTACCATTGCTCTGAAATACACACAATCCAACTCTGTCTGTTACGCAAAGAATGGTATGGTTATCGGTTTGGGAGCCGGACAACAGTCCAGAATCCACTGTACTAGACTGGCTGGTGACAAGGCAGACAACTGGTGGTTGAGACATCACCCAAGGGTTCTTGGTTTCAAATGGGCTAAGGGTGTCAAGAGACCAGACAAGTCGAACGCTATTGATTTATTTGTTACAGGTCAAATCCCAACGGAGGAACCAGAAAAGAGTGAGTACGAATCTAAATTCGAGGAAGTTCCTACTCCTCTTACCGCCCAAGAAAGACAAGAGTGGCTCAAGAAACTGACAGACGTGTCCCTTTCCTCGGACGCCTTCTTCCCATTCCCAGATAACGTCCACAGGGCTGCAAGATCTGGAGTGAAATACGTTGCTGCTCCAACTGGCTCTGTTATGGACAGAGCTGTTTTTGATGCTGCTGACTCCTACGAGATGGTGTACATGGAAAACCCGATCAGATTGTTCCATCATTAAACACGTTTAATACTGTTACTGCTATAGTACTGTTATGATAACTGTATCTCAAAATATAACCAAACGCAGATATATATAATTCTCAGGACGGATCCAAAAAGTCCAACTAGTGTACACTTTGCTATGTCTTGTACTCTGTATTCAATGACGCTTCACTCATGCTTTGGTGGACCAGGTGGCCAAAGAGGTGGTCGTAGTCCAGTGGTGAGTCAATCCACTGGTGCCGAATCCGGTATCGTTGTTGTCTTGGTGTCTTGGTTGGAACAAGCCCTCAGCAAACTCCGGCAAGCTTCCAATTTGTTTCTCGATATCGACAGTCTTCAAAGATCCAACTGCGGCTGGAGCAGCAATCAAAACAATAAAGATGATGAAAATACCAAAGTATAAAACAGAGTATTTTCTCACCATTCTCTTTCTCAATCTAGCTTGTTTGAGAGAGTAGATTGGCGGTCTGATCTGTCTGCTTGGCTTCAACCAGAAGAGCATCAAAGAATGCCATCTATCGATCAGAGGAATGCAGAGAATTGGGAATTGCAAGAACAAAATCACATGTCCTAAAACAAAATCACCAGCAAAGTGAGACATCTCAATGATCTTAGCGCAGAACTCTCTAGATGGCTGAGTCCATGCTGACCATCCGAGTCCAGAGCCGTACCACTTTCCGGTCCAGAAAGCGACATTGGCGTGGTCACTCTTGAACTCTCTGGTCAAGAACAACAAAGTCATAAATTTGAAAATCAATCTTTGGACATAGATCATGGTGATCAATCCGATCAGCATTCTGCCAAAGTGGAATCCTTCCAAAACCCACATGACAATGAAGAACACAAGATTGACCACAACTGCAATTCCGTGAGAAACTGCAGCCATGACGGCACCTGTCTTCTTGCAGCACAATCCAAGCATTGGACCTGCACAGCAAGACAATCCCAAACAACCAAACAAGACACCAATGTCAATGACAATTGGAGCCAACGAACAAATGACCAATCTCAACACAGAGTTAACTGGTTCAGCATCAACCACACCGGTTTGAGCGTTCATAAAGGTATAAGCAACAAAACAACCAGCAGTGTAGATCATACATGGAAAAGTATCAGAGAAGAAGACGTTGGATCTATGAGCTCTTGCAGCATCACCAGCAGCCTTCTCGGAGTCATCACCGATGACCTTTCTCTTGAAACCGGTCACTCTAGATCTGGTCAATCTAATGTAGCCAATCCAAGAGTTTCTGTGCCATTTGGTGTTACCTCTGGACAACCATCTGATGAAATCTCTGTAGTCAATAAAGTAGTCCTCCCAGGAGAATTGGTGTGGGTTGAACACGAATGGAGAAAACATTAAGGCAACAATGGAAATCCAGAACCAAAGAAGAGCAGCTTGCCAATGTGCAACTGTTCCGAACAGCAACATAATCATACATCTAGCACCAACGTAAATGGTGGAGTCGGCAAATCTGGCATACAACACAGAGAATGGAATTCTAGCAGTCGCAAAACCTCTTCCGGTGGAAATGTATCTAGCACCACCAACGCAAATATCGTTCAACAGAGAAGAAGAGTAGATTTGAGCGACGAACACCTCAAACAATGGAGAAAGAGACAGGAAATGTCTACCAAATCTGTACGCACACTTCCACACACCTCTCTCGATCAATTCCTGAACAAGCAATGGAACAAAGGCAATGAAGAAAACAATGAAAATCGACAATGTGTAACGTCTAATCCAGTCAATGGACGGCATCAGTTGGTAACATCCCAACGGATATTGAATATCCGTAATTGGCTTGTTTCTGTCGTAGAGACATAGAATAGATTCATGAGAGAGGGATGTCAGGTTGACTAAAGTCAACATGAACAACTGAAGAGACAATTGAATAAATAAGTTGTTGATGTGGAAACCCAAGTGAGCATAGTAGAAAGAAAGGAATCTGTCCAAAGGAAGTTGGGTACCCAAGTAGTAGTATTCTCTGGAGAGCATTTGTTCACCCATTCCGGCACCAATTTTGGTTGTGAAGTTCAAGATAGAACCAAAACCAAGATCTCTTCCCTTACCACACTGATAGTATTCACAATGCTTGATTCTACCACCTCTGCACATGGCGACCATACCTGCGTAGATATCTTCGTTCAAATGCAAACCTTTCTGAGCTTTGGAAACACCACCTCTAGTAGTCATGTAGATAGCATTCAAGAAATCAGGGTGACCATAGTGCAATTTGGCACCGATTTGAGCTAGCGTTCTTGCGAACAGCGTACCAAAGGTTTGCTCCTTACCAGCAGCCACATCACCGAGAATACCAGAGTTTTCAGAGAAAATATATTCTCTTGCACCAACAATTGCAACAGGGTGATGGATCTTGCTGATTTCGGATTTCAGGCCAGGGGCGTAAGGGTTGACCTGCTCGACATTCAACTCCTCAAACTCAGCCAGAACAGATCTGATTTTCAGACACTCCTCCAAATAGTTGTCCTGGTTGGCATCAATCAATTGCAAGTATTCACCTCTAGTGAAAATGATAGCATGGTTTTGGTTATCAGACTTACCGTCTCCCAAAATTGGGTTTCCGGAAAGCTGAACTCTGAACTTAGGTCTTCTTCTACCATTCTCCATGATTTCACAGTGTCCGTCGATCAAAGCAGAGAAGATTCTTGGTTCATCTCCCTCATTGAGAGGTGGTTCTTCATCCAAGTAAGCGATTTGCAAATCTGGGTAAGCACGAAGCAAGAACTCCGCATTTTCAAGCTCTTCCGGCTTGAATTTGGTCAAACGTTGCATAGAAACAACAAACTTGAACTTTCTTCTAGCCATTCTTTCAAGCTCTCTCTCCAATCCTTCAGCATTACCACCAAACATTTGAACAATCTCAGGGTTTTCAACACGGTAGAGAAGCTTGATAGCTCTGGAGTAGTTCATGAAACCAGAAACAGTTCTGTACAAGGTTTGAGATCTCAAAGAAGCCCAAATTCTGGTTCTCAAAGTGTACTCTGGAGCAGCAGACTTGAAACCAATGCAGTAGAATGGCAAGTCATCAATTTCGTTCTTCATGTTGTCCTCATCCTTCTCCTCACCATTCTCAAATGCAGCCGTTTCCTCAGCCAAAATCTTGGTGTCCTTAACGAAACAATCCCACTCGACTGGATGAAGCTGTTTCAGGTATTCAAGCAAGGTGACTCTAGAAAACTGATCATCCTCTCTAATAATTTCTCTCAAGGAAAGCAAGATCTTTTCGGAGTAGTGAGGAGTGAAAACAGTAAAGGTAGGCATGTTATCCACAGGCAATGGTTCAGGAATAGGTGTGGCCAAAGATTGAGCAAAGAAAGAGATACGTCTTTCGGCTTCAGAGTTTCTTGGGAAGAACTCCGTCTCGAAGTTGTTATCATCTTGAGAAACAAAGAAAGTTGGTGCTCTCAATGTGCGCTTGCCCTCAATTTCGGATGGAACCTGGTGGTAAAGCAACTTTTGAACGTGATCAATCGCCAGCAAATGCTCTCTGTACATAGAGATAACAATGGCATTCCAAACTTGGGAAATTAAAACCTTTGGCTTGTACTTGATTTCCATGTCGGTGGTAGCCAAGACCTTGGAGTAGATCCTCTTCGGCAGTCTGGTAAAGATGTTTCTCCAAGGTGTCAAAATGGAAATACCCAGGTAGAAAGATCTTCCGACAGAAAACAAACAGTTGACCAGAATGTACCACATGTAAGTATCCAAGAAGAACAACACCAAGTCGGTAGCCATCATCAGGCCCAGAGTGATTCTAGCCTGTTGTTTGCAAACGACATTGCCGTACCACTTTTCTCCATGACACCTCATCGTCATAGTGGACAAGTTCCTGATTGGATCTCTCAAAGACAAAATCAGGAAGAAATAAGATTCGACGTATTTGGCGAGGAAAACCAAAAACCACAGGAACCACGAGAGGTACATGTCCAATCCCTCCAAACGAGAGAAAGAGGCGGTGAAAGTTTGTGATGCCACGTACTTTCTTGTGGATTTCTTCATGTATGATGTGAACAAACCTCCTAAAGGCATGACAGACAAAAACACAATCGTGGCAATAGCAATGAAGAATGCAACAATGGAAACAACTTCTGCGGCTCTCGACTTGGTCTGCAGACCTGCCCATGCAAACACGAAAACAACAGGAGCAAGGTTGATTGCCAAGATCAAAAACAGGAAACCAAGTCTTCTAGACAAATGCTGAGCACCGGCCCAGGCTCTAGGGACAAACATCCACTCAAATATGGTGGCCAAGATGTTGATACCAACTGCAACAGTACCACCCAGAGCGGCAGAAGCCCATCTAGAAGAAGCAAGCGGTTGATTGTTGAGCACTTGGACGTAGTTGTGCGTGTAGAAAGTCGGAGCGTTGTATGCCACATACATCCAAAAAACAGAAATGTGTAAAACCCAGATACGGTTGAAGTTGGTGATAATGTGCAGCCAGGTTCTGACTTCCTTATAAGTTTTGAAGAAAACGTGGCTCCATTCGATCTCACCCAATTTGAAGTATCTCTCCTCGGCTGGGAAATCGACCAATCTGGTACCATCCTCCAGAACAATTCTAGAAATACCTTCTGGGTACCAGAAAAGCTGGTTGACATCGTCATAGCCAATGATGCTGTTGTGGTCCTTTTCACGCTTGACATAGCGGCCATCAACAACCTCATAAACCTGAGCTCTGATGAAGCGGTAAAGCGGGGTAATGACTCTGTTGAGGTAGTCGCCCTCTGGAACAGGGTCAGCTCTTTGTCTGCATGCTTCCGAGTTCAAATAATCTTGAGCACATTTGTAAATGAAGCACAAACACTCTGAAGTAAATCTGACCTGGTTCGCCTCACCCCACAACAAGAGCCACAGAGCGATCTGTCTAACGCGTTCCAAAGGAGTCATTGCGTTCATTTTTGCTTTCCATCTGTAATCGGCTGCTTCCAAAGAGTTGTCGCCTTCCAATTCACTCAGAGTTCTCTCTGTATCCTCACCATTCTCTTCCACGGCTTTTCTCGCCTTTTTGGACTTCTTCTTGGCCTTTCTTGCTTTTCTTGAAAGCTTACCAAGAGCCA